GCAAAAAGGTTGACACTATCGATTATTGTCGAAAAGAGCTCGCTCGTCTGAATCTGGAGATTGAAATCGACCAACAGAATCATGAGCGGTTCCCTTTGATGAACTCGGCATTCATCCAGTTCAATCACCAAGTCGCTGCCCATATGGCCTGTCAATCAGTCAGCCACCACCTTCCCAAGCAGATGGCACCCCGTGTCGTGGAAATCTCTCCTGACGATGTCATTTGGGATAACATGTCGATCAAATGGTGGGAGCGATACCTGCGTTCCTTCGGAATCATCACACTAGTGTGTGCAATGGTTGTTGGATGGGCGTTCCCTGTGGCGTTCACCGGACTATTGTCGCAATTAGCATACCTGGAGGGTGCATTCCCCTGGCTGGCCTGGCTTGGCAAACTTCCAGACTGGTTCATTTCAGCCATCCAGGGTATTCTTCCTGCGATGTGTTTGGCTATTCTGATGGCACTACTTCCCCTCATTCTTCGCTTCTTGAGCCGCACGCAAGGCCTTTTTACTGGCATGTCCATTGAGCTCACTGTCCAAAACTATTACTTCGCCTTCCTGTTTGTGCAGCTGTTCCTGGTTGTCACCATCGCTTCCAGTTTTTCGACAATCATTGAGCACGTCACTGATGTGACCAGCTGGCCGCAACTCCTAGCAGTGAACATCCCAAAGTCCAGTAACTACTTCTTCTCTTACATGATTCTGCAAGCCATGTCCGTGAGTGCTGGTGCCCTTGTACAAATATTTGGCCTAGTGAGCTGGTTCATCCTAGCTCCGATTATGGATTCTACTGCCCGAAAGAAGTGGGCACGAACAACAAACCTCAATCAGATGCAATGGGGCACATTCTTCCCTGTGTATACTACCCTAGCCTCTATTGGTAAGTTGTCTCGTCTTTTTGTTTGAATTGGTTGACTCACATTCTCCAAGGTTTAATTTACTGTGTAATTGCACCCCTGATTTTGGTTTTCAACGTCATCACATTCGGCCTGTTCTGGTTCGTCTATCGCTATAACACACTCTACGTTACCAAGTTTCGCTTTGACACTGGTGGCCTTCTTTTCCCTCGAGCTATCAACCAGCTATTCACTGGAATTTACATCATGGAAGTCTGCCTGATCGGCTTGTTCTTCTTGGTTCGGGACGAGAATGACGATGTCGCCTGCAAGGGGCAGGCTATTTGCATGATCGTGGTTCTGATCCTGACGGCCGGTTACCAAATTCTTCTCAACGAAGCGTTTAGCCCACTGATCAGGTATCTGCCCATTACCTTGGAAGATGATGCTCTTCGACGTGATGATGAGTTCCGCCGTGCTCAGCACGCTCGCCTCGGTCTCCCTCTTGACGATGAAGATGACGAGGATGATAATGAACACACTCTTGCTAAGCATGACCATCAAGAGCGTCAGCACAACAAGGAAATACGAGAGGACATTGAGCTCAAAGCTCTGGAAACCAATCTTCCAGACCAGAAGCGACACAATTCAGATCTATTGTCAACACCCAAGCTTGGAGGCAAACGTCCATCATGGGCATCCAACTCATCAAATCGAAAGTCTAAATATTTCGGTCAGAACTCAACACCCTCCACGCCGACACTACGGAACATGCGGGAAAAGATGGCCCAGGATACTGAGGCTCAGGGGCCAGGCCCCAACACAGTTGGCCAAGCCCTCTTTGCTGGTATCCACGATGAATTAGAGGACCTCACGCCCGATGAGCGTGACCAGCTGGTGCAACGTGCCTTCCAGCACGAGGCCCTTCGCGCCAAGCGGCCTGTCATCTGGATTCCGCGTGATGATCTAGGCGTAAGCGATGACGAAGTGTACCGAACACAACGCTTCAGCAAACATGTCTGGATAAGCAATGAGTACCAGGCGCTAGACGGCAAGTGTCGGACGATCTTCAGCCGCAGTCCTCCAGATTTCTCAGAGGTGGATTTGATTCAGCTGTGATACCATTTGTACATTGTTCCTTTTAGCCATTCTATACCATTTTCAAGCGTCGTATTCAGTCATAGACATCCAGGGTCCTTTTTTAAACATCAAATTTCCATGAAATCATCCAGTATCTCCCTTAATCCATGAACTTGCACAGGGGCAATCTATAATCATCCACAACCCAGTAAGCCCGGCGCACACCCTCCCATTCACCCTCCAACTTGGGCACAGCAATCTCCTCCCACTGCACGTCAAACCCAGCCTCGAAGAGATCCATCTCCGCGACCTTCTGATAGACATCATAAGAGATTTGACGATCAGCACCCATGCCATTAAAGAATCCCCAACGGCCTTCTTGCTCCAATAGCCCAATGACCTGTTCAGAGAAGAAGTCTCGGAAATCACTGTATGACTCCGCAAAGGTATCGTAGTAGATAGCATCGAACGTCTCCCCAGCCGCCACAAGGCCAGGAAGAATATCCTGCCAGCGACCCTGGTGAATAACAACGCCAGGCTTAGTATCCCAGCCGCGTCGCTTCATCTCCTCAACAACCTCCTCATGTGCTTCGACAATGTGATGAACGGCCGGCCCTTGCTCCTGGAAGAATCCATCCACAATACCCATCCCGTGGCCGATGTTCAGAACTTTCAGCCCGGGGGTGGGGAGCAGTGCTGTCGCGGACTTGCGCATGATATCGCTTTCCCAGCGCATCATCACGCCATTCTGGTCTGCGTCCAGGATCCGGTCATTCTGGATGTTCAGGCGCGACTCCAGATACTGCGAGTTGGACACCTCTGGATTGGCAGGGATGGTTGTGGTTGTGGTTTCTGTTGTGGTTTCGACGGAGGCGTCGACGAGTTCGGGTGCTGTCTCGCCCTCGATCTCACCCTCGGCCTCGCCCTCTTCGTCGTCGCCATCGGATAGCTCTTCGTACGCGTCGAGACGGTTCAGCAGCAACTCTGCACGAACACCTGCGTCAACGATCAACTCGTAAAGATCGAGAGCGCCAATTCGGCGCGCGATGCAGCCGGGTGTCTCGTTGTTCGCGTCGAGATCGTTCCAGATAGCACCCTCCTGCAGGAGGAACTTGACAGTCTCCACTGCTGCTTTCACAGCCTCGGCGTCCAGGCCATTGGGGTTCGAGTCTGAGGTGGTCGCGCCATTGGTGTTGACGGTCTCTGTATCGGGCTCACAGGCAGCGATTGCGGCGTGCAGAGGTGAGAAGCCGGTCTCGGTGTCTTTAACGTTTGCGGCGTCGGGAAGCATAGACTGTGTGCGGAGGAGGCGACGCAGCTTGGACTGGTCATGCTGTGATGCGGCAAGGAGGATCTCTTGCACATCAAGGTCGATGTCGACCTCGGAGAGGTGAACTGGGGTATCGTCTGTGACTTCGGGCATGATCTAAGTGCTGTTAGTGGGGGTTCGCGAAGAATTATTGGCCAAAAAAAGAGAAAGATTTGGCTATTTATTCTGACCGATACTCACGAATGAAATGTAATACTTGCTAGTCAATGCTAGTCAAGTGTGTTGAATTGTTATCAAACCAAAAAAGTGGTGCCCCTCCGAATCAGAAAAATCGACTCGCCGCCTTCGTCCCCGCATGCAGGAAATATAAATGAGCCGTGATCTATAGCCACCTACAAACTTATCACTATGTTTGAAAAAGTCTTGGGGGAAAAAAATAGAGAAGAGTCCACATTCAGATGCTCGGTAATCCAGCTATTTGTACAATAATTCACATTCCTTCTCGCAGCGCCATTAAGTATCAAGGGGAATGAATTTATTTGCCCTCCTCGTTGAAGGAGTGGACATTCAGGCCCAATCCTTGGCTGTCCAAGTAAAGCTTGTTCTTGCCACCGTTCTCATGTAGAATCTGAGCAACTTGGCGGGCATTTTCGATCTTTCGGAGCTCGATATAACTCTTGCTCTTCTTGATGGCATCACCAATAAGCTCGGCGGAGCGGGCCTCACCCTGTGCGCGGACAATGAAGGCCTGCTTCTCTTGGCGGGCCTTGTCGACCATGAATGCAGCACGCTGAGCGTCTTGCTGTGCGACCTGCTTGGCCTCGACGGCGGCGGTGAACTCGGGGGAGAAGGTCAAGTGCTGTGAGGAGAAATTGTGTTAGAAGCTGTTTGGGCTAGAGTAAGAAAAAAAAAGGGTACGTACTGTCAAGGAAACATCGTCAAGAGCAATGTTGAAACGGGCAGCCCGGCGAGCCAGGTTCTCCCGCACCAGACGGGCGACGTTCTCACGCTGTGTGATCAACTGGCTGGCGTTGAACTGGGCAACAACGCTCTTCAGAACCTCGTTGACGATTGAGGGTAGAACGCGCTCATCGAAATCTTGGCCAAGGGTTCGGTAGATCTGGGGGAGGGCATCCACGCGGGGTCTGGAGAGGACACGGCAGGTGATATTCACCATCTGCAAGTCCTTGGTACCAGTGAGGGAAGGGATGCTGCGAGGCTTCGCACGGACATCGTAGATGATGGGGGTTTCGAACCACGGAATTTGGAAGTGAGTGCCTAAAATTGTCCAAATGTGAGAGAAAGCTCCTTTGTCCGGCTAGTTAGTTTTCATACCTTCGTTGTAGATCTCCTTCTGAACACCACCTAAGCGTGAATACTTGATGGCACGGTGACCACCGTCCACTAAGAACTAGTTAGAAGCTTGATTTCCTGTGAAAGTAAGTCCAACGTACCGTTGAACAGAGCATTTGACGCGACGTAGGTGCCAATACCGGCCAGGACGAGTGTGCCGACAAGTCCCATGCCTCCTCGGCCACCACCGGATGGCATGCCACCGAAGCCGGCCTTGCGCTTGGACAGCATAACTTGCAGGCGCTCCCACGCCTCCCGTTGATTTTGAGACATGATGTGAGGAAGTGCACGGAGAGGATTAGAGATGGATGAGGACGGACTTAGTCTGATGCTCAAGCGGATGAGGTGAGGTTGCGGGCGGTGAGAGAAAGTCGGGCAGAATTGGGGTTTCTTTGCTTGCCATTGCTTGCCTGGACTTCTTTTGCGTTTCTCACTCGCATTTCATTCCCTATCGCGATTATGGCGCCCGATCGGACTGGGAAGAGTGTATTCCTGGGGAATATCCCCTACAGTATGTTATCGCAGCTGTCTGTCTCATTTATGCGATGCTAATCTTTCTCTAGACCTCACTGAGGAACAAGTCAAAGACATCCTCAGCACAGCTGGTACCGTTACCAAGTTCCGATTGATGATGAACCCGGAGACCGGCAAGCCCAAGGGTTATGGATTTGCAGATTTTGCGGACGCGGATGCCGCTGCCTCGGCGGTGCGCAACCTGAACGATCACGAAGTCATGGGCCGCAAGATCCGTGTTGATTGGCCTCACAACAACGAGAAGGATTCTATACCCCCAGATTACTCGCAGCAGTCGCAACCAATTATGAACCAAGATTCCACACAGCAGCAACAAATTCCAGGCTCAGCGCCGCTGCCCCTCTCCCTCCAGGCGTGGAACTCCCGCCTCAAATTGACTGCCCCAACGCCATCTCCCACACACTCGCCTCTCTCCCACCAAATCAATTGCTCGATGTTCTGACGCAAATGAAAGCTCTCGCGGTTGCCGACCCCGCGCGTGCCACTGAGCTGCTGCGCCAAGCGCCTCAGCTCGCCTACGCCGTCTTCCAGGCTCTGCTCCTTATGAATCTTGTCGAATACCAGCTGCTTGGTTCCATCGTCGAACAGGCCGCCCAGCCTCCTCAAGTCCCTCAACAGCAAACCCCCCAACAATTCCAACAGTACGGTGTTCCTGGTCAAATTTCGACACCGCCTGTCACCGGCACTCCTTTTGCCCCTCCCCCGGCTCAACCTGCCGCCCCAATGCACGGCCAGGAAGAGCTCCTTCAGCAAGTCCTCAGCATGCCCCAGGCTGCTATTGATGCTTTGCCTCCCATGGAAAGAAGCCAAATTATGCTATTACGCCAGCAATTGATGCAAAGTGGCATGCGGTAGGGTATTGTCGTTCATCGAGATGCAATATTCATGGATTCGGATAATTTGTGGCTCTGCTCATTGAGAGCAAGCCTGGCATGGCCAATTTTCTTTTTCTTTTCTTTTCTTTTTCTTGTGCTACTGTACTGGGCGAATGGGTGGCGCAAAGGGGTTGTCATTTTTTCCCATTGATTTGCATACAGGGTCCATCTTAAGCTCTACCTTCAGAATAGTAGCAGAATGATATCTTGATTCTCTTAGTATTTCTTGTTTCTATCAGCATCTACCTTGGCTTTTCTCTAGAGTCTTTATCCCAAAGGCAAAGTGCCTCAACTTATGACATATTTGGCTCGTTTGCCAAAGACGGTGAAACCCTCCACAATCACTTCCCCGTTTGTGAGCTTAAAAGAGCTGCATTGGCAGGATGTAGAATTTGAAATACTTAGCCACTCTTTTGCCATGGCTGGAAGCCTTTTTATAATGAAAGTTTGGCAAATCCTACATATGAAGTTGAATGTTTCTTGGGTAACTGCCAAACTATCTGACATTAATTAACCCGCACCAATTACCTTTAACACTGGGATATTCGTAGTTGCAATTGCAATTGCTAAGGCTGCGTAGAAGAAATCATCATTGGCGTATATATGATTGTGATAGGCGCGCATAAGCTCGTTGTCTTGCTGGTGCCTATGTTATTAGCCATAGTAACCCCATTACCTACCACCTACCACAGGCACATTCTATGCCATCCGAGGTAGGCCAGATAAGGGACAAGTGATATGTAGCACCTATATAATATAATTGAAGCTGTTGCTCGTCAACCTCGATTATTTCTGTCCCCGAATGATATCAGTACCAGCTTATCCTTAGAAGAACCCATAATGTCTGTTAACAATCCATCCAAACTGTTCAGTCATATTCAGCAAGAGACATGTAGTAATCACCATAGGACAGAAAGTTAGTAGAGAGAGCAATATTCTACTTTACTGGCTTCAATTTGCATGTAAAGACGACCTTATACAACCACTGCCCAGATGCTTTGGGTGACTCCGTCAGCACAGATATAAGCCGCCATCGCACGCTGGGGCACGGGCACTTAGTCTGTTGGTTGTCTCCGGAGCATATATTTGGCTGTCATCGTTCAGGGGTATATCTCAGCGCAAGTGTATCTTTTAGCGCAGGCTGAGTTGCCGTCACATGTCGTCGCGCCGAATCGGGCGAGAGCAACCAGGATACCGGGTATGGGCGCATGTAAAAGTCGCTGTCGCGCCTATTCAGGCGAGAGCAACCGAATCGTTGCCTAGGTGTCATATATGAATAGATTCCTACGCTCTTCAATCTCTTCTTTTCTTTTCCCCCTCTATCTTCACACGCAATCACCGCTCCAACTATCCTGCTGCATGTTCGCTGCTTGCTTCGTGCTTGAGCTGGTGACAAAGGTCATTCTGTACGTGCCTCGATTTCGAGGCTTGTTCCAGGTTCCCGCGTGTTTCTTCTTGACTGGCTTGCCAGTATCATCTAAATTCCGACCACCTTAACTGCTTGCCCCCTCCACCAACGCGGGTCATGGCGTCAAAGGGGGTTCCTCCTCAGCAGCAGTCGGCGGATGGTTTGGCAACGGATGATCAGGAGCCTAGGGCCCGGGCCGATGAGATTCCTGAGCTGCGGCGGGGATGCATGATCCCTCGGGGTCGGTATCTAGCTAGTGACCTCCCGCCTCTGCATACGCTGACAGAAATCTTCGCTGACATGGCATCGAACGCCCTGAAAATGGGATTCGAGCATGTCCTCATTCGGCTCGGCAGTCGACCACTGAGGGTGGCGACAATGTGCTCAGGAACGGAAGCCCCGCTTCTGGCCCTGGAATTGATTCAGACGGGTAAGTGCATTGTCCCTTTCTGTTATTTGTTTTCTTTCGGACTTTTGTTATCATCGATACCTATGTCGATGTTCGTGTTGCTTGTGGTTGGTTCCGTGGTTGAGGTTCCTCACCTTACTTACCCTGACTTCCAAGTCACATGTCTCCTTCCTTGCCCTAACTGTTACCTTCACTTTGTCCTCACTTCCATGTCATGAATGGTTCAATTTGGTATCGAAATATCATTTGTTTTGCTTTCATCTCATTCTCACCCTTCTGTCTGATCTCTCTCACTTGTGGCTGCGTTCTTCCTGCGACTATGGAGCAATTGCTGATATTATCTTGATAGGTTTGGCAGAGACCCAGCAACTTCGGATCTCGCACGCTTTCAGCTGCGAGATTGTTCCGTTCAAGCAATCATATATTGAACGGAACTTCCGCCCCCTATCCTCTTTCGGGACATCACCGAACTTGGAGGGGACGAGGCGTAAGTATCGATTCATCCTCCTCTGACTAAACTTTCATACTAACTTTCGTTTTACAGGCGGACCGCCTACGGGTCATCGGAACTGATTCCCGGTGACCTCGACATTTTAGTTGCTGGAACTGCCTGTGTCGATTTCTCTCCGTTGAACAACCGCAAGAAGACGCTGCAGCAAGGCGGCGAGTCAGGAGCTACGTTCGACGGTCTCTTGCGGTACGCGGAGAGATATCGACCCCGAATGATCGTCCAGGAGAATGTTCGGAATGCGCCCTGGGATCAGATGAAGGGAAAGTGGGAGGAGCTCGGATACTTGTCGGTTTGTGTCAATGTCGACACAAAGCATTACTACATCCCGCAGACACGCGAGCGCGGGTACATGGTGGTTATTGACAAGCGCCGCTTGGAAGCAGCGGGCCTGCTTGGAGACTCCATGGACCAGAGTGGCATTGACACTGTCACTCAACGCGTTCGTGAGCTCGCTGTCCGTTTCAAGCGGCCAGCAAGTGCGCCGGTGGGTTTGTTCTTGCTGAGTGACGACGACCGCCGACTCGAGCTCATCGAGTCGAGAGCCCGCCTTGAGTCCCGAAGCGAAACAAGCTGGGACCAGTACCAGATTCGTCACCAACGGCACCGTGACGAACTGGAACTAGGCATCGAGAGGCCAATCACTCGATCCCTGCCCGGAATCAATGACCTGAAGGCACCGGACTTCTATTGGCATCGTTTCTGGAAGACACAGCCGGAGAGAGTGTGGGAGACCGTGGATATGAATTTCTTGAAGAAGATGCTTCAAGAATATGACATGAACTTCAAGGAGTAAGTTCTCAATTTTCTCTCACCTCACTTTCACTTCAAGATCATTTACTAACATTTTACTTCACAGGCGTTGGATCGACTTGTCTCAGGGAGTCGATCGAGGGAATGACAGCCTTGCTGGGTCTGGGATCGCAGGGTGCCTGACGCCAAAGGGCATCCCATTTGTGACCACCCGCGGGGGCCCCGTATCTGGCACGGAAGCCCTTTCATTACAAGGTCTGCCCCTCGATCGAATGCTACTCACGAGAGAAACCCAAGCCGATTTGATGGACATGGCAGGAAATGCAATGACGAGTACGGTCGTGTGTGCAATCATGCTAGCTGGTCTGATAGCCGTGCATGAGATTCTTGACGACGGCGAGGAGGGCTCAACCAACCCCGGCGACGCGGAGGTCAAGTCTCTTCTCGTTCCCAGCGAGGTCCACAGCCTCGTGAGAAGCAGCCTCCAAATTGCCGAAGCCCTCCTCGTCGACCATGCTGTTCTCAAAGCCAAGGCAGTGAGCAGCGTTCTTTGCTGTTCCTGCGAGAGACAGACTGGGGTTCAAGATTCAATTTATAGTTGCACACTCTGCGGACATACCGCTTGCAAATCCTGTCGTGGAAATCCCACGCATTCGTATCTGCATGTCTCTCCACTTTCTCGACAAAAGCCGTCTGAGTTTATAGCGAAAATAAAGGGACTTGTTCCCATGAAGCTTATGCTGTCTGGTTTGTCCGAATTGGACTTTGAGACGTTTAAAACCCTGTACCCCACGAACAACCTCCCCCAGTTTTGGCCCGACTTTATTCTGTGCGCCAAGGCAGCTGTGCACGACGTTTTTCGGTTTTTCGAGATCAAGCGCGGAAGGAAATGGCGAGTCGTTTACGACGGCACGCACTCCAGCTTGTTCCTTGATATCGGTCCGGACTCCATCCAATGGCTTTTGTACGCAAAGCCCCCCCAAGTCCGCAAGCACAAGAAGCGTCATGCGAGAAATGCTAGCCAAGCCAATTGCCAGAATGAGTCCCACCTCTGGGTCGTTTGTCGAGGGTACATGGGAAGTTTGTTCACCCGTTAGTACCGCATTCTCACTTCAGATTTCTGGCCAAGGAGACCAGGTTCGATCATACCAATCCGAGTGTGGTCTCAAAGGTGCTAGATTTGTTGATGGAAAAGTTTGGGATAGTCTATTTGTTGAAGGATCCGATCAAGATATCCAAGCTCTTGACCTCGACGTCCGAGGAATCTACCAATTCCTCCCTGACTGTGGAACAGCGCTTGGTGCACTGTACAGAAAAGAAGCCACCGCCCATGCGCCTCGAATGTTCTTATTCCTCGATCCAACGAAGACTGGACCCCCGATGAAGATGCCTGTGTGTTTGCTATTGACCACAGCCGCCTTCCTGGATATGATGTGAGAATTACGATCGCCGAGTTATCCTCCTCTTGGCGATCATTGAATGTCACCTCGGATTCGCAAGATGTGAAAGCTTTCTGTCGTCGATGGGCCAAGGCCCCCGAAGCGCAGTTAAAACATTGTCCTGCCGAACAGATTACCCTCCGCACATTGCAACAAGGAATCCAAGTCTCAATTGAAAACCAGAACTGTCATAATGCTTGTATCACCCTCACCTCGCTGTCAGCAACAACAGCAATTCTCAACCTGCCCGACGCAAATTCCGATTGGCAAACCTGGAATCCCGAAGTTTCTATGAGAGAATTGAAAGGTCTCGCCTGGTTGTTCCCTAAAATTGCCGCGTGGTCTGACTTCGAAAACTGGAGCGAAATCATTCGTCCAGGCTGTTCAGATCCTGACCATTCTACAAATGGCAATTGCAACACCTGCAACCCGCCCACCCCCAGTATTCTTTGGGGCCGCGACAACAAAGACCGAATCATCCCATACGAGAATCCCCAGGACGCTGCTGTTTATGAACGCGCCATCAAGAACCGGCCCTCTCCATTCTTGGTCTTCAGACGAATCAGCGAACATGGAGACGCTGAATTGCGTTTCACCCTCAATGTTCAAGCTCTGACGCACCAGGCACATGGAAAATTGGTTGGTACCGCAAGCCGTGAGACAGTAACATCTCATTGGCGACTTCTCCCCCATGCGTACGACATGGGTCAAAAAGCCTCTGGCAGGTTTACTCTGAAGAACAATGACAACGATAGTCCCTCGCCACAACCTCCCAACTTCAAGTTCCAGCTACGTGATGAACAGCTTCGATCATTGAGCTGGATGATTTCACAAGAAGCAAAAGATATGGAACCATTCATGGAAGAGGAGGTCGAAGAATCCATCCTCCCTTTGATGCCCTGGCGCGCTGAAGTCAAAGCGACAATGCCAAAAGTTGTTCGCGGTGGCGTGATAGCCGACGAGGTTGGATATGGAAAGACGGCTATTGTTCTTGGTCTCATCGACGCGCAGTACGAAAATGACTGCAAGTTCCCCGTGGAAGACAACGGGCTCATTGCAACAAATGCAACCCTGATCATTGTCCCCAACAACGTCTTTAAGCAGTGGGTTTCGGAAACCAAGAAGTTCCTCGGAGGAAAATACAAAGTATTGGCGATATCGTCAATTAGCAAAATCACTATCCGGGAAGTCCAAAATGCAGATATCGTTGTTTTGTCATGGAGTATCCTGGCGAATGATGCATACTATAGTCGACTTCAACAATTTACCGGAACACCACAGGCTCCTGCAAAATCGAGCGGAGGAACAGGTCGAAATTTCGATAGCTGGTTCCACGACGCTCGTGCTTCCTTGCGGGAGTCTGTTGATATATTGAAAACAAAAGGGCCTGAGGCGATGCTCCAGGATTTGGAGGCCAGACGTCGCCGAGTTCAAGAGACACAGGCCGACTTCACTTACGTGCCCTCTCGACGCCTCCGTGGCCAGGCATTTGCTAATGCTAATAATGGTCGTGACGAGTCTAAGACAGGAGCAGAAGAGGATTTGGATTCTGAGTCTGACTCGGGTTTCGAGGACTTTGATGCATCTGATATGAGACACTCGACCGGAACAGCGAGTTCTGTGGGCCAGCGGAAGCGGAGGCACAGTGAGAAGAAGTCAGTGGAAGGCCCAGGAGGAAAGCGACAAAAGCGCCCGTTAACGGACCTGGCAGAAGTGGCTGATGACAAAAAGAAACGTGAAGCCAAATCCACAGTCGTGAAAGATGACCGCAAGGACTTTGACATCAAAAAGACCGCCAACCAAGACTGGCACACTGTCAAGGCCGCATTCATCCACGCATTCAGCTTCAACCGTTTGGTCATCGACGAATATACATATGCCGGAGAAGACAAACAGGCCTCCCTGCTCTCATTGCAAGCACGCTCCAAATGGATCCTTTCTGGAACGCCAGGACTTGATGAATTTGCCGACATCAAGAGTATTGCGCGTTACCTTGGTCTACACCTTGGTGTGGACGACGATGGCGATTGCGATAAACCAACACAGAACAGCAGACTACGAAACATCCGGAAAAATCACACAGCTGTCGAGGCATTCCAATATTACCAGGCACCCCACAGCAACGCCTGGTACCAAAACCGCCGAGAACATGCTCAAAGATTCCTGGACCGGTTTGCGCGTCAGAACATCGCACGCATCACACATATTCCGTTAACAGAGAACCTTGTCATCACCGAACAGTCACCTGCTGAAAAGACAGCGTACGATACGTTGTTCCGAGCTGTCAAAGAAAACAAGAGACGAATCCCCGGTCCCCTGAGCGCCATCTTATCCAAGAGCCAGCTACCCCAAGAGGCCCTCATCATGTCCTGCGTCACCAGTCAAATCGGACAGCCTCCATGGAACCTCGAGAAGTGCCTCAAAGGTTCAAGGAACGACAGCATCAAATCCACCGAGATTTGGACCAAAGTGGACTTGCTCACTCGACAAGCAGCGACTGTTTGGTATCGTGACATGAAACATACCGATCCAAACGACTGGCAAGACGCCCTGAATGGCATTGCAAAAATTGACTTCGGCGATGCAGAACTCAACAAGCGATTCAACCAGCTCTTAGAGAGGATAATCCGCTCATACAACGAGTGGAAACTTGCCCCAGCACACCAGTCAATCGATGGTTTGCTCAAGGAACGATTCAACAAGGCACTGAACGCGAAGGTCGGCAACACAGCCACTGGAAGAGATCCTCCTAAAGCCACATCTGGAGGAACTAACGATAAATCTTCCAACTTGATTTCGATGGCTGTCGAAAAAGCCTTGTCCGCCGAGATCACTTCTCACTTGAAGCAAGTCCTCGAGATTGACCGGGAATACCGATTCTACGACCACCTGGTGGCAATCCAAACCTTTGGAACTCCGCCATGCCAGGGATGTAAGAGCGATTTGCAAGATAAAGAAGATTTCAATGTCCTGAAAACCTGCGGTCACGCCCTCTGCAAAAATTGCACTGCCGCCGCTATCACCAAACCACACAAACCCTGCCCCATCACTGGATGCAGCGGCCAAATTGTCCAATCCAAGATCGTGCCGGGTGAGATCCTCGTCAGTGAAGACCAAGGAATCCAGAGCTCCAAGCTCAACAAGCTTGTTGACATTGTCCGCAATGTCCCCGAGGACGACCTTGTTCTCATCTTTGTGCAAATCAGCCACTTGTCATCCGTGGCATCGGATGCCCTCAAAGCTGCGAACATTGACCACCGCATGGTCACGCAGACCAACTTGAAAGGAATCGCTGAGTTCATTGAGGCTCCCAAACCAAAGAAGGGCACAGACCAAGTACCTTCCAGGCCAAAGGCTTTGATCTTGAATCTCGGAAGTTCAATGGCGGCCGGACTGTGAGTTTTTCGTTTTTCTTTTTTCTGTTTGTAACTCTTTGTTTTGAAACAATACTAATATGAGACGATAGAAACCTCCAATGCGCAAATCACGTCATCTTCTTGTCACCACTTTTCGTCGGCTCTGACCATGACTATGAGGCTGGCATGACTCAGGCAATTGGACGTGCCCGGCGATTCGGGCAGACAAAGCACGTCCATGTGTACCACTTGCTGGTGAAAAACACGTACGACATCAACATCTTCCAGAGAGCACGATCAAGCAAACTTGTCGAGCGCGAAGGTGTCCCCGTTCTGGTGCCGGAAGATGCGGTTTTACCAGATGACATCACGTACGAAGGGGAGGAGTTGCCTGAATCAGCTACCTGAATCAGCTTCCCTGCTATACGGTTGGAGTTTATATTCGCCGGTCGTCATGACTGACACAGTCATGGCGGCCTTTTTTGATGGAAATATAAATTCACCGGTCGTCAAGGAGGTCTTGTATGATTTAACTTGTCAATGTTATTTATGTTCTTTTCCAATTTCCAAAGGCCTCCTGTAATCTTTCATATAGGATCATCATTTTCTTTACATAGTTTCGACCCTGGCTGGTGTCTCTATCTCTCTTTATCCCAATTATCACGATGATCTCTACTTCTAAAGATTCTGATGTCATTTCTGCTCTTCGGTCCGCTTAGGCCCGAAGTGGATCTCATCTCGAGTGATTCTCCAACCTCCCTTTCGACACATGCTTTACTTTCCAGCCACATAGCTGTCTTTTGAGATTCATCATTCATCTGCATCATTTAAGTATTGACAGAATCAATTACATCTCGTCTCCAATTTTGTTCAACGGACACTGGTATCATGTGGTCTCTCAACGACCAAAGCCATATACCGTCGACAGCGAACGCTTGACTGTAATACTTTCTATTTTTCTGATACAAATCCGCCCTTCGCCGAAGGTCATGATGAGATTGCCGATATTTGACCACGGGACCACGATCTTGTCTTGTTTATACAGAAAATCCCACTTCGCCAGTCAGCAAGAATGAAATGCGTGTAACTGTATTCTCTTTTCCAAAATCCCAGGCTGTCGATACATTTGAATATTCTACTATGAGTGTAGTATTGGCTATCGTGTCTACTGCCGATGTAGTCCGTAGATATCGCAAGAATCATAGATGGTTGAAGATTCTATGTCTTATCACGGGTCTGATTCAATTCTGATAGCCAATGTACACTACCATGGGCTACATATGACGAAACGGCGATCTACGTGAAGATCACTGACAATTGGATACTAAGCTATGCATGGAATGTTTCCAAAGTAACCTGCGGTATTCGTTCATATGCGTGAAGTTATTTGTATCCTGCTCCAAGCCTATTGTGCTGAGCTGGTTTTCGCCGCCCCTCTGCTGTTACTAGGAACATAGCTCCCTCCGTGGCTTTCACGCTCGGAAGTCGAGCTTGTAGTTGTTCCAGAAGCAGTGGAATCATTGGATGGCTTGCTTGACTCGACGGTCGTTCCGGCGAAAGTGGGATGGTGTTGAAGCCGATTCTTTGCATTTGACGGGACGTATCCGCCTCCATGCATTTTCTGCTTAGGGTCCTGGACTTATTAGGATATTTAGGAGCATATGGAATATCAATAGTACCTCTGAGGAGTCCATTTGTCCACGTAGTACACTAGGTTTTGATGCTAGCTCTTGAGATAGAATTGAACTTCCCTTTCTCGGGCAAAACAGAAAGATCAAGGGGAATAATAAAGCAGAAAGGGCACCATTGCTTTAGAGAAAAAAAAAAAGAAAAGAAAAGATGTACAATGTTGTAAGACAAAGTCTGAGCGCAGCCCTCTACACCGGTTTATGAAAGTGAGACGAACTGATTTTCCAATCAGATTGAGGCTCTGTTGGCCCCCGACTTGAGCATGATGGACCCAAAATGCATACTTGGATGGTAGTTAAGCCTTGCATGGTATTATTTCCTCCCTGTACAAAGTAATTTCATTGTAATTTCATAGTAAAGACAAAGAAAGCCAAGCTGAAAAATACAAATCCAGGACTGGTGCATACTTCGTATGATATGCACCTGGCAGTGCCATTGCTTTCGTAAGGCCACGGAAATATAAAGCATGGCACACCTTTCCACTCTTTTGGAAATGCTTCCCTTGTATGTTATACAATTTGTCCCAGACTGTCAAGGCATCCTTTGATTCGAACTCTTCCCCCTGATCTTCTAGTGTTCCTCATACAACATGACGAGATTGGGATCTGACGAAGGACTTGGCTTCGGACCTCCATGGTTGCCGCCGTACGAGCTTATCATTCTCACTGCGACATTTTATTCATTGGCTGATATTGTATTGCTTGCACTGTTGATCACTTCATGTTTGATCAGAAGGCCGTGGCATGACCCCAAAGCAATTCCATTCAAATCCCTGTTCTTCTCTCTGTTATGCCATATAATGTAAGTATCTCAGCATCGAAATGTCCAAATCTCATGCTACAGTCACATGAGCTCTGTGTTGATTGAGATTTGCAGATCTATTTCGCTTCTTGTTTTTTCAAGGATTGCCAATCTCTTTTATACACTGTGGAGCGGAGCCACTCGGGCCTCTATCATAGTATATAGCCTTTCTTTCTATCTTCGAATTCTACTTGTTGTCAATGTGCTACACCGACTGCTCAAGGCCTACAATGCACGGAATCACAATGGAGCCCGGAGGTTGTTCCTTTTGTCCAAGGTCCACAGAAGCACAATAGCTATCCTATCCATCACTTCTGTGACATTTTTCGTCACCCGTCTGGTTGCATTTCACTCCACTGTGCCAGGTTTTTACAACTTTCAACTTGTAGTGGAAGCCCTATTCTTGTTAGCTTCTGCGGAGATCATGTTCGAAGTGTTCATGATTATCTGGAAAGCAAAGAACCACACACCATCTTCCAAGGTATGATATATAGAGAGCCTTCTATGTTGTTTACATACTGATTCTTTCCAGAAAGAAGCTATCTTTTTCACAATTGGGGCCGTCTGCTTTTTTTTCTCCAATTTGTCCCTTCTTGTGACTGATATTCTCAATACCTTGTCTAAACGCCGGCCAGTGTGGTATTCTGTTGAGGACGCTCCCGACTTCTTCCCTATCACCATCATAGTCACTTCTATCTCCATAATTGGGATGTACACCGGGATTATTCATTGCTGTATGCAGTGGCATAAACTAGGCCCTCATGGTCCAAGCAAGCCAGTCTCCACCGAAGACGAGAGCTCCCAAATGCTTATCGTTGCCTCTGACCAGAGGTAACATCAAGCAGGCCCTGACTAGATCCTCAAAATTACTATATCGACATATATCTTGGGAACGGAGATCAATCTAAGAGATCGAGAATGGAAAGGAACATGCTTCAGGCATGCCATGGGCTTAGTAGTTTGAGCCCAACAGCAAGCTTGTGTTAGCCTTTTAATCCTGTAACTCTGTAGCCCTGCATTCATGTGATTTGTTCAGAGACAGTGCCATTTTGCGAGACAAACTGGCACGGACACGGGAAACGTAAGGAGAAAGCGTGGAATTACTGGAAGCACTGAAGAAATCAAGACTGGGTAAAATATGGAACACATCGTGCTTGACGTTACCAGAGTAGTTTCTGGAGTACTATTACCACGGAGCCTAATAGCTGAGAAACAGCAAGCGGCTCAGCTTCGTGTTACCCTGCCACGACAGTCCGAGACCCTTGGTCCCCCTAATGCATGCATATGCACGCCACCAATCCAGATACAGCATTCTTTGAAATCCGATCAATCAATCGAATACTCAAAAAGGTAAGAGTCTCATACTGTTGAATAAGTGGTAACATCGGTATTAGCATTACTTTCAAGGGAAGGTTTGTGGCGTCGCGGGTATCGCCACCAGATCTACAGATCGGCATTAAAGTATTAGAGTAAAATATGACATGTATCCAAGGCTGTGTCAAATACCTGTAAGCTTCCGTAATTCCAGCACTGTACGGACTCCGTTTTATGTAGTAGTTGAGGCTCTTTACAGCAGCGTCCTTTGTGGCCCGACGTTTTTGATTCTTTCTATAAGATCGAAATTCCTACCAATAACACATAACATCGACCTTGCTTTGACTCACATCCAATGTATTCTGATATTGAACTCGGAGCAATATGTCGCCGAAATGGCCATGATGGTCAGAATCCCGCCCATTCGGTAAACATTCACTTGAAACCAAAGGGTTCACTAGAGGTAACCGCTGGAGAACTAGGGACGGGATATTTCCACCAGTCCACAGAAACACCATGACTTTAGGGAGGCAAGTCTACTCGGTCTCCATGTTTAGCATGATAATAACCAGAGAAAAGAGCCCCACGTATTTCGAAATCTACACGAACTCGAGTCTGTGGCGTCCGGGCTCGGCAGATCCCCCCTGAAATATATCAACCAGGAAGAAGATACAAGTCCACCGAGGAATTCCGCCACAAAGACAGCGTAGGGCGTGTGTGGAAGGGATCCGAAGATGATCGATATCTAAGCGCCACGGATGGCCGGCTTGTACGACTGATAGTGCAAGCAACTGAGGATATTTGGGACAGCCCGGCCAATTCGACTTGGGCTCGATCGAAAATGCAGGAGTGTACTCCGACTATCCTTCGAGTCGTCTACTCGCTTTTGGAACACCAACTTCAAGATGATCCAAATGCTCCACGATCTCCCTTGAGCTGGCTTACTATGCTTCTCGAGTGGGTTCCATCCTGTGGGATAATTGCTTTCCTGGTAGAGTTGACAACAATCCTAATGTGTATGACATGTCTGACTTCCTCAAGTTGTTTCTTCCAACCGATCTCGGGGGCGAAAGGAGGAATAATGGCCGTTACGAGCAGTTCAAATACCACTACTGGGGTTATTCAAAAGTTCCAGCAAATATCAGTGAAGCCATGCCATTGGAGGCCAGTATTCCGTCCGCTCATCGTCAGAATATCACCGGAATTTCACACCGACCTCTGCGCCCGAGACGATTGTGCTTGCTGCAAGACGACGGAATCGAGATTGTAAACGTTGAGGAATGGGAGACTTTGCACGAAAGTCTCGAGTACTTGTTCATATGCTATATCGCCAATCAATTTGGTACAAATGAAGAGAAAGATGAACTTCATCGCATTGCCGAGGCTGCAGCACGAAGAGCTGGAGTTGACGCTTATTGGGTTGGATGCAGCTGCATGCCTGAAGATGAAGAGCTTGTCGAAGATGTCTACCGCATCAGTGACGTTGTTCGGGGGGGCACATGCCCTAGTGGTGATCATCGGTCCTTCCCGTACTTCAGGACCAGATACGAGGCAAATGCTCCGTGAGCTGGGAAGTAGAATGTGGACCTTTCCGGAGGTTCTCCTAAGTTCATCAAAACATCCGATCTCGATTTATGTGCGCGGTTGTGACACTGATTCTTTCCGGACTCTATCTAAACGGAACTTTGCCAAAGAAGCCTGGGGAGATGCTCTTCTTTCAAGACAATTTATCGATCACTATGAAGGCTCAATTGTACTTAGCCCGCTAGAGTTGGTTTCTATTGCCTTGCAATGCCTTCCAACTCGCCACACCGAGAAATACTTTGAAGGCGACCTTTCATATGCACTAATGGGGCTGTTACGACGTCGCCCTAAGGTCAATCGAACCGATTCGGCCTTTGAAGCCTTCTGTCGACTTTCTTTAGCCAATGACAGTGATCAGCTACTTGAGCGATTGATATGTATGCTCCCTCGAGCTACTAACCTGCCTTGGCATGAGATCGACGACTTTTGGGGCAGCCAACTCTGGGACATTGAGCCGCTTTGTCAAGTTGTCGGTCTCGGAGGCGAGGATACTGTTATCCTAAGTGGGGCCTTTGGTGCACCTATACGCTGGAAGTCATTTAAGCCGGTCAACCTTTTGATGCGCAATACAGTGAAACGTGGAGTTGCCAAGGTTGTCCTTCGCAGCACTCCTCTTTGGTCCATCACCGGCATCGCTTTGCTAGTAAGTAGCAAGTCTAAAGGAGGAGATTACATCGTGGCCACAGTGATTGGATGGATAATTACGGGCTTCTATCTCTTGGTTATATTGGCTTCCCCATATCTCATCTATACGCTTTATGTTGGCAAAACATGGGCCGCACAGCCATGGCTGTTTGGATTCGAGGGCCACAAGGAAATTGGAGAGATTGAGACACTCATCTTCGGTATCAATCTTGGGAGGTTGAGATGGAGTCCATATTCTAGCAACCTATCAACGCACGAAGCTAGAGATGGTGAGTGTGTGGGACAGGATCCCATTCAAACACAATCCACTGCAGACTTCGCATATACTGCCCAAAATTCTGAGTATGGAGAGTTGAAACTCTTTACCTTGGTGGACACCAATACGTTGACCGTTACCCTATTCAAGGCTGTCCGTCCACCGGTTGCTATGGTACTCTGTGGTAGCGAGGGAGGTATGCAGCGAGCGTTGCTTTGCTCCTATGATTGGAAAACCCAAACCCTCTATCGTGAAAGTGTTTTGCGAGTGGAGACTCTCGTCTTGGAGCACATGTCACGGGTAGATCGATTTAGGCTTGGTTTAGAAAGGCCCGAGGTTGAGACGGTGGAAGTTAGCAGTTGAGAAGAACCAGCTCATAAAGTGCACTCGATACGTATCTACAAGTCCAAACCCCTGGATGAGAAAAAGAGAATGATGAAAAAAAATCTGCGATTGGTCCTGCCGTCATCCCACGGCGACTGGGCCAGATATTCATCCGGGCTCCGATCACGCCAATAAGAACCAGGAACAAACGTACTGTACATGGTATGTTGTAGACAGACAAAAAAAAATAGGACGCCTCAAAAGTGGTTATCATTCAGGACGCCTCAGGGCGAAGGGCGCGGTTGCCTCTAATCATCCCCCGGGTTGACCGCAATGCCTCAAGGCGGCCTTTGCTCGTCCATTCGAAAAAAACACAACCATTATAATATCCTCCCCATCCGGAATTGACCCACGGCAATGAAGAGCTCCTTTTAATAATCTTTCTTCTTTGTGCTTTTCTATTGCTTGGGCGCGGCATCCAATGCATTGTCCTTGCGCATCATCGTCTCCGGGTTCCACACCACCTCCGTCAGGTTGGTCAGACCGGCGCTGTTCTCGCAGGTATCGCGTCCGCTTGTCGGGCCGGGGGCGGGAATCTTGGTGTCGGCACCGGCACCAGTAGCGGTGGCGGCATCCTTAAGGGCCGTCAGGATGCTTTTGATGGACTCGGGGGTCAGGTCCTCGTAGTAGTCGTCGTTGATTTGAACCATGGGGGCGTTGACACAAGCGCCCAAGCATTCAACTTCGATGTATGTGAAGAGGCCATCCTCGGTGGTGTGGCCGGGGGTGATTCCGAGGTGCTCAGTAATGGCCTTGACAATGGCGGTACTACCGCAGCCGCCGAGCTGGCATGGGGTCTGGAGAATTGCGGATTAGGAAGAGTGAGAAATAGAGCTGATCTCAAGTACTTACAGTGGTGCAGATCTGCACAAAGTACTTGCCGACCGGCTCGCGGTTGTACATGGTGTAGAAGGTCGCAACCTCGTAAACGCGCATTGGGGGCATCTCAAGCATGCGAGCGACCTCGTTCATGACGCTGATGCTGGTGAAGCCATGCTGGCGCTGACCGAGGTCAAGTAGGGGCATGACAGCAGCCTTCTTGTACTGGGGAGGGTAGCGCTTGAGGATCTCATCAGCGAGTTTAAGGTTCTGCTCGGAAAACTTGAACGGGATGGTCGGGTTGTTGTAAGGCTTGTTGCGGTGCTGTTGCAGACAGTCATATTCAGTATATGAGACTTCAATTCCCCAATTTTGAGACACAATCGGCGCTTGAAGAAGCACAAGAGGGGTCGAAAGGAATACGCACCACAGAAAGGGAGTCGCTGAACCGTTGCGAACCGGCGGAAAAGGCTCTGTATTGGGGTTTGGGGAGCTGATGAATCAGCTGGCGGCCGACCCGCGGGACTGAGAAGAGTTTAGAGGCCATCGCGGGCGATGAATGAGGGTCAATTGGGGGTAGATGAGGTTAGAGGTTGGAGGAGAAGTCAAGTTGACGAGGCGTTTTACTCGGAGCGGGCCCTGGCCCAATCCGCATCCAGGGATTACTACCGCCTTACCAATCCGCTATCATACAGTTGCCCTTTTAACACAACCTTGAAATCAACACAACACCTACCTTTTGAGACAATGATACTCTCAATTGGTTCATCGAAACTTGACGTTGGATGAGATATATACTGAGAAACTAAGAAACCCAGAACAAGATGATTACCGTCCCAATTCCATCATCCTATTGTGCTCCATCCCGTCAATCACATTTTCAGCCGACCAACTAAACATTCTCCATCTTATAAACCTCATAGGCAACCTCCTCATATGGATGCGTCAAGATCAAAGCATCAACTGCATTCAGCATAATGCCCCGGCCAAGGCACATAATCTCCACCTTGACCTCCTCGCACTGTTCCAAAGCACCGACAGCTCCGACCGCCGGGTTTGCGCCCTCGTTGGGCAGGAATTGGCCTGTACCGATAGTCTGGAAACAACACTTGGTATACTTCCCACCTGGGAATGACCCTGCACCTGTAGCGAAAATGGCTTCTTTACAGCTCTCCGCGTTGGCGGTCGGGACGAAAAAGATCAGCTTGTAGCGGTCTGGAAGGGCGGAGGTGGACATTTTGCGCTTTGAGTAGGTGTATTTCTGTCTGTGGCCTCGTTTAGAGAGACTAAGTAGTCCTGCGCTGTGCTGCAGGGTTGTTCTTAAATTAATTGCGAAGCACGGTGCTACACGCAGGGTAAAGGGTATCTGAGATCGAAGTTGGGGGCGAAAAGTAGAACTTGTGAGGCTCCAGATACCACGAAGGATGTTTCGGGTCATGAAATAATGTGTCTTGCGGTAGGACTGACTGTCAGACATCAAGTGCATAAGTGAGGAGTCGTCTGGACATGACCGGATTTGGGCAATGGGCCTGATTTATAAGGCACCAGTGATATCAGACCTCGGAGCTACAAATGTCTTCCAAGGTACTATGTCGATTGAGAAATGAAAAGTTAACATTTTATGCTCCTGGTATATACTTCAGTTGAAAAATAGTATACAAAATTGTTGAAACACAGAGTATCAGATGCACCACTCACGCCCACGACAGCCACCACTCAAACAGAAACCAATCATCACCAACAATTGGAAGTTATACAGCAATAGTGTGCATGCGTGTATACTCATTGATGTGCGCCTCAATACTTGCCAGCATCTCTGCCTTGCGTGAATCCTCAACCCAGCTCTGCTGCACACTATTCTCCGCGATGATCTTCCACTCCTGCACGTTCAGGCTGAAGGCCTCCTGCACAGCGCAATAGTTATCAAGAATATAACCACCGAAATAAGCAGGATCGTCACTATTGATTGAGAATTTGACTCCAGCTTCCAAGAACCGCCGAATAGGCACCTCCTTCACAGAGGTAACACAGCGCAGCCGTACATTCGACAACGGACAGACGGTAAGTAGGATACCCTCACGCGCAATACGCCGCATCAGCTCCTCATCTTCAACCAATCGAATACCATGATCGATTCTCTGGGCACCAAGCTCAAGCGCGGTACTGATATAAGTCGGATCACCTTCCTCGCCGGCATGCGCTGTGAGCGGGATGTTTTTCTGCGCGGCTGACGCATAGATCTCGCGGAACATGTCTTTTGGTGGGCCGACTTCAGAAGAAGACCAGCCAAGTCCGTGCACAATACCAGACTCGAAGCTCTTGTGAGCCACGAACTCTTCGTAGACTTCCTTAGCCGATGAGACAGGGAGATGGCGCACGAAACACAGGATCAGTCGTGTGCTCAAGCCGAGCTCGGTCTCGGCGCGCTTGCAGCCTTTCGAGAAGCCAGTGACGATGGTGTCGTATGATACACCGCGGCTTTCGTGTACTTGCGGGTCGAAAAATACCTCTGCGTGGTGGACGCCGTCGGCGTGGGCCTTTTGGAAGTATGCCCAGGCTACGTCGGCGAAGTCTTGTTCCTTACGGAGGACGGCCATGCCTTCGAAGAAGAAGTGTAGGAAGTCGTCCAAGTTACTAAAGTGCTCATAGCGTGCCTTGAGTGTTTCGACCGAGGTATAGACTGGGTCGGTCGGCAAGGTGATACCATTGCGCGCCGCAAGCTCGAAGATGAGTTCTGGCTCAAGTGTGCCCTCTAAATGGACGTGGTGTTCACATTTAGGGAGGCCCTTGAGGAATTCGTGCAAAGGAGATTGACACATTGCTGCAGATTGTAGTGAGCAACGTTCTTTGGATTTGAAGATTTTCTATATCAATTGCGGGGACCAGATATCATTGCCGGACGAGTTTCCTTTTTCTTCCGCCGGTGTCTCAGATTATCATGGCTTTTGTTTTCGTAACACAGCTGCCTCTTATCACGTTTTATCCCAGCGGTAGTGCCATAGGCTTTTGGCCCGGAGGTCTCCGATATCCACCCGAATCAAGACGGACAGGATCGGCCAAATGGGTAAGTTCAAGAGGTTCCAATCACAGATCATCTATACATTGCGCGTAAAACGTTCATGTACACTTGTATGTTGGAATTTATTGGAATCTAATATTCACACTTTTCAACTCTGTATCTAAACTCCAATCCCCCGAAATTAGAATAAAAAATATACGTGATTGTAACCTATATCCAGGGCTAAACTCGCATTTCAGCACCAGCAGCCTTTCGTAGCCGGTTCATGACAGCTGCAGCCAGGTCACCCTCGCGATCTGATACGCCTTCCACGTAGATAACATCGACATCAAGTTCGTCCAGCGCGCGTAGGGCGGCAAAGAGACCATGCGCGATGGACACTGCATCTGAGCCAAGATGGTAATCGTACGCCATCTTCGTGCGGCTACTCGGGAGTCCATTCTCCATCACGGGGAGCTGGAAACTGACAATGTTGTCGACGGCAGAAGATACAGGGTTCGTGTTACTGGCGATTTCCTCCTCTGAGGCGAGCCCCAAGCCGAGCTTCCAGTTCCGTGTGCGGATGATACCAATTTTCTGTGCGCCGACGGCTGAGTCTTTCAAATCATTTTCAACATGCTTCATCACTCCGGCTGGGTTGGATGTCGATTCGAAGAGAACAACCCGTGCTTTTGGCGAATAGTGGCGGTACTTCATGCCCGGTGCGCGTGGAACTTCCTTCACGTCTAGTGTGCCGTCTTTGTAACCAACTGCTACATTTTCCCACCCCTCGCATTTCCGGATTTCTTCAATGCCGATGCCGCCAGGGCGCAGAATGGCGGGTGGGTCGCATAACCCGTCAACCACAGTGCTTTCGACGCCAACGCCGGATGCGCCACCGTCGAGAATCAGCTCAATGCGGCCTTTGAGATCGTGGTATACGTGCTGTGCGGTTGTCGGAGATGGTTTGGTGGATGCATTTGCAGATGGCGCGGCAAGGGGACGGTCTGTTGCGTGGATGAGTAGACGCGCCAGTGGAGAAGAGGGAATGCGGACGCCGAATGTGGTCAGGTTAGAGGTGACCTCTGGCGCCAGGATGGACCCGGATGGGTTATGTAGAATGATCGTGAGTGCGCCGGGCCAAAATCTGTCGACCAGAGGCTTGTAGATCGAGGGGAGGCCGATTTGCGGCGTCTTGGTTGAACCAGGGCTACCTTGAGAACTGGGGTTAAGCAGACGCCCAAGCATGTCGATTGAGTCAACATGAACAATCAACGGGTTGTCCGAGGGCCGCTGTTTGGCACGGTATATTCCCTGAACAGAAGAACTGCGGGTGGCATCGGCTCCTAGGCCATATACTGTTTCGGTAGGAAAGGCGACGGGAATTTCACTGGACCGAAGGAGGTCGGCGGCTTCTTCAATGGCCTTGGACTCGGGTGTTTTTTGGCTGCGCTCCTTCTCCCACCATTCTGCCAAAGATAGATCGCCAGGCCCTTGGCTGAGCCGTTGAACGGAGACAACTCGCGTTTGCGTAGACATCGTGGTCAAGAATCTGGCACAACTGCGCTGACAGAGGCCGGCAGAAGCGCGAGTGAAAAGCAACGTGGTGGTTGGAAGGACCTCAATGACGCACCGTTCAGGCGCACACGATATCAGATGAGGGGCGAAATGATGCCCGAGAGGTCCGGGTTCTGGCGGGGCAAAGTCTTTTTTTTCCTAGGAGTAGGATTAAATGTCGTGTTAGGATACGCGATCGACTATCATTCTGCACAATGCCGTCAGAAACGATAAGAGGCCCTATATGGAAGAAGATCGCGAGAAAATAGATTTCGTCATGACGTCGGATGACTCAGCTCATCAGGCACACCCGTGGCCTGTCACATAGACAACGATATTACTGGCAATAGATTTAGAAGAAGAGGAGTAATAGATGAGTATATGAAACTGAGATAAGTTTAGATGAACTACCTCCATACGAAGTAGTCTAAGCGGGGTTGTGGCTGATCAGCTAGCATGAAGAGACCGGGTTTGGTATACATTGGGTGCGACAGCAAATGATAACACCCTGTATAACTTGATTGATTTGAATCCAACCCTCTAGTCTATGAACTCTCTAATTTGTACACAAGTCTCGATCATTTTTTCTTACCCTTACCACCTCTGCTACCTCCACCTCCACCACCACCCTTTCCACCTTTGCCCTTGCTCTTATCACCACCGGCACTTCCAGCTCCTGCAGTCATGATGCGCACCTTGCCAACAACCATGGTGTTGATAATCTCTGTCTCCTTCCAGCCCTTGATGAGCTCTCCCTCCCGTTCCCGGAGACGCTCCGCGTCGACACGAGAGATGCCGATATCTTCGGCGTACTCCTTCTTGACCTTTCCGGTGGTAGTCTCAGAGACCCACCGACCGATGATTTCCTTGACAGCCTTACCCTTCTTCACGGAGCCTGGCTGCAGCTTGACTTTATATTTGTAGCGTCCAAGGGCAGCCCATGGAGCACATACTGGAATAGCAGCAATGATTTCGTCATCCGGAGTTGGTGTACCCACCAAGGCTGGAATCCAGGTGAGATCCGCAGCTTCTGCAGCAGCTGTCTCCTCGTTGTAATCGTCCGTTCCATTTTCCGTGAATTGTGCCTGGCGCTTGCGCTCAGCTTCAGCAGCACGCTCATGTTGAGCTCGTCGTCGTTGCCTTTGCGCCTCGGCCTCTCGTTCACGTTGTTCCTTGGCTTCGGCTGCCTTGGCTGCCTTTGCAGCTTTGCCCTTGTTGGCACCCACCAATCGAAGAGCAAGTTCACGCTCGTCATCGTCTTGATGAGCATACTTCGCAGCAGCGCGCTTCTCCTTCGCCCGCTTGCCGCGAGTGGGCGCGAGGCGTGGTGCAGCCGGTTCTTCCTCGCCAGGACGGTCAAGAGGCTTGCCTTGTCGCAGAGTACGTCGCTCTCGAGCATTCAAGTTCGGTTCTTCACTTTGCTCGGGCACAGAGGTTTGACCTGCTGTGGATGTAGCTCCTTCTCCCTCCAGCTTATCTTCTGCGACTTCCTGATCCAGCCCATCTTTCAATTCTTCTTCCGGCTCAGACTCAGACTCGAAGTCTTGAGCTGGCTGAGAGGTGGGGAGCCCAGAATCGCCTCGCTGGAGAGGATTTTGGGTGGCAGCTTTGCCATCTTCATCCTCCTCTTCAGATGCGGCGTCCTCCTTCTCTGCATCCTCCTTTATCTCTTCGGTGGACTTATCGGTGGTCTCTGTCTGCACTGGGACTTCTGGCTCCACAGCCTCCTTCGGCTTAGAATCCTCAGTCTCATCGGCAGGAGTTATAGCGGCTGACGGGACTTCAGACGTCTCAAATCGCTGCTTATGGTTTCGGACACTTTCCTGGCTGACTTGGAACATAATACCGAACCCAAGCACCAGTTGCGATGGGGCCAAGAAGTTCTTCTCCCCCTTGATTTGGAAAACACCCGTGGGCAAGATTCCACTACCGTTCTCCGCGGTTTTCGAAACCTGATGGGCGTGAGCCCACCAAGCAGACATGACAGCCTTGGAATCCCATGCAACTGAAGTCGCGACACAAAGATTTCCGGCTTGAGATAGTGTACTTGGAGAAATCGGTGCGTCCGCACTACCAGGTCGGTTCTTCACTACGATTGGCGTTGCACCTTCGAGATCAGCGTGCACAAAGATGTCACCCTTAGATAAATAGCGCCGGTAGAGTAACTCGCTTTGCATAGCATCCCGTGCACTATTAATGTTAGTAAATGTCAGAGACCGGTGCTGGATGGGCAACATACCCAATGACCAAGTAGCCCTCTGAAGAAATGAAAAAGATAAATTTCTCGAACCAGAATGGCGTCCGAGCCTGTCGAAGCACTTGCTTCTCTTTCTTTAAGCCTTTCTTGAGGTCGATGGTCACCTTTTTCTCGTGACTCTTCAGTGCCTTCGTAGACGACTGGGCTGTCCTCTGTTCCTTCTCCGAGGCTTGCTTCTTCTGGTCATAGTATTGCGATGCATTCGCCCATGGGGTCAGCCCAAGGTCAATGTCGACACTCAATAGCTTAGACTCTCGTTCAGCACGGGCTGTCTCTTGCTCTGCTTCATTCTCTGAGTCGGAGTCTGACTCATCGCTGCTAGAGAATTCCTCCTCTTCATCCTCGTCGCCGCCAGCCTCTCCAAGAAGTAGGGTTATCGTGTTTTCGTACAGTTTGAGGGGGAGCTTAATTATTTGTGCCACTGGATTGCCGCGATCCTGTTCCATTTCAATCAGGCGCGCAATCTCACCCCAGTCCATTCCCTGGGCCACCAGTCCATTGACAGCATCCACTGCCTCCTGGACTCGGTAAACGTTGTCTTGAATAGCATCCGCTTTACGGATGTGAAGCTCTTGGACATTCTTGAGCTCATCAATCCGTTTTTTGTGCTCTGATCGCACGGATTCGAGCTTCTTCTTGGCTGCCTCCTCGCGCTCCGTCAATCGTGACTCAAGTCGCTGGGACTCAAGAGATGAGAAGTATTCGTCGACCGTGGCATTGAAGCGCTCGAACTCCAGAATCTTTATGCCTGGTTTATTTTCAAACTGTCGGGGTTTGAAGGGGTGGAAGTCTTCATAGAGCAGACCCGGGGCCTTTGACGAAGTTTCTCCTTCCGGCATGGGTCGCGTGTCTTCTTTCGCCACAATGTAACCCGGATGACTGTCGCCAGAATCAAAGGAGTTTGAAATCCGCTGCGACTCTTCTAGCACCTCTTGCACTGACTGCAGCAGATCTTGGCTCCCCAAGACCTGATCCAGTGGCGTTGCAGTATCGAATTCCTTGAGCGCAAAGACGTGGTCCAGGAGCAAAGGAGGATATTCAGGAAAGCCTTGCGATAATGCCTTCCGCAAAACATCTGTTCCTTTCTTCTTGGACTTCTTGGGCGCATTTTCCTCTTGGGCAGAAAAGGCCTGTGCCTTTTGTAGTGTATGCAAAACTCGATCTGCTGTAATGTTCGGAACCCCGTCGTAATTCTGCTTATTAGAGACAGTGTACTTGAGCCCAGCCTTGATCTCCTCCTGGCCCACACCAGCAGGAACCTGGCGGAAGAAAGCAAGAATGTTGTGCTCACGGTCCGTCAAGATAATGTTACCACCGGCGAAGAATTCGAGGAAGATGTGGTATGCGCCATCGCTGAACGAGATATCGATGATACGGTCAGTACCAATTTGGGAGAAGCCCGTAATCCGACGAGACTTTAGGTACTTTCGGAGACGGGTCACAAATGGTGAAGGTGTGGTTGCTGCAGTTCGCGAATATTGGGTAACATGAGTGCGAAAACCGGAATCAATGATGAGTTGCCGCCGATGATCCGGCTTGGCAAGTTTGAAGAGGAAGATACGCTATAGGGATATGAAATCAGCTCATTATCTTGTGATACCGAAGAGAAAAGATTAAAGCATATGTACCGAGGACAGGTCGTAAATGTTGGACACGCGGAGGTTGACACACTCCGACGCCAATTCCTGCGTGATAACCTGGAACCTTTAGTATGATATCTTCTTAACAGTAAATATGAATATACCTTAACGTCCAAAGACGAGAATCTTTGCTTCATAGCTGTGTTTCTGAAGAGAAAGGAATTTTTGAGGGTGACGTATGCGGGGCTGAGCTGTACGAGGAAATCAATGCGAGTTAATACTGCCGGACAGAAAACGTTTGCCCCACTCACCGCCAGGTAATATTTGAATGAAGAACGCTGAGTAAATTTTTAGGCTTCTCCCTATGGATTGACCAAGGGTTTCTCAATAAATCCACGGGTGGAAAAATGATGTATAGTAGAAAACAAACAAGATAATTGAGATTTTGCATTTTACAAGAAGGCGGAACAAAAGGCGGTAGAAACGGCCGACCAACCACACTCACAGGTGTGCTCTCGGGGTCCGAAGTTGGAATAGCGCAGATAGCGGCCACCTCGCATTATTTATATACTTCGATTTCTCCAGTGCATCTTCCAGCTCTTGTCAAATATCTATTATCTAGGAAGAGAGAGTGGGGGGGTGGAGGGATGGTCTCCTAGGCACGCTTATACCCGAGACTCACCTGCACATATTCTCACTTTATAATCCAGAGCTGCCTGGATCCCATCCATGTAGCGCTCCGCAAAAGCCAACCCAACCCATAGCCCATTTGAGGGGTTCAACTAGTAGTATGTGATAATCGCTTGTGTTCTGACCGCCCACTTATTATATACTCCAAACTCTTACGGTTTAAAATTATAATAGCTATATAGGTATATACTTCGAATTTCAATAAAATCCGACTAATAGAGTTCGAGATATCGCGAAATAACTACCTACCAACATAAAGATAGACATATATTTGAGATCTAATCTGGGAGTACCTAATTACCACTTTCTTAATAATATTCAATTATTTAGATAGCGCGCTTTCTCGAGTTATTGGCCATGATTAACAAATCTTAATATTGGTTTATCATGAATTGATAAAAGTCCCCCAAGCCAGAACTCGACGATGGATGACTTATCGAGGTTCCAGTTGCCAAACAATTTGGGAGTTGGAAAAAAAGATCCGGGGTCAGAGCTTCCGCACCCGCTCCCACATGTCTATGGGATGTCTCCTTTCACTGGCGAAGTATCCTCCTCGAGGATACGTCACTATGTCAACAGGCATACTTTTGCGAATGCATGCGCGGTAGAACGTGATGGCCTGTTCCAAAGGCACACGTAAGTCGTTCTCGCCATGGAGAATCAGGACGGGGGTCTTCACATTACGCATGTGCCATAATGCACTTACCCTGCGACTATCTATGTCACCGATACATTGCTTCTCAAGACTTGTCGAGTCTTTTCCGGACCCTGCGTTCTCATCCATATCCCATGGAGCCCCGTTAGCTATTTCAGCTTGCATCGAGTAGGCATCGCTCATCATCACCACAAAGTCCCATTCTGCTATACCTGCCCCACCTACGGCTCCTCTAAACTGAAAACCATCGCGGGTGACCGCAAAATAAGACAGGACTCCACCCTGCTATCGTCGGCTGTGCCGGTGCAATTCTATTGAAACGGTTCAATTGATTTCTCGTGGTCCACTGGCGTCACGGGACATGCTTCGCCACCCTTGACTGACAATACATATATGGCCGGGCATGTTCCTGCCCACTGTCGATCTATTTGAGCGTGATCATTGTTCCCGTGGGGGACCGTTGGGCTGTACATCATTTGATAGGCCCGAAGTGAACTGGTGACTGCTGTTTTCTTCGCCGACTTTGACGATCCATAGTACGGAGGTGACATACTCACCCTTCTTGCTGTAAACCTGCAGTATATAGGCAATTTGGGTCCCATCGGGAGAGATACAAATGTCACAAGGAACTTGGAGATCCGCCAGAGCCTCTAAGCGCACCTCGGATTTGTCGTCACAATCAGTGCCCATTTCATTTTCCGTCTTGAGCGTCAACTAGCAAAAATATACGAAAGAGATAAACTCTAGACTATAGTAAATTCGGGGTATGGGGGATTGATTTCGCTGCCTGGCCCAGTAGGTTCAGCCATTTCCGATCGCTCCGGTGGTGAAGGCGGGCCAGGTAGAGCTCAGGAGGGCCCTCCTAGTCATACTTGGATAGTCTTAGCGACTTCAACACTTGATTGGAGACAGTTGCTTGATTCTTCCGGCAATGCTCCCTTGGCATGTTCTGTCGTAGAATCACGGTCCTGCCGATTATGTTGACCCGGCGGGGTTGCAGCACAGAAAACAAACTTGCACATGAACACTCTATACCAGGAACGGAAATACAAGACGCTTCGATCAAACTAAGCCCTTCTTCCTCGACCACCTACCATGCCCCCAATTTGTTGAACTACAAATTGAATAGAGCAACCTTGGAAGTGGGTAGGTTTATCATAGGGTTACGTGACGGATTAAGATGCTAAACCCAAAAGGGAAAAGCTAACCGGATGCAGTAATCCACAGGTTCGCTGTTTGGCTGTACATTTCTTAAACCTTGGATATAGTCTTACATTCCAACGAAGTCCCATTCCTCATGTCGCCCAGACACCGCATCTATTGATGCTATAATACCGATATGATGAAGAATGTATTATCTCCCCTGGTACTACCCAAATTGATTGAATTATTGATAAATCGAGCAAGGGCGTCCGGTGTTCTTCATCCCCTCCAATTTTGTACTCCAAGTCTTCGTTCGTTGAACAACCCTGTCACAGTACTACTATAAGCACATTCACCGCACCAATTTAAAATGAAGCTCACCATCTTCTTCCCGCTGGCTGCTTTCCTGACATGGGCCGTCGCTGATTGTCTGGATGATCCCAGTCCCTGCCTTGTATGCTGTCCCTATCTGGATGTAGAATTTTGATTCAGAAGACTAACCGTCTTTTCTTGCCTTGAATAGGTCAAATGTCTCGACAACGCTGCGGATGTGGCAGGCTGTAAATCCTCATCTGATTACGAGTGCACTTGCCCAAGCACGGCGTTCAAGGAGACGCTCGGTACCTGCATGGAGACTCACTGTACCCCGGAAGACGTGACAGGTATATCCACCTCTCCAACTCTGCTTTTGTTTTCATTGAATTCATGAGATTTGAATGGTTTGAAGACTCCGGCTAATCTTTTTCTTTTTCTTTTTTTTTCATCAGCTGCCGGACAATTGCACAAGGAGCGTTGTGGATCGGCGCCTGAGTGAAAGGGTTATACATCCTTTGATGTCCATAGAGTCGTTTTCTCGAGAGAGTGGACATAGGGATTAAAAACAAAATGGGGCTTGATCCAATGGTTCCTGGTGGCAAATATATATCTAGCCTAGATGTGGTTTTGATGGTCGACGTAATGTGATATATATTTTGAATATATTTCTTAGAAAACATCAATCAATCAGTTCTTACTTATTGCACCGAACAGTACCCACCCTCTCATGATTTAGCTACGTTAAATTATGGGAAACCTGAGATAGAAAGTAATTTAGCCAGAGACTTGGTTGGATAGGTGATGCTAGGTATTCGGTGACGTGACCCATGTTCAACTCTTAGTTCATCTGTGCTTTGATCATCGAATAAAGCCCACTATGGGGCTAGGGTCTAGACTTTGGCTAACTTTGCTGGATGTTGTTGTTGATATCCACCAATTAACTGCACCCCGGCATGATTAACGAATGATGGAGATTCCCTTGTGTCGTCTACTAAGAATGAGATGTTTACGTAATTTACTGTACTACGCACCTGGGGTAATAGGCTTGCCGTTCTACAAGTGCAATATAGGCGAGCAAATGAGAAGACCCTGGAAAGAACTCCATCATTGCTATTGTACGTGATTGATATCGAATGGGACAAGGTAAAGACAATAAGGGAACATTCAAGTGTTTTTGTTCTGAACTTCATATTCCGATAAACCAATCAACATTTATGCGATGTTCTCGTAGGCAACGGGGAAGCGCTTCATGTTCTCCTCGACGGTACCGTGACCACGGAGGAACTGAACGTAAGCACCGTCCTGGCGGAGCTTGCCCTCCTCGCGGAGCTGGATGTACTCCTCGCGGCGGACGGGAGTGAAACCCCAGTTCTTGGAGACAATGATCTTTTGGCGACCGGGGAACTTGTACTGAGAGCGGCGGAGGGCCTCAAGAGCGGTGGCACGGTGGGCGTCACGGGTGCGGACGGACAGAATGATCTGGCCAATGTTCACACGGGCAACGAGACCCTGGGGCTTACCGAAGGCACCACGCATACCGGTCTGCAGACGATCGGCACCAGCGCAAGACAACATCTTGTTGATACGGACGACGTGGAAGGGGTGCACACGGACGCGCAGGTGGAAACCTTCCTTACCGGCGATCTTGACAAGGTACCTATTGAAGTTATATGAGATGGTGTCCATGGATATCAGGCGACGAATGTGGGAGCGGATGGAGTAACGTACTTGTTGGCGCAAATACGGGCGGCCTCGAGAGCCTCGGAGGACAGCTGCTCGTACTCGTTGGAAACCAAGTGGATGCAGGTGGGGAAATCATCCACGTTGGCCTTCTTACGACCAAGATCGAAGATACGAATCTTAGGGTCGGGAACACCACGGTTGAACCGGGACTTGGGGTAAGGCTAGATGTTGAAGACTGATGTCAGCGAAACCGCTTATCTCAAAAAAAAAAGGAAAAAAAGATGAAGATTGTGACAAGCCCTGCGCTTCGAGAATCTCTCCCCTTAACAAAGATGATGCCCTGGTCGTGGTGAGGTGATCGCTTATGATGTATTGATGCACACTCTCCACCACCACGATAACCCGCACAAATCTTCGGAATTTCGTGAAATCGGCACGCACCTTGTTCTTGCAGTAGCGGTAGCATCTCGCGGGACGACGGGCCATTTTGAGTGCTGGAAGGGTGGTGATAGCACTTCCTGCGAACTGGGTATAGGTTGTCGGTGGTTGTCGAGGGTTCGGGAAGGAAGAGAAAAAAGAGGGTCGATTTCGCTGTGGTCACGGGTCTTGATTTCCAATCAACTCTGTGGCAAAAGGGTTTAACCCTATTAATGCCTAAGCGCTCAGGCCTCAGCATAGCAGATACCAACCCGCATTATGATTGGCCGAAGGCTTTCCCCACTAATTCAGTTTCGGCCCACTTCTATCATGCTGATCCCTCACTCTTTTTTGATGCACTTGAAACCGTTACAGCATGTTGTACATACAAATGCCCCTGTATCTCCATCATTCTCATTTCCTTTGCCCTATACTTCAAGACGTGCCTTAAATCGATCGAGAATCTAGAGAATATATCAACTCATCACGAGGATACCTATACGGCAAGTCATTTGTTACTAAACAGCAGATATGCTTCAGTGGGAATCTCACCCAACTATTGAGCGCAAGAGATTTAAAGGAGCTTGAGACCCTTGGAAATGCACTAAAATAGACCTCGATCTCATCAACCAATGCGTTTGCAAACGTTGCCAATGTCAGCATTTGGCTTTTGTCCAACCTTGCAAGAGTCATATGACGAGCCCAGGATCACATTTCATTGTTTCCAGCCGTTGCGACCCAAAATCTCCTGAGTGAGGAAGTGTTGCAAGCTTTTGACCGTTGTATTTTTCCATACCTCAAGGCGCATGATCTCAATCTCAATGGCCCCGGAAAAACTCGTCTTGAGAACACCATGATATCTATATTCCCTTAGCGGGTACTTTGACTATTGTCATCTTCGGTGGCTGCCTGGACATGCTCCCCCCCCTTGGCTATTCCATGGTTCGGTGTCTTAGGACTGTATTGATGTAGCAAGCGGGCAAACCACTTAAATATTCGCGGAAGGTTTATATAGTCGACAGGATCAAGCTAATCCTGACGGCCATCAGATACACACGTCAGGTGGAGATGGATAATTAGCACCAATTGACGGCGGGGTTCTCCACCGGGGCGATCTTGCTGGAATTGTCCGGTGCGATATCGTCGCCGATGCAGCTGGTATTAGACTCCTCCTCACAGAAGGACTGTTCGGGAGCCATCGGCAAGATTGTCAAGCTCCTGCTGGGCAATATTACCGTTTTGTTCGATCTCATGTTCATCTTTCAGGACTTTGTTCTGTGTCAAAGAGACTGGTGGAGGATAAACAAGGCCTATCGGGGAAAGATCCTTTCCTAGATAGTAGCAGGAATAAAGGCATACCTGGACAGTGGGGATTCATACAGATCGGAAGACACATATATATTTGCAATATAGCTGAACTTGGAATGATACACAGAGAGTCTTCTGGGTCTAATGTATTCAATTCCCCTTATGTTGGATATACGTGCGCCCTGCCTCTGGAGTCAACACATCGGAGCAAGAGAGTGGGGCCCTTGAGGTATCTGATGATAGCTTTCCCCCTTCGCATAAACTATTGGTACTGAAATGGTCAGGCCAAATGTTCATATAGGCCATTAGGAATATCTTCATTCCGTCGTTTCATATTAGCACCGGTCAAAGGTTCATGATGTACGTAAACATAAATTTAATGTGCCCCGTTGTTGGTGGCGAGTGTATATAAGCAGTACACAATAATAGCCCCGAAGTTTGTCTTTATGATAAGGCTCACATGATGCAAGCCCTCTGTTCTGAAGCTGAGAGGCTGAGAGGTCTTAGCAGAGTATTATCAGTAAATACCGAGAGCTTTTAGTATATCTATCTAGGAATCCAACCAGTGATGTGTGTACATCGATTAGAGGCAAGGGTTTCAGGAAGTCTTGCAGGTCATAGCTCTGTCACCGTCGGCGCCTATGAAAGAACAAAGGAAAAGAACAGATCGAATAATAGGCTAGGGTAGACGATCAGGTTCCCACATATGCTCCAACCTTGGAACCTTAAATGCGCTCATTGTACGGGTATCCGTACGTCTAGAGGTAACTATATTCCGTTTTGATTTGTCAGAAGTCCGTCATAATTGTAGATAGCACAGAGTACGGAGTACTTCAGGGCTACGGTGGGATTTATAAGCATATTTGATCACTCCATCCAGGGGTTAGGGGTCCGAGAGGTGCATGGGTCAGGGCGTTCAGTCCCTTTGCACGGGGCTATCTTGGATAGATTACCTAGGAAGGGGAAAGGCCCCTTTGAAACAAGTCCACATGCTGTAGGTCTCAATTTTGAAAGAGTCAACCATAGTACCTATTCTTCTCTCTATGCTGCACGCGAAGCTCGATCTACTCCGTACCATTGGCATCCTTGTCCTCCCATCATAGCCCACTTAAATAGTGCCAGAACTGATCGGGTCACCTGCATTCGATTGCTGGTGGCGCATATTATACCAAAGTTGATTTGTTATCCATTGTAAATATCGCCCCATAGTGTTGGGTTATCGCATGATAACAAAAGAAGTCGACTCATGTGGTTGCCCGAGAGATGATATCCTGGGATCTTGGCGAGCATTGCATGCATTACGGGAGTACACTAGCTCGGACTGTGTTAGCAGCGACAATGACTAGCTTGGTATTGTCCGAGACCACGATTATCTGATACGCGTGGGACCCCTATGCTGGATTTTATTATTAAGGGGGTGAGCCTCTGTACTTCATACTTAACCTGGTATCATCTGTTGGACTGGCACGCCGTATGTAAAAATAGAGAGGTCATGTCGGGGGCCCTTGTGCATGTGAGCCCAAGTTAGGCTCAAGTTTTTGAGAAGTCCAATGAGTCCGCTGTACGGAGTACACCGTACAATTGTAAAGAAATGCCTGGTGGAGAGTGTGGAGAAGGGAATATGTTATTCCGATATCCAACCTGAGGCATTACAGTTTCCAAAACGGCTAAATGCACTTGGATTAGTTCTTTCATAAAGCTCATGCCATACAGATTGTCTCGAAACTGAGTATAAATCAATTTCTTCTTCTAGGAAATCCATATTCTTTTCCTTTTTTAGAAAGTCCTCTCGTATTGCTCATAGCCCCCAAAGCCGTTGCATATTTTTAGATCCAGTAGGGGATCCGCATTCCCTAAACAACTTTGATTTGAAGGTCTGCAACCATCACTTTTCTCTCCTTTCTCATTCCAAACTTCCATCCGGCCATTATTTCCGATGCATCCTCAGTTTCGATCAACCATGTGGCACTCAATCAATCTGTGACATCTTTTAACCGCATTCCTAGCCTTCAATCTTCTCCCATACAAGCGCTCTCCACAAGGTGTCCACTAAGTTTTGACCGCTCTTAATTACACTTGCAACCCCGAAATCTTCCTTTCTCTCCCCCAATTGAAGTATAATATTGAGTTATATACGTTTTATTTTTTTTTTTATATTTACTAGCGACGGACTTGGGATCTTTCATCATGTCAGCAACGCCTCGAAAGCCTGGAACTCCCGGCAATTCCAGCAAATCACCAACCGCAGATCCGCACTCCAGCAACGGGTCCACCACACGAGGACATGCACGCTCGCCCAGCGCAACCAACAGTCTGAACCGTTCCCCCTCCTCAAGAGGTACAACTCCTGTCTCCGCGCGCGCAGCTGCAAGAAAACCTGCCCGTTCCAACCTCAGCATGTCAAACGTTCCACGAGTTTCCAACGACCCGTCCGAAGAAGAGGCGCGGGCTCAGAATGCCGCCCTCATCGAAGAACTGCGGGAACAACTCCAAAAGGCTGAAAATGCCTCTGAACAATACCAAAAACAGCTCGGCGTTCTGCAAATGCGCCTGGATGAAGCGATCAGTGAACAAACCAAGTTGGAGGACCAGGCTCACGAACGAGACAGTCGGATCGAGGCCCTCAACAGTGACATTCGGGATCAAGGGCGTCAGATCCGGGATCTGGAACAGAACCACGAAGCGGAGCGGAACGCTATGCTCCAAGAGAAAGAACAACAGACTAGTCGGGAGGAAGAAATGCAGGCGACCATTCAACGCTTGAAGGATTCCATGGCTCAGAAGGACATGCGCATGAACGCAGAAGGAGATCGCCAGGTCTCCCGATCCTGTAAGATTCCCACGCCCCTGCCAACACCGATCATTCGATTCAGAAACTGACACTCGGTATAGCGAGCTTCCGCAATAGATCTTCTCCGGACCTGGATGGTCAATTTGCGCCCTCCTCGCACCTCGAGCGGAGCCCGTCCCGTAACAACTCTACACTTCTTCTCCAGAAAGACAAGCTCATTGAATCATTACGCCTCGAACTGGCCGAATCGCAGATCAAACTTGTCGAGATGGAGAATGCTGGTGGCGGCCGCCAACGAGAAATCGAGAAAGAGTTGCTCGACGCCCGCGTGGCAAATGCTCGCTTGATGGAAGACAATGAAAGCTATCAACTCCTCCTCAGCGAGAAGACTCTTACCGGAGACTTTGCCAAGGGCGAGTTCATGCGTGATGCCAACCCCACAAAGGAGTCAGCAGGCGGAATGGGGTCTTTAGCAGATGAGCTTCAATCTGTGGATGAGGGTCCTGAAACCGATGGCGCTCAGCAACCAGATGGAGAGGTGAAGGCCCTGAAAGATCAGAACAAAGCCCTCACGCTGTATATCGAGCGCATTATCAGTAGACTGCTTATGCATGACGGATTTGAGCACATTCTGGACCGGAACGAGGATGATGAAACTTCTACTACGAAGACTGGGGGCAGCGAAAAGGAGCTCCCCCCCACTCCCCCGGAGAAAGATGACGGTTCGTCACAAAGTCTCCTACAACGAGCGAAGTCGGTTGTCGGTGGTCCAACCTCCCGCCCTTCCACCCAGCCTCGGTCTCGTCCAACCAGCATGATGCCTCCACCGCAACCCTCGCAGAACAACCCAAACGAGAACCCCAACACTGCGCCAAGCATTCCCTTCCGTACGCAGTCAGTGAGAGCCAGCCACCGTCGCACCCGTTCGGAACAAGTCGACCCAAATGCCGCGAATGTCATTGGTCAAATGTACCGCGGCGGACGCAACTCGGGCGGACCTATTAGCCCGACTGGAATGGGCCCCGGATCCCGCCAGAGCATGTTTTCTGGAGCAGCAAGCTATATATCTAGCATGAGCCGCGCACCCTCCATGTCTAGCCAGCCAGATCGGGCCGGTCGCAGTAGCTCCCCCAGTATTACAAGTGATACTCACGGAGATACAGCTTCAACCGGGGCTACTTCTAGCCCTCCTAGATCCAGTGGTGGTATGAACAACTATACTGGAGCGGTGATGCAACAGGACAAGTTGCGCCCTCTACGCCTTGTCAGCGAAACTGCTAGAATCAAGGAGGAGGAGGAAGCGGCGCGCAAGAAGGCAAACCGTGCGAGCTGGATTCCGTGGTTGAATCGCGCCAGCACCGAGGAACAGGCGCCGCAGTAGGCCTTATTCTCCGGGCAGTATGATTTGATGTGATCTCAAACTGGTCTTGGACCATATTCTTAACATACCCATACCCCCTATGATGCACATAACGCAATTCCATGTCCTGAAAGCTTTATCTGGATCTCAAGGACCTCTGTTCCTCATGTTTTATTTGACGCGCTCTGATCTTGATGTTTCCCGATGCAATGTGGTTTCGAAAGGAGTCTGAAACATCATGATTCATTTGTTTATCTTGGTATATATTATTCCCCATGTCTCCTTCACGATGATGTTCTTTCACTCATTTTATGTCATATCCCCAATCTTAAAAGTGTATATCTTATTCTAGTATTGTAGTACGGCAAATGGGGACAGAGACCAACGAATGGCTATATCAGTTTGCCACTATAACAGATGATACAGCAAATGAACTGAGCACAAGTAGTCTCAAGTCGACTAATTATTAGGGACAACTCAGTAAATAAGTGTAAATTCATCTCCGATCACCTAAGGAGTATGCAAAGTCTCTAGTTAACAGTGCACCCGCATAGAGTATGGAGCTTGAAGACGGAACAACATTAACGCGTCTCCGTCTCCGGCCAGATTGGCGGTTGAGAGCATCAACAATCATAAAGACAATATTACCCCAATTGCTCCCAAACGCGACAATAATCACCATGCCCGGCTCTCTGTCCCTTTTCTCCGTCAATGCGGTCCTCGTCATGTCCGCTGACGATGGTTCCCGCATCTATGCAAAGTACTTCTCGGCACCACACCCCCCGCCGGCGCTGCACCGAACTCGACTGACTACCTCGGTGCCAACCCCTATCCTACCGTGAAGGAGCAGCGTGCTTTCGAGAAGGGCCTGCTTGAGAAGACCAATAAATCCGCAAGTGATGTGATTCTTTACGATAACCGCATTGTTGTTTTCAAGATGGAGAGCGACGTCATGCTCTATGTTGTTGGAAGCGCCGACGAGAACGAGGTTTTGCTTTACAATGTTGTGCTGTCACTACGGGATGCTCTCGGAATTTTATTCAAGTATGCTAGCTTTTGCGTCCTCGGAGGAATTTGGTCAGCCGGCGCTAACATGATCGTTCATCAGGGGTGCAACCGACAAGCGCACTATCGTTGAGAACTACGACCTCGTTGCTTTGACTATCGACGAGACTATTGATGATGGAATCATCCTCGAGACTGACCCGGTTATGATTGCTTCGCGTGTCAGCCGTGCACCCGCTGCAGATGCACCCAACATGAAGAATATCGATCTGACGGAACAGGGCTTAATGAACGCCTGGGAGTTCGGCAAGCGGCGTCTTGCAGAGGGATTGCGACAGATGTAAATGGGGCACCGATTTCTGTCTTGTGTTTGAGGGCTACGATATGTCTTAGCTCTCGTTGGAGCATTTCTTGACTGTTGTTTTTTTTTACCCCTGGCTGGTCCTGGCGCATTATGGCTTTCTTTTTATTTGTTTTCTGGTTGACTTGGTTGTGTCCAGGCATCAATGTCATAGACCTGTTTCTACTCATTTTAGCATCTTACAAAAGGCCTTGGCTACATCATTGTGTTATGTTCGATATTGACAATGTTGGGCCGGGATACTGCATAATTCATGATCTTATGGTCTGAGAGACTGATATATGCAATGAGCAATCAATAGCCTCGCAAGAGTTTCATGTTGATTGCGCTTAAATTTTATACAGGGGACTGGCGTGTATCCTTCTCTCTATACACATTTGACAAAAGACCAGACAGCTCTGTACCATATTACCTCAGGACACAGCTTCCACTAGTTGACCATCTGCTTGATACCATCAATCCACTCAGAACAAGTGGACTCATGGCCCTGTCCTCAGGCAGATTCAGCACCAAATTGTCCTGTCGAATAACTGAAAAGCCGGGGATCTAGCTTTGAAACCGTTTCCTCATCGAGTTTTTCCAAAGCAAGATCACCGGGAGTTCGACCCTCGTCATCACAAGCATGGGGATCCGCATTTCCATGATCTAGGAGTGCCTTGACCGTGTCACAGTGACCATTCATACAAGCTAGATGCAAAGCAGTGAGTCCCATTATATCAGGCGTCTCAGGATTTGCGTTGAGGACTGTAAGCAGGAAAATCACGGTTGACGTGTGCCCGTTAATTGCCGCTTGATGCAAGCGAGTCCAACGCAAAGAGTCCCTTGTTGAGTCGATATCGAGATTGTCAGATCCAAGTGACCGTTGTTCTATCGACCCATGCTCGTTTTGGGCGGATAGATATAATTTCTGAGGATGGGAGCCCTCGAACATTAGCATATCGTTCATCCTTGCACGCTCTAAGAGGACTTGAATCATTGCACCGTGGCCCTTGCCTGCGGCAGTATGCAGCGCATCCAGTGCACTGTCTCGTTCTGTTGTTGTCATATTTCCGAGATCAAGCAAAACTTTGATCAAGGATGCATATTGTTTCTTTTTGGCCGACCATGACAATAACTTGTCGATGTCTTCGTCGTTGATATTGAGGTTCAGGGGTAATCGTCGGTCCAAGAGTCTGAGTAAGAACTTGTGCATGACTTCGGGAAGGTCAAAAGCGTGGACGGCGTGATACAGCCAGAATGATACTGCATATTTGTGAAAGTAGAACTGCTCCTCAGTGGAGCGATCCTGGAGTTTCGTGTCTGCGATGACTTTCCCAATATCAAAACCAGCCTGTTTTCGGGACTTGAGGAGCTTGATTGCCATGCTCCGGACACCATTCGATGGTTTAAGCGTTGAGAAAATCACCTCAGAGGGCACCGACCCAGTTCGCAGCCGAGGTATTACGGTTTTTGAAAGTTGAGTTTCGAACACGCTGTAGTTGAGATAGGTGATGATGATGCTTGCCATCATTTGATGAGCTTCATCAACATTAACTAGGGTTTCGGTCGATTCTTTGAATTCACCAAGCAGGAACTGTTTCACGCTGTGGTGAACAAGATGTACAGTAAGCTCCTCCTCATCAATAGTAACAAGACTGCCACAAGAAGCCAACGTGTTGTGCATATTGTTGAGAAGTCTATCTGGATTCCAGTTTAAATCACCCGGCACCACACATAACGCCTCGCGTAGTTGTTGGAGAGTGAGTGGACTTTGGGCCACGGTCAGAATAGCCAATATCTCTTTCTGGCGCGTGTTTTGGGATTTTGGCCGTAAAGTGCGAGAGAAAGTTTCCGAGAGATCTTTCGGCAGGCTTGCAAGTGCTTCACGGATCTCCTCGTCACTTTCCATTGCACATAAAGATTCGATCTGGAGAGCTACCCAAAGGAACATCCCTTGTGATCCTTTCAGAAGAGCATCTTGAATTTCCAGGATCAGAAGAGGACTCCCAATGGTGAGCTTTCCAGATTCGATTCGACTTTCCAATTCTGACTCAATGAACTCCTCGATGTCGGCCGTATTATTTGGAATTGGTGTAATAATAGGGGCAGCAAATTGGGAGAAGTTGGCTTTGAGCGGGCTTTCGTTTGGAGCTTCACGAAGAGAAATGCAAAGTAGCATCATAAACGTTTCACTTTGAAGATCCGCTAGCTGCTGTATCACGATGTCCCTTTGATGCCCATCAAGCTCGTCCAGCCCATCGACAACAAGGAAGAATCTTGTTGTTTTACGAAGAGGAGAAAGGCAGGTGGTAAGAAGTCCCATCAGTCTGTCCATCGGCTCGGATTGATGCGTCTTGTCCAAGTATTCCGCGGGAGCAGTGAAGTCTGATAAATTATATAGCAACTGTCGAGCCAAAGAGCCAATCACTTCTCGCGCTTTGAGACTCTCAGAGACGTCATGTCGGCAGAAGAAATATGCCACATGGGTAGTTTCACTCTGAATGTGAAGATCATCCACTATGTTGGCGAGTAGCACAGACTTCCCGGAGCCCAACTTACCAGTGTAGACGAGGGTGGAAGAAAGTGGCATACTTTTCCACTCTTGATATTTAGAGGTCTTTCGAAACAAATTGGTGTTACCCGATTTTCGAGCCTGCTTCCATGACACTGTGCAATCGTACTGGGAGCAGAAGTCAAGTACGCGCTGTTTCGTTTGAATGGCTTGCTGATATGCAGTTGATTTCTGGAATATCGATGAGACTGCCCTGAATCGGGAATTGTTTTCGGCTTCATCCTCAATTCCCTTGGCTACCAAGTAGCTGACTTCGGTTTTGATTGTTTTGCCCCAGGACTCCAGCTCTGATTGATATGTCTTCAGAACTGAGTCCGTAAATGCGGAGGTCAGCTTCCCGAAAATTGACTTGCGTGTAAAAGTAGTCATCTCCTGACACAGACGCACGATCAAAATGAAATATTCACAGAGACAGGATTGTAAGTCCTTTGACCGAGGATAGAGTAAAGCCATCTTTTCGTACCGGGGCGCAAGACGGCCAGCAGTCATAAATATGTTCGATAATTGCTCGAGATAGGAAGAAAAGTCAAGGACAAATAAAAGCGACATGCGCACTATTGACCAGACACCACATGCAAGCAGATTTTGCGATCCACCGACTATGATATCTCCCAAAGCAGCGAATTGCTGAGTAGCCTGTAGAATGTTCGTAAGCCGGGGCCCCAGGCACCGGCGTCTCTTTTCCGAGACGCGATCAATCTCCGCGGTGAGTTGCATAACATCTTGTATACTGGGCGGAGACTCAATCGATCTGGCTCTACAAGCACGGAAGCTGGCCTTTTGGTCATTGGACAGTTCGGCCTCGAATTGGGAAACAGCCTGGGCGAGGCGAGCCTCTGGCTTCAAGCGTGGGGCGGAGCTCAACGATTGCGACATGCCTAACATACTCCCAGAGCTGACACATGTATCGCTTATTTACGGAGAGTAAGGTAAAAGCGCAGGATTGGAATTTGACCCAGCGCTGACATTGAAACTGGCGAAACATTCCCGGGATGTTGATGGCGGGGGAACTAGTTCACACGCTAATGCAGTGCCCAGCGGCCATCGGTGACTTTAATCCTATTGGCTATCTATGTGATTTGCTATCAAAAAGACATCGAGAAAGACAATTGGAAAGAGAATGTGGAATGTTCATTATGTTACCTCTAGTATCATCAGTATCATACTGAATGTGCCACACACTCATCTCAACAATCTTCTGCAACCTGATCAACTGAACTACTCCGTCAGCCTCCAGCTTCAGATAGGAATCTTGTGCGAAGGGCTAGATGCAAAAGCTCTTGTCGCGCGGTGATATGTCCCATTGGGGGGGACATGCATATCGGCATATTTGACCACAGGGGAGTATGGGAGAGCGCGGGAGAGTCCAAACTTCTTGGATTTGAACATTTTGATTGTATTGGCAGTGGTTAATAGCAACAACTTAGCTGTCTGTTGTCCATGGCTCACTATGGTGATTTGATTCCTATCTAGATAGAAAAGCTGTTTTGCCCTTTTCACCCTGGACACATCAAACATGGTCTGCAAGAGACAGCACAGAAGCGATAGGTATAACTAGTAAAGGTTGCAACTGAAATCACATTCCTTAGTGATGAAGCGAGTTTTGTCACTGGAGCAGTGTATAATGTGGATGGAGGTTAGATGTACTGATGTTGAAGGTAAAGATCATGTTCGAAAGGAATAGATCGGTCACTCCCATTGTCTTCAGGTTGTTTGCTCTAAAAGCAACTCAATAGAGATCTCGTTAGATAATGACAGCCATTTATAGATCACAAATCCATACTACTTGATTTTCAAAATATGTCAATCATATTACACGTATCTTCGATATTTGCAGAGAATAAAATCACCCCCAGTGGAGCCCTAGAATTTCACACCGTCAGACACATAGAAGAGAATATGGATCTGAATCTATAACATGGATTTTCTCCATGTACACAAGATAGTCCGATCAAATAGGCAAGTCAACGCGCACCGTCAAAATGGGCAGGTTTCCGCTATCGGCGATCCACATCCCCCGCAGACTTATTGTATACCACTTTCCTTGTTCAACACCAAAAAGATGACAGATTCAATCCAAGAAAGTGTACACGAGTCCATTACCCATACGCGGTCATTTACAGGATGCAGCACAGTAAGTCCGAAGGTCTTGAGTCATCTGCATCTCTAATAGCATGTAGTGTCGAACTCGACATGTCAAATGCGATGAAAGACGTCCAGAATGTTCAATGTGTCAGTATTTTGGCTTGACTTGCGGAGGGTATAAGAATGATATCTTCTTCGACTTTGAGACCTCCCGCAATAATGGAGTCCGGTTTCGTCGACCATTATTCTCAGTGAAAGAAAGAGAACACATGGGTGAATGGCTTCTCTCGAGTGCTCCCCCAAAGACAACTCTTCAGATTCTATCCCACATTGATGAAGAATGCGAAAGAGCAACTGTTTCAGATGCGATTGAGATCCACCGAGGTCCGTTCGGGGCGTTTAGATTGAACCAAGATCAAGATAAATTGCCTCAGAAAACTGCTGTGAACGACTATGAAGGGACGCAGTCCAGTTCCCCAGAAGATGTGATCCCACAGTGCAACATTTATCCAGTCTCCTGCGACATTCTTCTGTCACCTTGGTCTCAAGCCTTAATGCACTTGACTTTTGATCAACCAGAGAATGTTTCCAATCCACCTTCCCCGGAATTGTTACACACTATAATAGATGAAAATCGTGCGGAAGGCGATTCGGTACCCCCTGAATACTTGCCTACATCATGCTTCCCAGATGACTTTTACGATAATCCCGTATCACCCACCTCTTTCACTTCCTCTATGAGAACCACAAAAGCCGTGCCCCAGGACGCCGTGTTTCTTCTCAAGCACTATGCTTCGGCTGTAATTAGTCTGATGACACCCCTTCGACACTCCAAAACTCCCTGGCATGTCCTCTTCATACCTCACACCAAGAGCTGCCTCGCTGGCTTGACTCTAGGCGATGATTTGAGTGATGCCAGCCTCTGTGCATTCTATGGGACATTAGCCATAAGTGCATTCAGCCTTGGCGGAGTCTCCCGATCCCAAACTTGGAGCGAGAAAGCCATCGTTTATAAGGAGAAAGCACAGCAACATGCAAGATTGATGCTCCTGACCGCCTACCATGTCCCGAAAGTAGCCAAATACAAGTCGATTCTGATGGCATTGCTCACGATGGTCCAAGTGTCAATGTTCTCGGGGAACCGGAGGCAATCAGAATATTATTTTCTGGAAGCGGAAAAATTCATTCGGTTAAGAGGACTTCCACGCAAAAAATCCCGAAAAGTTCGATTGCTCCATCATTGTTATGTATTCGAGCGTATCATCCACGAGAGTGTCTTTATTTGTGGAGCGAACTCAAGACAGCGTCATCGCGTTCATACAGCGATCGAAAAGAGCGGGCTAGGAATGTACAGTCTTGACAGCCTATCATTTCGTCTATCGGGCTGGGAAAACTTAGACCAAGAAATGTTGAGAGTGCGTGGGCAAGAAGAAGGCGAAAATGATCTTCATCTTGAAAGACCTGGCTTCTGGTCGAATTCTCTGTATCCGGATATATTTGGTATCCCTGAGCCTTGGGTTATTCTTCTTTCCCAGATAATTCGACTTGGGAAAGAGAAAGACGCGACCGAAGGAACTGTTGCATCAGAGTGCCTCAGCTTGAAGGAGTTCATCGGCCGGGCGAAGACTCTCGAGGACTACATCAGCAATTTACCACGACCCAGCCTGGTGAATATCCATTCTCATCGTGATTCTGAGATTATAGAGCATATGCTCAACGCCATGCAAAATGCGCTGGCGATATACTTCTATCGTAGAATCCACGACGTGAATGCTTCTTTACTACAGCAAAAGGTCGTGGGCGTGTTGGATAACCTACTGCGATGCGAGGACACCGACTCAACTGTGGTACACGGCTCAGCAGGATTTATCTGGCCTGCGTTTATTGCGGCTTGTGAAGCTGAAGATCCGTTGGTTCAGGTATCATTCTCCGACTGGTTTGTGAAGTCGGCACGGCGAAGTGGGTTATCTTGCTTTACTGAGACATTGACCAATATTCAACGAATTTGGCAAGAAAAGACTTGTGCAAATGGGAGAAGTGTAACTTGGCTGGACCTGATGAAGAGCACTATGCCATTACAGCAGCTATTTTGATTGTTGGTGTGATGTTCTGGGCAAGAAATAAGTCTACGGGGTTATTTATTGATGATTGCCCATCATCATTTTAAGATTGAATACATTTATCATTATATGTGGACCAAGATAATGAAAATCTGATTTTTCAATTCATCTCCTTGCCTATTCTGATCCCAAATGTGACGCTGGTACTTCCCTGCATTTCTGTGCAATGCTCTCTCAACCCCAGTGACAATCAGCTGAAATAACCCCACATGCAGAATATACATTAGCAGGAAGTCAGTGTCAGCCTACTGCAGAATTCATGAAGATAGGGAAGATGAGGATGTGTTGTCCTCCGCGGGTTGGCTATCACCACGCAGGTTAGGAAAGTCTCCCCGACAACCCCCACATTGGTCAAAGATTCGAAGTATATATACTGGAAAAGAGATACCGGGCTGCCGTTGTGGTTTATGCAGTTGTGGAAAGCTATATAAACCATCGATATTTAATTCCTTCGTTCATTTCATCCACCAAACCTCCTTCCCGCTGCGTGCATCAAGAAAGTCACGAACCAACGAACCACTCCAAATCCATCAAATTAGGCCAAATGGATGTACCTGGAATTGCCCTTGTCACAGGCGCCGCCTCAGGAATTGGCCGCGCCTGCGCAAAGACATTTGCCAGAGATGGTGCCTCAGGAATCGCCCTACTCGACCTGAACCCTGAAGCCCTAGCCGCCGTCAAAGCCGAGATCGAAGAACAACAACGCAGGAATGGATCAAAACCATGTCAAATAATTGCATACCCTACCAATATAACAGACGAGCATCGCGTCAATGAAGTCATCCAAGAAATCGCGAGAACATTCGGTCGACTCGACTATGTCGTGAACGCAGCCGGAATCGCAATGAAACACACAGGCGGCGCTGCATTTTGTGAAACCTCGGATTGGGAGCGTATTTTGAGCGTCAACCTCACAGGCACATTCTTTGTTCTGCGCGCTGCTGCTAAGATCATGTTAAAGCAGGAGCCTATCCTGTCCTCAATTGATGGGAGGCCACTACAGCGTGGCTCGATTGTCAATTTCTCGTCTATTCAGGGTGTTGCTGGAATCGCGTTGTCGACTGCATATACTGCGACCAAACATGCGGTCATTGGGTTGACGAGAACTGCCTCTGAGGACTATGCTAAGGACGGGCTGCGCATTAATGCTATCTGTCCTGGATATACAGAGACCCCTTTGACGACCAAGTCGCCTCAGATCCTGGCAGCCATGCAGGAGAAGGTTGCCAATGCGGTTCCAATGGAGCGTATGGGCAGGCCGGAGGAGATTGCCGATGGAGTTGTTTATCTGAGTGGTGGTCGGGCTTCTTTTGTTACTGGAACGGCTTTGTTCGTGGATGGTGGATACACTCAGCGATGAGGTAGCATGCATTTATAGATTTGAATGGCATCTTCAGTCATATACCGTCTCACACCTCCTTTCACTAAAGAACGAGCAAATAGAAGTCCGCGGCAAACATCTCCCCTGGGCGGTTCCGGCGGGTGTGACATCACTACTTACGATGTAGCATCGTCCTATTTATTTTTGATTCGCTTTTAGATAGTTAGAGGTGATGGTTTCAGCCAATCATTTCTCGCTGAAACTAAGCAATTGATGCAATCTCATCAGCTGGGTCCTCTATAAGACTGGGGTTCCCTCGAATTTTGACCCCCAGCAACTAAACTATGACCAATGCCAGGAGATTGGACACTTCTTATATTCCCAACAGCCTGAAATCATTCGGATTTGGTCGATTGGATAATTTTCGAGCTGCTTCGATAAGTGAAATCCAGAAAAAAACATATTTCACCAACCAGCCGAGCCTCACCGGCCGTACATTCCGCAAACAACACATATTTGCCTGTCACAATTCCAAGTCATATCAGAAAGCAAATATGAGTGGCCACCGTGTCCCAATAGCACCTCAGCGTGTGGACGCTCCGCTCACACAATCAGCTACCTTTCTCGTTCTCTCTGTGATCAACAAGCCCGACGCCATTGAAACCGTGCGCTCTACACTGGCAGGCGTAGATAGCCTAGCGAAGAATGTATCCATCCGTGACCTCAGCGCCCAATTTGCGTGCACCGTTGGTATTGGGAGTGACATCTGGGATCGTCTTACCGGTCTTCCCCGACCCTCAGAACTACGCCCTTTCCGCGAGATCAAAGGCGAAAAGCACACCGCGGTCTCAACACCCGGTGATCTACTTTTTCACATTCGCTCTGAGCGCAGAGATATTTGCTTCGAGTTTGAGCGTCAGCTGATGGATCAACTCGGAGATTCGGTCACTGTCATCGATGAGACTGTGGGATTTCGTTACTTCGATGTGCGGGATCTTCTTGGGTTTGTCGATGGCACGGCTAATCCTGTTGGATTGGCGGTTCCGGCCTCTGTTCTGGTTGCAGAGGAAGATCCTTCCGCTGTTGGCGGTAGCTATATTGTTGTACAGAAGTACACTCATGATCTACCTGGATGGAAGGATCTTTCGACGGAACAGCAGGAGAGGATTATTGGTCGCACCAAAATTGATAATGTCGAGTTAGATGATGCTGAGTCTGGTCAGCGCTCTCACAAGACACTCAACACGATTGAAGACGATGATGGGAATGAACATGATATCCTTCGCGACAATATGCCATTTGGATCTCCTGGCTCTGGCGAGTTTGGGACGTACTTCATTGGCTACACTCGTCGTCTTTGGGTGATTGAAAAGATGTTGGAGCGTATGTTTGTGGGGTATCCGCCTGGCCTGCATGATCGCATTCTTGATTTCTCAAAGCCTCTTACGGGGGTAACATTCTTTGCTCCGCCTGCTAGTGTATTGTCTAGTCTAGGGTCAGACTGAGGTTGATACTTTGTGGTTGTGATTTGAATCTAGAACAGTATATATACGAACTGTGAAGCCATACATGCTAATGACAATATGACATGAATATTTATCAAAGCTTAGAACTCGAGAGCTGAGCAAATGCGAGACCTTTCCAACCGGCTGCCCTAGACTCCGCACATCTGCGGCGATACTCCACTGCACTGCCAGCGTACCTCGCAACACTCCGAACAGTCTTGCCCTTTACATTTGTATTAACCCCAGTCATCCAGCTGTCAATTTCATTAGACAAAGCGCCTTTGCTGCTCTCGACAACGTGTTCCGTCCAAGCATCCACAGCCTCTCCCGTCGGCTCTACATATGAATAGTTGTTGTCTTTGCAGTGTTGTAGGAGATCCGAGATGACTTCCACGGCGTGCTCGATAGTCCGGGGAGCGTTGCCAAATGGTTGATGGGGACCTAGGACCATGAACATGTTGGGCATAGAGCAAGCCGTCATACCCAGGTATGTACGAGGGCGGTGATCCACCCAAATTGCTTGCTCACCTTGCTTGGTGTTGCTAGAGCCGAGGAGAGGTCGACCCTCCTTTCCCGTCCAATCAATGGAGCTAAAGGCACCGGTGATGGCATCGAAGCCCGTTGCATAGATCAAAACATCTAATTTATGCTCTTTTCCATCGGAAGTAATAATGCCATCCTCTGTGACTCTCTCAATTGGTGTTTTCTTGAGATCAACAAGGTGCACATTCGGCTGATTAAACGCCTCAAAGTACCCACTCTCAAGAGGAACTCGTCTTGTGCCAAAGCCATGATTCTTGGGAATTAGGCTGTCAGCAACTTCAGGATCGTTGATCCTAGCTCGGATCTTGCTGGCCATAAAGTCGGAGTAGAGTTTATTTGCCTCGCGGTTGTTGTATGTGTCGCTGAAAGTACCGAGCCATTTAGCAAAACCGGGCTTTGCATATATTTCTTCCCAAAGCTTCAACCGCTCCTCTGCGGAGACTTCAAGAGACTTGCGCGGGTCAGCCTGGTGCATGAAGCAGCTGGGTGTCTCGGCGCAGAGTTGGAAAAGGGTGTCATAATCCTTGCGGTGCTGTTCCATTTGCTCGGGGCTAATTGGATCGTTGCGCAATGGTGCAGACCAGTTTGCTGTGCGTTGGAAAACGTTCAGTGATCGGATACTTGGTTCTTTTGATACTGCTGTAACCGTTTGAATTCCTGTTGCGCCGGTGCCAATGACACCCACTCGCTTGTTGGCCAGATCACGACTCATATCAAAATCCTTAGGCCAACGTGAGGTGTGGAACGCTTTGCCTCGGAAAAGTTCAATGTTCGGAATGGCAGGAAGCGTCGGGGCTGACAGGAAGCCCATGCAGCTGACGAAGAAACGAGTCCGGTGATGAGTGCCGGCTTCGTCGCGAAACAGCCAAGTGTTGTTCTTATCCTGCCAGATGGCCGTCTGGACTCGCGTATTGAGTTGAATGTTTGTGTAGAGGCTGTGCTTGTCACAGACATGTTCAATATAACGGAGGACGTCTGACTGAGTGGAGAAGGTCTCCTTCCAGGTCCATTCGTTCAAAAGATCCTTGTCCCATGAGTATGCGTAGGATAGTGACTCAGTATCAACCCGTGCTCCCGGGTAGCGGTTGCAGTACCAAGTTCCTCCGACATTATCGGCTGCCTCCAGAACTCCGACGCGCCAAGATGGAAAGCGCTTTCGGAAGTTGTGAAGTGCACAGATACCCGACAGACCGGCGCCGATGATGAGGACATCGTACTGCTTCTCTTTGATTTCGATGGATTCCATGGGTACAATATTTTCGAGAGGGATTTTGCGATTAGAAATCTCAATGTTGTTGTTCATCCCGATCTTCAATGATTTTTGTGATCTTTATAGGATTGACATTGTGCCAACACAGCTCCAGGTGGAGCTGCCGTATGTGGGATCACATCCGTGTGTACAAATTCCAGGTAGGTCTCGCGGTGACTTTCCTCTTCCAATATGGCAATGCACTTCCTAGGTGCAGCAGGCGACATTGTGTCAGGACATTAGCCAGGCCCACTAGACCGAAAATGGCATCAACCTTATCCTTATCTTCCCCTTATCTGATATATCACGTGCCGCGGACGCTTTCCTCCAGGGGCTCTTCCACCGAGTCACTTAATCTGAGGGTAGAAAAGCCCGGCCATCACATCACTCCAGGCAATAACGATATCACATCTGAATACGCGTATAGGTTGTCCCCACCACTTCCACATGCCTTGTCTGGAAGACCAATAGCGGCTGCCATAACATGGCTCCATAAAGACCCACACAATATCCACAGATCTTCCAAGGTCATTCCGAAGAATATTACATATATGAAAATCGTACAAAAGTTACAGACCCTTAAATTTGTGGGCCATACAGGACCACAAAATCAGCAACAAGTGCCCACGCGTCTAGCTACAGCAGCGCAGGTGGCTTATGAACTTTGGAACATGTCCACGGCTATCTTCCTAGGTTAGTGCAATAATAACACACATATAACTTTCCCTGTGTCAAGATGAAAGATAAACCGGGTTTACTTACTTAGCAAGTTGTACTGAAAAGTCACCCAAGTTGACCTCTGGGCCATGTCCCCCTGAGATAATGGACATTTCTGCTATTGATATTTCCTCGGGAATTTTGGCTGCACTGGCCTTTACCAGAAGTCAGAACATGAAATTATCACAAGTCGCGCTGGAGACAGTATGTGCTAGCAGTAAAATGAAGACGGATACATTAGCACAGTAATCCGATGGATACGCGGAAAGCGTTAAATACGGATACGTAGGTCGTGATCCGCTGTGGAGCTTCGTCCCATCTGCAAGAGTTCTCTCCGTACTCCAGAACCTGTGGGTTCAATTATAGGCATCCTTTTTTGTTGAGTACCAAGGGGGTCTATTGCAACCTTGGAAATCAGATTGCCTCGGTGGGAGTCCTCGACGATATATAAACCTGCTCCTCACCTGTCATGAGAAATTCTCACACAAGCTCAAGATGGGTTCAGTATCAGTCATCTTGTTTGCCCTGGGCATGATAGCCACTCAAGCAGCAACAGCCTCCAGATGCTCGCCGTCAAATCTCTCCAAGCCAGACCTACTTGGAGCTTCTATCCTCGATATTCAAGCCGAGGAAGTCCGCAACTATTCAGCTGTCAGTCTTGCCCCAGGCTCCAATGATGGAGGAAAGTACACCATCGACTTTTGCAACATCACAGTCACATACACACATCCCGGTTGGAACGACACAATCAACACTCAGGTCTGGCTACCGCTCGAGGGCTGGAATGGCAGATTCCAAGCTTTAGGTGGTGGAGGCTACAGCGCTGGGTTTGGCCCTACCTACCTTACATTCGCCGTCGCCCAAGGGTTCGCATCTGCCTCCACCGATGGAGGCCATAATGTGGGAGATGAAGCTGTTCCGACTGATCTCACTTGGTCTCTGAAAAGCAAAAACAATGTGGACTGGTTTCTCTTCGAAGACTATGCATCCAAGGCCACCAATGATTTAGGTGTGATTGGAAAGCAGATCACCGAGTCATTTTACCACCAAGCTCCAAAATATTCCTATTTTGCTGGATGCTCTGGTGGTGGAAGACAAGGTCTCATGATGGCGCAGGAATATCCCAATGTCTTCGACGGCATTCTGAGCATTGCGCCCGCCATCAACTTGGAAGCTTTCATTCCTGCAGGCTATTGGGCTGCACATGTCATGAATAAGAACAAGATATACCCCTCTTCTTGTGAGGTTCAGGCTTTTACCAAAGCAGCAGTCAAAGCCTGTGATCCATTGGACGGAGTGGAAGATGGCATTATCAGCTCGCCAAGTCTTTGCAATGTCAAGGCCTCCGACTTTGTTGGCCAGGAATACACATGCAACGGAGTCCAGCGTACTCTAAGCGCTTCAAGTGCGAAGGTCATTCAAGCGGCCTGGTCTGGCTCCGGAAAGGCCGGTTGGCCCGGTGTGAACAAGGACGCAGCGATCGACGGTTACTATGTTCCAACTACTACCTGTAACGCCAATGGCACATGCACCATTGGTGATAGTTCTTTGTTCGGTAACTGGATCAAATATGCTGTTGCCAAAGATCCTAGCTTCCCACTTCAGAACATGACTGATTCTACATTCTTCGATATGCTGCACTCTTCAATTCGCCAGTATGACGGAATGGTTGGTAATAATAACCCTGATCTGTCCAAATTCAAGGCAAATGGGGGCAAGATGATTACCTGGCATGGCCTTGCCGATGAAGCAATCCCACCAAATGGAACAATCAGCTACTATGAGGAAGTGCTCAAAATGGACCCCAAAGCCCACGACTTCTACCGCTTCTTTGAAGCGCCTGGTGTTGGCCATTGTTATGGTGGAGTTGGACCAATTCCGAACGGAGCATTGTCGCAGTTGATAGAATGGGTTGAAAGAGACCATGCTCCTGAGACTCTGCACGCTACTAAGGGAACCAACAACACAGCTCGTGATCTGTGCCCATATCCACTCCGGCAGAAATTCACAGGGGGCGACTCCAGGAACGCGACATCCTTCACTTGCGTTAGATAAATTGTCAATTCATCGCCTTGAATTGCAAAACCTATCTCAAGAAAGCCTATGGGATAGTTTTCCCAATTTAGAGATACGTCTGTCATTCAGCGTATGAACTGCGGTTCTGGGTTCACCTTCATTGAAGTGTGATCATCCCCAAATCTGGTCATCATCACTCCTCTCTTGCTCTTTCTCCCGTGTCTCTTTTTCTATAGAAACTACTTTGTATGTTACCTTCTATTTTTGAATCCACTGTCTTTTTAGAATTCTTTGCATCAGTGATGTGTGCGGGTCCTGAAAGAATATGTTGGGTGAATGTTTATCGAGTCAGCTTTTCTGTCTGACGTGGATCAAGCCTCTAATATTCACCTGGATTAGCCTCCCTTCCCGTCTTTGTCCCGATTTGTAAACAGCTTAATTCTACCTACGAGTTCTTCCCAATCTTCTCTTCACTGCGATATGAAAATTGGCGATTAGAATTGATTGAGATCTGACCAATGTATAGTATAGATTGTATTCTGAGAATAGCTATAAGCCCCTTGTTTGCGTGAATCTCACAATCTTACATTATCATGCAATAAATTGGCTAGCTGAGGGTTTGTTCAATGGAGTTGGCAGGCTTACCTTGGTAGCTCAAAATAACCCAATATTTTGGCCAGTCAACCATGATTCATCCAAAGATGAACATGTCTTACCGGCCAACTTGAAAAAAAAAAAAAAAAGAAAACGTGAAATGATCCCACGAGCAATACGCGTATCCGTGTACGGAATAGGCAAATCACTATAGCTCCACATATGCAGAAAATCTGCTGATTGGTTCTGAGTTTAGGTACGGCAACCTAAATTGGCGATCCATGGCTGAGTCTCCCAAAGTGGTGTATTTGCTACGTCGGAAAACTGTATTGTAAAATACCATTACGAATACATGTAGGGAACGTCCGAAAGTACAATTGCTTGTGGTAGTGGATAATATCAGTGTATCATCAATGATACATCTCTGATCATATTTAAAAGCCCATATTGTGCCTGTAATGATTAAGAGAAAGGTAGATACTCACACACATTTTTTTACCTTGGACATACCTCAGACAGTATGAAGTTAAATTGAGTTTACGCCTTACCAGCCTTGAACTTCCATGAGATCATCGGATATCGACCATGTGCTTTTCCTAACTTTCGACCTCTCCTTTGACATCATACTTCCAACTGAGAAAGGTGAGCTCGAGCTCATGCAAATTTCAAGACTTCCTTCAAACCTGGGGGTGAGACTGTCTAAGCTTCATGCTAATCTCTCGTCTGTTCAGACATACCACTCCTTGTCCATTTGCACCCGTCTTTTCCAGAATCGGCGTTCATTGCGGCATTTTCAGTCTACCTTTTACATCCAGTGCACTCTGGTCTCACTCTTCATTTACCCATTAATTGGCCTAAGAGTCCATGAAGCGTGGTCAACGATATGAGTCAACTCCGCTTACACGTTGACGGACAAACATTCCGAGATTCTCTGAATCGAGAAATTATCCTACGCGGAATAAATGTGGCAGGAGACGCTAAATATCCTCAAACTCCGGACCTCAGATCGCACAACCCCCAGCAATTCTTCGACGCAGATGTATCGTTTGTCGGAAAGCCGTTCTCCCTGGAAGATGCCGACACACATTTTAGACGTCTCCGACAATGGGGTTACAACACCATTAGATATATCTTCACCTGGGAGGCAATCGAACACGCTGGCCCTAAGATATACGACGAGGAATGGATCGATTTTACCATTGGTGTTCTTCGCGTCGCTAAGAAATACCAGTTCTACATTTTCATGGATCCGCATCAAGACGTTGTAAGTCTGGTCTTGAATAAACTCTCTAAAGCTGTGGGAGTTAAGCTTACTATATGAAGTGGTCTCGACTATCAGGAGGGTGCGGGGCACCTACATGGACACTCTATGCCGCAGGATTAAATCCCAAGAATTTCAAAGATACAGAAGCTGCCATCGTTCACAACACGTGGAGCAACCCTGCAGAGTTCCCGAAGATGCTATGGTGTACGAACTACACTAGGTTAGCTTGTCAGACGATGTTTACTCTATTCTGGGCGGGTCGAGATTTCGCACCGAAAGCGATCATTGATGGTGTGAATATTCAGGATTATTTACAAACACACTTTATTACTGCATGCAAGTACTTTGCGCAGAGAATACAAACCGCCGGGGGTCTTGAAGGAGACGTGATCATTGGATGGGAAAGTATAAACGAACCGAACAGAGGAATGATCGGGGTTCAAGATATTTCCTCCATTCCACACGAGCAGCAGCTCCAACTCGGGACATCTCCAACGGCGTTTGAGGGTATGCTACTTGGTTCTGGGAGGGCCCATGAGATAAAAACCTGGTCTTTCGGGCATTTTGGTCCATACCAGACAGGGACGGAAGTTATAGATCCAAAGGGTGAACTGGCATGGCTGTCCGCTGAATACGACGATTCTTACCATGGCTGGTCCCGCGATCCTGGATGGAAGCTCGGTGAATGCCTCTGGGCACAACATGGAGTTTGGGATTCATCCAAAGGCCAGGAAATCCTGCTACAAAAGGATTACTTTTCACGCAACCCATTGACAGGCGAGAAGCTTGACTACGAAGGCTTCACAAACTCTTACTTTTTAGACCATTACCGAGCGTACAAGGACGCTATTCGCAGCGTGTGTGGAAGTACTATCATGTTTTGCCAACCTCCTGTCATGGAGTTGCCACCAAGCTCTAAGGGTACCGCCGATGATGATCCGAATATGGTCCACGCAGTTCACTTCTATGATGGTCTGACTCTTCTAACAAAGCACTGGTTAGTAGCAATGCCTCACCCATTATGCATGATATTGACCCCATTAGGAACCGGCTCTACAACGTAGATGTTATTGGGGTGCTGCGGGGCAAATATTTTTCACCAGTATTCGCAATGAAGATCGGCGAAAGATCAATTCGAAGATGCCTACGTCATCAACTCAAGTTCCTACGCGATGAGAGTCTTCAACGAATGGGTGTCCACCCCTTGATCTTTACCGAGATTGGCATTCCGTATGACATGGATAACAAATATGCATATAAAACTGGAGACTACCGCAGCCAGATCAGAGCAATGGATGCAAACCATTTTGCTTTAGAAGGTAGCAAGTCAAATGGGTTTGCTTTGTGGGGCTACATGGCAGCTGTATGTATACGAGCCTGAATCTGACAGGGATAACGTTAACCAACTCTACCTAGCATGACCATGAATGGGGCGATCAATGGAATGGGGAAGATCTTTCCATATTCTCACCAAATGATTTGGAAGCTCCTATCAGAGCTTTTACCGATCCAACAAGGCGCGGTTCCACAGGGCGGCCCAGAGATCATCTTATCGACACGGAAGATGAGACTTCTGAATCGCTGAAGGCACTGACACCCCCATCCACCTCAAGCAATCTCTCTCGGGCTACCCTGCAGCCGCAGCAAGTTCACAGGGCAGCGGAAGCTTATCTCCGACCCACCCCGATCTATATAAACGGGCGTTTGAAGAGTTATGGTTTTAATTTGAAGAAGTGTACTTTCACCATGAGATTGATTGCAAACCAGACTACACCTTCCGCGCCGAGTGAAATATACCTGCCTGGCTTTCATTTTCCAATTGGAGAGACATCGGTTATGGCCAGCGGAGGGAAGTGGGAGATCTACATTCTGGAATTTCATACGGTCAAGCTTCAATACCTGCGATGGTGGCATGGCGAAGGGAAAGCGGATATCAAGATTCGGAGGAAGAAACGCACGGGAGGGGAGTACGCCGCTCTGCAAAAACTGCACAAGACCCGATGTATGATGATGTGAAGGCAGGTCTTTCACTACATTGGCCTACGGATGTGATATGTGTTCTTCCCCCAGCTTCCATGTATTCTAGTCACCATATAATTCACCATTTCTCAGATGTTTTAATGTTGAGCAAGTGTAATATGTACATATATGAGTGGCGTTTGAACCTCTGTACTCTGGGCTATGGAATTCAGGGAGCACTTTCCTACATCATCCACCAAGTGGGCTTGAATTGTTTCAATAAATCACCATATGGCCAGATCTCGCGTATCAAGCAGGCAGCTATATTTTCTAGTGGCAAACTGATATCTCCTCAAAGGCCTTGAACCAACATTTATTCCCAGGGTGCCTAAAATAGTATCAAGGTAATTAACGATACTACTCTGGTGCCCAGGTGTGTATCGATATTTCAAAAATTCATACGTGTAACGGTACGGTACTGTCGGGGTAACCTTGGAAGTTACCGAAAACCTTAAAAGATTCAAGGCTCCACCATTCACGGGTATCCACTTCGATGAGCCAAGGATTCGAGCGCTAAATGTAGGTATCTAAGAGAATACGAGGTTATTATGGAGCCTCATCAGACCCTTTTCCCAGTTCACATATCTCCTCGGATTTTCGATATCTCAATCATTGTAGGTGCTGAATATTCCTTGTCAAATTCCTACGAGACATTATCTATCGCTTTCAGAACCATCCTCCTTTGAAACATTTGACGGACGAATCACGGGTATGGACCATACCATGACCAACGGGCAGCCACCCCAGCCAGAAAATCAGAATACCCTCACCGCAAATCCCGCAATGCCACTTTTTCGGGCAACGGGACGCACGCTGCGATCAACCTCAGTCTCAACTGTCACGAGACTGCTCGAGTACAATCCCTCCGGTGGGATGTGGCAGGCGACCGGGACTGCCATCGCACACGCTCCGAATGTGACAGATCTGAGATCACCCGATGAGATCTTCTTCGATGTACATGGTCGAGGTATCAGACGAGTTAGCACGCAAGATAAAATTGGCGGTACGATAATTCGAAGAGCAACGGCGCCAACTATAGACCTCGGGCCCCTGCGCGATGATCAGAAACTAGCTGGAGCGGTCAAAAGCCTCCCTAGACTTTCATTTGATCATCCTAAGAGAAATCAAGCTCATAATCACCCAAAGGCGTCTTGGGCCGACGCCTTCAAGAAAGGATCTATTGCAGCAGGCAGGTTCATTCTCACACCGACAGGTGTTTTCATTGTTGTTTATGGCCTCAACGTTATTGCTTGGGGGGCCATGCTATTTTTCCTCTTGTTGGATGTTGGTTCGATGAGCAAAGAGCGCAAAGAAGTATGGATTGAAATTGACTCCCAGATTCTCAATGGATTGTTTTGCCTGACTTCGTGGGGACTGGCGCCGTGGCGGATTCGCGACACATATTGGCTGCTGATGTGGCATTTTGGTTCGGCCGAGACATCCAAGGAGTCGATAATGCAGCTTGCAAAGCGAAATTCCAGCTGGTTTAGAATATGTGATCCTGATTCCAGTGAGTGTGAGACTCTGACAGGCAAGGTCGCTCCACCTACCGAAACATGGAAATGGACTTCGTGGTGATAAATATGTTGTTGAATACCATGTTTCAAGTTGGAATGGCAACTTTCATGTGGGTGTACAACCGACATAACCGTCCGGCCTTCGGTGTTGGTCTTTTCATTGGTCTAGGCTGTTTCAGTTCGCTTCTAGCAGGAATAACCTCATGGTGGGAGGGGCGAAAAGTCAAGCGAATTGAGGGCGCCTTTTCTGAAACAAATGCGGAGGAAAAACAGGAATCCATAGAGCCATGAGCCTAATGAACATGACTTGTGTAGCCCAAAGGACCTGGCATATATATCCATACCCAAGGGGTATAACATGTACAATCGTCATTTTCAATCAAAGCATAAGCTCTTGAAGGCTATGATAGATCCAAAATTCATTTGAGATTGGGGGCGAAGCATCTCCCCCCGCGCACTATCATGATATAGCTATATGTAATCACTGTCACCGTCCGAGCCATCTTCTCGGGTCATGGCCATGAATTTCTCGATGAGCTTTTGATCGTCGATCCCTCTCACTCGCTCTTGTCGAACCATATCTTGTCCCTCCAGGTGAAGAGCCGCCATAATGAGCTTTCTCGTGCTCTTATGAAACGCAGAGTGTATGCTCTGTTTGATACCTTGGCTGGGATAGGCAACAAGACCAAGCGAGCCTTCATTTCGTAAGAAGTCAGCGAATGTGAAAATATATCAAAATGATGTCAGAGTTGATAAAGAGGCCATATCTCACCATGAGCCATCTTTCCAATTACCCCAAAAGTCCCTTTGAGCAAGCCACCGGCAAAGCCTGCAGCACCTCCATCTCTAGCGCCTTTATATGGTTGATAGACCACATCAGTCATACCTTGACCCATACCAACGGCAAAGCTTTTGGCACCTGCCACAGCGCCAGATTTCCAATCTGTGACTTTTCCATATTGCGGAACTTTGTCTCCGTATAGACCAGGGAGCACACGAAAGCCTTCAGCGGCAGCCAACGGCACGTCAATCATAAATCCAGAAAAGAACTTCCCTAGAAATTTCCCAGAAGCAAGGGTCGATGCTGAAGCCATGGCCACACCTCTGCTCTTTTCCTTAGGCACAACGTCCCCGCATGCCGTCATATCATTCATTGATCGAGCTTTGCGGACTGATATTGCACTGCCATCTAGCGGCAGCAACTGAGCGGAATTCTCTTTTGAAACACTCGGTGACTGACCAGGTGAGTTACGACCACCTTGGTATACCTTGTAGGGTTTATAGAAGATATCGCCTCCTGCTTTGAGAATATCAAATGTGACTCCCATTCCAGCAGAGGAGATACTGGTTACGGGGTCCCATCGCGTGGTCTCAATAATGATTGGGTTTGATTGGTACCTTATATTCAAAAGAGATGAGCCGAAGGTCCGCCGAATGACGATGTTAGAGAATGTGTTTGAAGTGGGTTTGGACTCACGGTTTCAACTTTTTGACATCTAACAGATTTCTTTCGGCAAGTATCTCTGCAGCAACTTTTGAAAAATGGTATTCTTTCTTGCCTAGTCGATATCTCCAACAGGCTGGGAATTTTGGTAGTAAATCGCATTCAACCAGACCTTGCGGTAAGTTTCGATGAAATGATGCCACAGCTGTTTTCACTCCTTCATCTTGCTGCATTTTCGCGGCAATACTCTTTGCGGAGCGTACTGCCTCCGATGTTAAGCAAAACCGCAATGCCTGGACCAATGCTGTGACCTTGAGGTGTTTGTACGGTATAGGGTCTGGTCCTGCACCGGCTGCAGAAACCATTTCTCCCCAAAACGGTTGGCTACAAACAGGTTAGATAAGATTCCAAAACTTCATAGCGCAAACCAAGTTATAAGTAAGAAACAGCTGTCACTTACTCTCCAAAAAATGGCACAATGATAGTAGGCTTTCCATTGCGTAGCCCACACGCCGTTGTACCAGCACCTCCATGATGAACAACCGCACTGACTCGCTCGAATAACCATTCATGTGGGCAATCGCCTATGAACAGAACATCACTTCTATTTAGTTCTCCTGTATCCGCCCCTCCTAACTTGCTCCAACCACGAGAAATGATTGCCCGAACCCCGGTTTGCCCAACCGCTTGTAGAATCGTTTTCGTTATTTCTTGCGGGTCTTTGAGAACGATGCTTCCAAATCCAAAATAGACCGGAGGGGGCCCGGCATTAAGAAACTCTGCGATATCTTGAGGAGGCTGATACTGCGGCGGATCACGGAAGAAGAACCCACAGACATCTATTCATGAGAGTTAGTCAGCGCCCTCAACGAAAGCAATCAGAACTCACCAAAATTATGGGGCCAGTCTTCGGGTTTTGGGACTAAGCCGGGCGACCAGCAGTAGGTATAGGGGACATTGAGTCTGCTGAGAATGAAAGGGCCATCTGAAAGAGAGATTGGCTCGAGTTCTAACTCATGTTTCCGCCAATCGTTAATCACGCCTCCTAGACTGTGTCATATAAAGAAGAATCTTAGCTTTCACCTCATCTTGCGCATTGCATTGCAAAAAAAAAAACGTATAGCACTTACCCTTGCCATGATAACCAGTCCACGACGCTATAAGAGACACGGTTGAGCCACTCTTGATCAGCTGGCACATTCTTCAAATTAGCCAACGGGTGCGGGAATGCCGTTGTTGGACTCCATGGCATTGTAAACATCAAGTGAAGTGGAATCCCCAGGGCCTGGGCGCAATGTACGTGCGCGAAGCTCGGAGGATTGGCAATGATCGCATTTGCCACAAAAGGGGCATTTGTGATAGGGTCAGGCATCAAACATGATTGCCAGCACCCGTGAAGAATTTCTGCCATCATTAAACGCTTCTTTTGAATATCTCCTTCACGGAGACTATCTAGGCTGGGAATCAACCCAGGATTCTTGACCATGTATGACATCAGGTCCGCCGGATCACCGCCAATAGGGTAAAATTCTAAACCTGCTTCTAGGATAAATTGTTCAAAGACATTGTGTGTTGCAATACGCACTCGGTGGCCCACATTTTGTAGCTCTGTGCCAAGTGCAACAAATGGTTGGACGTCCCCTCTGCTGCCCACGATTTGAATCACAATATTCAGAGGGAACTTGAAGGTCGGTACTTCTTCTGAATAGTCTGGTGGAGGTGCGCTCTGGGGGACAGCATGAGGCAATAGCTTAGAAAGAGATCTGCAGAGACGAGAACTAGCGTCCACAACAACACGGCCGTCATCTGTACCAAGTCAGACTTGCTTGGCCGAGCTCAATTAGGCTGACAAGTTTGCGGAGCCTACCGTTCACAGTGATATCCTGAGCGCCGCCAATATCTCGCGGAACTGCCTCGTATGGGGGTGGAGGCTGCTCATCAGCCGCCGTGTCGGCCACATGGGAATAGGTTTTGGAGTGTTCCATGGTTCAGACAAAATGTATCGAGAGAAACACCAAGACGATAGCAGAGCGTACAGGTGGACGGATACTCGCAGAATGTAAAAAGCTAGCCAGCAGCTTTAAACAGAAGAGAACTACCCAGGCTCTCAGTAAAAACCTTACCAAAATCCGCTGAATTGAGCCCCACCTGGCCGTTGCAGAAATTCCATGGTCTAATTCGGAATACGAGTACGATGTCAAGTTGGGTACGATTGTATTTCAAGATACGGTATGCTGATACCCTGTATGTATAGTTGAAGCCCCATCGAAATTGAATGCGGATTTTGCTAATAACTTAGATGTTTTGAAGGTTTGATTTCATATGAACTTGAAGATATTTATAATGGCATCCAAGTCCGTCTTTTCCCCAAGTTTGGAATTCTGCAAACCCAATTAGTGTATTACCCGTAATCGTGATACAATGTAATGAAAATACATGGGTTTGTCGATCACCTGATTAGAGTTATGATGTATGTAGTGGTGGGTCCGATCTATACGCGTATCCAGCCTCTAGGGCTTGGCTTGATAGAGTACCTAGGTTCACCCAATATATGTACCTGATTGAATCTCATTCAAAATTTACACATTTGTTGATATACCTTACCGCGTGTTTCGCATTTTAAGCATTCTAATATGCATGGAGGGGGAAAGTATATCCATCAGTTCTCATGAGATTTCGTTGAATATCTATTGTTGAAACAATTGCGATGGAAGCCCAAGGTGTGATCATTAGGCATGCATACATGTATGTAGCCTTGCGTGGCCTATCGTCACCCTGCGAGAAGAAATGTATACCTCTATATTTGAAAGACACATCATAGATATAACACAGGATTATGAGATATATTGAATCGCTATATTTACAATGTACACGAGGCTTCAAGCCTGCATCGCGAAACATGACAGGATTACTAGCTTGCATCTTCGAGGATGTCGAGCAATTTGAGGGAAATAGCTAATAACTTGGGGCAGTCCATGAGCTGAAGCTCATTTATAGAGCTCCGGATAAGCTGCTTTGATTATGTCGGCACCCTAGCATAATTAGAATAGAGTTCCAAGAGTTCAGCTCCTTGACATACCTTTTCTCCAATCATGTAGACTGCACTTTGGATTCGGCAGTCCGAAATGACTGGGATGATGGACGCATCAACAATACGAAGATTTTTAGCCCCGTGGACCCTCAAATGAGAGTCCACCACACCCTGGTCAATATCATTAGACAGTCGAGCAGTGCCACAGGGGTCTATAGAGATTAGCCTTCGAACTGCAAACCACAGAACCGCATTGAACTGACGAGATCCAGTCTGGGCCCGGTCCAGAATAAGGCGATCCATCTCTTCATCCGAATCACGTGGCATGGGCCACGGAAAGTCCTCAGCAATGACCTCTTTCATTCCATTGCCGTTCATAAGAATATCGTCAACAAATCAAACACCTTCTCTCAAGGCGAGGATATCTAGTTCGTCGGTAAAGTAGTTGAGATTGATTTCGGGTTGTTCACGTGGATCGATCGAATTGAGTCTGACATGCCCGCTCTTTGACTGTGGATGAAGGAGGTCGACGACGACCGTTAGCCAGTCTCCCTCCGGTGGGATATCAAAGTGCCACTGGAATGCATCACAGAACATGGGCTGGCTGAATTAGCAAGCACGTCTCTCTGCAGCTCTTGATCATTTACATACAATGAAGTCAATTTCAAAATGAGGTTGACCGTCAGGCCCAAAAGGATCTTTGCCTCCATTGTTCGCCTTAGCTTCTCGATACATATCATGTTCTTCGAGTTGCTTGTCGATGCGTGGAAATGCTATCATTTCAAGGAGGCCACTAGCAAGTGGACCCGTTTTATTCCGCTCGTATTGCTTCACGGCAGCATTGTGGGCAGGTCCCTCTCGAAGAAGAATATGGTCCAGCCCCACGCCATCCTTCAGTTTAAAAACGTGTGGCAGAATGGGATGGTCGAGAAGATGCTCGCCCACATGCTCGGACGTTATCACAGGGCGAATTCCATGACGAGCTAGTTCACGTCTGGGACCGATGCCAGAAAGAAGCAACAGCTTGGGTGTTTCAAAAACTCCACCTGCAATGATGATCTCTTTCTTTGCTTTCAGGGTGGTCTCGTTTTGATCCGTTCCGACAACAGTTACACTCACTGCAGTATCATCCTCAAAGTTGATCTTTGTGGTGACGGTTGAATGCATTATCTCCACGTTGCTTTTCCCAGTGACGTATACTGCGCTACTTGGCCGGACACCTTGGTAGACTGTACTGACACAATGAGTCAAGCCCTCCAATCTGCCATTATGAATGTCTGTTTTCAATTCATGGCCCTTGCTAGTCCATGCCTCTGTTAGAGCATCTCGGAAACTGCGGGTTTCTGGGAGCAGATTTGCATGGGGAATATGGAGTGGACCTTCGCGTGCGATTTCGGAAAACAGCGGGTCGGACACTCTCTCGTCACCATGGTATGAAGCTGGCTAAAGATAAGCTTGTCAGTAAATGAGACTGCAACCGTTCAGGTGTATGCTGTGCCTTTTCGAAATATTGTTTGCAATTTTCCCATGTCCATTCATCCCCACCATACTCCTGCCACGCATCGAATGTTTCCCTACTCCCACGAATCCAAGTGAAATAGTTCAAGCTACTACTCCCGCCAAGCATCTTTCCACGGGTATTGCGTTTCTCAACCCGCTCATAGTCAGGTCTGTCGACGAAGGTCGTCTGATAGGACCAGTCATACTTGCTGCTTCGGAGTTCGAATGCGCGAGCGGGTGTTGTTATCTCTGGTATATCGTCTGGATTACTATTCACAGTGTCAGTTGAGCGAGTGCCGGGCAAGTAAAATAATTACCCGAGTCCAGCTTCAATCACGAGTATCTTCACATCAGCATTCTCTGCTAATCTGCCTGCAACAACATTCCCAGCTGTTCCACCACCAACAACAATAAAGTCATATGTATTCGGATTTACTGAAGCCATTAAACAATGTCAAAGTGAGCAAAGCCACGAAAGTGATAATCTCGCTGCTCATCCACATCGCTTTTATAGTCAGCGCTGTCTTAGGACTTATAACTCAAGCAGTGGGTGAAAAGTCGCTCAACATCATGCTGTGTTTCTTTTGACCGGGGCTCGGAAAACCGTTTTTGGCCCAATAATCGTAAGTTTTTCAAGCTGTTAAGTGGGATGGTACCACGCGATTGTTCTATGTGGAACTCAAGCGTTGGGAAATTACTGAAATTAGGGGGCACGGACATCGCATTCCATATTGGAAACGGAACATATTCTAACTTTGCCTTTCCAAAGGCCTTGGATTTGTGCAACGCGCCGAAATATAAGCCGTCCGCCGAAAGGATTGAAGTGGTAAATTTATTGAGTCGGTTATATACCGAGTTCAAAACGGAAAAAGAAATGGATCGACCCCTGATTGACCCCCAGTCAGATACTCTGTGGGCCAGGGAGAAGTCCCATCGTCAAGCATGTTCATCACGGCCATTTCCGCCGGATCCCACGAGCCGGTAGTGCCGAAAGATGAGAATTGTGGGAAGTTGTTGGAACTTATTGATTGAACTTCAGGGGTGGGATAGAAGGGCTGTATCATAGCAGCCCGTTCGTCAACCCGCGCGGAGTATGGTTGGTGCAATTGCTCTCGTACAGGGGTGAATTGCAAGTTTGTGATATTCAAGTTTTGATGAGATTGTGCAAGAGGTGTTCTGGACTGTAATATGGCAGGCGACGCGGTATTTGCAGTGGAGGGGGAATCTGAAGTCGATCCTCGTGTGTCATTGCCATGTAAAGCTGTTCGCGCCATACGATAGATCGCGAGCGGGTTCAACACAGTTTCTGGGGTCTCTTCAACAGGGGACCCTGAAAGGGAGGGGCTATGAGTCATGTTAGCCAGTCACTACTCGAAGGCTTGTGTTGCAAGGCTCACATTTCCTCGGTTTCTTCTGACTCTCGTTCATTCGTAGAATGATGCGCAAACCCGGGGTGCAGACCTGCTGAAATCATCATTTTAACAACAGAAAGGTACTAGAAAGAAATAGTCAGTAGATATTTTCCAACATAATATGGGCACGTGAGGAAAAGAGACATACGCAATGCTCGGCTGTCGCAACGAGGGATCTCATCTGCATAAGTGTTTCCATATTTTTGTTCACTAGAATCTTTGTTTCATTTGTGTCAGACGCGCTCAAAGAAGCCGATGAGTCCGTGACGTTCTTTAAATAATATAGCATGACCTTGGTGCTGTCGTGTGCAATGATACAAAGCCAAGTATCAGCCAGCGCTTTGATGCCATGTCTCAATGCTTCGACAATTACCTTGGAGACTTCCCGAGCGCTGTCGAAGCAAATCCTACGACAATAATCCAAGAATTCTTTCTTATCTGATGGAAAGTTGACATGCCGTCTAATGCGGAAAAGGGTAGGCATTCCAATCCGATAGAGATCCACCAACGTTTGGTGATAAGTACACCAAAGCAGTGTCAATGCACCTAGTTGCGACGATTCCTTGCGGGCCCAAATTGAACTTGAGTTCCATTTGAGACTCTGTGGAAGATGATGTCGCCAGCTTTCACATTCGGTCGATAGCTGTTGAAATTCAGAATCGGGTTCCCAGGGAGGTTTTGAGGTATCAAGCTGTTTCACATATCTGGGGAATGATTCAAGGTAAGCAAACGATGTATGATCGTGTTAAAGCTAAAGATGTTCTTACCGAAGAACCCGTTTCCGAATGCTCACAAGGCGAATAAAATATGCCTCTATGCCCATATTTTGAGCAGGTTGGAAATGGGTATGTTCTTTCGGAATGAAGCCAAGGACCTTTCCCTCATCTAGGACTTCGGTGATGCAGGCGGTTCCCAGGGAAAAGTTGAGACTGTGACACGGAAGCTGAATCTTGAGGTCTTTGTCTTCGAGCAGAGTGAGCTGATTGACACCACTACCAACCCAACTATCCATAACATAACAACTCCACATCAGACGTCGTTTTGATTCGTTGGCAATGGGACATATAGAGTTCCGCTGAGTACAGAGAACGTCGGCAGAGCTCTCAAGATTAAGCTGTAGTGCTTGAGAAATTCTTGCAGTGATGCTACTGAGGATGAATGCACTTGCATAGCTTCCAATTCGAAGATCATGATCATATAAGAGAATTGCAGTCTTGGCGAGCGAAGGTTAGTTAACAGAGCCAGTTATAGCATATATGATCATCACACAGTCTTACCATCAACTTCTCAAGAGAAAGATCGTCCAAGTCCTCAAACATTCGCGCTTTGGCAATCTTTGCCCACTGATTACCAGCTGTGAGTACTGATTCCGGGGGAAACTGGGAGGGATGATCAAGCGCCAGAAATCTGTTGCTGATAAGACGCAAATTCAAAAAATGAAAAGAAGAAAACAGAGAAGTACACAACTTTTGAGACTTACTTTGCTCCCAGCGCACATATGATATGAAGAAGGGATTCATTATTGCAACAGGCTTCTGGGTCTTCGTCCAATCGCTGCATGAACGAAGGCTTATGCACAAACCCAAAGCAACGTAGAGGATGAACATGAGCAAAGTATTCTTCTACCAGAATAAGGATTCGGCCTTTGTCGGGTAGTTGTTTGGAGTAAAGCCTGCGTGGTCAGTGTCGCGGTCAATGAGCAGGATGGAGAAATATACCATGAGATAGAGGTAGAACTGCTTTCAGCAGGTGGTTGAAAGGATGATTGAATTGGTTGAGGCATATTAGGTATAATAATAGAGCTTGGAGATGAGGTATGGACACCAGATCGTGATTCAGAAGTCGACTTGCTTTGAATCCGGTGCGTGCGCCCTGCGCTATACGTGCACTCAATGTCTCTTCGATAGCACCGGGTACATCTTTCCCCTCCCGAGCACCGAGCCTTTGCATGGCGACAGGCATGACATGATTTAGACACTCGATGTCGTGTTGTGCCCGCTTGGGTTAATCCTGCGTCGCACTTACCGCTCTTCTGAACTCTCGCAGAAAGCCCAGCTTGACCTGGTTTACCTGGACAATCTAACTCAAGGCGTTCACAATTCGAGCATATTGGCCAGCGCTCATCACATTTTACCTTGCGTGCACGACACAGAAGACAGCCTAGAAGTGTTAGCCCTTGCATATACTGAATTGCTTGGCATGAAATGATAAGTGGAGCTAACCTGATCGAGATCTCCTTGTGCTTGATTGTTCTCCATCTCCACTCCACGATAACATGACTACCGACTGCCGATGTAGGCGCTGAATGATTATAACAAAGGGGACAAGAAGAGAGAAACGAGCGGATCTCGCGTGGGTAGCCCCCGATGGCGGGGGACTACGGCAAAACCCGATTAAGCTTGGGCTTGGCAGCTTCTTGCTCGACTTGTGATGCTCGTCTTCTTCGCGAGGAATTCGTTGATTCGATGTTCGAGAGGTTTTGATTAGCGTCTATTTGGGGCACTCGGGGAATGCCTTTTAGTGTCTTGCCACATGATACGCGATTTATACCACAACCCGAGGAGATCGCCGAGGCTACTGCCGAGAATGTCGAACCAATTGACCAGCTTCTTTCATAATGAAACCAGAAAACAATCTGCGTATTTGATAGCTCCAGACGCCACGATTTCACCATTCGATATCCATTTGACGTTTGACCAGAATTATCCGGCTGTCGCCAAAACATGCCGGGTATCGGCTCAAGCACCAATCACAATGGGCGACAAACGAAGCTATCGAGCCCATCTCAACGAAGTGGAGCTACATAAAATCCGGGGCCCCAGGGACGGAGCATTTGCTGCTGTGTTCTAGGACTTTTTTTTCTGTGTCGCATTGTCTATCAAGCTTGTCAAGATGGGCAAAATACCTGAGTTGAACAATGTCTACCTCATCAGTGGACTGGCGACTATCGGCGGTCTAATCCAGGGCTTCGATGTCTCCAGCATGTCTGCCATTATTGGCACTGATAACTACAAGAACTACTTCCACAAACCGAACTCGGTTGCTCAGGGTGGAATCACAGCCAGTATGGCTGGTGGTTCGCTGCTTGGTTCGCTCTTTTCCTCGTGGACGAGTGACCGATATGGTCGTCGTGACTCGATGTTTATTGCTTGCATCTTGTGGTTGATCGGCTCAATTTTGATGAGCGCAGTGCAAAATGTCGCCATGTTGATTGTCTCGCGCATTATAAATGGCTTCGCCGTTGGAATACTTACGAGTCAAGGGTAAGATGTCCGCTCTGGAGACCCTGCCACTGCCGCTAACACTATCCCTAGTCCGATTTTGATTGCTGAAATCAGTCTTCCACAGCAGCGTGGTAGACTTCTCAGCTTGCAGCAATGGATGATTACTTGGGGTGTATGTGATCGATTCATTTGTCTCTCCGATCATGCCCAGCTAACATTGGTCTCAGATCCTTATTATGTATTTTATATCATATGGCGCATCCTTTATGAGCAGCCATGCATCATTCCGTCTGCCATGGGGTCTCCAAATGATCCCAGCTATCATTCTCATGGTTTTCCTACCCATGATGCCGAGATCGCCGCGCTGGTTGGCCACACAAGACCGGTGGGAGGAGGCTGTGAATGTTCTGGCACGACTACACGCCAAGGGCAACACCCTTGATCCGATCGTCGTTGCGCAAGCTACTGAAATTCGCGAAAAACTTGAGTACGATCCCTAGACCGCTTGCTCGATCTGTTTGCCGTTACTAACCGACCTCAAGACTCGAGCGGCAATACGAGAGCACCTCCTGGTCCGAGTTGTTCAATTCCCGAAATATCGTTCGCGTGCATTGTGGCATTTTCACACATGTGTGGTCCCAGCTGAGCGGAACAAACGCTATGATGTACTACATTGTTTACATTTTCCAGGTAAGATTTACTCGCCAACATCTTTGGATTGGGACATTGGATTGACATGCTTCGTACAAGATGGCTGGTCTGACAGGCAACAATGCCCTCCTTTCCGCGACAATCCAATACATCATCAATGTGGTCATGACACTCCCTGCACTCTTGTTCATGGATCGTCTCCCACGCCGCCGCTTGTTCATTGCAGGTGCTCTTGGCATGTCCATTCTTCAGTTTGTCCAAGGAGCTCTCATGAAATCATTCGGCGAGGCTGTTCCCGGAGGTCTCAAGGGCTCTCCCACGGTTACTTGGAGAGTGACTGATGGAGTAGCGTCAAAGGCAATTATCGCCTGTTCTTACCTGTTCATTGCTGTCTATGCACCTAGTTGGGGGTGAGTACCTTGTGCCTTAACAGTTTCAAGATTATTAGCTAACATTTTCTCTCCCACAAGACCTCTAGGATGGTACGTTTCAATATTTTGATGAAGGTTTCTTTCTGACTACAAGAGCTAACATTCTTCATAGGGCCTACCCCCCTGAGATTATCCCCCTCTATATTCGCAGCAAATCCGTCTCTCTGGCGACATTCTTCAACTGGGCCTGCAATTTTGCTTTAACTTTCTTCTCTCCTCCTGGATTCCAACATATTCAATACAAGGTGCGCTGAGAATACACCGATGAGGATACTTTACGGCTGACTCTAGTCTCAGATGTATTTCGTGTTCGGAACCTGTTGTTTCGTTGCTGCTATCCATGTCTTCCTTCTCTTCCCAGAGACATGCGGCAAGTCGCTGGAGGAGATTGATGCAAGCTTCAATAATGAAAGCATATGGGCTTTCAAAGCTAAGTCTGTACCAAGCCGGCTTGCAGTCGATATTGAGCAGGCAAAGGAGGATTTGGAGGCGGGCAAGGTGCCCGAGGCTATTTTTGAGCCGAAGAAGTAGAGATTTATGGGGTTGAGAAAGTAGCTAATAATCCGATATATACATTTACATAATTAATAAGATTTGTCGTGCATCTAAAACTCCCAAGCAGCCTCAAAGTGCAGCACACCTAATATCTTGACCTTTCCACTCTTCCATCCTTCCACCCATTTGAGTCTTTGAGAAATCGATGTTGTATAGTCACGAAATAACCTCGCATAATGGCGCAACCACATAGTGGACCTACATCGGGGCCACTGAGCTTCTACGCGAGATCCGGCCGACATCCGCGCAATAGCTCATCCCCACATACAGAAAGAAGCCGACATCCGTTCATCACAAGCTAAGCTAAATAATGTCGCGGGAATCCCATTCGCAAGTTCCAAAAAGAAACCCTGCACATCTCAATTGGAGAAGAAACATCATTGAGCTCTCGTCGCAACCATGGCTAAACGCAACATCCTCCTTATGATCGCCGACGATCTAGGCAAGCAATTGGGCTGTTATGGAAACACTAAGATCCAAACTCCAAACTTGGATCAGCTAGCCTCTGAGGGAACAAGATTTGACCAGGCGTTTACGTCGACTGCTTCTTGCAGCGCTAGTCGATCCGTCATCTACACCGGCCTACACACTCACCAGAATGGGCAATACGGGCTACACAATAACCGACACCACTTCACAACTTTCGATCATGTCGAGACTGCACCTGCTCTCTTCTCAAAGCACGGCTATTCCACCGGCTTGATTGGCAAGGTCCACGTTGGGCCATCGGCGGTTTACCCGTGGGATATGTGCGCGGAGAGTGACAGTCGTGATGTGGCATCGGTTGCTGATCAAGCTTCGGCGTTCTTCGAAAAGTCAAGTGCAGACGAGAAGCCTTTCTTCTTGACCATCGGCTTTATCGATCCCCACCGGGACTGGACTCGTTCCGGATTTGGGAATGACGGCGAGTACGACGCCCGCGTGAAGAAGATTGATTATTCGCCCGAGGACGTGGAAGTTCCACCATTCGTCAACGACCTCCCCGGCGTGCGATATGAATTTGCCGAATATTATAAGTCTATCTCCCGCCTCGACCAAGGCGTGGGGATGGTGTTGGAAGGATTGAAGAAATCCGGGCTGGCCGATGATACTCTGATTATCTTCCTAAGTGACAATGGGCCGCCATTCATCAATTCCAAGACAACACTGTACGACGCCGGTGTGAGTCTGCCACTGATCATGAAATGCCCCGGCTCACCTTCGGGAATCACAAACCCCAATATGATTTCATACATCGATGTACTGCCCACTCTTCTCGATTACGCGAAGCATCCTAGCCCCGAGCATCCAGATCGCATTGGTCGTTCAATACTTCCTGTCCTGGCTGAAACATCTCCGCTTGAGGACTGGGGCCAGGTCTTTGGATCGCACACATTCCACGAGGTCACCAACTATTGGCCGACGCGCATGATGCGTAATCGGAAATACAAGTACCACCGCAACATTGCCTGGAGGCTTGATTTCCCATTCGCTGCTGATATCTATGGCTCATTGACATGGGAAGAAATTCGAAATGCCGATACCAGTCCTAAGATGATTGGATCCAGACCTTTGAAGGACTACTTCTTCCGTCCGGCTGAGGAGCTGTATGATATTCAGGCTGATCCGAATGAGATTCGCAACCTTGCCAAAGATCCTGAGTATCAGTCTGTGCTTGAGGAGATGAGAGTGGCCCTGGAGAAGTGGCAACGTAGGACAGAAGACGCCTGGTTATTCCGGGATGGTGTTTCCTTGCTATTTGTTAGACACCATCTCGAGGCTGGGTTCGAGGTGCCGGATCGTTTGGACTTTGATGTTGATGCGCCTGAAAGTAAGGGACAGCCAATTTTCAAAGGAGATTTGCCCTGGGGTGTTGCAGCAAAGTGATTTAGTTAGGTAAATCAAAATTAAATTTACTGGAATCGAAGAGAGATCAGAGATCTATAAAGTGGGTGGTACTCACAACTGGAATTGTGCATATCCCACACACTTGGGGAGGCTTGTACCTAACGGCCCAGTCATCGCCCTGTTTTGAATGAACTCAATGCTACGGTTGAGCGGATCAAGTGAGGGACTGTAGGTGGTCAATACTTTACACAGCCAGGATTATCAGGTAAAGAGAATTGGGTCCTATGGAGATTTGGGTAGTCTGTCACATGCAATGTTCAAACATATTTATTTCACCGGTGGACTTCGTAAGCAGATGTATATAGGATGGTGACAATATTGTATGCCATATGTTCGAGTTTCAATATATGAAGAGAAGAGACCGAGAATAATAAAACCCCACAACACCATAAACCACAAATGGAAGCAGAAAGCCAATCTACTAGAAACGGCTCGTTCGTTAAAAGATCATAATATAGTATGCGCCAATATATGGCCAGCGATACCCCGAAATGAAGTTTGCATTCACCCACTCCGACAGATGGATGCATCATGCGCTTTGCAAATATGCAATTGTTCACACCTCGCCCCAAGTGCCAAGCCCAGCACCCACGCCAATAGCGCTGTTACTTTCGCTACCGCCAATATCCCAGTAGTTCCGGCTAGAGCTTGTCATTGTCCGCCGGCTGGAAATGGCTGATAGCTTGGCGCTCTGGCTGGCGCAACTGGAGCTAGGTCGTCGGAGATGCGGTCGTAGGAGTGGCGAGGAGACACCCGCTGGGTTTGAAACACCAGAGAATTGTGATGCACGACGGGCCTGAGTTTGTGATCGGGAGTGGGCACGCGCTACGAGTGGGTGATGTTGCCGGATGATGGCTGCTCGGCGGGATGCATCTTGCGGGCGGCGGGGTGGAGTTGGTGTGTTCGTTTCGTTGGGCATGTAACCTCGGCGGCCGAACCGGTTGCGGAGGTAGCGGAAGACCATCATTACATCTAGTCCACTTTCCCAATACTCAGATTCATGTTGGAGTTTTGTTGATTCGGGGAGTTGGTCAGATCGTTTTGGGTCCTCATCTTCAATACCCCATTGTGCCTCATGCTCTCGATTTGAGTCGCGAATAGTAGGCATGAAGTGAGGGGATAGCATTGACTCGCCATTTGTATCGGCGGTGGTTGTTGAAGTGGATTCGGCGGGTTTCTGAGAGATCCCGCTTTCCGCTAGGCGGTTGAGAGACATCCCCGCATATTCGGCGGATATATCTTTAGTCATTTGATAATATGTTGTAAATGCCCCGGGGTGTTCACACAGTTGGTGAACAAGGATCCCTAGCTCATGGGCAATCGTCTTGAGCACCTTTGTCTGCCATAGCGGTGAATCACTATACTCTGGGTCTGGTTCACGAGCCAATACCGTTTCCATGTCTAATGGATTCTCCTCGGTATGAGATTGCGCGTCCAGCGGCAAAGACTCACCAAAGATTACGGAGAGCAAGGAATCATCAATCCCGATCAGGTCACGGATCACGGTCCGAGTGATACGGCGCCAGAAAGATTCCTCGTCCTCCGAGCCATCTTTCGACAGAGAGATGTCCCGTGATAACATCTCAGACACACGCATCTGCGGGCTGTGATCAATGGAGCGACGAAGGGTCGATCGGCTGGTCAGACTCGTCCGCCTCTGTTTGGTTTCCCGTTCGATCTCCTGCAATAGAGCCCGGCTCTGGTCCATTCGCCATTCCTCGATTCGCTGCCATCGTTCTCGCTCGACACTTGTCTCGCCCTCTCCGACGGTATCTAAATGTCTCTGTACGCTTGAGTTACGGCGACGTTGGAGATGGTCATACGATAGCCGCTGGGGGTTGTATTGCTCGTGCCGCCAGAGCTGATCCTGGACTGCCTGACTCGATGCCTGGAAACTGCCTAGCCCATCATGGGCTGGGAGCATCGCCGGCGGGCCCTGATCGGCCCTGATGGGGGAAGCCGGAGCCAGATCGGGTGCTCTAAAGGCGTGCAGTCCATCATCTAGGCTGTCCAGTTCGGTTCCATCTTCGTCTAGTTGGTCGTCGAGGGGATTCTCGTCATCGGGTTCACCCTCGATGCCAGATCCAGATTGGGTTGCACCAAATGAGCCGAAGTCACTCAGTCGAGAAGCTCCGACAGTACGTGTGCGGTCGGTTGAAGTCGTGTGTGTACGAGCGGTCGGGGAAAATAGGACCCATTGTGCGGTGTCGTCATCGCGTTGTTCGGCCGAGGAGGGGATTTCGAGAGTAGGCGGTTGGGGGGTCGGATAAGAAGTCCTGCGGCGAGGAATATGTGTTGGGACCTGGAAGGCCATGCTGCCCAGGTGATCTGGTAGCTCTACAGCAGATAGGGAGCCAGATAGTGGCACAGATAAGCAGTTTTGATGGTGGGTCCAGATATCACAGGGAATGCAGGCAAGTGGGGGAATAAAGGCATTCAAGCATATGAGTTTTAGGGATAAATAAAGTAGAAAGAGTCCAAGTTCCAAGGAATGCTAAAGGACAAGAGAGTGCTCTGGTGGTGATGTGGTGGATGTGATGTGACGAGAGATTAGCTGATAAGCGGGCATCTATCCAGCTATGCCCAAAAAGGGGATTCAACGATCCAACCTCGCAATGACCCTCCAATGATGCAACCGGTATCGGAATGGTGAGACCACTTTTCGAGTCCCGTATCCGTTCTAGCCAGTTTGAGGCACAAAGAGCCTGAATCTTAAAGTCTCAGCTGACAGATGGTCACCAGGATCGACACTGTGACGTGTGAACTTGCCATCAGTCACATTTTATATGTTGTACACCCAAGATCGGTCTGGAAAAAAGAAACATTCCACCGTACTTTGATATTGCCAAGCAAATCACTGTGTTAGAAGACCTCCTAGTTGCTTTGTTTGCACTAATACATATGTACCCCTCAGTTGGTCCTACTACACGACAGATAGTAAACTGCCAACATAGACACCATGACTATCACACGTTCTGCCACGAAGGCAAATCAGTCAGAAAGAGCGATCCCTGGCCATCCATAGGGACAAGTTATGCGAATGTCCGAATATAACACATGGGGCAATTGGCTCGAAACAAAGCCGGGGGTTGGCCGTAGCATATACGGTGTAGGGGGCTGGGAGCTGCGATCATTGTGTGATTCCTATGCGGAGGTTCATCCGAGCTATTGGCCTACTATCTTGACCCATTGTTGCCTTTGTTAAAACAGAATAGCTGCTTGATTGTCTTGTTCACAATCTTTAACGCTTAGGGAGAAAAGATTCCCGATTTGGCCAGCTGCCTGAAATTCAAGGTGTCTGGAGATGCTTCCGGACTTCTACGTACCGATAGGGAGCGATAGCTATCGAAGTGAAAGATGACTGGTATCATTGCTCACGGGGTATATATTAGTCTACTGAAATATAGTATCTCCAGCCGACAATCATTCCTTTCCAGCCAGCGCCTCTCCCACCCAGTCCATCTGCACAGCACTGACGCCACGCGCGTAACTGCGGTTGGTGAACACAAATTCGTTGTACATGATAGCCTCCAGCTTCTTGCCGTAAAGCACACTTGATGGGTGAATGGCGACGGTTTGGTTTCCGACGATCGTACGGTAACTACCATCGGGAACGAGCCGAGCCGTATTAGTCGCGAATCCGGCTAGGAAACTCTGGAGAATGAGAATCGGCGAAGGGTCGTGTAATGTGGTATTGTTCAAGGCTTCATTGGTGAGCAGTTTGGCTTGTCGGCATTGGGTGCGGAGTTGTTTGCGGACGTCCTGATGTGGTTTCGTTAGCTATATTTTACTAGCATCCGGGAATTATGGCCTACTCACCATGACTGATTGCATCGCCCGATGGGAGACTAGGTGTCGCTCTGCCCATGCCTTACGGTCGGCTTGCTCAGCAGCATATACACGTACGGTCATCAGCATTGTGAGGTGGTCGCCCTCGCGACGGTATAAATCGCGACGGGCTGCCTCTGCTGCCTCTTTCTTCTCTTCCGAGGTGGTGTTCAGGAAAATGTTTTCCACACTCAGGCAAGAGATAATATCAATGACATCAAGCAAGCATTCATGCCCGTTTTCAGCAGCTGCCAACAAGACACGTCCGAGAGTTGGAGTCAAGGGTAGCTTAGCAATGTGCAGACCGACAGCGCTAATTTTTCCATCATCCTCCAGGGCATTAATGTTCAGTAGCTGCAGGAGAGCTTTCTCGAGGGCCTCGCGTGGTGGACGGGTTAGGAAGGGGAACCCAACAATATCATCCACACCACGCGCTTTCATGTTCAGCAGGGCTTGGCTCAGATCGCAGCGAAGAATTTCGGGAGTATTTGTCTCATCCAAAGCCAGATAATCTTTCTCTGTGTACAGACGGAAACATTGACCAGGAGCCTCACGACCCGCTCGACCCTTTCTCTGGATCGCAGCAGACTTGGAGATAGGCTTTACCAGGAGTGAGTCAAGACCAAGACGAGTGCGGAACTGCTTGACCTTTGCTTTGCCGCAGTCAATCACGTGCCGTACACCAGACACAGTGACGGAGGTCTCGGCAATATTAGTGGACAGCACAACCTTGCGCGTTCGCGGCGGAGCAGGGGCGAATACGCGTTGCTGAGCAGCCTGTGGCAACGCGGCGAACAGAGGTAGAACTAGAATCTTAGGAAGAGATGGGTCCATGCTCATGGCGTATTCATTAACCAGATGTTCCAAGGCCTCGACAGTTTCCTGACCAGTCAGGAAGACCAGGATATCACCCGGCATTGGTTCCTTCTGGTGAATCTGAAAGATTATTTTGAGCGCTGCATCCACGAAGTCATGTACAGGCGCGGGCGAGTAGATAGTTTTGACCGCGAATTGCCGTCCCTTAATGTGGCAGACAGAGATGTCTTTGGGGGTCGAAGTGTCCATTTTATCAGCTTCAGCCTCAGCTGATTCGATAGCCTTCTTCGCTGGCTCCGGACGTTTGAACCCAGCTTGGAAGAAGTCCGTTAGGCTCTCCATGTCAGCTGTAGCACTCATGACGACCACTTTGAGTGGTACACCACCCCGGCCCTCCTTCTTTCCAGATACTAGATTACGCAGGAATCCAAGTGTCAAATCCACGTTGATGCCTCGTTCGTGGACCTCATCAACAACAATAGCGCTGTACTTTGTCAGATTCGGATCGTGCAACATCTCTTGGAGTAGCATTCCCTCCGTCAAGAATTTGACCCGTGTACTAGGTGATGTAGACGTATCGAAACGCACAGAGTAGCCAACCTTGCTAGCAGGCGAGTGTGATCCAAGCGGCGTTCCCATCTCCTCAGCTACACGGCGGGCCAGCGAAATGGCAGCCACTCGTCTTGGCTGAGTGATAGCGATGCATCCTCCCACCATTTTCTTTTCCGTCTTTCCATCCCGTATAATTTGTGTAGGCACGGGCCGACACCAAAATTCGTCTACCAGGAACTGCGGAATCTGTGTACTCTTTCCGCTACCCGTCTCTCCGACCAAAAGCATCACATCTTGTTCTCTTAGGAGCTCGCGGATCAAGTCGGCATTTTCGAATACGGGGAGCTTTCTTCGTGTCTCGAGGAGGGCTTTGGCCTTTTCTCGTAAGGGTGTGAAGTTGGTTTTGGTATCGGCGAAGGGTCTCGGCTTCGATTTCAGATACGACTTTGATGCTGGCAAGCCGCTCGTTTTTGATGCTGTCTCTGGCTTCTCTTCTGACACAGGAAATGTTGTTTTTACCTGCTTGGTAGATGCAGGCGCAGGGAATTCCCTCAGCTCATCGTGATCGGCGAGTTTCGAGGCTTCGCGCTCATCGAGCTTGCGCTTCTTGCTTCTCTTCTTCTTCCGCTCGGGCTCTTCTGTGGATTGAGGCAAGACCTTGGGCTTCACAATTTTCTCGTCGTCCGAGTCCGCGAACACGGTACGAACCTTTTCCGGCATTTTGAGGTCTGGCGCGAAAGAATGTTGACCAGAGACGAGCCCCAAATCTGAAAATTTTGCCTTATCGATAAGCTGATAAGAATATCCTTATCGATCCCAACAACAGATCTCGGGAGGCAATTGGGATGAGAACGCTCAGATTTCTAGATTATACATCATTCTTTTTTTAATTCATCTTATAATATGGTAAAACAGCTCTGAACATTTATGATAGGCAAATAATAATTGAAATAATATGGCTATACCATTGTTCGAAAACAGGTACTTCTGATTCAATGTTCATCGGCTTTGCAGACCCCTTTGTATTTCCCCCAATCGACCATCTGATCAGTGGAGTAATAGGCTAACATATCGGCCTTCTATAGTGACATGGAATGACCACTCTCCTAGCTCTAATACTGAAACGGAATAACTAAGAACAGACAACTGAAGGGAGATCTCAAAGAGCATTCGAAGACATTTAGGACGACATACACATCGAGAAAAAAAAAAAAAAAAAGCACAGAGCGATGACTGGAGGATGTTATCCTCGATGGATATTACAATAAGGAGCCAAACTCTACGTACCGTGACTGTCCATACTGACTCCTCAGAGTCGCGGATCTGAGGTTGCTACAGCACGGTTGAATCCAAGAGGGATTTCAGAATTCCCTCATTCTGCTGCAACGCATTCAATGACCCGGATTCCACAATCCGTCCTTTGTCCATCACAATAATATAATCACTATCCACGATACTCTTCATTTGGTGGGCCACCACTATTATGGTATAGCCTCGGAACTCCTCGTGGATCACTTGTTGAAAAATACCGCCAGTCTCCTTGTCGACACTAGTGGTAGATTCCTCGAATAGAACAACTTTCCCACGGGACGAGCGAAGCAAGAGAGCGCGGGCGAGCAAAAAAAGTTGCAACTGGTCTTGCGACAATGTCAAGGCTTTCATCGGTAAGTCGAGATAAAAGGTTGGCAATAGCCCAGCATCTCTGGCACTGAACTCTAGGCTTGACCACAGGTGGACTGTTTTCAGAGTTGCGGCAATCTTCTTGTCTGTGGCAATTCCCTCAACATCCAGGTTCCTGCGAATAGAATCGCCTGGGATGATAAATGATTCCTGCGGGATTGTTATTATTCGGGATCTTATCAGATCTCGTGATATTGAGCTCAGATCTAAGCCGTCAATGAGGATGGTGCCCTCGGATAGGTCAATCATCCGTAAGATGGCGAGGAGCAGAGATGATTTGCCACTACCAGTCGGTCCGCAGACGGCAATTTTGTGGCCAGGTGAAACATTGAAAGTGATGCCTGTGAGGGCGTGGTCCGATGCAGATGTTCCTTCGCCCGCACTATGGGAATCTGAAACAACGTTGTTCAGAGTTATTTCGCCACAGGAAGGCCATGATCGAGGTATGGCATGTTCTTGTGTGGGTTGAGACTCGGGGGCTACCGTCATTTCAAGGTGCCTGATGCGGGAAATGACGCCCAACGATGTACTGAAATTTGTCCATGACTGCACTGTGATCATCAAGACCATATTCAACACCAGTATCACGTTCATACTGATGCCAACATCACCGACTGTTATGCTACCTGTAAACGTGACTATAATAGCAACATTGACTAGTGCCAACCCGGCGACGATCAAATCGATGACCAATCCGAGCCAGTGGTCAAGGGCATGCAGTGTGTATGACGGTAGTTGTGCAGCATCCAAATCCGTACTATTATGGAGAGCGTAGGCGTCTTCCCAACCAAATGCACGGATTGTGGATATTCCCCTAGCAGTTTCCACAAAGCTGTCTTTCGGAAGGGAACTCACTTCCATGCAAAGCCTCCTATTCTGTCGACTAGCCGTAAGATATATCCGTTGGATAATGTACAAAAACATCAAAAGAACGGGGAGTGCTATGAGATTGTATGTGTGTGCCATGCAGAGTAACATGATCTGACCCAGGAGTTTGAACGTCTGACCTCCTAGTGCGGTGATCTCACGGGGTAATTTACGATCGAGTTGCCGCATATCATGACTAAATCTCGAGAGCAAGGTCTCGATGGTGATAGAATCTATGAGAGATAAGGGGGCCTTTATGACAGTCGAAAGCAGTTGATCGTGCAGAGCGCGACTTGATGTAGGAACAACAAGAAATTCGACGGTCCCAATTCCCGTCAATGATGCCCAATGCCCGATTCCTAGTGCAAAATAGACCCCGATGTAGAAAGTGGCCCGCTTGTCGGGTTCCTCGTCATCTGTCCATAGCCAAAGCCAGTTCTGAACGAGCATGGCAAAAGCTGCGGAGGAGAGGAAGATGACTATAGTGACCAGGGATCGCCACCTTCCAATTGCAGAAACGTATTCTGTGTGGGCAGTATTGCCTGTGGGGTTTTGTAAAACATCGAATGACTGTCCAGGGGTCGCCCAATCCCGGCGGGGGATATTCATCTGTGGAGGATCCTTGCTGTGCTCATCTAATAATCCCATTTGTCTTTGGAGATTCAAATTGTTGTAACACGCCTGAACTTCGGGCTCGTTCCAATTCCCTTGCGCACATATGGACCCGTTTGGGCCGAGAATAACTATTAGATCCGAGTGCTGAAGAAGGTTCCCTAGATTAGTCGTATTAGTCAATCTCAAGGGCCTAGAACTGGAAAGAGTATACTAACTTGAATCGGTGATCAAAAAAACTGTCTTGTTGAGCTCACGAAGTAGGCCAGCCGGCCCAAATAGCCGTTGCATCACACGAGATGAAGTCTCTGTGTCCAGGGATCTGAATACATCATCTAGAATGAGAATATCTAGTCGGGAGTATACTGCTCGAGCTAGCGCCTTCTTATGATAAGTCCATGTCCCTTCGCATTGGATTCCAAACTTACCAATTGTTGCATCTGGGCTCCAGAAAGAAAGTTACCCTCGCCTCCTACCAGAGTCTCATCTTTATTTGGGAGTTGAAGGAGATCGAAATCCACGTCACAGGCATAGAGAACTCTCCGGTACCAGTCTTCGTCAGTCACCCTGGATCCCGGGGGTCCAGCTATGATATCTCTGATTGTGCCATCTCTCAACCATGGAGATTGTGCACAGAAAGCTACGTTGTCAGCAGAGGTTGATACGGATCCGCTCTGGAGCTTTACATCCCCCAGAATTGTTTTGGCGAGAGTTGTCTTTCCCGATCCCGTCAAACCCGCAACAAGCACAAGCCAACCGGTTTGTATTTTCAGATTAATGTTTCTCAGCACGGGTTGGTCGTCAGTATTGTATCGAACTGTTGCAAAGTTGACCACGATGGCGTAACCATCTTCCGGGTACAGAGGCCCTACAATAATATCACGGTGCTGATGCTGGTCAGGGTAGATGTAGGCTAGGAAGTGTTCAACCTGGCCTTCGGGAATCTTGCGACTGTCTTGGTGGTCGGACTGAAGAAGGAATCTTTGAATCCTATCGAATCCGATCACGGCCGATATAAACTCTGGAAGAATAAACATGATTGAATTTGCTGGGAGGGTCACCATTTGGATCAGAGCAAAAGATGTGAACACAAGGTCTGCATCAAGAGTAACTTCCCCGGTCATTCTGGCGAGACCAGTGTACAGTGCGAGCGAGATGGCGGGACTAACGACGTTTGGGAAGCTGCCTGGAGATCCAGCTTGGTTAGCCGTCAAGCCGATATTGGAGAACCAGTGTTGACTTACCACTCGCTGCCATGATAATGTCGAGTCAGGATGTGACTAGGCCCGCTCTGATCTCATTGTCGCGCACAGCTTGGATTTTGGTCTCCATGGCGTGTGAATATCCCATCATTTTGATGGGCTTTAGATGCTCTAGTAGTATCTTCATGAGGCCCATTCGAACCTGTGTTGCCTCGTTCCATGCTGTATATTTCCCAACAAAATACTTGGAGGCATATTGTCCACATTGGGAAGTCACTACAGTAGAGTATGACAATGTTAATGCCAATCAGGATTGGATAGCATGTTGTCACTTACGGCATACCAAGATTAGCGGAACTACGCTGGCCCATCCCAGCCTAGATGCGAGCAAATATAGCCCAAGGGACAGTGATAGGAACGACGACCATATCACATGAGTCCAACCAAAAGCCGTTTGAATTTCTTCAACGTCATTGATCAGCAGTGTAAGATCAGAATATCCATCCTTATCGCATTTCAAGGTCTTCTCGTGAAGAATTCCAATTAGCGAGCCCTTGACTGCAATCATGACCCGTCGTTTAGCAGTATCTCGGCAATCGTTGAAAATCTGGACTTTGCGTAAGCTATTAATGGTGCTTGAGTGAGTAGAGACTACTCACAGCTGATCCGATGTAAACAAAGGTTGTTGCAGAAAGCAGTTTGAAGACTTCAATCCACGCTGCATCACCAGTCGGGGAGTCACTGACGTATAGGATTAATTCCGACATAAGCATAGGCTGTGCGTAGCGAAGACATATTGCGCCCAGCATATACGGAACCACACACAGGTTCTCGCGTAGTGTGCATCTCAATGTCGCTACTGCTAGAGCATGACTTCCCTCTGGCCTCGCTGCCGAGTGTGTTAACTAGCGGTCGCATGTTGAATACCGTACCGTATCACTTACATCGACTCTCCCAACAAGTCTTCATCTTCCTTCTAAGGATACTGGACGATAATTGCTTGGGCAGCGGCAGAAGATCATCAGATATTCGTAGCGCCGAGTTTGTCCAGCAGCAGAAAGTCTCCAAGAAAATACTTTCAGTGTTTTCAAGTGATGTGTTCAGCCATTGCTCACGGACAATTGATCTTTTACTTTTCAATTCCAAAGCAAGGAGTACCACTTTGATGATTGATAAGATCATGTTGAAAGCAGAAGGCTTACACCCGCTCTCAGTGGTCAGGTACAACGCAGCAGTTTGCGCAACATCGACAGAAATGGATAGAAGCAAAAGCATGTTCAACGAGTCAAACGGGCTTATTTTCCGACTGTGCGCTAGAAGTGACAAGTAGGGAATGAGAAGGGAGCCAATAAAGGCGCCGGCAGCGGTGGAAATATACACTGCATTCGACCCGGCTTGAACTTCCAGTATCAGAATTATCAATTGGAGCAAGACCAGAGTCGATGTAATTATCTGGCGCTAATATTAGCCTACCCACCAAAAGGCAGTCTGAGAGAAAAAAGGAGTAGATGAATATGAACTGACAAGTTTAAGAAGCCCTCGGTAATTCGGTCTCACTTTCAAATGTTCGTGTCGCAGAGGCAGACATCTCCATGAAGCATAGAGATTAAACAGCAGTGTCGGTCCCAGGGTATAAATTAGAGACCATAGGAATTTTGGTATATCGGCAAATTCGACTTGGCTGGATTCTCGCAAAGAAGGCGAACAAAGCCTCTCTCCCCCGAGCGGATGCTTAGATAGTGATAAAAACATCACCTACGTAGGAGAAACCGGAAGGTAGAGACTTCCTGTAGGTCGCTTGAGATAGGCGCAGGAATGCTTCATTCAACAATTCGAATCGCCTGAATAGCTAGATATAAGTGTTTTCTAGGCTAGCAGGCACGATTCTTTAATGGTTTTAAAATACTCCGTATAGACGACATGGGTGTTCAATGAAAATGGGAACAAAGAAAAGCGCTTCTTGGCGGCTAGTCAAGTTGGCCCTAGTACGGAGTATACATAAAACGGCTCAGGGGATTGTGAATAAACGGGACCAGAGGTGACGGTTTTGAACGAAACACCCTTTGCCATTGAAGTCCAGGCCTACATCAAGGATCTTGTGGACCAAAAGGAAAATATGTGAATCTTGATCTCGCGCATCAAACTGCCATAATCTAGAGGAAATCAGCTGCTAGGAGCCTGCAAATTATCCCAGTCCATCATGTTCGAAAGAAACTGGTTCGCATCCATTTCCATGGAGCTTGACCGAGGCACCTGAGGATATCCCCACGAGTCCAAACTGGTAGACAGCTGCTTTCCAGCACCATGGGCCATTCTATTCGTATTGAAATTCATCTGCATGGGGATCGACAGGTTATCCCCATTGACACCTGAAGTATTACCAGGCTGCACTGTGTCCACATCCTGTGCGAAATTCAATGTCATCTGCATTACTTTCTTCCGGATGTCCGACACAATTCGCGGCGGCATCAGGGGATCCTCACTCACCCCGACTACCTGTTCACGGGCCTCCCAAGCCTGAAGGACAATCTGAGATAATAGGATATAGAAAGGGCGGTCGTCCTTTTTGGTATCCAGGATGCGGACCTCGTAGTTGTTGCTCATCACCTCCCACGCCTGGTCTACATGCTCCTGGATGGGCCACCTTTTCAAACTCTGCAATATGTGAATGTACGCAGGGAAGGGAAAGTAGATGTGAATAAACCACATGTAACCTTTGGTAAGAGGCGACGTCATGAGTTTAGTGTCAGACTCCAGCATGTGCAGCGCATAGGAAATTCCCATGCTGCGCTGTGTATCTGTTTGTTGTACGGGGGCCGTCGAGTATTGGGCGTAGTGTTGCAAGAGCCGATTCTTGGCTAGGTAACCACGCGTTGTCCAAATTGTCATGAAGTGCAGTGGGTTCTCTGGGTTACAAAATCCCAGGTATTTCTCTTCAATCGCCTTCTCCAGTGCCAGAAGCCGTTCTGCATCGTCTATGCTCGAGTCTTGACGGGCGACCGTGCTCAAAAACGGATTGGTGCAATCGAGGTGGAAGGCGCTGTGACGGACAAAATCGGCGAGCTCACTGCGCACAATAGCGAAGACCATCTCTGTTGGTCTGTTGTTTTCTGTAGGTGGGGTTTGCATCTCTGGCCGAAGCTCGAAGTCATTGACGTTGAGAGGAAGCCGGCAGTCCCAGGTAGGACTCAGCGACGCAGTCTTATAATCGGACATTTCGCAGATGCGGTTATCAAAGATCACCAGCGACCACCACAGTCTTCGACGCATTTCCGTCTCCAGAGTGGACCATTTACCATACATTGAATCATTGTGAATACCCATCCGCTGGGCAATTCGTATAGCAATGCTAAGCAATGATGAGAGAGAAGAAGGGTCTGTGTAAGGTCTTATTGACACCTGCAAGAATTAGCGAGGTGCGGTTATATCAGTCAGACACACCTACAAGGTATAGATAAAATGCAGTCAAGCAGTTCCGGTCATTGGAGCGTAGAATACAACAGCCCCGTAATGCTTGTTGGCAGGCAAACTGATAGCTTGTCAAGAGGTCTCTTTTAGGACATCCGAATAAGGCACTGCACTCGTCTTCTGTGAGACTGAGAATGGAGACACAGTATATACCGAACATCAATGCCTCCAATGCGGGATTGATATTGGCGATATCGCTAGCAGCATCGATAATACGTGTTTGAAGAGTGGGTGTATGCGAGACTTTGAGGAGAGGATTGACGTTGTCCAAGTAGATCTGCCAGAGCCTGAAGATCTGTACCTGGGTTGGATGCAAAGTCGAAAGGTCGACGTTACCTACCGGTGAACCAAACAAGAGGTGGTCATTGGATTGGCCTTGAAACATATGGTTCCATGCCTTCTTGATTACGGCTTGGCGCACATCATCGTTTTTATGCAGGAATCCGGTGTCGTTTTGATCGTCTTCGCCATAATCTCCGTCATCTTCCCAAAAATCTACGGTCTTTTCCCAATTTCAGTAAGCCCCACGATCCCTTGGATATTCAATCATACCTTTTGACTCATGGCATGCCACAGATTTCTACTGAAATATTAGTCATCTGGAAGTATGGCGGCCATGGGCCGCGACAGAGTCTCGTACAATGGCTTAGACTTCACTGCTGTGCTTTCCCTTCCCAAACGAGGACCTTTGTCGGGTATAGTATCTTCTGATCGAACATCTTCGGGAAATTCGTCACGCCCATTCTCGTTAGGTGACCGACAATCTGTAGTAGGCGTGTGGAGAGGATCGAACTTGATTTTGTGCCGGTGAAGCAGTCTTTCATAGTGTCTTAGACGCGCCAGCAGCTCTTTCTCCGGAAATCTCCGGTGGCGCTGGCGAGTTGATTGTTGACACTCCACGCAGGCACGTACACAATTGACGCAAGGGAATGTACGATCACATTTGATCTTTCGGTGCTGACACAGCACGCAGGCCAGCACGCGCCGGGGCTTGGTGGTCACAGTCTGTTCAGATGAAGAGGCCGGTGTCGCCATAGCATGAAACTATCGAGCCTATGACAGCAGAAATCTTTCTACTGGAAGCTAGTTCAGCCAGTTCCCAAAGCTCGGGTTTGTTGATGGGAGAAGGAAGGGAAGGGAAGAAGTCGGGTTTTATGAAGTCCGAAACCCGCGCTTCATGCCAACCCTCGTACTTTCTAACCCCCGACCATCGTGCTGAGCATCATTTGCAAAATGCGAATTATTCGACCATGTTTTGTCCCTTGACTTCTATACATTTTGCGAGTTTCCCACTCATCATGGTCTGTAAGGTAAGTTCTTTTACACCGACAACAGATCGATCGCGTCTTGGCTGGTCGAGCTACGAATACCACCGGCATGTCTCTACACGGTTCCCCTTCTGATAGCGCCATATCGGCGACGACATATACTACAGAGTCGATAACCCAACGCGTTGAGACGACCACCGATGTAACAACAAAAGCAGAAGGACCAGCCAGAGCTGGAGTCCCTCCAGGTTCTTCGAACCCACCCCAGAATCAGTCCACCTTGAGAGTTGTCTGTCTCATAGTCTCAAGCTTTGTCGCCATGTTCCTAGTTGCGCTAGACAGAACAATTATCTCGACGGTATGAGCACTACGCAGTAAAATATTTTCAATTTCAGCGCTAAGTTATGCGCAATTCATAGGCCATACCCAAAATCACCGATGAGTTCGACTCCTTCGATGATGTTGGCTGGTACGGAAGCGCCTACTTGTTGACATGTTGCGCATTCCAACTATTGTTTGGCAAGCTGTACAAGCTCTTTTCGGTCAGACTCGTCTTCCTTGCCAGTATCCTAGTGTTTGAGGTTGCTTCTGCTATCTGCGGGGAGCTCCGAACTCAGTGGCCTTCAAAATCGGAAGAGCGATTTGTGGAGTGGGCGCTGCTGGAATTCTCGCTGGAACTGTATGTCGAAACTCATCCCTGGACTTTCTACCAATTCCTGACAGACCGGTCTTAGATAATGTGTATCATCCATTCCGTGCCTCTCCAGAAACGTCCACAAATCCAAGGTCTGTTCGGCGCCCTTTTCGGCATTGCCTCTATTGTGGGTCCCTTGATTGGTGGTGCCTTCACATCAAACGCGACATGGAGATGGTGCTTTTATGTCAATATACCAATTGGCGGTGCCGCCATGGTCTTCATTGCCTTCTGCCTCAAGGTGCCCAAGCCACATATAGCAAAAGTTACCTGGGGTGAGAAGCTACTACAGTTAGATTTCTTCGGCACTATAATGCTAGTATCAGGTGTGATCTGTCTCATATTGGCACTCCAGTGGGGAGGCCAGCGGTATGCTGTAAGTCATGCAGCAATATTTTCTATATACCATAACTGATCAGTTTGAAGTGGAGCAGTGGCCGCATTGTGGCTTGCCTGGTTCTCATGAGCGCCCTACTTCTTTCTTTTGTCGCCATCCAGGTCTTCATCCCAAAGACAGCGACCATTCCAGTGCGCATCCTTTCTCAGCGCAGCATTATTTCAGCCTTTTGGCAGACAGTCTGTGTTGGTTCTGGCAATTATATCTTTGGTAATAATACCCTGCTATCAAACAATACTCCCCACCACTGATCTCAGTGATAGTGTACTTTCTTCCAATATGGTTTCAATCTATCAAGGGCAATTCCGCCGTAGAATCCGGCATCCGCCTACTACCGATGATGCTGTCAATGGTCGTCGGCTCAATCGGTGGGGGAATCACAAACTCCAAGATCGGATACTACACACCACTAGCGATCATCGGGTCATGCATCATGTCCGTTGGAGCCGGTCTTCTCGCCACGTTTCAGGTGGACACTAGCGAAGGAAAGTCGATCGGTTATCAGATTGTCTACGGGATCGGTCTTGGCTTATGTTTCCAAATCCCTAACCTTGCCGCGCAGACCGTCCTTCCCAAGCCCGACGTGCCATTCGGGCTGGCACTGATGCTGTTCGGCCAGTTGATCGGGGCAGCTGTCTTTGTCTCCGTCGGAGAGAATGTTCTGGCTAACCAACTGGTAAAAAGGCTTGCTGGGCTACCGGGGTTCAACTCTCATATTATCACCTCTGGGGGTATCACGGAGCTTCTGAATACAGTGCCAGCCGATCTGCATGACAAGGTCCTCCATTCTTACAATGAAGCGCTGCGGCGGGTGTTTCAGGTCGGTTTAATCATTTCATGTCTGACACTACTCGGTGCGGCTACTTTAGAGTGGAAAAGTATCAAGAAGGGACAGCCAAAGTCTGACACTGAGAGCAGGGGGCCAGCTGGGGGGAGAAGAGTGTAGAAGTGGCGGGGGCTAGATAGAAAAGACCAAGGGGGTTGACCTGCTTAAATCTGAGAGCGAGATTTAGAAGCGGATTAGCAATCAAACTTCATCATTCAACAGGCTAAGTAGGTCAGAACGTGTTCTATTCAGGCTGGTAAATCCCGGCCCTGTCAATGGCAGACTTTGCTAAATGACTTAAATCCTCAACAAAATCCTCCACGAATTGTACATGCATAGGTTCAATAGAATCAGAACGGTAAATCAATGCTCCCTGCATCAGCAGGGGGACTTTGGTCAGCAGGTGAAGGTCGTCCGATGCGCGCGGATCTTGGGGCTTCAAGAGAATATAGCAGAAAAGCGTCATAATTGCCGAGATAGGATAGAACATGGCAAACTTGCTGGGTACTGAGGTTAGCTTAAAAGACACATATCTAGCTGGGAGTTCAAAAGAAAACAGAGAGAGAACCCACCAAGCGGTTACCTCATCAAGCGTGCCTTGCATCAAATTCAAATATAACAACGATGATCGACTAGCTTCAACGGCCAAGGCCAAACTGGAGTTGATTCCTTCAAACATCCCTTGGGTATCTTCATTCCACGATTTGCATCGACTACTGGCCTGGTGTAAGATACCTATGCACTGGTGGTATTCCAATTGATTCATGAGAAAGCGTATCTCGATTATCCTGACAGAAGAGTTATCAGAGGTAGATAACTGTGACAGCTTTTGTGGAGGAATCAACATTCTCCAAGCTTCCAACTCATTATCAAGATTTCGAATTGTCATGAGAACGTCGGCATCGGATTTTTGGAGCCCCCGAATAGAGTACAGCTCTCGGTAGATCTTTGAGACAGCTATGCTCAAGCGAAGGTCACATGGGAATAAAGGAGTGCAAGAATCTATGATTTTTTCTGTTTCAAATCCACCTTCTGATGTTCTGGCGATATAATTTGACGGGAGCGTAAGGTCACAGTCGTCATCGTGAATACACAGAGGACGACCTGTGCGAAGGAAAAGGCATTTGTCAAAAGTATAACACATCCAGAATAGAGTCCTCACTTGACCCCTCTCCTCAAAGGAAGCATTTGGGCAGCCAATTTGATTTCCACCCAGCTGGAACAGAAGACGGACCGCAGTTGCGAGAAATATATCCGCAGAACTCAAGTCTCCAGACAATAGTCGAAAGGCACACTGAGAAAGTCAATCAGGGGCATAGAACAGATATTGGAGGATTAAATACATACAAGTATCAAGAGCGTTTGCAGAACGTCCAACGTTGCTGGTATTTGTGAAAACTTGAACAACAAACGCTGCGCTTCTTGAGCACAAGCATCGCCGTCAATGGCGGGCAAATTACTGTTCCGTAAATCGATAGTTGTGACAAATGCTCCAAATGCAAAAACACAAGACACCGCGAAGGGGGATTTGTACGAATCTTGCGGCCGTTGGTATGCATGCCTGATAGTCTCAATGAACAAGGAGTACTTCAGAATTGGGAAGATTTGATGTAGAGGTGACGACTGGAACGAGGCTAAATGAGCCTCGATGATTTCCCTGTCTGGTAATTGCAGGTATTTTTTATCATCTGGCGGTTCGAGAGAATCTGAAGTGGATTTCGGGTTCGTTCCCCATGAATGAAAGAACCTAGCGAATCGCTCCAAGCTCTCGTCGTGGCCACAACGAGATTCTACCCACCGCAAGCCCTCGGCGGAGAAGAATGGAATGCCATTGTGGCGACTGACTCCGCCAAGCTTGATACCGGCAAAGTACCATTCACCAAGGAGAGGAGGCCCATGCCCACCGCGAAAAGGCTCGCAGAAGGCGCCACTGTCTGGCCCAGGAGGTGGATTATCTCCAATTCAGTTAGCATCCCACGTAGCGACATATCCACAGATGAAATGTCGTGAAAATAGAACTTACTATGTTTTCTATGTAGGTAGTCGTGTAGAGCGGTTTCAATTCTCACGACACGTCGTTCCACACGTGCGAGATTGTTATTACTGCGGTGCTAATCAGTATCGGCGACTAATCTGATAGGTCAATAGCTAGTCACAATAATATCTTACCGATACCCCGAGTGTCCCTTTCCCTTGGCCCGCGACTTTCTTGTGAAAGTACAGGGAAGACCATGATGCATGCACCAGTTGCATCGAGGCACAGCGTCGTCGCATTTTATCTGCTCATTGCCAGGATTAGCTCAGTAAGCAACACCACTTTGCCAAGTCTATCTAGTAGCAATGTGAACGCACCTTCTTTGCAAAGCAAGAGTCACAGGCCGCAGATGTTCGTTTCTGTTCGACTTTTCCCGTAGACTTGTGCATGATGGTCACAGTAGCAGTGGATGAAATCCATCTTCTTGATCGTTTTGTGAAACTTGGACTTGTAATGGAGCAGGTAGACCCGCTAATGAAGTCCGTCAAAATCACAGTGTAGCTCCAAGGAGCCCCGGGGCAAATACCCGATTAATAAGCGGATACGGAGGACTTGGCGCCGAATTCTCCTGAACGTGGATGGGTCAACCTCGTCCAAGTACAATATAAAAGCAGTAAGTAGCCGAGAGAAGTGATTAACATGGCTATCGGATTAAGGGTGTTTCAATCAGTTGGGATCGGTTCGGCATTCACGTCGGAAAACTTATACTCCGTACCGATCGACTATGTATATCTACACAAGGACGTGGATACTCAATTCAGTAACTTGCTCTACATCCTACATCCTGGCTATCTTTTCTTTTTTCAATATCTAAGTGCAGTATAATTTGATTTTGTTCCACCATTGTTAGCCATTGCTAAAAATCCATATACAATGGTTACAAGAGACATGGAGCCACAAAATAAATGATTGACCACAATAATGCCCTTGGCTACTCGAGTAGGGATCAGGTTTATTTCTGGGTTTGAGGCAAGCTGGAGAAAATCTAGCCCATGTGGAGTTTCCATACTCGGTGATCTACAGAAGCACCAAGGGAAAAAGGGGAAAACATGGAGATCCCTGTCAAACAACGAATAAGGAGTAGCGAACCATAGCCTATTTGCGAACAATCCAATGGATGTATCGGAATCTCAGACAATTCCATTGGAGAATTTCACTAGAAGGTTCAATAGCCGATCCCCCGAAGCCCAGCCGCTGCACGATGGCATCATCACTCAACTGTCAGCTCCGATCTCCCATGGTTTGGCAGCTCATCGATCGATCTGCCTTTTACCTTATGACCTCCCATATTGTCATTGTACTTTGTCGGAACCTTTTGTCTCTGTCGCATGGGCTTTACTGACAGAATCCTGGGATCAAACGATGTATCACTCTGGAGGGCGCGTCAATAGGAAAAGACTTTCAGCTATTAAAGAAAACACAGGTTTCCATGTTGCGATGCTGGTTTTCGCATACTCTTCGCCTAGAAAATGTCGCAAACAGATATTCTTGGCCTCCAGGGGCTTCAAGGGCTGCACGAGGGGCTGAGAAGCCCCGATGCAGAGTCGTTGCGCTCATTTACTGAGACAATTCAAGGCGAATATCACGAATGGGTCACCGAGTCGCGTTTAGGGTCACGGTAAGGTGAAATCAACGCGACAGCCTCAATTGAATGCGCTGACAAAGAAGACCTGATCCATTACTGGACAGCTTTCCCCAACCACCTAGGATGGAAAGTTTGGATCCAATCGAAGAAGAGATGGAAGTGTATCCTACACCGAAGCCGTCTATCAAGAGCCTGCGTCGCCATGCTACAGCCACTGAGCTGCCTCTTCTACAACAAGTGAATCCGAATGAGGGAGCCCCAGAGTTCAACCCCGTCAGCGAAGAGAGCGGCTCATTTGATCTCATTGCACCTTACGATGGCGGGGATCTACCACTATACAAACTGGAACGAATTGCAGACATAATGTTCTCATCCGAACATATGCTTACAATTCTTAACAACCCCCGGTATTTAGCTCGATTCCGCGACTTTCTTCTAGAAGAGCGGCCGCGCTCGGTTTCCACCCTTACATACTACCTCAATGCCTGCAAAGCGCTCAAGGCACTTCAGTACGCTAATGCGCTCGTTCGTCTATCGGTTGATGTCCCTCCTCCAGCAGTACATACAGATGAAGAAACCGCCGGCGTGACGGTGAACCGGGTTCTGGAGCAGCGTGTTGTAGACGGGCTGTTGGCTCTCACTGCTGAGGAACTTCCTGCCTTTATCACATCAAGATGTATCAGTATCACAAGTAAGATCGTCGTGGAGCGGATCCGAGGAACTTTACCGATGAAGTTCCGAGGGAATTCAAATGCACTAGCAGAAGTGTTCTGCTTGACGGATCCATCGCGACCTGACAATCCAATTATTTTCGCATCAGAGGGTACGTTTTTCATATCCCGCTGTACAAATCAGACTAACAAAATCAGAGTTCCACAGAACAACACAGTACGGCATGGACTACGTCCTTGGCCGAAATTGCCGCTTCCTACAAGGGCCGAAGACAAATGCAAACAGCGTTCGTCGACTCCGCGAAGCTATACATGCAGGCCGACATCACTCGGAGATGTTTCTCAACTAGTATGTTCTACAGTAGACCTTTGACCGACACAGTCATCAAGCAACTAACACAACTAGCCGCCGCGACGGCTCTCCATTCATGAACCTGCTCCAGTGTGCACCTCTATGCGACAGCCACGGCCGCGTCAAATACTTCATCGGCGCACAGATCGATGTCTCGGGACTCGCAATGGAGGGGGCCTCGATGGAGTCATTCATGGAACTTCAAAACAAACACCGCGAACCCGATGAAGAGAGCATCGCAGAGGCACCAGAGCCAGAAGAGAAGGATGAGTTCCGGGAATTGACTGAATTGTTCAGTCCCCGAGAACTCTTGTCCGTTCAAAAGCATGGTGGTCACCTCTTCCAGCCTGCAAATGCTCATATGTCTCCGCATCACCCGCGATCATGGTTACAGCACGACGCTTCTCTAGAGCGTGAGACTGAAGCCATGCGTCTGCAAGAAATGAAGTCGCCCTTTTTCCGTATGTCATTTGCGGGTGTGTATGAAAATGTAAGAGATGAGAGAGTGATTTCCAGGCTTGAATTCAGATACTAATATGGCACAGTATCTGCTCGTTCGCCCCTACCCTTCCCTTAGGATCCTGTTCACGTCGCCGGCCCTTCAGATTCCAGGTATGCTCCAGTCATCATTCCTATCACGCATCGGCAGTTCCTCGGCAGTGAAAGATGAACTGCTACAAGCCATGGTCGTTGGTCGCAGTGTGACTGCACGTATCAAATGGATAACACGAACCAACCCTGAGGGTCGCAGTCGCTGGATCCATTGCACCCCTTTACTTGCAAGTAATGGCCAAGTCGGTGTGTGGATGGTTGTAGTTGTGGATGATAAGGAGGAGCAGGTGTTCAATTGGCGCAATTAGTGTAAAGGCCCAGAACCGTCCCATGTATATATTTATTTTTTTCTTGTATCGATAGATCCAGAATATACCCCTCCACTTTTACATTGTCCTGATCTGCACTGTCAGAATCTATTTATATCTTCCCTGGCCGCCTCAGCCGCACCTGAAGCATGAGTGCTATCTCACCTCTAGCCAAAATCCATGATAGGTCCGTAGCTTTTGTTGAAATTCTTTGGAAAATTTAGGCGATGCAAAGCACTTGATATAATGCCACATCTGAAGCGTTGAACGAATAAGATGATTCTGTGAGTCGCCAGTGCAGGTTGCCTTGCATACTATTGCAGTCAATTGGACATGTCCAGCTCATCTGCTCCTTGATTTCAAATAGCCCAATGGCTACCGTAACATTTGAATCCAATCCCTGGCACATTCAAGCTCATCTCCCAGTGGGTATATATCATCGCCAGAATAATTCCCAAAAGCTAACACATCACCGCAGCAATGTCGGTAGCAGCACCCCGCAACAGCCCACCACGCACAGGTATCGCTGCACTCCTAGCCGGGCTCAATATAGCGGGAGAAATAGAACTGCCCAATGGCGTAGTTGTACCTGTCGGCGTCGGTGAACCGGTTTATCGAGTGATCTTCCGCTCCGAGCGAGCGCTCCAAACACCAATGACAGAAATGGGCGTTGGTCGAGCGTACATATTCGGTGATATCGATGTAGATGGTGATTTCGGCGCACTGTTCAAAGCTCGTGAAAAATTACAAGGAAAAGTGCCCCTGCGACAAAAATTCCAGTTTATATACGACTATCTTCGAACGGTGACCAGGATGAACGCTGAGGCAATCGGTGATCACTATGGGCTCGATGACGAGTTTTTTCTCACACTCCTTGACAAACGGTTCCGGTTCTACTCGCACTGTTTGTTTCAACGACCCGACGAGACGCTCGAAGAGGCCGCTGAACACAAAATGGAGACCATGTTCGCTACCCTCAATCTCAAACCAGGGATGAGGCTTCTTGATATTGGCGGTGGCTGGGGTGGTGTGACCCAGTATTGTGGTGCTCGAGGTGTCCATGTCACAACGTTGACAATCGCACCCAACAGCGCCCGTTATATTCAACGTATTATAGAGGGAAAGAAGCTCCCTGGTCAAGTCTTCTTGCAGGACTTTCTTGACCATGAGCCCGAGGTACCATACGACCATGTAGTCAGCTTTGGGGTCATTGAGCACATCCCCAACTATCGCCGTTATGCACGTAAGATGTGGGATGTGTTGAAGCCTGGTGGGCGCATGTATCTTGACGGATCGGCGGCTGTTGAGAAGTTTGCTGTGAGCTCATTTACCAGGAAATATATTTGGCGAGGAACACACACGTATATGTCTCTTCAAGACGTCCTCGTTGAGCTTTTATACCACGGGTTTGCTGTACTGGATGTTTCCAATGAGACCGAGGACTACAAGCTCACAATGCTGGAATGGGCAAAGCGTCTGGAATCGGCAAAAGAAGATCTCATTGCGGGTTGGGGGGACCAGAATTATCGTTTGTTTCGCTTGTACTTGTGGGGTGGCGTGCATGCATTCGAAGCCAATAGCTTACAGGCTTACCATGTAGTCGTGGAACGGACATCTTCCCCTGGGCCACGTCCATCCATTCCTCGCCGTTTCGGTCAGTTCTTGTGGAACCTGCGTTGATATATTTCGGGAGAGTCTTGAGACCCTTCCAGTTTCAATTGAGCGACAAACATGCGACCTACTTGCCTACAAATGCACAACAGATAGACTGATCAACAGTCATACAAGTGCCCGATACTTTCGGTGAAACATTTTTTTACGTATCATTCAATGCGTCAATTCAAGCAACAGTGAGATCTAAATTGATGGACTACTGCGTTTCAAAACCTAACTCTACGTTTAACTTCATATATCCTCAAGTAATATATTCATCAAATATCTCGGTTTCAAGTTGTGAAGATGCCGGACAATCTATAAAGCATCTCCACTTCTCATCCAAATTTTGATATATGGTTGCGAGTACTCTTCGACTCCATGGAGAAATCCACCATTTCTCTGGAATTTTATCAAAAATGGCACAGTAATGGGCCAGTATCACGAGAGAGACTGGTCTTAGCTCCCTGACAAGCTCGAAAAATCTGGGTGGAGTGTGGAAAATCCACAATGAACCTGCTACAAGCACCTCTCCTCCTCCATCTACCGTCCCGAATAATATCTCCAATCCGCTGATTGCATATTTGAATACTCGAGTCTCCTCGTCTCCTTGAAGATCCTGCATTTGCAGGTTCAATGCAGAGAGAGAAGTAATCACCTCATGGGAGTGGTTTGACAACGCTGGAATAGAACTTGTCACACTAATCAGCGGAGCGAGTCTGCTATCTTGAATCCACGGGGTAATTGCTCCAGTGAGATGCACCATCTTACGGACCAGGATAAATATTTGATATATCTCCTCCAATGATTCGGGCTCTTGGGAGAAATGAGCCACGAGCGGAAAGCTCCATGCACATATAACCAGGATAGTCGAGAGATAGAACGTTGCATCGCAGTTAGAGGGACTTAGATTGCCAATTACATGTGCAAGCATGCGAATTGCTCGACCTTGATACCGTTCTGCTCCATTGATCAGAGCCTCGCGATGAGACTGATTCTCCGTTTTTGTCGCTAAATCTATTGCTGAGAGTGCGAATAGACCATTCTGAAGATGTGGGTGATATAGTGACTTTTCTGGGACGAGATGTTGCCAGATCCATTCCACACTGCGGTGTCTGGAAACTATCTGATAAGTCGAGGTACGCCAGTTCAAGAGCAAAGCCCATTCTTGGTCATCGTATTGCCTGATCTCGGTACTTGAGAGACTCTTTTTCGGGCACTCAACTCGGCTCATACAGGGTCCATCTCCTTCAGGGGAGATGGGTGACCGATGGGTGACTAGTGGAAGGCTAGCAGAAGCGGGTGGTTTGGATGAATGCTTCCATGTAAAAGAGCCCGGTGTGGCATATTGACAGTTTGTAGCGCGAGAAATACAACTGGTGCATGCGGGACGTAATTCGTCACACTGTTTATTAATTAGGGGAGGGCAGAGAATATATCAGTAGCCAGAATGGGCTTGCCTTGACACTTCTTCGTTTGCATTGTGAGCATCCATGATGTGACCTCGCGCCCTTTTTTTGCACTCCCATAGATATGTTTGAGTGATGTGTATTTTAGGCCGTGAAGTGCGTGGTCGTGGGTCGTGAGGGCAAACTTTAGTATTTATTCAGGAATACCGGTTTTTCCGACGATAATCCATGGATCGGCTCCTTATCATCCAATCAAAGTATAGTACACCATTCAGCTAAACTGTATACAGTAATTATTACGAGGATTACCGCTAACCCTCGTACGTGAATTACATAGTTCCATCTGAGAACACCGAGGTAAGTATAAATGAAGCCAAAATCTTCTCGCATGGTATGAGATGGTTGCTTAATACATCATGTCCCTGTTGTCAATTACTCTTCGAATTGCCGCCATTTTCCTGAGAGCATTGGCAAGGTTCCAGGGACGCATCACTTCTCATCCCGACGAGATAATCTTCATTAAATCTAGAGGTCGAAACTCCATCAAGATTCATGTCTATAGACCTCCAGCTACGAACACATTAAAAGCACCCTCTCCCGTCCTTCTCAACTTTCATGGAAGTGGATTCGTGATTCCTGCCCACGGCAGCGACGATGAATTTTGTCGTCAAATGTGTCAACAGACGGGCTTTACCGTCCTTGACGTGCAATATCGTCTCTCTCCCGAGAACCCCTTTCCAGCAGCATTAAACGACACCGAAGATGCCGCCAAATGGGTCTTAGAGCAACCGGAAATCTTTGATCTCTCAAGAATCGCTACCTCCGGCTTTAGTGCAGGTGCAAATCTTGCATTGGCTGTGTCTTCCTGCATCTTTCCCCCAAAGACTTTCTCTTCTGTTTCTATCCGGCAGTCGAGGCTTTAGTTAATCCCGGCATCGTAGCCGCGCCTGATCCAAATGCTCGACCTATTCCGTCATTTATATTGCGGTTTTTCGCTAAGTGCTATGTGCCACCCGGTCACGATCCCAAGGACCCCCGCATCTCGCCTGCTTACGCGGATATTGACCGTTTTCCTCGCCGGGTCTTGATAGTGACGGCATGATATGATTCCCTATCAGTGGAGGCGGAGAATCTGGCAGCTAGGCTGCAGGAAAGCTCTGATCACATCGTTGTTTGTGAGCGGATGGAAAGGTGTAATCATGCTTGGGACAAGATGGCTAAGCAAGGGACGCTTGAATGGGAAGCAAAAGAAAGGGCTTACGAGCTAGCCACGGATATGTTGTTGTGTACATAAATTGTGGTTAGTATCTGATATTGTACATAGGATGGTGTCCAGCTCATCAGTTGAAGACATTTTGAAGACCATTGGCGGTTTCAAACATGTTTGAGAGATGATGGGAGGCCCTTGCTTTCCTCGCCTCTTTATTTTGCTTTCATCCGCCTTTCGACTTTGATACCATTTCAACTCAATGCTATATAAACCCAGTCAGCTGGGTTTCGCACCCGTAGTAGAATACAGGTGGAGGAAGCAAGGAACGATTTACCTCTGAAACTTTCTTGGGGTGATAATCGACTAGCAAACAAATATATCGCCACTCAGATGTGATATGAAAGCAAAATACTCTCCTTTACCCAGAAGTCCAAATTGCGCAGCATATTGGGAAGCCCTTGGCCGTAGAGCCCCACGCGCCTAGTAATTGATTGTGGCAGCAAGCATCCCTTTGGCCACCTCGATGTTAGGATTGCGCTCGACCAACATTCCCAGAATAGTATTGAATGCGGGGTCATCTTTCTCTGAACGAAGCGTTGTCTCCAAAAGCCCTTCAACCATGGCAGTAGTTGGAATGAGATAAGTATCCTCTTCAAGTATGACTTTGACGTAGTCCTTACCCACCTATAAGTGTCTTTGAGCCAAGGTTAAAAAAGCAGGCGCTGTGACTTCGCTATCTTGATGGGCGTCGTAATAGAACTGCACAATTCCAGGGTTGCTTGCTGTTTTGGGAATGCTATCGGTGACATATGTTCCATTCGAGCAGGAAAGTAGCTTGGTCGATCTGGTCTCGGGAATTTTAGAGCCATCACTTCCAGCTGCATGTTCGACGACTTCAATTATCACCTGCACTGTAGAATCATGGGCGAGGCTGTCAGCTCCTCGCTTAATTTGATTCTGCACTTGTCATCGACAGTCATGGCCAATTTGTTCTCTTCTCTAGCTCTGACCAGGCACGTCTTGGGCTTGTTGAATGCTTATTGCCACTCATTCATAGTCACGAGTTAGAAATGTTGCAAAAGGCAATATTCACCCATGTACTTTGTACTTTATAGGGGCCCGGGGCTGAGATAGTGCAGGAGATGGTCTTTCCCTTGGCAAACACAAGCTCTGGCTCTGGTGGGAAACGGATAGATCTTGTGATATCACTTCGAAAACATGCTATTCAATATATTCAAATTCGTAAATTATCTCATCTGCAATCTATGTAACAAATCATTTATGTAAAAGTCATCAATCATTTCAGTCAAGGCCCCAGCCACGTACGCGCCGGAACACGAATGCTCGGTAATTACGAAGACCAAACTCGCCCCAGTCATCTGTCAGGCTGTTATAACTCCAGAAACCCTTCCAGGCTAGTTTGGTGTTCTTCGACGGGTTGGGAGGAGCCAGTCCGAGTTGAGCAGATTTCGGTACCGTTGAGGAACGCAGTGATAGATGCATCGTGTAAACGTACTTGGGATCAACGCCCTCTGTTTCAATGATGAGATCCCGTTCGTCGGAAAGGAGAGATTTCTCATCAGACATTGAGTCAGGATTCCAGGCTTCGGCAGGGGTTTCGGATGATTTAGATGTGTCCACAGGCGAGGCCAAATGCCAGCGACCCCGAAGTCCATGTCTCAATGTATTCATGGCGACAGGCGGTACAGTATCGGTGGCTCCCGAAAGTGTATGACCTGCATCAGACACACGCCGTTGATGCTTTCGGTGTGCTGGGGCGCGAGCAGCTGCCACATTCTCTTTGCTGATGTGAGGGACTACGTCGACTGGCTCCGTGGAAGTGAGCAGCGAGATCACTGAGCCATCTGGGTAGAAACGTAGGTAGCGGTAGTAAGTAACAATATGGATAGGACTGTTCCAGGACAGATTCGAGTAAGCAGATGCAACACCAGGCCGAGTGTAGTTGACGGTGCTAATGTAGATGCCCGTGAAACGAATTCGAGGGAGGGTATGGAACACTTGGCTCCACGAAGACAGCGGCGGGGGGATTTCCAGAGGCACGCCCTTGGGAAATCGAGTGTATCGCGGCGCAAGCGTGTAGATCGGTTCCCCATGCAAGTCGCATGCAAAGTCATAATGCATTCCCTGGAAGCCGAATTCCCGGGATTGGCATATCCGTCTCCAAATGTGTTGCTCATGGGCGAAATGGTAGGCCATCCGCTTGCAGACCAGTGCCATACGACCAAATGCCGATGGGTCTTCTATTGCCACATGTCGCAGAATTTCCACTAGCACTTCCGACGGCACATTGGCAATTGGGCAAGGGGGCGGTGGTGTGTTTTCGACGATGGGCTCCAGTTGTGAAATTGGCAGGTGTGCAAATGACGCAATGAGTTCAGGTGTCGGTAGAATCGACACTTCGGCGGTCTGCTGGGTCATATCAAGAGGGGCCGTGGACGCGGGCAAATTAGGCTTGTTCCATGCATGGGCATAGTGCTTATTCCGGTAGGACTTATCGACAGCGGAATCTAGCTGGACAGGAATGAATATTTACGCCATGACCGTGATTCTTATCGCTCAACACTCACCCGATACGCTTTTCGGTAATGCGAGAGACTGTCTCCCAAATTGCCTTCGGCCTCCTTCTCTACCGCTCGTTCATAGTGCTCCAGTGCGGAAGTCGGTTCTGCTACCTCCCGACGTAAGAAGTCATCCTCGGTAGATTGCACGCTCAGCTCTCCGACTTGTTGGGCCAGCTCATCTGGATCGAAGGAAGCTAGCGGGGGACCCTCCTCCTCGATCTCTTTGCGGTGGGAAGCCTCATGGCGTGTGGGCGGAAGACGAGCCGCAGGCGGGGCAGTTGGAGTCGGAGACGCAGGCGCAGGAGGGGTAGCCTTCGGTCTTGATCGACGAGTGACCTCCTCACGCCATTGTTGGCGGAACGACTCAAGCTCGTCGTTGTCGTCCATGGCGAGGTGGTGGTCGGAAAGCGGTGTTCACCCAAATGTTTCTCACCCAGGCCACACACCGATCTCCGAAGGCTTGGCATCCCCAGCTTTTTGAGGCGATGACCTCACATGGTGCTTCTATGTCAAGTTGTATTGCAAGTTATTCAATTTAATCTCAAACATGGGTCTGAGAATCGGACTGAAAGTAGTTTACATATCGTTTGATCCCTGGCCCCTTGCTTCATGCGCTCGAACGTTCTGCCTCGTGGACACCCAAGCCTCTTTCACGAGCCTGGGACTTCAAGACTAGACACATGCTGCATCAGCCTCACATGGTAGAGGGTGGAATATGGCAGCCTCAACACTACGGATGTAGTGCGTGTGTTGAGTATGGAGATCCCGCTCACACCGTGACTTGCCCCTCCTCATCGGCGGTCGTGTCTTTCGCAAGAACCTTTAAGAAACCAGGGAAACTATGGAAGTTGAGTCTCTCCTCCACCGACATCCGACATACAAGGCCCCGTACGGGGGCATCCGGATTGATCAGCAACTACACAGCCTCCGGCCGCGAAAGAACCTAGTATTTTCCACGCTGTTATGGGGAATTCGTATTGTGTGGTAAAGATGATGATATTCCTATATAGTGTAGCCGGGTATTAACCCGTGCGCTACTTACTAAGTATGATAACCTAATCCTAGGCTATGTCCGTTATAGTTACCCCCCTTTGAAAGTACCTACCGCCCTTAGTAGGTTCCTATATCCCTATATATTTTATATATTTCTTAGAATTCGACAGTGGAGAAGGTAGCGTAGGCTAGAGTTTATAGGGGAGTGTGAAGGATATGCCTGGGCGCACATTCTCCCATTCGGCCAAAAGACCATTATATCAGAGCTCTCGCTCTGATATGCCCAGGACCAATATATATAGTAGCGCACATAGTTTATCCGTGACAACTATCTCCTCCCTTTCAGGAGGCATGTCCCCATGCCTATTTCAGAGCGTGCAGTGCCACAATCGGCTATCTTCAAATCCTTCTATTTCTTTGGCGACAGTGCGCTCGAAGCTAATCAGCGAATAGTAAAGGCAATACTAATTGGTGTGCGTTTTTTACGCTCCACTCTAAGCTCGTAAGCATATAGTAAGGAAGTATAGACATTGGGAATGACATCTTAAATAAACAAGGAACATGGAATGGCAAGTTTCATGGCGCGACAGCCTTCATGGCGTGATCGCTCACGCGTCCTTTGCCTGTGGTGACCCTCGTGATTTGTTTCCCTGCGCCTCGGTCATTCCAACCGATTGTCCACATTCACGCAGTGACGTTTTTCATCGAATAATAGCTTTCACGTACAATTCGCTTTGCCGTCAGTCAAACACCCTAAGCTGTACAATAGTATTCGAACCAGAACGTGCAACGAATAAGATGGAAAATCACTAATTGTTCCTGAGAATGTCTTGGTTGTACCTGGAAACTCAAACTGTATGTCTAGAATTTCACAATCTCGTGTTTCAGAGCTCGACAAGGGGTTCACACAAGCCAGCTATGAGGTTATGCTAAGTTGAAAGATTGCTTAATGCATACATCTCCACTGCCTACTAAACCCACCATCTACTTCGAGCTCATTGCATTGAGCCCAGCAATGCGCCCAAAGACGAGCGCGCGTAAAACAGCAACAGCATTTGGCGCGGTGTCGTGGAAATGGCCGGTAACCTCACCTGCGGCGTAGAGGTTAGGAATGGCGCCTTGCTGGGTTAATACTCGCGCTTCTGTGTCAGTCGCAAGTCCACCAAAAGTGTATACAATAGCAGCGGCTAAAGGAAAAGCTAAATACGGCGGAGCGTTGAGCGGGCGGGCCCAGTTCGACTTTGGAGGTTCCAAGCTAAGCCCAGTTGCAAGGCCATCAAGACGGCCAGCAGAAAAACGGGATACGTCTGTGTCACAAGCTGCGTTGTAGCTTGAGATTGTATCTAAGAGCGCCTGTTCCGGCACCTTCATCTGGACTGCTAGGCCAGATACTGTGTCCGCTGTAAGAGGCGGGATGTCGGTGCGAATGGCCGCTTCATAGCCTTCCACCTCAGAGAGTCTTGAATCGCAAACTACCCAGGCTGACTGGCCCGGAGCATCAAAGTGGATAGTTCGTGAAAGTTGTTCCCAGGTGTCATGGACGAGCCCTGCGCCCTCATCAACGAATCGCTTTCCGTTGCAATTCACCACAATACCATAAGGATAGACGAGCACGAGCGGTGCAGGCATATCGCTGCGCGGATCAATTATTTCGCTATGCATGCCATTCCAATTTCCATTTACCGCAGCTCCATTATTCAGCGCCATTTGGATCCCATCACCTGTGTTCCACCGCGTGCCTGGAGATATCGGTCGTAGAGACTCCGCACCGGTCCCGAAATAGGTATGCAGGAGGTCTGGATTACCTTGAAATCCACCGCTGGCGAGAACAACGGATTTGGCAATGAATCGCCGCCCGTCTGCCGCCTCGATGGTGGCCCCTTCTTTCCCAAGGTGCAGTTGCTTGGCGCGGCAATCGTACACCAGCTGGATGCCTTTTGCCCTGGCAGTTCTTTGCAGCGCTTCGATTATGGCGGCACCTTTGCCGACGGGCTGAATCCTATTTGGCCACGACTTCAAGAAATAGTCCATGGCATGAAATTGCACACCTTGTCTCTCGAGCCACTGGACGGCCTGCGGTGCCTGGTCGGCCAACTTTTCGAAATAGGCGCGGTCGCCGTCTACGCCACTGATGGTCATCATATCATCGATGAAACCAGGCGATATCTCATTAACAGATCGCATGCGCATGTTGGCCGGGCTATAACGCGTGTTGCCCCCGCTGGCATCCTCAGGCGCGCGCTCTAGCACGGCAATCTGAGCTGCTGGAGCGAGTTCCGCCGCCGATACTGCGGCGGCTAGACCGGCCACGCCGTGACCAACTATGACAAGGTCATACATGCTGGTTGTGCCTGCCATTTCGCTTTAGTAGTGAGATTTCAGCAGGTTTTAGTTACTCAAGTTGCTTGTCGTGGTGTTTGATGAAAAGATCTCGTCGTCGCTGAAGTCGAAATGATTCGCGCCGTGGGATTCGCTTATGTGTTGGCGCTAGTTTACGTGATCGGACACCGAGCGGCCACTTTCTTCCCGAACTGCGTACTTTGTATTCATTTTACAATTTTGACGCGTCAATAAAGCAATTGTGCGCCTTGGGAGACTCGACCATGCTCGCAGTCACCTAACTCATCCGGCTCTGACACAAATAAAACCGCTGGCCACAAGCGGAAAATCAGTCAAGTCACGCTTTCGCCTTCCTCGCGGCGATCGAATCGACAACAGGAGTCGAAAAATGACCAAGAAGATCATTCTTGACGCCGTGCTGTACAATTTTGTACGCAGCGATGTTTATTCGGTCTATAGAGTGGGCAGCCCTTTGACGAGCTCTGTCCAAATGTGAGCTATCATCGTGCGAGTCGGAAAGATCTGAACCACCATCCTATCTCAGTTGGAGATTTAATCACTTCATTGAAAAGCCAATTGGACGACAATATCGACCGTTGCATTCCTTTCGGTTGTTGCGGTTCCTATGGTGCCCCGTTCAAATTGACTTGCTCGCTACTAGTGACCTAGGGCTAAGGGAGGCTGAAGAACTCGATAACTTAGAGATAAGCCCTAACTAGAAGGACCTCTGGCGTATCGGACATGCTACCAATTTGTTATGGGGAATTCGTATTGTGTGGTAAAGATGATGATATTCCTATATAGTGTAGCCGGGTATTAACCCGTACGCTACTTACTAAGCATGATAGCCTAATCCTAGGCTATGTCCGTTACACACGCTAAATCCATCAACTCCTCTTTACGAGGGTTGTCAAAGGCATGTTTTCCACGGGCCAACTATTCATCATAGAATCTTCAGGTTTTCACTGGGGAAGTCGTCTTCTAGCTCAGAGTCGGGAGACCTGTTGTCCCTGTCGGAGGATGTATGTAGTGCCAAAAATACCTGTGAGAGGTGAGACGTACATCACAACTCCATAGACGTCTTTGTATTGCACATCGCCATTCCAATGGCAATTTCCATAAGCCGTCAATCAGTAGAATATATGTTAGACTCCGGTTGGAGCGGCTTCCCAAGGGTTAGATTATCGTTACTAATCTATAGTTAGCAACTAGCCAAGTAAGAAAGGTAAGAGAGAACAGTATCGACTTAGACTCCGAGAATTCTGGTACTCATGGAATTTCATTGGGTACGTGAGCTTAGCCCTCGCGCGTAATTGTATTGGCTATATCTGCGATTGGGTTATTGTCATTTATGGATTGTTTGAAGCATGTTAGACAGATGACGGTGTTGCCACATGCTATGGACTTGGTTATACTGGTTATAGTCGGTTACGCACGGGTTTCAGGTTGTATGCTTCAACTTCAATGTCCAGACGCACACAAACCTATCTCTGGATACTTCCAATCTGTAAAAATCTATAGAAATCCCCACTAAGGGGTCCACTATCACGTACGATCTGCTCTTCGGTCGAGCCGAAATAGGATTTGCCTCTATGTCCGAACTCGGAGATCAGATCAGATTGATAAGCCATGTGAAAAGGACCTAAAAGAAATCAAATTGTTACATTGAAACCATTGCAGAATAAAATGCAAAAGTGTTGAAATTCATTGACGCAACTTCCAGTCCCAGTCCAAGTCTCTCCAAATCCCAACATCCCCGAAAGGCTTATCTCCGCCCACCGCCACCCGCGAAACCCCGAAAAACTTCCTTTCCCGGTGACGCATTCTGTTTCCTCGCTCAGAAGGTCTTAGTCGTCTTCACCCAGGAATTGATTGAATGCCGCACGTGGAGTTTGCTTCAGGCCGCGATACTGGCAATCAGTTCGGCACAGATTCAAACGCCTCTTTAGATACGTCATGGACTGCACAGTTTGAAGATTCTACAATGGCCACAACATCAGGGACAGCCTCGCCTCCGACGCCCAAGACCCCTGCTCCATCAGAGAATATCACTCCCGGGCAGCGAATGGTGTCTGCGACCGCCGGCAATGTCTTGACCGGGCTTCTAGGTGAGTCGGAAGAGCTCCCGATTCTTTTGAAATCAAGCACTAACAACTCCAGTGACACCCTTGGATGTCGTACGAGTCCGTTTACAGTCGCAATCACAAGTTCATAACACCTCACCCTTTACCTCTCACACCACTCAAACCTTGAAAAATCTACCTCCGAACCTCGGTATCACCTCCTGCTGTCGCGAAGTATTCTGGGTCGGAAATGATGCCCAGATGTGCATGCTAGGGCCTCAGGCGACCGCGGTCGGAACCCATCCACACCCAGCGATCGATTGCGCGGTCGAAGAGACGCAGCGGCGAACATTCACATCAACGTTAGACGGGCTACGGAAGATCGCGCGTAATGAAGGAACTTTGACACTGTGGCGAGGGTTGAGCCCGACCCTGATGATGGGAATCCCGGCCAATGTCATTTACTTTGCTGGATATGACTGGTTGCGCACAGATGAGCGGAGCCCCATCAAGCAACGGGTATCTGAGGGGTATGCGCCCTTGATAGCCGGAGCCTTTGCTCGCGTCGCGGCTGCAGCAGCAACCAGTCCGCTGGAGATGTTTCGGACGCGTCTCCAGGCAATTCCGGGGACGGGTGCGGGCCACTTCAAAACCACTGTGGAGGATTTGTACCATATGACACAGGCCAAGGGATATAGCTCTCTCTGGCGAGGGTTCACTCTTACTATGTGGCGCGATGTTCCGTTCTCCGGACTCTATTGGTGGGGATACGAGGAGGTGAAGAAGGCTCTGATCGCGGCGCGTCAAAAGGCCCCTCATCTTTCGGGCTCTGACCACGAGCTTCAAGAATCAAGTCTCCAATCTTTCCTCGATAGCTTCATCTCCGGAGGTGTTTCAGGCTCTTTAGCAGCACTTGTTACTACCCCATTCGATGTTGGTAAGACGCGACAGCAAGTTTTCCGACATTTGGACGACGTTCCTTCTACTGGCGCCCGCACTGCATTACCCAGCAGCTTGATGCCAGAGCAATTATCCTTACCAAAATTCCTCATGCACATCTTCCGTGAAGAAGGTACCGCTGGTCTCTTCCGTGGTTGGACGGCACGATGTCTCAAAGTTGCCCCGGCCTGCGCCATCATGATTTCAACCTATGAGCTTGGAAAGCGCATGGCCCGAGAGGCCAACGAACGGCGACATTCTGATGCATAATCCCTGTACAAATTTAATGGTGTATAATGCACATTGTCTCTCCGCTTTTACGGCGTTTTTGATGCATGAGTTTTAGAGGTGCATTAGCATTTGGAAGGTGTTTCTATGTATATAACTTAATGGAAAGCTCTCACTCTCTGGATATGAAGAATATGTATAGATACATCCGACGTCGCTTTGACTCACAACACAGCCCTGGGCAGATTTAGCGGGCAAACTAGTCGGGGCGTGATCATCCGGACCCCAACATGAGGCTGAACTTCCCCCTAAGTGACTTGCATTCTTTAATCCCCGCGTTTTTCTCTAAATGTTCTCTGTATTCTGCATGTTCTGTTCAACTTCAAGTACACAAAATGACTTCACGGCCGCCCGTGACAGACCAGACGCGCCCATGGTTTGAACCCGTCGCGGTTTCGAAAGATACCAATGTCGAGTAAGCCCCTCCATATTATCAGACATGTGTTCACATAATAACTCATTCCTCAGTATTGTCGCCGTCCCGCCTATAGGCGCCCATCATAGAATGACATGGATAGCGCATGGCGCAAAGTCATCTTGGCTTGAACTTGAACTACTAAAACATATCCCTCGAGCGCGAGTCCTGCTGTATAGCTATGGAGATCTGCGTGATGATACAATCGACACTTTGGGTGAGCGACTGTTGAATCAACTACATACTGAGCGGAAAAATGAGGTCTGCTATATCCTGTTCACAAGTATATAGTTTTACTAACTATTTTACCAGCCAACTCGACGTCCCATTTTTCTCATCTGCCACAGCACCGGTGGTCTCGTTGTAAAAGCAGCTCTAGCTCTAGCATCGCGAGAGCCGAGCCAATCCATCTTAACTAGCTGTCATGGCATCGCCTTCTTTGCAACGCCTCACCAAGGCTCGACTTACCTTTCTGCCGATGAGTATGCTGCTAGTATTCGTCATCTCTTGCATTTGCAATATGACACACCGGCAGCGCTAAGAAAGCAGTTGCGTCCCCGTCAAGAGCGTTTGTGGCATCTATCAAACCAGTTCAAGACCCTTTCAGCCGATATGAGGGTCTGGTCTTTTCTCGAAACTGTCGATTCCACTATGCGTGTGATTGACGCTGAGACGAATAAAATGCTGGAGTTTCATGTTCCAATCACCTCGATTCGGTCGGGGTTATTAGATATCGAGAATGAAAAAGAACTGCCCATGGCGACAGATCATACGGGGACGGCAACTTTCCACGGTCAGGAGTCCACGCGAGATCGATTTCTCAATGAGCTGGGCAATGCGGCTGAAAATGCGGTTGAAATCTCAAAACGCGAGGACACGCCGTTGGGTGTAGAGCAGCAAGTCATGGTTCAAATCAATGGCTTCTTCGAAGATACGGCACTGGGCGTCAGTGACGACAGTCCGCTTAAGCTGTGGTCAACTAAGGTGTCCTTGAAAGATTATATCTCTAGGGGTCCATCGGCTTGCCTTCGGGAGAGACTGGGTCGAGTTCAGCCCATTGGGTTGGACGACTCGTCGATCAGCAGTTATGATAGTCCTCGCTCGTCTTATATTGCTTCTGGCTCCGATCCACATGAACATCATCATGTTCATGGTTATCATCACGAGCACCATCAAGAGAAACAGGATGAGAAATCAAGGTCCCTGCGGCCTCCTCTTCCCTACAGGCGAAGTTTTGATGACACGTCCGGTGCATCTCCACAGATCCATATCACCAAAGCAGATATGGAGGACTATCGGAATGACATGCCAAGTGAAAGCCCACCTCCACCAATGGAGCCAAAACGAAAGACCTCCCTCACCAAGGCACTGGGATTCTTTCCATTGACGCGATCCCACCGTCGGAGCACTTCTGAAAGCAGCTCCCAGGGAAGCATTGAACGGCCGCCTTCGTAAGAAAATATCACTGCGATGCTTTGACTGGAACCCAAACTAATAGAGAATAGAAGCGCTTCAACATCACAACCTGTGCAATCTCCTTTCCTGGCAATACCCAAGTCTACTCGGGATCGCATCAGTCAGAATGCCGACGTGGCGGATATACCCCGAGCAGTCCCACGTTTTGATCGACCTGAAGCCGATACTGAGAAATTGATTTGGATTCATGTTCCGTACACGCATACTGGTTGGGTATCACAAGTCATCCGCCGGGCGTGCCAGGATAGTCAAGAACCTAGTTTGTAAGGCATTTCCAATCCAGATCTTGTACATTGCTAACCCTTTTTTGCAGTGTTCGAAAATTCATCAACGATGAAAACTGGTACCATCGGCTTAATAGAGCTCGCCATCTCGAGCCTCATGCGCGTTTCGTCAAGCCCACGTGTATTCACTTAAGACAAATGGATGCCTCACAGAGTTCTTCTGATGCTGCCGAGGACCCACAACTAGCTTTATATGTATGTTCCACATCCTCCACACGAATATCCGCGCTAACGTATATTCATTCAAGTCTCCCTACGTTAGTATCTTCACTTAACCAAGTATTCCTCTGTGATACTGTGCTAACTCACCCTAGCTACACTGGGATACATACCGCAACCTAATCCAACGGCGCAAAGTAGTTGAAGACCGCCTTAACCAAGGCCGATCCAGGCCCGTCCCAGGCCGAATCTCAAAGGCAAGCCTGGAAGCCCAACTAATCTGGACCTACCTCGGCTGCGAGCCCCCGGTGCACTTCCGTCGTACACTCGATCAATACGGGTATCCTAATCTGCGCTCGACCATCGCGCGCGACGACGACCAGATGCTCTGGAAGCGCACTCGTAGACCGGCCCGCATTGACGAGCAGCTTAAAGAGTACCTACAGTATGCACAGGATGATCCTGATAACGAGGAGATTGGCGAGTTCATGGATGGGAATGTTCTGATGGTTGATCAGCTCTGGCTTTGGATTGTTGATCAAAAGACTGTTGTCACTTTCTTTCCAAACCAGGAGGCTAATACCTCTGAGGGGAAGCTTTTTGAACAGTCGAACTTGCATAGCAGCATTTACAATGAGCTCAATGGCGATCTCTCGCGTCGCTTTGAGACAGCTGGGGACTTGGCTGCTCTTATTGTGCTGCATTCTGTCACTGTTCTCCTGGACAAGACTCTGCATCAGGACCTGCAGGTATTACGGATTTTCGAGGAATCAATTAGCATTTTGGTAAGCCTTATGCGTTCTATCTGGTCCTTCTGGTGGCTTATGTTAACAAACACAGACCGAATCTGTCACCAAGTCTTTCAAGCGGTTCCGAAATAGAGGCTTCACCAACCGCCCAGCAGATCATGACCGCACCTCAGACGGCAAGATCATGACACTCGCACAGCAAGAATATAAAGAGTTCCAGGTTGCTCGACGAAACCGAGAAGATCTCTCCGTCCTGCTCGAGCTGCGCGACATTGAGGATGAGCTATCTACCATCCTAAAGCTACTCGACCAACAAGACGCGGTCATCAAAAGTATGGTCAAATATTTTGACAATAGGGGTGGATACGGCAGATCTTTCCTTGATACTGCACAGGAACGAATCGACGAATATCGTTTACAGATCAACGAAATGAAAGAAAGTAGCCATCTAGCACAGAAAGCCGTAAGTGTCCACACTGTCTGGCTGGTCTGTAGTATACATGTACTAACAACAGCCAGGTCGAAACTCTCCTCGATCTTAAGCAGAAACAGGCAAATGTTGACGAAGCCAAAATGACTCGATGGCAAGCCGAGGTCGCTCAAACGCAATCGCGAGCAGTAATGGTCTTCACCATTTTCAGTGTCGTGTAAGTCTTCAAACTCTCCACAACAAAGCCAATAATGATATCTGACAATCCAAGTTTCCTTCCTCTGTCCTTCTTCACCTCGTTATTTGGGATCAACGCCCGAGAGTGGAGCGGCGAAGAGAAGAACCCAACCCTAGGCCAAATGTTACAGATAGCCGGTCCGTTTCGTCCGATCCCTATATAAACATTCACAACCACTGACATTCTCCAGCTCCGGCTTCCTTTGGGATAATCTTTCTCTCCCTCTTCATGGCCTTCAGTGACACGCTACGCGATATTGTATCAAAGACGCACAAGATCAGCGTCGGCCTACTGAAAGACTTCATCTTGCGTCCGGTTCGATCATTCGTCGTGGAATCCATCAGAGGAAAAATGCCTGTTCATGTTGTGCCTGAGGACTCAGACTTAAGGAAACGATTCGATGAATACCTTGGCTATGGAAGGAGGAATATGCAGCGTGATGAGGATATCTGGCAGCGGTGGCAGGGGGATCGAATTTCTGGGGGGAAGGGGGCTAAGAAGGGGAAATATAAGGTGAAGGTTAGATTGGATCAGAGGACTCGTGGAGAGGTTTAGTATGTATCTTCTTTCTTTTGGTATAGGTTTTTGTTCTCGGCGGCTGTTTGATACCCCTGCATCTTGCATTTTGTACCTTAATTTTTCTATTCTGGGAGTACATACGAAGTATACAGGACAGCAATGCACCTATTGACTTGACAGATAAATGCAACTCTTGACGTATCCATGTAAGACTCAAGGGGAAGGATGCTGCTTGTATATATTTCGTTTTTAGGTTATGTGAGTCCCAATGATATCTTCAAAATAACCTGCTTCAAAATCCTCAACGCAGATGCGTTCGTGTATTTCAGGATATAAATAAAACATACATAACGTACATTCACCGTAAACACCGTTAGGCATGATTTAAACTGATTCATCTCACATGTCAAGCAGCCAAACACCGTGGATAAAAAGAATAATTTGATCCTTAGAAGAAAATTGTTAACAGACTAGTTGACAGGGTGGGGGTATTTCAAAAACAGAGAAATTCAAAACGTCTGCGCTTCCATCGTCATGTTGAGGTTGGTTCGTCAGCAACCTTTAGTATACGTAGATTGTGAGAATAAGGGGACGGGTATTTCCTGGGAGGCCAGGACAATATTCCTGCTGGGGAGTGAGAAAAGATGGGTTCGACTGGATGGCCGTAAAGGCTATACACAGTAAAGCGTCGGGTGATGATTCGGAGGCGGAGTCAACGGTGGGATAAATGGCAATGGACGTGTTTCTCGGCACAGCTTCATCCCAGATACCAGGTTGCTCTTCAGGCCTCAATGGCAGGTAGCGACGAGGCGAGATTCATAGCTGAGCATTTCATGATAGTCTGCATCATGCGGCTAGAATCCAACGGCTTAGACAAGTAATCGTCCATGCCGGCCTCTATGCATTTGTCTCGATCCCCAAGCATAGCATGCGCAGTGAGAGCAATGATCGGCGTGCGAGGAAGTCCATTCATTTTTTCGTATTGTCTGATGTTGCCTGTGGCCTCAAAGCCACCCATAACGGGCATCTGGACGTCCATGAGGACTACATCATAGCGGTGGTGTTTGACCTCGTTTACGGCTTGCAGGCCGTTTTCCACGACTGTGACATTGTGGTTAAATTTTTCAAGAATTCGGACGGCGACTTTTTGATTCACATCATTGTCCTCTGCAAGAAGGATTGCTAATGAGCGAGTATAGCCTGATGGGGTGTGGGTTGCGCGATTGCCGAGGGCCGGAAGAATGCCGTTCCATAGATCGATTGGTCGACAGGGCACTGTGATGTAGGATGCTATACCGAGTTCACCGGCAGCTCTGAGCGCTAGGGAAACAGTATGCGCTGTAATGACCAATGGAATAGGTTGTAGATCTGTGTAGGCTCGGATTTTTGCGGCGATCTCCAGGTTTTCGATGAGGATTGCGTCGAAGGTGCACCCCCAGTCCCTTTTGAACTGACCACATTCTAGCTGGTCCTCTGTCACAATAACCGGTTCTAATCCGAGCCCCATGAGCACGGTAGCTATTGGGAAGGTACGCCCAAGGCCGTGGTCGAAGAAGAGAACGCGCCGGCCGCGATGGGGGATTAGTTGTTCGGCAAAGCTCGGCGGCGGCGGAGCTAGCTTTACCCGACATGTGAATGAAAATGTACTACCTTCTCCCATGTTCGAGGTGACCCATATATCACCGCCCATGAGAGAAACGAGCCTTTTCGAGATTGCGAGACCTAGACCTGTCCCACCAAAGCGACGAGTCATGGATCCATCGGCTTGCTGGAACTTATCAAAGATGAGGCCAAGTTTGCTTTCATCGATGCCGATTCCTGGGTCTGAAACTGAGAACTGGAATGCCGTTTCGTCTGAAGCGCACTTGTCGTCTTGTGCACGCTTGACCGTGACCCTGATCTCACCATGGTCTGTGAACTTGATGGCATTGCCGACAAGATTCAACATGACCTGCCGTAGTCGATATGCATCTCCGACCAGATAATCCGGTACTTCGCCATCTACTGTGTATACTAGGCCCAATGCCTTTTCGTTGGTTTCCACAGAGAGAGCTTTTAGTACACTGAACACTGTTGCGCCAAGACTGAATGGCGTCTTCTCGATAATCATATGGTTAGCCTCGATCTTAGAGATGTCGAGGATGTCATCGATGATAGTCAATAGACTAATGGCAAGGCTGTGGACCATATTGAGAGTCTCTCTCACAGGAGCTTGGAGGTCGTCAGTGTCGAGTGCCAGGCTCGAGAGCCCGATGATGCCGTTCATGGGGGTTCTGATCTCATGGCTATAATCCGCTTAGACGAGTGCAAAAGAGAAAACGTAAAATCATGCGAATCAGAGTAAAGTGTTAACGTACCTCATATTAGCCAAAAATTCAGACTTACTCCGATTTGCCAGCTCCGCTGCTTCACGAGCAGCCGTGTTGCGCTGAATACTGTCCCGCAGACTCGAGATCATCTTGTTGATCTTTTGCTTCAAATCGTCCATTTCTCCAGAGGCAGACACGGTAATCAATTTTGTGAAATCTCCACTCATCGCCGCCTCAGTGATCTCACCAAAGGCACGAACCTGAGAGGTCAGGTTGTCCGCCATTGTGTTGACATCTTCACTGATCGATCTCCAAATTCCATGAGATCCCGCGACATTGGCCTGGCCGCCGAGTTTACCCCGGACACCCACGTCCCTCGCCACGCCTTTGAGTTCCCCCGCAAATTCCCCCAACCCATCCATCATGCTATTGATTGTTTCTTTGAGGGTCAAGATCTCACCCTGGGCGTGGACCTCGATTTTGGTACTGAGATCACCGCGCGCGATGGCCTGGGTCACGTTGGAAATTTGTCGGACTTGTAAGGTCAGATTTTGGGCCATAGTATTGACGTTATCGGTCAAATCACGCCAGCGGCCTTCGACGTTCTCGACTTGCGCTTGTCCACCTAATGTTCCGTCTGTTCCAACTTCCCGCGCGACTCGACTGACCTCGAACGCGAACTGATTCAATCGATCAACCATCGCATTAATCGTTAGCTTGAGATCCAGAATCTCGCCCTTCACATCCGCGGTCACCTTCTTCGTAAGATCACCACGAGCAACGGCGGTCGTCACGTCGGCAATTTCACGGACCTGCTGCGTAAGATTCGATGCCATTCGGTTGACGTTGTCCGTGAGATTCTTCCAGGTGCCCTCCACGCCGTGTACAACAGCCTGGCCGCCAAGCACACCGTCTGACCCAACCTCGCGGGCAACACGGCTAACCTCGAATGCGAATTCCCGCAGCTGATCGACCATCGAGTTGATAATGTTTTTAAGAAGCAGGATCTCACCTTTACAATCCGCTTGCACCTTGCGCTGCAAATCACCCTTGGCAACTGCAGTCGTTACAGTGGTGATGTCGCGGACCTGCGTAGTCAGGTTGTTGGCCATGGCATTCACGTTAACGGTCAATTCATGCCAAATTCCCTGGATGCCTTCGATCTTTGCCTGGCCACCTAACACACCCTCCGTACCGACTTCCCTAGCCACCTTCGACACTTCTTGACTGAAAACCTGCAACTGATCCATCATTGTATTGATTGTCTGCTTGAAAGTGGCGATATCAGGTGACATCTCGAGTGGGTGCATGCGGGCCCGCTGTGAAAGATCGCCATGGGCGACCTGGGTGATGATCTCGCCGATCTCACGCAGTTCTTTCTGGAAAGCCTCATTGATGTGAGTATGCTTTCGGAGTTCCTTCCGAAGGTTTGCGCATTCATGCTCGATTTCCGCGATGGAAGAATGACACTCGCGGCGGTAGATGAGTTCGTCGACAATGAGAGAGATAAATTCGCGGGGCACGGAGATTTCTGGACTTTGCTGATGCTGGAGAGCTGCTCTTGCTTGCATGAGATCTGCATCGCTCACCAGGGCTGGCCGAGCGGTGTCCACCATGGCAGCCATGTTTGGCAGCAATCACGGTGTAATTTGAATTTCAAATCGACTCAAGGCTTTCTAGGGCGTGCAGTGACTCTAGAGAAAAAGTTAGGGACAGACCAGGTAATCAGATGAGGTGACATAACCGTGTGATGGGCAGTGCCAACGCGGTGTATTCCCCGCAAGAACTGTATGCATTCCCGATGGCCAAGGTACACCAAAGAAAAAGAATCCGAGTCAGGTGCAGACACAGAAATGCAGGACGGGAATGCCGTAGTCTGGTGACAAGGCGGAGAGAATCAAGAGATGGAGAAAACGTCAGTTATTTGCCGGTCCCGCCCGCTTATATGGGCCCAAATTAACTTGAATACTTCCACAGCATTATCCCTGTGATCCCCAAACACTTCCCTGTTATATTTAGTCTAGACTCTTGGGGCATTGTGAACTGCATAAATAGCCGAGCCGAGTAGCCAATCAATTATGTTCGTAATTTAGGCGGAAATGTTGGATGTAAGGGTTATTTGTTTAAGTATCCGGGGAAATCGTTTAACTTCAATTCATGTACGGAGTATGACAATATAACATACATATACAATGTGTTGGATGAACTTTATCAGGGGGGACATTGTCGATCCCGCCGATCTGCCTTTTTTCTGACTCGGAAAGATCTCGGGAAGTTTACCCTGCCAATCTATAAAAGGCGGAATTCAGTAAGCCGTATCAGGTGGGACTTCATTGGAATACATGATATAGTACAGTGGGGCCTTTTTTTGGCAAGTCCCAGGTAGAGAGAGGAGAGAGAGAGAGTCAAGAGATCAGATCAGAACAAGTCCAGAAAAATACAGGTATGGAAAGAAACATAAGAGAAAACAGACAAACACCAAATAGCGACACAAAGAAAAGACATTAGAGAGATATCCGACTATCAGAACAGGCTACGATGCAAAGGGGAGCGCTCGAGGTATTTCTTCAGAGGGTGAGAGGGCTTTAGAACATGCCGCCGCCCATGCCGCCCATACCGCCCATACCGCCCATACCACCACCGGGAGGAGCAGGACCCTTCTCCTCAGGAGCATCGACAATAGCGACCTCAGTGGTACCGAGGAGGGAGGCGACACCGCTGGCGTCAACCAGACCGGTACGAACAACCTTAAGAGGATCAACGATACCAGCGGAAATCATGTCGACGTATTGGCTGGTGGCACTGTCGTAACCGCGGTTGAAGTCCTTGGCGTACTCGTCAGTCAGCTTGCCGACAATGACGGAACCCTCAAGTCCGGCGTTCTCCACAATAGTACGGGCAGGGCGGGTGATAGCGCTCTTGATGATGCTAACACCGAGCTGCTGATCGAAGTTGGCGGGCTTGACACCATCAAGGCCGTTAGCGGCAGCCTTGAGCAAAGCGGTCCCACCACCGGGGAGGATACCCTCCTCAACGGCAGCGCGGGTGGCGTTAAGGGCGTCGACAACGCGGTCCTTCTTCTCACCGACCTCAACCTCGGAGGCACCACCGACCTTGATGACGGCAACACCGCCGGAGAGCTTGGCAAGACGCTCCTGCAGCTTCTCCTTCTCGTACTCGGAGGTAGTGGGGTCGGCCATGACTCCGCGAATCTGCTCGCAGCGCTGGGAGATGTTGTCCTTGCTGCCCTCACCGTTGAGGATAATAGTGTCCTCCTTGGTGATGGTGATAGCACCGGTGGAGCCGAGCATCTCAGGGGTGAGCTTCTCGAGCTTGATGTCGAGCTCATCGGTGAAGACGGTACCGTTGGTGAGAACGGCGAGATCACCAAGGATGCTCTTGCGGTTGTCACCGAAGCCGGGGGCCTTGACGGCGGCGACCTGGAGCTGACCACGGAGCTTGTTCAAAATGCAGACGGCGAGAGCCTCACCTTCGATGTCCTCGGCGATGATGACCAGAGGGCGGCGGAGGGTGGTGGAGGCCTCAAGGGCGGGGAGAATGTCTTGGACGGCGGAGATCTTCTTCTCGGAGAGCAGGATCAGGGGCTTCTCGAACTCGACCTTCTGGGACTTGGGGTCGGTGATGAAGTAGGGGGAGGTGTAGCCACGGTCGAAGCGCATACCCTCAGTGACCTCGAGCTCATCCTCCAGAGTCTTGCCCTCCTTCACGGTGATAACACCCTCCTTGCCAACTCGCTCCATGGCGGTGGAGATAAGCTTGCCGACGTGGGTGTCACCGTTGGCGGAGATGGTGGCGACCTGAGCGATCTCCTCACCGGTGGTGATAGGGCGGGCGTTGGCCTGGAGGTATTCGACAGCGGCTTCAACGGCAGCCTGGATACCGCGGCGCAAATCCATAGGGTTGCAACCGGCGGCAACGTTCTTGACGGTCTCGGAGAAGATGGCGCGGGAGAGAACAGTGGCGGTAGTGGTACCGTCACCAGCAACCTCGTTGGTCTTGGAGGCAACATCCTGAATGAGGCGAGCACCGAGGTTCTCGAACTTGTCTTGGAGCTGGATGGCCTTGGCGACAGTTACACCGTCTGCAAAATGATTAGTCTTCTGCGGGTGGCCTTAGGTCTCTCTTGATGGAAATCTTACCCTTGGTGATCTTGGGGGAGCCGTAGGGGGAGTCGATGAGGACATTGCGACCCTTGGGTCCGAGTGTGGAAGTAACAGCCTTAGCGAGAGTGTCAACACCCTTGAGGAGACTGGCACGGGCTTCGACGCCAAACTTGATCTCCTAGTTATTGTTAGCAAGGGGGACCACATAAGGCCTCGGAAACGACGGAACAAGTCAATGCCAAAGCAAGACGATGTTCCAGACAATTTTCAATCCAACGCACCTTGTGAGCAAAACGCTGCTGCTGGAGGTTCAAAGTCGAGCGAGAGAAAGGGGCACGCTTGGAAGCGGCCGACAGGACGGAGGTCCGGGTAGAGAGAGCGCGCTGCATGGCTAGGAAACAACGAGATTAAAAGAATTAAAAGAAGAGAGAAATATAAGAACCCAGGAGGAATCACGGGCTTGGAGGGGGGAAAAGAAAAGAGATGGAGAAAGCTGGGGGAGAGATGAAGCCAAAGTCTCGAAAATTTTCTAGGCGCTTCCTTCATCCCCAGAGCTTGGCGGCAGAAACAGCTAGAACCATCACGTGAGCCGGAAGACCGGACCTAAATCGGCTGTCGAATTTGTAGATATGATGGCATTATAGAGCATTGGAGCGAAGCATTGCATTGGGAAACTCCCTTTATTGTGTCCAATTGCTTTATTTCTACATTTCGATGTAATAAAGCAGTGTCTTCCTGCTGTTGTAAAATATCGGAGATTCAAGCTGTGCTTATACCTCGGGAAGCTAGATGTTCGCCGTATTTCGGCTTTCGGCAACTTTGAAATCCCCGTATATTGGCAACTTAACAACATTACAACGTCCATTGTATTATCTCTAGGTGTTTTTTGTGGTTCCTATGTTCAACGTTGCCAATATATCTGGACCTTCAATCGGTCACTTATAGGAATTTACAGCCCTTTATGAATAAGTATTAGGTGAGATGCAAGACCCTCTCCTATTTATATATATACCCAAGTCTACCCACCACGCTATATGTACTCACACTAAAATGTCCACACTACCAGCTCTCTCTTAAAGCTCTTACAATCAAAGTTTAATGCAATGATATTATCATACTTCTCATATCACCTTGTTCTGACCTTGCTATTGCATTACAAGAGATCAGTAAGGTCCTCACAAATCTACCAGACACTGTAAGAGATGCAATATGCTCTTATTGGTGGTAACTGACTAACTACCGGGGTCCCCCGTAGGGGGCCAACGAGCAACGCAAAGAATCGCCGGGAGGAAACTCTGGATAAGGCGTGACTCCATGCCACGCAGAAATAATTATCCGGAGTTGCCCCCGTTGATCGAAATCAAGTCTCACCCCTCTCCTCCGATCAACCAGCTGAGAAACAAACCAAACGCAGAGAAAACAAAAGAAAACGAAAACGAAAATGAAAAGGGACCTTGAAGCAGCATAAAATGAACCCGGAACCATGACGAACAACCAGGAACTTAAAATTCCTTGACGTCTTCACCGTCGTAGCCCAAATAGCGAGGAGGCTCAACGTCAGGGAGACTCACAAACAGTTCATTGTCGACAATGAACTGGTTGTCAAAGCTGCTGGTCTCTGGGTAACCTGTCAATGGCAGGATATCTTGACCACCATACTGGTCGTGGAATTGCAATTCGGCAGGAATATCAAACTGCGCATATGCTTCTGTACGGTTTGGTCCATCACCGGAGGTTACACCAAGCACAGCGTCGGGAGTTCCTCTAGGAGTCCGATTGGCAATGTCGAATGGGCTGGGACCATTGGATGGGAAAGGAATGGAAACACGAGAGTTGTTTGAAAACGGAGTAGGTGGCAGAGGCGAGAAATTTGCAAGAGAATTAGGATGCATGTAAGGAAAATAGGATGGATGACGGGGTGGCATATTGGTGATAACCCGCGGCGGCTTGGTTGGGGTAACAGGGTCTCGGAAAGTTGCAGAGTCGCCAAGGGCATGGTCAACCCTTGCCAATCGCTCGCTGGCTACCTTGAGTGTCACCATCTTTGACTTCTTAGCCGCCTGAGAAGTTGCCTGGCTGTTTTCAGTTGAGCTCTCCTCGGAACTGTCCGATTCCTCATCAACTTCATGCTCATCGCCGCCAGCGAAGTCACGCAGCCATTCCGCTCCAACACAAACCAGCTTCTGGGAGTCATTGCTGTCGGTATCCTCACGCTTTGTATGCAGCTTGGGAGCAACGAAAACCTTGTCCTTCTTTTTGTTCTTTGCAAATTGCTTCTTCTTCAGGGTGTACACACTGTCTTCGGATTCCTCATCAGACTGATCACGGCGACGGCGCTTAGCGTTGCGGGTGTTTGGCGCAGCCTCCTCTTTTGGAGAGGGCAACGCTTCCTTCTTGTTATTTGTGTCGCTCTTGTGATACCCATTTGCTGCACGCTTCAGTGGAGGTGGGTTTGGCTTATCCTGCTCATCCCGCTTGGCACGCAGCTTGGACAGATGCTGAACTATGGCACCCTCTGTGAACTTTTCTCCCATCGCTTCCGCAACATCCTTCCAGGGAATCTTGACGCCGAGTTTATTGCAGGCATACTGGATGGCCAGCAGAAGTCGAATGTCGGTATCCACTATTGCAGTCAAACGTCAGCATAATTCAATGACAAATACTCTATACGAATGGGAACGCAAGTCTATCCATCAATGGATGATCTCGGGTTTCACAGCTTCTCGGTGAACTTCCGAACAGAAAGATGAAGCAAGGTCAAGAATATGAAAGAAAACCAAACATACCATCCCAGCGAACCAGTGTCCGTTGGCGCCGGCTGTTGACCTGGCGCTTCCCCTGGCTTTCTTCCTCCTTGCGAGCCTCTTCGGCCTTCAGTGCCTTGCTCTGTTCAGCGACTTGTTTGCGGAGCCTTTCGAGCTCAGCGAGGTCCGCCTCGTTGTCGCGCTTTCGGCCACTGGCCTTCTTCTTCGTCGGCATAGTGGAGGAACAATTCCTTTCTATCATTCACGACATCATCATTAGCATTCGTGCTCATAACAAACAAACAAATCCGGAATATATGGACAGGGCATCAGGTAGGCAACAGGGCATGATCAATCTGTTGCTGCGTTACTTCCACACCCCGAAGCCGAGGAGATGTGACATTCGAGAATGTCTTTTGTGCAGACAGGGGTTGCATGGCAACAGAACCCTGATCGACCAACCACAAGGAGAACACACAGAAGACACATAGTGTTTTCAATGTGGAATGCCTTTGGGGTACGAATTTGAGGCTGGAGTATGAAGCCTTGTATCGTACAAGCAATGTATGTTGGGACAAATATGCAAACAGTGACAAGGCTAACCATGGCTGCAAGGTCTCAAGGCATGTCACAAGAAAGCTGCCCATGCTCACAGCAGTTGGTGTCTGATACCATAATGATGCTGAGTGCAATGTCGATATCCTTCAGTGCCATAGAACATGACGGTCGGATGCAAGGAGATCACATTGCATGATTTTCAATGTTGGATGTTCATGTGCAAGAGCGAATCCTCGACAAGGTCAATGGGCGACAAAGCAACCCAGATGCCCTGAAGATCAGATTGGATGGAAATGTGGGGTACCAAACACTACAGTTTGTCACAGAAACCTCATGCTGATGATGAACAGCTGCAAGAGCTTTATGGTGGGATTTGGAAATGTGCTAGAGAAAGGCTATGGGCCAGAAGCAGCACAAAGCTGCATTACTTACCTGGTGGATATGATAAAAAAGCGCTGTCGATCCAGGTGCTTGAGTATCAAAGCAGAGAAAGATGGGGAATGTTGTGGGATGCTGGGAGGTGGATGGAGGTTGATGGGATTGAAAGGTAAGTGAGAGAAGTCGTGACCGAAAGAAGTAGTGGGGGATGGCAAATGCCCTTGAGGAACAAACTGCCATGGAACTCCAGTTGTGTTTGGTGTGCTTGCTTGGTTCTTGGTTTCGAGGTTGACTACGCGTATTGTATGCGCGTGCTTGACTCAAATTGGAGCGTTCCATACCCTGCACCACGAGGAGGCATATTGGATCTTTTCTTATGTCTGGCTGCCGGAGCCTACATTTCTATTCGCATGTCTTGACAAAATTATCCTATTCAGTACGTTGAGACAGCTAAGCACGCATTGGGATAAAACCTGGATTTGATACAGCGCTTACTCCTCGGATGAACGATCTATATACCTTTGTGGCAACGCTTTTACACCCCACCACCCTCGAGAAATAAATTGAACAGTACAGAATGCACTTAGGGATGACCCGATGGCATGTAGCGACTATAATCATATCAATTGAACGTTGTGGAGCCGGAGACTATAGTGTGTCACATTGTAGAGTGTTCTTTAGAGTTGTCAAACAAATCATGTATGCTGCCAACGATGTATATAAGTTCCCGGTAAGATCTACCCACCCCACCACCGTCGTAAAAAGAATTGAAACGTATGGAATGCACTTATTGACAATCTAACAGCAAAAGCGAGTCAGATTTTACCAATTGAAAGTTGTGGGACCCGGGAACCTAGTTAGTGTATCTAGTTGTAGAGCGTTAATCTCCAAGACATGTTGTCAAAATAAACGCGATCACGTGAGCATCAGCCGCCACACACGCTTATCAATCTGTGTTAGAAGGATTCCAAGGTTATCAGTTGCCCTCGGTGAAACTATCTTCCACTATCACGTGAACCAGCGGGAACAAATATTCAACCCGAGTAAATCTTCACCGCTGTGCTGGTCACCGCCTTCCTAAAGAATACTCATTCCACGTGATCCTGTCATCCCGATCCTCCGAAGTCGAACGCTTCCAAACTCACCCGAACCGTTTTCACCCCTTCAATCGAACCATACCTCCCACATTCTCTACAAAATGACTGCTGCCTGGAAAGCCGCTGGTTTGACGTACGCATACATGAATCGTCTTTAAAGTCAATGCTAACCCCGAACCCAGCTACAACCGCTACCTGGCCATCGCCGCCCGCACGGTGCGCCGTTCCTTGAAGGAAGGTCCTCGCCTCGCATCTGAGCGCCGCGGCCAGATGGACCTCCGTTTCGCCAAGTGGGAGGTTAGTGGACTCCCCAGCTCTATGCTGCAAACGTTTGACTGATGACAATGTTACGATAAACAGAACGGCAAGCAGGGCGATGTTAAGTCCCTTGCCCAGGCCAACAACGAGGCCCTCGCCAAGGCTGCCGAGAAATAAGCCTTATACGCCCACTACCTGAGAGAATCGAGCTTGGAGATATGCAGGGCCCGAGTGTGACGGACTTGAGCAAGCTTTTGGTCCGGGGGAGGCATTGAAATGTACATGTGTAGCAATACCGGCCTGTTTGGTTGGGCAGAGCTTAGAAATCGCACTCGTCTTTGTTTTCAACCCACGCATAAGCTGTTAATTAAAAGTGCCGTAAGAATTCATATACTGCCCGAGAGTGGCCGGTCAGATGTTGCACGTCACTTCTAGAAGTCGGTTGTCGACTGCCCGACTCGCTTTTTCCTCCGCTCACGTCCCCGCCTCTCCCCCTCGATTTGTCAATTCCTCCAAACACGTCCAACTGTACAATACTCGATTCAACCCCCGTAATAAAAATTGCACCGCGAGAACTTAGGATTCTTCGTGATGTTGCCGAATAATGAAGTTCGCGTTCCACGTCCGCGCTTCGCTGCGCAATCCGCACCCCGCGACATTACCGAAGAATTTACAAAAGCTGCCTCCAGTAAGCATACAACCCCGGCCACTTCGATCAAATCTCTAACTAATTGTACTTGAAGAGCTAAATACAGGACAGCTCGTGAAAGATGAGACGTTCACACTGTTCGAGGCCGTGGGTGCATTGGAGGTGCGTCAGCTTTCTCACCGGGTGTGAAACGTGCAACGAGAATTGCAGCTGACGACGATCGAACCCGGACAGATTATGGACTCGAAGATGGATAGTGGCTACATAGCCCCCGGAGAAAATCTTGCGCAGGCGCTGGAAGACGACTACGACGTGCGACGCCCATTGATACCAGAGGAAGTCATTGGCTTGATGGACCAGTTGCTGTGCCACGAGGTGGGAGTTGATATCGTCCATATGAGGACCGGCAGATTGCTGATTTGATCGCAGGTGGCGTGGCATAAGGGACATCCTCTATCGCAGACACTATTCACGTCGATCTACCTGGATAAATTGTTGTGGCCGGTGCCTAGGACCATGGAGGACGCTCGATTTGACCGTGTACCAAGTGATGCTCCTTTGGTCAACCTCGTCTTGAGAGCTTACTGCCTTGCATTGGTCAAAGCTTGTGATCTTGTGCATATCCGAGTGGCCACTGAATATTATTATGAGGTAAGTCGGCTGAGTCGCAAAATATGACCGTTGCCAATGCGTTGCTAATGCCATCCGCCAACTAGGAAGAGGATTTCGTCAGTCAACTATACAACCGCAACCTTCTGTCTGCCTTCAGTATATCTCACTTCCACCGTCTGCTGGACCAGGCGGTTTCTTGGGTGGCGGAGCAGACCGATATTGACCAGAAACTTAAAGATGCTATCCATTGCAGACTAGCGTTTCGGCATGAGTTTTTGTCGGCACTAGACCAGGACCTTGAAGTTCTTGAAACTAGATCTACAGAAAATTTCTCCTCGTGTTTAGCTCAACTCCAACCTTTATCAGAGACAGTTGCACTGGGAAAGCCAGTGCCAGAGGCCTTCAGTTTGAAGATTCAACGGAAACTGGCTAGCACAGTGCCGCCTCGTCCGATGGTTAATATCAACTCCGATGATGCACTAGCACATCTAAAAAGATTGTGCCAAGATGCGATAGACATGCAGCAAATGCTTGATTACACCGGTCCCAGTAACTTCAAGGTATGCACTCCTGCGCTTGGGTCTAATTCTGGTTCTGACCGAGATTGCAGACTGCTGTGTGGACCTTACTTTCTCGAAAGCCACAGCCCTCTATTTATATCCGTTGTCTTCTTCAGGCATTGATCGTCAGCAACATGACGATTCTGGGTGCCGTGCCAGTCAAGGAGTTTCTACACGATGAACTCGCGGAACTCGTCTTGCCTGCCAATATCTTGCTTGAGGCTAATACCGATGATGTGGAAGTGCCGTCCCATCCTCGGTTCCAGATTGCCCTGAAGATGGATGCTTTCATGAAGCGATTCGCTCAGGTTAGTGTACATCCAGATCTTAGAATGTCCTATTTGCTAATTTCGACAGCCATTCGTTGATACTGTGCGATGCGCTTGTCTCAATAGGTGTCGTATTCGCCGAACACTCTGCCATACCCTCGTCGATTGGGACAACTTGCAGATGGAGGTCAGCCTTGCCCCGTGTCCTTTTGTCCATTTTAGTGTTAATGCTGAACCAACGCAGGCAGAAGAAATTGATCTCGAGCTCCGTACTTTGAGTGCGGAACCGCCTTTGCAATTCCAAGGCGGGGAACCGACCTGGTCCTTCCCACTTAGCAGCTGGGCTTATCACCAGAAGCTTGTCCAATTCAGACTCATTCTCCAGATGGGCTTTGAGTTGTCGATATACTCCCCGGAAGAGTTACCGGGCATGTACTGGTATCTGTCTCATATTTGCTCTACACATCTTGGCCACATTGATCGCATTCGTACTTTTACTGTGGCTGCACGAAAACGCGACTTGATGGCTACTGACGACCGTTCTGGAGGTTCCTCCCAAAAGGCATCGGCGTTCCACCGATCATTCCATGCTCTGGAGAGGATAACTACGCACATCATTGCGGTGGATGCCTTTGCGATTGCTTTACATGCATTGTATGTTGTACTGGCCCGGCACAAGGTGCTTCCGTCTGCCTCGTCTTCCCAGGCATATTCCACCGATCGACTCCGCTATGAAATCCGGATGAAGCCGTTTATCCCCATCACATTACCAGAATTGGTCCCGTACGAGGAATACCAGCGTGAGGCAGCTCTCGAAGGTGATTCCGACACTACCATTCTGGAACGTGCCTCCAAGGCTATCACAGAAGCGCGCAAGGCGTGGGAGGCGACCCTTGCTAATGGAGCATTCATTGATGACCCTTCTGCGCCATCCCAGCTGTCACCTTCGGCCATTGAAGAGGATTGGAAGCGCGATGTGAAGAACACCATGCGTGCCTGCATTGGGACCAGTCTTGCTGTTGAGGCTGTCAAAAAGGCACTCTCCGTGGCATCCACTGAGGATAAGCCGCTCAATTTGGAGGTCCTTGTCCCTGAGGTTGGACGCAAGTCTCGTTGGCATGACTGGTGGGTGGTACCACAGGTGTCTGAGAGAAAGCCCAAGGCGTGAAAGATATATCGTCCTATGAAGGACTGCATGTGTTCGAGTGCCTTCAATAAGTACTGATGTATGAGTGATACCTTTTATTCGTTATAGAAATGATCATGACTTTATATGACCTCAAGTTCAGGCACGTCGTATATATCTAAAGACTATATCGAGCCAACAAGAGCCGTAAGCCTACACATGCATAATAAATGCCAAAAAGATCATTCATATATATGTATACAAATGTCTACTTATAGATTTGTCTTTAAGTAACTCAGTAGCACCAAGTATAAAAGAAAAGTCAACAAAACCAAAACTCGCCAAATCAGGGCCTGTCATGTCCAACGGGAACACCCGCTGGTTATGAAATCAACCTCTGCCACCTGGGCACCTTGACAATTTACAACTCTTTTCCGCACCTCAACTTTTTTTTTATCCTTTTCAATACCACAAATACCTCGGCACTTGCTTGAGGGTTGAGCTGTTTTAGGGCCACATATTATCTCGGAGTTCACCTTTGATTCTGCTTCTTTCTGGCGATTTGCAGAACAATCCGGGGCAGCTCACGGACCTCCTTTGGCCGATGATAGGCACAATTGAACGCCATCGCAGCAATCGCTCCAGGGCTAGTGTTTTGTACCGATCAGTGATTGCCGTCATTCCGACTGGTCAGCACCAGTGAGAGCTGTCCATTTTCAGTCTTCACTTCAATCTACGCCTTCCTATGCCGCTCCCTCTTGTTGCCCGGTCGCCGCAGGCTGCCTTTTCCATCATTTCATTGCTGTCGATCGCGGGGATCCGGTTGTGAGAAAAGAATAAAAAAACGAAAATTCCCATTATGCCAACCTACCCTATCCGCCGCCGGCCGCGCGAGTGCAAGACCTGTCTACCCTGCCGAGCAAGCAAAGTCCGCTGCGATCGCAACGTCCCCTGTGGCAATTGCACCAAACGAAACTTCGCCTGCTCCTACGGTCGTCCGTCATCTGCAAAAGTTCCCCCTCCCGCTGTCGTCACAGCCTCCTCCACGCCATCACAACAATCTAGCTTTGTCTCTCCCACGATCCCCCCATATCCCAACTCGGCTCCCACCCTCGATGGCTCATATGCAACCGATCATCCCTCGACCGCCAGCGCGGATCCGGATTTACCGGACATAATTGATATCTCCCAGGCAGAATGGGATGAAATTAACACCAAGATGGCCGCAATGGAACAAATCATCGGCAGTTTGCATTCGCTATTCCAGACACACTCGAATCATAAGCCGCCAGAACCAGAGCCAGAACCAGAACCCATCGAACGGAAGAATTCCATTCGGTCGGAAGGTGTCTACGGGTCGAATGTCTTGAAGACGGGCGCGGTTCATCTCGGGTCGCGGTCGGCCCTGGTTGATATTTTGGATAAATCGAAGAGGTCGGAGGACACAGCGCAGGCGCTGCCCCAGGATGATCTTCTTGCTGAACTTGCTTTGGGGAATGAGTCGGCTGCATATCCCTTTGTGGATCTGTGGTCCTCCGACCCATTCACATTCAATATCGCCGGTGTCTGTGCGGTTCTTCCAGAAGACGCACGGTGCCTGGAGTAAGTCAAAGATATGCGGTGTTTTGTGATGCATGCTAATTCCAATTTTCAGGTTCCTGACGTTCTACCAGGATATAGGATCAGTTTTATACCCAGTACTGTCGGACACGACACAATTAGTACGACAAACCAAGCGACTTCTTGATAATCGACGACGAGTGGGAGGTGTCTATAAAGCCGATGCCAATGGATTAGTGAAACCATTTGGGATGCCTTTGGCTTTTCTCAGTCTGCTTTTTGCAACCCTTGCATCGGGATGTCAGCTGTCTAGTATCCCGGAAAGCGACCGCGAATTGACCTCATGGGTCTACGGTGCGTCATGTTCCAGACAGTTTGAGAATGCCGTGCTGACTTTCTCCAGTTTCTTGTGCGTATCAATGTCTCCGGATGTTGAATTATGTGTCGCAACCCACCGTAGAAGTAATTCAGATTCTTCTGATCATTAGCAATGTTCTTTCATATAATATGAATGCAGGCGCATCATACACTTTGCTTGGTGCGTGTTGGGTGTGTTTCCGATGAGAGCTGGTCAAGCTAACGAGCGATAGGCATGACCGAGCGAATGTGTCTTGTCCTTGGGCTCCATGTTGAGTCAACCGGGTTCTCAGTTGCAGAGCAGGAAGTGCGAAGGCGTGTGTGGTATGTTTCGTTTTTTTTTTCTTCGTCTTTGATTGATCTCAAGCTCACATTTATCAGGTGGACAATGGCGTTCCAGAACAGCCATTTCTCGCTTGCCTATGACCGACCATCGATCACCATGGTCAGTCAACCGGAAATTCCATTCGATCCCAAATCAATGCCGGGCCATCGCTCATATTTTGAAACACTCTGTCGCATTGTATCCTTGGCGTTGGAAGTCCTGCGGTCCCGTATGTATCCCGGATCGTCTCAGTTACGTATCCATGAGATCCGTGAGTATAAACAACAGATCCATCGGATGCTCGCCGAAGCGACTCCACATCTGCGGCATCGAGACAATTGTCGATCGCTAGCGGAGCATATTGAGCGAACCGAATTGCGCCTGCACTCCTCCTATCTTCTCTCTGTCCTGTGTCGTGTCTCGCTCGATCCACATGCGCATTTAGACGCATCGCGTCGCGCAATGATTCGCGAAGACTGTATCGGCAGTCTGTTCAACACGATCGACGCATTTGTTGAATTGCACGAGATCAATTCCCACTGTTCACGGTCCTGGATTAGCCTGCAGCGAAGCATTGCCTCGGCCTTTTTGCTCGTGGCAAATGATGACAGCCCCCAGACCTGGCAGGTGATAGATAGGCTGGAGATGGTTCTGGCGGACCATGTCTATGGAGACAGTGACATGGACCATAGCCGCACTGACTCGGCCAAGCATCTTTCTTCGTCACTCCGTGCCCTGCGTGAGATCCGCGAGGCCTTCAGCGCTCGGACGGGTAGTTCGACGGGCCAAACATCGAGCATAACATATTCGCCCCTTGTGTTGCCTTCTCCTCCTTATCTTGCGCCCAGTCCCGATATGTCATCATTGGCAAGCACCGCCAGTACAGGTCTGCAACCGATGGAAGGTGTGAGCATACGGAATATCCTTGGTCGTGTTTCTGATGTGATGTTATTCCCCAGCATGAGCGGAAATAACCCAGTAGTATAACATCTCACATATTATTTTTTCTGTTTTTTTTTTTTTTTTTGTTCCCCGTTCTGGCGTTTGGGGTAACATGGGATCTCGGGAATATACAATACCTGAGTATCCCCTATGGGGCCAGCGTCTGCTGCGCTATATACATAACCTCTTCCCCCACCCCATGGGGAAGAATGATATCAACATATGAATCTGTTCGAAATATAAGGCCAGAAGTGAATATTCAGACTCAGTCTTGTAAGGAGTAGAGAGTAGTAAAAAATGTCGAAAATTGAAAGTCGGCACATTCCCTAGATGTCAGCAGGCCCCGAATCTCGGGAGTTTCAAGTCGGCCGAATCCTTTAGGTCCAGGAGCGAGACTAGTCAGTTCTGAAGCATTCAAAGTCTTGAAACTCGCAACTTCCCAAGAAAGATGCGAACGGTGAAGGGGAAGTGGAGTGCCGATTCGGCCGGCCGGGGAAATCCCGGCTGTCGACTTTTCTATGCTCTATGTACGTTATGTATTCCTTTACCCTATTTATCCTATTGTTATTTACTTCTTTGTCTGCCGACGATACCGATGTATGATCCACTTAGAACGGTTTTGGGGTGTCTTCTCCGGAGCCACGAGGTGGATGGAGATTACTATGGGGTGATGTGGAGGATCTAGGCTTACCTGACTCGTATGACCTTGGATCCTTTCAGCTCTTATTCGACTGTCTCGGATCATGGCATGTTGTGCGCAGGATTCAGATTGCATGATACATGTTGCTCTAGATACATGTTGCTCTAGGGATCTCGATCTCGAAATTGATATCCCTTTGATTTGTGGGTCTTTTTCAATATATATCTTTGGCTAGTGCCAGGGGTTTGGGTGCAGCCGGGACTTGCCGGCAAACGCGCTATATATTTGGGGTCCTATATTCGGGCTGGACCGACGTGAACTATGTATTGCTTTTTCAACATTGCGATGAGCTCGATTTTATCTGATTTCTAATCTGCTACATCCAACCCTGTACTCCGTCCTCCGTACTGTGTACTCTGTACTCTGTGTTTCGCTCTTCGTCCATATTGGTTGAGAACTTCTACTTTACTAAATGCGCCCTAGAAGAAACTGTAGGTGATCGTTTAGGGAGCTCCTACCAGTGAATACTTTACTTCACCGGGGACCAGACAGAATCAATAGCTGAAATCTTCTATCTGCGTGGGTACAGAGTCAAATCAAATGTGCAGCATAGGAGTTCAACGGCTCTACAATATAGAAACAAGGCACTCGGAATACAGCTTAGACATGGGCTATTCTGTGGTGAGAACCATGATGATTAATTAAGCTCCCAATGAGCAAAATATTGACGCTCATGTGCGGTTGAGGCAGTCCAAGTATGTATTTAATACATACTCTGTACTTAAGTAGCGCATCCAAGGAAAGCTTGGACGCAACGTTCAAGCCCAACTCTTTACAGAGTACTTGGTGCTCGGCACCCAGCTCCTCTTCTTGGTCTTCGATACACCAAATCAGTGGCTTGGGCCTCTATGAGTAGTTATTTAGGAAAAACCGTATGGTGAAATAAATTACTTCTTCTCATCTGAAGTATTCTATATCACTGTGGTTTTCTTGATCGCCTCCAGGGCTGGATGACTTGCGGCATAGTACCTTTTTTGGTAGACCCAATTTTTCAGTCTTGTCCTGCACTAGTCTGGCCTGCATGCAATAAGATCCTGGTAAAAAAGAGGTCTCCCCAATTGTCACATAATTGCAAAAACACAAGAGATCAAGTGACTGAGGTAAAGTAGAGAGGCGACTAAGACAAATGCTCAGTGCGATCAACGGCTTTTTATTAGCACACAATATACAAAATCGAAGCTCGAATCGACCAAGGAGAGATGATGTATTATTTCAATATAAACGAGAGGTCATTGCGTAAATGCACCCATCCGGAGGTATCTGCTCGTATACTCCGTCCACAGAGTCTTGTTTACTCACCGCTAGTACATAGAAAGAACCGAACCCTTTATCTTGTGATTCTTTCCATTATTGATGATCCATCAACCTGAGACGGTCTAATATATCTAATATATCACTTTCAAGGAAATACGGAATAAAAGCTTCAATGTCATCATCGGAAGATCCCTGCCCCGCATGCAAATGGACGCCAGATCAGCAAAGACGCTGCAGCTACGAGAGTAGTGTACGCCTCTTCTACGGAGCCAGCTCCCGGGGATACTGGTCCCTCGGCTCAAAATTTCTTCTCAAGGAGCGCGAGAAAGATCCTCCTAGTTATGAGGTCATCAACACCCACTTCATCAAAGAGAATACCACCATCCCCGTCCACACTACCATACAGGAGTGGACCGAAGGCGAGAAGTATTTCCAGATCGTCGAGCGGGTGCCTGGGGTACCGTTAGAGGAGATCTGGTCGTCAATTCCCCAACCCGACCGGGAGAAACTCGCTCGTCAGACTACGGAGTATCTGGGCCAGCTCCGCTCTTTCCACTCGGCTAAGATGGAAAGTGTTCACGGCCAGCCGATTTCTTGTGCTCATCTCTTTAGAGGGGACTACGGGGCTAAACATGGTCCACTGAGCACGGCTGACGAGCTGTGGGATGTTTTAGCGAAATCTTTGAGCGACAAGGTGCCGGAAGTTGTTAGATCGCGGCTCCGTGATAGCATGCCTTCTCCGCATCCGTGGACTTTTACCCATGGGGATTTAACAAGTTGCAATATTATCGTGGACCCAACCAGCTTTGAGTTGAGAGCTCTGATTGATTGGGAGGGTTCGGGCTACTTTCCTGTGTGGTGGGAGTTTACAGCGGCGGGCTTCGGGTTTGGAGACGAAGATCTGGAGTGGAAGCGTCTGCTACTTGGAAACCTGGCCAATCATAAGGAGGCTCGCACGTGGTTTCTAGAGTTCAAGTCTTTTGCGTCACGTTCGAAGGATTCGGAGACGCGGTTGAAGGTGCTCAAGGAATGTGGCATTGAGGAAGACATAGATATCTAGGCAGTATACAGTATGGGATACTCCATGCAGAAGTTAGGGTAGGTTAAGACACCAAGAATAAAAAAGGGAAATCACAAAAAGGCACGAAAAGGATGAACGCTTAAGCTTTCCAAGTCTAGACACTTGACGATCTCATCCTCTTTCGTCCCGTCAGAGAGGAACTAGTCACCGTTGTCGATTGTTCCTCTTATACTTATATGCGGGATAGGGCGACTGAATCCCGAATAATCCAATGATTGTTAAATTTCACACAGAAACAAATTATGTCGATATTACTATCTTGAAAGTGAAGCTTTTGGAGGGAGAGTCGAGATGGAGAGCCGAGCAAGTGAGATGTAGTTCCTTTCCTCTTTCAGCCTCAACTCCGAACCTCCCTGCTTTTCGGACTCCAACATCAGCCACATCATCATTGGCTTTGATCTTCATCTTGGCTTTTCAGTGGGGAAATATCTCCAAGAATCCCCCCGCTTTTGCTATGACATTCCCCCGGAAATCCCGCATCCCCCATATACACCAATCTACTTCGTACGTAGAAGCTTTCCGATGCTTTGATAAATGAGCCCTCCCTGCCCAAAGCTGACACATGTGCCTGGCTGGACCTCGGGAAGGGGAAAATTTATTGCTTTTTCCCTGCTAGTATTGCCGATCCCTACCTAGTCCCCAGGCACGGCCGACGGCAAGCTGTTAGACTCTGCTACCGTGTGGAGTTGTGATGAGAATTGCTCATCAACGCCCATCACATGGTAGCTTATCGGTGTTCTGCCTCGGTGTCGATCACTATTTCCTCGGCCATGATGGAGCTACATCGTATACCATACGGAAAGAAAAAAAAAGAGATGTTAGTACAATTGTGGTTAGCTAGGGCACTGTCTAGTGTGTGACGATCGGTGCCATCGCAATGCAAATAAAAAGCTGGCTCGCTCCGGGGTTGAGTTTTTTGAATATCCCGAAGGCTCTTCCTGATCAGCAACAAACCCTCGAGCGACAGGTTTGGGGAATCGACGCCAATTCGACTGGCTGGACAAGATATCAAATAAAGAAACGAGGGCCAGATCGGCGCACCCAACAACATGCGTCTTTTACCAACGCTCGCCACCGCACTCCTGTTCGCGGTCAATGTGACAGGAAGTCCGGCCGCTGCTTCAGGTCCAGCGGAATCCGTCACCCCCGTCGCGAATATTGTAGAGGAGGCCGCCCCGACAACTTCGGCTGCCCAAGCAAACAATATCAACCAGGCGAATGCCGCCGCTGCTGACAGTACTACTGCTGCCGACACAGCGAAAGCCGCTAACACGGCTGCTGCTGCGGCTACGAAGGAAGAAGATGATACCGCTGAAGCAGATACTGCCGACCCGACAACCAAAGCCAACCCTGTGGAATCCGTGGTTGGTGGCATAAAGACTGCTCTTGGTGCCGATGCAAAAGAAACAACTGATTCAGCCAATGCACCCGCCCCCACAAAAACTGCTGATAGCTCGGCTGATGAGCCCAAGTCCTCCGCTGCCGAAGCTTCCTCCGCCCCCGAAGCTTCCTCCGCTGCTGAGACTACCCCCACTGCCTCTGCTACAGGCACCTCGAGCACAAAGTCCACTAGCTCCGATAGTGATTCTGACAGCGACTCAAAGAGTGATGATACTGCCAAGGCCTCTGATATTTTGCCAGACTTAAAAGAAGCTATCTCGAGTTTGTTTGGCGGTAATGGCAGTGGCGGAATCGCGGAACTTCTGCGTGGGCTTGAAAGTCTGCTTAACCCAAAGTTCTTGGGTAACTTCGCCGACACCTTCGAATATCTCTCTACCGGTCTGGCACCTCCGGTCGATAACCAGCTCCGAACCTTGGTGGCTAACGGCAACGACCTTTTGACTTCGAGCTTCGTCAAGAAGACCGGATCTCTCATCGACAATGCCAACGAGCTCTTGACCGAGGAGAACACCAAGGAGATCGGGACCCTCCTCAAAGTCGCCAACAAATTGTTGTCCGGCGACTTCATCGACAAGGTGGACCACCTCATCGATAACGCCAACAATCTCCTCACCTCCAACTTCGTCAAGCAGACCACCAACCTCATTGAGAAGGCCAGCCCTCTCATTGATGATGCTAGCGGTCTACTTACCGACAAGAATGTTCACGCAATTGAGTCGCTCTTGACAAACGCTAATACACTGCTCACTGCCACATTTGTCAAGGAGACCACCAACCTCATCGGCAAGGCCAGCCCTCTTATCGATGATGCCAGTGGCCTGCTCACCGAGGGCAATGTCAAGGCAATTGAGAACCTACTTGGCAATGCCAACAAGCTGCTGACACCCAGCTTTATCTCGACTACTGGCAAGCTCATCCAGCAAGCCGGCCCCCTTATCAACCAGGCTAGCGGTCTCCTCACCGAGGGCAATGTCAAGGAAATCGAGTCACTCTTGAACAACGCCAACAAGCTGCTCACACCCAGCTTTATCTCGACTACTGGCAAGCTTATCAAGCAGGCCGGTCCTCTCATCAGCCAGGCTAGCGGTCTTCTTACCGAGGGCAATGTCAAGGAGATTGAGACTCTAATTGGCAATGCGAACAGCCTGCTTACTACCAGCTTCGTGAACCAGACCACTAGCCTGATCGATGAAGCTAGCGAGCTCCTGTCTTCGGATACCATTGACAGTCTGAAGTCGCTCCTCCACCAGCTCGCTCCTATCATTCCCGAGCTGAAGGGCCTGCTCAAGCCAGCCACTATCAAGGCAATCGAGAACGTGCTAGACAACGCCAACAAGTTACTCACGGACTCCTTTGTCAAGGACACGAACACCCTGATCACCGAGGCTGTTGGCCTTCTCACTCCCGACCTGGTCAAGGCTCTCAAATCGCTCCTCAGCGATCTTACTCCGTTGATACCCGAGTTGCAGTCGCTGTTGACAAAGGAGATGATCGATTCGATCGAGAAACTTCTGAACAACGCCGGGGATCTTCTCACTTCAGATTTCGTCAAGGACACCAAGGGTCTTGTCGGCGAGGCCGGCGACCTGCTCACTCCGGAGGTCTCCAAGGGACTGAAGTCAATCCTGAAGGACGTCATTCCTCTGCTACCAGAGCTGAAGTTGCTTCTCAACAAGAGCACCATCTCCGCTATTGGTTCTCTCTTGACCAACGCCAACACCCTCTTGACCCCCAAGTTTGTGAACGAGACCATTGGTCTAATCGACAGCGCCGACGACCTCTTGACCCCAGGAATCGTCACTGGACTGAAGGAGCTCCTCGGCGACGTCGGGCCTCTGATCCCCGATCTCAGAAGGTCATTGCTGAACACAACCATCATCACCGACCTGGGATACATCGTGACCAACGCTACCACTTTGCTCACACCCCACTTCGTCGTCGAGACTACAGACCTCATCGACAACGCCGATGGCCTCTTGACCCCCAAGGTGGTCAGCGTGCTCAAGGAGGTTCTTGGCTACGTACCCGAGTTGATGCCCGAGGTGAAGAAGTTGCTCAAGCCATCTACCATTTCGGATGTTGGCGCACTTTTGAACAACGCTCATGATCTTCTCACTCCTAAATTCGTTAACGAGACAACAGTCCTGATCGATGATGTTACAAGCTTCTTGCCTTTGATACAGGAATTGCTCAAGGCGCTGTGAGGAGTTGATTTTTTATGATTTTCTTATATTGATTGCAACGCACGCAATTATGAATTATAATGTTCTTTAATGATAATTAACGTTGTCGGGCATTTATTCCATTGTACTCGATAGACTCTCCACGTAGACTTGGATGATAAGCTAAGAGGACAATTGCAGGAGTAAATCCACGAAGTGTCTCCTATGGGAACATTGTCCAACACAATGCGGATGTTTGAGCTTGTCTACGAGACCGATTCAATGAAAAATGTCGGGATGGTGGGGGTTGTTAATGAGCCTGTTCAGGATCAGGCGATGACTTCGTCTATGCAGTCAAACATTTACCTGAAGGCTGTTGAAGTGAAGTATCTTGGTCTTGTTGAGTGTTTATGGACTAGTAGGTGAATACAGCGTATTCGACCCGCTGAGGAGAAGCTTTCAGTCGATGCGAATGACTATCTCGATATTCAGACAATGGATCAGCCGGCGAATGGAGTCTCTCTGTAGCAAATGGTATCGAGGGGTCGTCGGCTTGAAAACCCAGTTTGAATACCGTATTTTACGCGGTGTGGTTTGTGGCACAGGTTGACTATTATGCGCAACAGCAGGGATGGGCCTTTTAGACTAGGAAGGTTCATCTAAATGATCACCGGTGCTCTTACGTACCATCGTGGGATTCTTTCGATTTGCGGATTATTGGAGGTTGGGAGCCGACTTTTCGTAGATGCCGAAGGCTTATTTTATGCCCAGGAGTTCAGATGGCGTGCCTTTGGCCGGGCTAGCGGAACGGTTCGCTAGGCTATATAATGTTAGCTGGTCTGAAAAAGCAGGACCATATCGCTCGCAATGGAGTACTGAACACATATGAAACAAGTCTGGTTGTTGATAATGAGCGCTTGAATACATACATATGCTAGAAATGGGCGTATGGATAAGCAGAAGAATACCTGTAACGACTAGGACACAGCCTCAGGAGGTGGAGTTGGCCACCACACCATTGCCCAAAGAGATACTCCCGGCCCATCAGACTGAAGGCTAGCATCAGCAGCAACTTTGCCCTTTCCGAGACAAATCTCTTCGACCTCCTTAAATCCCATCGACAGGTAGAGAGCGCGCGAGCCTGCAGTCGTTGCTTCGAGCCAGATTGGGAGGTTCGCGGCTTGCGCAGTCTGCTGGTGATCCCGCATGATAGCTTTGGCAAGACCTGAGAAAAGATCAGTAAGAGCTGGAGTACAATGTAGCTGCAGATGGGATCCTGTTACCTTTTCCACGGTGTTCGTGCTCGGTTCCGATACTGAAGATGTAGTAGTACTGGGTCTGTCCACGCAGGCCATTTCTCTTCGCGTTGTCAGTCATAGCAGAGAATTCAAACCAAAGACGCTAGATATATCATTAGGTCAGGTATAACTGCAAGAATGTTGGGCTCTCGTTTACCTTAACACCTGCGAGTCCTATTCTCCACAGTACGCTTAGAAATCCAGCCCACACAAGATTCCAGGCATTGTCAATGGAGCGACCCGGTGGGAGCATGACGGATGCTGCTTTCCAGCCATCGGCTTCGGTGATCACTGCGTGATTAAGCAATGCTGACTTGATGAGCGTGGTCCAGTATGTCGGCAGATATGCCAACCTTTCTTGCTGAGACATGCCTAGCAGCATGTACGTGATGACGGGGTCAGTGTCAAATACGCGACCGTTCAGTGCTGCGACCGAGGCCAGATAACCTGTGGTCTTGTTAGTATCTATAGGACCATGCTTGAGCCAGCAATACTCACTGTCACCACCGTTGGTTATTGGGACTGATGCTACAGCCATGTTGGATTTAGGTTATAGGAGTGTTTGTATGTGAGTGAGGTTGAGGTGTCCTTGGACATTTCTGGCAGCGATCTAAGGTAGCCATAGGAAGAAGAGCACAAATGCGCTAGAGGAAAGTCGCGTCTCAATGGATTTGGCATTGACGACATATGTTTATGTAATCAGATCACAGGCCCGACCCCCGAGGTCAACAGTCTCTCGAGTCACGCAACTGACCTGAGCACCAGTGACAACTGTCATTCCCAATATTTTCAAGCTCTCGTCCTTATAGTTATCTGCTTTCATTGGACATGACTCGTTCATCTCCGCTGTGGATTCGCGTGGAGCGCAGTTTGCTACCAAACACTGGAGCGGCCTGAATCCCGGGGATGCACTCGGGCCGCGACTGCTGTCAGAATTCGGACCCGACCTCATGATTCCCTGGGATATTGATATTTCGTTGCAGCTTATGAGGATATCACAAATTCATCGATACACACCGTGAACAGATGCGGTCGGGATGCAAGACATCATTGCGCACCCGTTGAGCCAAGGCAACTGCTCTGTTGGATAATTCACTTTCAGCCATATATTGCGGCAGTAACAGTTTACTATTTTTTGATAGTGCATAATTTTTGCTGACTGCCATCAGAATTATGAGGTCAAGCGCATGATACATTGAATGGCGACCCACAAGAGTCGGAGTCGGAAGATCCAGGTGAATCGGACCTCTCAGTGTACAGCACCAGCTTCACTGATGATATTCATCTGTCTAGCTATCATAGCCTGCGAGATTCAATTTATACTCTACCTCGAAGACCATCAGCACTTCGAAGGAAGTGACGACATATAAACAACTCAAGACACAAAACATCTGATGTAGACATGAAACAAGACCACCTACTCAAAACCTCGGGAAACACCCTCGCTATACAGACCTTTTGATGAAACCACTTTCGATGTCTTTTTACAACAACCTGAACTGGTGGTCGCTGCCCTAGAAACTTTCTCATTCTGATCAAGAATTGGCTGCAACATTCAAGTCATGTCCCTGTCGAGCTATGTTATTCTCGCATACCACCGTGTCAATCCCCGGAAAATTACTCTGGAAAAAAGGCACCTTCGCCACAATAACTACAAGGCTCACAGCCAAGAGAAACGGTACCCCAGGAGGCTCCAGCAGAACCAGAAGTGTCCGGCAATCCCTCGGGCACCGAGCACAATTCGGAGCAAGACGAGTCCGAGCAATCAAGCAGCGAGGAAGAAAGCCCCAATGTTGTTGTGCCCGTTACACCTTCTCGAACTCCAAAGAGGCCCAAAACTCCCAAGTCGTCGCGAAAATTGGAAGTCCTACCAAGTTCGGTGATGTCGCTTGAAGAATTCCAAGATTGCTTCGATAGGTACGAAAACGCATCGCCTGCTGAAAACAAACGGCGCCGGGAGGAAGTCACGCCGGGCTATGCTAGATGTGTCTGGAAGCTCGAGGAAACCATTCAAGCGCCGCCACTGTCTTCCCAAAAAAATAAGGACTCGTTGAACATGAGATTTGATTTATCATCGCAGTGACCTTGGATATCTGGGGCCCAGATGGGCATTTACGTACACCATCGTTTCCATTTTTCTTTTGTATCTTCCTCTCTGTACCCTTTCCGCCTCCGCCTCCTGTTGCTCTTCAAAATCATGTATAAATAATAGAATAACTGCATCGAGTTCAAATACATGTCCACACAGGTGCCGGTACCGGGATCTCAAAACTACGATCGTTCAACGCGTTTAGCTCCTTTGATGCCAATGTTCCCTTTAACTTCTCTCTTGAATTTGCGGCCTGATGCTTCTTGGATCTCTACTTCACCAAGCTCTCTAGCACATCTCAACTGCTGGCATGGCAACCGGCTTCCTCATCCTCGTCTAAAACTGAGCAAGCGACTGTCTCGACAACATAGAGCGCCGCCCGTCAATTTAATTAATTCACAACTTCGCACTATGCACTCTCCGATATGCTCATCGAACGATGTATTTCCGCTCACAGTCCCAGCTGTGGATTTCGCCTGGAGAAAAAGAAGCTAGAATAAATGTTCCACAGTTTATGGATACATGTCACTATGGAAACCACCCGGCCTGAAGTGGAATAGCATCCACTTTCTACCCAGATTGACAGCTCCGTTTCAAGAAAAAAAAAATCTCGAATAGCCAAACAGAATGCAGTGATCAAACCTGAACCAGATTTCTTGTGGAGCTAATAGAGCGGATGTTTGATCGATGTTCATAAACCCCGGACTCAGTCTCAACGCTAGAAATTTCTTCCGGGTCAGCTTTTGTCTGAGGTTCTCGGTGATTTGCCTTGAAGCCCCAGTCTAAATCACCATATCAGAAGGCAGGCTATGCTCACTGTGCTTGGGGCGCCTCCATCCCACACGATTGCGTCCGAAGTTGCTACAAACCTTGCTGGTGCATATCTGCGAAAGCAGTCTGGTGTCATGGGTCAACCGGCTCTCTCAGCGGAGGATGAAAATGCAGTTGTTGAGCAGCTAGAGCGTTGGTTGAATCATGGATTTTTCCCTTATCACATGTTGGCAAAGGACACAGCCAATGCGTATTTCCACAACCACCCGAGCTACAGTCAGAACAGACCAAACCTCAACATTGGTTGGCAAAAGGGCTTCTGGATGCGCCATCACCAACTTGCTGATCATATAGCCAAAGAGCGCAATACGCTAAAATTGAAAGGTCCGCATGAAGATCGCCGAGCTTGGAAGTTCTTTCAGGCATTCAAAGATATCAAGCAGCGACTCGCGGTCACCAACGACAACATCTATGCCATGGAGGATGCCGCGTTTGTCACTACCATGTATCGAAAGGCAAGCCTTATGTTTGTTCGACCAATGAATCAAAATCATAAAAGAGAAGAGCGGGTATTCTCGTCTGTGATCCACTGCTGCTCAACGCGAGGGAAGCATCTGCCCCCATACATTATCTGCAGGAGTCAAGATCCACCACAAACCAAAAACTTTGGTCGGATCAAGGTTGCTTTTAACCAGTCAGGCTGGTCTGAGGCCAATCATGCACTTGACTGGTTGAAGACCATTTTCGAGCCGGAGACTCGACCCAAGGGTCGTCGTCAAATTTGGAGGATTCTATTGATTTCCCATCGATTCCGCATAGTGTTTCCCGAGTTCGAAAAATTCTGCTGGGACAACAGGATCGCTTGTATTTCTTTCCCCAAGAACGATCAACAGTTCTTCAACCCGATGGAAAACATCGCTTTTGGGCCCATGCAACAGAGTTATACCGACTACATGAGAAAGCGATTCTCTGATAACAATGAAAATGCCACCACACTGGATGTGAGGGAATTTGCATCGTGGATCGATGGAGAGGTAGCCTCATCTAAAAGAGCGGAAGAAGCTGCAGATATGTGGCGTCAAAGCTGTCTTGTGCCGCTAGATGAATTCCGTCTTCGCAACTGTCTCCAAGGGAACCGAGCTACTGCCGTCCCAGAGGATAGAACCTCCATTCTTGATAGCCGTCTCTACTCGGATGCCACGACTCCGAGAACGGCGGACACACGAGCCACACCTCGAACAAGTGTTCCTTTACCCATCATCCCCTCCACAGAGTCAGTGAGCCGACAATCTACTCGTGAGTACTCACATCCCTCGTCTCAGCAATCAAGTCAAGAGAGAGACAATAGCTCCGAATCGGAGGGAGATCAATTCGACAGTGAAAGTGAAGCTCTCCATAATCATCAGTCCATTACACCGTGCAGAACACCTAGACCACCCAAGACTCCACGGGCTAGGACTCCGGAGACAGAAGTATCTGGTTCAGTCATGTCGTCCAAGAAGCACCGGGACATCCTGGATAAATGTATAGAAGGATCACCCAGAACCCAAAAAAGGTTCCGTGACGATTTAATTCTAGATCGCGGAGATTTAGAGAAGGAAAATGCTCGTCTTAAAGAAAGGGTTGAGCTTCTGGAACAGTTCGCGCTCAAGAAACGCAGAGTTGACTGATATGCCCTCAATATCTGCCCTTTCTGCCCTTCCTGTGTGATATTCCAACCCACCTTCCTTTTCTACCATTTCAAAACGTAGTGGGCCATTGCGCTTGCCTTCTCTTTTTGTATACAATGATCTCATCAGTCTAATCAGTTTCATATGTCCATGCCGCTACCGGGATCCATAATACCGGAACCGCGATCACTCACCACATTTACCTCGTTTGATATCAACTTTCTCTTGAGTTTCCCTCTTCGCTCTCAACTCCGCCTCGACTATCTATCGTTCCAGAATCTCCAACTTCAGACGTCAACACCTTACCATGGCAACCGTCCTGCTCATCCTCGACGTCCAAAACGGGGTAATCGACCGCCTCGACAACACAGAGCCCTACCTTGAACGCCTGGCGTCAACTGTCATTTCCGCACGCAAGGCCAATGTAAAAATCATCCACGTTATCACCGGCTTCCGTCCAGGTTATCCGGAAAACCACCCAAACAACTCATCTGTCCCTGCCGTCGTCGCACGCGGTGAACATCTTGAAGGCCAATCGTCGGTGCAAGTCCATCCAGCCATCGTACCTGCATCTGGAGAAGTGGTCCTCACCAAGCGGCGCGTCTCGGCATTCTTTGCTACGGAACTTGATATGCTTTTGCGCTGCGCAAATGCTCAGTCTATCGTTGTCGCGGGCTTGATCACCAGTGGAGCGGTCCTATCGACTGTGCGCCAGGCAATGGATATGGACTACCGGATTACGGTGTTGGAGGATTGCTGCATGGATCGTGATGAGGAGCTGCACTGTGTGCTGATGGACAAGGTTTTTGCGCGGAAGACGGATGTTGTTTCGGCGAAGGAGTGGATGGAGAAGCTTTCCATTGTGGAGGAGCGCTAAAGATGTCTTCCACTAAGTTCAAAGAGTTCAAATTCAGAATTAAGGATTGTATGTGTTAGGCGCTTGACACGATCGTGGTTTGACTGAAATAACTTCATTATATTTCCTTCTATACCAAAACATCCATTTATAAAGGTCATCCTTCACATTTCGTTTCACATATTATATCTACAACTTCACCTGCGCTCGCTCCCTGGGAGCCGCACAGCAAGTCGGCTCGGGGTGCAGAGTTGACTTATTGAAGGACTGAGTCGAAGCCGGCACATCCAGTGCAGGGTTCTTGGTGAAGAAGCCATCCGGCTTGAGCATCACGCTGACACGTTCCATGGGCATGACAGGGAAGTCCTCAATACGAGGGTTGTGAGTGAGGCCAAATGCTGGGAACAATTAGCTATTATTGCAGGGGAATATGAAAGAGATAACTTACTGTGCCAGAGAACAACATCTTCGTTCTCAACTGGATCATTCCGTCCAGCCCACACTTCCACGCCTTCCGACTTCTTGCTCTGGTTTGTGAACTCACCAGCGGCAAACAGCTCGTCGTCTTGGTATTTAGTAACCCAGATCGGACGGGTCGCGAAGCGGGCGCGCTTCGAGCCGAACGAGTTCGGGTGTGCGAGGAGCATCTGGCTTGGGCTGGTTTGCAGCTTGTATGCGATGGGGTGGTGGGTGATAGGGTTGACGACAGAGTCGTTGCGGATCTTGAAGACACGGTGACGCTCGACGCTGGTTGAGGCGCTACCGCTGGCCTTGATGACGTTTTGCTCTGTGGTGTACCCGACGAGCCATGGGTTGCTATCATCCTCGGGCATTGGCACACTGTCTTCATAGTAGACTGTGTTTTTGTAGCCGTCGATAGCAGGGTCAATACGGAGGGAGAACATGTGCTGGTGGAATGGAGCCATAACACCGGGTCCGACGTTCGTTCCCCATGGAACGGTTTGGCCGTTTTCATTGTCGAAGGGCACCGTTGAAAGGATGCCGGTTGCACGCACCTCGAGCTCAATGTTGGCTGCTTGGTCCAGGATAAAGGCGAAGATATATTCGTAGTTTGCAACTGTGCAAATCATCTGAACCACGAGCTGGCGGTTACGGACGACAGTTGCGGCACCAGTGCGGTAATTAGTGTGTTTGTGTTGCAAGCCATTATCTTGCTCGTGCATGCAGATCACATTCTTTAGTTGGATTGGTGCTCCCTGCGCATCTGTGCGATAACCATCGAAATACTTAATGTGACCGAGGCAGTCGCAGCCGAGACTCAGCTGGTTAGCTGTGATACCGAAGCCGACGTCGCCGACGTCAAAAGCTTGCTTGCGGTGGTAGGGGGCGCGGGGATCTAGTATAAATTAGATATGTTGTCAAAGGAAGAGTAGTATAACATACCGCCGTAGGGGACTGTCATCTCCGAGAAAGAGAGACGGTAGAACGTGTTACGACCATCGTAGGTCACATTGTGCAATACCAGACCCTCTCGGTTGTTGAAGCCCACCCTGAAACGCCACTTCTGCCAGGAAACGGCATTTCCAATGACATTGAATGATGCCCCCTCCGGTTGCTGGACAATGTAGGGCTTCAGGTCAGTGCGCAGAGGTTCATCCAGCAAATCATGCGCGTATTGCACAGTAGGCACGGGTTTCCAGGGCTGCGTCTCGGTAGTTTGAGTATCGGCTCCGCCAGGCAGATAATCCATACGGACTAGTTTGCGAGTGATACCGTCGAACACTGGGGAAAATTTGCAAGGCACCGAATACTGGTTGTTCTGGGGGTGGTCGGTGGCCACAATATACATGTAGCACTGGAACAGACGCCGAGTTTCCTTGGCATCCTCGGTGCCGTAGATCCACGGATCCAAGCAGACAGTGTGGCCAGCGGGAAGCTTCAATTTCTCGATCTCAGCCTTGACAGCTGGATGGCTAAGACAAAGCTCCTCAATTTCCATCATCTCATCGACGTCGAGTGGACCCTGGACATCCTTAGGCAGCTCTTTCGCTGACACAATGGACTTGGTGTCTGCATTGATCAGAGCCTTGAAGAAAGACCCATTGTCCAATCGGTGGAAGAGCGCCATCAGCAAGCGGGCGGGCTTACGTGGGCGCACTTCACCTCGGCGCTCAGCCTCGAGGAATGGGACAACCTCATGTTTGGAGGGTTCCTGGAGATCGATGCGCTTGTAGCGGAGCTTGGCACCCGGAAAAGCGGATTCCAGGACGGAGACCGCCAATTGAATCTCCCCAGGTGTGATGGGGTCAAAGGGGTGAAGGCTCGCCATTATGAATAATTTTCAGGGATGGTTTCCCCAAGACTGGGGTATGGGAATGCATTTATATTCGCACGAGCGCCGGTTCACCTGTTGATCTCCATTTTGGGCAAATCTTTCGCGCTGCTGTGGCAATGTGATTGGTCAGTTGATTACATAGCGCATCTTTTGCTCCAAAGGGTTTAGTGTCTGCACTCTTGATGAGTTGGGAGCCCACAGGTGTCATTATTGGTGGGCGATTGTGGAGTTGCGGATGATTCGGAGAATAGCTATGTTGATCAGTGATCTGCAATGTCCCAAGTCGTTTGTTGTAGATAATAGGGTAATGGACATGGAAAAAGAGCCAGAGAATAGAAAATCAACTAGGCCTTTTGGCCTCGTAGCCTTGGTGCCTTGTAAATCAGGACACAAATGCAGCGTCGTTGGCTTCATTGGAAGCCCCAGGTGCTTGGCTTGGCATATAAATCGCCGGCATGAATATTCCACCTCAAGAAGGCTTACACGTAAGCCATCCACGGAGAACTGTATTGCCAGTCTCGTTTCTTATCTCATAGGAGTGAATTTGAGATAGCGGGATTCTTCGTTGTCCTTTGGATCCATACTAGGAATTAGCATGTTGGACAGAATGTCTCCGTCAATGCAATTACTACCTCATTTGGAGCCTCTGCTAGATCATGGCCCCCAGATAAACGCACGGTTGAATAGTGTAGTGGTCACCTGACACTGTTTGCTAGGCAGTCAGATTTTCTCCCTTTTCCCCATCAACCATCTACTCTAAGGCGTGCGGCAGTCTCATCTACAAGACAAGACGAGTTATTCTACAATCATGCTTCGCCTGAGTTCAGATGAATCCTTCCACTTCGAACTCCTCCGGCTTCTCGCCCACTCCAGCTATGGTGGCGCTGACGTAGGCGAGGTCCTTGCCATGAGTTCTGAAATAACTCCCGGCGACTTTGAATCCTTTTCCGCCGTCTTCAACAGGAGAGCAGATCGTATCTTTGAACAGACGAAGAGCATGACAAATGATATTTCTATCCGGGACGCCATGTTCCGAGCATCTACCTACTATCGTGCTGCTGATTTCTACATCCACGGCAACTGGGATGATCCCCGCATCATTCCATTGTGGGATAAACAGACTCTCTGTTTCGACGAGGCTATGGCCCGACTTCCAGTACCAGGTTATCGCAAGGAGCTCCCAGGTCCGGAATGCAACATTCCCATCATATTCTTCCCTGCCAGCAAGGACAGTGAGAAGCGGCCGACTCTCATCCTCGGTAACGGATATGACGGATCCATGGAAGAAATGTATCACCTACATGGTGCCGCTATTCTTGAGCGTGGCTGGAATGTGGTCTGCTACGATGGGCCAGGACAGATTTGCACCCGTCGCTATCAGGGCATCGGATTTACTCATGAGTGGGAGAAAGTTCTTTCGCCTGTTGTGGACTTCCTCGAAACCATTCCCACTGTTGATATAACCAAGACTGGGGTGATAGGGTTTTCTATGTGCGGTCTATTGGCGGCACGCGCTGCAGCTTTTGAGAAGCGCATCGCTGTAGTTTTTAGCATTGACGGACTGTACAATTTCGTTGATACCCCTGTTTTCGACCCTTCCCGTGGTTTTGCAGCTTTAAGTCATCTGAAAGACTTTGAATCTACCGCTGCTATGTTTAACAATTTGAGCATTCCGACTACTGCTCGGTGGGCTTTGTCTCATGGTCTCTGGGCTTTCAATGTTAAAACCCCAGCTGAATACCTCGAGAAAGCAAAGAAAATTTCGTTGGTTGGAATAACGGACAAAATTGAATGCCCGGTCTTTGTTGCTTGTGCTGCAGACGATCACTTTTTCAAGGGACAGCCCGAGGCAATGAAGGATGCTCTCGGGGACAGGGCACATTATCATGTTTTCACAGGCAAAGACGCTGCGGGAGAACATTGCCATGTTGGTGCTGCGAGGCATTGCAATCAAGTATTACTCGACTGGTTTGAGGCGAAGATTGTCAAAGCTTAGGATTTATATTTGACAGATATATTTCAACGTAGTAGCGATCGTGTACATGAACTAGCGGGGAAGAGTCTTAGATCACCCTATCATCTCGAAGAAGATTCATCAGAATAGACTACATTTTTGAGGATCAGTAGCCTTCATATTCTTAGGCGAAGCGACTATACAGTACGGAGTATATAGCGCAGTACTGAATTAAATGATATACGCTCATGACTTGTATTACTGCGGGTAAAATTCGGCATGGCGCATTGGCGCTTAGAGACTGCTGTACTGCCGGGTCTAGGCGTAGGCCGCCTACTCGGACACCGCTCCGTTGGCATTCTGGGGGTTTCGCTCTTTCCTACAACCTAGTCACGGCTCTACAGGCGCTATATCTGCTGTTGTTCGATATAAACATCACCTCTATAAAAAAAAGTACTGGCAGTTGAGATTGATATACAGCCGAAATCCCCACACTTAGACCGTCTGTATAGTAGTGAATTGTCCAAATCAACAAGGGGGGCTAGACACTACAGGAGGATATGTACTATAGTCGATGTTGACCTATTTTCTATACAGAGATAGAGCAAGTCCTGATCTCATTAACAGTGTAAATAAAAGTAATGGCCTAGTTCATACTAAGAGTATTGAATCATGAAGTATGTTTCTATATTGACGATTGTCTAGATTCAGTGGCCAAAGTCGTTGATCGGAAGACCAATAGCGGAGTGTCGTCGGCCATAGTGCATTGGGTCTGGGATCTAAGCAAAACATTTATATACCTCTCAAACTCCGTCAAACTGAGGCATGGGCTAAGAGAAAACAGCATCTAAGAAGGCCCATGAAATGATCTCACTTTGACCGGACGACGAGCGCTGGGTATCAGTGAGATGGGGCATCGGTGCCGGTGCAGGTCATCTTGGCGAAGAACCCTCGCGAATGGTCATTTAGTAGGGAGAACGTTCGGTCCCACATTCAAACCAGCACTAGGGGCATTAACCACAGTATCACTATTTTCAATGGTATATAGTTGTGCTATGTTGGCGTGCATGATGGTCTCTGCGGAAGGGAGCCAGAAGGTAACATCGCAAGTCTTGTGTTGGAAGACAAGGAAATAAGAAGTGCTCGTAGTATTTTCTGATTTTTGTGCTTTCATTGTATGTTTTTTTAAAATTCTCCATAAACATTCGTCGATATAGTCTACTGTATACAATCTATCTGTGTATTCATTGAAATATATGCTGTCAAGCCCTTCACTCGTACATCGGCCTTCCAATTTTTGACCATGCCAGTTGAACGAATTCAAATGAACACCAACAGAATACTAGTCAATCCTGTTTTACATGGAAAAACAGAGGGGCGAATGTTGTTCAGCTCCGGAATGTGACGCGAGGGGGTACATTGGCCACATCTGACATGGACATCAACGTGGACGCGATGAACATTACCTCAAGAAGTTACACCTAGTTCTTTTCTGCTGCTCAGGCTGTCGAGCAAAATATATCGAGAGACACACTAAACTCAGTTTCATAGACTTCTATATCTTTGTCTTTCTTTATTCTCTGTTAAAATATAGCCTATTTCAAAGCCTTCCGAGGGTAGGCCAAGAGATCCCGGAATTCAGGGCTGCTACGGTCCCTTTCGAGCCCTTCAAAGGCCGAGTGTACAATAGCATTCCGATGACAAGCCCAGACCTTGTTCATTCTAATAGGGATGTATAAAGGTCAATCGCATCGCCGCCTCGCGCGCTTTTTGTACAATAACAACCTCCAGCACCACGCCATCGATATGCATTCAACCAACTGAACACTTCACTTATTTTTGGGACATAATACCATTAACGCCTTGATTTATTGTGTCGAATATCTACTAGTCGACTCGCTGTGAAGCTTTTGCTGATCAACCCCTTTGTTTATTGTCATGGGGCGCGTGTCTATACCAATTCTTGCGGGCTTGGCTGGGTATGCCTTTGCTGGCATTCACCATCATGCACATGACCACCTTCACCATCATCGCCATCGCAACTTGATGCCGCCTACTGACAATTTAGAACTACGAGGTCTGGGTTGGGATAATGCGAATAACGCCCCAGATGATTTTGTGGTGAAATCCATTACGATCACAACCACAACAACAGTGTTTGGAAAATGCGCGCCAACCAGTACAATCCACAGCACGCTCACGCTTATTAGACATAGTCCTGAGCCTACGCTGTGGAGTGCTGATCATCATCCCTACATCGTCCCGCGTGTCGAGCCATACCAGGACCACTGGAATCAAATGCAGCCCGGGCCTAATCTCCCTGCGCCGACAAACATCAAACCCGCTCATCCCAAGCCCTGGGCTCCGAGACCAACGGAGGCAGAGGAGACCACTATCATGTTAAAGACACAAACAACCACCCAAACTGCAACCAATACTATGACGGTCACCGTCCACCCAGGAGCAAACCATGTGCCACTTGCAGACACACTCCCTGGAAATCCCTCAGAGGCAGGGAAGTCTGCGCCACTTGCAGACTCGCTAGCCAACAGCTCTTTGGAAGAGGAGAAAGCCATCCCAGAAAGACGCCCTCCTTTCCCGCCACTTCACAAAAGCAACGGTGAACACAACAACGCCGCACTCGATTTACCTATAGTCAACCAGATCTTCCCTGGCCAAAAGCCACAAAAGCCCACCTTGAAGGAGTGGACCGCAACCCCACCGGCTGGACAATTCTCATGGAACCGATTCGGAGGACGCACTCCGCCAAAGGCTAAAGGGGCCAAGGTACTCTACCACGGAAATGTCGGCAGACCTTGGGGAAGCAACATTATAACTGTCAGCCCAGCCGAGGCACACACCTACAAATACGTGACGCAGTTCACCGGCTCGCACGATGAGCCTTGGACGGTCGTTGTGTGGAACAAATTCGGCCCTGACGGCAAGATGACCGGTTGGTACGGCCACTCTGCTCTAAAATTCACTCTTGCTCCTGGCGAGACCCGCTATGTCGCTTTTGACGAGGACTCCGAGGGAGCCTGGGGTGCTGCACCCGGTGACCACCTTCCTATGGATCAGTGGGGTGGATACTCGTGTACATGGGGCGAGTTTACATTTGGGGATGGGGAGAATAACGGCTGGTCGGGATGGGATGTTTCGGCTATACAGGCGCAGGTTGCGAATCAGCCTGTGCAGGGCATGTCTATTTGTCAGGCTGACGGACAGAAATGCTCTAGCATCACGACTGGCGCTAAGAAGGTGATTGCTGCTTATACCAAATCGATAAAGCACATCGATGGTATTGGTGGTGAGGCGGTGCCTGGCCCTGTGCGCTTGAATGTTCATCTTGATTATCGGGGGTGAGCTTGAAGTTTTGTATATGCATGTATTTTTTAGGGGTGGTATCGATTGTGAAGGCGATTTATTCATCGAAAAATCCACAATTTTGTCTCAAAGTGCTTATATGAAACTCGAAGGGCGAAACGATATCGGCAATTCGCAGACCCTCGCAGTTCAATTCCCTAGCTCTCAGCCTTCAATGCATCGAGGGAATGTCAATCTGTTTGATGGTCCAGACTTTTCCGCCCTGGCTGGACGAAACTTCGGTATAAGTCGCACCACCCGCGCTGGCAATCGTCGAGCCAAACGTAGTATCAACCGAGGCGAGAGTAATAACCGTATTCAAGTATTTCTGTGCAGCGATAGTTACCGAGCAGTTATCGTTACACTCGGTTCCGGTGCCATATCTGAGCGAAGTCAGCATACTTCTCAATGAAATGTGATTGCAGGAATTGACTTACCCGCGCATATAGGGTCCAGAGGCGTGAGAGTAAGTCGACAGAAGGGCACCAGTCTGGCCATTTGTGACCGTTCTGTGAATTTTAGCTTCTGTCTTTCGCCATGTTGACTTCGTCCTTACTGCTTCCAGGTCTGTCCATCAGACTCAAGATTGTACTCAATCCGCACCTGGTCAGTTCCGCTCACAGGTGATCCAGGGCCGTCAAGCTGGCCGAAACTGCCAAAAACACTGGCGCGCACACACCACTGCCCGGTAGCTGCTCCGCACCACGAGTTGCTAGGCCAGCTTTCAAGGGTGGTCTGGACCAAATCACCCGTTCCGTTGGACATCTATCATTATTAGTGACCAGAGGACGCATCAGGAAAGAAGAGGACTCACACCAGGCCAGAGGAATAGCACACCGTTCTGGGTTTCTGGCGCAGCTCCGGGGATCAGCGTCGTGACGGCGTTGATGATGGTTGACTTGCAGGGACCGAGTGAGACACTGCCACCCCAGTAGTCATCTCTTTTGGCAACAGTCTCTAGTAAACCTGCGCTCGCAAGGCCGACAGCGGCCAGGAAAGGTACAATGAAGCGCATTGTGATATTTGTGAGTGTGGATGACGGGAAGTATGCGTGTCTGGGTCACTGAGCTTTCAAATAGAGAACATATGATCAGATTTGATCTACATCTACGTGAATAGTCGATCAACTTAAAGCTTCCCTCGGCGAAACAAAGGAGCATCTCTATAGGTGGAGTGGTGGAATTGAACCAAAAGCGGAGCGCCTCCCGAGGCTCTTCAGGGCTGGATGTTTCACCTCAAAACAAGCCCAAGACTAGACTGATTGGTGAAATTGCCCAAGTCCAGTGCATGATGTCTCCTTATTGACGCATTAAATTTTGTCAAACAGGCTGATCCAAGTGGGAAGCCCTGCATATATATTTTTGTCTTCCTAATAGGATATATTCGTCGCGCTAGCAGTGACATTACCCACCGGTCAGTTACACTACAGTAGTGATTCGTGCAATACACACCATATGAGAATACTGTTGAATACTCTAATGGTGCATAAAAATCGATTATACTGTTTCGTATTGCAATTAATGAATTAATATCCCCGAGACGATTCATTCCAAACGACCGATATATAAACTTTGTACCATGTGGATATCTCATTCCAAGTATTCCCCCTTAGTTTCTGCGTGGATCACATCAAACAGGGGTTTCCCACTGAACCATCCAGCCAACGGGGTTCCCACTGTTTTATAAGTGAAGGCAGCATCGGCTTCGTCGATTTTCACTGTTTGACCGCCTCGTCCGCCAGCTGCTGCGTCCGCTAGGAGTTGAGTGTAGCAACATTTTTCCAGGCTCACGAACCAGAACACGGTTTCTTCAATTGTGTTGCCGACTGTCAAAAGGCCGTGATTTTGTAGCAGGACTGCCTTTTTGTTGCCTAGAGCTTGGGCAATGTTCTGGCCCTCTTCCTCTGCTAGCACGACGCCTTTGAATGAGGAATAGAGACCCAGGTCCTGGTACCGTTAGAACTGGGACTTTGCACGCGCAGGAATCTGAAAATATTAGGCCAACGTACATTGTGGAAAGCACAGGCGTCTTGTGAGGTGATATCCAGCGGTCGGCCCAGTGTACAAAATGCCCGTCCATAGAGACTGTGACTGTGCGCAGCGCAGTTGACCTCTGGCCGCGCTGCATGGATAGCAGAGTGGATCATGAATGCAGCCGCATTCAGCATCCGATTTGGTCCACCTGCAATAACATTGCCTTCGTGGTCGACCTGGATTAAGTCTGATACCGTCATCAACTTGAACGCTGTGCCGAAGGGATTCACCCAGAATGTTGTCGGGTCTACAGGATCGCGCAAGGTAATGTGTCCGGCGGCACCTAATGGAAATATCAGTTGCCAAATCGATGGTTGACAGTAGGACCATACTGACCCTCGTCGTATCCTTTATCGCCAAAGATTCTGAATGCTGCTGCTAGGCGGCCCTTTAAATACTCTCGCTCCTTCATCTTATCCTCAAAAACCGGCAGCCTGGGAATTGGCATCTTGATTTTGGCTTTCTCGGCACTCGCCGCTTGAGATGATTGTGGTGCTTGCATACTGATAGTACTGGCAAGTGTCTCGGTACTAGTTGGGAGAGCCATAGTGATTTCTCACGGGTACGACTGTCGAGACAGGAATGATATGTTGTAGATGAAATGCTTCAAGTTGATTTAATGACTCTTCATGCAGAGTACCCCCTCGAAGCGGGGGTTGCTGATCAAAGATGTTCAATTGGCCGGTGAGCCGAGGTTGTACTTCTCCACGGCTATCCTTGCATTAATCCTCATTCTGGTGCTTGATGATATTCCAGTGTTGGGAGAGATTAAACAGTACATGGGGGCTAGTATTGAAAAGGCACGTAAAAGCAAACCCCAAATAAAATCGCTGGACTATAGAGTCATTAATGCATCAAATCGTGATAGTCAAAGACTGGATAAAGCCTTTGGTTACGTGTTCCTCCAATGAAATCTAGTTCGTAAGTCTTTCCCGCGGAAACAGAGGCCCCCGCTGAACCTCTGCCATTAAGGCCTCGAACAACTTACGGTCGGCTGGGTTGAAGCTTTGGCTGATCGTCGCTCGATGATGCGGAGATCCAACCAATGGCTTCAGGTCGGCTTCGCATAGAGTTCCTACTATCGGTAGTGTGCCAGTTTGGAAGTAATGGCGAATGGCCTTGGCTACGCAAATTGATGGGGCTGTGAGTGTTGTGTGCTAGATGAATATGTCAGAGATAAATAATTGGAGGGAGTACAGCGATTTCCTCACTCCTTCTGATTCTTGTTGGAGCAACCCAGATCCTGGGAAAATCCGGGACATATGTTGAGCACTGGGATGGTTAGCTTGAACAGTCGCTAGTGACGACGAACACACACCCGTGGAGAGGAGTCACTGGGTCCAGAGTATTTGATACGAAGAGCATGGGATGAGCGGTAGTAGTACCCCACGGTCCTAAAAATGGTCGGCTAGGAACTCGTGGAAATCATAATAGGACATACCTGCGAAAGGGTATTTAGCCTTCGCTCTCCATCCAACACAGCTCAGTTGCAATTGCGCCCAATAATCACCCAAAGATGCACTGTCAGCGAAAAGACTAGACCATTCGACGCGGAACTGTTCAATATCTAGGCTTGTCAAATATTCCGCATCTGAGCACATAATAGCAGCCATGGCGTAAAGAAAGTTATCTTGCGTGGTAGCACATTCTAGTGACCAAGGCCCAGCAAGACTACACTTGTTGGATGGACACGCGCCAAAGTGACTCCCATGCTTCAAGTCAGCCATGGGAATTGCATTGCCCCTGCCTAACTCAGTCATTATATCTGCCAGGACGGGGAATGCAAGAAGGGGCTGATATATAGCAACACGCTGAATCACTTTGATGTCCGTCCAGGTTACAACTTCTGGTCCCCGTCCCGTAGATGCCATGACAGGGATTGAAGTGTTGAGAATCTGTTGCTCAAGTTGCGTGTACGCTGCCCTGATGGCTTCTGGACCACCCTCAACGTAGAAGGGACACCCTGCAGGTCCAGCCTCATTACAGTATTGGCCAAATCGATCGAAGATGGCATCTGCGTCAGTCACAACGTTCGGTCCTGTTCCTTGGTAGTACTTCACCATGTCGACTACGCCATCGAGAACAGCTCGTGTAACTCGCTCTGGAAAGAGCGAGGCAAAGGTAGTGCCCAGCACCGTACCGTATGAGCGACCCCAATATAGTAGTGGCTCTTCTCCACGGTTCCATTTAGTGCGTTGCAAGATTGCGCTTTTTTCGTCCAGTCCATGGCATTTGTTGTGGGCTGCCTGGGCTCTCTGGCCTTCCTTCTCGCGCCACTCGCCATGGCGCTCGATGATGGTCAGCATGTCCTGCGCAACGAGTGGTGTATTGACAAAGGACATCAGTGGCTCGTCCGCCCCTGGATTTGACATATCGAATACAGAACAACCCGAGTTCAGGGCTTCGGTCCGTTGCCAGTTTCTCTGCAAGGAATCCGGTCCACTTCCCAGCATGCCTTCAGCCGAAACTTGCAACTCCCAGTTCCTTTGAGATACAGGATCGGGGAAACACATCACTGGAGGCGTTGTGGATCCTACCCCGCGAGGATCAAATCCGATGATATCAAAATATCTGTTGCCGATCTCTTCTCCGGTCTCATGCGGGTCTGCCTCCGCATCAATGATGAGTTGGAGATTGCGACCCGCCACAAAAGCTTGCATTGTTCCCGGTCCGCCAGGTCCACCTGGGCTATGAGCTCGAATCATTATATCATGTTCAAGTTCACTTACCGGGATTGATCAAAACCGCACCTCCATACCGCGGATCTGTGACTGGGACCTTTGCTGGCAGTCGGACAACAGCCAGAGCGAACGTGCGACCTTGTCCATCTGTTCGCTGGTAGTCCATAGGCACTTCTAGCCTCGCGCATTGGAACTCATCGCCGCAATTGTAGTACTCCAGCGACTGTGAAGCAACTATTTCGTCCCATGTTACTGGACTGGGAATGTCCAAAGGCCCTGCCACTGCCACCCTCCAGGGCAGTCGAACAGCCCAGAACAGAAAAAGTAAGACCGCAGCAGTCAGGGGTAATCCCCATCGAACATATCGATGAGGTGTCCGGCGTACCTGGCTTGTCTGAAAAGGCGGTAAAGACACGGATTTCACATCCATAACGCGACACAAACATCAAAACAAATAAATACCACAGTCCGAAGCCCACAGATGAAGGGAAATTTTCCATGAGAATCACTGAGCTTTTGAGGCCGAAAGCCCAAAGGCCATATTAAAAGGAAAGTCGGCAATCAGCCATGTTCATTGACTTTTCCAATCCCGCCGGTCCCGCCGAGTGGGGGTTTTCCATTGATCGTCCATATGCGATTGGGAGTTGATGTATCGAACTGAAATCAACTCCATGCGATTCGTTCAGGTCAAAACTTTAGAAAAGATAAGTGCCGAGGTCAGTGCACCTGCACATCTCCAGGGTCCAATCCCCAACATCTTCCGGGCTGTGCAAGACCCTCGGTTTGAAATGGTTCAAGTTGCAAAGCATCTGGGACAAATATTGGAAATTTGACTGCCACAGAGAACATGTAGATGAGTTTCTGAAAGGTTTCTGAGCTCCGCGCAGTATTGCAAAGCAGATATGCGGTGAAGAGATGTCCGTGGGTGATCAGGCAGCTGCTGTTGACAAGCCACGCCTCTTTAATTCCCAACTCCCTGACTGATACGAACGCACCTGATTTGACACAAGCACAGAGTACGTGGCTCCAGGAAATGACTATCAACAAAAGAGCCTCATCGACATAAAAGGCAGAAAGAGTCCTCCTTGCCCAGGCGACGTTGAAAGCATACATCATGCCTTCCAAACTCCAAGACTATATTGACTCCCTCCAAACCCTGCCTTTGGCCGAGGGCATTCAAGCAATTGCAGATCTCATACCAGGCCTCACCAGCGTTGTCCCTCGTGAATACGGCTACTTCGTCCAACATCCCGACTACGAAGGAATCGGTAACCTGAACGATATCGGTACCCTCTGGCTGAAGCTCGGATCGCAATGCCACACTGACCACGCACCTCTCCAAGTGCGTCTCGTTCACACATCTATGGACGACCCGATTCTCGAAGTCTACGGAACCAGCTACACAATGCTGAATAAGGGACTGGATGATGGAACCATTGCACCTCCCCCGCCCCTTGGATACTGCACCTGCTGTAGTGGTGAGGCGAGTGCCGTCATTTTGGCTTGTTTCCATGAGCGCCAGGCTTTGTTCTTCACCGAGGACGAATATAAGTCTCTCTGGGGAGATCAGCCGAATGCTGGGGAGAGATATAGTGGTTGGACGGAAGAAAATGGCTGGGAGAAGCGTAGAATTAATGCAAGCAAGGAGCAGATTGAGGAGGCTCTAGCGAGGAATCCAGCTGTTGGTATTGTGAGTATGCTTTAAATGATTCAGGGAGAATCTAGAAATACGGCAGCGATGGTGGTTGTCACCGGAGAGATAGTTCATATGATAAAAAAAAAAATAATAAATTGAAGAAAGTCCTTATGAATGCCTTGCTTTAAAGATTTCGCAACGCCCCGATATGTACACGGAAAAGTCAAGGTTGAGATGAAAATCCCCATTCAATAGCAAGAACCCACCAAGTCCCTTCCGATCTATGCTCATGTGCCGATGTAAATAAAGCTGATGTCAGCATCGTCGAATCTTCGTCTCGAAGCGAAATTGCTCAACTAGATCGAACCGTTTATTCGTGGCTGCGAGGCCGCTTTCGAGGGTTGATAACCCTCCGACCAAGAGATTCGGCACGGCTACCGATGGAATCTTCAACCCGCTGGAGGTATTCGACAAACTCATAATAGTTATCAAAGTCCAGATGGGTCTTGTCAGCCTCGTTGCGAACCCTGTTCATCAGATGTTCAAAGAGATGGCGCATGCGATCACGCTCCGAATCGTTATTCGGAAAATGTGGGACCCACTGCTGCATCCAATTGGAGAAATCAGTCACGGACTGGGCCGGTCGCTGATAGCTATCCATATAGCGGGACCTAGCAACATCAGGATAGACCCCAGTCTGGAGCTGGTGAATAAGGAAGGTGCAGAAACTGCCGTAGGTGATCTTCTCAGCAGGTAGATGACGTATGTGTCGCTTCCACTCATCCTCGATATTAAGGGCGACGTGCTTAAGCGCCCGTGTGACCTTGCGCTCCTCGACCTTGTACCACTCCGGATATTTATCGAAGTGTCGTTCTAGACCCATCGAGAAGTTCTTGAACTCACCCAGAGCCCGTCCGTTGTATACCGGGACATTGGGCACCGGCGGGGTTTGGACGGATGATTCGGGATGAAAAGGTCGGGCGGAAGGTTGCAGGCTGGAACGGGGTTCAGCCTTGACGACTGCAGGTGCGGCGGGGGACCTGGTAGCTGCTGCGAGGGCTCGCAATTGCTCCAGGTTCAAGTTCAGGCCAGACACGAGCTTGCTTGCGGGTTTAGGCGAAGGCTTGAGCTCGGACGGCTTAGCGTCGGAAGGACAATCAGGAGCTTGAGTCAGAGGTGCTGAAGCAGTCATTTGCTGAGATCTGGCAGGATGGATGTTCTTTTGGGTTTCATCAATACCAGCCTTGCTGTTTTGTTTTGGCTCAGATCTGGATGGAGTCGAAGCTGGGGTAGCCGGGGAAATTTCCAGGGTAGTCGCGGCCAGAAGTCGAGTGCGAGCCCGTTCCAATTCCCTCTCCTCCTCTGCAACTTTCTGTTTGATATCAATGAGCTCTCGCTGCTTCTTCAATCTCGATAATTGAGCTTGAGCTTGACGAATTTCCGCCTCCAGGTCATCGGCAGAGCCGAGAGGCTCTGCAGGCTCAGGATCGGTATTTGGGAACATCTCATTCAGACTCTCCCATCGCTGTTGAATTCGATGAATGCTGGATCCAGAGCCAGTTTTGTTGTCTGGCTCTGACATGGTGATTTTTTTAATCCTTGCGCGTTGCAGATAAGATAGTGTGCGGAGAAAGAAAGTTCCGATATCCGTGAAGAAAGTCACATGTCACGGTTCTTAACCTTGGAAGGCAATAACCCTTTTGAGACAAGTCAAGTATCTCAGAGTGATGAATGGTAGTTTTGAGACGTGTTTCTCGAGGCTTTTGGACTCTCAAGAGTTCTCGAGGGTAGTTGAGGATGATAACTTGCTAATGGATACTTACTCTCAGTGTCTCACCTGGGCTAGTGCGTTCACAATCTAGTACAAACAAAAACAGCATATATGATCTATCATTTTTCAAAAACAGTGCAATAATCCCAGATATGAGGGTCGAGTGGCTCGAGATACTGTTTACTTCGCCCAGGCAAATTAATAGTTCAAATCAATAGTTCGCCTCAAGAGATGAGATAATTGAGACTCATCAAGGGAATGAGGGTTTATATCGATGGTTTTAGGTGAACAAAGAGAGCAAACATAAGCATCAGTATTCGTTCACATCCAGTAACGCTATTTTTTTCTTTGTCTTTCACATTCATGGTGCTAGATGATGCGACTAAACCATTATCATAAAGGAACGCAAATTGGACACACGACTGGCTGAAACACTGATATCTAAGTCCTTTTTTACTTGGTGGATGTTGATTTTTATCAGACTGTGCGTGATTCTGTCGATCGGGAACAGCATCCTCGAATGAGCGATTGCAAAAATACTTCCAATTACTCAATGAAGACAAGCTGAGCCCCTGGAGAGAAGAACTGCAATTCAACTCAGGAGTTTCGTACAGAGTACAAAGTACTGCGACAATATACTCCCCGAAGACAAACCACATACATTTCCGAATAGATAAGACACATCATATATGTAAGCCATGAGAATCCAAAAGAAAACCCGAACAATCACAAGATAATAGGATTTTCCATTGGGATATTATTTATTATGTACAGTAATATCAGCCGATTCATATATACTCTTTATTTACCCGGTGACCCAAGCAGACACAAAAACTTCTCATTGGGGGTCGAGGCGAGGACGTTCTTGACCAAGTGCCAGACATTCAGGTCATAAGCTTCGCCAATGTGACCAACAGGGTCCAATGGGCAAGTATCCTGAATCCAACGGTTGGTGACGCCTTCTTCGTGGACAAACGATGTCGTCGGAGGAGTGACCAGCTCATCGTACTTGGACGCAATGATAGTGACACTGTTACCGGGCTGCGCGATAGGGGTACCATCATTCAAGCGTTTAACGGCAGCACCATCGGGGCCGAGATCATCACAAGCAGGGCAGCCGAGGGTATGCAGCACTTCGCTCACGACGTCGCGCGACGCTTTACCGAACAAGTATGCGAGGTCATAGATATTGGCAAATGTGGTAGCATGGGTGGGAGGTGCAATAGCAGCGATCTTGTCGACGAGATGGGCGACACCCTCGAACTTGGGCACGTACAAGGCTTGGAAAGCACCCTCCGAGTGGCCGACAAGGTCGACTTTGCTCTTGCCGGTCTTTTGCACGACCTCTTTGATGTATGAAGCAATTTCGGGGGCGCTCTCGTTGATTGCCTTCAAGCCGCCAAGCAACGGGAAGCCATCGTATGCGCCATAGGTGATCGCGTACGTGCAGAAGCCTTGCGTTTGCAGCCAGTACTGCATGAAGTTGAGATCTTCATAGAATGTCGCGCCAAGCCCGTGCAGAAGGACAACTGGATTGTAAGAGCTTTTGCAGGAGAAATCGTTGATTCCTGTTGCGACGGCTGTCGTAGCCGCGAGGGCAGAGAGCGCCAACTTGGTGAATGAAGGCATGATGTACGACAGGTAGAGCAATGTCAATTGTGGATTTGGGGTCCCATGCTTTTTATGACTGAATCTGTAGGAACTAGATCTCCTTTTTTTTTCTTTTTCTCCATCTCGACCAAACTATCGATTGTTGATCGATCGGATCCGGCTGTGACTGGTTAGCCCTGCCGATCCCTATCAGAGCCATCTCGAATACGTTATAGCGTCAGGACAGATCCGTTGAGTGTATCCAATAGGAGGTTACTCTATAAATGAATTCTGGATCGATCATTTCAGCTGCATACGTGGATACCTATTGTGGTGATTTGAGTTGACTCTCATTGAGACATTTATGCGAGCAATCCGGAAGCTGCGGAGTATCCTCCGTACGGAGTGCTTAGCCCCTACTCCGTGCGCCGTACCTATACCATTCCACGCTAAACAATGTCGATGTATCCCCATGCAAGGATCAGTTAAATGACAGCGCCTGAGCGCAGCAATCATTGTGTCCAAATAGCTGGATCACATGCCATGAGGAAAGATGATTACATCGTGATTGAACATGGCATCCATATTATAAGGAATACTTGCGTCCACACTACGAACTACCTGTATTCAGTGGCGACGATTCTTTTGTAGATAACTCTGGCATGGCACTGCCCCAAAGCCCTAGAGAATGCCGCCTCTCAACTAGTCGCAGCACCTCAATCATGAAACGGCGCTCTGGACCCCCGTCTGGGAATGCTTCCCAAGCGACCCGAGTGGGGAATGCAAGACGATTGATCATGTTGCCCGGCGCAGTGAGGATATAAAATTCCAACGAGCGGCAGATCCCGCAGCCCAAGTCGTACTGTTCCAAGGGCGAGACGCGATCGTGTGGCCGATTGTCGATTGAGGACAAAACTAACCGCACGGCGTAGTAAACACACATAGTTTGTGCGAGAAGCAGGTTAGGATATGTAAATCTGGTTGGGGTGAAAGTAGCCCCTGTGCGCAGGTCGCGGCGTTGGAAAACCGGGAAACCCTGGTCGCCGGTTTGTTCGGCTTCCTGTGGTGGCCCATCAGGGTATGCAACAACGTTGTCTTCGTACCATTGATAGAAACGAGCTGTAAGCTCGCGGATTCCATTCCAAAGCGTAGACTGTTTGACAGCCATCTCTTGTGTCCCCATGAGAGATGTGATTTGTGCTTCTTTGAAGGCATCGGACATCGCTAGTAAACCTGGGACCTCGGTGGCTAGGTCGAGCAGACTGTGGAGGATATCCTTTTGGGTGGTCCCTGCTGACCACGGAATAGTTTTCCACTCTTCACGGGCCAGGAATGAAGGTTGTCGGGCTGCCAGAGCGGCGCCAATCTAAGCCGTTAGATTGAGAAATGCAGTTGCTGATGGTGTGTTGGTCTTACCCAATAAGGCCGGAGTTCTGTAAATAAAAGATGTTCAACCCCATACATGTGATTTTCTGGCCCGCGGTGTTCGATCAAGCGCACTGCTCCTCGGACATGAGCCGAGACACCACTCTGAGTAGTACGTTCAACGCTCTGCCGAAGTTAGCATTGGGCCAGGATAAACAATCGGTTTATGGAACGAAACAAACCTCGAAAGCCAGCAAGAGAATCACCGTTACCAGTGTTGACTCCGCTTTGCACTTTTCAGGGTCCACCAAGGCATCCTGCAATGCACGTAGTACACGGGGGTAAATGCGGAACCCGGATGCCTCGATTTGTTTATTCTGCACAGAACGGCCAAAGAATGCCACCGAAACAGCCTCAAAAGCATCTGTTATGAGTGGTGAGAACATTCGAATTCCGGCGGCAGCTCGTAATGCACCGGCTCTTCCGGATTTAACATCCACTTCTGGGCTAAATGCATCGACAAATCTCTCGACGAACACATCCACAGCGGGTCTCTGCATGCTCATAACCGAGATCGTGCCAGACGAGTCGGAGCCACTGCTCAGCGACATACGCTCGAAGTCGCTGTCATCGTCACCCTCAGCTTGGAAATTATTGAAGTCTTCATCCGGGGTTAATAATAGACGAGTCCGAACCGGCAAAGTTGACGAAGGGCTTAAGGGATAATCGTATGATTCATATGCTGGAGCTGTCAGCCCAGGCAAATGTTACAGCAATCTTGACACCACATACCTTCCCTGCCTTCCCATGGTCCGACAGGAACCAAATCTTTCTTAAGGCCGACATGTGCGGCCCGAATGTCACGAACAAGATTATCGACTAATGGGGTTGGTGCAGAGCGAATAGACTCAAATAGGTTCTCGAGCTGGTCCAGGCGCTGGAGATCGTGGGCCCCAGATCCTGCACAGACATCAGCAATTATTCCGCATCCACATGACGTTGCCACACACTGCGGGAAGGAATGAGCGGGGCCTACAAGCATACCATTCAGATTATCATCTAGTCTTCCCCGAAGGTCGCGGATCTCCGCCCGTAGGTTCTGAATCTCCTCCGCTTGGCTGATGGGGCGTGCTTCTTCGTCGGGGACGTGCTCATACACGCACTTGGACGGGTATCCATGAGCACAGCAGGCATGACAGGGCTTGACTCGGTCACACTAACAGCAGGATCCACGTTAGCCTTGCGGGTGATGTGTTCACGACCAGTGGGACGCATCAGATGGGTGCGGGAGCGTCCCGACCCCCAGGGCGATCTGAGCACGAGGACGGGGGTTAACGGACCTTGACTTTCCGGAGCCGGCAGACCTTACAGGACCGTGACTGACGGTTCGGGGCCTTTCTGACTCGTGAGTCGGTGGAAAATCGCGTATCACCGACCATAGCGGCGCGGCAAAAGAAGCTCAGAGGGGGAAGGAGGGAAGGGTTCCTCATTCCGAGCCAACGACACGGCAGGATTTAGGCGAGCCAGATTTGGGACATGGGAGTCCGAGATCTGTTTGCTTGAAGGTGGGCCGCCTTGCTCTCAGAAGGTATTAGCGTAAGTTAGTTGACGCCCCGGGAGGTCATGATAGGTGCGTGGACGTGAGGAGGTGGAGTGACTCCGCCATCCCGACTGGGTCTGAATTGAGTGGTTTTGATTGGATTATATAGATGTTGCTTTTGCAGGACACTACAAGCCATGGACTGAAGTATTAGAGATTAGGAAGTCGAAATGGATAAACTGTAGGCTTGAGGTTGTAGATTGTCAGAATATGTCAAGTGCACAAAATCACAACCGTAGACCTGGGTTTGATGAGTGTCACATGCAGCGGTCGGTCCACATGTCTACGATAATAAATACGCTCACCCAATACCCCTTTTTCGGCCTATTTACGGCCCAGACATTGAAATAATGTTTTTTGCATAGTTGGCGAATACCCCGAAAGACCTCCCAAAAGACCACCCAAAAGACGATAAAAAAGACACCTCGAAAGAGAAAAGTTGTACACTCTTGTCAACTTATACTTATGCAATTCTCAAAGACTCAATCCCCAGTCCCTCTTTCACCATGCGCGAATTCTATATAATTTGACACTAAGAATTCACAGAGAAGAGGAAAAGCAGGAATGGAGCTGCCATACACTAGGTATAGGTGCTCCACGTGGAGATACAAATCCTGTAGTCTCATGCTAGGTAAAGAAGTATTAGATCCCCGCAAAATAACATATGTAGCACTCATCATGCTCCACATCATCCCATAAGAAGCTCGCCTTCGCTTGATTGTGGGCCCCCTTCGCACACCACTTCCAGTCTCGAATACAGAGCAAACAGATATGAAGTGCCGCCATTGGCCACGGGCGAAGTTTTTCACAGTGTAGACAGCCAAAGAATTCAGGACGCTGGTTTGAACTTCCACTGATCTCGCTTTGTGGCTCGGATCCTGGTCCACTTGACAGTGACTCTAGGTCTTCCTCTTTGACCTCTTGAGGACAGTCTCGTGCAGACTTTGCGTCCTCCACCGGTTTGGATTGGGTTTCCGTCACATCCTTAGAGACGGTAGTTGTTGAAAAGGTGATGACAGTAGTTGTTGTTGTGCTTTGCGCAGATCTTTCGACAACGGGGGGTGCAACTGTGACATGTATATGGTGACCAGAATCTGCATGTACATGTTTTGGTTGCTCAGGTAGTGTGGTGGTCGGTGCAGCACCAGTACTTGCAAGGGTATGTTCAGTCTCCGAGTCGCTAAGATGGGTCTTGGTTTGGGGTGCTGACTTGGGGAGATAGTACGGCCGAACTCGTCCCCCGTTTCCTTTGGCCCTTTTAGCTCGCGATCTCTGTGCAATTTTAGTCTGTGCCTAATGGGCAAGTGTGATAGGTTGCCCCTTTGAGCATGTCATGCACCTACATTTCGATACTTTGTGCGGCAAGCCTCACACAGTTTGTAGAAATCCCTCCCAGAAGCTTGAGGTGCCCGAAAGCTATCCTTTGGCTTCTGTTTATTGCAGGTGTAACACCACCTAGTGTCTTCGGGGATGGTGGGAGGCTGCGAGAATGTTTCAGAGGGCTGGGCTTCTTGGGACATGACTGAACGCTGTTATAATGCTTGAGAGGGACTGGCTCCTTCGGGCTAGATTGGACAGTGCAATAACGTCTCAGATCAATCAAAGCAATTTTGTAAAGAGAAACAAGGGTTTGAATCAGGAAAGAGGGAGTTGGATCACAAGCAGTAAGTTTTGAGTCGAGTCTGAGTCAAGAACAGTGATTCAGGGAAGGATGGTATATGTATGGTAAAGAGAGAGCGTCAGAAAGGAAGGCTTGGACTGCTAGATGTTCAATAACAAGCGAAAGAAGTGATAATAGTTCAAGGTTAGAGTGAGGCGAAATATTTCATCGGAGAGTTGAGTCTTAGTGTAAGCGAGGTGATATAGAAGGGTGATGCGAGATGAAAACAAGAGCCTGAACGCCAGTTTAACAAGAAATATGACAGCACGCAAACAACAATCTTCAACGGGTCATTGCAATCGTTATCAATTTGATCTTGGGTATTTACATCTCGCTAATTAACTGAAAACAAACAATTTTCGCAACATTGCCTTTCCTGTTCGCGCGTTCCATCTCAGAAAGCGCTTGATCGAGAGATTCAATATCCCAGGTATTCGGATTTGATGTTTGACAGGTGATTTCTTCATGCTCCCAGGGCTCATCGGCGCCTGGTAAAATGGGTAATCTTTGAGGTGGTTTTGCAGTCTCGATCATGTCGACTCGGTGTAGAAGATCATCATGCACGGCGGTGGAAACTACTTTTTGCATTGCGAGGCCCGCGATGACATGGCGTAAATCGGGCTCACGGGCGTGGGCCTCTTGTCGGATCTTCTTGAGTGAAAGTTCGTAGAGTCGATATGGTAAACGGTCGGAGTCAATGGTAGGATTTTGACTTGGGGTTGGAGCGCCAACAAGTGTGACACGAGGACTTTGTAATTGGCGTCCCCGTCTTACTTGAGGGATGTTTCTGGCGAAGAGCCGGGTGCATTGTGTAGACATTTTGGAGATATCAGTTGGTGTAGATGTAGATCTGGAAAGAAGAATAGCGTAGATATAGATATATTGCTATGCAGAAGGCTGTTCATGAAAATCACTACAACGTCAGCTGGCTCCTTCATCATGCCACTTTACGAGGATTTCGGGGATATTTGGCGCGGATCTTGAGGGGGTTGGGTGGCGAGAGCGTCATGCCACCGATCTTCAACCTCTACAATATATACATAATCTACTTTACTAAGGAGGTGTTTTGGGTGGAATTGAGTAAAATGTTTTGTTGCTCCCGTAAAAAAGCAGACGCCAATACACATATTGGGCAAGTGATTCCGACACCAATTATATATACTTCTGCGTAAATATATGGATTATAGCGGATAACAATGGTACTAGAATGTATTTTCAACCCATTAAACTCGTCCTTTTACATACAAATCGAATTTCCAACTCGATTTCCAAATCGAAGTTCCTTTTTGGGACCCCGACACCCCGACTCAGTGCCGATCTCGGGAAGGCAGCCGATGGTGCATAATATCAGAGAAGAGGTATCACTCGAATCCTAGATTTAAAGAAATGCAACTGCCGCTCACTCACATGAGAGAATCCTATGGGACTTGTGCAATGAATTAGAGATATGTAAACAACATATATTCTTGTTGGTGACGTGTTAAAAGATCGGAAGCCAATGCCGATGTATACTTCCACCCCCACCATTAAATCCCGACTAGGTAAACACTAACGCAGCCCTTATCAGAATGACTCAAATGTTCGGGAGCAAGGATCGTTAAGAGAGTTCCTCTGTAATCCCACATCTCATCTCAATCCCCATTGTCGCCTGTCGAGGAGAGAAATATATCATGCAAAAGTCTGCGACCGCATCTGTGCAAGAGCCAGTACAAGAGCCATGGCAATCGACCTCGACAAGCGTAGAGGAATACCCCACAGTTTATCCCACTGCTCATAACTCGAACTTTGACGACGAAGCTCCCCGGTCGGCATTTTCCATTATCGAGCCCCCAGCCGACCTATCCACACTCACAACCCATCTCACCGGTCATAGTACCGACGACACATTCCCTGATGGAGGACTGCGAGCATGGTGTGTGGTGGCGGGCTCATTTTGTCTCTTGATGGCTACCTTCGGCGTCATGAATACAACAGGAATTCTGCAAAATTACTTCGCTACTCATCAGCTGGCCAGCTACTCACCCAGTGCAATCGGCTGGATACCGGGACTATTCACCTTCTTTGGTTTGAGTATCTCTGTCCAGGTTGGGCCGATGTTTGATCGGTATGGCCCGAAAGCCATTCTCATGACTGGGACTGCATGTTATGTGACCGGTCTTCTGCTTCTCGCTGAAAGCCATCTTTACTGGCACTTTGTTCTCACCCTTGGTGTTCTTTCTGGAACTGGAGCTGCACTATTGAGTACAGTGGCATTAGCTAGTGTGCCTCAATGGTTTGATCGCAAGGCGGCTCTTGCGATTGGGATTTCGATGGCGGGCGCGGGTCTTGGTGGTGTGGTGTTTCCGTTTGTGCTCCGAGCTGGGTTCACCAGCCTTGGATATAAGTGGACAATTCGATTGCTCGCATTTGTGGTGTTGGTATTGTGTGTGCTTGGAACAATTCTGGTGAAAGCACGTCTTCCGAAGGGCAGGAGTAAATCAACGGTCAATTTGCGTTCTTTGAAAGATGCGAGGTTTACCTGGTTGACATTGGGCATCTTTGGTGGGTTGATTTCGGACAAAAATCCGGATAGTAGAAGAAAAGAATTGCTGACTTGTGATAGGTCTTGAGCTCGAGGTCTTTGCTGGTCTCGGTCTTTATCCAACATATGTGATCATGCAAGGGTTCTCTGCGAACACCAGTGTCATTCTTCTCGCAGTTTTAAACATGTGAGTGGTAGCAGATGTTGATGATTGCTTAGGAAAAAGGCTAACCAACCTTACATAGAGCCTCCACAATAGGACGACTGGTGGCTGGAGGCGTGGCTGATCGATTTGGCAGAATCAACACCCAGACTGCACTCATTGCTCTGGGTGCCCTTGCAGTTTTTGTGGTCTGGCTGCCGTTCGGACACTCCCTGATAGGGCTTTACATCTTCTCAGCCATATTCGGATTGGCTTCGGGATCATTCCTGAGTCTTGCACCAGCCTGCATCGGGCAAATCTCTAGGGCGAGCGAGGTTGGTGGAAGGTTTGGGTTGACATATTCTATTGTCAGCTTTGCGTAAGTCATTGGCATCCAGTTGGCAGTTCGTCGCTAATGGGAATTTAGCACACTAATCTGTATTCCGATTGGCGGTGAGATGCTTGACAAAGTTGGGAAGAGAGCCATGGTGGCATATTTGGGAAGTGTTCTGATAGTCTCACTCGGTTTGTTCGTCATGGCGAGATGGGCCTGTTTGAGCTACCGGTGGAGGTGGCAGGCAAAGATCTAGAGCCGGTAAAGAAGATAGAGAAGTATCCCATGACGGTTGAAATTTGATCCTGCAATTTGATTCAAAATAGCGCTAGGATAAGAATATTATCGTATACAAAAGATAGAGAATTATTATGGCAATGTCGTTGGTTGTGGTGCGCATGTCGGTGTTCCGGATGAATTTGATCGTTGAGGAGATGCTTGCGATTCTAGTTCTGCTCACCCCCTTGGCCCTTGGTATATTCATCACTGTAATCTGTCAGTGATGTCCTCATGGAGAATATGGGGTATCCCTACATATGTTTGTCAAGTTCATCCATATGCTTGCGCTGCTCCTTGACCTTTGCTTTGAGACGCTCAAGCCTATCCTCGGGTGAGTTTATTTCTTCAAATTGAGTCAATGCAACTCACTTTTCCATTTCTTTTTCTCGAATGTACATGGCCTCGTGCGCAGCCTCGCGTCTGGCAAAAGAATCCTTCCTGTTACAATGGTCAGATATGACGTCATCCATTCTGAAGTGAGTCGCGGCATACTCGGCCATCCCGCCCGACTTTGGCGAACCTAGATCACCTGCGCCCATGATTCTTGGAGTGGTAGATAGGAATCGGAAACGGGATAAATTCGTAGCGACACGGAAAACGGGTCGTGAGGTTGCTTGCATGGTGAAAAGTGGGGGGATATGTCGATCAGTTATGGAGAGTTTGAGATGTCGATCACAATGTGTATAATGTACTTGAAACTGTACTTAGTGTCGGATTCAGATATTGAATAATTCAAGAGATAATAAGAGACAAGAAGGGAATAAGTGATTCGATTCAGACTATTTAAATGGTGATGACTTCATCGAGTCAGGTGACTACATATGGGTTGATGTATATCTCATGATTGGACAACGTCTGAGTCTGAACGCAGTGGGAAACCCTAAGAGATCGTACCACTCTGACTCCATTCCATTACATCCGGATCGGGCTATTATCGAGTCTTTCTGTCTTGCCGTTGAGGAAATTTATAAACAAGTAGTCAAAATATTGAGTTAAGATATCAAATCAGAGATAATATTTGCCAAAATTTACTGAATGCTTCTACAATACATAGCGGAATCCCTTCTGCAGTCGCCTGGCGGCAGCAATGTCGATCCCCTCAAGATCAGCGGTAGCCTGCAGCCGACGAATATCCTTCTCGCTAAGCTGAACGTCCTCATTCTCCAGACGCTCCTGGCGTTTGTTGAGCATGTTCAGATTGAAGTATAAGAAGAGGGCGGCAAGGCCACCAATCACCTGCAGGGCAATGCAAACACCCATCGCGGTCTCGTAAGTAGGTTTCTCCTTTTCAATGTACGTATAGGGCGTCCAGATTGAAGCGCTGTTTCCAATGGAATTGAAAAACGCAAAGGCTGTGTTGGTTAGCTTGATGGCCATGTGGATTGAGTGAAGGAATATGACTTACCGACAGCACGCTTTGCAGGGGGACGGGGAATGGAACTCGCAAGCCAGGAGTATAGAGTTCCGTTCTGCGCGAAGACGAAGACCATCAAGAAGAACGAGAAGTATCGTGCTCCAAAGGACTCGGTTTTCATGAAGACGACGAATCCAATGATCGTGATCGGGATCGGGTAGACAAAGAACCAGAATCTCTTCTCCAGCTTATCAGAAGCCACCGAGTGGCAAAGGGAATATACAACCATGAAGAGATATGGGGGTGCCACCAGCACCAGAGTGATGGTCTCGGGCAAATCGAGAGTCTTTACCAATGTCGGGAAGAAGTTTTGGAAACCCGAGGCTCCGGTAATGCACATATACGCCAAGGCAAAAACATATGTTTTGATGTCCGTCATGGCGAGTTTGAAGCCCTCGATTTGGCTTTTGCTGCCGCCTTCATCCACATCGGCCTGGCCAGCCTCTATGGCGAGACGTCGCTGGGCGACTCGGCGCATCTCTGGATCTAACATCTTCCATGTCTCCGGGAAGTCGGGTAGAACGAAGCAAATGAGCAATCCGACGGCACAAGTGATGGAGCCCTCGATAATGTAAAGCCATTGCCATGCAGAAAGTCCTCGATGGCCTTTGAGACCGTTGAGAATACCCGCGGCAATGAGGTTTCCGAAGGCGCCACTCAGCAAAGAGCCGGAGTAAAAGATACTCATTCGGAAAGCCAACTCCTTCTTTGTGTACCATTTAGATAGATAAAAGAGAATGGCACAGAAGAAGGGTGCCTCCACCAAGCCGAGAATGAATCGACAGGCCACAATGCCTCCGTAGGTCGTGACTTGACTTGTCACTGCCGATACCAGTCCCCAAGCGGTGACGAAGAATCCAATGTAGTAGGATGGTCGACCCATGTAGTTCAGAAGCATGTTGGAAGGCACCTGCATGAGAATGTATCCAACGAAGAGAATAGAGAGACCGGTCTGGTATTTTGTATCGTCGAGGTTGAGGTCGTCCTCGAGACCTTGGAGCTTCGCTGCTGCATAATTGTTGCTGATTCCCTTAGCATTGACCAATTTTCACGGATCGTACAAACGTACCGATCAATATAGTTCATCAGGTATACCAGGATAGCCAGTGGCATAATCAGGGCATCGATGCGCTTGCGTAATTTGTTCTCGATGACTTTGTCTTCCGGACTTAACTCGGTCATATGCACAACTTCCTGATGGGTCAGGTCCATCTTCGGCCCCAACTCCGCCTCGCTGATGGCATTCTGGGTTTCGGCCATGGTTGATCAGATGAATAGTATAGAGTAAGGACAAGGTCTCGGGGGAGCGGCGCTTTATGTGCGGAGAGGCACGGCTCATGTCGAGATAGACACGGTACGGGCCACAGGAGCGGTAAGTTCAGCTATCATCGCATTTACCCCGTGGATATTCTGGATTCCGGAGAAACGTGGGGGTAAGTTTGCGGGGAATTCCAAATTTGGAGATTTCATGAGCAGATCGGATGGTATGACGAGGTTCACGATGTATGATAGGCCGATGAGAGATATGGGGTACCCTCACGGTGGAGGTACAATTAGCCTACATCAGCCTGTGATATTCAAACTTCCAAAGACATCATCCTTGACCCCGACCTATTTCGCCAAGACTGGGCTTTCGGATTTCTTCTTTGGGATTTTCTTGAATTTGACTCGGAGAAAGTCCGTGATCAGCCGAGCTCTAAGCGACACCTTGTCTATTGGTGAAGATTAAACAGACCTATACCATTCTCCAGTGCTGATCACTGGATCCACAATCCTTTGCCATCTTGTTAGTCTCCCTTCCAAGACTAAGAGGTCTCGCACTTTCTCCGTGTGGCTGGACCTTGGCCGGCGTAACTCCAATCTCGGGACGAGTCTTTCTATCCTCGGCATGTCATATCACGCTGTTCTCCTTCAACTGTTAAATTGGAAGATGATAATATGAATTAATATATATTCAAGTTCAGATAAGTATGTATGTGAGTGTAGATGCAGAGAGGCGTGGCTTCTATAGCTATCCGCAAAGAAGAAAAAAAAAGACATGTACCCGCACCACTTGAAGTTCGTGGTGTTCGCGTAGGAAGAAGAGAAGGGAAAGCAAAATCCAAGTCTAGAGATATGAGATGTGGGAGAAGGTTCCAAGCCAGAAAAGAAAAGAAAAAGAACAAGGAAGTCTATAAGGAAAGCTCAAAAGGTTGTCAATCCGCACCCCCGAAAGTCCGAACCCCTGAAAGTCCAAAATCACTGCGCCTTCTTGGATGCCTTGGTTCTCAATTTCATGAGACCAAACACCAACGCATACGAGCTAACGACGAACAGAGCGACAATTCCCGTATCTCTCCAGCCGTAATAGTAGTCCATCAGGTTGATGGTGGTGAGGTAATCGGATCCATAGGTGTACTGACAGACACGGCAGCCTTCGGTGGCGTCGGGATTGATGAGGTTCATGCGTGTACCAATGGTCTGCATGAAATCGCTAAGGTATTCACCGCAAGTCGTTCCATTGGGTGTATTAAACATGGCGAATTCCTGATCTTTGCAGTGGACTTCGCGATCGAACAGCCCGAAAACCAACATGCTGCCCATGAGGTAGTTGAATGGGTTGAGCCAGTACATCCAGTATCGCCAGAAACTGACAATTTGGGCGTACGGGACCAAAACACCACAGAAAGAGATCATTGTCTGAGGAGTGCGATGTTAGCTTAGATGTCAGACAGGGCCAGGGTGAAGAAAACTTACGCCCAATACTAGAGGGTTGATCATAGCAGCCATCTGGGCATTTGGTGCATACGCAGCGACAAATTGACCTGGTTTCGCTTGTTAGTGGGGGCCAATATAAGGGTTAGGGATCGGCTTACCAATTCCAGTGTAAAGGAACTCGTAGAGGAAGAATACAAAGAACATGCTACCACTCTTACTGGAGTCGACTGCCATACCGGCCGTCCAATACCAGCAGTTGAAGAAGAGAGCAGCACAAACAACCAGATATGGGAACTCTGAGACAATCAAGGCGATAGTGAACGCTTTCCAGGAGTACATCTTGGCCTTCTTCTCACGAGCCTCGAACAGATCGCGACGTTCAAGGAAAGTAGGCTGCAGTTGATTGATCACACCGGGTGCGACGAAGATGGCATTGAAGATGAAAAATAGGACACTCTGAAGGTCCGAGACCGAGTCACCGATCATCCAGAAACTGAAGCCCACGAATAGGCCTGATGAGATGTGGAGGGCAAACTTGTTGTTGATGTAGTCACTGTTTCGGTACAAGGCCGTCGAAGTACGTTTCAAAACGAGACTCGTCTGCTCCCAGAGGGTAGTAGCGAACTCGCGTCCGTCATCGAGGGTAGCTTGCGGTTTAGTTGCAGCGGTTTCAATGATCTCGTCGAGTTCCTTGAGCATAGCACTGTGTTCAGGTGATTCCAGCCAGACCTTGTTCCAGTCCCTGCCCTGACTCAGTTGACCCGAAACAACGTCAATCATGTGTTCAGCAGGGTTGGTGTCAGCCGGGCATGGTGCTCCGTAACGAGAGAAATAGCTTTTAATACCCTGCGAATTCTCGCCAATTGGACCGAAGAAAACAGTCTTTCCCCCTTTGGCCAAAAGAAGAAGCTGATCAAACTCGGCGAAAAGCTGGGCAGATGGTTGATGAACGGTGACTAATACAGCCTGACCAGCATCTGCAAGTCTGCGAAGGAATCTGACGGTGTTGTACGCACTCTGGCCATCAAGACCACTGGTAGGCTCATCGAGGAAAATCAGAATGCTGGGTTTAGAAACAAGCTCGACTCCGATAGTAACACGCTTGCGTTGTTCGACACTCAGTCCAGCTCCAACACTCCCGATCATAGTATCAGCCAAATCGTGGAGCTCAAGTAAGTCAATGATAACATCCACGTAGGCAAGTTTCTCTTCGCGAGGAGTGGTAGCAGGTTGACGCAATAGGGCAGAGAACTCCAGTGATTCCCGGACTGTTGCCATACGTTCGTGAATATCTAACTGCTCCACATAACCGGCTGAGCGTTGGAACGAGACTGGTAGTGGGCGACCATCGACCATGATAGAACCATTGATAGTTCCTTCGGTTTTGCGCTGGGCGAGGACATCGAGGAGAGTTGTCTTACCGGCGCCAGAAGAGCCCATCAAAGCACCAAGCATTCCAGGTTTGACCCATCCATGGACGTTGTCAAGGAGGACTCGGTCACCGCTAGGCGTCTGAACTGTGTATGAAAGATTCTTCCATGTGAAGACAGACGTGTTGCGGACTAACTGGTTATCAAGCTTTGGGTCCTCATCTTTGGTTTGGGAAACCTTCTTGTCTGAATTTTGGCCTTCTTCGTCCTTTTGGGTATTTTTGAGGTGCTTGTGCAAGTATTCCCGAGGGATGACCAGCGTGCTACCCGCCTCGGAGGGTGATTTCCACCTCGAAGTTGCGACAATTGTGAGGAAAACAAACAAAGCCCACCAGGCCCAGTTGATACCGAAGTTGCGCCAGACATGCGAGTGACTGTATGATAGCGATGCTAGGTAGTTGTCGCCAACCACGAAGTTCTGACCTTGGATCGCACCGGCCACACCGGCGCAAGATTGATATGCCTGGACATCTTCGTATCCGGGGCCAGTAGGGATCAGATTCGTTCCAACACAAGGGATGACGCTCTTATCATGGAATTCTATGCTCAGCAAAGCCTCGAATCCGTAGGCAAGAGGATCGATCCAGAAGATCCAGCCGAGCCATGGGTGCATTGTAGGCTTTGGAATCATGTAACCGGTATACAGAACGGTGCACATGATGAGCAAACCGGAGACCTTGGAGGCTCCATCAAAGGTAGAAAAGAGAGCGCCTATAGCTCGGAAAAGAGCAGTCATAGCCTGTCTATTGATTAGTATATATCCATGTGAATGAATTGGAAGGCACTTACCATTGTCGTTGCGAAGACGATAATCCAGTATGAGAAGAATGCACCGGCGGACATTGAGAGTCCAACCATGAAGTAAAGGACCAGACCGAACATGGAAATCTGGAAAAGTAATACAGGTATGTCCGCAGCAATTTGGGCAAGGCAGAAAGCAGCCGGGTGGAAGTAAGCGAATCCCTTGTGCTTGATCAACACCGGTCTGCCAGAGAAGGACTCGTTCACTTCACTCATGGCGAGCAAGCTGTTATAGAGAAGAGAGAAGAAGAGGGCTCCAGATTTGATAAAAAGTCCGCCAGAGTTATCAGGGGCGTTATAGAACAGAGAGCCAGCAATCAAAGCCTGACATAGTGTTGCCACTTGCTTGATGATGAAAGTAGCCTTGTCACCCCAGAGGATTTGGTACTGGCGCTGCACGCAAATCTTGACCTGATCAACGAAGCCAACGGTGAAGGGGCTGTTTTTTGGCAGATTTTTAGAGGTTTCGAAGGCCACACCTTGCTTGAACTCTTCTGTCCGCTCGCGCGCGAGCTCGGAGTCTGGGTAAGAGTAATCTGCTGTCATTTCAGTGTAGATAGATGATTTCTCATATGCGGCTCTCAACTCCTCTGCGTTTCGGGGGAAGCGGCTCTCGAAACCATCTCGAATTCTGCGCTCGGTGGGAACGGTGACACCAGTGAGGAAATCGGCGACGTTGGAACCTTCGCGGCAGATGAATCCGGCTTCCTCCATAAATGGCCTGGCTTGCTCTCTGGGGCCGTAGAAGATTTGTTCTCCTTCATCAAGCACAAGGACCTTGTCGAACAAATCGTAAATGCCGTTACCAGCCTGGTACAGAGTAACCACGGTTGACAGATTGAGTGTGTCAGTCATGGCTCTGATAGCCTTGGTCCATTCCAGGGCAGTGGAGGCGTCAAGACCGCGAGTTGATTGATCCCAGCAGAAGACGGATCCTCGAGTGGCCATACATTCGATGATAGAAACTCGTTTACGTTCACCTCCACTCACTCCACGAACGTACTCATTACCGACCTTGGTATCCTCGGTGTGGGAGATTCCCACGGATTCGAGGAGAAACTTTTTCGATGCTTGTTGGTATTCCGAGGCCGTCATACCGTCCGGCAAATGAAAGGGGACCTTGAGGCGCGTTGCAAAGTCCATAGTTTGACCAACGGTTAGGGATGGGAAAAAGATCTCTTCTTCGGTGTTCATCACAATCTGGCCCCGGAACATCTTAGCTTCCTCAGGCCCCATAGATCCAAAGCGAACATCGCCCTCCACTGATTTGTATCCTCCACGTCTATTGGCAAGCATTTTCAACAATGTCGTGCAGCCGGAGCCGGGGCGGCCCAGCACAAGCAACATTTCACCGGGCTTCACACAGCCATGGCTGTTGTTGAGGATCGTCCGCAGAGGAAGCTTTCGTCGGCCCTCTTTGATTTTGGTGGGAATATTAAACTGGGAGAGAACAGTCTCATTCACAGCGGCCTCTGAGCTTGTTACCTCCACGCTGAGATTTTGCCAAGTGATACCGAGTTCCTGCCTTTTAAATCCAGCTGCCAGGTTGCGATCATTCTCCTCCTGGAGCTTGGCCATCATGCTCCAGTCATTTCCTTTGAGGTTGGGGCTTTCCTTGCTGGGAATTTCGTCGCCCATGATCGTCATGGCGCTTTCGGTGTCGTACTGAATTTCATCGGAACTTGCGCCCGGGGCTTTTTCTGGCCCATCCATGATGACAGGGAAGGAAGAGCGTAAGCGTTGAAAAAGGGCCGATTAGTAGACGGAGATAACAACCTGGGGGGGGTGTCCATCATTTTATGAGATGTCGGGGCTTATGGCAGCGGCCCCGAAAGTCCGAGGCCGAAATAAAAATTACTGTCTCATTGGCGGCCTTTTTTGCGGAGTCTAAGTGATCGAATAATCTTTTCAATCTAGAACCCCTGTTAAGAGTCACAAATTGATCAACAATGGTTCGGGGAGACATCTGAGCCCCGAGCCGCTGACTAAGCGCTTTATCTGCGCCATCAAAGCTCCGATTGGACAGAAGTCTTTGCACACTCCATTCTCGTAGCACACTAGTGAGGCCGCAGTTGTGGTTTATCTACTCCGTACTCGCAAGATGATATATATTAAAGTTTGAAGAAAAAACCTCGATCGGGGCTTTTTTTCCCTTACCGCTAGATGTATCAAGTTACAACTAACAGCTATGTACCTATGTATTTATAGAAACGTGTAGTTCCAATGGGAAATTCGAAGGTTGGGAGCATGGTAGGCACATGCGAAGGCGGTAAGCCCCCAAGCCTGGTCGGCTTCCGGGGAAATACATTGCCCCGGTCTTTTGGGTTCACAAATCTTATTTTCCACCGCTTCCTTTGTTCGTTTCATACTTGTTTTACTTTGTAACTCTTCTAACTACGTGTGACTACATTCCAATCATCGGTTGTACGGTTATCAGCTGAAAGCTTGAAACCGCGACCGTACGGACCGCCCCGCGCTGGCGCTAGCAAATTGCCCTGAATGATAGATCGAGAACAGACGACAGTGGATCCAGGGGCCAGAGAATTCAACAATGACTGTAAACCATAGGATGATGATAAATATTGCAGGAATAAAATTTGTTCGCTGGAAAATTTCGCTTTCTCACGAATTGAGGCTTGTGAGAGTTGAGTTGATGCAATAAAAGGTTGTGAAGGTGCTCATGGTTCGCCCAACTCATGATCGCAATATTGATATTTCAATCCCTTGTTCGAAAAACCAACCTACGAACATCAATATTTCGACAACTTCTGACTCTCAATTCGGTTCATATATGACCTTCAATCACCCACTCAAGCTAAACCTGTGAGTCCCAGAGAGTGGCAAGGATCTAGTTACTCAAAACGAACACAACGCTAATATCTCAGCATCAATGAAGAAGAGAACGCCTCCAGATTTTTTCATTCATGGCGGGCTGGACGCCCATGATGGTTTTGCAAGCCAGAAGTTGACAATTCTCTGTTGAAGGAGCCCTGGTACAGTACTGCGGAAGGTACAGGGAGGGCAAGCCAAGATACTGACCAGACAGGATATGGCATACAAGTAGCATAGGGCAAAAGATCCCACCAAATTCTACGGAAGCCTGATCCTTGAGCAGAGAGCCGCTGTATTGACTTCCAGCGAGGGGACACAAGAGAACGATAGTCGATGAAAATACCCTCGACCAGGAAGCGACCAAACTCCTGGCTAATTTCAAACTCGCTAGCTAAGGCAATTTGTGGGTAATCCGCAGTAGGAGTTGGAGAATTTATTTTTGTTTTGTCCTGGTACCGCAAAAGGGAAATGTACGAGTACCACCGGCAATTCTAAGAAAGTGGATGGAGCTTCATGGATGATGCCCAAAATAAGTATATGGTGATCCTAGAATGCGTACTAGCAGGCGATCAGACAGGCTATGCCTAGTGTTCTCTTGTCGATTTCATTCACTTCGATCTGTAAGAAAGGTACTTCCATTGGCGAACGAGCTTCACCATCACGACTAGGCGTCCTTGTGTTTTCCCCCATGCTTTTTCCTTCGATTTCCACTCCCATTTGTGGTTAAATTTTTTCATTCTCATACCCTTGCCAGATCTAATCTGGCTGGGTTTTTTCTTCCCACGCTGATGGTTTTGATATATTTGAACGTCAAAAGGAACTCTAGGACGAGGTAACCTATCCACCAAAACGCATAGGCTCTGTCACAGACAGGACCCAAGCCACAGATCGTTGGAATACAACTGAGCGGGGTGCCATCGAACATGGTCATTTCGGGGTAACAATCATGCCAGATGTGTGTACTGCAGAGTTTGTTAAAATATCCAGTTCTCGTCTACTATATATTTGAAGATAGTCCCTTCCCTAAATGAGGTCGGAACAATATGTACACAAAGAAATAGCGCGATGGACTTTGACACGGTCCAGACTATCACACTATGAGTCATATTTAGAGTTAAAGATTGATGTCGACTACCATTTTTTACAGGGACACATGGACAGAGCCAACGAGATAGACTCTAAATTCACAGACTTGCCGTATCTTGCACTTGTTTCTAAGTTCACGTGGCTTTGGAACTTCTCATCAGTCGCACCAGGATACCTCAATGACTGCGTTTCCGGTCTCAATTTCTGACCCTTGGGTAGAAGAACCAATGGAAATTTACATGGCGCCAGTTCTCGGAGACTTTGCTGGGATACTCTCCGAGCCCCACGTGGTTACCGGCCCGTTGCTTCGGTCCGCCGGAAACGAGCCAATAGGCGTCTACTATCTGTTCCTCTTGCCCCACCCCAGCATTCTGGGGATCACCATCTGGCCTGGTTTGTATTTTGTAAGGCGGTTCCCAGGTGGATTTCGAGCATTCAATAATAAACGGCCCAGGCAATCACGTGGAATGTCTAATGCTGGGTCATATAAATAGGTCCTCATAGTCCCACATTCCCTTGAGAACTAATGCCCACCTAGTGATATTGCGCAGCTGCACTGGGGCTCATCTTCGTTCTCCTTCTTTGATATCGAATGAGGCTTATATAGGAGATCTTTAAGCTACCTAAGACAATGGAAGAGACACTTGCTGACAAGAACCAAGCATATTGGGAGTGAGTCATAAACGGTGGAGAGACTCCCTTGAGAGACGCACAAAGAGGAGATATGCTGACTGTTGACTGTGTCAAGCCATGCTGCCCAGGATGTGTTCAAAGCAGAATGGGTACAGGATATACAAGCTCAGATTGCTGAGTTCTTGAAGGGTAGTGTGGACTGGATAGGTATTCAATCTCCGACCGGTGACAATGGTCGGCCGACAAAGATGATGGACTATGCCTGTGGAAATGGCACTGTTTCTCGCGTGAGTTATTGACGTTGGTCAACAATTAGACCGATAAGTCTGATAGCACACAGTACTGACTGCCGCTATCCCGAAGTACCTGCACCCTCATTTTTCTAAATGCATTGGCGTCGACCTGGCAGATGGCATGCTGAACGAATATCGTGCAACAGCAGCGGAACTAGGCGTCGACGAGTCGCGCATGTTGGCCATCAAGGGCAATCTACTAGCTCCCGCCATCGCATCGACTGAGCCTCCACTTAGTGAGGAGGAAATGAATGGGTTCGACTTGGTGGCTATTTGTATGGCATTGCACCATGTGGAAGACATCTCTTTGGCTACCAAACGTCTCGCCGAGAGACTCAAGCCAGGTGGTGTGTTTCTCATCATTGACTGGGCGACGCGTGATTTGCCGAAAGAGACTGAACATCAACCTGGGATGCAGGCAACTCCCTCTGTTCCGGGGGATCACCATCACCACCACCACCACCATCATCACCATCATCACCAGATGCTCGAGATAATTGATTCGAAGCACCCTGCAGCACATACCATCTCGCACGACAGCTTTTCCAAGGATCAGATACTCCACCTGTTTGAACAAGCGGGCTGTGGAGAGTCGCAATTCATGCTGGCGGATCGAGTATCGCCCGTTCCCGGTGCTCGGAGTGGGGAGATGCAGCTGTTTTGGGCTCGTGCAACTAAAATGTAACATATTCTTGTTATGTTCCATTTGATTATTCAAATTTTGATTCCTTGACTCGAACAATGCTGTGGTCGGTTCTCGGGTCCTTAGGAATAGATTGAATGCCCGGTTGTTGAAGAAAATGCAAGTGTATTGATGCTTTGACTGACCTGAAGCTTGCTCAACTCAAGACCGTATTATTCTAGGATTTCTTCTCGGGCTAAAATTTGGCTATGTTGAAATACTCAGTTAATTCACAGTAATCAAGGCCATTGGGGTTGTAATAAACGCTAGACCTCTTCTGTATGCCGAGGCATTCATACATGCCAAGGCCTCGAACCCCCACGGAATCGAGATTAGCGGCTCTGATGCAGCGTGATAGTCTCATCACATATTCCTGCATATGACCTGTATCCAGATTGTATCGGAAGATGGGATTCCGATTCCAAGTGTGCAAACTGACTCGAGCTGTATACTCCGACGGGATCCGCTTATCTCCTGTTTTTTTATGATTCCATTCAGCTCGCTATTACAAATTGTTTCTTGCATTTGAGGGGTTTATCAAGAGAATCTGCAGAGATATGAATTCTATAGATATAGGTTTTCTACGAGGATTTGAGAGGTTAGACAGACAGTGTAAAATTTATCAATTTGATCATATACCTTGCGAGTATCACTTTTGCAAGTGACCAATATCCCATACATATTTTGCATGGCATTTTTTGATGTACGTTTCAGCAGGTTAGGTATCCCTATATGTATCAACTTGGATCAATCAGATAGGTAGTGTATAAAGTAATGTTCATTTTGATTCACTTGTGTTTTGTCATGTCTGCATCGATGGAATTCCTAGGAATATACCACGACGATTGTATATTTGAAGTTTCTAGTGTATTTATTCTCCATATATTCTCATCGCCAAATTGTAACAGCAACTCACTCCGACTTGCCTTCAAGTCTTTGGCTAGCAATTTTATGCGATAATTCCAACATAGATCTTCCTAGAATTTCCAGAATAGGGATAGTGCAGTGCATATACCTTGACACCCAGTTGCGCAGCTCCACAGCCACATGAGAATCAACTCCATACTCGGAGACTAGATTAGAAGGATTGATATTTTCAACTGGGATGGAGAGATGGGAGGCAATCTTCCTGCTGAGCGCGTCACAAACTACCATGGTGGCTTGATCAACCGTTTTTGCGGCATCAAGTTCCAGCTTCAATCCTTCCAGTGAGTCACTGAGAGCAATGGACTGTCCATGACCTTGGAACTTGTACCGAAAATGGGCAAACAAGGGCGCGTCAAAGTTTCCAAGTGATTCATTTTCTTTCCAATGGCCGAGACCAGTCACAAGTTGCATTTCTCCGCTTGACGACTGAGATATGGCAACTTGTATGAGAGATAAAAGTGTCGGTGTATCAGTGCCCTGGAATCCTTGTCGTTCCATCTTTGCCGCTAGTTCCTTGTTTTCAGCCAAATGGCCCACATCTGTGATTGTTCCAAGATCCAAAGACACTGCTGGAAGACCTAAACTCCTTCGATAAGCGGCAAACGCATCCATAAAAGTGCAAGCGGCGGCGTAGGCAGCCTGTGTGGCATTCCCTATAGCACCGCTGATAGACGATAACATCAGGAAGAAGTCAAGATTTGTAGGGAGATGTCGGTGCAAGTTCCAGGTGCCATGGTATTTGGGGCTCATGACATCCCGATACTCGTCCAATTTCATGTTTTCAATATGAACGTCCTTGAGGACCATTGCTGCCTGTATCAACCCCCCGGATTGGAGGCACAGAATGAGAGAGATCATTGAGCATTCGCTGGACTTCGGTCTCGTCGGATATGTCACAAGCTCGGGTGGTCACCTGAATACCTTTCTTCGCCAGATTTCTCACTGTCGCTTGCGACTCGTACTTTGAAAGACCACTTCGATTGACGAAAATCAGGCTCTGTGCTCCATTTTGCGCCATCCACGACGCTACTTCCCTCCCAATTCCACCAAGTCCACCGACCAGCATATAGGAGGCGTTTGCGCGGAACAATGGCTGGGTAGCTCTTGGGAGTGTGGCCTATATCTCGTTAGCTGGAGGCAAATGTCATCTGGGGCATGAGATTAGCTGAACCTTGACGAGATCACTCCCTTCCACATGGACCACAACATGCTGCCGGGTTTGAACTGCCATTAGCGCTTTATCAAGGAGTGAAACATGGTATGCATCGGGAAATTTAGGCCCTTTGAGACGTCCTTGGAGAAACAGAAGAAAGACCTTTGGCCATATCTGATTGGCAAGGTCACTTCTCTCTCTTTGGAGTTCAAATACATTGACTGTAGTCAGTGTCATGTTCTGGGCACATGACAACGGTCGAGTCCTAGGGTTATTTGTGCGAAGTTGAATAAACCGACCAAATGGCGCAGTGCAGTTTTGAAGAGTATTGTCCTCTGAAGTCTCGAATGTGACAACTACATTTGCCTTCTTGCCGTCGGTCAACCGTAACACTTCCTTGGCCACATCGTCCTTCCCGAGTATGAAGACATGCTCCGCGGGAATTCCGAACCTCGAGCCCAGCAAGTCCTTTTCTTCGGGGGTCTGCACTGCCGCAAATATTCGGGCGTCCCTCAGCAAGTACACTTCGAGAAGTGCTTGGCCAAAATGCCCTCCCGCGTCGTGCACGAGAATTGCATCATTTGAATCGACCAGGGAGAGGTGGTTCACAACATAATAAGCAATTGTATATGCTAGAGGCAAAGATGAAGCCATCTGTAATGACATGTCATCATTGATTCTCTGGAAAGCTGATGCCCGATCGTGATAGAAGCTCCTTGCAGTCCCAGATCCAAGACACGCAACCCGGTCGCCTACGGTGATGCCATGGACCCCAGTGCCAACCTTGTATACTATGCCACTACACTCCGTGCCGAGAGTGTCATCAGTTTGCCAATCAAAATATTCCGGCTGAATATCCCATTTATGCAAGCCGAAAGAGTGTACTTTTATTCCGACGTAGCCGACTGGGAGTTCGGTCATTCGCGAATCGCCAACAAAGCCGGGGTTATCGAATTTCCTAGAAAGACGGAGAGGTTGCTGCAGCTGATGAAAAGACTGCTCAGAGACAGCCTCAGAATCATGAATGCTCTCCATGGCCTTGTTCGCCTTCAAACTGTCTAGCACTCGTGGCACAAGGATTTGCTCATTTCTCTCCGCGTATTCCGTGTCTTTATCCGGATTTTCACAGAGAAACCGGTTAACCAGGACTTTCGCAATCATCTTGGCGGCTTGGGGTCCTGAAAGAGGAACTCGAGCATCCAGATCAAGGGTGACAATCGGGTTCACACCAGATTCAGCACGTGCTGTCCTTGTGAATCCAACAGCCAAGGCCGCGTTTGGGTTGACGGCCTCAATCGTCCCTCCTCTTGATATCCAGAGAACTCCTCCACTCTTCATAAGGATTGATTTTATCTTGCTAAATGTAAGCTCATTGGGAGCAGCCAGCAGAGGTGGCGTTGAAGTATCCATGACCAAACAAATTTGATCTTTACACTCCACGTTGTGGATGTGTGTCAGTGTCACCTCGCATGGGGTCTTCTCGAGCTCAGTAACTAGCTCTCTAACAGCCTCAGTTCTTTCATCGTAAATAATAGAAACCTTTCTAGGCGACTTTTGAATTCTTCGCTTTTTCGCCACAATGAACTGATGGCTCTTCCCAGAGTCTTGTTCCGCATAGGCATCGACCTCGGTGAATTGCGCATTTTGCAGGATCTCCTCCCATTGACTCTCCGTCCAAGCACCTTGACCCAAACAAAATTCCTCTGCGGACAAGCAGTGCAGTGCACTGAACAAGAGATTTTTCAAGGCATTCTTCTTGGGGTTAAAGGGATTGATCGCGATCAAATAGCCGGATGGCCTCAAAAGATCATGAATCTTGCCAAGTGCTATTTGTTCACAGCGTGCAGTACACAATCCATGAGGTAGGATTATGATGTCAAAAGAATTGTTCTCGAACCCTTGTTCATGGAAATCCTTGTCAAGATCCAGGGGCTTGCATTCAACCCATTGTGACCACACCTTCAGTCGCCTCAACGTATGCTCAAGCACGGAGGTGCTTTCGTGGGCGAACGTATATTTTCCACAATGAGGTGTTCCTTTGTGGGTCACAAGATGTTTCAGAAATATCTCCGCTATCTGGCCTGTACCAACGCCAAGTTCAAGGACGGATATGTCTGGCTTGCCGTGACCAACCAAATCGACATATTTCGCAGCTGCTTGGTACGAAGTGTCGCCTGAGAAAATATCCCAAAACTCATCTAATAAGCTATCTTCGTTCAGAAGACTTGAAAAGTCCACTTGGTCTCGAATAATAGCCACAAGGTTTTGGCCAATGATCGGCAGGAGCTTTCCCGTCGGAGTGGAATGAATATTTTCCAAGTGAGATGATGATACCAAGGTTTGACTATCGTGTCTATCGAGTACATCTTGGAGATAACACCGGAACCTGCGGTGAGAAGTGTTCAATCCTGTTCCCTCCGTTGCACTGACTTCCCCCAGCGCAGTTCTGATGAAGTCGGCTGCACACTCTTCGTAGAGGTCTGTCCGAGGCGCGGGCTCATGATCAATAATCTTATCATGAAATAGGAATGACGCATTGCTTGAGGAAAGGAAATTTGGATCGTGTTTCCAGTCAATTCCATAAATTATGCGGTTGTCTTTTGTATGCGCTGTCGGCTCATGACGTTCAAGCCGCGCACATCGTAGCCCACGAAGTGAGATAGTTGGTTCGGTGTCAAATTGTTTCTCGTTGCAATTCACGGCGACAATGCATGCCGTCACGTCTTTCCTTGGCATCGGGCGCACATGAGTACAGATGCTCATAAGATCTCCTGCCGAAAACCTGAGACTGGCTGATACAATCATCTCTTCAATGAAGACAGGCACAGCAGGTCCTTCCTCGATTCCCATTCCTGGGGGTAAGGCGGCAAAGGTCGTTTGAAATATACTATCTAGAGTGCATGGATGAACTAAAAGCTCATACTGGAATGATGTAGGCATTACCGCCAGTGTATCTGGTACAGTGACTTCTGCAAAACACGCCCCGTCTTGAGTGACATGTGCCTTTGTGATGTTCGCGAAACATGATCCATATTCCAGACCGGAATTTTGAAGCTTCTCATAAAATTCAGGGACGTCAATTATGGATACTCCGTGGACTTCCGTTCCCAGCGGGACTGTCGCATAGCCATCAGTTTCCTCAGCTGCGTCGCCTGGGGTTGCATTGCTTTCCTGTGCCCCGACTAAGCCAGTGCAGTGCTCAGTCCACCTATTATCATCTGAGATGGAGTATATGTGAAAACTGTACAAATTCTCTTGGTTCTGTGTCGACTTTTGAAGAGACACCATAACCTCGACGACGGAAGTTTCGTTGAGGACCAGTGCTGACTGTATTGCCACCTCTCGCAGGACGTATCTAGCAACCTCTTGTTCACTCTTGTTGAGCTGTATTGACGCTTCAATTGCCATAGCCAGATATCCTGCAGCCGGGAACACAATGTTTCCCTGAATCCTGTGGTCGAGAAGCCAAGGCAGCTCTGACGTTCGAAGATAATTTCTCCAGCGAGGCTCGAATGGACAAGCCATATTGTCCGGTGCACCAAGTAGATCCGTCCGTGGCGAGCTTCGGTTCCGATACATCTTGCTTAGTCTCGGCTCTGCCCAATATGACCTAGTGTGATTCCAGCAATACGTTGGAAGATCAGCTAGTAGCTGTGGTGCCCTCCTCCTCTTGTCCCCGATAGGGCGGTTGATTGCACTGAAGTCAATGGGATAGTTGAGCGATGCTAACGTAGCGGCTGCACCAAGCGCTGCAGTGACTGCGTTGGTATTCCGCGTTAGGAGGCTAATGTAGTGTATGTCGGCAGCATTGAGTTTTCCATCGGCCTGGAGGATTTGCTTGATTGGCCCGGAAAGTGCCGCATGAGGGCCAATTTCAATGAGACAGTCCACAGAAGGCTTTTGGGCTGCCTTGGTTCTTTTGAGTCTGGGGGTCCCTGTATGCCCAGCTCGCCGACTTTTTGTTTCAAAGCACAAGGTCCTGAGCGACTTGGCAAACTTCACTTGCCCGACTAAATTTGACACCCAGTATTGAGCATCCAATTCTCCCAATGGGAATTCCGTTCCAGTGACCGAGGAAAAGAATGGCATCCGGATTTCTCTTTTTTCGCCTGCGATTTGATCCAGTCGTCGGGGTCGAATATGGTCTATCAAGCCGTGATATCTCTCGGCAACCTGTTCTATATAAGGGGAGTGATAAGCTACACACACTTCAAGGCGGCGACTGAACATCTGGTGTTCTTTTAATTTTTGTGCGAGTACATCAATTGCAGATGCATCACCCGATATTGTCACACTTGATGGACTGTTGATACACGCCACAACAAGCTGTCTGGGCTGGAATGCGTCCAAATAGGGTTTTATCTCCTCGGCGGACATTCCAACTGCCATCATGGCACCTCCGTTTGGTTGCTCGTCCAGAATATGGCTTGCCACCACCCCTCGGTGGTATGCCACAGACATTGCATCCTTCATGCTGAGTGCACCAGTAGCATATGCAGCGGCAATCTCTCCACTGGAATGTCCCGTTACGGAGTCAGGATGTATGTTCCACGACTGTAGCAAGTCAACTAGCGCAATTTGCAATCCCGTGCACACCGTTTGGCTGAGCCTTGGGTGATTCATACCCGAGTCCTGGGGGCACTTTGTGATCTCTTCTATTTTCACGTCATTTCATTGGACCTTCAAACGGCTGGTGTTTGTCTTACACACCTTCCACAGTGAATGGAGCTCCAATTTGATTCAAATATCTGTCAATGCCCAAAATTGACAGTTTGAAAACAGGATAGGTATGAAGTAGCTCCTTTCCCATTCCAGCCCACTGCGCGCCTTGCCCGGTAAAGACAAACCCAAGTGTTGGCTTCCGTATAGCGCTCCTAGGTTTGAAATTCTGAGAGAGCGAGGCCGCCAAACCTGTCATCGTATCTCCGACAACGGCTGCCTTCCATGGGAAAATGGAGCGTCGCTCGTTGAGTGTGAATGCAAGATCATCTAGAAACTTCTCCTGGTCAACTTTATGTTCCCTCTCGAGAATGTGATTGCTCAGAGACCGCATCTGTTGAGTACATGTTCTTTCATCGAAGCCAGAGACCATGAATATGCGGGATGAATCAGGCGGGGGCCTAGGGACTATCTCGTCATGATTCTCGGTCACCGCAGTCAGAGTTTTGTTCTCTTTATTAAGGTCCCAGCTAGAGATACAGCCTTGGGCATCTTCGACAATGACATGAGCATTGCTTCCACCGTATCCAAAACTGTTCACAGAAACGCGACGAGGTCCCGACGTCACCCATGACTCAGGGCGCAATTGAACCTGTTGACGTTACTCCCCAATCCTCAACATTTTGGGGCATTCAAACCTTGAGTTTCCAATCATCAAGTGGGATACGTGGGTTTATCTTTTCAAAATTTCTGTTCGGCAAGAACATGCAGTTTTCCAACATCAGCACTGCCTTAATGACGCCTGCTATTCCACTTGCACCTTCCAAATGGCCGAAATTAGTTTTGACGGAGCCAATCCGCACAGGATCTTCAGGTGGACGACCAGTCCCAAAGATACGAGCGATCGCCCCTGTCTCAACTGGGTCTCCAGCCAGTGTGCCTGTCCCATGAGCCTCCACAAAATCGGTTTCTAGGGGATCTAAATTAGCCCGTGCATAAACAGTTCGGATCAAGCTTTCTTGGGCTGCCCCATTTGGTAGTGTAATCCCTGCAGTGCGCCCGTCCTGATTAGAACCCGTCCCTCGTATCACGGCCCGGATCTCGTTGTGATCGTGTAACGCCTTGGCCAGGGGTTTAAGTATGAGACAGCCGGCTGCCTCGCCTCGCGCGTACCCATTCGCCTTTTCGTCAAAGGTATGGCATCTTCCGTCTGATGAGAGAAATCTGCCACCCAGTCAGCCTAGTCTTGTCGGTCGGTGGAAAGGTGTTACTTACTTCATCATGCTCATGGTTGACATAAACTCATGACTCAAGATCAAGTTGACCCCCGCTGCGATTGCTATCGACGCGTCGCCTGTCTGGAGGCTCTGACATGCCAAATGAAGTGCCACAAGACTTCCCGAGCAGGCTGTGTCTACCGTCACACTAGGCCCTTTCAAGTCGAAGAAATAAGACAGCCTGTTTGCCGTCATTGCACGAGACTGTCCAGCGTTTGTACACTGATACATGGGTACACATTCTGGATCCCGAAGTAGCAAATCTGTATAGTCTGCAGAAAAAGATCCTACAAAACAGGATGTCTTTGTGCCCATGATTTCGGTCAGGGGAATGCCAGCTATCCATCGTCAGCCTTGCAAGCGCGATCTGTCGTAACAACTTACCATTCTCAAGACCTTCATATGCGACCTCCAAGAGCAATCTCTGCTGGGGATCCATGGCCTGATTGGTTGACAGTTAGATCATCTCTGCAACACTTGAATATGCACCCACCGCTGCCTCGTCGCTTGTCATGTTAAAAAACGGCGCGTCGAACACGGATACATCTTCTTCGAGAAAGTGGCCACCTTCCACATTGATCTACTCCCACATTATTGATTGTGCCAACAATTTGCACCGATGACTTACTGTTCCATGGCGGGCATGATCCGGGTGATGGAATGCAGCGCTATTCCACCTGCTAGCTGGAATTGGTGTCCATGATTCTCTGCCATTGAAAATAATTTCCCACAGCTTGCCCAAATTTTTGGCATCCCCAGGTCCCCGGAAGCCAATTCCAACAATCGCTATCGGTGTACAGTATTCTGCGGCCAAATTTGCCGGATCGTCTTGGGAGTTAGCCGCCTTTAAGGGTCTGACGCTAGTTTGAGGCGACATTGTTGTTGTTCTTGGTTTGATGCACGTCTGCCAATGATCATATTTTGCATGCTAGAGAAAAGCGAAGCAGTTGGCTTTTCTCAGGCAAGGACGATAAGTCCTACTGTATCAGAGTAATCAGTCTCCTCGATTCTTTTTTGGTGCCATTTGTTCTCGACAACAGCCTACGCCTGGACATGTGGGAAGGTTTCATCTTACTCGCAGCGAGGTAAGTATCCGGGTGCAACCCTCAACGGCGAAACATAATTCAACCCCCATGGGCATCTGGATCTGAAACACCGTTTCTACCGTAGAAAATTCTGCAATATACAATTACAATATGCTCCAATTTATGTTGCACAACTACAGTCATATTACTCCCCTTTTCCAACAGACTTTTATTCACACGATTGTTGCCATCTGTCGCACAGCCGAAGTGAAAAGCCTTCCGTTGAGATTATGTTTCACAATATTTGATTGCAAAGTTTTCGAATTGCAGTGGCAATGATGACAACATTCTTTCGATCACTGGGAACATCATGACCCTTCCCATGTACGGTAAATGTCGCATACCTCGCAGCACAGAGCCGATATAGAGCCATTGAGTACTCAAAGAGTGGGTCTTTGGCCCCAGCAACATGCACGCAGGGAATAGAAATGAACCCCTCTAATCCTTCATTTACCACAGGGTTCTTGCCAGGTTCCATGCGGAAAGGTGGTAGGGAATTAATGAATATTGCGCATCGAAATAGCGCAGGCTGGCTCGGATTCATTTTTGCGTGGTGAATTATGAAACCAGCAGCCAATGTGCCGCCATGGGAGAAGCCTAGAATTCCATCGAACGGACCTTCCGAGGCAACTGTTTCACTAAGTTGCTCGTACGCCTCCAAGATGTCGGACTCATCACTATCCTCGTGGGAAAAGGTGCGTGGGAAACGGTAGTAACTGTAGTACGGACCGTCATAGTATCCGGCGATCCCAGGTCCGGGCGCTGAATCAATGTCCCCTTCGAGAAATGAGAAGGTTGCGGTATTGTCACGTTGAAGGTCTTGCATGAGGCCACCTGTTTCCTTAGAGTTTTGTCTCGCGTCACTGAAGCAGGAGATTGCATACTCAATTGCGACTGTAGAATCTTATGGGGAATTAGTATGCCCGCGGGCCGTTTACGACCCCCTCCCCTATCAGTAGAAATGATAACTTACCTTCTCATTCGTCCCCCATCCATGGAGACACAACAATCGTAGCGGCATTGTGTTGGGTAGCGATCGACAGATGAAGTGGAGCAAAAGTCGCCGTTGTCATCAAAAACTACTACGACTTGCCGTGGCGATTCTCATGTCTGCCTGCGACATTTTATATTTTCTTTCGTGGCGAGCAACAACCCACGGCGGACAAGGAATCCAACTCGTTCGGCTTCATTTCATCGATATGCACGAAGGGCCAGGGGGCCCTGAAACTTGCCGCAAGGAGACAGATGATACAACTTCGGCATCCACCTCGGCCTGAACTCGGCGACGTTGTCAGTTGCACAGACACGTCGATCTTAACACTTCAAGTACATGGACAAAGCCACGGCGGTTAGGCATCAGCCATTGATAACACGGGTTTGCAAAATGTGCCCCCCGAGGCAGGTACTATTGGCTTTTATTCATAGGAGGGAGAAACGGGGACATATGTTGTAGTGAAAGATGATACGTATTGCTAGAGGCTACATGTACATAGCTAGACACTGGACATATCCCTACACCGCACTCACTATCCTGATCAAATACACTCTCTTCGCATTTCTTGCTCCGGGATTGCACCTTGGTAGTTCAGAAGGTCTGAATGAGCAAGGCGCGGTGACTTTCCACAGGTCATAGGCTCGTCCCAGACTCCTCTCAATCTCTGAACTTATCATTCTATTATTCTATCACGATGACTTTGCTGTTACTTACAATGTTGCTTTCCTCACCGCACCTTCACGGTATGGGACAGTAGGGGCTATGAGTAGCGCGTAAGCCACTTAAGCAAGATGTCTCCGGCCCTTGCCCGTTTTGATCCCAGTGTCTCGAAGACACGGGCTGAGAATAACACCTCAAAAACGAGGGGGGGCGGGTTTATACTCTCAGGTGGGACATTGCGCCTTCCAGAAGAAGAATTTGAATTATCTCTGGAAGACGCTGGATGAGAAGGAAGGAAAAAGGTGGACTCTAGTTTCCCGCTGGCCTTGACTCCAGTAACAGTCCTTTGCAAACAACCTTGCAACGCGAAGTTTTTTTCTTTTTTTCTTTTTTTTTTTTTTTTTTGGTTTGGCAATACGCTCTGAATCCATGTAGCACATCCTAATATCTTGCATTTCATAATTAGTTGATTGGGTCAGCCTCGACTGCTTCATGATCTTCTGCTAAAATCCCATTGTATGTGCATATGACGTCAGAATCTCTATGCATTTCTGGCTTCGAACTTCGGATTTACACGGACTATTTTTAAGATAGCCTGGCCAATGTGTATATATAAGCACACACAGCACTCAGCACAATAAGATTTACTAGACGACACCTGAAAACTTTGGCTCTGGCTAACTGTGAAGCTGGGAATATCCTCAACGGTTAAAATCGTTCTGGACTGTCATATTTGTATGTGATTTGTATGCGTAGTATAAACCAGTCACGTGCTTCCATGGTGTTTCTGCCCTGCAAGCCAAACCCCCCACGGTACCGCTCGTTGACGTAGGGAACCTCCAGATTGTCTCCATATCTCCACGACTTCAATTTGAAATACAACTCCATATACAACTTGATATAAACTGCATATTGCATCTACTTCAGTTCTTGTTTTTGTTTTCTCTGCATTCCAAATTCCCATGCATTGTTAATCTGTCGCTCTCGCTCGGGCTTTTTTCACCCGGCCCCTGATGGTGGTGGCAACGTCTATCACCACAGGATCCGTTGTGGCCCTTTTGACCAATAGTATCTCTCGATTACAATTTACCCTACCCAGATACCGAGTCTTTCGCTGACTTTCAGTTCTTGAAGACAAGGAAAATGTGAGACTTGAATTGTGTATTCCTCACTGGGCTGGCTCTTTGCTGCTAGACTGACCTTGAAGGATTATTCCCCACACCTGGTGTGCAATTATTATCTCTGTCTCCGAATACTCTACACATGCAATTGGTGTTTGGCTATGAATGCTGCTCATCCTTTTTTTTGGGGGTTGGAGGGAGTAAGTCCAGTATCGTAGGCCTCACACTTCCCAAGGTTGCTTTGGAAGAGAGTGGGTCAATTGGATAGCAGCTCGGACCGCATTCTGGTACCTCCCTTCTACGTGGCTTCCATGCGCGGCATGCCGATTGTGATATCAAGCATTTCTAAAGGCCGCGGTCAGACCTGCGATTAGCAGGGTGAATACGGCGTACTCCGTACAGGATATTATCTGTCGAGGGGTCTCGATCTGATTCAACATTTGAATCATGTGCAACTGCACAGATTTACGCCATTTGACCCCACCGGGTGGCGGCCTCGAGTTCTCGGCGCTTCGTAATGAATTCAGTGGGTCTTCCAATGTTGCTTTTCTATCTATAAGTCGACTACGGTTGGCGTATCCCTTTTCCTCCTTTTGATCTTCTCCCTGTGGATACAATATAGCATCAGATTTGCAAGGGACTCTTGATGATTTTCACTCCACTCTCAGGAGGTGGCTGCAAAATAAATGCCCAAGACGTGGATCGGGATCGACGTTTCGGGCATTCTGAACGCGGCCTAAGGGGTTTGTGTGCTAACAGATAAGGTAGATTAATACCAAAAAATTTTTTAAAAAAAGACAAAGCCCTTATGAACTATATAAAGTCGGTACAAAGATTAAGTCTAGAAGCAAACTATTTTAGACCGGATGGCTCGGTGCCAAATGCCACTGGACAAAAGATCGCCACGACCCACACACCTTGATACGTACACTCGAAACTCTAGAATGATTTCTATTTTCTGGACAAATGATAGGAGAAGAGATGTTGCGGAGTTAGTTGTCCATGCAAAAGAAAGTATGTGAGTTAAGGGTGAAGTTAGGGTTGGGAAGTATAGAAGGATATATAAGTTTTCCTACGGTCGATGATTTCATGAAGATCTAGACCTTTGATATTTGAACTAAACTACATTTTAACTATCTAAACTGCCCAGAATCCGTTTTGAGGGAATTCTTTTTGATCTCTTGGTTTTGCCTGTTCTAGGCTTTCAACTTTTTATGTGCTTTTAATTCTCTTCTTTTTCAACCGTTTACATCCTTCTCTTTTTCTTCCTCTGTTATGTGCCTTGCATAACGGCTTGCAGCTCTCGGCTAAGATCCCGTGAGCCAAGCTCACCCAAATTTCCTTCATGTCGGGCGTCACCAATCCAAATCCCAGCCCGAATGAAGAATACGAGGACTACACAGAATACCCTCTTCCAACCACTCCCAACCCCAGTGATCGCCAAAGTCTCGAGCGCGAGACTACTGCAGATGCCACCCAATATGACCACCAACACGAGGCCAGACCTGAGCCACCGGCAAGCCGTCGTGACCGATCTCATCGGGTTCGCTTTCGCTCGATGAGCTTGCGCCGCAATGAATCTCCCTCACATCCCTCTTCGCGACCGTTATTACCGCCACCACGCCTCAATGAAATTCCATCCGGAACCATCACCCCGCCAGCCCCCACACATTCCCGTCGCGGATCTGGCCTCGCCAACGTGCACACCCCCGACGAGGTCAGCGAATCGGAGAAACATGATGTCCTAGGCCATATGGATGGTCATCTGGACCGTACTACCTCAGCACGCGACCGATTCAGAGCTACCGGTCACCTTCTGCGACAGAAAACTAGTCGTTTAACGGAACGCCTCGGTCGCCCCCCCAGATGAGGGCGAGCCCCTCAACGCCTCATATATTCCAGACGACATCGACAGCGGGGTACCGCTCGAGGAACTGCAGGCCCGTCGCGCTCGCTATGACGCCGACCGAGAGCAAGCATTGGAGCGTGGCGACAGTTTTCACGAGCCACCGCCCAGCGCCGAGGCTCATCGCTTGGTCCGCAGCATAACCGCGGTTCAGGACCAGCTTCGGAAGCGGAAACCACCAAGTGCATATCACCGGTCGGGCCAGACAACGCCCGACGACTTGATCAAGGACTTTAGTTCTCAGCGGAGACGATCTAGTGGATTTGGCGGTTCCAGCGGCATTTTGTCGCAGCTGCTAAAGCTCCAGGCAGTCCAGAGCGGGGGCTCTTCGCGCCCGGAAAGTGTCATCACCGATGATTCCGACAGTGATACACAGGTCTCTTCTGGTGTCTCCACCCCGAAAAAGGGTGCCTTCACGCCCCCTTTCCCTGCCTCCCAGCCGGTCTCTGGTTCTGCCACCCCGCGCAAGGAAAAGCTCAAATGGTACAAGAAATCGTCCCATCGGTCCACTGCATCGCTGGTCAATGCCTCCATGAACCTCAGTACGGCTAGTCTGCCTGCTGCGGCGGAGGCTGCTCCGGGTGTGCATGAGAAACACAAGAAACACAAGAAGAAGAAGAAGCACAAGACGCGTCTGGAAGATGAGATTCGTGTCACGGTCCATATCGCAGAGATCATCGCACGTCAGCGGTACATTATGCACCTGTGTCGTGCACTGATGCGATACGGTGCGCCGACTCATCGTCTGGAGGAGTATATGCAAATGACCGCTCGGGTGTTAGAAGTGTCGGGTCAATTCTTATATCTGCCCGGTTGTATGATCATGTCCTTTGATGATCCGACCACGCGCACGGGTGAGGTCAAGCTCGTGCGAATGGTTCAAGGAGTCGACCTTGGTCGTCTTGCTGATACCCACAACGTTTATAAGAATGTTGTTCACGACCTTATCGGCGTCGAAGAGGCGACTCAAGAACTGGACGAAATCATGCAGCGCAAGCCACGAGTCAACAAATGGCTCTTGGTCCTGGTGTACGGTCTTGCTAGTGCGACTGTCGGTCCGTTTGCTTTCATGGCGCGACCCATCGATATGCCCATCATCTTTTGTCTTGGTTGCATTGTCGGGCTGATGCAGCACGTCCTCGCGCCGCGGTCCACACTCTACTCCAACGTCTTTGAGGTCACTGCTGCTATCGTGACTTCTTTCCTTGCCCGCGCATTCGGCAGTATTATGGTTCACCGTAACGGTAAATCAGAACCACTTTTTTGCTTCTCCGCTATGGCACAGTCATCCATCGCTCTGATTCTCCCTGGATTCATGGTCCTTTGTAGCAGTCTGGAACTTCAATCTCACCAGATGATCGCTGGCTCGATCCGCATGGTGTATGCCATTATCTACTCCCTCTTCCTGGGCTACGGTATCACAGTGGGGACTACGATTTATGGACTGATGGATGGCAATGCGACATCTGCATCCACGTGTTCGGGTTTGGACGTTTACGGGTCTATTTACGTACGCACATTCCCTTTCGTGGCCATTTACGCTATCTTCCTAGCCATCGTGAACCAGGGCAAATGGAAGCAAATGCCCGTCATGGTGTTCATCGCGTTGTCCGGATATGTCGCGAACTACTTCAGCACCACCAAGCTCGGCAGTAAGTCGGAGGTGGCCAATACCGTTGGCGCATTCACGATTGGTGTCCTGGGCAATTTGTACAGCCGACTGTGGCATGGCCATGCTGCCACCGCCATTTTGCCTGGTATATTTGTGCTGGTGCCCTCTGGTCTTGCTTCTAGTGGTTCTTTGATCGCAGGCATCAGATACGCCGACGAGGTTCGTCAAAACATCGATAATAATGGGACCAACTCGGGTGCCAGCTCTTTCTCGGATACTTCAGTTGCCAGCCTTGGTTTCGGCATGATTCAGGTCGCGATTGGTATCACAGTCGGACTGTTTATCGCGGCTTTGGTCGTCTACCCATACGGCAAAAAGCGCACTGGTCTGTTCAGCTTCTAGTTATTTATTTGCATTTCTGAACATACATTTCAGCTGGACATGTGTCATGTTTTTACCTTTTTTTTCCGTTCTATTCCGGGTTATCAGCGTCATTCAGCGTTTGTTTAATATTGCATTTCACACATATAGATGGAGGCGTCACTGAGCGATATGATTTTAGACATCTACAACCATGCACGATCTATATGATCTACTTAAACCAATTAACCGATGGCTGTTCACCCCATATAAAACCTTAGATCTGATACTCCAAAAATAGTGGGTTCATTTCGCCTCGTGTCGGAGGCTTTCCGACCGCAGTGACAAATCACCACAGGCGTCAGCAAATACCCCGAAAATTCGCAAGACTAAAGTCGACATACCACGGCAGAGGCAATTCAAGATTCGAACCATGGCCACGACAGACTTCATCGCTTCGGACCGCGGCGGCGTCGTCGAAAATCGACACACCGTCCACGCTGCCGTCACCGACGCCGCAGGCAACCTCCTCTATGCAGTCGGCGACCCGTATCGAATGACCCTCGTCCGCTCAGCAGCCAAACCCGCACAAGTCCTCGCAATTCTAGAAACAGGCGCAGTGGAAAAATTCAATTTCGACTCAGCCGATATAGCTTTCATGTGCGCCTCGAATAGCAGCGAAAAACAGCACATCGCTCGCGCCCGGGGTATGTTATCAAAAGTCTCTGCTTCAGAGACAGATCTCCGCTGCGGTGGACATCCTCCTCTTTCTGAGGCTGTGCAGCGCGCTTGGATCAAGAGTGATTTCACCCCGACTCCAATTTGCAGCAATTGTTCTGGTAAACATGTTGGGATGATTGCGGGTGCGAAATTGCTAGGTGGAGACGTGGGCGAGTATCACCTCTCTACACATCCTGTCCAAATGCATGTCAGACGTGTTGTTGAGGATGTCTGTGGTCTCAAGGAGGACGGGGCTGTGTGGGGTCTTGATGGGTGTAATTTGCCTGCACCGGCTTTTGAGTTGCATTACTTGGCTCGTATGAATGCGAAGTTTGCTGCGGCGGCGGATATAGCGTCGGGTGATGATGCGTCGTTGAGGACGCAGGCGTTGAGTCGGGTTTTCCATGCTATGTGGCAATATCCTGAGCTTGTCGCGGGAGAGGGTCGATTTTGCACGATTCTCATGAGTGCGTTCCGAGGTCTGTTGATTGGGAAGCTTGGGGCGGATGGCTGCTATGGGATTGGGATTCGGGAGTGTGAGCAAACAAGATGTCTTGGGGCTGAGGGTGCGATTGGTATTTCAGTGAAGATCGAAGATGGCAACATTGGTGTTCTTTACTTGGCCGTGGCGGAGATTTTGGAGCAGCTTAAGATCGGAGAGCCTGAGATGCGTCAGGCACTCTCTTCCTTTCACCAGCAGAAGATTTTAAATACTGTCAATGTTCAGACTGGGAAGTATTCGCCCTGCTTTCAAGTGCGGGCAATTTGACATAATCAAGAAGTGTGTGGACATATCATGGGCTGAGTTATTATAGACCATAGACTGATAGATAACATATTCAATACTACCCTTAATACTATTCTCAATCTATTCAATGTGCATTCACTGAACTTCTCACCATTCAATCAAATATGCCTTACTTTTCTATCGATCATATTTCAAGTCGCTTTTACTTTGGCTTGTCCTTAGTCGAATGCATTTGTTCACAGGCAAACAGTCTCGTTCAATAGGATTGTTGTTGAAAAGAAAATGGCTATTCATATATACTCATTGATTATCTCCATTCAATTATCATTATCGTGTGAACTAGGGATGTCATTCATGTTCACTTAGTAACAACTTATGTTATTTACCCACACAATGGATACAATAGCTTTTCAAATATATACCCGACAGGTGCCTACTGTATCACAGTATAAATCATCTCAGATTGCCATGCCACCTCCGGTTTACTTTCTATCACATTCACATCGCTCTTTGCATCCTGAAAGCAAAACATGGATGCCAGCGACAGTGAGTATGAGCAGCCCTCACTGGTAAGTTCCTACCCTAATCCTTCCGGTCTACCTGAACAAATCCTAATTTGTAACAGCCTTCAGGCATGAGGAAGAGAAAGCGCACGGCTGGCCGTGACTCCTCGCAGGTGAGCCCTAAATCCCCTATCCATCCGTCAACATCTCCCACAATACTGACATTTCTTTCCGCTCAAGGCGAGGAAAAAGCGCAAACCAGCGCTAGATGACCTTCGCAAGCTGTTGGTGACCTACCACGGCTTGCAGCAGATGCGACGGGGGGTGGATGAGAAGCTCGCTGCGTGCGAGCAGCAAATTGCCAAACACAAGTTTGGCAGCATCTCAGGAAAGTCCCGCCGTCGTCGCGGCCGCGGCCGCCAATATGCCTTCAAGCGTGTGTGCTCCCCATTGCGGGAGGTTGTCAGAATGGAGGAAGACCCACCCACGTGCTGGGCACGTGTGAGAGACTGGGTTCGGAGCTGGTGGTAAGGGGGAAGGGGGAAAGGGGGAAGGGGGAAGGGGGAAGGGGGATTGGGGATGGGGATGGGGGATGGAACAATGTGGAGATTGGGTCTCGCTGGCGAGAACCCTATAACTGAATGATACATAGGATCTTGAAAAGACATTTGTGTCTTGAGTATCATGTCAGAGCATTGTGAGGTCAGATTTGATACGCAAATAAAGTGTCCTCCGATTATCTGTTAAAGTCCATTCTTTGAAAGTGCCTGTTTATCACATACATCCTACGGTTCATACATTTCACCTACATGATAGTCCATGGTGTGCGGTGCTTCTTTCTAGTATATTTTCTTCATGCTCTGTTTCCTTCCCTTGACTTTATTCTATCACTCTGTACTCTATGCTGCTCTTATTGCTGAGGCCTATTGGAATTCATTATGAAGGGCTTATACGTGTTGTGCCTGGGTGATCTATTTTTTCCTGTGGTTTGTCGCGCTTGGATATTCGACTTTGTCCTTTTTAGATCTGACATTTCTATTCACGCACCTTTTGGTTATAATGTATTAAATTGACATCCCTTACATCCAACAGTTTCCTGGTCTAGCGGTTATGATTTTCCGTTAACAAATGCGACTAGCAAATGTTCCGGAAAGGTTCTGGGTTCGATTCCCAGGGAAACTATTTTTGTCTTTTTGCATCCAAATCCTTACTGGGTTTCGAGTATGTTCTGAATACCATTTTTTCCCCCTAGAGTTAATTGGCATTCTGCAAGGGTCCGAGGTTTTCGTATATGTGAGGGTTCAACGTTGGTTCGTGTTTAGCCTTGACTGCAATAATCTGGGAAAGTGACCACGATATATATCTCGCTGCAACCGCTCACAACAGATTGTGCAGAAAACGAAAGATTCAGTTGTGAAAGCCTGGTGTTGTTTTCAGTCCTTCAAAAGTCTTTTTGGTACTCTTCTCAGGTACTTTAGAATTCATGATGTCCTCGGCAGAATAGGATCGGGTTGATTTATAAATTATTTATTTCCCCGGATTCCTACCACCTGCAGGTGTTTTCTCAACCTTTGAAATTGGACACAGGCAGCATTTTGTGTATGGCAGCAACACGTTCGCGAAGATCGACAGCTTGCGAAATGCGACCTTTTTAACAGTAGATCAGAGCAATTTTTTTCACGACAAGAACCATCACCAGGTCGGGGTTATGCTCGGCATCACCGAGCGGTCCATACTCATATAAGCAACATGCACAATTTGCGCCGAGCTCGGCAAGCTCTAGACCAGTTGCTAGTCTGATGCCCGCTTTGCAAGCCTCTCTGTACCTCAGTTTAGATATAAATGGGACGCTCCTCTCGTCCCCGCACACTGTCATCACACCAGCGATCTGGGTCAGCTACCGGTGCTGTGTATACCGATGGGATTATTTTCGGGGCAGAACCCCACCGAAAGAAGCCAGGACGGCCATGTCACGGAAGGTCCAAACGTCCCGTAAGTATAGAACGACTAGGCATGCGAGTACCTATATAGAAGAACGCATCTCACAATCTGATATAAGACTGGCATCCTGTTTATGGGTCTTTTATGGAATGATGCAACCTTTCTGCCTCCTGGATATCTGTGCGAGCAGACTTCTGCCTGTCTAATAAAAGTGCGAGATTTTCCAATCGTCATACCAGCCACTGACCTTGCGTAAATTGTGCAGCAGAGCCAGAACGAAGAAATTCTCCTATGAATATCCTCGGCCCAATGATATAACTCTAGAGCTCTTCTGATTCTCACTATTGGCAAGTCGTGCATATGACTATATCTACTCGATCCATTCTAAAATATAGAACGATGTGCCCACTTTAAGCATGTGGGTTGTGTACGTGCGGGCCACGATCATAATATCCATGAAGTTTGTTGATCTTGATATAATTTTTATGTACTAGTTTGCCGAGCTAGGCCGAAGAAGACATAAAAAGGATGAACGAAACAGCACGAAATGAGATAGGGTAAAACCAAGCAGCGATGTAGTTCTATCGCTACAAAGCTCGAAGCGTCGAAGAGCATGCGCTAGAAACGATCACCCATAAGTTATTCAACAGGACAGACAGGCTATGGACTTATTCAAGGGCTTGCGGGATCTTCAATGACTTCTGTCAGCTTTTCGACATACTGGCAATCCCGAACAACACGTTCAGCAAGGGCCAGGTCTGTTTCCTCGACGTTACCCCATTCCCATGTCTTCATGAACTTGACTCCTTCGTCCAACTTCTTTAGCTTGTCTTCTTTGCTCTCTTGTTCGACCAGATGCTGGAGAAGCTCAGCATTGATATCTCCCGGCGGGCCATGAAGAATGTAAGAAGATATGAAAGTCAAGAGGTCCTTTTCAACTCGGAGCCGGCTAGCGTCGCCAATCCGGAGCTTTCGAAGATGATGAATCAATGAGAGCATGTATCGAGGAGGCTTCAGAGTGAGAATATTGATCTCGGGCGCAAATATGGAGGGGACCTCGGTTGTATCCTCAAGTGTAAGACCAACCAAAGACAGCGGGAGAAGATGCACACACATCCAGCCCGCACGATCCAACCCGTGTCGGAAGCATCCGGTATCCCAATATCCAAACCACCATCTGGTTCCACTCGAGAGAAGGGGGAAGTTGTGGTCGGCTAGGATTTGAGAGGCTAGCGACAACTGCTCATCGGGTATTGCCCATTCAACGACCTATCACAGTTCTATTAGAGATCTTCTTTTGGCGAGAATACCAAGATTGGATTTGTCACCCACCACCGGGACCTCCTCGTAACCACATCTAAACTGGACTTGTGCCCCGTATTCCACCATTGAGATGTTCCTATCGACAAGTGCTTTCAAAGCTGCTGTGATCGGAGAGCCATGGAAAGGGTGCGAGTATTTCTCGTTGTCCGGCGGAATGTTTGGAACAGTGTGCTCATCTAGGCTTTGATTCTGTTCAGGCTCTTTTTCCTCGTCCAGTGGATCACTGGGAGCCTCGGAAGCGTCTGTTTTGCCCTGCTGTTTGCCTTTTTGGTGCTCCTCCAACATCAGATCTGGAACCACGAGCTGATCTGGATTCTGTTGCTGCTTGTATTCTTGACGGTCCTTCATTGAGAGAGTCAAAGTCTCGCACTCATCTGGACCTGGACTGTGATATTGGTCGGGGTTTTGATGAGAGTTCATGTTTCGATACCAACCCTTGTCGACCCCGGTCGAAGGTACGTTCGTAGTCATAGCGGCGAAGGGTTTTCCGGTGCTTGGAAGATGTATGGTCAATAGCAAATAATATCAAAAGATCTCGGATGGCCAGGCAATAAGGAACTTTGTCTCAAAAGCTGCTGGAGTAGGCTGGTAGCACTGGAGGGTAAAGTGAAAGTGAAGGTTGGGAGATTTAGCTATTTGCCATGCATCCCTCCTACTCCCACCATTATCTATGACATTTCTCTTGCTCTGAGCTCAGCAGATACATCTCTTACGACTCCAACTCTAGCCTTTAAATACAAGGCAACCTTCTTCCATTCTTCTTTCTTTTCTCTTTCTCTGCATTTGATAATCATCCGTCTCTTTTGATCCGTTACGATCTTGCTCTCTTCTTCTTTACCGGCTGAGAATTATCACGATGCCTCCTCTACCATCTGCGTACCTGCACCTCGATACCGCAGAAAGTCAAGTTTCGCATAGCTTGCGCGAAGCAGGAGTTCGCCATGTATTTTTTGGTGGATATGCCGCTGGCCTGATAGGTAGCAAACGTGTGACAAAGGTGACAACCTCCTCAACTCCGCCTATTCCTTGTTACGCTCAGTACAAAATGACGCCGGTTCTGACAAAAAGCATAGGACATCGATATCATCACTGAGAGGGATGCCAGGGATGTGCTGAGCGAGATCCCAGAGCTCACTTGGTCGCTAGATGAGGGCTGTTGGAAATACTCCTATCGGAACTTTCAGGCAAGCATTTCCGCCTCTACACCCGGGGGTGGACCTTGGAGCATTCCCAGTCCTCGAAACACGGGCATACATACCATTCATCCCGACGATGTTCCAGATCGCTCGATCTATGTCAAAAGTAAGGTGCCCAGTACTCAACATAGAGGCTTCGCTGACTGGTTCTTTAGTCGACATCATTCACCCGTCGGTTCTCATTTTAACCAAACTGAAGGCCTGGAACAACGCCGAGATGTCTCACGATCCCTCTGTGCATATGCGCAACCGTGCCCACCTTATGGATATCATGAGTGCGTTGCAGTGGTTGTCGGATGAGGAAATGCGAATTAAATTCGAGGGGCACCCAGGGGTCCCGAAGGAAGAGTTCTTGCAGTTACTTTGCAAGCTCTACAGACGCCATCATCAAGCACGACCCTATCTGTCTGTAGCTCTGTCCTTCAACGACATGCGAGACGCCTTGAACTCTCCGCATTAGAGCTTTTGAAATTTCAATCTCAAGGGAAGGTGGGTATGAGCTTTTCTGGCCGGCTTGAGGGTCTTTTACTGGTAGCTAGGTCTATTTGCAGGCGATAGCGGTCATCGCTTATGCCTTGAAACTCAATGATCCCTTCAATATCGCAGTGTGTATCTTTTCCCAGCTTCATACATGTGTACAGTGCCTTATAGATACCTTGTACATAGCTAGATCGACAACTACTGACATTCAGCTGGCATGTCTCACTTTCGACAACAAATGGCTTCTAGAGAGAATGGCCTGTAGATTACTTGCAATGACATTATGGCCCAAACGAGACATGCTGTTGTGCGTAGTGCATGGAGTCGAAATTTTCCCTCACGTTCGCTAATAGCCAACGACTTTTCTGAATCAAGCTTCTTGACAGGGACTAGACGATGGGCCTTTTGGTTCGATACAACATCTTTCCCACCGAACATCTGTAAGATCACAGTTGAAATGTGTGTGAGCGAATGCCTATGCTACGACGGCGGGACAAGCTCAGCATTCCTCGCGAGTTACGTATCTCCTTGGCCAAACCCCGTAGACACATCACTACTACGTAGTATGCTTTGGATTTGTAGATCGCGGGTCAAAAGTGGGGCTTTGATCTGCGAATCTTGCAGTACGCCGCATTGGCTCGTTTTGAGAGGTCGTGGAAACCCGACCATCAAGGGACCCGACGTCCATGGGATCCGCAGCATTCTGACCATTTGAAGTTCCAAGGAACTTCGTCTGGCAAGTCTGACATTCACAGTTCCATTGCGAGATCTTGCATGGAGATTTGCGAGAACAAGATATAGCCCAATACAGTTAGGTCTTTGGTTAAATAGTGGCGCGTTTTGTCAAGAAAAATAGATTTGCCCATCAAAAACTTTTCATATATGGATGCTTGTAAATGCGCATCGTGGCCTGCAACTATAAGCGAAAGATGACATGGATCACAATTGCCTAGAAGAGGAAACACAACTGAATAGCGGCTTAGCCGACTTCCAGAAACGAGACCAGTTCATCATTGGCGACATGACAGGTACATAGAAAAAAGGAAAAATTGCAATTCGAGAGACTTTGAGTCTTTGTAAAGTTGAAATAATACTGGGCCCATGGCAATGAGTAGATATGTTCGTTGCGTTGTAATGTGTTTATATTGTTGTTTACACCATTTGCCTGCTTAGCAGCATAGACCTCGTGACCTTGGGACCTCGGTACCTGTTTTACCCAAGTGTCATCCTTTTTTTCCCCTTTATGGCAAGGCCGCCTTGTTGCGGTACCGTCTCCCTCTGACAGTAGACCTGGCAACAATCATGCGATTTCTGACCAGTTCGAGAAAACCGTCAAAGTAATCCGTACCTAGTGGCTGTGTGCAGGTGCCAAGACAGCATTTGTTTGGCCTGCATTGTGGTGGTCCAATCATCCCATATCTTCGCTATCTTTCCGCTAAAATGGCCAATGCGTCGGAGGACTCGACTCGCGTCTGAGGTCAGCCTGCAGCACTAAAGCGGCGCTCATTCCCTTCCTACCTGGATGGCCCGCAGGATACTCACTATATTGCAATCGATCAATCTAGCCATATGGAGAGCGATATTATCGCCGCTTCTGAATCGCATGACTCGAGGTCAGCAGAGTGATTGCGCAACAAAAAAGGTGACAAGCCAGGCACCATCTCACAAACGACGGCCCAACAGAGGGACGTTGGCACCCCCCCTTGTGGATTTCTTTGCAGAAGATATGTCGTTCTCGGTCCAGAACATAATTGGTACCCCCTTACACGCGGTGGCCGAGTCGAATATCGCCCTAGCTCATCTTAATTTCGACTTCTCTCTTGTCAAATGTGAAGCCCCAGCTGAGCTCCAGCTTTTGGGGAAACAACTCTCCAGATCTCGGCGGCAATCGGCGGAAGATGGGTCATTTCACATTCTTGCCCGTCGACTGGGTGTGCTGTTTGATGATGTCCTTCCAGATGTGCCAGTGCTGCTTGAAGCATATGGAACCCGCGCTAGTCAGATTGTTCAAGAGATGACCCAGAAGACGGAGATCCCCAAGGTTGTCGTCGATGGGTTTTTTGGATCTCACTTAGGGATCGACTCAACCACAATCTGGGCTAGTGCGACAAGTGGAAAGTCCGTCCTTCGCATGCACCTTCTCGCATGTATGCTAGCTAGGATCTGGTCCCCCCAAGAGGCCACCGCCATTTGGGCGGACTTGGTCAGCCATCGACAAACCGCCATCAAAAATAAAGCTCAATCTGGTGAGATTGTGGATAATTATTTGGCCCGGTTGGCTGCCGCCCACGAGATTGATCGGGCATCACTTGGGAGTTGGGATGCTAGTGCACGGGCATGGCTTCAAGTTGCCGATCAAGCACGGCCGATGCAGCAGATTCAAATCAATTTAATTGTCAACAATCTGTCGGTGGCTGTCAAATCCCAATCATCCAATCATGACTCGACCTCAAAGGCACGCTCTTATGATAGTGTGATTCCCAACCTCAATCGCGCGTTGACTACCCTTGACAAGCTAATCTGTGGCGAGCCCCATCAAATCACCGACGGCGGAATTCTGCTTGGATTAGTCTCCTGGCATATTTATCCAGATCTTGTTGTTCTAGGCCCCTCCACACAAGAAATAAAGCAGAAAGACATTTTGGTCAAAGAAAGTGGAATCGTCACTATCTCAATCACCCCTCAAGCTAGACCTCGGACCGACGGAGTATATTGGTCTTTGCCACTAGCCAGCCTGCGATATTATGGAACTGTTCATCGAGAACGATCCACTATGTGTGATTCCAGAATATCAGTCGCACAGCTTCAGGCCCTGATACTCGGCGCATCGCTGGGCGCGGATGATGCTGCATTCACTGCTGCGAAGATCCTAAAATCACTTTGGAAGCTGTTCTCCGGTCTTTACGAGGCAAAACTGAGTCAAATTGCTGACCAACCTCTGGAGCTGTCAGCGGAATTGGCTGGCTTCGAGGTAGTCGACTTGCTCAAAGACGATCGCCAATCCCTCCGAGTTTCGATGAAATTATTGCAGTTCTTATTTCCATTCCAGAGCGGCATAGATTTACTTTCTGCAGAAAATGAAAACGAGAAAAATACTGCTATGCAACTCATGAGATATGGTACTAATTATGGAAAATCATGGATTGGAAACACGGGGACCTCCGCTTCGAGCTTTTTCGGCTTGGCAAAACTCTCATCTCTTCTTTGCGTGATAAAGAACCGAGAGGCTCGAATCAGTGTCCTCCGCGCGCAGTGCAAGCAATACCATCTCTCGTCTTCTGACTACGTGATTCGATTTCGAACCGAGAATGGCTATGTCTACACATCAATCGATGTCCAAAGTGCACGAACTTGCCACGGAGGAACAAAGCGGAAGTGGGACGAATACGAAGATCAGGACTTGGATGGCATTCACCTCCTCAAGAGTCCTCCCGGAGAGATATGGACTTTCTTCACTTCACCGGAAGTCTCTAGCCGTCATGTTCCGCAATACTTTAATACTGATACGCAGGATAACGACTCAAATGCGCAAGATGACTTTTTCGCACAATTTGTCCATGACAGCCCCCTTCCGAGTCGGTCAGTTACATTCAATTACGTCTTCGGTGACCATAGCCTTGCGGCCGTGTACAAAAGAAATACTAGCCAGTCTTTATCCACAACCCAACCCCTCTCGGATGCAGTTTCTCTGGAAACAATCCAAGATCTTTTGGACAGGAGTCTCTTGCAGCTTGATCTCGTGGCAGAATACATTTTGTATCATTTCTCCGTAACGCAAACATCCCATGGCAGGTCTCTTCTCGCGCTTGGACGAATTGTGGACTATTACATGTCATACCTACCCCACGCCACTGTTGCCATGGGGGTAATCAAAGGCACCATTCGTTCTTGGGACTGGGCGCAGTCTATGGTCAGGGAGCTTGATTCATTAAGTCCACTTGCAAAGCAGCAAGCGCGCGAAGGAAATACACCTGCAACGATCTATCCAAGCCCCCTGCCCCGTGAATACGCATTTGCAGCGATTTTGCAGTTTGAGGCTGGGGAAATTAGCGTCGACGTTGCTAAAATGGCAGACGTACTAGCAATATCGAGTGGCAACTCTCTATTCATCGCTGGACAACTCCTCCATGATCCGTTGTCATCAGAGAGTCTCTGTCCCGGCGCCGTTTCTCATGTTATGGGGAATGTTGGGAAGCCAGGAGTAACACTGTTGGTTTCTCCCCCTGAGGTAGAGATCCGTGAACATGATATCGAGAGGTGGCAATTTGTCAACCACAACCCGTTTGATGGAAATTCAGCCGGTGGAATGTTTGACGGCACATCTATTCACTTGTCATTTACAGGCTGGGAAGGACCTGTCAGTCTTGAATCTACCAATTCCCGCGGTATGGAGGCCTATTATGTTGAAACAGCAGTTTCTGTCAATGACAAAGGTGAATGGTTGGGAGATTTAGATATACTGAAGGGGTTGAGAGATCTAGAAATGGTAGATCTTGAACCCGCGGACAGCAAGTGCACACACGATTCGACTTTTGCAGCTGCAGGAGTAAGATTAATTTCCATCGACTGTTGGGAGGAGATTCTAGATCCTCCGAGTGGCTTACTCGTGCTACGTTCGGCATCGGGGACACCGACAACGGACGATCGTCGCGGAACTTGGCGGTGGATGGTGAGACTGGCTGCTGTAAGTATTGCACGTTCAAGGAAATACCGGTGCATCTGCTTGCCAGTTGATGGGAGCTTCTGCTGGACTTGCGTTATTCACAAGATCAATGATGGCGAAGACAAAAATGTCCTGCTTGTTTATTGATCTATTAGGAGTTTGTCCTGCTTGTTTATTGATATATTAGGAATTTTGGCCGTATTTTTGGGTAAACTGAGGTCTTGAAGTTCAGATTCACGTAAATCACCCAATCGGAAGGGAATTTGAATGGTTGTTAGGTCAACTCCTACTTGCTTTGAGTCTGGTGGCAGGATGCTCACCACACAGCGGCAGAGACTGTGTTCCATCCCACCAAACGCTTTGTAAAAATATTAAGTCACGATATTATCTCATTGTATAATAAGATCTCCTGGCTGTGTTGCCTACACATACATATATATCCCTATAATGTTCAGGCTTCCCTGGGCAATATAGAAAGGTTATAGCTTCACATGATAAGTAGTAACATGCGGCATAGAAGCTCCTACCTAGACAATCGAATCTGCCACTATCATTGGATTTGTGGCGAACTAACTATGTGCTGTAATTAATCAATAGCTTTTCTTTCTGCGGGTTCATCCTCAGAATTTTCTTCCACAACGCATTCTAAGCACGCAGCGAAGTGAATATCAACATGAAGCTTGAGTTGAAGATATTTGGGCATACATTGATCAACAATGAATTCAAACTATTATCACACCATATACCTCCACTAAAGTATACTATACAAGTCTCTCACTTAACAATCAACTGGCAAAGCCCCAGTGGAAGAGGCCTCACCAAAGAGTGCCACCTCCTCGGCCCGGCGGCGGGTCAGTCCAGCAACGACGCCACCATTGGCCTTGTTCCACTTCGGCAGCTCCTCAAACGCCACAGTACCCACATCCTCGCCGGCATTCATGCGGCTAATCAGACTAGATGATTGCATGTTGCCGTTGCCGACGTTGAAAGTCCACGATACCAGGGCCGCGTACTGGTTGTCGTTCAGGGTGACAGTGGCGGCAAGGGCATTATTCACGCCATCTTGGTAGCTCTGTTTCTATTGTGTTAGTGTATTCATTCAATATTGAGGACCAACATAAACCGCGGGGTTCAATGTGTATCAGGAAAGAGGAGTGATCATAGACTCACCACCAGGTCATTGGCAAGCAATTGACTGGCTGTCTCCTCGGTCAATGGCTGTGAGAAGGAGACTTCTGAGCAAGTAGAATCGCCGCAGAGATGACCGTAGCCGAGAGTGGGATTGCCGAAGCCGTCATCATACACGTTGGGCTGGAAGGACTCGAAGCTCTTGATCAGATCGAGGCCATTGGAGTTGATTGCGGGCCCGGTGCAGGCAATTGCCAGGGCTGGGAGGGCGGCGATCAGGAGCTTGAAGGACATGTTGCGGGTTGGTTTATGGAATGGGATTATGGGCCTGAGTGGTTTGGAGAAGTTATGAAGAGAGAATGTTGAAGATTTATATCTTTCTCTCTAGGATCGCAAAATACTACCAAGCTTGGAAGATTTCATGTAGATTGTGAGCCTACATCGCAGAGTTACAATGAACCCCCCCTCTTCCCGTGTTTCTAGACCTTGAAACATCCAAAGCCACCCGAGTGCCTCCCGTTCTGGCTGATTTTTATTTTTTGACCCCTGCATGTTCTTTGACTGGCTCACAGGACTATAGCCTCGGCACTTCGTATACCATGGCTGCTTTGATTAGTCGGGGTCGCCCTAGCGTGTTTTATACTTATCACCCCCACACCCAATCACAATTTCCTTCTATTTCGTACAGAGTACCAACTGCCTTTTCTGCAGTCTTATTTTGATTAATCGGGAGATTGATCACAGTTGGCATGGTTCAATTAGATAAATGTGGAGAAGGCGTTTTCATAGGGCCCTAAACCTAACCCGCAATATATCGAGTCCGGGATCTCGACCCATTTGCAGGTTGATGAGATAGATCACCACGGAACAGCGTCGGTCATGCGAAACTTGGCAATGAAAGTACGGTCATGGTTGAAAATCGAAGCTGATCTGCATCTATTTCGTTGGTGAGAGATAAACCCCGACAAGTCCCCGGATCACGTTTGAGAATTGCACATAATACAATTATCGAAGATATCAAGTAGTATAACATAAAACTATCACTTCCCAATCCATCAAGTCATTGCGAAAGCGCCACAAGCACTTTCGGTTTTCCCTGAGACGGACCTCCTTGATCCACCCTTTGAGCCAAGAGCCTCTTCTGAATAAGCCACCTGCGTCAATGTACCTATAAGCTCCATCATGATCCTCTTCTGCGTGATAATATCGGATATTCTGCCAAGTCCACACTCACATCCTTATAGACAGGAGGTCCTCACAGCATCACCGCGTCTTTCACAATCCCAACTCATCGCTCTAGCAAAATTTTAACAGTAATCATCTCTGTCTGCCGCTTGTAGTTGACAAATTTCTAAAGGCCTCTTGAATGACATAATTAGCAAAATGGATGGCGGCGACAAAGTCTCGTGCCCTAGCGAGGAAAGAAACCAACAACACTGATGGAGTGAGAAGTGCCATGATAAGTCTTGAAAATATGTTGGTATATCCCCAAGTACTAGATATATATTTTGAAGCCATGCGGGAGTACCATTACTTTCTTTCTCAATATCTCCAATTTATGACCTTTCTAAATAGCACTTTCTCTCAGTTAAAGGCAATGACCAAATTTAACTCTCTATTTCAAAGATTGAAAATATAACAATCAGAAATTGCCTTACGATAAAATGCAACATTGAGTATTTAGAGCGTCACGTAGTTTAGATTGTTTGCATTGTTTGGTGCTTTTTGGGCGTTATTGGGGGCGGGTTGTAGTGGCGGTACAGCGTAGAGTGAAGTTGAACAATCATGGTATGCTTCCCACTCCGTACACCTCTAAACTATAGGTAGAGGGAGGTTCAACCTACCCAGCACCTAGTTTGTAGTGAGATTTAGGCCAGCTGGTCTAGACTGTATTTGTAGATATTAATCGATTTTACCAAGTAACATTGTAATTCGAAAGTTGGCGAATAGCAAGTACCAGGCAAACATTGTAAACACTGCAGACACTACAAACACTACAAATACTACAAATACTGTACAAACATCGAAAAGAACATCAAACACGTACTTTTGATCGCCAGCGGCAGTCGTGATTGGGGGATTCAAAATAATCACATAGTTTGTATGCCGGAGATAACGGATTTTGCGAATCATGCAAACATGAAATGGCATCGTTACTCGTCTTGCGCGGACTATAAGATAGATGAGATATCCAGCGGAATGTAGTAAACACATCTCAAACGTCGATATCATTGCCAAAACAATTTCAAGCTAAAAGATGACCTACAATCGCATTGCTGTCTATGGCCATCGGGGCTGGGTCAGCTCTGCTATCTTCGCCGCCCTTGCACAGTCTGGCGCCCCTATCAAGGTTCTCTACCGATCCGGCTCCGATGTAAGTGATCTTCCCAAAGGTGTCACATCGGTCGAGGTAGACGTGGAAGACCAACATGCGCTGGAAGCTGCGCTACAAGATATCGATATTGTCATGTAAGTTTGCTACAATGATCAAGCTGGAAGTGACTCCATGAACTGACTGCCGAGTTGGGTGTTAAAGTTCGCTGGTTGGCCTAGAGGGTGTGACGCGCCAACATGGATTCGTGAAAGCTATACCTCAAACCGAGGTCAAACTCTTCGTGCCTTCGGAGCTTGCTCTACGTTGCGATGACCAGGGATTACGAGTTCCAGTGAACAAAGCAAAATTCGAAGTCGAAGCTGCCGCCAAGCAGGCTGGCATATCAACCACTATTATTCTACCAGGCTATTTCGCAGAGTCTGCTCTCAATTCTTGGTAAGTCTTGTAGGCTAGACAGGATTGATGAATTTGAAACTAATTTACAGATCTTTAGCCTGATTGGAGTTGATGTGCCACGAAATCGAATCGTCTTTACTGGGGACAGTGAACGGCAGATTCTGAACATTTGGTTAGTAATGATCAACGCATACCATAGGGGTCTACTATGATAATATGACACTAAGCTGAGCATCTCAATAGCACAAGGGAGTATGTTGCAGCCGCATACGCAGCGATTTTCGCCCAAACACCCATCTCCCAACTCCAGGACACCGTCTTCGGCCTATCAGAGTTGCGCGTTACGGGAGAAGATGTCGCAAACTCGCTCGAGAAAAAACACGGCGCTCCCCCTCAAATCTTCCGACACAGTCTCGAGGAAGCAGATCGCCAAATGCAAACTCGTTTGGACCAGGGTCAACCTCTAGCCTTGGCATGGTATTGTCGTCGGGTTTGGGGGTCAGGGCAGGTGCTGAACGCGATTGGATCCAATATCTGGGAATTAGAAGGGTACCAGAAAAAGAGTCTGAAGGACTTGATTGAGGATGGGAAGTTGGTTGCCTATCGTGAAGCATCGCCGGCGTTGAAGGCTGCTCTGGAGGGGACCTTTTATTGATATTTCGGATATGCGCGTCATCCCAGTTTGGTTTTGCTGGCTCGTCTATGAGTGAACTCGAGAGTATACAGAGGCAAGCATTGTGTTTCTGGTACATTTCGGGATAATTGAAGAGATATTTTCGATATTGGAAAGCCAGCCTCAAAGGCGTCGCAGGCTTAAGATCAATGACAGAGAGTAATCTATTTGAGAATTTGCATCTTGTCTTGCAACTCAAAGCTAAACGGACATCTGGGCACCTGGGCATTCATTTCTGTTCAGAATCACGCGAACACACCCAAGATAGGTAACAAGTCCTGCTTATGATTCACATCCTGGCTGAGGACACACAAGGACAAAGAGGGCTAAGCCGCAGGCGCTAGAGGCTCATGCAGTCGAATATCAGCACATAGTATTTGACAATGCACCCAGTCACCAGATGCTAATATCGTCGTCTATCACAGGGTCATTTCCCCCATCAGAGCTATGATTTTCCTTTGTTCCCATTCATCTCTCTTCCATTTGTTTCCTTGTTATGATATTTTATGAAAACATTCATTACAATAGTCAGCATGATCCTTGATTCTAGATCGCTTCTTGAATACCTTCAATTTTGTGATACCATGGCACTATATGTTTCTTAAGCATTCCACATGACTGATGAACGATCACTTTCCCACTCCTCGTACCCGTGCTGCCATGTCGAGGGAAGCTTACCTGTGCAAACGTTGGGTTGTCGAGCATTGGGACCATGGGGCTCTCAATGAGGTACGGCGTTGTCGCCAGGGCAACATTCCCCGTTACATCCTTCTCAGGTCTATCTGTGTCAAATACTTTGGTGTCGGTCGAGTAGCTCAAGGCCTGTCTCTACCAAGTGGTCAATATTTGGGAGATTGGTTCTGGTCATTGGCCTAGTAATTGATACTCCGGCGGAATTTCGGACATGGCTATACTGGTCAGATTTTGAGACTAGTCTCGCTTCCTCGAATACCATGACATATATCGGAGACAAGAGAGCGTGATTCCTCTGAGGCTGAAATTAAACCCGTATGAAGGTAAAATGTGACTCACTTGTTGTAGTTGCAACAACAGCAATGGCCAACTGGGTCTCCGATCGCGGTTCCCAAAACAAGGTCAGCGTCTGCTGGTTGACCGAAGTGTGGTTGGCGGTTTTCCCTTCACGATCATGGTGTTGTGTCTTTGCAGAACACGCCCGAGCAGAATGGGATCTCCACATGCAACTACCTCCGTGCCCTCGCATCCGAGAGGGACGCTATATAGCTATCTTACGTCTCCCCGTTGGTCGTCCCCGCCGCCGAGAACCAATGCCACGCTTGTGGTTTCACCGTAATACCAACGACCTAGAATATCAGATCGCTCGAAGCGCTAGTCACGCCGAGGCGATTTCTCAATTCATGGTTGTCTACGTGGTGACGTGGACGTTGAATGTATCTCCTGCCAATGCGAAAAGAGTGTTTCCCCCTTCTGCGTCGCTGTGAAGTATGAGAGCGGCACTTGGGGATATGCTAATTGCTATGAGATGCAAGTACGCTTTTCGGCTGGCTTGTTTCGGTCTTCGGCCCCTCTGGCTGGGGATCCCAAGAGTAAACGCCTAACAGCACTGAGATAGACGCCGTTTTTGAGGACTGTTGATTTTACCGTGCTTCTAATTCTTGAAGAAAGCCATGCAGGAGGTTGAGGCGAGTGTTACCACCAACGCGACTGCTTGGCAGAAATCGAAAGACAGTACGTGTGAAATCAGTTTCCAGGCAAATGAAGGCCATGTGTTGTGATACAGGGATATCCAAATCAGACAACCAGCCACGGAGCGGACACAAGCCAGGAGTCGAACCATTTCGACGGATATCGGTGCTGCTCATAACCGCACCCAGGTGGTGAAAATGATTATCGCCGGCGAGATGATTACCCACTGCGCTGTTGGTTTCGTCAGTTGAAATAACTATCTATACCTAGGAGGCTGTTGTACTTGGAGCCCTTTGCCCCACGGCGAGCCCGGACACAGACCGACAATGCGATTGGGGTGTACAGTGCCAAACAGTTTCTGCTTCAGAATACAACAGTACGTAGGTAGAAAAGGGGAAGAAAATGAAGAACGAGAAGACATGGGAGTGAAAACAAACAGGCAAGTGAAATGTCCAATTGGGTATCGTTTATTTTCCTGAAACAAGTCACAAGGAACGCCAGGCAAAATCCCGCAGGCCCATCTCGTATGCTGGGGCTTGCATATGCAGATATATGAACATACTGTCAGGTGGACAAAAGGGAACCACCACATACACCAGAACAATCCAATGTGTATGAGGGATAACAAGGAAGAGAAAAGAGACGCTGAATACAGGGTAGAATGCACCAGAAACCTTATGGCTGGAAAGGTGAGAAAGGGGATAGGGTGACCGGATAGAGAAGGGTGGTTTTATGTTCTCAGCGATCTGAAATTCGTTACTTGGCGTTGAACCATCCACCATTTTCCCATTCCCCACCAGGCGTATATGTGGCTGCTTGTCGGGCGAACGAATCGCAGATACCGCTCAAAAGGACGTTTAATCGAGGAAAATTGATAGGTTTCATGACCCAACCATCAAATCCAGTGTCAACGTAGCTTGCGAGTTCTTGTTCGACTAGAGATGCGGAGACGGCAAAAATGGGTACTCGGTCATTGCGTATAGCTTTGTCGGACAGTGCTTCCTTGGGTGTCTTGGATTCAAACTCCCGAATCGCCCGGGTTGCTGCCATTCCATCGACGATCGGCATCTGGAGAAGGTTAGTGGGAGTGCAGAGGACAGGAAGACCGGTTCCAACATACCTGGAGATCCATCAGCACAACATCGAAGGATTTGGTGGCGGAGGCAAAGGCAATTGTGCAGGCTTCACCATTGCTGGTCAACTGGACACTGTGGCCAAGCTTGGTCAACCGTTTGTGTATGATCTTGCTATTGATTGGATCGTCCTCGGCGACAAGGACGTTGAGTGGCTCGTATTCTGTCGTTGAAGGTTCGGTGGTTGTTGGTGCGGCACAAGATGGCCCAGAGGAGGAACCTTGTGATGTTTCTGTGACTGGCGAAACTCTTGGAAAATAAGAGCCACCTTCACTGATGTGCTCAATTTGCGGTGATTTGAGATTGACGGCATGTTGTGACATTCGTAAAGCACTCATCGGAACTCCCGAGTCTGTGATATTCTCCAGACCAGGAGGAGGGGGAGTTACAAGTGGCTGTAGAGTGAGTGGTGGGGTGCGTGTGACAGAGAACAAACTTGAGTGTGAATCCTGCGGGGGAAATGATCGGGTTATAGCAGATGGTGATGCAAGAGAAGAATTTGCATGATTGCTGCTGGTGCTAACAGGGCTCGACGGGGTGTTCAGCCGTTTCAGATCCAAATCTTGGCTATTGCTTCTCTTGAGGGGAGGCTCTTGCATGGCACTGATGAGTCTGTCGGCATGACTTTTCCCACTACGCCCACTGTGTCCACTGCGGGAACTGCCACCACTGCGAAGGCTTTCCGTGCTTCGTCGCCTAGTATCAGAAGAATCATGTGATCCAGGAATTAGCGTAAACTCCTTCTCTGAAAGTAAAGGCGTTGTAGGAACGACAGCACTCTGAGAAGAAATTGCATCTGCATCTCCATCCACGGCTGTCCCCTCTGGCAAACGGAACTGCAATATAATCTTGAAATGACTACCCTTCCCTTCTTCCGATCTGACAGCGAGCTGGCCATGCATGTTGTGAACGATTCTTGCTGCAAGAGCAAGACCAAGACCCAATACACGTTTTGACTTTGAGTTCTGCGGTTTCTCTTCTTCTTCGGAATAGTAAGTCTCATCAGTCGAGACTTGTTCAAGTTCGTTGAAGAGGGTCTTCAGTTTGTCATGCGAAATCCCCACCCCCCGTATCAATGACAACAATTTCCACTCCCACATGACCTGGCATGCTTTGCGTCGCAGATCGATACATTTTTGTTGTCACCGCACCAGATTTGGTGTGCTGAATGGCGTTTGAGATCACATTGGAGAGAACTTGCCGGACACGACGCTGGTCGCCGACAACCGACTCAGGAATACCTGGATGAACTGCAACAGAGTATGAAATGTTCTTCCGCTTGGCATCGCCAGACAGCATATCAGCCGCTTCTCTAAAGGTTGATTGGAGGTCGAAGCTCTCATCTTTAATGAGATCCTGGCCTTTTTCGGTATTTGTCAAGTCGAGGAGATCGTTGATCACGTAAATTAGTGATTTTGAAGCCGAATGAGATTTTGTCAAGCTTTCTCTGGTTTCATCGTCCAGAGCACCCTCGAGTGCGATCTCCAAATAGTTCACAATTGCATTCAAAGGTGTCCGAACTTCGTGTGCAGAATTAGCCAGAAGCAGTCGGGTGAGTTGTGAGGTCTGCATAGCTGCCTCCTTCTGCCTCCAAACTTTGATAAATTTACCGTAAACCACTATTCAAGGTAAGTCAGCTTTCGAACAACCGGGGAAAACATTCCTTGTGTATCAGAGAAAAAACTTACAGCACAAGACTGCCGCCGTCTCGACGTCCGTCTCTGTCCACTCTCTACTTTGCGATAGAACCGTCTCCCGCCATGCTTTGAAACTTTCTCGAGGCTCCAGATATCCTGCAGTCTGTTTTCTTTTTTCAATTTCGTAAGGATTACCAGCCCACTTAATTTCAGTAAGATGTCCCCGACGAAAGAATGCGATGAAATCACTACCGCCAGTAGAGAGCGGGACATATAGAAGACCAGATATTGCCTTCAATCCAGGGGCATAATGTAAATCAGGGAAATCCTTAGCGATATCGTGCGACGCAAGCACTGCATCCAACTGACGGACGCGAAGGAACTCTATCAATGCAAGCACCTCCTGAGAGTTATTGTTGTCACCAAGAATTTTTGTTTCGTCACGAATTGACAAAACCCCGTAGTCCGCATCAAACAGTTGTAGCAGATCATCTGAGGACGCAATGATATAGCCTGATGGGTTGGCCTCTGTCGGGACGGTGTTGATCAGCTTTCGGGCCTGAAGCCGAGAGGCATACGACAGCCGCTCGATGTTTCTAGATACAGTGTCGCCGAGGAGCCGGCACATTTTGCGTATGGGAAATGACACGCGCATACCGGCATTCCCATAGCTATGGCAGGAGATCAGCCCCCAGAGATCGTTGAAAGCATTGATGCTTATCGACATTGAAGACCGGACTTGCATATGTGCCAAATATTTTACATGAATTGGAGACATTGCGCGAAGATAGGCGTGAGTCATGTCCAAGGGGGATTCAAGATCCTCCAAGGTCCGACACACGAGGCGAGAAGTGACGTGATCTCGATCATACAAGAGCCGGACCTTATTGATTTTGTAAAGTTCCCGGGCTTGCGCAGGAATATCAGATGCAGGGAAATGAAGACCCTTGTAGAGATCAATAGTGGCGTTGGGATTAACCAGCTCGGCGACAACCATGCCATTCCAGCTGCTATCGAACTGATAGATCAAGACACGATGAAAGCCAGTCAACTCCTTGACCAATCCCGCAGTTGTATTAAGCAATTGGTCCAGATCTCTTGTTCTCCCCAATTGCTCTTGTATCTGTGTTAGGATACTGAAAGCTTCCATGGAGGACGCCTCGCCCTTCCTACGACGGGCACTCCTGAGAATGCGGAGAGGCTGGCTGATGTTGATTGTGCTCCCAGCGAGTTGATCTGCTGTTGGAACAATCCCTAGGGTGTCCGCGGGAACTGACGGGGTATCAAGGCCCTCAACATTTAACGGGTTTATAAGGTCATCCTCAAGTTCGAACTCGCAGACAATCAAATCCTTTTGCGTCTGTGAGACATGGGTGGCACACCAAAATTTGCGGCGCTCCCCATCAGCTGTTCGGATTGACATATTGAAAACTTCCGGTCCATCGACGGATGGATCATGTGCATCATCACGAACAAAGTCAACGTGATCTAGCAGGTTGTCTGCTTGGTCCTCACTCAAAATATCGCACAAGTTTTCCAACTCGAACAATTGCTTGGGCGAATAACCCAAAAAATCAGCCGAGTTCTCGCTTACAATACGGACCACAAGCTGATTTGGCGACTCTTCGCGGAGGGCTATCATTAAACCAAAGCTCTGGATCGCACCGGGGATGCGAATGGGCTCGTCCTCGCAGTATTGGAATGCTTCTCCATCTCTTCCTGTGATGACGGCATGACCGGCATCCGTCATAACATGTTTGAAGCGGGCAGTAACATGATCATGGTCTTCGGCATTCCTGCGTTGGGTATGAGCGGATGCAGACGTGATGGATGCACTTCGGGACTGGTGGTCACTTTGGACAGGTTTGGCGTAGACTTCTGGGTGTTGAATAACATCCGATGCCAGAGAATGGGTGGCAAGTTCTGTTTTATCATCTATGACATGTGTCTCGTGGCGTGGAATATCGGTGGGAATGGTAGGTTCGGCGTTCTCGGGATCGGGGTGATGAAGGTGATCGGAATTAGCCTGCGAGTGCAGTTGATTCCACGTGCGTTCGTCGATGAACGTATACTGTCGCGCTCCATCTCGGGTTGGTGATACCGCATCCCGAGGGTGCGTTGGGGCCGAATACTGGGGGGCAACTGTAGGATCGACCGAAACAACCGACCGAATAGGGAAAACACGCTCGGTGGGGTCAAAGCCAGTGGCCGGTGAATCTTGAATATCTGCGCTTGAATGTGCTCGATCTCTATTCTCTTGTCCTTGTGTTGGGGGCTCTGTCCGGTTCGGAGACACAACACTCTCCGATCGTTTGCGGGGGGACCCCAGCGCGACGTGCTTTGAATGTGGAGACGTCATCTCCACTGTTTAGACTGTCGGGATGAATATAGTGCGGCTGAACGGCCGCATAGCAGCGCACCACTGATCTGGATTGCGAATATGAGGGAAGGATTTTGCGACAAGATGGTGAAGTTTTACGGGACAATCCATGGAAACCCCCCACTACCCCGTCTATAACCAGCTTTTGGATTTTACCCATAATAATTTTTGACCGCCTGCCTCACCGCCACCTTTTTGTTCCTTGAATTGCTCTTGAAAAAGTCGGGAATGAAATCACTGCAGTATACAGCATACACAGCGTACACAGAGTACACAGCGTCTACACCGTATACAGTATTGTATACAGCATTGCAGTATGAGAATCCAAAGTGTAGAGAACGGAAATAGTTGGGTGCGTATGCGGCCTCACCCTTTAGACTACGGTGAGAAACCAGGCCGCCCCTGGTACCCCTGGTCGCTCTTATAACATTTGTACAAAGTACCAAGTACACAATTTTAATGATCTGATGGGAGAAATATTGCACTAGCGCCCACTTAGGCGAGACTTGTCTTTGCTATACTTGCAACAATACCAAATTTGACCGTGTATACAGACAGGATCATGGATTTTTCTGGGTATATCAATGATTTATTCTGCACGTATCGCCGTTTGCGACTATCCCAAGGGGCGTTGGGATGGGTTGGGATTTCGGTAGCGGAGGGGGGTGGGACAGGTGTATCATTTCAACAAGCGCAGCTTGTCTGAACGGTGGTGTTCACGTCTTCCACAACGTGGGATTATCTCCTTGCCAATCTTAGATTCTGCAATCTCATCCCCTCTACTATGATCAGTGCCTGAAAATATAGCTGCGTCCCATCGAACCCCCCTTTTCCGTGGACTGTACCAGATAATTCAGATGGGTCGAACAATATGTACGGAGTAGAGTGAAGGAGAGATGTGTGATATGATCGGTCGTGCGCCTCAGGGGCGAAAAGCTTCTCGCGATTAAAAAAGATCGGAAGATCATCAACCCTAGCTAGCAACAGAACTCATACTCATAACCGGACTGAATAGATAAGAATTGAGAAAAAACCGGAATGGATTCCTATCAATGGGCTACAGAACAGGAATCTGGGATAAGCTTGAACGGACTGATTACAGATTCTGGTAGCAAAGTCCGAGGCAATATAGCGGCATTTAGAGATTCGCAATTTGCAATTAATTGGGCATCAGTTGTTGTGAGTTGAGCTCGAAATTCCCCTTTGTCAAACGATAGCAATTTGTCAAACATTACCGCTTGATACTCCCGTCATTCTTTCTGTCTGACATTTCGATTACTCCCAATTCCATGGCTTTCTCGGGGGAAAGAGGTGGATTGAAGACAGGAAGGGCCTCTTCGAGCGTGCGTGCTTTGCCACAAGCATAACACTTGCGCCAGGAAGGATGACAGGCAACCCATGCTCCACAGCCCTTGCATTGGGTAGAGAAATTATCCTTCCACGTCTTCTCCGGCCGATAGTTTAGAGATTGATCATAATACCGTAGGAGTCCTTCCCAGCGGTACCGAAAGCGGTTGGAGTCAATGGCCGCGCGCTTGATGTTGTTGGAGAAGTCAATAACCTCACGAACGATGGCTTCAGGTACAGGCTCCTTCAGCGGAATGGGCGATATTAGCTCGATCGCTTTGCGTGCCACTGCTTGATACTCAGGTACCATGGAGCCCCAAGCCCAATTGATCGAGTGCGGCACATAGCTTCCAAAGTCGAGGGAATATTTATGTTTTGGCAGTTGCCAGTCAGGTATACCAACACCAGCAAGGTATTGCCAGAGACCAGAGACTTGAGGGCCAAGCTGGGGGTTACGGAAGCAGACATAACTGAGTCGGTTCATTTGATTCAGAGCGGGGATAAGCCGCTCACAAAATTCATCGTAGGGGACCAAAGTATTGCGAATTGCAGATTCAGCAGCCGCACCGCTGGCCGCACCCCTAGCTCTATCGAGAGCGCTATGTGTCAGCTCTGCGGCATACGTGGATGTTGCCATGGCTGCAGTGATTCCTGGGGAATATAAGGGATTGGTAAAGCCACAGGCGTCGCCAATAGCTAGCCAGCCAGGCCCAGAGACAGTGGGCGACTGGTAAGTCAATGACTTGCGAATAAACCATGTAGTTCCTGGACCGTAATGATCCTCAATGAGGTCGAAGTTTGTCATAAATTCTTTGATGAGATCGTACTTTTGCACGAAATAATTGAACTTTCTTTCCGCCTCACTTTTGCCATAGGCAGACATATCCTCTGGATATTCAACGTCGTTACGCACAGCAAATCCAATACTAGTCATCCATCGAAATTTGAGGCCGAACTTTTTGGCAAGTTGTTCAGAGCAAAGAACTTCATCGCCCGGAACACCCGCCTCAGCACAATCGAGTAGGTATGAGATCATATCCATCAGATTGGGGATTGGGGAGCCTTCCCATGAGGGGAGGCGGATAATCCATGCCCATCCTTCAGGAAAACACAAGTGATTGGTGTCATCACCCTTGTAAAAGCGCATGCGGATGTTACTCTCATCTTGAGGAGCTGTGAAGTATCCCCAGAAGGCATCATAATTCCAGCCTTCGAATCGACGTAGAGAGGAATTTCTGGAAGCTTGTTGGCGAAACCGACCAGTGGCATCAACCAGTATCGATGAACTGATTCTTGTTGTAGGCTTGTCCCTTCCTGGCTTGACTGTAATCTTATTACCTTGGACTCCGCCTTGGATGGTGCTGTCTCTGGTATCGACTTGGCAACCATGGAAGACATTGACACCATTGCGTTGGGCCACCAGAGTGAATAGAAGTTCACTGATACGCCGTTCCATTTGAAATCCGCTTACAAGAGAAGCAGGAGTGCCAGTGGTACATATATCAGTGTATTCTCCTTGATTCTCACGGTCAAGGAAGTATAGGCACACACCGGCCTTGTTACCAAACAGGCGTAACATGTATTCGCCTGTTAGGCCGTGCATCTTGCACCAGAGAGAGAAAAGAGGGAAAGTGCTTTCGCCAATCTTGTACCCTGGCTTAGTGCTCTTCTCGAGCACTGCGATTCTCAAGTTGCCGGGCTTGAATCGAGCAGCATGAATTGCGTAGATCAGGCTATGAATTCCCCCACCAGCCACCACAACGTCCATCTCCTCGGGTATCTCGTTGCCACCTGGGTTGTTGGAATTAAGAATCTGTGCATCATCATATTCATTGACGGCGGCTCTTTCGGTAAAGGTAAATCGAGGGCAGGCTTTGATGGTGACCATTCTTACTGGCTTGTTGGGAAAGTCTTGACAGGGATGACTAGAAGCATAGGGGTCAGATTGATGTATATTTTATGAAGGACGAGGTGAAATTAGAATACTTATACAATTGGTTGGACATAATGAACAGTCCAAGCCATGGTTCCCGATAGCTTTGGAGAATTATTTGACGATGATGGTGGCGATTTTGCCAATATCCAGTCTGAACGGAGAGGGCCGCCGCTCTGGTGTCGCTTGGACTTCGTAAAGGCCACAACCACTATATCCGATAGCAAATACAAGGAAGCATGGGAGATATATCCAAACATTTGAAGCCTGGATCTTCTCGGCTGACATCAATATTGTGGCACCTTCCAGGATTCTGAAATCTACTACCCCCAATAAGCTGCATGGCTTGCTAATATTGATATTGCAGCTTTGCATCCCACATAAGACAAGATTCTTCAGCAGCAATATGAACATAACCTGAGGTTTCATCTAGCATTTGCTGAGTATCTTTGATTGGCTCGATGACTTGCCCTCCCTGGTGAAACTTCAATGAAGTGCCTGCTAAGAACACAGAAAAGGTTAGAGTTTGATCAAATCAAGAATAATAAGAATCGAACTTCAATCCCCCACACTGATGGGACAAGGTCAATGCTCACTTCCAGGTCTCAAGGTTGGATTGGCAGTGTAGTGGCGCACTATGAGAGTGAGATAGGAAGAAGCAATGACAATTGTCAAGTATATGAATGCTACCTGACAGATCCTTCCCGTTAAGGGGAGCCAATGGGGAAAAGAATCAATCTCTGGATGAGATAGACTTCAAAGATCGGCGAACTGAATCCTGCCGTATCTCAATAGGGTAATAGGGATGTCAAATATATATTCCCACAGCGGAAATGGTGTTTTGGATCACGTCCTGCATGCCTTTTTAATATGGATTTCTGCAAGCCACTTTATGTGATAGGTAATTCCATATAGCGACGGATGCAGCGATGTGGCACAAGAGTCACCGAAACATGACGGACAAGTACGCGTACAGCAGGTTTTGGAAGCCATCGCGCCAGCTAGGTCCCGATTTTCACTGGTATGAAATCGGCCAACCAGGCATAGCCGGGGCGCCCCAGCCTCGGAGGCCCGGACCCTCTCGAGCTAGAGCCTAAGCAAACTTACCCATATATAATTCAATGGATATTATCAAGAAAAACTCACCTCGTATCACTATAGACGCTGATAATCACAGAAACCTTGTAAAATCCTAGATAACGATCAATAATCGTAGGTTTTTGTAAAATTCGAATCTGCTTGATCTGTTAAATCTTGGAACTATTGAGTATACTAAAGTAGCTTGCTTGTATAGTCCTAGAACAATATTGTGGTGTGACTTTGCTATTCTGTATGGTAATACGGGCTATACTACAAATTAGAGAAGCATATAGGTCTTGGATTTGTGCGTGAAAACAAAGCGGCAACTAAAGTATCTGGCTTGGTACGATGGCTTTTGCAAACCTGTCGTATTCGGAGTCCAATCCAGATATTATTCAAAGGGGGAGGGTCGCGTGCGCATGCGCCTCATACGGATACCCAGGCAAAAGTCCTCTCAAGTAAAATGAAAAGTAAAATGAAGCTTTTTATCCTACATATGTTGAACACTGACAATCTGACGTCGAGATTGTTCTTTTTTCGACCTAGAGGTCAAGAGATTGATCTATACGATATTAAGATAGGGTAATAGATCAATTTGTATGGCATGGATTTCTTCATTTTGCATAGAGGCTTGCTACTACCCCATCGTGCAGCCCGGCAGAGAACTTGTACGAACGCATTCACCATGTATGCACTATATATGCACGGCACTTGACATTTTTTTACTACTGATCAGCCCTTACAATTTTTACAAAAGTTACAGCCCTATAGTACCTTTCCTTTATTGAAGTAATTCAGATATTCTCATGTATACTAGCCTCGAATGAGGCCGCGTTTAGGTATATTCAGGAAAAAACCTTGCAAAATCAGGTAGATGACATTTGGATTACCAAAATACTGCCTAGCAATCTTATCCAATTGGCAATGAGAGGGTTATGAACAGGTTACATAGTCGTCCGTCCGTATGGGCCCTTCCAAGGCTCGGGCCAGGGGGTCGCAAACTAACAGGCAACCTATTTACAAGCTCCTCTCTGCATCATCCATCATCATTGTCTACCAAATCAACGCCATATTTCTTCCACATAATTTGCGCATTTCCCCTCCTCCAGCACCCCTCAGGGCAGAAAACGATAGCGATTCCTGGTACCCGCACACAGAGCCCAAACTCGGGAAAAACGATGGGTGCCTGTGTAGCCAGGTGAAAGTAAAGAATGTCAATGTCCACCTTCTGCTTTTCAGTTTTTCACTCGACCTGCTCGCGGCAAAGAGGGAAATGGATGTCACACCACGAGCTATCCCAATCAGTGCGGCACCGATTGTAAATGCTGACAAGCACGTCGGCGAGGGCGGTGGTGCCAGTGTTTCTTAGAAAGATGGACGTCACGCCGCATGAAGCTTCGTTATGACCTGATTATGCCCCTGGGTTGTGCTCAAGGACGCAGAGTTATCATTAGGTAGAACACTATTGTCACAGCGCTAGTTCCTAATTACGTTCGGTCATACTTGGCACCCATTTGTCAACACACGCGAGCTTTACTATGGTCTCACAATGTCAAAACATACTATATATTGATCAAAACGAAAAAAAATCACTCTGCGATGATGGCTAGAGACGGGGCCGATACATATGATGGTGATGAAAAAGTCACGTTTTTTTGGAATTGCATCGTTTGGTGATTTTTGGGCACTAAATGGGCCTCCGTCAAGGGCCTAGTGGGCGTTTGCCCCGGGTCTAAAGCCTACCGGTGGGCCCAAATCCCAGCCCATTTGCGGGCTGGGGGCTTTGTGGGCTTTGCGGATACTCTAGCTCTATACTGCCTAAGCCTCCGGGGCGGAGGCGGCCCCGGTTGTGCCTAGGTAGCCAACTTTCTGCCAGTCGAAAGTGGGCCAAGAATACACAACTCAATTTTCTCGTTTATTATTGATACTGTCATTCATTCATTCTTGCTATGACGAACTCTTGCTTAACCCTCGCAGTAGAAGCCCAGAAATTGGCGGTGGGAACATCAGTCAATTGGCGTTGACGTCGTCATACATATGGATTTGGGAACTGGATAAATAAATACATGCTGGAAATCTTTCTTGGAATGGGCTCTTCAAGTTTGTAATAACATTCAACTGTGTCCTATCTCTTGCATCGCTTGGAGTCCCATCGAATGGGCAATGTCGATCCCATACATCCCGTATCTCGAAAGAGTCATATCCAGGCCGACCTCGCTAAGTATCCTGCTTTCCCTTCTATTAATTTATGCTATCCGTCAATGGCTTCTCCCTCGCCCAATTCCTGGAATTCCATACAACCTCAAGTCTTCGAGAAAGCTGCTTGGAGATGCCCCTGACATGCTCCGTGAGGTGAAAATCACCAAGGAGCAGAATGTCTGGTTGGCGCGGCAGATAAACAAATTTCAATCGCCGCTATGTCAGGTTTTCATAAAGCCCTTTTCTCGACCTTGGGTATTACTTGCCGATTCAACGGAGGCTCAAGATATCATGATGCGCCGGCCCGAATTTGACCGGTCAGACATCATACTGGATGGACTGAGTCCGTTGGGTGACTTCCATGCCCGAATGAAGACTGGTCCGAGTTGGAAAGAGGCGAAAGCTTGGTTGAAGGACCTTGTAGGCCCAAGCTACTTGAACAGCATCGGAAGTCCAATAATTTACAAGAACTCGGTCCGCCTTGTGGAGTTCTGGGAATCCAAGGCACGTCTGGCTAACGGTCGACCGTTCGATGTAAACGAAGATTTGGACCACAGCGCACTCGACGCCATGCTGTTGTTTTTATTTGGCCCTCACTACAAGCACACAGCTCTTGACCCGCACTTGGAGATCTTGTCCCGGCTAGATCCTTCCAGCATTGAGGTGGGGATCCATGGGGAGGCAAAGTTTCTGGCTGCACCTCTGGACGAGTTCATCACCTCGATGTATGAGACAGTTGATGCCATGGATAAGGTGTCTCAATCCATGGCACCCCGAGCCATGATGTGGTGGATTCGACACTCTCCTCGATACAAGAGATTTGCTGCGATAAAACGACGAGTCGTCCAGGAACAAATTATAGGCGCACTTAAGAGACTCAGTACCACCAGGGAGACCAAGGCTGCAATAGAATACATTTTGACTCGAGAGAAGATGGCTGCCGAGGAACAACACCGCAAGCCAGACTTTGGAAGTCCTATCCTGGAAGACGAGGTAAAATCCGGTGTCCTCGTGCGCTTATTAGCTGTTGCTAATTACAGAATACATATTTTGTTAGATTGCTGGCCTTTTCATTGCTGGTTTACACACGATCAGCACAACTATCGCATGGAGTTTCATCTATTTAACCAGATACCCACAAGTCCAGGAAAGACTTCGTCTTGCGTTACAAACAGCATATGCCGACGCTGACGCGGAGAACCGAGCACCTACCATGATTGAGCTTACCCAAACTCGGGTACCCTACCTGGAAGCTCTACTAGAAGAGACACTCCGTCTTCACGCGACCTCCCTAACACGACAAGCTATCTGTGACACAGAGATACTCGGAAAGCCTGTTCCCAAAGGCACGAACGTGTTCTTGATCGCCAATGGGCCCGGCTTCCACGGACCATCATTCGATATCGAACCCAGTCTGCGTAGTGCGACCGCAAAGCCTAATAACTGGGACGAAAGTCGTGATTTGAAAGTCTTTGACCCTGAACGCTGGCTCGTACACAAGGGGGGCAAGTCTTGGCGTGAAGCAGAGTTTGATGCGAATGCGGCTCCTCAAATGGCCTTTGGCATGGGACCTCGCGGTTGCGGGGGCGCCGCTTGGCATACTTAGAGATGCGCATGGTTATTACTCTTGTTATTTGGAACTTTGACTTGCTATCTGTGCCAGAGGCGTTGGCTGACCCCAAGGCGAGATTTGGGATCGTCCACCAGGCAGATCAATGCTTTCTGAGGTTGAAAAGCAGGAAGTAAAATCGCGATTCTTATATATTGCTCTCAAGTGCCGGGTTATGAAGGATAATGTGTGCGAGGTTTTTGTACGTGTGAGTCTCCTAACCATCTAGGTAGAAAAAGCCATACGTTCTAAACGCTTGTTTGCCCGGATTGACAATTTTGATGAGAATGTGCCACAAAGAGGGCCTTGCATACTTGTTAGTTAGGCTTGAACTCGAGAAACTGATAGGAGTTCATTATCTATAAATATATACATATTAAGACAGACAAGAGGAGTCGTGATGCCAGCATCATAATGGGAGACGATCATGTTCACCATCGGTCTCATCGTCATCTTTGGGAGATACCGACTGATAGACATGATTGAAGCTAAACCCCCGACGAAGCCGACGGTGAACAACGAAATGCACACCGTAAATAAGGCAACCAAAAACCACGAAGGCAATGGACCCCAAGGCCCATGGGATGCTAAGGGGAGAGCCCTCTGATGCTCGAGGTCGCTGGAGTAGCTCCGTTGTACCAAGAGACTCGCCGTTCGAGTTGATTGCGCGCACACGGAACAGCGACTCAACCTCGGAAGTGAGTGGAATTTCAGTTTCGAAACCGCTGCGAGGGACCTGGTCGACATCCGTGAAGGTCATATTTTTGAGGTCCTCACCGTCCCATGCCTCAACTCGCCATTCTGCTACCTCAGTGGCACCGTTCCAACTAACAAAGACACTATCTGGCGTGAGTGCGGTGTCGGGGCTTGTCATAGGACTGCCAACCCAGTCGAACTTGAAGACTCGGTAGGAGACGACACGGCCAAATGTGAAGAAAGCAGAGGCACCAAAGTGCACATCACATACGATATTACCCTCTGGGGAGAACTCGGTGAAAGCTGCAGAGTGCCCCCAGCCCACTAGCACGTTCCCAGTGTCTAGCACTTGCAAATTTCCTTGAGAAACGGCCATGATGTCCTGCGGATGCTCGAAAGATTGCAGTAAAGTCGCCTGCCGCGAGTCCATATCTAGATCAACTATCATGCCGCGGCTCACTGCAGAGATATTGTCGTTGTTGTGTGCTGCGTTGTCGAACAAGCTGAGACTGTCGGGTCCTACCCAGCGAGCATCATGCTGCCATGAGAAATCGGTGGCAGCACCATGAGATGCATCGGCAAATTTGTTCTGTTTTCCTCCTAGTGACCAGAGGACATCACCAGTGATGCCATCTATGCATGCAATAGTATGGAGGTGGCGCATCGAAACGAGGTACCGGCCCTGATCATCCTTGTCCACGCTGTTGATGTGGGAGTGGTCATACGCCGACGTCCGTTCATGTCCAGTATGTCCAACTGGTTGATAGCTATCACTGGGACGGTAAAACTCGGATACGCGCCATTGAAATAGCAGTTCCCCAGTGTCGAGGTCAACTTCTTGGAAGACTCCGTCATACATCCATCCGAGCTCCGGGCCTCCAATAGAGCTCAAGTTAGTTGGGATTGGGTCATAGATCATCAGAATTGCGGTATCGTTGGAAGTGATTTGGAAGTCATGCAGGTCGCCATTAGACATGCCGATTGGAGACACTACATACCTCTGTGTATAGGTTGAATCAAGCTGTGATTGGACAAGGCTGTTAGAGAATGAAAGATGTGGTAAGATAGCTCAATATTCAGCCTACCATGTACCAAGACCCTTCTCCGATGCCGTCGATTATGCTGCCTTGCCAATAAGTGAGGTAGTCCTCACCCTTGTACCGCTGCACTTTGAAGTCTTGTGTCGTACCCTTGTTCCATTTCGTCCACACAAGCTCCCCATCAGGACTCAAAATCATCGGACCGGGATGAGGAACTGAATCGCCTCGAGGCGCAAGGAATGTGTACCTGGGATCACATTTCGCATTAGGCGGAGTAATTTCGACAACCAGTGACTCTTGATCAAAGGAAATGTAACTTCGGTCTGGACCAAACCCCTGAGCTCCTAGGTCATACCAGCTCAAGTCGGAGCGGAACCGGAATCTGAGAAGCTGTGGGACAGCAAACAGATAGAATGCAATGAAACCCCCAATAGCGGTGAGGAACAGGGCAATCCATTGGAAGCGAAAGCGGGTATGCACACGACTATTGCGAAGCCAGGAGCTCTGGCAAAACGCACCAGAAGTAGTCCGCACGAACATCACGGCATCGCTGATGAAAAGTAGAAGTCTTTTGCGCCGGAGGCAGGAGCCGTGCCACCACGGTTTTATTTCACATCCTCGTTTAATGTACAAATCCCCGCCATCCATCGGAAGACTCCTTGGTATGAGGAACCACTCTGTCTTGGCGGTACGAACAGTGGAACTGAGCCTGTACGCGTATGGTGATTCGGTGGCTGCCAGGCTTCCATATAAGAATCATCGTCTGCCAAGCTCTCTGTGGGTCACAATCCCTTGAAGGATTGCGCGTCTGCACCAACCAGCGACGAGCACATCTGCCGGGAGGGTCATCCGGCGGTAATTGTCCATCAATCAATCAGTGAGCAGGGGGTGTTCCAAGAACTCGAAGTGAACTGCAACGCCACCAGCCCACGCGTTGTGATTCGAAGAAGAAGTATATACATAGCCTAGGCCGCTGAGACTCTGCCTCAACTTAAACTAACTAGGTAATCAGCTATGTAAATACTCCGTTGAGGTTTCTGTGAAATATTGAGTAGTATATTACAATATGATTTCAGTGATATGTACGGAGTAACTGTCTAACTAGGCAATATAATACGTTGAATGTGATGAAAACAGAAATATTACTAGGAATATGACTAATCAATTCATGCATTCCTCCATTTTTGTGTGGGAATGGCTCAATCCGAGAATACCCCGGGTAAAATACCTGTATCAAACCTGTCATCCGGCCCTTCCAAGTTATACATGGATTTGCCGAGCAGCTCTCTATCTCCCGATTTGGATAACAGCCCGAATAGGGTATAATGCTCCTGGCGGGCCATTTTCGTCGCAAGAAAGCTCACATCGTCGGTAGAGGGTACATTAGAGAGATTCACACTACCATCGCATACCATCACTTTGCTACTCTCGGTAGAGCCAAGTGAGGCGTATCCTATAGCAGAGATATCAACAGTCACTGCAACTATAATCACACGCTTAGAGGACGAACAATGTCAAGGCAGTAGCAAAGTAAATCCACGTCATTATAGGCCTCATGATTTCCCATTACGTAGAGATCCAAGAGATTTCAGCGACTTTTTGAGGAGCATCGAAAGAAAAACCGACCTAGATCATCATCCTCGGCTGCCGGTCACTCATATTATCTGTCGTATCCAACTGCAGGGACGTTCTGTGTCAACAGGGATTTGCAACTGCCCGAAATGCCCGGGGGCAGCCGATTGGCTCAGTAATCGGGCGCCCACGTGGACATCCATAGGTCCACGGGTACACGGGACGTGGCGCTCGCGTCTCTTCCGCTCAAATTTGGATCAGATAAGGCAATTTAAGGTCCTCTACAACGTCCATTGTCATTCGAGTGCACAGAGGATTATATACAAAAAGGATTTATCCAAGACATGTCTAATACTCAGGCAGCTCGTTTCTTTCGCTCAATTTATTTACCCCCCTATTTTCTAAGAAACATAAAATATCGGTCCTAATATCTCCATTCGGTTTAGTCCCAATACACTCGATTTTCGGCGTTTTAACACACCAAGATATTACGGAGTGTTCCTCGCTGAATCAATAGAGGATAAATGTTATATATATTTGGAACACGGTGTGAAATACCGTTTGTGTTATCCCCAAAAAGTACATATACGAGTTTTATCGTCGGATAAGAACGACTTCAAGAATGCCTTGGTAGTATATGCATCCTTACGTGTCCGCAATAAGAACACGGTGGCCGGTGTGGGGTATCATATTGCGAAATATATCTCCGTGGATGCGCTCCACAGCACAGCAAAAATATCGACATTGCATGTTCCAGAAAAATGTCGCAATGACCAAGGATTATAATCCCAGAAGCGTGCCCAGACCTTCACCGTATTAGGCTAGCTGCATGTTCCGTATACTTACTTCCTAGCGCTGTTGCCGGATGATTTTCATAATTTGGCTTTAGAGGGATCCCCGGATATTCTTGGTACCGATATAGTGATGACTATGTGGTCCTTGGCCAACTGAATGCTCTAAGAAGGCTCATGAATTCTATAACGGCTAACTCGAAAGCCACATTTTGAGCACTCAGCCCAGCGCTCTCGGGTCGAGTCTACTTAGCGCTACATTTTGAGTCGTACACAAGTCTAGAAATGAAAAATTGAAGGAATAATATGAATGTTCAATGGTTGAAGATCACAATGCGCTAAGACATGTTGGAAGGATATTCGGCCGAAAATGCCTCACATTCAAAAGCCGGCAAACACCCTACATATACAATTTACTTTATTACGCGGAGCAGCAAGAGGTCAAAGGTGCGATGTTTACAGAGTATAGGAGGCTGGCCTAGCAGTGCTTTATTTTCAGAAACACAGCAAATCGATATCGAACACTATTGAATCCTTGGCGAATCATCTAAACCTTATTCCACGCCATCGGACTAGCAATTATTTGTGGATATGAGATAAATAGGTGAAGTGCGACCACTTGCACTAAAATACAAAATATTGTACACCGTTGTGTAGGTCTCCCTAGAACAGCCATGTCAGGCAAGGATGTATAGAGACAACCCTGCTGGAGGGGGTATTGCGCCTGGATTTTTAATCATGAGCCATTTAGTTTTGGGCTATGGCCTCCAATTTTGAAGAAAATTGGAATAGTGGCGGGCTCGATCGCATTTCTGAAGTTAATAGTAAGCAGGGTCGAATCATATGCCAGTAGATGTTTGGTACTCCATTTTGCTCCGTTTGGTACCTGGAAGAGAACAAATAATTACCAGCGGGAATTGTGATTTCACTAGGAAACAGCATCCGACAAAATATATGAAGTGTGATATTTATTTGTTATTGTATGTTACGGGTATATAATAGGAGGATGTATATAGGATGAATGAATGTAGGTACACTGCACATGTGCGTCACTGTCCTGCAGTGAAATAAACTTCTTGGGATCCACTTTCGCCCTTTTCTTTCCCTCCCCCCTTTGATCATGATCTCCAGGGGCCCTTGCCCAGGTGGCATTGGTCTGATCGCGTTTTTCTTTTTCTTCTTCCATCTACACAATGGAGAGAACAATGGATAAGGAGATGGTGTCCCATGACGTTGGCATCGACGCGGCCGACCAGGATGATTGGGACATGCAGCGCCTAGGAAAGACCCAACAGCTCAAGGTGAGTTGCGCATTGCCCGAAACAGAACCTCATCCTAATCAACGATAGAGGAACTTTCGTTTTTACTCGATCTTAGGTTTTACGACGACGTTGATGGCCACGTGGGAATCGATTTTGCTGTGAGTTTGAACACGAGATATCATAAAAGGACACCGAATAATGGGGAATGCGCAGCACGAGTACCTACGGCTTGATTGATGGAGGACGAGCCGGCATGGTCTATGTGTATATTGGATCCTTTGTTGGGTTTTTCTCCGCCGTGATTTCCATGGCCGAGATCGCCTCCATGTACGTCCGATTTGACCTACATGTCGCGCACAGAAATTGACTTTGCCCAGCTCCCCAACGTCAGGCGGACAGTACCACTGGGTTAGTGAATTCGCTTGGCCGAGATATCAACGATTCCTCAGCTATCTCACCGGTTAGTTTACATGCCGATTTCAACCCGATGATCTCCAGCGCTAATCCTTTTCTAGGATGGCTTTCGGTGCTAGGCTGGCAAGCGGCTTTTGCTAGTATTTGTTACCTTTGCGGGACACTGATCCAAGGACTACTGGTCTTCAACTACTCGGATCCCTCCGGTTGGATGTATAGCTTTGAGCGCTGGCATGGGACACTGCTGACCATCGCTATTGCCGCCGTCGGAACTGTGGTCAATACCTGGGGCTATAAGATACTCCCTCCCATGGAGGGCCTCATCCTCGCCATTCACCTCCTCGGATTCATCGCCGTCGTTGTCCCGATGTGGGTTATGTCCCCAGGACAGGCCTCTGGGGAATCTGTCTGGAAGGAGTTCACAAATTCTGGCGAATGGCCGAGCATGGGCCTTGCATGTCTGGTGGGCCAGCTGACTCCGATCTTCTCCTGGACAGGCCCGGATGCTGCTACACATATGTGTAAGTCAATTTCACTAGCTCTCCCAATGGGCGATGATGGCTAATATACATCAGCCGAGGAGGTCCGGAATGCTTCATTTGTAATCCCGTGGTGTATGGTGTCGACCGCTTTGATCAATGGCGCACTCGGTTTCATTATGCTAATCACCTTGCTGTATAATATGGGAGATTTACAAGATGTGCTTGCCCCGGCGAGTGGATTCTCCTTCCTACCAGCAGTTAACCATGCTACTGGCTCCGTGGCTGCCACCAACGGTATTGCTTCTATCATTTTTGTCATGGAAGTGTGCAGTGCTATCGGGATTCTTGCGACCGTCTCTCGCCAGACCTTTGCCTTCGCCCGCGACGATGCCCTGCCGTTCTCCAAGCATCTGGCTCACGTCAACCGACGCACCCAGATTCCCGTCTGCTCTGTGTTGGTATCGACCATTATCACCGTGTTGCTGAGCTTGATCAACATCGGATCTACCGCCGCCTTCAATGCAGTCGCATCTGTGATGATTGCTGCACTTTTCACCACTTATATCTTGCCAATCGCCGCCGTCATTCGTGTCCGTTTTCAGCCCGGCGGTATTCCCCCATCGCGCTTTTCGCTCGGTATCTTCGGGTTACCGATTAATGTCTTCTCACTGGCTTGGCTTTGCTTTGCCATCATTTTTACCTTCTTCCCAACCGCTAATCACCCGACCCTGGTGGATATGAATTGGTCTATCCTCGTATTTGGGGCCGTGGTCATTTTCGCAATTGTTTTGTATATTGCGCACGGCAGCCGAGTATACCGTTCACCTGTGACCCAAGTGCGCAAGATTGAATGAAGCCATACATTGGTATTGGGTCAACCCCAGCTCATTGACCCGAATTCCTGCGCCCAAACGCACTATTTATTTTGGCACCAAGCGCTGGCCCATCTTTTGCGTGTATGTCTGGAATTTAATTGAACCCTGGAAATATTTAATAGAGATAACTTGATACCCAACGCAATCCAAATCCTGCGTTTACTCCGAATCAACCATTGGGCCTCATGCGTGGCACCCGACCAGGTGCACAAAGTACCTTTTCTCCAGTCGACGCGGAAGAATCTTGTTAGACTTGACTATCGACCAAGTGCTTTCGGGGACCTCCGACCTTCTTAAGAAAGTATCTGGTAATATCTTATCAAAGTGAGTTGATTCGACAATAGTCCTGCCCTATCAGAGATCGCAAAATGCCCTGCACACATCCAGTTCCGTTTGTGATCGGTATGTAGAAACGGCACATATCTATCGGCATGAGGCCAGAGGGCAATGATCTCAAACATTTGACAATCATCTAAATCAACTCCTCTTTTGATAGTGTTCAACTACAACACTCGAAGCATTTCTTATCAGCCCGGCCGAAGCAACCCCTCACCCCCAGGATGCACGTACAACATACGGAGCTATATGGCACAGTGTGATAAGTTCATGTGACACCCAGTGACCTATAAATGGTTTCACACTTCACCGTTTGCACATATGCAACTGCCCTCGGTTGTTTAAAGATGTCATCTCAAACCCGATACATCTCTCGAGTGATTCCACGTATCTCGTTTCACGATTTCGAAGATCGAATCGATGAAATCACTGATCAACTGATCAAATCCGCCGAAAATGTCGGATTCTTCACCTTAATTGGCCATGGAATCTCAGAAGAAGACATCGAATCAATGTTCGCGATATCGAAAAGTTTCTTCGATCTACCAGACGAGGTCAAAGCAACTGTCCCATGGAATCCAAACAACGTCGGATGGGAAAAGAACTCACAAATCCGACCATCCACCGGAAAGCCCGACAGCAAAGAGTCCTATCAGCTGCAATTCGGCGAGAATATGAATGAGCTCTGGGTCAAATACGACGACCTACCTGGTTTCCAAACCGCATGTCTCGATTTTATGAACCGCACCCAAAAAGTATCGGAATGTCTGATGCGATGCTTTGCACGGGGTCTGGGGTTTCCTGAAAACTTCTTCATCGAGTGTCATGGTATCTCGCGACCGAACTCGCAAACCACCATGCGTCTACTCCATTACTTTGCGTTGCCGGAGGTTCCTGATGGGAAGGTATATCATCGCGCAGGGGCACATGCCGATTGGGACTTCTTGACTTTACTTTTTCAGAAGGGCGGCCAGGATGGGCTTGAAATCTGTCCCGGTCGCGAGGTGGTGACAGAGTTCGGTATTGGAGATGAATGGACCAAGGTGTCGGCTAGGACTGGTGAGATCGTGTGCAATATCGGCGATTTACTCATGTCCTGGTCGGATGACCGGTTCAAGTCGACTCTTCATCGCGTCAAGGCTCCTTGTGAAGCGGGTGACTTTTTTGGCGATCGATACAGCATTGCTTACTTCAACCAGCCTTGTAGGGATGCTTTGATCCAGGGGCCTTTGAAGAAGTATCCGATGGTGACTGGGGCTGAGTTTACCGATACGGCTATGAAAAGGAACTTTGCTGCTTTGCAGGAGAAGTTGAAGACGGTCGCAGCGGCATAACTCGATCTCGGGATCGCATGGGCATCGGGTCTTCATCTAGGTTTGTTAGGAGGGTTTCCGCACGAGGGTAGTTTCGCATAGGGCCGCATAGGACTGTGGGCAAAATATAACCGAGGGGTATTGAGACGATAGTTACGGCCTGAGAGGACAGTAACGGCCGTAGTAGAAGTCAATGAACATATTACTCTTATAGGTTTCCAAAGTCCCACCAAGTTGAAAATCCGTCAATGTTTCCGAGACCCGCTTCGGAATCTGGATAGCCCACATTGTTCTCCATATCAACAAATTGCGAAGGATCGGTCCAAAGCCAGGGGGTGTTGGTCATTAAGCTGTCGGCGGGCGCAACGAGTTTCTCACCAAGGTCGGGGTCGGAAGAAGCTGGCGTGGAAGATATGTGCGGCATGGTTGGTGGAATGTGGGCAGCTTGACCACCATCCGCAGTGTTAACGGTGACGTTTGGGGACATCGCGACAATAACCTCTAGTGTTGAGGCTGGATTATCCTCTGCCTCTTCTGTAGAGACGGTTGGGGTCAACGATGGATGTAGCAAGCCACCCGTCGACACTTCGTGCGGCTTAGGTTTACAGTTGACTTGAAGAACATCCCACATCAAAGGTATGCTGAGATGGATCTTCTCCGGCTCCCAATCATACTCGATGTTTTCCGAGCCGGACGCAATCCGAGTCATTTTGTCCAGCGTTTGATCCTGCGCGTTTGTCAGCATTGGTAAGTGCTTTTTAGTTCCATGAAACCCACCAAGATACCACAAGCAGGCGAAAAGGACACAAAGCTCTTCAGGAACCTTCGACATTTTGTGAAATCAACCTTGGATTTGTACTTCAGTCGGGGGTCCGCGGCACAGCAGTAGTACAGATGCACTGTAGCTGCAATGGCGGCAGCATGTCCGAAAAATGGATCGATCAGTCGCATCTTCTTCTCAGACACCATATCGATCATGCGGACAAGCCAGGTAGCATGTAACAAGACCAACTCAGATGACCGTCTCCAGAAAGCATTTGGGATTGCTAGGTTATCGTTGTATTGTGATGCAACAATGTAGAGGAAGGGATGGTTCAGGACGGTCAGAATGCAATGGTAAGTGAACTGCAGTTTCAGCCATGGGGTCCAGTAGTTTCGGTTAGATCTCAGCTCCTCTGCCGTTCGCTCGAAAAATTTGACAGTGTCATATCGATGGCACTGGGAGAGCTTGTTTTCAATTTCTGTCAGGTCAGATAGCACCATGGCGTACATGGAATCGTGTCGCCAGGGTTCTTTGAGCCGATTACGAGCACAGTCAGAGACATACGTTCGTACCCTGCTCCAAACCCAGCCAAAATGGGCTGCTAGGCTCCAAATACCCATATCGGACGATTTCAAGCAACCAAGATCATCTGTCGGCAGCGGAGGTGGCTTAGCCTCCGTTCCATTTTGTTTTTCCCGGTCGCTACTGGATGCAATATAGAAGGTGCGCATGAGCTCTGACGGTATACAGAGATAACCATTCTGCTGCCCGTAGGACTGCTCCAGAGATTGAAGACTCCAGAATAGACGCTTCTTACGCTCAGCCATGGGACCTTCGCCCGCATGACTTGATTCGAGATCCAGCGTCGCTGATCGGCAAAGATGCAGTGCAAGACCGAGATAGAAGCGGCCCAGGTGTATATCTCCATCTGGAATAAAGTCAACATTTCAAAACTCTTCACTCAGTGTCCAAGGCCCATACCTAGAAATGAGGAATATGACAGCAGGCAGAGACTCTCAATGGTTTCCAGTTCCACTGTCCCATTGGCCATACGAAGCATGACCAGGCTCCTTGCACTATCTCCATAGTGTTGCAGATTGTCACGATCTCTTGAAAATCGCGAGGTCAAGGCGAGTAAGCAACAGACAAGCTCCTCTGACAGATAAGTTGGGTCTGAGACATCTTCACGCTCAAAACACCAAATTGGTTGTCGGTGGCAATACTGGAAATAAATATCAATGGCTTTAGCGATCGCAGATGATGATGGCTGAGAGCTGGAGTCTTCGTAGTCCAACCCGAGAAAGAAAGAGTCATTGACTGTGCTTGGTTCAATCGATAATGGACGTGTTGTGGCCGGGTAAGATGTTCCTGATATTCCATTGCCTTTCTCCTGTGGCTTCTCTGACTGAATCGCTTGAGTTGGTCTACCACTCAGAATTAGGTTTACCTTCTCTTCAAGGAATGCTAGCCTGTCGTCCTGTAGAACAGAACAAGAAATTAAAAAGTCAAAGATTGGCCACTGATAGCCACAAGTCAGCACATACAGACTGCCCTCCTCGAGACCCTCTGGGTATTGTGGTGTAGATGCATGGCTGATTCAGGCGGACACAGCTTGAGCAGGACGGTTTTTCGGCTGGACATCGGGTCTTCTTTCTTCTGTATGGACATCAACTCTATCCTTACAAATAGACGATGGATTGGTTTACCTGCAGTTGAGACAGGCCTCATGGGAACGCAGTCTTCCGCGGGCGCTCTCTCGTGGCATCATTGAAAGGGAAAATAAAAATGGATGGGGGATTTAGCGGGGTACGGTTGAGATAAAAGATAGCAGAACGTTGAGGGATCGTTAGGGATATTTAGATAATAACACAAGATAATGCAGGTTAAAAGTCCAGGCCTTGGAATTGGAGAGAAAGGAGGATCTCCTTTCCCCTCATATACGTCTTGCACTGATACGTAGGCTCGAAGGGGTTAAATTATCCGTGGACTTCTCCAGATGGTCTTCTCTACGCATCTCTCTAGGTTAAAATTAATATTGACACTGCGTCTAACAGCTCTGAGCATCTAGAACCATCACAATACCTAGGTATGCTGTATAATTGGTCAGGTTTCCGTTGAGCAGCCTTTATCAAATAAGAAAGTTCACATGACCTTCGATGCTTCAAACTTCGATTTGACAGCTGACTGGTGATATGCTTGCATGTAACGTGTCATCTTCGTGAGAACAAATCAAAGCTAAAAATCCATGACTGCTATTATGCACATCAAACCACCATAGTTTCGGGTGCTGTTGCCGCAACAGTGGGAGGTCCACCTCCACATCCTCCTCCACAGCAACCCCCCGCAGTCAAGGCGGATGTGTCATTGTTGGTCAGCTTGGAGCAAAAGTCCATATCCTCTTTGCTGACTGCTTCTTCTTTGGGGAGTCTTTGTCGTGCAGGCCAAATCTCCTCCCCGGCATCCTCTTCCCGTTGACGGTGTTCAGTGATCAAGTCACGAACGATAGTCTGGAAGTGGACCGATCCCTCTTTTGTCCGAGAGAGGATTTGTCCATTTACTGAGGCCCCTCTGTTGAAGTTGCTTTGTGTGTTGATAGAAAGCTCTGTGTCTTCAGACAAAATACGTTTGTGTGTTTCATTGGTGAGGTCGAACTCTTCATCGCTAGAGTTCTTGTTGCGATAGACCTCACAGCGCACTGAGCATGTGTTGGGGCCCGTTGATACAAGGCGCTGCATGCAGAAGAAATGTGGCCTGCATTCGAAATTAGCATCAATCGGACACATCGGGAGACAAGTACAATTGCGCTTACAATATAGTCATAGCAGCGTTGGGGAAATAGTAAGTACTGGCAATCTTCAGCCCATTGGAAACCTCCTCGGGTATGGATCTTCCGTCTTTGGTATCCGCAGTGTGTGAGTTGAGGGAACTCGAGGGAGTGTACGATTCGCTGTAGGTGTCTGCTAGAATTTTCCAGTTATACTCTCCACTCATCTCCCAGGTGTGGTCGAAGTTATAATCCTCCGAGTTAAAGCCCTCGTAGCCTGTCTGTAGCTCTCTCATTTTGAAGTCATCTTCCCACGAGATCTCAGGTTGTTCACCGGCATCTAAATTAAGCCAGACAAATCCATTGACATCAACGTGTACGTGAATCGGGAGAAGGCCGTTCTTGCTCTTGTCGAAACCTTCCAAATCCTGATAACCGGGTGCTTTGGCAAGTTTCCCATTAAGGCCGTAGGACCATCCATGATATTGGCAAGAGAAAATCCTGGAAGTGCCACCCTCTTCGGTGACCACGGGGAATGCACGGTGTCGACACACGTTGTGGAAAGCATTGATATTCCCCTCGCGATCTTTCACCAAGATAAATGCATACCCAGCAATCTCGTACCGCAGCCAATCGCCTGTTTCGTTGAAACGTAGCTTGTGTGTAGTCAGGAGCCATTTTCGAGAAAAGATAGCCCGTCTCTCAAGCTCATGTATATCCTGTGATGAATACCACGAGGCGGGGAGAGGGCAGACTGAGAAACCGTCATCAGCAGGGTTGGAAGACGCCTCTGTTTGCTCCAGTCCGAGGTCACTTTTGAGCATCGACATTATGAACGTTGAAAGATAAGCTTATGCAGAAAGACCAATTGAGTGAATTTTGTTCCCAGTCTGCCATCTCGAGCAGAACGGGCGTGCCTTATTATAGCCATGCAATCTTGAGATCCCACCGGGAGCTCTCATGCTCATGAGTCCATGCTTCCCAATGAGGATACCAAATTCACAGGTGTTGACCGATCACAGGATCGGAACGGAGGGTAGGCCGTTTATCGCCCGACCTTCTTTTGATGATCTTATAGACCGTCCTAGAACCCGACGACCCACCAGATATCGGTTGACGGGTGCACTACCGCCTAAGATGAACGCCACTCGGGTGATCGGATTTCGTGCCCGCGCTGGCAAAAGCAATGCAGGACAAAAACTTCCTATTCTGCATGCTTTCAATGCTCGAAGGTTATGAGAATAGACATTCCAAATCAGGATAGACCGTGGTACATTGCAGCTACGAGCTCTAAACTCGAACCCCAATTGGATCTTTATCACCACAGTTGCTCAAAAAGAGCCATCAAATTATTTTTAGAGTCAGCTCCTCCGCATAAGCTCTCAGCCGATCACATGAGCGGGTTATGAGGTTATCAGCAAGTTGGGGTCCCCAGTCTCTTTCTGTCTGCAGATGAAACCTTCATTGTTTGTCTGACATTGAATTGCTGAACTTGCCGATAGAATGGAGTGTCGTGCGACATTGTAGTAGTGACTGGATTGAAATCAGATACGCTGAATATGTAGAGTCGACAACCGAGCTTATGCCGGTTCCAGCACCCCGCACGGGACCGACATCGTCTTCGAGTCGATCTGCAGGAAAAACACACCGCTGCGTATTATCCAAGGCTAGTCTGCCTAATATGAGCTCAATCGGCGATAATTATACCATACACAAAGTCGCATTAAAAAGAACCCGGCAAGCTTGTGATCCTTGTCGGTAGGTGCCAAGCCCCCCATAAAAAAAATCTCAAGACCATTAGGGTACCCGATAGATGGCCAGTTCGGTTTCTAATATGACACCCTGACAGCCGGAAGAAAGCGCGCTGCCCAGGCGAAAAGCCATCATGTTCACTATGCCACAGACTAGGCCAACGCTGTTCGTACGGACCACAGGCGTCCCGTGCGAAGAACCACTCGGTGTCGGCTCCTGTTGGAAACCAGGAAATGCAGCAAAGCACCAATGAGGTAACATGTTTTCCTTCATAACCATGCCAGTAAATTTGGGGTAAAACTTGGGACCATGCTAAATTTATCAGATTCAAGGGGCTACGTCGGATTCTGGGAGGCTTCAGCGCATCGAAGAAAGGCTGGACATGATCACACATTTACTTCGGTATGGATCAAACGTCATTTCTAAGCCCTAGAAGCCGCTAATCAAAATTACCTGTCAGATCCAGCAGAAAAGGCTTACCAAGGTCTAATTCAATACAAGAGATATCAAGTGATACCGAGCTCCATGATGACCTCGAGCTGCAAGAAGCTACTTATGACGACCTCGAACCCATGGATCGCCCAGAGAACCACTCACTGGACTCTCAAGGGTACGTTTGAATCCTCCTTTTTTTGCCATCGCAGGGTTCCTGATGAAAATGAAACAGGCATGGTCTTTCAGCTGCATTTATCGAGCAGGAAGTGGAGACTTACCTAGCCTACTTTCATGACCAGCCATATTGTCCTTTCTCCAAAGATTGGCTGTTAAGATATACCAGCTCATTACCACCAGAGATCGCATTCCCATTAGTGGCCCTCACCTCTCGTCTGCCTCGGCCATCTCGTGGATCTTTACATGAGAATACTGGTGTCAAAACATTCGCAGACAAAGCTTGGGACCTTTTGTCAGATCAATACAAAGGTGGCAAGATGGGTCTTTCATTTCTCCAGGGTACATTTCTGATGGCCCAGGTAGATTTTGCAGATGGAAAAGCCCATCGAGGGTATGCCTCGGTTGCCCTTGGATTAAGTGCTATTCAATCTGCAGCATTGAATAAAGCAAATGACTCATATCCGCATGACCCGGACGTCGAAACGAGAAAACGCATTACCTGGGCCTTTTTTATGCTGGATCGCACTTATAGTGCTTCCAAAAATCACTCATTGTCTCTATCAGACAAGCAATTCACACTTCCATTTCCTTACTTAGAGACGGAGGCTCTATTCGGCAATAACGAGCCACTAGCCCACGGCTCTTTGCATGATGGTCCTGGAAAGCAAGGGCAAAAGGTTGATCATGGCATTCTTGTATGTCTTCTGAGGCTGTACTCATTATGGGGAAAAGCCACAGAGTATATCTTCGAACCAGTTGCCGAGAATGCGTTGCCTCCCTGGCAAACTGGCTCCGCTCTTGCGATCCTGGAATCAGAGTGGTTGCAATTTGAAACACATTTTGCAGACGCGCATCGATATATCAACGTTGATTTCAAAAGCCGCGCCCGAGAAGATCCACAGCCACGCACATATCTCTCGACCTGGGTGTGTGTGCAATTCCTTTTTCACTCAATCCAGTGCTTGCTACACCACCCATTCGTGATCATGACCAAACTTCGCAACTTCAATGGAAATTTGTCCGCGACATTTCTGCAAAAGTCATTTGAGACATCACTTCTCCACTCTCGGTGGATAGTTCGGTTTATAAAGGAAATGTCCGAGGTCAACTTTCAGGTGTTTGATCCTTTTCTGGGATATTTAGCGGCCATCGCAGCAACAATTCAGCTAGAGCACACTGGCAGCAAAAATCCGCAGATTGCTCTTCTGCTCAATAAAGAATTTCGAATCCTTGTTGACTTCATGACGGAGCTGTCGTTGTATTGGAAAAATATGAGTGTTCTGGTGAGTCTCCTAGCGGAATATCGAATCAAAATGCTAACTATCTTCTCTTAGGTTAACAAGGTGAATGACCTTGCCGCTCGCCACCAAAATTATGGCTCACTTTATTATAACCAGGAGGGGTTTTCGGGCGCTTTGTCCAAAATGCCGACTCCCTCGAATATGCCTCGAATGTCCGTAGAAGACGAAGGTCTTATGTGGGAAATCCTCGATTTTGGCTGCTCGTCAGGGGGAGATGAGGCAATAAAGTTCGGGGATTTGGCTATTCCTCAAAAAAGTGGCATAAGAGCGAACGAAGGGCCGGTCGCACAAAGAACGCAACTGGTAGGTCAGCAAAACAACGATGACCAGAGAGAGCGAATGGCGACAAATATCCCAAGCCTTGACCATCTTTCTGAGTCGATCAACGAAGGTCCTTTGCCTGAGTGGCCATTTCAAAGCCGGGGCGGTGGTGATGTGATTGGGGCAGCAATGCCGGACATTCCAGACTGGATGATCTTGGGAGATTACATGGCAGAACATCTATAAGATAATTAAAGGGGGCCTGTGAGTCTTCCAGGATAATGTATCCTGGGCATGTACTTGTGCCATATATCCTTCTGGTTCTACCTGTGGACAATTAAGGTGGCCGTGATCTGACATAATATATTCCTCAAATAGTTATGTGTTGACACTGAAAATAATCAATGTTTCTCTCTATAAACCGGTGGGTCGCTTTGAAAATGCCTGTCGTGTCTTCAAATCTTGCTTGGTCGGGAAGAAGCAGCTTTCAATGCCGTGTCAAAGGTGTCCAGCTCTTGAGCAGTCAGCTCCCTTCGCTCTGGTCCTCCGCGACTTCCATCTCCCGTGAATACCTCTCCCTGGAAGCGCTCACGGAATTGGGTGGGGAACTTCCACTTGTCAAGCAACTCCTGTGAAAGCTTGCGTTGGAAACTTCCAACAATATATTTTCCAATGACAGGCAGGAATTTGAAGGCACTGGAGACGAGGATGTTAGTGTGACACCCTTGAAAGGTTCTCTGGTTCACTTACTGTCCGCTTCCACCAGTGGCAATGAACAAGTTCTTGTGCTCCGGGTGGAAATCAAAGATGAAATCTCCGGTCGGAGTGTCGTTGTACCAGCAGATTCCTACCTTTTCGAAGCCCCTTGATGCCAGCTGCGGGAAAAGATCCATCAACCCAGACGTGAGGCGTTTTAATCCATCAGCGGGGATGTAATTAGCTCGCGAAGCGACTGCCGAGCTAGGTGGTGCGGATGTGACAGAGGCCTCCGCGCGAGTATAACCGAAGCCATGACAGGCAACTTTTAGGTACCCTGTTGGCTCATGAGGGGGGAAGGCAAAGAAGCCAGTAGAAAAATTGAAGTAGATGGGCAGATCTCGGAGCTGGGTGACTTCGTCCGGGGTGAGGCGCAGATATCCCACAACCTGTCCTGCAGCGAGCATCGAGTTCCAAGCTGGGATGAGACTCGAAGTCCATGCGCCGGTGGCGACGATGAACTGGTCGCCCTCGACCCTTCCGTTCCTGGTACGGACAGCTTTGATCGTTCCGTCTGGTCGTTTTTCGAATTCTTCAACCTGGCCATTCGGGCCTGTTATAAAAGATACACCAGCTGAAGCACATCGAGACATGAGGCGAGCGCAAGCAAGGCCTGCATCTGCCCATCCAGCGGATTTGTTGTAGAACCCATCAAACCCAGGAGTGGCTAGTCGGCCAGTCAATTTGGGGAAATGCTGTTTCGCCTCTTCCACGCTCCCAACGGGAACCCATTCTTGGCCCATCTCAGTCAGGACACGCTTTGTCTTGCGGCTGTACTCCTGTGCTCGAGGCTGCACGGGCTGTTCTGGGGTGCCATCTTGACAGACCCATAAACAAGGTGTTTGATGGAATGCTTCCTGGTAATCCGGGGTCTTCCAAAGGTCGAACGCCTCTTTGGCAATCTCGGCGTATATGGGGTCACCATAATCGAATCGAATAACGCGAGAGATGTCATTGCTCGATCCGTCTGGAACTGGCGGAACTGAACGGTCCAGAATGGTGACTGATTTGTAGCCTTCTTCTTTCAATCTCAGTGCAGTGCCTAGACCGAAGGCCCCAGCTCCAATGATGACGACTCGTTGATTTTTGTCCATTGCAATTGTGACAGTTGAATTAAAAAACTGTTAAGAGGTCCCCGAGGGCTGTTATATATTTGACAAGCGGAAGCCATGATCCGTTCCTCATGGTCCGTGAAGAGGTGCATTGGGGACAGCATTTCTGGTTTTCCAATCTCAGGAAAATATTTCCTTGTTTGGAAATAGCAAGCTGATGCATTCCTTGAATACTGTGAACAATAATAACCGTGTGCCGTAGGTCCAATGTTGTACATTGAGGGGAAGGACGGCCCGTAAACAGCACGGTCCGGGTGCGGTCCGGCTACGGGAGTCAGCAAAGCCCAGGTGTGTCGTTCTCCAATCCCTGACTCAGCAAGTGCCGTACCCGTGGACCCGTGGACCCGCTAGCCCTCCCTGCAGCCCACCTGCAGACCGTTCACTGGTTCACTCCAATCGATATCCCGTACATGCATTTATCTACCTTTAGCACTTGAATACGACCAGAATTCCGGTGAGCGCCGCCCAGGCGAGAAAATGGGCGAGTATCACCCCGAGTTGCGCGATCGCCGCCGCACAGACCCCGTCAGCGGGTTAGATCATTGGATGGTGTTCTCTGGGGCTGGAGTACAGGGTCTCCGCCATCTGCACATACTCGGCCCAACGCACGGCCCAACTCTCGCGAGTTGGACCAAATAACCAGAGAGTATGATTCGAGAGAGAAGTCAATTCTATTGATTCTGTCCTTGCGTGTTTGAGGCTGCTTTAACTATGGATCCCCTGAGCATCACCGCCGGCGTGCTTGCCCTGCTACACGCTTCACGCAAAGTGATTGATCTCCTTTCAACGATAAACTCCGCGTCAGCTGAATTACGCTGTCTTACAGTGGAGATCAGTACCACCCGCGCTCTTCTCTCAAGTATCGCGGATATCGCTGCCATAGATGAAACATGGAACCGGAGTTTACGAAAATTGATGATCAACGATGGCCCTATGGAAATGTTAAAAACACTTCTATCTAAATTGGAGCACCGCTTGGGCCAGGAAGTCAACATAAAGGGTGAGCCAGGGCATCTGAGACAGAAGCTAACTTGGCCATGGCGAGCCCATGACACGCGGGAAATGGTAAAAATCGCAAGGGAGGCTAGGGGGTTACTCGCCGAAGCTCTGGCCGTGGACCATTTGTGAGTGCTTCTACTTGATATCTAGATATGTTATTCCTGGTTACACCTGACTATCACAAGTCAAGATGAGAGGTTCCTGGTCTATCTTTGAACTTCTCTAAAGCTTCTATAATCCAGCACCATTTCGAAGGAAATCCGACAAGAAACCAAAAAGATCTATGAGCATTCTCAGGAAACTTTGTTCCGGCAGAATGGTTCGTCAATCGTTGACTTCAACTTACAAAAATAATAATCTAACCCAACTAGTAAGCGAGCAACGGATGGTGGTCAAGTGGCTATCAACTGTCGATCCGGCCGAATCTCACCACTCTGCCCGCGCTAAACACGAGCAGGGGACCGGGGACTGGCTGCTTGACTCAGAGGAACTGCGCCTTTGGTTGACTAATGCCAGGGAGGTGATTTGGTTGTATGGAATTCCAGGATCAGGGAAGACAGGTATGTCATGCAACTGCGACAAGTCCATGGGTGATGTTGACGAGCTCAGTGCATTGTTCGACAATCATTGAACATGTTCAAAGAATCTGCAGAAACGAAGAGAAACCTGTTGCTTTCTGTATCTATTATTATTTTGAGTTTAAAGATCAGAAACGGCAAACCTTTGATGGCTTTATCAGGTCAGCCATTGCCCAAATTTGCCAACAAAGCGCTGTATTTCCGCGACAGGTAAGGAGACTGTACGAAGACAAAATTAACAAGGGCCAAGATCCGAGCGCAGCGACTCTTGTTGAAACATTCCTCATACTTTTGACAGAAATTGGAAAGTCATATATCATCCTTGACGCTTTAGACGAATGCCTGGCGCAAAAAGAGATATTCGACCTAATTCAGAGGGTTAAAGACAACATTGCATGCTCAGCAAGTATTATGGTTACTAGCCGCATGGAACGGCAGATCGAGACTGGGCTCCAGGATCTGGTAACTAGGGCAATCCCCATCCGTGGGCCACAAGTGGACCATGATATCCAGACATTTGTCCGCCATGTTCTTGTATCAGATCCAGTGTTGAGCAAGCGCCCAATTCAGATGAAGAATGAGATTGAACACGCCGTTGTGAACGGTGCCAGTGGAATGTATGTCTCTGACATTTGATGTGAATATTTCCTGGATCCCATCATTGACCACAGTTAGTGCAGGTTCCGACTAGCAGCATGTCAACTCGATGCCTTACGTTCCTGCTTGTCCCCATCAGCCGTGCGGAAAACCCTACGGTGCCTCCCTCAGACATTGGACGAGATATACGAGCGTATTCTTTGCGGAATTGACGAAGAGTCCCGCTCTATCGCTTCGACAGCGTTGCAGTTTCTAACAATCTCGGCGCGCCCAGTCAATTTGGATGAGCTATCTGAAATGGTGGCTATCAGACCTGGAGTCAGTGTTCTCGTCGAGATCGATAGACTCTTTGATCCTGCAGATATCCTGGCTGTATGTTCCAGTCTTGTTACCATCTCGAGGGTATTTGGGGTTCAATTGTCACACTACTCTGTCCGGGAATGTTTGACTTCGGACCGGATATCGACAGGGCCAGCTAGTTACTTTGCCATAAAAGAGCCTGAAGCACACTTAGCGATCGCACAGCGTTGCTTGACCTACCTGCTGTCTTTTGATCAGCCTGTTATGCCAGACCAATTTCACACCTCATCATTGGATGGGTCCTTCGAAACAAGCTACCCCCTGCTAGAGTACGCCACGTTCGAATGGCATACTCATGTACGGCTTCTCCCTTCAGAATACCAGAACCAGACTGGGCCGATGATTCTTCGTCTTTTGGATCAAGACAACCTCGCCTTTCACCATTGGCTTTCTATCTATCGGTTAGGTGAAGATGAACACAGTCCTGGAAGTCCATTATATTATGCTGCAGAGTTGGGATTATCTTCCATGGTTCGCACGATTCTCGACGCAGGCGCTGATGTCAATGTTGTCGGCGGTATGTTTGGATCACCACTTGCAGGTGCGGCTTTAGAGGGGCATATGGATGTTGTTTGCATTTTGTTAGAGCACGGCGCAGATGTCAACATTCAAGGTGGCCTGTATCATACGCCTCTACAAGCTGCTTGTGTGGAACGAAGACTTGATTTGTTCAATCTTCTACTTGCTCACGGCGCAGACATTAATATCGCTGGGGGATACTACGGTTGTGCTCTCCAAGCGGCTGCCGCGCGAGGGTGGCCTAACGCCGCCCTCCATCTCACCAGTTTAGGTGCAGACATCAACATAATGGCAGGGCAGTTTGGCACAGCGTTACAGGCTGCATCGCGATATTGCCACGAAGAACTTGTCATGGAGCTTTTGGCGAAAGGTGCGGACCCAAATGCTGCCGGTGGCTACTACAACACTGCCCTCCAAGCAGCTGCTCGAGGTGGACATACTGAAATTATTCATATGTTGCTGGAACATGGAGCGGATGTGCACATGGAGGGTGGATTCTGTGGCAGCGCTCTACGTGCTGCTCAGTCTCGACAAAATCACGCCGCTGTTGATATTCTTGAAGCTGAGCTCCGATTGAGTGATGCAGACAGGCGTTTATCGCTAAGATTGAAGGGGCTGCCCGAGGAAACTGGAAGGGATCGCGAGGAGAGTCCTCTGTAGAATGAGAATCGTTATTTTCCTGGCCGCTTTACTGCCTTGGGGACTTGCGACTATGTTCCATTCAGAGATATACCCACACTTTAATTCCTGCATACTTCTCTTTTCCAGTTTCCCCCAATGGCACTTCCTCCAGTATCGAATCCTTTGACCACCAAGCCAACTATCCGCTGTCATGAACCGCGGCTTAGCTGAGGCATCTATTTACAGCCTAGGGTATATCTATCAGAGGATATTGTATTGTCCGACAAACACCTTGACTATCCCGGGGTTAAGATCCGAAGCTCTAGCGGCGGAGTTTAATAATTAAATCCGTCCGCTCGGGCAGTTCTCCCGTGCGAGAGCGCGAGAGCTCTCTTGATTTAGACGTCGTGATTTGCTCTATAAATATGCAGTGCTCCTTGTAAATATGCATGGATATGAACACTAATATCATTTTTTGCGTGGCATAAATTCCATTGCTAAAGAGAATGGCAGCTTGTTCCAAAATCCTTCTACAAGGCGGTACTCTTCTGGTGCATGAAGTCGACGAGAGGGTGGTTGCGCGCCAGCTCGATCTCTTAATCGATGGAAACAACATTGTCAAAATTGAGGAAAAGATCGATGTCAATGAAGAGAGCGTTAAAATCATCAACTGCGATGGCAAAATAGTATCGCCTGGGTTCGTCAGTACCCACCATCACCTATGGCAAACCCAGCTAAAAGGTCAACACGGCAACCATACTCTTCTGGAATACATACCGTCCGGAAATTTCATCGGGTCACTCTATTCAACTGAAGATGCCTTCTGGGGTGAGTTGGGTGGGGCAATGGAAGCTATCGATGCTGGAACTACATCAGTGGTCGACCATTCAAGCCTCAATGTTGGCGATGAGTACCGTAAGAAGCTATACCCTTGCTTTGGTTTCAAGTGATACTGAATTGCGCAGCATCGACGTTGATGAATGCCTTGGTAACCTCCGGTCTACGAGCTGTGTACTGTCAATGTGTTCCGAGGACGGTTTTGGAAGGTTCTGTGATAGCTAGGGATGACTATTCCCCTACATCCGCACTTCGCACTTGGAAAGAGCTTGCAAAGGTTGCCCCTTTTGCTGACGGTAGAGTACAACTTGGCTTCGCGGTGGATAATCTATATCTCCCTACTAGTCAATTGCAGGAACTCTACACCGAGCTTCGATCAATGAACGCAAAGATCATTACTACCCATGGTGTAGGGGGAAAGGCCTTCAGTGACCCTCCGTCAGCTGTACAACTTCTGAACAACGCGGGTCTACTTGGTCCAGATATTCTTCTCTCACATGCCAATTTTCCAAAGGATGGCGATGCTGGGCTTTTGGCCAAGCACGGCGCCTCTGTTTCTTCAACACCAAACACAGAGCTCCAAATGGGCTGGGCACCTGTGGCATTCATGCCTGAATTTCAGCGAATTGTCAGCCTTGGAGTGGATTGTCACAGCTGGGGAAATGGATTCATGCCTGGACAAATGCGTATGTTACTTCAGCATGCCAGAACGAAGCATGCGGAAAGACTGGAAAGTGAAGGAAAGTGGAGCCGACATGTTGGACCTCTAGTGGAAGAGGTTTTCAATTTGGGGACGATTGGTGGCGCTCGGTCGATGGGAATGGCTGGCCAAATTGGGCAGATCAAGCTCGGAGCCAAAGCAGATTTGGTGATCTTTGATACTAAGAGCCCGTCAATGTGGGCTGCTGCGCAGGAAGATCCAGTTTCTGCCATCGTGCTGCATTCCAGCGAGAGAGACGTCGAAACCGTTATCGTGGACGGGGTTGTAAGAAAAGAAGGAGGCAAATTGCTGCCTGTTTCGATCGCTACCGCTCCTGCTCCTGCCGTAAGATTTACCTTGGGCAGACGGCAAGTCGAGTGGATCGATGTTATGACTGAAGTGTTGGAGAGCAGAAAAAGAATCAAAGCCAAAGCGCAAGGAATCGACTTCAAACTGGCAGAAGAAGCAGTGATTGATGGTTTTCACATGGATCGAAATACCCTGATGGAGGCCATCTAAGGGATTAATAAAAAAATCTATTGCGCAAGTCCAGACACCCATCCATGTCCGCAGTTGATGCACGAAACGATCAACCCGACGCATGAAGTTCGCAAGCATTTGCTAGGGCAACCTGTCTTTGCATTCAGCTTATGATTGAGAATCTCCAATCAAACCTGGTCACTTTTGCCTCACGTCTGTGCTCTACATCTTAGTCTCTTACTCTGTTGTTCTTCGAATGCTTGCCCTCTTTACCATTCCTGACCATGTGCAGCTTCCCTATCTTTCTGTCTCACTACCAACTCGTAGGCAACAATCAGGCGAGTACATCGGCTTTCGCATTAGCGGGATTGTAAATCAATACGCTAGCTCCGGCTTTTAAGACGTCGTACACAAGGTGTTTTTAGTCTGTATTATTCCTTAGGCGGGACGGCACCCGACCGGCCACAATATGATATTCAAGCATACATAATTGTCAGAGCATCAAGCATGCTACGTGGATCCGAAGGAATCAAGCGTACCTAGGCTTTTTCCGTGCTACTTTCGCATTGGAGATAGCCGGCGACAAACTTGATCTTTTCCTGACAATGTCCAAGAGCGGCTGCATCGTGGTCTAAATGTCTCACTTGGATTCGTTGAAATCTAGTTTTACTCCTGTAGTACCCATGTGAAGAAATGCCTGGGCGCAATCCATGTCTCTGGTGGTTGCTCAATAAGATGGATAGCATAACTCTCTACTACAGCCTTCAATCGCGCCCTTTATGGTGTCGGGGGTGCTATGTTCCTGTTTAGCTTAGCTTACAGCAGACTATTACAGTCAACCCCAACAGTTCAGTGAGTATATTCGAAATTCAAGAATTGGAACTCCTCTCCCTATGGATTTTTGCAAAATATTTCTAACTAATGAAACTTCCTATTGTTGTCGTGAACCCCACAAGAACAATATCAAGATGCTCGAGCCATTCTTCGTATTGTTGCCGTTCCATTGTAGACTTTTCGATTATAATATTTTTCTTTCCTCCTTCCTCTTCCTCAATTAATTACCCTAGCCATGGAACGAGTCGTCATTGTGGGAGCAGGTTGGTGGCAGTTGACAAGAAATTGGATTTTGGCTAACTTGTTAGGTCTTTACGGTCTCATCGCAGCGAAGACATACCTACAAATCGTCGGGGCATACGACGAAAAAGGCACAACCAATGGCACCGAGGAAATCGTCGATATTCCCCTCTGCTTCGCTGGGAGTATCGACGCTTCCCAAATAACCTCCTCCGAGCGTCGCCTTCTTGTGATTGACTCTGCCTCCGATATTGGAGGTACCTGGGCTGAGGAGCGTCTGTACCCAAATTTGTTGAGTCAAAACTCGTATGGGCTTTACGAATTCAGTGATCTGCCTCTTTCCGACGTTGTTCCAGAGGAACATGCGGATGATACACACAATCAGTTCATTGCAGGTTGGAAGATCAACCGTTATCTCCATGCTTGGGTTGAAAAATGGCAACTCAAGAAACACATAAGATTGAATTGGAAGGTAAGATATCCCCAAACAGTGCTAAATTATGGGAGTTCTAAATGATCTCTAGGTGGACGACATCACCCGTCTAGAAACCAAAGAGTGGCAGCTCAATATCAGCGTGCTCACGTCCCCAGCTCGCCGCATCACCATTATCTGCGACAAGTTGGTCCTAGCTACTGGACTGACCTCGGTACCAAACACGCCCGATACGAAGGAATCATCACTCGCCTCCGACAACCCTAACCCAGTCATTCATGCCAAGGATATTGGAGAATGGGCTCGAGAACACCTGGGATATCAGCCACTGAAAGCACCGAAGTCCGATACTGTTGGGATCCCAGCCAAAGAGTCCGCTTATCCACAACTGCGATCGGTTGCTGTCTATGGTGGCGCAAAATCATCCTTTGATCTAGTCCATTTCTTTGCGACTCTTCATCGCAACGACTCAAAGCTGCACCTCAAGTCTACACAAGATAGTCCAATCCAGGTACACTGGATCATCCGTGATCGAGGCGTAGGGCCCGCGTGGATGGTGCCCCCAATGTCTACTCTCCCAAATGGTGACACCGTTGCAAGCGACAAGGCTGCCAGCACCCGATTGATCACCCACCTCACGCCGTGCTGTTACGAGATTCCAAAACGCCTGTCTCTCGGGTCTTCCGGGGGTCTCCACTGGGAGGGCTCATGGCTAGCTCGGTTATTCCATGGCAACCCAGTAGGCCGATGGTGGGTTCGTTGGCTCTGGCGATCGATTGATAAAGGTTTGGAGGAGACGGCGCAATATAGCTCCGATGCGAAGATGGAAATGCTTCGCCCAGAGAACAGGTAAGCTAAATGAGGGATGCGTTGGAATACTAGGTAGCTGATGACTTTCAGTGTTGTCTCCTGTGCATCTGGTATTGGTATCGCAAACCAAGGAGACCTCTGGGAAACAATTAGATTGCCCCATGTCAACGTGTACCGATCATCCATTACGGAAATTGTCGCTTCTGAGCCAGAAAAAACCACAGGTTCATCCACAAAAGCCTCAGTGCACCTTTCAGACAGCAATTGCATTGATGAAGTAGATTTGGTCGTCCACGCAACCGGATATAAGCCAATAGTCCCGATTCGGTTTCAACCTGCAAGTCTCCGTCTGGAACTGGGGCTGTCCGCGCTGGTGGACTCTGGGTGCGAGGATAGTCCCGAGAGTTGCGAAATTCCAGCGGGGACACCGGAGCGAATCCGTGGACCGCTGGAATCAAGCATAAGAGACCGCATCCAGCACTGGGAAGATCTAGATCAACGCTCTGAAGTCATGGTGAGAAAGACTTTGAATGCGACGAGATGCGCTTTCACAGATCGGAGTCCTCCCTCATGGGCCCAGTCTCATAGACTGGTGCCATATCGCCTATTCCGTCGTATGGTTGCTCCTGAATTAGTCGCACAAGGTGATCGCTCTTTTGCAACACTCGGTGTTATCTTATCATCAACCATTGCTGTTGTTGCGGAGGTTCAAGCTCTTTGGGTGGCTGCATTCTTGACAGGAGGGCTTGAGTCCCCCATGGACACCAAGTCAGACCCACTCAAAGCTCTCTCACTTGAAACCCTTTCACTGCAGGCCATGGAGAATGCTATCTCCGAAGATGTGGTCCTGGGGTCATTGACGGGAACTGGCCTTGAGGTTGAGGCCATTCAGGTATGTCTATTTTCCCAAACCAAAGGATATCATAGTCTAACCATTCCACAAGTACAATGACATGCTCCTGCGCGATTTAGGACTCAATCCTAATCGACTCGGGGGTGGGTTCTACACCGAGTTGACGGGGGTGTATAGGCCCTCGGTGTATGCTGGAATTGTGGATGAGTGGAAGAAAAATAGGACGGCGGGGAAATCGTAGCTACATGAGGTTGATTACAGAGGATAATAATGTCCTACCGAAATTTGATTTATTATTAGATATGAGTCCTGACTGCTTCCTATCTAAAACTCCGCAGAGGATCACCTGGGCGCCGTGAATAGAGTCACTTGATCTCTGCAAAGCCCACAAAGCCCACAGCCCAGCCCGCCCTAACTGGGGTGTGTTTTGGTCCCGCTCCTTAGGCCCGATATCTCGACCTCTGCCGGTCAGGTTGTGGTTAAAATTGAAATATACACCTATCTAGCGATTAATATTCTTAATCCATAAATCATGGAGACCATTTCATCAGTGCAAGGACAGAATTTAGCACTTATTAGATACTGGTGGAGCCACCGAAATGGGCTATGATAAAGGCCTTCTAAGCCCCCGCTGGGGGTTGGGTTGGGCTTCGAATGTTAAGCCTTAGCCCACTGAGGGTTGGGCTTTGGGCCTGGCATCCGGGCCCATCTGTGGGCTTTAGGGAGCGCTACCCATGACAAAGCAAATGTGATGCTGGTCATGTGAGGGTGCTTGCGACTTCCTAATTTGGAGGCTTGGCATCCGCGTACCTTCCCGATTAGAAACCCGCTGCCTTCCCTCTCACAACCCTGGGGCCTCCAACATTGGACTGCCATGGAGCGTCAGAAGCAAACCAGACTGACCCGATGTCGCACTGGGTGCATGCGCTGTCGAATTCGTAGGCGGAAGTGTATGGTATCTCTGGATCTGCGGAATATCCCAGTCTGACAGAAATCCAGGCGACGAAGGCAAGCCACGATGTCGAAACTGCATTGGCCGGAACTATGAATGCAGATACGGCATCCAATTGACATTTTTGACAAAGAATGCACACACTGTGCAAACATCAGAAGTCGAAGCACCATCTGTCAGCTATGAAGCTATTCGGGTAGGTTTTCTGATGACAATCCCGCGGCAGAGACCTGATCTGTACATATACATATATTCAGTTCGTCACGGAAGAGACTTCAAAATGTTCCAACGAAATAGAGGATCGTGCACTGGACGAAAGATCCTCTCACATTGGGCTGACTCCACAACCACTCCAAGTTCACCCTATCACGCTCAGCGATACCAGAGATGAAGACGTGCCATCCTGGGCCGAGTCAGCCCTTCATGTCGCGGACCAACGTAGTTATACGATCCTCAATGATAGAGATGAATCGGCAGTCGCGTGGCTGTTGGCTCTCGGAATGAATGGACCGGATCTAGGACCGTCGGAACTAGTAGTCCCATCACCAGCTTCAACGATACAATCTAATTTCTCGCGCCAATTGGGCTTCACCACGCAAAGTATACAACACTCACCCGAGTCAATCCTCGAGACATTCTCATCCACCAAAATACAAGCCCTGCTACGACACTATCGTTATAATGTAGCCCCTTGGGTAAGCTTTTCGAAATTACAACGAACTGCACAGTGCTAACTGCATCAGTTGGATATATGTGATCTTGGTCAATCATTTGGAATCCAAGGACTCCAGTTAGCTATGGCCTCACCGCCAATCTTGAACGCGATTCTTGACCTGTCTGAGGTTTCTTTCCACCAGCTCCACCCACAGAAGTCACCCGGAGAGGGGAGAAAGACATTCCTCCGGCAAACCGACGCGGGCATACAAGCTGAAACTACATATGTCGCACTGCTGAACGTTATCAACCAAGTAAAAGACTGTACCTCGAATCTCTCTGCTATGTGGAACACCGAAAGACAGTGTGATCATGACCTCACTAGGGCCTTAACTTCCCACGCGGTGGCTAGAGATCTTAATTCTGCGATTTATTGGCTTTTTTTTAGGCTTGGTATGCAATCGGAGAAAGAATGTGTGATTTTGATCGCTCTGAACTGACTACTTCGGGGATCATAGATCTCGCGACAGCGCTAGCCAGTGATGGCGACATGCGCATGCCACTTCCCCCGTCATTCCCATACTTCACGGAAGTAGATGTTGTGGCTGATCCATTTGAGATGGTCTATTTCTACGCATGCCGCCCTTTATGGCTCTGTGCAAGAGGGGTCCAATTTGTGCACAACGAAGAAGTTTGTCCTGATCGACCTCCGCTCCAAATCTGGATTCAATTAGTGGAAGAATTGCAACAATGGTATCGTGAGCGACCAAGGGAATTTCAACCCATGGTGGAATTAGAGCTGGATGATCAGTTAGCTGGACCAGAAAGAAGTTTTCCGGTTGTTCTCTTTGCTAATGGAGCAGGGTTGTTTGGCAACCAGTTGTACCATACGGCCATGTTAATTTTACTACACAATCGGCCTCGCACCGCACGCATCACCGACTTCCACTCTGGTGCCATGTCGTCGCTGTGGCATGCGCAGCGGATATGCAGTATTGCTCTCCACAATGATCGTAGGGAGTGCTGGGATCCATGTCTCCTGGCATCCTTTCTGTTAGCAGCTCGTCGGATGACACATGAGTCCCAACAAGATGAAGTTGTGCGTGGGCTCGACCGCATCTGCACGGTGACAGGGTGGAATGCGAGCGACTGCTTGCAGAGCCTGCGAGCAGAGTGGTGCCTCCTTGACCAAATATGCTAGAAGACAATCTTTGTTGAAATCTTTCACGTTGACACCGACGCTCACCCTGTTACGGGAAACCGCTGTCTATCAATATTCCGGTCTGAGCGTGAGATCTGGTACCCCCAGGCGAGTTCCAGGTCACGGATGCGCCAGCAAGCACCCCATCCAGTCTCGGCTTCAATGTGACGGATGAGGTCGACTATAATCGCGTGTTCAGAGATATGGCTAAATAGCCGTCCCGCAATCCATAACGGCTGAATGGCGTTATTCAAGCATCCATGGTGCGGATTGGCGAGCGAAGTTCCACAAATACGCCTCGCATGCCACAGCGCGGACATGGCGGGTGTCGACTGCATCTTGATAGATTTGGGCATCAAGTTGAGCAGCAAAATGCATGCCGTGCTGTACAACTGGTTCGAGGATATAGCCGCCCATTGCAGGAAAAGGATATGGGGGAATGGTTTGGTCGTCGTTGTGTGGATTGGTAACAGCTCCGGTGGTCGGCTGTCAAGCCAATGCTGCAAATCGTTCCATAGTCGCAGCCAGCGGCGATTGAAGGTCTCTCCGGTGCAGTCATTCTGAATGGCTAGCTCTGCAAACTGAGTACGATCAGCCACCAACTCGCACGATTTGGCGCAGAGATATACGGCGTAGTTGGCGTGCATGTCCGGGGACTGCGCAGATTTGAAGAGCTGTGCAGCATCATCTTCGTGGCATCCAGGTGTGAGCCATTTGCTAGGCCGAAGAAGAGTGCTCTGTGTCCCATCAGAGATCAACGCACCACATAGGTCTAGTTATTCTAAATCAGTGATACGCTTTTTTCATTTGACCATCAATGTGGCCTCTTACCCATGCGTGCGTAGCACCAAAACACCGCTTGTAGAAGACCGCTGCTGAATCCATGCATTTCGAAGGCGTCAAAAAGTGCCGCACATCCCTCCAAATGGCGCTGCCAATCCTGCGCCCTCGCAGACATCATCTCAAGACAGCAGAGCAGTACACAAGCGGCGACAACTTTAGGATCGCGCATTTGTAACAGTGGGCTCAGCAGTCGAATCGCTTCTTGGTAAAGCTCCAGACTATCAAACGAGTTTTGGATCCCCTCCTTCCGTTCCATTTGTCGGGCGGATATTGCGAGGATCGCGTTCATTAGGGCAGGAAACGAGCGGGCCAGTGCGGGAATCTGCACTCGAAAGGTACATTGCGAATCGAACATATCGAGCTGCGGTCGGGAATCAGCGATTATTGAGAACATCGAACACCAGATCAAGTGTCACATACCCACGGTGCCACCTGCGCAACATAGTTTTTCAAATACTCAATACGACGGAGATTTGACAGTACAGGCCGTGTTGGTGTCTGCTCCCCGTCGCGCAATTCTGTCAAGCCTTGTTCCTGGATGTCAGGGCTGGGCGCGCGGGTCGGAGCTGCAGACTGCGCGAGATTGAACAGCATGCATCGGAGCTCCTCCTGGGATGCTAAAAAGCCTGGATCATGGGAGAATTCATCGGGCCAGCTGGTAGCGCCCGAGGGAGAAGCAAATGCAGCATCGGCGGGATTGGATACAGTCGCGTCGGATTGCGACCAGTCGTTCATGGCGTAATTTGAGACTCACGACGGCTATCCTAGCTCATGAGGAATTGAACCGAATCATTGAGTCTCGGACAATGAATTCGAGTTCGAGAAGATACCAAGAAAAACTGTATCTCCAAGAGTAGTTGAAGTTGATGTGGAGAGCCAAGAACGGAAAATCCGCTCCCACTTCTCCTTTGACATTGGACATTTCAGAGGTCTTTTCACAGAACGGGATTGATTCATCTATTCCGTATATAATTTGGAAATATTACTACAACTCAAACTCCTTCACCCAAGAGCACTCATATAATGAGACTGATTCCGTACCTCGATCTCAACCTACAATATTCCGTATACCCTACCCCGTACAGTTCAAATCACATTCTGATCCCCGTTGATTGGTGTAATCTGTTCAGGGATGTTGCTGCAAAAAAAAGGGGGATGAGATCCTGCAACGCAGTTGGCCGTGGCCCCTGGCACTTGCAGCATGGATCGACGCAAGGGATGTGATGGAAACACCAGATGGCACCTCCTTGCAGGAAGGGCTATCGACATTCCAAGCTACAGGCACTTTCGAGTATGCTATACTCAGTATCCATTACCCTCAAATCTATTGGTATAGGGCATCCATATCATGTACGGCCTCAAACAGTTGTCGCTTCTAAGCTTGATGCTTCTATCAGTATCGGCAGCAAAGAACCCCAGAAGGACAATTGTGCGTATATTCTTCCTGACTGCACACTATATCGCTAACAGGACTATGCAGGTGGGCATTCAAACCGCCGACAAGAGCCGTGGTATCGATGTGCCATTGAATGATTGCCATCCGATCGAGGAAGAGTGAGACCGAAACCCAGCTACCATGTTTCGGTCGAGACTAACGAGTGGCAGGGATGTTCTTATTGTGTCTTTGAAAAAGCCATGCCGACTTTTCACGTAAGTCGAAAGCCAATCAAGCAAGTACACTCGCACTAATAGTAGGAAAGCGGCCCTGAGTGCACCGGACGCAACACATTCTTGAGTCCCGGCGACCACTCTTCGGAGGACCCAATTCCCGTCATCGAGTCGATATTTTGCCAGCCATAATTGTGAGGGAAAGCAATGGTAAATGTGGGAGTGAGAAGATAGTGTAGACATTTTGTCTGGTTTGGTTGGTATATAGAATGAAATCAAGCCCTTTTGCTGAGTACTCGTTCTACTTCAGGCCCAAGATTGTCTCAATGGAACACCAAGTCCACCCGTGCTCAGGCTTGCAATCATCGACATAGTATTGTTTGTGTTAATAATACTTTCAGGAAGCCTCTTGCTCATCAACCACTAACACCTTGATACTCCCGTTTCGAGTGTCAGCGCAAAGGTGGAGTGCATCTTGAGCTTTTTCAAGAGGGAAAACATGTGAGACAAGTTTATTCAGGTCCAAGATGCCACCACTTAGGCAGGCGATTGCTGGAGGCCAGGTATCACGGTAGCGATTAATGAACCGAAGATCAATCTAGCATAGTCAGTAAAAGAGCCTTCACTTCATGGGAACACTAATTCAACTGACCTCTGCCAGGGAAATATGCATAAAAGGTAAGTTGTTCATTATCGCCTTTCCCACCCCAATCACCATCACTGTGCCTCCTCGCCGTGCAGTATATGCAGCAGTGCACACACTGCTTTCCACACCTGTGCACTCGAGTATGGTTTCGGGAGCAGCATATTCGCCAGACCCAAAGAGAGCACGAATAGCCTCTGCATTACTTTTTGCATCTTTGGTACGATCTACCTCATAGGTAATGCAAGACGGGACAAAGTCTTTGGCAAAGGCTAGCCGAGACGGCTCTAGATCTGTGATCACGATAGGGTGTGCACCCGAGGCACGAGCTGAAGCTAACGCGATCAAGCCAATCGGGCCTGCACCGCATACAACCACACCGCGGCCCAATGAAAGACCGGCCGTTTGGATGCCATGCATCACCACCGAAAGTGGCTCGAGAAGTGCGCCCTCGGCAAAAGTGACGTTGTCGGGTAGCTTGTGAAGCCATTTGGCAGGGTGGTTCTTGTAACGCTGAATGGTACCTTCGTAAGGGTAAACCCCTGCAAACTGGACATCCTCGCACAGGTTATAACGTCCCTCGTCACAGAGGAAACACTGTTCACAGGGAACCCCAGGTTCGACGGCAACGCGGTCACCTATAAAATTATCAGCTTAAATATCGGGAACTCCCATGGATGATGTCTACCTGGTTTCAAATGCTTGACCCCCTCGCCGCACTGCAGAACGATACCCGAAGCTTCATGGCCAATCGTGCAGTCGCCTTCGAACACCAACGATCCGATGCGCCCGGCCTTCCAGAAATGAATATCTGACCCGCAAATTCCCGTTGCTTTGATATGAACCAATGCCTCGCCTGGCCTGGGGGCGTAAACAGGCGTCTCGACAGTTTTGAGCTTGTGGTCTGCGGTCACCTGCAATGAGGGATTGGGGTGGGAGACCTTGAGTGGAATGCGATCGCCCATTGGTGTTGTCATGGTCTGCTGGCTGTTCTGCCGATTAACAAGTACTGAAGTCATTTGTGTGTTTTCTGTGTAAATTCACAAAAGTGGGCAACTTCTGTTCTTTAAAGGCGCCATGGGAGCACAGCACACGGAGTGCTTTTGGATCTAGTAAGTTGTGGCTCAGGATACCTGTTTTGGCGTGGTTAGAACTGCCAACTTGATCTCAGCCCTGGTGTGGGGTCAGCACTGGGGGTAAATCGCCCGATTGGGAAATATTAAGCATCACCACTCGCAATACTATTTCAAGAAGCTTCCCCTCCAGGTCTAAAATTTTGGATATTATACTAATTATTCAAAGCTTTTATCATGACTGTTGGATTTCAACGAAACGCAATTGACGGCGTGCCCGGCTCTGCAATGCCTATCGTTCACAAGCTGTCCAAGGACCATGAATTGGTATTGAAGACCTTTCGGCTCTTGATTGCAGACCTTTGCCAACAATTCAACGGCGGGCATCCCGGGTATGATTGTCCTACTCTTGGCTTGCTTGGAGAACAGATGCTGATTGTATGCCAGTGGTGCCATTGGTATGGCTGCGATCGGTGTTGCGCTATGGAGATACGTTATGCGTTATGCGCCGCACACTCCAGGATTCTTCAACCGAGATCGCTTCGTCTTGTCAAATGGTCAGTTCTACATTGTTCTACTGAATATACTCCGGCAAAGCTATATACTGAAATAACACCCTCTAGGCCACACCTGTCTCTTCCAATACTCTTTCCTGCATCTGACAGGATACAAGGCCATGACATTGGAACAGCTCGAATCATATCATTCGGATCGCATCGATGCGCTCTGTCCCGGACATCCAGAGATTGAACACGAAGGAATTGAAGTGACAACTGGACCATTGGGTCAGGGTCTAGCGAATGCTGTAGGCTTGGCCATGGCGACGAAGAATCTCGCTGCCACCTACAACCGCCCTGGCTTCGATGTGGTAAACAACCACACTTGGTGCATGGTTGGCGATGCTTGCTTGCAGGAGGGAGTTGGTCTCGAGGCTATCTCGCTGGCCGGGCATTTCCGTCTAAACAACCTCACAGTCATCTACGACAACAACCAGATCACCTGTGATGGATCAGTTGACCTTACCAACACTGAGGATGTCAACCAAAAAATGCGCGCCTGTGGCTGGGATGTGATTGATGTGGCAGATGGCTGCTTTGATATTGAGGGCATTGTTCGTGCATTGGAGCAGGCTCGCTCATCGAAGCAAAATCCCACCTTCATTAATATCAAGACAGTCATTGGTCTTCATAGTAGCGTTGCTGGAACTGCTGTTGCCCATGGAGCTCCTTTTGGTGCCAAGGGTATCTGTGATATGAAGACTGCCTATGGCTTCAATCCGGAGGAGCACTTTGTCATCGGCGACTCTGTGCGCCAGTTCTTCCAGGGCATTCCCGAGCGCGGAGAGCAGTGGGTTCAAGACTGGGATCAGCTAGTGAAAAATTACGCTATCCAGTACCCTGGTCTCGCAACCGAATTCATGGCGCGCGTCCGCGGGGAGCTTCCAGCCAACTGGCAGGATCATATCCCAACCACCTTCCCTGATAAACCTACAGCCACACGGACGGCATCTGGCTTAGTATTTAACCCAATTGCAAAAGAAGTGGACACTTTCATGGTCGGTACTGCGGATCTCTCGCCATCCGTAAACATGATATGGCCTGGCAAAGTAGACTTCCAGCATGTGAGTGAGAATGACTGACAGCATAAACCGGAAAAAGTGCTAACTGTCTCTTAGCCTGACCTCCGCACAACTTGCGGCATCAATGGGACTTATGCTGGCCGCTATATCCATTATGGTGTCCGCGAGCATGCCATGGCTGCCATCTCAAACGGTCTGGCAGCTTACTCCCCAAACACCATTATTCCGGTCACCTCGACATTCTTTATGTTTTACCTGTATGCTGCACCCGCAGTCAGAATGGGTGCATTGCAGCACCTCCAAATCATCCACGTCGCCACCCATGATTCCATCGGTATGGGCGAGGACGGACCCACTCATCAGCCTATCGAGTTGGCCAACCTATATCGCTCAATGCCAAACCTATTGTACATCCGTCCCGGTGATAGCGAAGAGACAGCTGGTGCATGGATTGCGGCCATCGCCGCCAAGCAGACCCCAAGTATCATTTCTACCTCCCGTCAAACATTGCCCCAGCTCTCGCAGACTCGGCGTGATGGCGTGGCGCTCGGTGCATACGTTCTATCTGAAGCTGAGTCGGCTAATGTCACTTTGATCGGCGTCGGGGCTGAGCTTTCATTTGCAGTGGAGGTTGCTGAGCAACTGAAGGTGCAGAAGGGTATTATTGCGCGCGTTGTCAGTTTCCCTTGTCAACGCTTGTTTGAGAGACAGTCGCTCGACTACAAGCGTAAAACGCTGCAGCGGCACCGGGGCATACCGGCTGTAGTGATTGAACCCTACGCACCAAATGGCTGGGAGCGGTACGCGGATGCGGGCATCTGCGTGACGCGCTTCGGTCATAGTCTGCCGGGTAAGGCAGCATACAAGTATTTTGGGTATGATATTGATACCTTGACAACAAAGGTGGCCAGGTACCTGGAACAAATCCATGAAGATGAGCTCCTTGGCGGCGAATTTGTCGACCTATGAGTAAAGTGTCTAATATTTATGTTCATCATTTACAGGGGTATGGGCTAGGTATCAAATGAATGAATTTCATATTCAATTCAAAGTTGCGCAATTTCCACCATTGTTGTTGTTGTCAGTCCGGTCGCATATATACATTCCAACGCTCCACGTAAACTTGGAACCCCTTTTAAGGTTAAATGCATGAGCCAATCACGAGATAGAAAAGTCTTCTCAAGATCGGGGGCTCACAGTTTTCTGTCTTTATACGAAACCGTTTTTTTTTCTTTCTTTCACTTTCCTGTGGTTCACAAACTGTTGTTGGCCTTTGTTCCATCGACCCGTACCAGGTGACCCGGCCTAACTACACAGCGACCGTCTAAACTTCATATGAACTTCCCTGCTGACTCTACCCCTCAACTTAGCTCAAGTCATTACTGGGGAGAGGATGTAGGGATGATTCAGAGATGTGACCTTTTAGGGGGAAGAAGGGAACAACAACACTATGGTCCTACCGATCGTGCACAGCGCCAGGGGTGTTCATAATGGAGCATAATAGTCATAAGACTGACCAATCACTCCAAAAGTGATGGTCAAGCCAATTTTGACCTCCCTTATTGCTTTGGGGTTAATTTTCTTCCAAAGGACAAAAGGATACAATCCATGCCGCAGCGAGTGAATATGCGGTGACGAGATATAATAATGTTTAAGATTTAGAATAATCTTATACCGAAAACAAGGGGGTGGAAGCATGGTCTCAGACTGATATGATGCACTCGATATCACTATGGATCACTTGGAAATTAGGGTATACTGACAAGACATACGATAATCATTCGGAAGATCCGAAGCAAAATATTTGCCCTGTCAATTATATCAGATGCCACACAAACTAAGAACATCTGATCTTTTTTTCCTTTGTGCTAGGAACGTTCCTGGCCAATGACAGTCAGCTCGTGGCCCATGCCCCGACGCGGGGGACCCAGAGCCTGTTGATCGACACAACGAAAACAGCGTGGTAACCACGCAGAATGGGGTCATGCAGCCACATGCGATGAAAGGAGGTCCTAAGAGGATGTTCAAAGAAAATAGACGAAAATGAAAGACTTATAAGTCAGTCACTTCATCAACTCAAGTCCGAGTTTTTTATTTTCATCACAAACATGGCGCGTTCTCTACTCCTTGTTGCCCTAAGTCTGGGTGCTGCTGCAATGCCCGCTTCATCGGGTATGAGCAACATCAAAAATATTGTCATCCTCGTGCAGGAAAATTTGTCCTTTGACCACTTCGCTGGCGGTCTTGACTATGATTCCAGCATTGATGGCCCTCAGAATCCTCAATTTTGCAATCCTGCCAACGTTTCCATCCCTCACTCCGACAATGTTTGCGCCAACCCTAATGCGAAGAACATCGCATCGGAAGACCCTAATCACAGCATTGCGGGTGGTAACATGCAAGTCTTTGGCACCTACCACCCCCTTGCAGGAGCCAAGTCCACCATGAATGGTTTCATCACTGAGCAGCGTACCTCTTACCCGAAGGACGACCTAAAGCGGGCAGCCGAGGCGATTAATTATTTCAAACCGGAACACATCCCCGTCTTCAACACCATTGCTCAAAACTTTGTCTTGTTTGATCGTTGGTTTGCCGCAGTGCCCGGTCCCACAAACCCCAACCGTGCCTACTTGACCTCAGGCACTTCACATGGGCATGGTCGTAACGATGACGACTTCATGAAGTCCGCACTGCCACAAAAGTCCATTTTTGAGCAGTTATCTGAGAAAGGAATCACTTGGAAGAACTACGAGAACTCGACCCAGTCCAAACCCGCATTTTTGCCCGACGCCTTGTTCTATGATTGGACCGCGAAGAATGGCAAAGATAACGTGGTGCCGATTGACCAGTTCTACACTGATGCCAAAGCTGGCAAGTTGCCACAGTTTACTTGGATCAACCCCGAGTGCTGCTCCTACATGTCAATGCACCCTCCCTCCCCCATCAACATGGGAGAGAACTTTATCAAAAGCATCTATGAGGCTGTGCGTAACTCGCCGCAGTGGAATGAGACCCTCTTCATTCTGACTTGGGATGAACATGGTGGTTTTGCTGATCACGTTTCGCCTCCCACTGACGTCCCCGCTGGAGACAGTCTGACTTATACAGAGAAAGCTCGGGATGGCCAGCAATACACTTTCCACTTTGATCGTCTCGGGATTCGAGTTCCTACAGTCTTGATCTCCCCCTGGGTTTCCAAGGGATGGGTCCAGCACAAGCCTACCAACGGGAACGAGTTCACGCATACCTCTATCCTCAAATTTGTCTCCGAGCTCTGGGGGTTGGATAGCCTATCCCCGCGCGTGGACTGGTCGGCTTCCTTTGGGAATTTGATCACCAACAAGTTCCGAAAGGATACGCCTAAGAAGCTGCCGAATGGAGCGAACTTTTAGGTTTTAACTACAATCTCTTTCTTGATAGTCGCAGTCCGGAACTCCTAGCTCAGTTGATTTTAATGATAATAGGTTTCTTATAATCACGCCTCGCAGGGATCCTTAATAGATGTTGTATTGCAATCATTAAACCATATTGCTATCTATTTTTCAATGAAATACTGCAAGTAGAGGGTAAGAATCCTAAAATGACCACTGAAACATGTCTTAGAAAGATGTGCAAACATAAAAGTTATTCTCATTCTTCATAATGTTTTTTCTATAAAAAGACCCCCTTACACCTATCAAAGAATCAGTGCAATTGTATGCCTTGGCGAATCAACTGGGGTAACTACCGAGTCTCTATTTAATTTTTGACGTCCATTTGAGCTGGCACAAGTTATTGAGATATATATACCGATAGAGTCGTCAGCATACCCGGAATAATTTGGTGCATCTCAGTTTAGGTGCTGTAGTTATCAAATTTGGGGCAGGATGACCTCCCGGGGATTATCTGCCCGGGGCTCCCGCCCGCGTCTAGCCGATTACATAATACAAACATCGCGGGGCCCGGGGACCTCACCTGCGCAGGTGAATAACCTCCTTCCAAGATTATCTATGGAAATTGGCTCTTCGACTCGTAGACATGGCAAGGCAGGTCGTACGGATTGCTTGCCGCTATGATAACCAAGTTCCAGCTAAGACAACGTCGAGACTAAATGCATGACGACCGCAGCCACATAAAGATCCGGTTTGTGAAGAATTGATGGACATCAATGTCATTGACTATGATGAGAGTGGAATCTCTAATAATAATATCAGGAGATAACGACGCCTGGCTCGATGGATGAACTTACGTTAGCGCCGTTGGTTGGAATGTTGACCAACCTCTCCCCGTGGCCCTCCAAGTGATATAAGGCTGTATGTTTTGTGTTGTGCGTTGTGCAGTTTGCTCATTATCTCTTGAAATGGAGGTTTGACTTTCATATTGACAGTGTTCGGTAGTTTTGAATGAGCTTAACGCAGGCAAAAGGTCCAAAAGTGCGTCTTAAGTTGACTCCGTTCAGGAGGTGGGATGTTCTATACCGATTGGATCTACCCAGCCACGAAGCTTTATCCAACAAGGGAAAGATGAATCTCCTTTGTCTCTTATCTCTGCCAATGACAGCGGGCTCGAGCCCTCTTATCAACATGGAATTCTCCGAGCCCACTAGCCCTGCTATGCAGTGATCCCGATCAACATTCCATTTCCCATTTTATACGCTGAGCGGGGCGGTTCGTGCACCCACACAGTGGGCCAAGTTTCGAGGAGACCGTTGTCATTTCTCCGGGCTATTTCTCAAGCGGATCCCGCATCTGATCGTCGCAGCCACGAATTGCAGCATATTGCAAACCCGTGCCTAATACCTCCGTGAGTGGTCAGTAATGATGGAGAGGACATTCTTCCTCGAGTATATGTCTATTAGCATCACGCGAAAAGCTTGTAACCCAAGGAATAACCAGAGTACAATCTGCCTAGACGCGTGACTCATGAAACTGACCATATCAGTACATCTAGGGGGTCAGCATCACATTGTTGAGACCCCAGTCTACCTGGATTCCAGGTATGTGCTTTTGCGCTACCTTCCTTACATTCTGATTGGAAGGATTCGTGTCAGGGAGATTTCTTTCGTCATGCAGCTAGCTTCCATTAGCTTATTTTCCCTTCCCACGCCGATCCTGGCTTCCTTTTTAAACGGCTGGCTTGAATATAAACCCTTTTCAAAGGAGGGTTTCCCCCGTGGCTTTCGCATCTAAAACACTTGTGCTTCCAGACCCTCACCGCGTCCGTGATCACAGAGTCGTGATATTTTGCATCATGGAGCCTAAGGAATATACTCCTAGCTTCACTAGCCGGAGCACATCTTTCATACCCTCCGATCAACAGTCCGACAGCAGAATCATCCTAGACGAGAAGAAGCTCCCGCCAGTGGATGGAGGTGTTCAAGCATGGCTGTTCCTTATGGCTTCTGCAATGCTCGAAGCTCTAGTCTGGGGTACGTGGTCATTGGTGTCATTTCGTCGAAGATGAATTGTTGCTCGAACTAATACGTGATCAGGTTATGCATTCGCATTCGGTATATTTCAGGACTACTATAGTACACACGAGCCCTTCAAGGGATCTCAGAATATTGCAGTTATCGGAACATGTGCGATGGTCAGTTGTCAGGATTTTCAAGGTAGCTCTTCTCTCGCTAATACAACATCCAGGGTATTGCATATCTAATTGCTCCGTTGGCAATCGTTTTAATGATCTTAGTCCCCAAGATCGCTCGCTGGGTATCGACTATGGGAGTGGTCATCATGTGTTTCTCTTTGGCACTGAGTTCTTTTTCCACCAACGTGATACATCTTATCTTGTCCCAAGGAATCGGATTCGGAATTGGAGGCTGTTTTGCCTATACTCCTACCATTCTATTCATGTCGGAGTGGTTCGATAAACGGAAAGGTCTTGCTTTTGGTATTGTCTGGGTGAGTCACAACCAACAATTTGTACACCGAGCTCCTTATAGCAAATCGAACTGATATATGTCACTAGGCTGGGTCCGGAGTGTCTGGCATAGTTTTCCCACTTGCCATCCAGTGGCTCTTGAACCAGTATGGGATTGAAGCCACGCTTCGGATATCATCAGTGACGTTGTTCATTCTTGCCGTGCCCTTCCTCTATTTCCATCGACCGAGGCTGCATACGACAGATATCGCGTACCACCGTCTCAATTTTCATTTCTTGTACAACAAAGTCTTCATAATTTATCAGCTTGGCAATACCCTTGAAGCAATCGGATTCTTCCTGCCGACTATCTACCTTCCGACATACGCCCGCAGTCTAGGTGCTAGTGACTATATGGCATCTCTCACCGTGATACTCGTCAATTTGTTCACCGTGTTCGGCTCTGTGATCATGGGATTCCTTTCTGACAGATATCACGTCACTACCTGCATCCTGATGTCGACTGTTGGTACTGTCCTGGCAGTGTTTTTCCTTTGGGGATTCGCCGACACTATCCCCCCTCTATACGTTTTCTGTATTGCTTATGGCCTCCTCGCGGGTGGCTTCTCCTCCACATGGGCGGGAGTCTCCAACGAGGTGCAGAAGGCCAATCCATTAGCAGACGCGACTGTCATTTTCCCATTCATGGAAACGGGACGTGGAGTTGGCAATGTGGCAAGTGGGCCTCTAAGCGAGGCCCTGCTCAAGGCAGATACTTGGAAAGGACGTGCGTCCGGTGCATATGGAACTGGCTACGGTACCCTTGTTGTTTGCACCGGCGCAACCGCATTTGTTGGCGGCCTTTCTGTGGTCGCCCGTCACTTGAAATGGATATAAACCATCTCCGGCACCACACAACCGTGTCGCATGGGCCGATCATGTCGCAACCAGGGGCTATTCCATAAAATATGAGGGGAGTCACCATCTTAAACGAGATCTATGAGAGTATAACGGGTGATTAATATATGATTGTGACAACGCTTTATTGATATTTGAGAAACAATGCTATGTAATGGTACTGCAAATACCCTCGCGCAGATGCTTTGCAGTAAGATAGAGATAGAATAGAACTTATTCAACATCGCGAAAATAACAAAATGTGGTAGATGTACATTTATTTGGCGACAAAGCCCCAGACCCTCCAGTACCATGGCTTGGGAGGATTGACTTCCTTTTCGTAGTGCAAGCGACCGGTGTCAATATCAGCATCGGCTACACTGACAAATGGCGGACGGAAAATGACCTTGTGCCCGACATAGAGCACCACGAAAACGATTGGGCAGATGTAAGCAATGAAGAAATCGGTCACATCGAAATGCGGAATGAAAGAAGTGAAGCCTTGGGTAAGGGCGATCAGGATGTTGAAAAAGAGACCATACCAAGCAAGATATGGCTGGAACACGGCCTTATATGGGAGAGAATCGCGAGAGATCCCACGATTCGCCAATACGCGCATGAACGCAATATGACACGCATTGATAGAGGCCCATGTAATAAAGCCCGCAACACTGGAAAGATTGACGAGCCAAGTGAAGACTTGCCCAGCGTCATTGGAAACGTTCATGAAACCTAACAAGCCAAACAACGCGGTGAATGTCACACTAACATACGGAACACCGTGCTTGGTCACCCAAGCAAAACAGGCGGGAGCAAATCCTTCATGTGCCAATCCAGTCAGGACACGACTGCCACTATACACGTTGGAGTTTGCGGCTGATAAGACCACGGATAAGAGGACGGCATTAATCAAGCTTGGAAGAACCTTGACACCCGCTAGGTCGGCAGCGATAACCATAGGCGAGGATGATGCGTTTGTTGTCGCAGTAGTCAGGCGGCTGTTGGTGTAGGGAACAACGAGCCCGATGAAGAAGATGGTCAAGACGAAGAAGAAAAGGATTCGAACGAACGTCTTACGGATAGCCGATGGCACTGTCTTTTGTGGATTTTCAGTTTCTCCAGCAGCCACACCGACAAGCTCCGTTCCCTGGTAGGAAAATCCGGCTTGGATGAGTACCGCCCAGAAGCCAACAAACTTCCCAATAGGTGCCGGCAAGGCTTCGCTGAACGTGGCAAAAGCTCCTGGCGAGTGCCAGTAGCGAAAGCCTATATAGCCCTGCTCTCCAACTCCAGCGTCGATGCAAATGGCGAAAATGATGAAACCGATAACAGTGGCCACTTTGATGGTTGAGAACCAGAACTCCACCTCGCCGTAGAAATTGACGGGGAGGAAGTTCATAGCCGTAATGAGAACCCAGAAGACTCCGATGAAAATGGCAATGTTCAGAGTAGGATCCCAATATTGGATGATGGTGCCGGTGGCGGTCAGTTCGACAGCAAATGTCGAGGCCCAGTTGAACCAATAGATCCAGCCCATGGAAAATCCAAGGCTAGGGTCGATCAGCCGGGCTGCATAAGATGTGAAAGCACCGGAGATTGGGATGTAAGTTGCAACTTCGCCCAGCGAGCTCATAACCGAGTAAACGATAGATCCGACAAAGATATAGGCGATCAACGCGCCTGCTGGGCCGGATTGTGCGATAGCAGTGCCACTGGAAATAAAGAGTCCTAAGGAAGTTAGATTTCGGGCGTCGTCTAACTGAAGCTGAGAGCGCAAAAGAATATACCTGTGCCGATAGTTCCACCTGCGACAGACGTAGGTTAGTATCTTCTCCTGTAACCCATGTTGATCAAGAAAGCTAAGACTTACCAATTGCAATCATCTGTAGATGTCTGCTTTTAAGCTTCCGCTTCAGTTCGGTGGGATTGGGCTTCGCGGAGTGATTTTGCTCGGCATCGGACTTCTTAGTGTCTTGGAATGCATTGTCTGTATCCGAATCTGCAGAGATCGCATTTGCAGAGGCTTTGATATCATCGCGTGCCACAGAGGCATCTTGAGCGGCCATGTCGGGCATGACAGGGCCACGGAGTATATCCGATCAAGTGATTAGAACAAGAGGTTATCACAGCATCAATTGCAAAGTTGTGGTTCAAGATTGTCTCGCCTTCCGATGTTCAGAGATTTTCTGCAGAGATCGGGTTCGGTGCGGCTCCGAGAACAGATCCATGGGTGGAGCAAATTGGAAAAATCTTAAATGTTTTAGGTAAGTGGCGTCACGCTACCTGGAAAGGAAGGATCGAACGAGGGTGCAGAACATCTAAAGTACTCATGGCTATAAGGTACACATTTTGAATACGAAGCTGCAATGAAAACAAAGTACAGATCCACAAGGGCTACTCAAGGCGAAGTACACCTTCAATATCTCAAGGATTGAACTATCGACGTTCCATATGCCTAAGACTACATACATTTCGGAAGATGATTATCTTACATGGGCGCGCATCATACCCGTGGACCCGTGGACATCTATATCTCTGAGAAGCTTCCATGGTCTACGTCATACAAGTATTCCACTCTGCGCATTGTTGTGCAATTTCCATCACAGGAAACTCTTGGCAGACCTAGCCTTGCAATCTCAGAAATCGGGCCATAAGGCCAACAACTACGTCATTTAAAACCTGAGGTAACAGGCCACAAGGCTCCAACCGTCGATTTCCAACTTGGGGCAATTGATGTTTACGGAAAATCATGCATGGATCTCTTTTGAAACAGCCATATAACATGCTCTGGCAATACGTACTTTACCACTCCGTATCAGTTACCTATGTAATCTGTTGATGTATTTCGGCCGTACTCCTGTCGGAATGGCCTGGTCCTGAACATAACTCGGTCAGGGGTTAGATCAAATCTTGGCCTTCGAGGTCTCAGCATTTTCCATGTCCTTGTTCTTTGGGCCGGCAAATCCAAATATGTAAGCCCCGATCTTGCGCATCTGAATCTCCTCTGCGCCTTCCGTGATCCGATAACGACGGAAATGACGATAGATGTGCTCAAAGGGGTAGTGACGAGAGTATCCATCGCCGCCGTGGATCTGATCGGTGAGTTATGTCTCCAACAACCATACGACTACGTACATACCTGAATTGCTCGGTCGGCAGCTTGACAGCATAATCGATTTGCCCAGAAGTTACACATGCCCACCTGATCGGAAAGGCGGCGCTCAATTTCAACCCATGGCGGCCGCTGGGCTTCGGACGACTGGCATTGCGCCACAATACGATCCATCCCCCAGCTTGTCTTCAAGATGAACAGTCGCAGCATCTCTACCTGTGTCATCAACTCAACAACCGGAAACTGAATAGCCTGATTATCAGCTAGAGTTTTCCCTTCGCCCCATATCTTCCGTGCTCGTGCACGCTCTATACTTCGGTCCAGGCAGTATCTTGCGGCCCCACAGGAGCTTGCCGCTTGACGAATTCTATTCTCGTGCACAAATGTTTGGGCAATGGCTAGTCCGTGGTCGACCGATCCCAAGACCGCCGAGCTGGGAACCCATACACTATTCAGTTCCACCGTTGCGTGGTCGGTGGGCATGTTCAATGTCCACTCATAACTAACGATGCGAACTCCTTTTGTGCCACGAGGAACTAAAAATGCAGTAATGCCTTGTGATGACCCTGCTTGACCAGATGTTCGCGCAAAGATGAGAAAGTGGGTACAGTGATGAGCCCCTGTCTGCCACTTCTTTGTCCCCGTGATTTCAAACCCTCCCCGAACTTGACGAGCGGTAGTAGACATGAAGGTTGCATCGCTTCCGTGGTCGGGCTCAGTCAGACCGAATGTTGTCCGGAACTCTCCTCGCAGACGTGCGGGAATCAAGGTATCTCTTTGTTGTTGATTGCCAAAATGGTGGAGCATGAAAACGTCTGGGAAATTCCCAACGATACTATGCTCATTCTGTAAATCATTGGCCAGCCCCAGACCACCACCGTACACTGGATTCGAGGCCAAGTGATAGCGAATAGCGCACATCCACAAGTTCGTGTCAGGATGTGACTGTCCCCCATAGACCCGGGGGAGGGCAAATCGATAAAAACCCGAAGAGTCAGCTAGAGTGCGCGCCTTGCCTGCTGTTTATCAGCCGTGCTCATCTCAAACTTTCGCTCAACCTACCTAATAGCTCTTCCCATTCCTTTCCTGGGTTGCCATTATTCTCCCAGTCGGTCCGAGCATACTCACGGCGGTGATCGAAGAAGCGGTCATTGTCATCGGAATGCTGTAATGGGAGAATAGTTGAGTGAATAAAAGAATCTATTGATCCCAAATGAGCTTCGAGGTCTTTTGGCAAGTCAAAATTCATGGCGATTCTTTATATCAATAGCAGCAGGTTTTACAAGCTAGAGATATATTGTATGTCGCCAATAGAAAATGTTTAGTTTCCCCGCATTCGGACCTCGGTCATGACGCATATCCCAGTTTCATTACCCGACCACGTCTGCAGAAACGATTGCATTTCTATTCTCTGGAGATGAGAGCAAGCGGTGGAAAGAAAATCCCCCGTGAATGTTAAACAAACCTCGCACGGAAGTACGGGAACTGAAGGACTGCCAAACTGTTCTTGGTTCTGGCGTCCCCCGGCATGGTGAGTACCCCGATAGCAAGCAAATTGCAAAAATTGAAATGAAGTGAAATAATTAGGATATACAACATTTTGAAATAGGTGCCGATTTCGAGAAAACCTGTGTCTTGGAGATGGGTGTGACATGACATGAGTGGCTACAACGGGGACTTGCGTGAAGCCCCCCTATTTTCCCGTCTCCCACGGGGCATTGGGAGAAGTCCAGAACTCTTGGGATTTTCCCGAACGCATCATGCCCATTTGTTGAGACTGTGTCGTCTAAGCGAAGGGGGTGTCATCATCAGGGCCCCCCCAATGCCTGAGCATATCACGAGATCGGTCTATCATTTATATGGAATTGCATTTCCGATCAGAAGCATCAATCATATTCCTCTCTCCTTCGAAAAGTGTCATGTTTGAGCATTGAACAAAGGCGTTGTTTATGGGTTTTCATTTTTGACAGTTCCACTACTCCCAATCGGGAACTGTCACTCTAGCTTCATCACACGTCTGCCCCTTTGAAGATAAAATGGATGAAGGGGGAAAGCAGCGGAAATCCCCCTTAATCAGTGTGTCTCATCAAAGTTCTCTCAGATTCAAATTTTTAAGCTATCAGTCTCAATGCTTTGTCCCCCGCGGATGGGATGATACGAATCCGTGAAGGTTCCACCGAGGCCCCGTGCCCTTTTAAACGGGGCTTGGAAGTCATCAATTTGAACCTCTTATAAGTATTAAAGCGGATGATCCTGAGCTCTAGACACATCGTTCACACCCACAGCCGAAATAATGACCCAGGATCGACTATTTCTGTTGTCATGGATGTGCTGCAATAGGTTGCACAAATAGTGCTACTGCACGAGGCCCCAGACGTTCTTCTTTCGCTCCTCCTCCCATCCACAAAGGACTGAAGCGGGACGTTGCCGACAGTGTGGGTTCCAATCACCGTCTCACTTTTCATATGGCCTGGTTGCACAATGTACTTTGTACTTCTTGACAGACGTGGGGCGAGAATTCAAGAAGATGTAAAAGGACCGTAGACCGTGAACTAGAAGATTGGCTGTCTATTCGTTTTTCTCGACCAGAATGTGTTTCTTCTCAAATCCACTGACCATGCAATTGTGGAATGCCGTTAGCACACAGCCCCTCGTGGCCATCGCCGTGGTTGGAGTGACCTACGGGGTGTGGTTGGCAGTATATCGGCTATGGTTTTCACCACTTGCTCATTTCCCTGGACCGAAACTGGCCGCCATGACCATGTGGTATGAGTTCTACTATGATTCGTTCCTCGAAGGCCAGTACACTTTTCGAATCGCTGAGATGCATCGCAAGTACGGCCCGATTGTGAGAATTAGTCCATTTGAACTGCACATAGACGACCCAGAGTATTATGAAGTCTTATACTCTCGAGATAAACCGATGAACAAATCGATTCTTTTGACTGGCATGTTTGGGGCTCCGGCCTCCTCTTTTGGATCAGTCGATCACCGCCGCCATCGGATACGCCGGCAACCTATGAATCCATTCTTTTCTCAGCAGCGGATTCGAGAATTGGAGCCGATGATCCGCAAAATGATCGATAAGCTGTCCAAAGGAATGCGAGAGTGGAAGGAGAGAAACACTCCGCTGCAAATTTATCATGCGTTTAATGCCTTCACGACGGACGTGGTTGTGGAGTATACTATGGGTGAATCGTTTCATTATTTGGATGACCCTGAATTCACACCGCGCTGGTCGAAGACAATTGAGGCAATTGTGCAAATCGGAGTTCAATTCAAACAGTTTCGCTGGGTGCTCAGTTTGTTCGAGCTGCTTCCACGGTGGTTGGTTGTGATGATCAACCCTCACATCGGCCTGGTGATTGATCAAAGACTTGAAAGTTTGCGATTAGCAAAATTGGTCATTGATAGTCAGAGTTCCGATGGAAACATGGCAGATAGTAAGCCTAGTGTGCCGAAAGATACATTGTTCCATGCACTGCTAGATAGCAAGCTTCCCCAAGAGGAAAAGGCAGCTGGCCGCTTGAGTCAAGAGGTTTTCACCGTCATCTCAGCAGGCGGAGAAACAACTGCAAAGAATTTGACGACAGTCACCTTCCATCTACTTAGCAACCCTGGCAAGCTACAAAAACTACGGGACGAGTTGAGTCGACTCGACCCCGATGGAACCGCGACCTTGGTAGAATATGAAGCAATGCCATACCTTGTAAGTTTGTCCATTCGCAAGCTCGAGCTGATAAAATGCTGCAATATCTGACACTATAGTAGACGTCTGTGATGCTAGAGGGTTTACGGTATGTCACCTTTTATTTATTTAACTCCACCTGATGCCATATATTGACCCCATGAAGAATTACCAACGCCGTGTCTACGAGGCTGCAACGCAGCTCCCCGGATCGGGTTATGACTTACAAAGATTGGGCGATCCCTCCCGGGGTATGATATATATATCCCATTGTATGTGGTTACCCAGGCTCTTTATTGACGATTTACGCCAGACACATGTGGGGATGACCAGCTTATTTATGCACCACAATGAAGAAATTTTCCCAAACTCGCAAAGCTTCATCCCCGAACGATGGATGGACCCAGACCAAAGGAAAAGCCTCGAGAAGTACCTGGTTCCTTTCAGCAAGGGGTCAAGACAGTGTATTGGCATCCCGTATGTGCATGCGCTCTGAGTATTCCTTTTCCACCGTTTACTAACATGTTTTGACCAGGCTCGCGCGGGCGGAGATTCTCTTAGCAATCGCCACCATTTTCCGGGAATTTGAGATGGAGCTCTACGAGACTACAGTAGATGACGTCCGAATCGTTCGAGATATGTTCAATGGTCACCCGCGCAAAGGAAGTAAAGGCGTTCGTGTTATGATAAAGGATGTGAGTGGACATCCTGGACATAGTGAGAAGCTCTTATAAAGACTCTTTGGTTTCATTTCATGTTGGTGAATCCTCGTTCGATTCCAAGCAAGTTCCATGAAGAAGTGAAGCGGCCAAGACTGCTACTGAAGGCTAGCTCATTGTAAACATGGAAGTTACGCCAAAATTCCAAAACCTTCCAATTGATCTGCTAGTCTGGGGCTGGTATGGCGGATAGATTAGGCGCAAGTCAGGGATATAAGCGGTTGCCAGCCTCAATGCAATTGGTATATATCATCGACTTTTTAATTTTCAACGTAAACCGCATAGGGGTTCTACGCAAACAATAAAAAGGGGGGTTCGATATGACCCTTCTGGAGTTAAGAAAATCTATTGTTTCCTCACCTACAATCGATCAACATTTCCCGTGTTCGAAAGCCAGGCTCTGGCCAAGGGGCGCGTGGTCAGGCTTTCAACCCCTTGCTTTGCATTCTCTGCCCCTCGACAGTTGGTAACAAAATACTTCGTAATCGGTGGATTTCAGGAGGTGGAGGCAAAATGTCAAACCCAGCAGGGGGAAAAAGAAAGCATTACGGGCCCAGAACCGACAAGCCGGAAAATTCACGGCAGGGTCCTAGGATGGCCCTAATTCTCCGACCCTCTGGCCTCGGGCTTAACATGATCTACGATCTTTCTTCTAAATCGGATTGATCGACTCCTTATTGGATTGCCAGCGGGACTTCAATCGCAGTCTATGGATCACTGATAATATTTAGGTATGAGTTTGCCTCAGTGGCGTCAAGCCCGCCTCCAACGCCTACAAGGTAGCGACTATATGTAATATCTCCGACCAACCGACTATGACCTGTGTATTTGAGACTAGATCTCGGATTTTCTTTTTCAATCTGAAAAACCGGTGATCGCCATTTCCTCCTACACCTTCGACGCAGGCCACAGGATGATCATTCACCGTGAAATGAACCTCACGTTTCAGATACAGCGCTATGTGAGACAATATTCACCTCCTTTGTATCACAGCAGATATGCTCTCTCATATATTGATCCAATTTGAGCATGGTGTAACATCTTCCATGAATCTTGATGCACGTCGTACCAGGACTCTGGGGCTCAGCCTTCAGTTCATGGATGCGATGAGAATACCCTTAAACACCTGTCTGCATGTTCGCATGTCTATACACATGTTGTGAGAGGGGCAAGTTGCTATGACCTTAGACCTTTGTCACACCTGAGAATTGGACATGCAAAATTGAAAGAATCCAACGAATCACCATGTAGGGTCAAGTCCAAGAATGTTATGGATCATGTTCCAAGGGAGAGGTATACAGGCGCGGTGATACCAGACCACGCGCTAGCCTAGCCCTTTTCCCTGACTCTAATTTTGAATAGAACTATCTTTCCTCGAGCCTGAAGTCTGTTTAGATGTGCTCATGGGAATGGTTCGAACCAGTTGACAGGTTGCTGTATTGCATCTAATTCCAGGGCAAGAACGAAGTACATATTTGCCCTGGTAGCTTCTCATTGATTGTCTAATTTTGCAATTACCAGCAGCCTTAGCAGGTTTCGCTCGTTATTTTGCTTGTGAGCTTTACAATGCATCCAACCCACAATTATCGACACTCTCGCCGGTCCGCTTGTGATCGTTGTCGGGGTCAAAAGCTGCGATGCGAGCGCGATCATATGAATGGCATGTCTTGTGAGCGTTGCATCAAGGCTCAGGAAGTATGTATCACAAGTATGAACCAGCCTCCACCGGCTGTCTTGCCTTCAAACCATGGGCACAGTCAAGTTGCCCGAGACGATTGTGAGAGCCAAAGATTTAATCAAGGGCATGAATCAATGTCTATTCTTCATAAATCATCTGCTACAAGAGTGAAGAAGACGCCAAACTCTCCAAATACATTCCAAGGGAGGCAAAATATGAAAGAGCACCACTACTGGGGAGGAGTAGCGCCAACGCCAGTCTTTCCTGAAGGCAACTTCCTTTTGTCCTCGGGGGACATTGGGTTAAACATGCCCATGGAGTTTGGAAACATCACGTCTCCTATTGAGCAATGGGGTCATCATCAAACAAACTGGTCATTCGACGGTTATAACTCGGTAAGTCAAAGCCAAAGGGGAATCGCTCCACTCAGCTACTGACTGGAAACCACTATAGCTTTCTGATTGGATGCCATCAGATCAACTGTATCCTTACGAGGCAAACACTTGCTTTCCCTCTCCTTTCACCAGTAATGCTCCACCAGGCCCCAGGCAAGCCACCGAGATGGAAATCCCCCAGTTTTTTCAAGCTAAAAATTTCATCTACGGCGAGAACGAATCTCTCTTTCCAACAAATGACATTCCGGATCCTGGATGGATAAATCATCCAACCCTTTCAACCACAAGTAAACTTTCGTCAATTACAACAAACCGCAAAACCCTTCACTCTACGCAAGCTATTTGCAAGAGTCTTTTGGGGTTGAAGATGGGCCTCCTTGAAGATTTGGAGCTGTTCGAGACTGGGTCAATGCTCCTTGAATCTTCATCCCTCTTCTACGAAAATTCCAATTTGTCAATTGAAACACTCGACCTTCCAATATTTCGCTTGCTTGACCACTCTTCTTGGCTCTTGGCAATTGTTCGCTCTTCGTGTGGTACAGTGGAAGAGAGTTTGGATGATGCATTTGGCGCACCACGATTTCAACCAGACAGCAGCGGATATGAAGACCCTTGTTCTTTTCTTGCAGAAGGTAATGAAAAGGCTTTGGATGAGGATATCACAACAGCGTCCCCGCATGATTCCGGTTATCATACCGCGACGACATCGCCGGATCCAACTATGCCTCCCACAATCCCAAAGTGCGATATAGCACTATGGCTGGGCATGCTGGAGGCACATTGCTTACTAGTTCGCATCTATCGTGCTGTTTTCATGCGCTTGTATCAGTTGTTTCTCATTATTCCTCCAGTCGATGCAGCCACAATTCTGTTGTTACCAAAAGTACGGTTCGAGCACTTTTGTTTGGATGGAAACCTCATTACCCAAGTTCAATCATTGGTTGATTTTAGCTCAGCAATGATGGGGAAGCTTGATCGGGTCTTTAAATTGCGGCCATGTCCAACTCAACTGGAAAAGAATCGAGGGTTTGATCTGACCGAACCAGTCCGTCAGAAGGATTGGTCAACCTCGATACGTGACATTGTCCTCGCACAGCAAGAAGATCCGTGTGAAATGTCTTTGATGGAATTAATGGAGCGTTTGCGGCAGCTTGTCAAAGATCCCCTCAATATCTAATTGTATGGCCTTTCCTTGTCCTCGACGCTATTTCAAAAAGATTTAGTTGGCTTTTAGGAACTGACATTTTAGGGTAGTCTAAATTTGAAAACGACAGAACGAAGGATAGAAACATGTTGAGACCTCATATGTACATGAGTTTAGAAGGAGTTTGCGTAATGTTTCCGTATATTCAAGATTATCGCAAGTCGGGTGAACAAAGGGTGATGTAGGGCTACCATGTGAGCAGCCGGCCACACTGATTTGGAGTAAAGACCACCTCGCTATCGACTCTTTTCAAACCGAGACCATGGTATTGACAGGCTGCCCAGTGTTTCCAATATGGATACCTGCGCTAAGCTTCCCCTGCATGATCCGACACCGAGTCCGAGTCCGATCATGATTTAGAATCTAAAAAAAGATCCCTGCGCTATGAAGAAGGGGGAATTCTCTACTTCATAAAGGGAACGAGGAGTCTCAGAACCATAGACAAACACATCTTACAAAAGGAAAAGAAGAATCTCCCCAATCTATTTTTCAAGCCTGGACCCTCGACGATGGCTGCACCCAGTCTCAGAGACATTCCCGATCTTAATGGAACATGGGTATTGGTCCGTCGTCTCTGTCTCATCAGTTATTTAACACAAAGGCTAATATGATGATTAGAACAGAAAACTGTCAACCGATCCAGATGATATTATGGCATTGGTAAGAATACTGCATGAAGGTGTTGGCCTGCCTTTACTAAGATATTTTAGCAAGGCGTACCTTGGGTTGTCCGGAAGGTCTTGCGACATGCCCGGCTTTCCTTGCAAATCTGCCAGACCACCTCCACATGCATAGAGGAAAAGGTCGATGACAGTTCCATTTTGGCCGACAACTTGAAATCAGTCACGAGCCTTCGTATCACCCAAACCGTCAACCCAGGTGGCTTTGATAGCGAAGGAAGTTATCTAGTCGATGGAAGCAAGCAAGACCTCTCGCTGCCCATCTTCGGAGATATTCAGATGCAGCTCAAATTCATCCCGAGATCTCATGTGCTGGAAGACTGTATCCGTGAAACTGTGGAAGTGGCTAGCTTGACCAGCATAGTGATTCAAGAATTGGCCCTGAATTCGTCAAAGGGGTGGGATGCGGAAGTGATTTGGGGATTTGAAGAGCTCGACGGAAAGAGATATCTCACTCGAAACATTAGGACCACCAAGGAGGATAAGAAGGTTATTGCGAAGATGGTTTACGACGGCCCAAATTAGATTTCATCTACTCTCCGTGTTGATTTTGTATCTTCAACGGAGATCAAATGTGTCAAATTGAACCACTACCAACAGCATCCTTTAGGGACTTCGCCGTTATACGATCCATACATTATAACAAAATGGCTCTTTTCTCGTCTTGAAATTAGTCCACAGAAGATTTTACGTTTGAAGACTGTAAAATTAGCTATGGACTACAGCTACAAATAAACCTGAAGGGAAACAGCCCGTGATGTATATCGGTAGCTAAATCACGGTGACAACACAACATAAGTAGTCTGGCTTCTAAAAAGGCAAGCAAAACTTTGATGGTTTATCAAAACAAATGTGTGCTGAAATAGTTGGGCATCAGGCTATGAGTATTTCAAGCCTTCCTCAATGCAAGCATTCAATTTGTGATCATAGGGACAACGAGCTTCTTCCCCGAAACCTTTCCATTTCGCAACATATCCAAGCCCTCCAAAATCCCGTCAAATCTGCCAGGAATGGTTTGAGTTGGGCAGGGCTTAAGCTTCCCATTTTCAATCAATTCTTGGAGTTCTACGTACCACGAGCGAGCCCAGACTCCGATCTCGGGTTTTGGTGGAATACCGTATGGATCTGGAAGCTCGACACCTTGTCCAGAGATGGCACCTCCCATGACTAGTTCATGTTTGACTGTCTTTCGGGAGCAAAGACTTTCTTGATATTGCTCAAGTGCACAGTAGCGTCCTCCAGTACGACCAATCGCTGCAAAGCACATCCGCAGAGTCTTGGCTTCCGCAAAGGGGTCAAGAACATAGCGCAATGTGTTCTTTGTGGCGGCACGAATGTCTTCCGCACAGGTTGGAGAGTTGTAGTCAAAGACAAGATCTGCCCCGTAGGATGTCACCAAGTCGCGGTTGTGACGGGAGCATGTTGTGATTACTCGATGGCCGCAGCTAAGCAAAATGGGTCAGTTACCTGAGTCAAAAGCGAAAGCAAGAAAATGGAATACTCACAGCTTCACCATTTGGATAGCAAGTAGTCCTATAGTGCTACTTCCGCCGTAGACCAGAACATCCTCTGCTTTGGATGCTGGCTTGAGCAATGTTCCAGGCAATTGAAGTGACCAAAATAGAGCAACCCCAAGTGTCGCAATTCCAGTCCCGGAGAGAGAGGGTGCGTTGGTGAGATCCATTCCCTTGGGAACGTGGAAAGCAAAGTCCGGCTCAGTTCGAATAAACTCGCAATAGGCTCCAGATGTTGGATCTGACATATTTGAGCCTTGAACGGCACCAAAAGCCCGGTCTCCAATACGGAATCGTCCCTGTGCAGCAGCCTCGCTTCCTAACGCAACCACGGTGCCTGAAAAGTCACAGCCGTCCCACAGGCCCGGGGTCGGAAACCTCAAGGGCATCTTAAAATCACATGGATTGAGAGCCACGGCAGCAGTCTTCACCAACATTTGGTGGGGACCAAGCTCTGGGATTGGCAGACCATGAGTGATTCGAAGAATTCCGCCTTCATGCTGGATAATGCCAGTCTGGGTGGAGGGTAATGTAGTCTGAGATGCCATATTTTGACTGTGATAAGATGCTCGTACAATTTTCACGGTACATAACCCCGGGAGGCTTATTTATATAAAATCATCGTACATGAAAGGACTACAACCAAAAGCAGGAATCGGGAGAAGGAGAACCAAGCCAGCCAGTGCCCTTACTGGACAGGCTACTGTCTGATGGGTTTAAAATTGGCTATTCCGGTCAAAGTTGCAACCTCTCTGCGTTTGTACGGTAAGATTTGGCGATATATACCCGGGATGATGACTCGTCCTTTGAGGAGCAGAAAACCCCAGAATTTGGTATTTGTAGGGAATCCTAGTTAGTTTTTGGTGGTTACAACATGTAACTGGGATTATTTTAACGCTAGCCAAAAATCGTAACAGCCTACAAATGCATGATCAGCGCTGCGGGCGAAGTGTGCTGTTTCTTACGCCTTTTCCTGCATACAATGTGCATTGTGTTATATCATAGGCATGCATTTCAACCCAGGCGGTATTCAGCCTCTCTAAACCGACCACTTCCGAGGTGGCTATTCCATTTGCTTCCATTACAAGTGAGGGGTTAGGTACAGGGGTGGCCATGAAGTCCATAATTTCGGTATGATGTTCCGGGAATAAAAAGGTTCAACAGTATTGAAATGTCTTGACAACTCTCAGCATTAGCTTCGGGAGACTTCCTATCTATGCCTTATTGCTTCGTTGGTATTACCACAGCACAGGTCGTGTATATATTGGTAGGCCTTGAAGAGAAGAGGAATTGCCGTTGCCTCGAACTTGGAGTAGGCGATTGTATGCATATGCTAGGTTTACACATTATATAGGCCGCTAGAGAAAGCAAGACGACAAAGACTCGGCTCGGAGAAAAAAAATAGGGAAGGGGGGGGTATCATTATCACAGCTTGTTGGCCCTAGCCGGAGAAAACTACCATCAATATGATCTGATCATTGCTTTTAGGACATGAAACAAGCTGTTCGTCCGATTCAAAAGAAATAGGATTATAATATCCTAGGTGGGAGGGCAATGGGTCCTAATTTTGGCCAGTGGCTTTAATCAAAATAAAATAAAATTGATTTAAATGCCCGATGCTGACTGCATAGTCGGGCGTTGATGAAGGAGATGGGAAAAGAGGTAGCAAAAACAAAACAAGAAGAACAAATAGAAAAATAATTGACAAGGCTCTGTGGGAGCTTCTGGTTCATATGGCTCCTTGGGTTAGCCCGGTACTAAGTAAAATTCCGCCTAGTCAATGTCCACTAATGTAGACGTTAATGTGTGAAAATTGATGATCTGGGTCATAAGACGGCCTATTTGGCCGTGATAGGTAGAGAATGTTGAAAGATGAGCCCGTAGAGCGAGGGGACCTCTTAGATTAAGGATATGTCTTGACAAGAATAATTCAAAAAGCCTAAGTGACATATGACTACGGATAAGGGGCAATGATTTGAATCAGCGAGAATCTTGAAGAGCTGGTCGAAATACACTTCTTCTCAATTTCATGACACGGTGACATATATTGAATGGCTGTAGGCATCGAATGGTTTACACAACATGGTCGCCGCTGAACTTATTGGCTCTGAAACCGTATAACTATGTTTTGTACATCCTGGCCGATGCTCATTCACGCTCGGATGATTTAATCAATCGGGGGAGGAGAACTTGTCCATCGGAGGCCCTACGCAAGTACTCTCCCAACAACACACTCATTCCTGCTTGTTCGGCAGCGTTCACCCACTCGTCGAGAGAGACGACCTGAAACTGTTGTCCTGAGCCTGACTCCATCAAGGGCATGATCTCATCACGTCCGATCTTCGTCTCGCCAGATTCATAAAGATAAGTCACAGACTCCGCAGCCGATCCACTGAGACCAGATTGCTGAACGGCTTCGAGGAGTTGGCTTGCAGCCGACTGTACAGAAATGAGGTCGAAAACCCCTGACCATAAGCTCGAGTCTGGCAATTTGCGCGTTTCTTTGGCGAACCGCATGACATTGCCCATAAGATCAAGCTCTGGTGCATCAGCACCAGTGATGCTCGATGGGCGGTGTATCCATACGGGGAGACCAAATTGGCTATTGACGTGCTCCAGATAGACTTCGCTCACCCACTTGGCGGCGATGTACCCATCTGTTGGTTGAGGCGGAGGAGGATACGGCGATACGGAGGTCTCCCCGAAGCTTTCTTGGGCAGCAAGTCGTGCAACACCAGCCGATGAGACGAAATGGAATGGTATACGCCGGGGCAATGCAAGTTTGACCAGTTCTTTGGTAGATGCCACATTGATAAGCTTGAGCGTCTGATATGTCTTCATGAAAGACACATCTGCGCCATTGTGGATAATAATGTCTGCACAGGAGAATATCGATCTGGACTCGGATTCCGAGAGTCCAAGCTGAGGAGCCCCCAGATCACCGTAATGCAAATGAACTTTCGGATGGGCAAATAGTTCAGGTAAATCCGAGGATCGCTTTCTGACTGCAAGACAATGAACAAATGAGACCTTCTCATCTTCTATGAGTCCTCGGAGTATTTCTTTGCCAAGAAAACCAGTTGCCCCGGTAAGAACCACAGTTTTGACTCCGGATGGAACAATGCGGGTGCTACTGTTATTCAAAGATGAAGTCAGCTCCGATGCGACTTCAACCTCTTCATCCCAATTCACATCTAGCTCAAGTGTGGGGCGAGATATGTCTTGGATTCTGGCCGCCATTCCACGTAGACTGCTGGCTTCAAAAAGTTGATACAATTCCATAGACGCACCAAGCCGGTCCTTGATTAGCGCTTGTAGGTTGACAAGGGCAAGTGAGCTTCCACCAACGTGGAAAAAGTCGGACTGGGAATCAATCGAGTGGAAAGTGGTCAATTCTCGCGGTAGTGCTTGTTGCCAGAGCTGACATAGTGACTGTTCGAATTCCGTGAGAGTGTCATCGTCAGGCAAACGGGATGAAATCAACGGAATGGGAAGTGCGTTGACTGCGACACGGTCAGTCTTGCCCGACGTATTTTGGGGAATGCTTCCAACTGGAATGATGGCAGCAGGTCGCATATGAGGCGGCAATGGCAGTTCTTGCGAAAGGCGCGTGAGAAATTGAAGCGCATTCTCCGAATCGTGGGTGGTGGCCAATGTAGCAAAAGCAACAAGGAATTGATCCCCAGATTGACTTGCATCTGAGCGAACGGATACCACGGCTTGTGTAATAGCTCCAGCCGAAGAACTGACGATCGCTGTCTCGATTTCTTCAATATTGATGCGAATTCCTCTCAACTTGATTTGGTTATCCCCGTCCATGCGACCGAGAAGAATAAGACCACCATCACGGTTGAGTTTTCCACGGTCTCCAGTGCGGTGGATTGCGGTCCAGTTCTTTTCCCTGGAAGAACTTGCTTGCATACCGATCATTTGAAAAGCGTTCAGTTGTTTTGGTGCCGTCAAGATAGCCCTGGGCAACCCCTGCGCCACCAACAACCACTTCGCCAGGAACTCCGATCGGAACAGGGTTCAACCTTTCGTCGACAATGTAAACAGAGTAGTTCGGCAGAGTGTACAGAGCTTGTGCAGAAAGTGTTGATTTTGAATCCAGCAGGCTGTACGGAACCTCATTGCCCGAGCATGCAACACTGATCTCCGCCGGCCCATAAGCATTTATCAATTTGAGGTCCGGCAGATTCAGACTATTGATCTCTTTGATCAAGCCACTTGACATAAACTCGCCACCGCATACTGCAATTGACAAGCGAGAGTTGCTCAGGTTGGAGCGACCATGGCGCACCCAACCAAGGTATTCCGTGGGCGTCGCAAGGGTGCACGTCACATGTTCAGATGCGATGAGTCGTGTGATAGCAACGGGATCTCCTCGTATGAGGTCGGATGCAATCACCAGAGTCGCAGCAGAGCACAGGGAGACCATGATCTGCCACAAAGACGCATCCCACGCATAGGATGATTGATGCAGAATGGTCTCGGATCCCTGGCGAAGTTTCCAAGCGGCACTTGATGACTGAACGTGGTGGGCATAGGCTGAATGGTTAATCATGATCCCTTTTGGGACGCCGGTCGATCCACTAGTGTACATGATCACCGCTGTGTGGCTTGGGACAGCCATGTTTCGGACGGGATGTGCAGTAGAGCCCCTTAGACCAGATACGTCGATGGGTCTCGCCATAGTGTGCAAAAGTGCATAGTCAGATGTGGAGTGTGCGTCAATCAATATCATGGGTGCTTGTGTCTCTTTCATGATCATCGCGAGTCTCTCCATCCCAACCTTTTTGTCCAATGGAATGTAAGCACCACCGACACGCAAGATGGCCATGAGGGAACATATCCAGTCTGCACCAGGAGACTGGAAAACCGCAATACGGGTGTCCGCTCCAGCTCCGTTGCGCAAGAGCTCGTTGGCGATAACATCGATCCGAAGCTGGGCTTGTGAATAAGTCAAGGAGGTCCCATCATGACTCTTCAATGCGACACGGTTCGGATAGCGCGACGCAACCTCATCCAGGCGATGGACTATAGTCATAGACCATTCTTCTCGCAACTCCGGTCCTGCATAGCACCTGAATTAGGAAAATGTATATAACTGACAAGGGGTAATCTACTTGCCTCGGCCAGCAGCCACTGCCTCCTGGATGTCACTGTCAGAATGCAATTCGGGCCAGGTCACCCGAGTCGCCGGATTTTGAACAAAAGATTTGAGAAGATTGACATAGGAGTGAAGTAGGATTTCCGCATGTTCCATTCCATACAAGCTCTTCTGAACTGTTAGGTGAATCAGGGTCTCGCTGGCACCGACATTGCCAACATCCAGGCCGAGGTCAAAAGACGTTTCGCCGCCACCCAAAAGTTCGCCAGCGGCTATACACCCGCAGAAGGTTCGCGATTGCTCGACCTTGGGTCGATAGTTGAACAGCGTTTGGCATAGAGGATTGTGTGATGCAGATCGCGGAACGTTAAGCTCTGTCAGAATCACATCGAATGGCACACGCGAGTGGGCAAACGCACCCTGCGTGATATTCCGGACCTCCTTGAGAGACTCTCCAAATGATTGGCCAGGTTGGTCAGAAAACCTCACGGGAAGGAGATTCAAGAAAAGTCCCATGCTCCGCAGGACATCGGCATCCGTACGGTTTCCATCTCCAAGGCCGATGGAAACATCTTTCAGACCAAAGTAGCGTAGAAGGAGGGTTTTCCAGACTGCTAAATGGAAGTGGAATGGTGTTGACTTGAACATCCGGCAACATCGGTCAATCGCGTCCGACAAATTGGCATCCAGGCGAATCTGTGTAGTATGAGACCCGAATTGAGCAACCTTAGGTCGAATAGGTTGCAGGGCAAATGGAAGAAGGGGAAGGGCAGGTAGAGCCTCTGTATGCTGTGCTCGCCAGTAAGCGAGATCTCCAGCCCAAGCACCCTCTTCGTACTCACGAAGTTGGCGCATAGTAAAGTCTGGATATTGAAGACCATCTTCAGAAAGAGTCTGACCCTGATATACCTTCTCCACGTCTGACCAGAATACCTCAAAGCTAATGCCATCCATGTTGATGTGATGGAAGCCGAAGATTATCCAGTGCTTTTCTTGGTTGAGTGAAAGCAGCCGAACGCGCATGATCTCGCCATCAGAAAGATTGAACAAGTGTGCCCTCATCTGTTTTGAAGCCTCTTCAACTTCTGTCTCATCGGAGATTTCTGTCTGCTCTAACTGCAAGGAAGATTTTGTCCAAACGCCTTGCATGTGATTTTGCTCGTCGTCAGTGAAGAAGAAGGTACGTAGGGCCTCGTGATGTTGACCAGCGGCATGTATAGCATTCGCAAATTCCTCAATCTTTAGGCGACCAGACAACTCGAACGTCGGTGTAATATTGAATGCAGTTTTGTCCTCGACGAGATGGTCTAGAAACCAGAAACGCGACTGCCCGTAGGACATTGGCACAGTTCTTTGTATTTCACGTTTTGGGGTTCCCATTTCGTTGTCGTCAGTAAAAACCGATGAGGAGGTGTCGTCATTCTTTTCAGAGTTCGAGTCTCCAGTGATTAAAGACGTCGCGGAGCTGCCACTGTACGCGTTTGTTGCGTCGGGTAGCGCAAATTTCAATTCCACGGAGCTGGCTCTGGTCTCTGGAGCAATGTTGTCCATGGAGATGTTTGCGGGGACAGCTGTTGCAGCGACCGGATGGTTGGGTTGATGTCCAGGTGCCTTGACAGCTTGTTCGCCGGTGATCAAATTGGGAATCAAAGCTTCTGGCAGCGTTTCTGCAGCAGTGGCCAGAAGCTCACGAATCGAGGCTGCGTTGAAGATTTTTAGCACCGGCATATCGACACCCAACTCCTTGAGGAACCACGATCGCAGGTCAACAGCGACTAATGAGTCCACACCAAGCTCGTCTGGACTCATGTCCAACATAGGCTTGCTCGGGTCAGCCTGAAGGGCTGACTGTAGCTTCAACAGAAATCCATCTAAAACAATGTTTAGTTTCGACTGGCTATAGTATTCGCGATGCCCGTACCTTGCAATATTTCTGTAACTTCCTGATTTGAAGTTGCCTCAAACAAGCGTGTTTTTATCAACACGCCAGACTTCCCCTTTTTGTCTGCCACTACAAGATTGCTAGACTTGTAGACTAGATGTTGGAACATTGGGTTAGAAATCCAACTCTTGGATTCATCATCGTCGATTCTAAGTCCACAGCACAACTCGGCGGTTCCCACACGCTCCAAGCAAGTGAGAACGCCTTCAGCAAACACCTCATGGAAGTCTTGCTCAGACATCCATGTATGGCCGACTCGGTAAAGATATGACTGCTGACCCATGTTAAGCTCTCGCGTCACATAGCCGTTACCGACAATTGCGCCAATGTTGATCGCATGTCCTGCCAGGCCGCGGTTTCGGCGTTGGGCTGCCAGACTGGCCATAAACATATTCGCGGCATTGTAGGCAACCTGGCCCGGGTTTCCTGTCATTGCAGCCATTGATGAGAAAAAAACCATGAAGTCCAACGTGTCCTCTGGGAACAATTCGTCTAACAATATGCTACCTTCGACTTTGGGACCAAGAACCTTTTGTAGGCGAGGGAGATCTAGATCAATGAACATTGTATCCTGGAGTACCATGGCACCCTGTGCAACACCAGCAATCGGAGGCATAGTTGCGCTGATGTTGCGATAGGCAGCTTGAACAGACTCCCGATTCGTTATGTCACTGGATGTGTTAGCTGAGTAGAAATAATTGTGACCCAAGGAAACTGGAATAAAAGCGTACTTGGAAAAGACCCGGACAGTGCAGCCACTAGAGGCCATTCTCTGTAGCCATTCGTCACTGATCTTTGGATTTCGACTTGATATCGCGATGTATCTTGCGCCCTGCCCGATCATCCACTGACAAAGTGACAAACCAAGGCCGCCTGTCAGTCCAACTAGCCAGTAAGTCTTATCCTTTGAAAATTTGACCTTTTTGGTAGCAGGTCGAACCTGGACAGCAAGTCGCGATTTACCCCATGCAATCAAAGACTGCTCTTCGAGTGGGGTTTGAGTAGTAATCAGGTCCTGAAGTGGTAAAGGAGCAAAGTTCTGCATGTTAACCGGCAACAAATCGTACTGTGCTCTCGACCAGGAATTTTGAAGCTGGATCGCCAATTGGCCTCTATCTGAGGTAAACTGAGATTGGGAGTAGCGTGCGGTCAGGGTGGTCTCGCTCTCGAACTGACAGTCTGTCGGCAAGCATCTCTTCAAGAGAGTAGTCACATCAGAGCTGCCACTCATATTGACAAGTCGTGAAATATCGCTAGGTAGCTTGCTTCGTAATTCACGGCGGGTGGAGTTTGGGTGGATTCGAATCCATGGCCACGAGCAATGTCCCTCCTGTGTTGTCAAAAGAACAAGTTGAACACCCTTTTCGTTCGCATATCTCGTCAGGACGGGTGAGAAGGAGAAGTCAGGGTCCACCACCGCGAGAGTCTTGCCTGGTTGAAGCTGACGCAGCATAGCGAGTGTAAGGAAATGGAAATAAAGGGTCAGCATCGATCGAATTCCTAGCTCCTCGGAATCTCCACATCGAACTCGTAGGCCTTGCGGCACACTGACTTGAGAGTCCAGGCTATGCGACAGGGCGATCACATGCTCGCCATTTGATGCATTCCTTCCAAGCACCAAGAAGTAATTCTCCGAGGAACTGATACGGACAGCACGGAGCAAAGAGTGTGTCACATCAATTTTCACATCATCCAAGAGAGAGGGCGACACTCGAAGGTCTTTTTCTTCAATTTGATATCCGATTTCCGTTGGTTGAATGGTGACCACAGAACCAGCTCGTTCAACCTCTTTAATGATTAGGCGCCTTGAGGAATTGTATCGATCGTTTCGGTTAGAGTTGAGACGGAATCGAGGCACTTTGAACTGCCCATTCTCCAGCATCAGCTCCCTCTCGTTGGACCACAAAATCCCATCAAGCTGTCCACTCTGATCCCAAATTTCGGCAGCTTCCAAATGGAGGAGCTTCGTTGCGATGATATGAGCATCCGCATCATGCAGCGAATGGAGGTTTAGGAAATGGATGTGCAGGTGTGTCATCTCCATGGCCAATGTCCGTTGAACTCCTGCAAACATGTTGCCATAGGGGTTCTCCCCCTGGGCACCGTATCCAAGCCATAAAACATTCTTGCTTTGTTTAAATAACTCTTGGAATGACTTCAGGTCCTCCGCAGACATGTCTTTCAGAACTGGTCCATCCAATTCAATCAAACTGATCACTGATCCCATCACTGGCAGATTTGCTGAGATAAGGTCGCTCAAAGAGCTTGCTGTGTAGATATTACTGTAGTGCGGACGGACCGCAGTTCTGATATCAGTGACCATATCAGCGGTCAACGGAGTTTTGCCACCAATGATTGTTAGCGAGTCCACGCCTAGAGTCGGGTGGTTGGTTGCCAGAGGATCGCGAAGGAAATTGACACGGTGATCCACAGCTTGGGTGACCATGACGGAGAATGGCAAGGGCGATGTTCTGGAAGATGGCAACAGGGCTTCGAACCCAGAAAGTCCAGCGTTTTGCATCAGTCTTTGCCATTTGTCCTCCGATACACAGGGGGACAATGTTCGTCCCTCCTCGTGACCTAACCACCAGCCTGGTAGACCACCTAGGATGAGGCCGAAGCGCATGACATCAGCGTCCGTGAGCTCGACCATAACCAAATAACCACCTGGTTTGAGTAGCCGACGAACGTTTTTCAGGGTTCCTTCGAGGCTTCTGGTGGCATACAGGGCTAAAGGAGCAACGACAAGGTCAAAACAGCCCTCTTCATAGCCTTGTGCTTCGATGTCTTTCTCGATGTCCAACACCTTGAATGCCATTCTAGATTGGTAATCGGAGAATCTTTCACGTGCTGAGTCGAACTGCGAGTCCAAGATATCTGTGTATGTGTATGACGCAAACGATGGTCCCATTGCACGCATGATTCGATCCGAAGTAGCGCCAGCGCCAGCTCCTGTGATATATTGATTAGTATTGCGTGTAAGTTCATAATAGTGTGTAAACTAACCAATCTCCAGAACGTTAACATGGGGGTATCTGTGGCCAATCTGGCGAGCCGTTTGAGCAATAGCATCCAAGTAAGCGTCTATTCCAAGGGTTTCAGCGTAAAATTCCCCTAGCATGTTATCCTGCATGAGGATTTCAAGCAGGTTCATATCTCCACGAATGATAGCAGCAAGGTTTTCGCCAACTGCACGCAGCGCTTTGATGTCGATGCAGTCAGAGTGACTATTTGGGTCAGTCAATGGAGTTCAATCTCAATGTTTTACCTCACAGAGAGGATTCCGGGTTCTCACCGATTCAAAATTGGAGTAATGTTGTCCATGGTGTCATTGGCCCATTCTGCTTTTGCGAATTTATGCTCTCCATTGGCAACAGACGTTATACAATGATCCACATAAGAGAGAAGATGTTTGTGATTCCAAGTGGCATTCGCTCGATGGGAGTTCTGGAGCGAACTTTCGAGGTTTTTCAAGTAAAAATGGGCAACCCGTTCGAGATCCATGCTGAGAGACTGGTCTGAGAGAAGCGCGTCTGCAGCTTCCTTTCGTTGTTGCAAGGTGGGCCTATCCACATCCCAGATCACTTCCGTGAAAAATGGAACATCATTGGTGGATGTCAATGGACTCAACGGTGTAGTGTGAAGTCCTTCAAGTTGAAGTAAAGTATGCCTGCCATCTGCAGAGAATATATCAACATCGCCGGAGAGTTCGGCAAAGCGGGCATCTGTCACTGCAGAATAGAACGGCAGTTCTGCACCGGGAGGACCAAGAGCGGCGCATGCGCTCGGATTGATACGAAGCCTGTCAATTTGTGTTGGAAGGTAAAGAGTGCGTAGACGGCCATCTCCTGGGAAGGAATACGCCAGCATGATTGACTGAATCGCTCCATCAAGAGAGGCTGGGTGAATAATCAATGGTTTTTCGGTTTCGGAATCGACTGGAACAGCGATCAAACCCGATGCCTCGTCCATTTTCCTGCGCAAACTGGAAAGGGCTTGGAAGGGTCCGGTGTAGCCAAACCCAAGCTCGGAGACTGAGTTGTAGAATCGTTCACCTTCCAGTTCCAAGAATGAGCCTTCTGGTTTGGCGTGTGGGGGGGAGGACATCGTGTCTAGTGTCACCCAAAATAATTTGCAGGGTGGCAGATGCGTGAAGAGACATGTTAGATGAGCCCTTGTTGGCGTCTGAATGACAGGCGAATGACGCAGACACAGCATTATCCTGAGTTTTTTCAATCGAGAGTCTGAAAATTGTTTCCACTCCCCCATTCTCTTCAAGGACTAATGCTTGTCCGATGACCACATCGTGGAAGTCGATCAGTTGGACAGAGTCCAGGCCAAACTTTTGGACAACAGCCTCAACCGCCGCTGATATATACCCGGCTGCAGGGAATACCATTTGACCTTGGACCTGATGATGTGACAGCCAGGAAACCTCCCTTGGGTGAAGATAGTTGCGCCAGCGCAGCTCGCTGTCTGTCCCGTCGGGGCATTTGACACCCAGTAGGGAGTGGAATGGTTCCTTTTCGGTGCGGATTGCAGTAGATGATCGAGATTCGTGCCAATAAACCCGATCGTGATCCCATGAGTATGATGGAAGACCTTTGATAAGCTCTGGGGCTCGAGTATTTTGCTTCTGCATCGCCTTCATTTCGAACCCTGCAAAGTCCACGACCGTTTCACCCAAGGCAATCCACAGGGCGCCGAGTGTAGATGAGAGAGCCTCAGTGTCATTTTTGCCACGGTTCAAGGTACCTGCATAAGGCAATGTTTGGCCCGACACTTCTTGGATCGTTTGCATTGCGGGTCCTTTCAATGCCGGATGAGGGCCGATCTCCAAAGCCATGTCAAACGGCCCGGCAGCAGCAACTGCATAGGTGACGGCCTGGGAGAATAAGACGGGATTGATCATGTTGTTGCTCCAATACGTGTCGGCAAGATTATCATTCACGTTTTCAATGTTGTCGCCATACACACTGGAGATCCAGGCAGCACTGCCACTCGCTGGACGCTGAATGGTTACACCACACCTGCGGATTGCTGCGATATAAGGAGCCGAGCAGGAAAGCATGTGGTGAGAATGATAGGCTTTGTCCACTTTCAACATGCGAGCAAATTTCTTCTCATCTTCGAGGATTTCCCTCGCCTCGTCGATCGCATCCGCATCGCCCGAAAGTGTAACGCTGGCGGAGGAGTTGCTCGCCGCCACGCAAATTCTGTTCTCGAGTGACGGCATCTCGCATAGTTCCTTTGCATCTTCATATGACGTTCCTGCAGCCATCATTACGCCTTTTTGTCCTCCCTGGTCGTTTGCATATTGAAGAGACCATCCCCGATAATAAGCAACGCGGATAGCATCCTCTTCGTTGAGATATCCCGCGGCATAAGCTGCGGCAATCTCGCCGGACGAATGACCAACGACGGCAGTGAGTTTTAGGTTAGCTGCCCGAAGAAGCTGAACCAAGGCAATTTGAATCGCGGTACAAAGAGGTTGAGAGAACGCCGCCTCCCCGATACGAGACGAGGACTTGTCTTTAACAAGCTCCTCCCTCAACGACCAGCTAGGACGATGCTCTGTGGGTAGCTCCTGGAGAGAACGATCAAGTCGGGCGATGCAATCACTGAACATCGGGGAGCTTTCGAGCAGCTCGGCACCCATTCTCGCCCACTGTGCTCCTTGGCCTGTGAACACTCCAAGGAGTTTGGGTTCTCGGATACTTCCCGTCTGCGTGCTTGGTGTAATTGTCGAAGAGGCTACTGCTTCATCCAGCCTTGCAGCAAGCTCCCCTGGGCTCGATGCGGATACCGATAGCCGTACTGGCAAAGTCGAACGCCGAGTGTTCAATGTCCATGACAAGTCACGAATATTGACATCCGGATGATCTCGCAAATATGCCGAGTATGCTGCAATGTTGCCTAGAAGCGATTTTTCGGAGGAAGCAGAGAAGTTGAATGGCGACACAGTGACAGAGCTACTATTTGCAGTGTTTCGACCACGAGCAAGTAAGCGCCCATCAAATCCTTCCAAAATTGCGTGCGCATTTGCACCACCAAAGCCAAAGCTATTGACACTGGCACGGCGAGGGGTGTTCTCTGGGAGTTGTGGCCATTCTTTCGCAGCTTGAAGGATTTCAAGGTCGTTATAGAAGGGACGTACTGTGGAACTCAACTCATTGAGGAGTAGATTTGGTGGGATGACGGCATGTTGTAAAGCAAGCGATGCTTTAAGGACGGCTGCAAGTCCAGCCGTTCCCTCGGTGTGACCGATCACGGTTTTGATGGACCCAACATACAAGGGATCCTCTTGGTTACCATCACGCTGGTATTTGGCGGCTTGTCCAAAGAAAGCAGTGCTGATGGCTTCCGCCTCGACAGGGTCACCTGCCGGAGTTCCTGATTTGGTCAGTAAATCCCTATTTAATTTCCTTCACCTTCGTTCCATTATGACTTACCTGTACCATGAGCCTCGAAGTATTGCGGTCTGTCGGTGGGTTTGGAAAGATCGAGTCCAGCTCGAGCATACGTCGTCCGAATAAGCTCTGCTTGAGCCGTAGGGTTTGGCATCGTAATTCCTTTGGTGCGACCGTCTTGATTGGCACCTGTCTCCCGAACGATGCACTCAATGTGGTCCCCATCTGCCAATGCTGCACTCAGTGGTTTGAGTATGACGGCAGCAATTCCATCACCACGTGCGTATCCATCTGCGCCTTTATCCCACATGCGTGAGCGGCCGGTTGGGGAAAGCATTTTCAACTTGCTCTCTGCGATATATTGCTCTGGTCCTAGCAAAAGATTTGTTCCCGCTGCCACCGCAACGTCAGTCTCGCCACTTCGCAGACTCTGTACGGCCTGGTGTAGTGCAATGAGACTAGATGAACACGCCGTGTCGATAGTCATGGAAGGTCCGCGCCAGTCAAAAAAGTAAGAGACTCGGTTGGATAGAATGCTTCGAGCAGTTCCCGATGCAAAGTAGGTCGGAAAGTTCTGCACATCCCGACCTAAGATATCGGCATAGTCATTGGTCATCAACCCAACATATACAGCAGTGTTAGATCCTTGGAGCTTTTCCATGGGAATGCCAGAGGTTTCAAGGCCCTCGTAGACAGTTTCGAGCAACAGCCTTTGTTGGGGATCGATCGAGTTTGCCTCCACTGGCTTGGTTCCAAAGAATTGGGCGTCAAAGAGTCGATGATCATCGGACAGCAAATAGGAGTGTCGAACATTCGTAGTACCATGGTGAAGCCCATCGGGGTGATAGAAGGCTTTGGTGCTGAAGCGGCTTTCTGGGATTTCGCTAAGCACATCTCGAGGTGCTTTGAGCAAATCCCATAACTTGGAGGGTGTTGTTGCATCACCAGGAAAGCGGCAAGCACTTCCCACGATGGCAATTGGTTCCCCGATATGCTGAAGATCGCCTGTCATCGTGTAGTTCAGGTTTCACTGACTCTACACAGGGCTAGTACGACCAATGTGTAACTGCGGGTATTGCAATGAAAGGTCTATAGGGTATCAATAATGAACAATCGGGACAAGATTTTCTCCGCAGCATTCAAACTCCAGTTGCAAGTGACGGGGAGCGGTACATATGAATGTGCCGAGGCTCGCTTTGGCTGTCAGATCAGGGGGATTTCGGACATCCAATCTCCCAGTCAGCTTGTCATTTCTTTCAGCTGGTTCCGACTCCGAGGGCTGCCTCCGGGGTTGTCATATGAAACGAGACAAATCATGCTGAATGGGTGGGATCCACCACTGTTTCGCCATGTGTGCAGAGCGATCTCTTGCATATTCTTGCTTCACGTCGTACTGAAAATATAGAAATCTTGAGGTCGTAGGATTGCAGGGGCTGCCAATCCGTCTAGTTTGAAATATCAAGACCGAGTCCGAGTCCGAAAAGCATGGCCTTGTCGCATCGGGATGTTCGAGATCTCATCAAGACATCACACCAACCACGACATGCCACCATGCACGCATGGATCGTAGGGGCTGTTTTGTGGTCAAATGGGGTCCAAGATTGGGTGGTATTGCAGAAGAACACTCCTAAGAGAAGTTGCGCCTCAGTAGTCATATTCCTACGGAGTCCGCAGTCGGTAAGTTTAGCAACACGGTTAAACTGTAAAATGGACTACATAACTAGGCCAGGAGTCAATATGGGAAAACCATGCTCCTGTATCATTCCCACGGTTCAGCTCTCGGCCACGCTTCCACGTGCGATGAAGTTTTTGTCACTTTGGGTCCTAGCCTCAACAATATTCGACTTCGAACTATTAATGTCCGAAGAAAGCTGCATATTGTAGTTTGAGCGATCAACGCGTGGCGAATAGGCGTGGTCCAGGGAGGTTGTGTGTTCTTTTCGCCCTATCCCTCTATAGGCAGGAGATGAAAATCTAGCCCATCTGCTCCAGGGACGTAAAGATTTAACAATTCCTCTCTAGTCAGGAGATAAAAATATACCCCCACACCATCTGCAACCCAACTAGGATCCGGATAGGCGGAGATGCAAATCAATCCTACCCTATCGAGGGGACGCGTCTGAGGTAAGGAGCGGCAAGGCTAAAAAGAAAAGGGCCGGGCCTGATAATGGGCATGACCGTGCACAGAAAAGGCAGGGAATAGGAGGGGATAGCGGGGATTGAGAGGAGAGGCAATCTAACAAATGGGAGAAATCTACATGCATCTACCAATCCTGCCCGGCTGTCGTGCATGCAGACGAACGGGATGTCGCGCGTTCGTGACTCAGGCACCAATGTTGGCCTAAGGCCTCAATTTCTTGTCAATTCAAATGGTATTGTGAAATGTTCGGGTCCAATCAACGGTGTTGAAATATCCGTATTACTGTACCTTGTATCCACTTTCCTAGCAATTTATACCTGCACCTAGGTAGTTAGGTTAGTAGGTAACTATGGGCTGCGGATTACTAATTCAAAATTACTGCAGGTGAACAGACTGGATTTATTCATCCTCCGGTATGCTGGTCTGTATGCTCCGACATTTCTTGTTAGCGCAGTATAATTAAACCTTGGTTTTTGATGTGGCCTAGTGGCAATCTACTGTGTCTTCACTCCTACATTTGTTAATAATCTGGGCTGCAAAAAAAGTTGAGTGCGATGTACTACTCCCTCCCCCATAAGATGAGTCAATTCGCATATAATGGATCGCGTATGGCGCCTAGATTTAATAAATATAAACAAATTCATCATTTTCCCGATCAGTCAGATCCTGGAATGCGTTGTCCCCAACTTGGACAGTCTCATTTCCAGCCTCCTCCAGGGTATCATGCATTTCGTGATAATTATTTTGCATCGAAAGGTCAACGATCTCAGCTCTCTTGCCGTTTTGGACACGGCGACGGGCTTGTTGTTTGTTGAGGAACCATAGATTGCCCCACTGAATGACAACAACAGCGGCCAGCGCGCTAAAGATTCCAAGACATGCGCGCAGGCCTGGGTGATAGGCTGGCTTGTCCTTCTCATTGAAGAGCAAGGGACCGATGATATTTCCGGCCGAGCTTGCTGCGTTGTACATACTCATGATGACGGACTTTTTGGTGGTTCCTGCCGTGTTGCCGATGATCCAGGTCACAATTAATGGATTGCCGCCAAATAAGAAGGCAAGTAGATAATAGCCCGCAAGTAGCTGGCTCTGTACAGACTGGGTCCGGGGGACCGCATACAGAATCGATAGGCCAGCTATGACGGGCAGCATGAAACCCGCAATGATAGCACTCTTCAGACGAGCAGTTTGAGCAAGATAACTTGCCAGCAGAATGATGAGGAATTGCAGCGCGCCAAACGGCATTGTCAGCAGAGTTGTTCTGTATTTATCGTAGCCAAGCCCGCTTAAGATCAGTGGGCCAAAGATGTTGGTCACGCTGGCACCGATGTTGAGAAGCATTGCCATTCCAATCCACAGATATGTTTTAAGTTCCAAACAAGCCTCGAGGACATGACTGAACTTGAACTCGGTGTTTCCAGTTCCAGTCTGATTGGCTCGAAGGCGCTCGATTCCTTGAGCTCTCTCATGCTCGGTGAGAAATCGAGCTGTGGATATATCGTTGTCCAAGCGCCAGTAGACGACTGGGGCGGATGCAACGGTTATCAGGCCGACAACAAGGAAGATGCTAAAAGGGAGTCAGTATGTACCACTGTCGGGGGTGATTCGTTGGGTTCGTACATCTGCCATGATTTAAACACTTCCGACTTGATCTGTGCCAGTCCGTACGATAAAGCAGCTGCGACGATGGTTGCTAAGCCATTTGTGCTATACCACGCAGCGATCCGGATCGGTTGCTCTGCACGTCGATACCATTGACTAGTGATGACACCGAAAAGGGGGAGACAGCCGGCCTCGAACAAGCCAAGAAAAAATCGAGCGGCCATCAAGGAGTTGAAGTTGTGGCATGCAGCCATGCATGTCTGCGCAAGTCCCCACCCAAGGCATAACGATGGCATAAGGATTTTGTGTGGAACCTTGACAATCAGGTACGAAGAAAAGGGTTGCCAGGCAAGTTGGGCAATGGGTGAAATGGAGCCGACGAGCGAATACTCGTTACCGGTCAGGCCTGTGTCTTTCTGTAAACCGAACGTTGCACCGTATCCCAACACTGTTTTATCGAGGATCTGCAAGAAGTAGACCCAGGCAAGGACAACAAGGATAGTCCGGTCGGTCTTATGGCAGATGCGCTTGCTGTCCTCTTCGGTTAGGGCGACGCGTACAATGCCACTATTATCCACGAGTTTGTCCCCCTTCTGCTGCTCTGCCGCTTCCTCGTGAACGACACCTGGTTTGGACATGGTTGGATCTTGCATTGTCGGGAAATGGAGAGCCCTTGGGCTTTTGCTGCATCAAGGGCCAAAGCAAATATATAGGTTAGTTATAGCACCCCACGTCGTCAGGGCGGCACTTCCGTCATCAATTCCATGGATGCTGGTTTTCCCCATGTTCCCCCACGCCTCCACATCCCCCACGAAAATCTAACGCTACCCACATACCAGCCAAGCTATTTACTAAACTAACCTTGCCACATACTGATTAGTGTTTTCTGTGTTGTCCAATCGATTAGAATATCCTTGTTGCTTGACACCGACAACGCATCGTGGAGCTTCGGAGTGGAGATCCCCATTCGGGCATCCCGTCATCACCGAGACCAACCGAAACTCGGGGGTCGTGGGGGTGAACCCGTGACATGACTGTGAGATCACATCAGATGTTTCTCATCTGACATTCGGGTATTGAAGTGAATTGTCGGTGTCTGCAGTCGGCTCATTTCCCGAAGAGTGCCATTGCAAATGCCGACGACGGAAAACGTGTATCAAAAATATATATTTAGTTACTGCATGTCCTTAGAAAACTATAAACGGTGCATGTCTCACTGTATTTACCAGATAAACTCTAGATTAACTCCGTGATAGAAGAACGCAAGCCTTGTACTCCAATTACAACCTTTTCTGTTAATTGTATATCCTTTCCGTCCATGTCTTGATCAACATCTTTGAGCATCCAAGAAAGCCGGAAACGAAGTCTGGGATTTTTCCTAACAAGGACCATACTGACAATTCAGCATATTTACGATAGAATTGAAATGTAAGGAGTCGAATTGAAAGCTGTTACAGTGCAGCCAACTGTGTCCATGGTTGAGTCGGTGATCCTCCGATTTCCTTATCTTCCAAAATCTGCAATCAGCAAGGCTCCAGGGCTGTTTTGAGAGATAAAAATAAGGTTCATGTTCTGCCCGAAGACCGCACACCGCCGGGATACACGGGGAATGCCTTCCCGAAATTATGTACAACATATGTTTTGAGAATATCATCATAAAATTTTCGTATCAGCAAGATCTCTCATCCAGAGTCATTCGACGGAGTGGGAGCCTGATGACAGAGAAGATGATGATATTCTCTATCTAGCAGCAAGTCTCAGAGAGAGAGGAGGAAGAGAAAGCAAGTATGAATAGGATACTGAGATCCTATTTTTACTGCCAAACATGATGCCACATCATACATGTTTGATCTATATGCATGGATGCCTATGGTATCCAACAGAACCCTTTATAGTATTAGCATCCTGGGAACATATCCGTCGAGTTTACAGGAGAAATCTCCCCACAAAGGTGTGGGTCGGATTTCGGTCTGTCGAGGTTCCTTTGGGCAATCATGGAAATATCATGTGACTCGGTCAGCTGACTATCTCCTGAGTCATGTTTTATGCCTCTGGCACCAAGGCACCAAGGCATTGAAACGCTAATTCCCCCGGAGGACATGTCTCACGATTGTTGCAAGATTCAAAATTGAATCATTCAGTGCAAATACTTCATAAACGCTCACTACTACTTGACCGTATTATACTCTGCGTACCGTCATGAAACAAGTCCAGCTTTTTTTGTTTTAACGATCAAAGTCTCGATTACACGATTACACCACATTGATATGTGCGATATTTCAAGAGCTCCTGACCATTACCAGACCCTACTCTTTGAGTGCATCATGACCCCAGTTTTTGAGCGATCGATAACTCTTACTACTCGTGTCATGCTTGGCGCGCTCCTCTTGCGCTAGGTGGCGCTTGCAGTAGGATACCACGCGACGCATGTGGTCAATGTCTTGATCGCTATACTCGGACGGGTTCGCGGCGGGGTTGTGCTCGAGGATTCGCACAATTCTTCGGCCACTACCGCTAGCTTTAGCTCTCAAGTCTGTTTGGTAGTTCCTGGAATTTTGCGACCGCGCCCGACCAACGGAAAGAGTACTGACTAACCTTTCATGACCGATAGTCTCCCTGAATTGCCCACCCAACCCGATGTCTGTGATTGCTCTTGCTCAAGCCAATTGCGAAGCTCATTTGGAGTCATATTGACGAGGTGGTTGAACTCGCTGGTCAGATTGTCAACCGCTCTTGTTCATCAAGCCTGCCTGTCATGGGGAAGGTACTCAATCACGGTGTCTCTGTCCTTCATTGTTTCGACTGCGAGACTGTCCTGAATATAACTGAACCTTCAATTTTCCGTTAGTTAAGATGTGATTTTTTTGCTTATATACCTAGATGTATTACTTGAGGGTTAAGTCTGACGTCACAGCGGCGGAAGCCCAGATATCCATGGATCCGTAAGGTAAGGTATTCCATGCTTGCTATGTCACAATGACAACCTTGAAAGGCTGCTGCCTGTTGACCTACTTGTGGATATAGGACATTGACCTTGGGAGCCCCTAGCTACCTGACGGACGATAAAATATCCAGTACAACATACCTAGCACCGAAATCGTAGCCAAGAGGAGATGGATCTACAGGACCGAAATGTAGGGTCTGGATTTTTGGAGTCCATCAAGGAAGAACTATCCGGAGGACTACGGTTAGATAGACTGTGCGCAAACGATTGGGGCCACGGAAACCCATCAGCAGTAGCATTGACAATTAGCTACACAAGGGAGATCCGCGGAGATGTAGAATCTCAATAACATATCCTTATCTTGCCAAGACCTTCAATTCTGATAACTGATTCTCCTTTGACTCGATAGATCTTCGCAGTATGAATATGCTCGCTAGTCAGTCATTGTGTCCACGAGCTCAAAACTCTTATCTGAGTTCAATCATAATTCATGACTGCTGGAACTATTTGTAGAAACGTGCAAGGGATGATTCCTGCCGATGGGTGGGAGATAAGCATTCAGTGTGCTTGCGCCAGGAAACAAAAACACGGGCAAAACCCATATATTCTTCATGGTCCTCTAGGTTTGTATGTCTGCTTTGCCCACAGCCGGGTTTCTACCAATTGACGCAATTATATCTTATCATTGCCATCTGATGAAAATGACTTTCGATGCGCTCTCCCCCAAAGAGGTGGCTGAGGCCGTCTCAAACCTAGGCGCACATAAGGGACATATGCGACTGGACAAAGTCTTTTTTAGTGCAGTATCAGCTGGCTGTTTGCTTGCATTCGCTTGCGGGACCACTCTTAGCACCAATGCCACACCCTGGTTTCAGGAGAATGCCCCAGGCTTGATACGAACCATTGGCGCCTTGGTGTTTCCTTATGGCCTGTGCATGATCCTCCTAACAGGTGCGGACCTTTGCACAGGATCATTTATGGTAAGATTACCCGTGGAACGGACATGATGAGCTTGGCTGGGACCACATCATAGCTAACGTGCATGCTAGTTTACTTCAGTTGCAGCGCTCCATCGACGCTTGTCGTGGTCAAAAATGTTGCTCCACTGGGCTGTGACATTTGTCGGCAACCTTGCCGGGTCTTTGTTTGTGGTCGCTATCATATTTGGCTGTACGCAATTGACTCTCGCTTTCCCATTGCTGTATACCAATGTGACTAACGTTGGACCTATAGACGGAAATACCTTTTCTGCAGAGCCATTCAAGTCCGCCGTGATTTCTTTTGCCACAAAGAAGCAGGTCACTCCTGATTTTCACATGATATTTCTCCGTGGGATTGGATGCAACTGGCTAGTCTGTTTAGCTTGCTTCTTTGGTATTCAAGGTCGTGACCTAGGATCCAAGATTATTGGAATCTGGTTGCCGACGTTTGCATTCGTCTCTCTGGGCTTCGACCACGTCGTTGCAAATATGACATTCATCCCATTGGGTATATGGCTAGAAGCACCACAGATTACAACTGCCCTCTACATCTGGAAAGGTATCATCCCGACCTTATTGGGAAATATCATCGGTGGAGGTGTATTCTGTGGTCAGTACCCTGACCAATATTCGCCGAGAGAGCGTCCCAGCTGATGATGAGTATAGGAACTTACTACTGGTACATGTATCTCCTCAATCTCAACACCCTGCCTTTATATGGTGAGAAAAGGGTTCGGAGTGGCTCGTTGGAGTCAGTTTCAAGCACAGATCGAGGAGCTGCCAAGCGACCGGACGTTGAGGCTTCCGCTGGAGGCTTCGGCAACCAAAACCCACATGAATGAATACAGTCAATGATAATGGAATCAATGATAGGCCGGGACCCGACAAGGGAGGCTAACTGAATCATAATATTGATCTTACCTACGCCCAATACCTCGAGGTCTTCCATCACAACCTCGATGGGAGGTTAGGGTATGGGTTTATCAACGCCGATGGTACGTAGCCATATATCGATGTCATACTCTCCAAACTTCGATACGACTGCCACAGCGCCGATCAACCGTCTCTTCAATTCGCCAAGGATTGCAATTATATGGATACATATTGCGTGATACCAGCTTGGTATATCTCGGCGTATTAGCCGACCAGCCGTGACTAGAACGAACCAGCATCGAATTCTGACCCTATTAAATTAGACCTTGCTGAGGTATTGCTTGGAGTCTGAGCACTATACATGGTGTTGCAGTCATAGTTTCTCCATCCTTGATAGACTCGAAGTAAATTTTCAAGCAAATTGTGAGGGCGGGGTTAGATTAGCAATGAAGCGACAGGCCGAAGTCGCTCGTCACGAGCCGACCAACCTTCAACCCTCTTGACCTTGGGGATATGGAGTGCCAGTATATAAATCAACAACAATCCATGTTGGAGGGCCGATAAAAGTCCTCACTAAGGAATACTGGCAAGTAGCCTCCTGCATTGAAATTCAATCATATCAAATCACATACAACCATGGCCCCTGGATTGGTGGAAGCTACTGGCGTCCAGACCTTGGATAGACCTGTCAAGCTCTCTGTGTTTCCCGATGGATTTAAAACTTCCGGCCAGCATCCCCCTATATATTCACAAGTTCGGCCCTATGCCGATTTCCCGAAAATCCATACCGGGCCTACACTGTGGAAAGCCGAGGATTATCGCGAGAACCCTGATCTTTGGACGCATCAGTTCACCGAAGAAGAGGTCGCGGAGATTAGCGATGCCACAGATCAGTTTATAAAGAGTGGAACACCTTTGACCGGAATATCGAAGGTAGGATTATCCGTGGGACTGTGACGAACATGAAGTGTGGAAACTAACTGGTGTATAGGCAAATTTCCACTTGCCTAATTTGTCTGAGCGGATGGAGAATCTCCGGCAAGACTTGATTAATGGCAAAGGATTCTATCGTTTCAGAGGACTTCCTGTCCAGGAGTGGGATCTCCAGAAGTGTGCAACAGCATATATGGGCCTCGGCACATACTTGGGCTACTTTGTCAGTCAAAACGGCCGTGGTCATGTCTTAGGTCACGTCAAGGATTTGGGAGAAGATCCGACCAAAACTGACAGAGTTAGAATCTACCGAACGAATGCTCGGTATGTGACTACTCATGCTGAATGTCGGGTCGTTTCGATCAAACACTAACTTGCTGATTAGTCAATACTTCCACACAGATGGATCGGACATTGTTGGACTCCTTTGTATCGCCAAATCCTTTTCTGGCGGAGAATCTGATATCGTATCCACGCACCATGTATTCAATGTACTTCAGGAGAGACATCCTGATGTAACAGAGACACTATGTGAGCCAAATTGGTACTTTGACCGAAAGGGTGAGTTATCCGAAGGCGAAGAAAACTGGATTCGAGGTAGCGTGTTCTACCTCGAAAATGACACCGGAAACTCCACACCACGAGTCTACGCCCGGCTCGATCCGAACAACGTGACCTCGCTGGCGCGTTTCAACTCAGGGCCTGATGCACGCATACCCCCTTTGTCTGATAAACAAAAATACGCCTTGGAGGTATTTGAAAAGACTTGTGCTGAGCTATCGCTGCACATGATTCTTGCTCCGGGTGATATTCAATTCCTGAGCAATTCACATGTTTTCCATGCACGAACCGCCTATACGGATCATCCAGCAGGCGCGGTTGATGAGAATGGCCGGCCAGCACGACGTCGGCATTTGATGCGACTCTGGCTGTCGGCCCCGGAATCAGAAGGAGGGTGGAAGCTGCCGTACCACGATTCTTTGGAGAAGAAACGAGGAGGCATCCAGGTCAATGATACTCCTCCTGTCTGTCCCTTGGACGCGGAATGAACGTGTACATCGCTGTATGATCCTTTACTAATTCTCCGTGAGCATGAGACTGTATATAAGATTGCAAGGCATATGAGTTTGTTGGTAAGAACAAAATCGCGTTTTGAAGTAATGGCGTAGAAATGCCTTCAATGATCAGACTAGAGAGATCACAACAGGGATATAACATATAAGAGCCAGAAACGACGCAAAAGTTACCCCAGCCGGTGTCAGCTTTGCTGGGGAAATGGAAACACAGGTAACCAGGGTTGTGGCTGGGTGGTCGGATATCCACCTGCCCATGGCAATAGGCCACCCCCCTCAGTTCCTGATCCAACTGCCGTGTCTGCTGGCTGCCACGCCCATCCAAGATCAGACATAAATAAATTTTGCAGCTCCTCAAGGCTTGGCTGCTCAACTTCTAACTCAGCTGGACCATTGACCGCCCCGGCATCACTCACTAGTTCAGAAGGGGAATGATCAATATTGACACTACTTTCAGGGAGCACGCTATTAGATGCGGACGTACTGCCCGCCTTTTCGGGGGCATGTCGCTCTGGTATAGATTTGCGGGCCATTCGGAAAATCGTGAGCGGGTTTAGGACGTAATCAGGCGCACTTTGAACTGGAGGTCGTCGAAGGTCGTCACTGGAATAGACACTTAGCAAGTCAAGACCATCTTCAGGAAATATTCAAATTTACCTCCCGTCTTCCTCCTCGGCTGACTGATATGGATCATCGGGTATGATGTTCCGTGTAACCGCCTCGGACTCGATGCCAGAGCGAGCAAGCATGGTTTCTGCCGCGGAGGACTGGATGGTGGAAAAAATGGATCAGCAATCCAAAATCTCATCTAACTCCGGGGTCTGTGAATGGAGCAATGTATACTAACAAGTGAAATGGCGATAGCATTGAGTGATCCCATTGACTTAAGCGCGTTGATGTTACTACGCAGCAGGGGAATTGCAGCCAGTACCAGAGCCTTTGCATTCTCTGAACGCGGATCTAGAATGTGAGTCAAATGATATACCATGATCCGGCAACTGTCATAAGCGATGGTGGGAAGCCAGGAGTCGGCCAACATTTGAGGGCCATGCGCAGCCGTCTGACCTATGATGGTCGCCAAAGCCCGGGCTGAATCAAAAAGAACTTGTTGCAGATGCCCAAGAAACTCCCCTTGTTCAGGCGGAAAGTCAAAAGCGGCTCGAAGTTTGTAAAGCGCCGGAGCCCCTAATCGATACAGGTCGCATATGGTTTGATAGTGAGTACAATGGAGCAAACATAGGGCGCCTAGCTGCGAAGTGTCTTTGCGAATGTATATTGCATCGGGTGTGAATTGTAGACTTGCCGGTAGAGAGTCATACCATGCCCGGCAATCTGAATCTAAACGCGCAAATTCCGACGCAGGCTCCCAAGGGACCATAGCGTCTCCCAAATGCTTGATGTATCTTGTTGGACGTTAGGATTTCTCATGAAGGAATAAGAAAATTGGATCGCAAATTGGGGCTGCAAGTACCTGAGAACTCTTTTGCGGATCGAGATTTGTCGAATGAAATATGCCATTATGCCCATGTTGGGCAACAGAGTCTTTGTATCTATATTTTCCGGTAGTATTTTGAGCCAGCTTCCGGGAGATAAAGTTTCCGTTAGGCATGGAACCTGCTGAGTGAAATTCCGCTCGTTGCATGGGAGCTGAATCTTGATATCTCTTTCATCCATCAGCATCAGCTGGTCTACCCCGCTGCCAACGAGCGCATCCATGATATAACAGCTCCACATCAACCGCCGACGAGACTCCTTTTCTGTAACAGGTAGGCCATGGTCCGTATCCTGGCAGAGGATGTCGGTGTTGTATTCCAAATTGATCTGTAGCGCCTGGGTCATTCGTGTAGTAAGTCCACTCAACATGAATGCGTTTGCAAAATTCCCCATTCGAACCGCATAATCATGAAGCAGAACAGATGCCTTTCTAGGCTATCAGTGACTGTATTCGGGAATGAAGCGAGCTTGACTTTCAAGCAGGGTGCGCACCATTAGACTTTCAATAGTTACACGATCTATGGTCTCAAGGATGAGTCGTTGCGCAGTTTTAGCCCATTGCGTGCCTGCCAGAAGGATAAATTTTGATTCTAGTGGCGCTGTCGTCTCGCTGTATGATAGAGCATAAAACCTTCAAGATAGAGATGAGCTCACTGGACTTCGTTTCCACAATTTGAGTTGGTTGGGCTTACTGGGCTCCCAATGCACATATCACATGTAAAAGAGCATTATTGTGGTAGTTCTTTGAGAGCTTTCCATCCAATCGGCGGAGAAAAGCAGGCTTGTGGATGAAAGCGAAGGCTCGCAGAGGGTGGATGTTCTTAAGATATTCTTCGACTAGCATCGCGATTCTCGATGAGCTGGGGAGATAATGGGAAGACAGCCTGCAGCTAGTGAGCATAAGTCGAATATATTGAGAAATAAACCAAAGGTTCGATAGCTCACCAGTCAAGTGGGGATGGTGAGCTCGCGGTAGGCTCCACTAAGGGAAAAGCTTGTTGTGACAGGGGCGGCGTCTCCATTAAACTAGGCAGATTGTCCCGCCTTGATGGTGTCTGCTCGAAAGACTGTTCAGGCATGGAGGAAAGTGATGAAGATAGGTCCCTATTGGCTGTCGGGTTTACGTTGACTCTACGCACCCACGTGGGCTGTGTAGACTCGGCGTAGACACATTCGGTGGAACATTTCCAACGGCATCGTTGGCATGGTCGCTCACCAGAGCATTTGGTCTTTGAAGCACGACATGCCATGCAGGAACGAAAGGTTCTTTTCCCTCTTACCGAGTCTTCCTGGTCTATTTCACCCCCTGTTCTTTCAGACCTCAGCGGCGTTGCGTAGCCGGAACAGACCAGTCGCAATCGAGCACAATTGCCGCATTCACCAGGTCTTTCGTCACATTTGACCTGCGGAGATGAATATTATGTACTTTAGAATACTAGGTCACCTAGGGGAGGGATAGCTTCTCACTTTTCGGGCACGACATGTGCGACAGCCTACACAACATCAGCAGTGTTACCAAAATGTGTTAGCAGAAATACTCACCAAACCGTGATCGCGCAGCTTTCTTATTCGAGACCATACTTATAAGGCAGTCAATACTTCAATAATGTCACGAACATTGAGAGGACATTTCGGGCCATCGGTTGGTCGGCTAATGTTATGGCGGGATATGCATGTCGAATGACGAGATTCTATGTAGAAAATATGGGGAAGGTCTAGTCCTAAAAAGGTGTCAGTGTCTGAGATTATGTACACATACAGCAAAGGCATCCAAACGCAGCAAACCCAACAAACGAGGCAAACATGCCGTTTAAAATTAGGACGGGGACGGGCCGCCCCTCATCCGTGGACACGAACTTTTCTTACTTCCAAAACAACCCGTACAGTTCCATATCGAGTAACATTTCTTCATGTCGACATGGGCTCCAAAACAGCCGAGAATGACAGCGAGGGAGGTGGCAGTATGTTAGACGGAAATCGACCTACATCAAAATAGTTGGCTGACATTTGGCAGATGCTCCGCCCAGCTCAACCAAGGCCAATGCCACTGGTGGGGAACCACGGGGTGCCCATTGGTCCCGTGATGGGGATGGTACACTTGGAGAAGGAGATGCAGACGACGATGCTGACGGCGACAATACCGCCTGCGCCTCTACCTTGGTGAGCTCGCAAACTGCACCCTCAAAAAATTCGAAGAAAAAGCGAAAGAGGACCAAGAAGAAGTCTTCTGTGTTGAAGCAATCTTCCCCACCGCGAATTCCTCTCGCCGATCTCTTCCATGATCGGCAGTATCCACATGGCGAATCTCAAATATATGAGGCTGTGGTCGAAAATACGGCCCGGACAACCGCCGAGGAAGTGCGACACCAGTCCCGTCATCACATCGAAGATGACACATTCTTGAACGACTATCGGAAGGCCGCGGAGGTACACCGCCAAGTCCGACATTGGACTCAAGAGAGTGTTCGCCCGGGCCAGACCCTCACGGAAATTGCTGTGGGAATCGAGGATGGCGTGAGAGCTCTGCTCAACAATTCCGGGCTTGAGACTGGCCAAGGTCTTGTATCCGGACTGGGCTTTCCCACAGGTCTGTCTCTTAACAATTGTGTTGCACATTACACTCCAAACCCCGGCCAAAAGGAGGTGGTCCTCGATGCGAGCGACGTGATGAAGGTCGATTTTGGCGTTCATATAAACGGCTGGATTGTTGACAGCGCTTTCACAATGTCCTTTGACCCCACCTACGATAACCTGCTTGCCGCCGTGAAGGATGCGACCAATACTGGCATCAAGGTAACCAACATGTGATTTCATGCTAGATTTGCCGCTAACAAGTCCTAGAATGCCGGGGTCGATGTTCGTATTAGCGATGTCAGCGCTGCCATACAGGAGGCAATGGAAAGCTACGAGGTTGATATCAATGGTCGGACGTTTCCTGTCAAGGCAGTCCGCAACATCACTGGACACAATATTGAGCAGTATCGCATTCATGCCGGAAAGTCCATACCATTTGTCAAGAACAATGACAACACCAAGATGGAGCTGGGCGAGATATTTGCGATCGAGACATTCGGGACAACGGGCCGTGGTCATCTCTTTGAAGGGGTATATTTCATGCCCATTCCCTGTACTCATCCCATACTTACCAATTTCTTTAGTCTGGGGTTTATGGTTATGGCAAAAACCCTTCTGCGCCCAAAAGAATCACATCGCATCTTGCCAGCGCCAAATCGTTGTATCAGAAAATCAACGAAAATTTTGGCACACTTGTCTTCTGTCGCCGTTATCTTGAACGGCTTGGCGTCGAACGGTATCTGGCTGGAGTGAGTTCTCATCGTGCTACTATCGAAAACGTGTGCTTACAGTGAACAGATGAACAGCCTTGTATCTAACGGCTATGTCGAGGTCTACGAGCCTCTGATGGACGTCAAAGGATCATATTCCGCGCAATTTGAACATGTATGTGTACTTTCTTCATCTCATAAAATCCCCAGCAATGCTAACCTTTCTAGACCATTTTGCTGCGAGAATCTGGTAAGGAAGTGATTAGTCGTGGAGATGACTACTAAATCACTTCGGAGCATCACCGGAGGTGTGGCTCTTTCATTGTTTCTTTACTACAGTATCCTGCGTTGATGGCTATTCAACATCGCTGTCATTGAACACTCCTTTATATTTATCCGCTCTTGTTGCTCATTCAACCTGGCAAAGTCGTGTTTGATTTCAACATCGATTTCCACAATCCATCAATTTCTATCTGAAAATCACGCGGCATCCGAGTGAATGGGAAATCCCGACCCGAATTGCCCTAATTTCGAAGTAACTATGGAATACTCCCTAGGGTCACCCACAAATACACCAATCTAGACATAGATATGAGTTGCAGTATATCTTGGCAATTCTATAAGGCGTAACATTCCGGTGAATTTCCCTCAGGTCAACCTGCGGGGTGGATAATCCGGTCTCACATTGGGTGTTTTGTATAGGGAAATACCTAAGTCAAGGTAAATATCCACAAATCGTGTGCCGAATTCAAATCGTTAATGCCTCACCGCGGATTTTCGCTTCTTAAAAGCTTCATGTAGTTCATCTCACAGCATAGGAATCAAATACAGTTTGATACATGTACAAGATCACTCACAAAGTCCTTTTCGTTTTCATTGGCTTCCTTGTGTTTTGCAGCTTATCATTAGCTTGGACCAATCCCATTCGAAAACCGAGTGGAAGTGACCCCTTTATTGTGTATACTGGTGGATATTACTATCTACTTACTACTACGTGGAGCGACGTCGAGATATTGCGGTCAACGACGGAGGCAGGTCTCGAGACTGCAACAAAAAAGGTCTTTTACTCCTCAACTACCTCATCACGATGCTGTGATGTGAGGGCTCCCGAGGTCCATGACTTGGGCGACAAATGGTACATCTATTACACTGCCGGGGATAGTGCAAGCCTTGATGGGCAGCGTTTACACGTTTTAACGGGTACTATCTACAATTTCACTCAATCGGAAACTCAAAGTCTGGACTGATGGTCCTCTATTAGGTGGCGCTTCCCATGGGACGACTAATGGTCGATCGACGGCTCAGTTATTCGTTTCAGCGAATATGGGGACTCTTTGATGTTTTCCTGTTTCCATGGAGTCACCTACCAATCCCTATGTATCCATAAACTAGGATCGGACTTTGTCTCTTTAACGGGGAACATTTATGTCATCTCGCAACCGACTGAGTTATGGGAGAAGGTCGGAACACCCGTCAACGAGACCCCTGCTGCACTTTATTTGGGGGAACCACATACATATCCTGTTCGGCCTCTTACTGCTGGACTGCGAGTTATTGTCTTGGTCTTCTAGCCCGGGATGGTAGAACAGTTCCTACGCAAGCCAGTGCCTGGACCAAGAAGAATGGATGTGTGTTTGGTTCGGCAAACAGTAAATATGGAACTAGAAGCAATGGATTCTTCCAAAGTCCAGATGGTTCACAGACCTGGATTATGTATCATGCCACGATATTGACCTCTGGGGCCTGTGATGATAGCAGGCATACCGTGTTTCAATCGCTCGGAACGCATAGCGATGGCAGTCCGAACTTTGGGAGCCCGGTTCCTTGGACACATGCCTACAGTGAGCCGCGTTGATATTGGATATTCGAGATGATCAAACATCTGGAGTTGGTAGGATGGGGCATTCTTTTAAAAGGGTCTCATAATCCGGTGATATGGTCTAGTCAATCTGGAAGAACATGAAAATTTCATTCATCCTGGAAGTTCAAGGGTAAACAACTATCGGGAAAAAAAAGTCCTGTAATCAATTATCCCACAGTGTATTCCAGAAATTCTTATGTTGACCAAGGAGAAAAAAGAGAAAGAGAAGAGACAGTCCGGAAATATGGAAGAAGCGCAAATACTTTTTTTTCCCCCTGTGGGCAGGGACGAAGCCATCGTCTATCAGCGAAACCCGAAACTCCGACTCCTCGCAAGATTCAACAGATATGATAGTATCTTGTCGCTGGATTATACTCTAATGTGACTTCTGTCTCCATAGAGCTCAAGTCCACAACAACTTGGCGCCAGATACTGACCTCGTACGAGTCTGGCAGCCCCCCGGACAAGACCAAAGCACATAGGTAGCGCTGAAACCTGGAACCCGGGAGCTCTGATTCCTCATGCTGTGATAAACAATAACTCGGATTGATCTCATTACCAAGAGAGTCTTTCATGTTCTTTCCAACAACATTCTGCGGACATAGAATCATGACTAGTTTCTCCTGCGACGAGGTGCCAGGAAATCTTGCCGTCGCATTACAACGAACTACCATGCCAGGTCTAATGCGATCTTTGAATGGGCGCGTGTCTCCCTCGCACACCAAGTCACGGGTGGAAATATGTGTAACAGTTGACACGCTCTTCTCGGGATTGGTAATTTGTTGTATTGCATCGATGGAATCAACATCGCCCTTGTGCTCTGCCACGGAGCCGCGTGTGGAGTCAATATGCAGGCACCAAAGCTTAGCATGAAAGGCTTTGGCTTGATTATCCGTCACACCTTTAGTACGGAGACAGCGGGCGACGAACTTGTTCACGGGAATGGCCAAAAGCTGAGCACCTGATTCATGCGGCGCAAGAATAGAGGGTGAAATCACGGGACTGCCCGACTTTTCATACATTAACTTGGCAGCCTGACAGGGCTATGGTTGACACGTAAAATGCATTACTTACTTCTTTGGTGATATAACTCCGAAGAAACTTGTTACTCCAGGTCTTTGGTATCGCAGGGTTATGCTCCGCCACCTGATATTTGACTTCAGTCGAACACAGCATATGCGCGTAACGAAGAGTGTTTTTGCTTGCTGCCGTGTCCAAAAAGCTCGGGTTGATGCAGGCTAATACTGCAGTTTTGGAGTTTCGAGTACCAGACGGGTCGAAGACATGCTTCAAGACCTTGGTCAACGTGCTCTGGCGGAATGGAATGTATGGTCCTTTTTGACCCTTTTGTGTAGTTCCGGGTGTGTTGTTACTGCTTGCTATGCCTCTTATGCAATCTTTGAGAATAGAGAGACTAATATTAATCTCACGGGTCTCTTTCATGCGGTCAGCGCTGTGATTGGCAAGGTCTCGTGCAGCCTCTGATCCTGCGAGGTCAATCAAGTAGAGGGTGCCATCCTCTGAAACTCCAGGTGAGATGTTCACGGCTCTGATACGGCAAATTGCGTGGGAGCGTGAGGATCCGTCGTTTTTCTCTGTACCGGCGGTCTGTCGAAAAGATGTTGCTTTTTCAATCAGTGCTAAAAATTCGGACTTGCTGTTGATGGCAAGTTCCTGGGCTCCGACAAGCTGGGTATCGCCAAACGAGTCTTCCAGAATCGAGAATGGCGCACGTGAGTCTAAGAGGTCTTATAGTGAATGAAAGTCAACACAATATCTAGTACAATAATTTCGTGATACCCTCTCCGCATCGAAATTGTGTTTCTTTTTCTTCTGGAGTGCGAAAGGTATGCACACAGGGAATGCAATTCGCCTTATAGATTACCTACCATATGCGCAGTTCCCGGCAAGCTCGAACATGGAAACAAACAGCTTTCGCTGAGTTGACCAAGCTCCATCAAACAAAGTCTCGGGGAGAAGTCGCTCCATTTCGCTGATAGTATGGGTTTTGCCGGAGCCTGTTTGCCCAAAGGCAAACAGTGTGCCTATGCCCCCCCCCCATACTGACGGGAGAAGTGGTTCAAGCATATTTGTATAAAGTGTCACTGTGGGGCAATCGGCACCGAACACATTACCAACTCGGAATGAAGACGACGGGAAGATGTCAGTTACTCCTTCTCCTTCCCAAAGTCTGAAGCCGAATGGTGTCTACTAACATTTAGCGTAGGTAGACCTCTGACCACTCTCTTCAACTCATGAAGATCCACCACTCTATTGTCATTGCGAGGAAAAATAGCAGGGACCTGACCAGATAATGTCTCATGATCCAACATAGGCCGTATACGAATGGCCACAACAATGTTTGAGCAGTCAGCCACGTCTTTATTCTCGGCTGTGGTCGGTCGCTGTGGCTTGTAACGCTGTACTAGAGACTGGTATCGTGATACGTTTGTTAAGAGATATTGCTCCATGGTCTTCGGCAAGCAATCTGCGTAGTACGGGAGGAAAGAAAGGCAGCGAATCCGTATGTAGACAAGTTTATATATGAGCAAGACACACAAAGAATCAAATTCCAATCGGCATTGCACTGTCTCAAAAGAGCGGTGAGCAAGCTCAGTTTCTGAACTGGGATGTTTTTTTCAGAATATCCAAGGCAGCCGTTATCTGGCTATCTTCACCCCAGGTTTCTCAAGTCTCGCAACCAAGTACACAAAGCCAAATACGACATAGTGTCATTTGCACTCACAGACCATTCTCAATGTAATAGTCATAGCCTCTCACAGCGGTCGAAAAGACACCGGTGTTATCGACTCCAAGACAAATAAACCGAGCCACCATCCACGCTGGTACTCTCACCACCAGATCGCTCCCCATTACTCCGAAAGCATAGCTTGAATCATAATCCATCGAAGTAACATCAATTGCAGGTCCTTGCATCAATAGGTATGCATCCCTTCGTACCACGATCGTCTCCCGAGGCATTGCCCTCGTCGTAGCGGGGCTGAGTTGGGGAGCATCTGTTGATATGGCTAGACTGTAGGTCGATGGCATTATTAGTGAGACCAATGGGGTTGTAGAGATAGAACCTGGACTGGCTAGTGCGAGGAAGCCGGTGACGGTCAACCGTGTGCCAGCATTCGCCAGGTATCTATAAGCGGAGGATTCGAATCCAGCAACGATTGGAATATGTTGCCGTATATATCGACGTCATGATCGATAGAACTGAAGGCAATGCTATCTTCAGTTCGCTCGGACTCGCTGAGGTTTGGGTTGATCTTTTGAAGGGCTTCGGTGACCAGGATGATGGATTTCTCGGGAACAGGGCTGTGTGAAAATTGCAGATAGATGACGGTCATGGCGAGTGGAGTTGCTAGATTTTCTTAAAAGCGCTATAATCTCCTTGTAGTATAGCTTTGCTTTCCAAATTGGAGGTAATCGGCTTAGCAGAAGGATTGCGGGCTTGGCGTCTAGCGGCCGGGGCAATACCTCTGCATTGGCCTAGAGATACCCAATTGTGTGGTGAACCTAGATATAAAGGTAACTGACACAGTTCGGGGGCCACCTGGGCAGGCAGACTCTGGGCTAGATATATCCAGTTTTTCATTGAGTCAGAGATAAGAAACTGAGTCAGACCAGGGTGACATCCATAAAATCTACTGAATTACGCGCTAAAGATTCATGGCGTTTAGAACAAGCCTAGAAGTTGGCATGTGATTTCTTCAATCTCCTTTCGCCATTGGCTCTGCGCGTACATGCGTCGCAATCTCTAGGCTCCAGTATTCACTAAATCCGGCTTGAGCTTTACATCGACACATTTACCCTTTGAATCTTGCTTTTACCCTTCATCATATGTATGAACATTCTTCACAGACCCAATCTAACTCTTCTATTTTTATGGGGGTTGTAACATGATGATTAGAATGTATCATGATGTTACCAGGATAATACTCTTTGTTAATCGATCTCATCAAGTTGTTACCAAGGCCGTGTTGATGCCGACTGGACGAAACTTGAATGAACAGCAATCGAGTGATTGTGACCGACATCCTCAACGGATTCATGCAAAGGATGAATGCCTCCATTAGGACCGACAGTGACGTAGTTCGTCAATCCGATTTCATCGTCATTTGCGCCTTTCTTCATTTTATCGAACCCATAGTCGAACGTTGGTCCATGGCTTTTGGTTTTTTTCCCTCTTGAAAGACCCTGCCCTGAACCACTTTGTCCTCCCGGTGCTTCTGAAGACATACCAGTGGTTCGTTGAGAATGCAAACTAGACAAGATTGATCGATGGGCGAGCCGGGCAAGTGGTGCAAGATGCGGCAAACAGACACAAACCACTGCGACTGATGGCTCGATGGTTGACCAGATGAATACCGGTCCCATCAGCCAAGTCACGTCAGCTGCCTTCATGAATTCAGAGAGGAAATGGATTCTAATAATGCTGGCAACACACACACTAGGATAAACTTAGTTTAGCGCTGGTCACGGAGGTTTGGAAAGCAAAAGGGAGGGAACGTACAAAATTCCTACGGCCATAATTCCACAAATGGCTAGCTTCTTGCGCAGAGTCATTTGAAGCCGGGCAATTCGCGGAAAGGGGATGATCAGCACAATGAAATCATTTAGCATGTTAAGGATTCCCAGTGCGAGAAAGAATTGGTTGACGTTGATGCATTTTCCCTTTGAGCCGCTGAATTGAGTCCAAAAGTAGGAAACTGGTTGGCAAGCATTTCCCATAGTCACCCAAATGATGATGGGATACGAGAGTGTGAAGAACAGGCCTCCAAAAAGCGCCACTTTCAACGACCGTTCCAATGGGGAGAAGACTCGCGCATAGAAAGCAAGGATAGAGAGTCTGGTGCAAGTGCACGCCGAGGCATAAATAAATGTGTAGGAAAAAAGGAGCTGGGTAGAACTAGATTAGAGGAGTATAGCGGGATTTCAGAGGGAGTTTCCTTACTCTATACAAATCCATCAATTCTTTGATCGTGACAGCCCAGATGTGTTTTCCAGAACCAGTCGTGCCGCCTAGATACGTTGTCGCGTTAAATTATGCTATTCTGTCTGGAGTTTCAATTCTCACCTGCGACACTTAGTGCAGTCGTTCCACATATACAAATCTTCCCGCGAATATAGTCAGTAATTGAGATCCAAGTTAAGCAGGCACTAACTCACTAATGCTGCGATAATCGCCCAATCATCCGCCATCAAAGCATTTCGGAGAACGATGCGAGCAGTGAATCGTAGGATAACCAACACGGCAGCAAGACAGAGCATTGCAATCACTACACCATTATTGACTGATACATCACTGGCAGTGAGGTCAACATTCGCCGGGGCTGGCCCAAAGAGAGCAAGAATGGCCGGGTCCTCATTCATAGCAATCTATGCGAGCTTGATGGGAGAAATCTCACAACATCGAACCAAAGCGACAAGGATCAACTCTTAAGTCTGCGTGCCGAATCAAATAATATGTATGACAATGCCTGTCACGGATTTGCCTCCCTCGGCTGAGGAATCAAACCATTTTGGCCCCTGAGACTAAAACTAAAGTACGTTGAAGAGAAACAGGTTACCACATGAAGATAATGCGCTAGACAGTCGAATCAGATTGCCTAGTTCACAGGCTAATGTTATGACAGGTGATCAAGATTGGCGGAAAAAGCGGGAAGAGCGCTGATCTCACCAAACAAATGCGTTCTCAGTCAAAAAAACAGCCTTGTGTCAGAAGGATCGCCGGAGATTATCCCCATCCGGTGTGAAGCAAGCGGGCCGTTGTAGCCTCGTTAGGGTCGCCTAGGCCATTGGGGCGCTAGAGCCGAAACTTGCAACGCTAAGCTAGCTAGCAATTCCAAGCAAGCATCACCAATATTAGCACAGTTTATTGAGACCGAGAGTGCCGGATGGGATCGGTTACAGTAACTGCGAGTGATCAGACGAAATTGAGTACTCCAGTACCCCGTACGGGAATTCATACAATCCATCATAATGTTGTTAGTCGGGCTAATTCTTAGTGAAATTGCGATGTCACGTCCCGCATGGCCCTAGCAAGCATCTTCATCCTTCGGCGGAGCCTTAACATAACGGTCATTGAGTCCTTTTGGCCAATGAAAAAATGTCATGTCCAACATTCAATGCAAAAGTACTACCTTTGACTCCATATTCCCCTTGAATTTAATGCAATTGTACTCCGTACTATTTATGTATGAATCTCCAAACAGAGGCTATGTTCACCATTGCCGTCAATATATCCACCTTTCACCCCTCTCGTTTAACACTCATTGCCTCTCCTTTTCCAAATTCCCCTTTTTAGGTATCTCAAACCAATTAATGCAACATGGGCTCTATTATGAATGACCAACTACTTCCTGAGCTTACGGCTTTGGAGCGTATCGGACCGAAGGGCTATCTTCGTTATATCTTCCCTTTTCAGCTTCAAGAGGACTATGATTTGGACGAAGTCGTCCGAGTTCTTCAGGCCGGGTATCAATCTCTCACACAACGAATCCCCGAGGTCGGGTGCGAGGCCGTTCCTGATGGCAATTCGAAGCAAAGGGGTGTTCTGAAGCTCCAGAGACAGACCAATGACAACGTAGCGCGCATCGTGGTCAAGGACCTGCGTGAGTCTTATGAGCCTGATTACGCCGAATTGAAAGACAAATCTTTCCCGGTGGCTTCCTTCGATGCCGATACGTTCTGTGGCCATTCTGTCTGGCCTTCAGCTGGAGAGCGACTGCCAGTTTCAGTCGTGCAGGCCAATTTTATCCGTGGAGGGTTGATCTTATCATGGTGCATCCTTCATATGGTGGGGGATGGCACGACATTCTATACCTGGACGAGCATTTGGGCAGAGGAGTCTCGCCGGGCACAGGGACTGAAAATCCCGGATCCCATCCAGCTTCCAGAGGCCATTTGGGCAGATCGAGCACAAGTGACCAAATCGTCCGGCCGTAATGCCGGAAAAATCGAAAATCATCCAGAATATACCCTTCTCCCTTTCACACCCCCGGGAGCCCCGCCAAAGATGACTTCCCTAAGCCATCGTGGCCAGGTTTTCTATTTTTCGCCGGAATCATTAGCAGCACTGAAGGAAGAGGCATCTCCAAACAATGCGACCGAGCCGTCGGATCAGAAATGGATTTCAACCAATGATGCTATTGCGGCGTTACTTTGGCGTACAGTTATGGCAGTACAATCACCGCTAGAGACTCTCGAGGGTGATCCTGTATCCGTTTACAACATTGCGATCGATGGACGACAACGCACAGATCCGACGTTGCATCCAGAGACTTTAGGATGCTTCCTGGAGTATGTTTCAATCTCGGCGCCCGTCCGAGAAATGCTTAGTACGCTGAATTTGGCCGATCTGGCGACGAAGATTCGCAAGGCAATCCTGGGGGCCAACGAGCAGTTCACGGATGATGTGGTAGCTCTTGTAGAGCAGCTTGAGGACGTGGATCGGCTGGCGCCTACCGCTTTTCTGGACGTTCCCGGCTTCAACTGCGTGCTAACCTCATGGGTGAACTTCAAACTGTACGGGTTGGAATGGGGACCATTGCTGGGGAACAATATCGAGGCTGTACGAGTGCCCCATGTCGGTTGCATCAACGGTTGTCAAGTCGTGCTCCCAGTGTTGCCAAATGGTGGCATGGAAATTCTGGTCGGCGTGGAAGGGAGCTCCTTGGACGCACTGCTGAATGACCCCTTGTTCACGAAATATGGTGTCGCCCGGTAGTGTCTTTATTCGAGAGTCATTCGGCAGCCAACTGTAAATATTTAACGCAATATCCTTATGGAAATACTCACTGCAGGCTTATTTTTCTTTTTCTACAATTAGACAAGAGTCACACCGTCTCCTACAGACTTGCCTCTGAGCTTTGGAAGTAGGCCGTTGTTGGTCGGCAGCTTCCCGAAAGTACAACAAGCAAGACAAGGATTCACCCGATGGTTGTTCCTATTCTCATTGCCCTGATTCTTTGACCATATATCGTTTATTTCTTTCTCAGCCCGGGGTTTTGTGTATCGGTTTCGAGGTGTCATTGTGGTGTGATGTTTGATGATGACAAGAGGCGGATTTGCAAGTGTGGCCTGTGAGCTCGTCAGCCTAACGATGGAGCCATAACGATGGGATGACGGCTCATTCGCAAACTTTTAACGTCGATAATCCAACCAGGTCTGTCCTGTTAGGGGGGAAACAAACAAACCAGATGCTTCAGAATGCGCGTAGTAACACGGGTGTGCCAAGGAGCAGCCACGTTGGCTAATTGAAAGATTTAGACGAGCAATAATATTGCTGATTCTCTAAACATATATCCTTTTCTTAAGGGGGAGATGGGAGGAGAAACGCGACGAGATCGAATCCTAGGAAAGGGGCAAACTGGTCTAGCCCTGAGGCTGATGCCTCAACAGCATACTATATTTTTGTATTGTGACATCATTTTTGGGAATCATCTCTGATAGTCCACAAATACCTACTACTTTGCCGTGTGTTTTACATGACAAGATATAAAGTCACAAATAATGGTTTGATTAAAAATTTCACTGATAATAGGTGTTAACTCACTTCCTCTCCCCGGGGCCCTTTCCTCTTCTAACAAACTCTCTCAGCACATTGTCAGTCAATATAGCTACCTCATTACTATAATTATCCCAGCCCATGCTGCAGAACCAGTTGATACTGCCAACTGAGAACACTGCACCACCTCCAGAGGTGTCATAATATACCAGGTCACTTCTGACCATGTCACAAGTGCTACCCAGAGTGTTTACCATGGGGAACATGGAGTCCTCGTTGAAAAGTCCAAAAGAATCATCGTGCTGTTGACTTCTTCCAAGTAGGACTGCATTGGATGGTGTTCCAAGTGCATAATCTAGGCGATCGATCTCGTCGCCACTGGCGCCGCCACCGAAACCCTTTTCGCCAATCGGCTTGGTTGGGTCAATGCCCTTGAAAATCCAGCTATATTTCTCATCCTGGGCATATTTCAAATCTGCCACATACGCCTTTCCTGGTCCAGTACCGAACGCACAAGGTCCAATACCCCAGAGGTAGTTGGGAGCACGACCGCGGCTGCGCCATAAACCGCCGAGGGTTCCAGTGAGACTGTGCATGCGCTCTCCAGCGGGGAAAGTGACGGACCGACAGCCCTGATCACCCTTGCGAACTTCCATACGATGAGGCCGCTCATTGACAACGTCGGCGACCCAGTAGAATCCGTTGCCGCCCAAATACATCAGGTTGCCGCCTGATTTGGCAAATGCGCTTAAGGTGTCGAGGGAAGCGAGAGTGTGGTATTCGGGGTGACAGCCGGTGATGAGCGTGGTGTATTGCGCAGTTGCTTCCTGGCCTCTGCCGCTCAAGCAATGATCGGTGATAATATCATAGGGGATTCCGGAACGCTCCAGGAATCCAACCATGAGAAGATCAGCGCTGAACTCGCGAGGTCGGTTCAAGGCCCAGTGGTAGAATGCGGGTCGGAGATTGAGAATCGGCCGGAGAGCAGTGGAGTATGCATTGGGGGAGCCATCCGTGTGGACATCATAAGCCGAGAGACCCAAGTCTGGTCGCAGGGATAGTCTTTCATAATACTCATTTCCAGGCCCGATGCTAACTCCATCTGGGGTTGTCATCGCAGACGACTTGGTCACGTCATACATTCTCTCATTAGCATACGCGAGATATGTGAATGTTGTGAGAACCAATGCCACCTTCGCTGTGGAATTGGGGTTTGGTCGGACGAAGAATGTGATCATGTCGCTTGTGCCGTCCGCGCACTTGACCTCAACGGCATATGCGCCGGAGCGAGCACTTGATGGGACGGTAATGGTGAAGTTTGTTGACCACTTGGCATCATCCAGATCATCCTCGTGGAAATGAATGGCTCCATATCCGTATGAAGCTTTGGTCCAGTCTGGCTGAGTGCCATCCCAGTTATATCCCTTAACAGCTCGTGTTGGTGCATTGACCAACACACCATGGCGGTCGTTTCCAGACACATCAACTATTGAGTCGCTGGAGATGTCTTTGGAGAAATCATATTGCGCGACAGTGCGGCGCGACGAGCCCGTGATGGTGAAAGATGGAGAGTCAATTCGGCCATTGTAATAATTCGATGTCTTGGGACTCTGTTGATCAACGTCTTTGAACATGCCTGCACCAAACAATAAGGAGTTCGAGCCCAAAACCAAGGGTGCTGACAGGGCAGTAGTCATGGTTTCGCCATTGGGAGCAGTCTCGGCGAGGCGGTACAACTGATGGACGCTGGAAGTGAAGGTATTGTTAACGAAACTGAGGTTGATTTTGAGCCATCTCCAGCGGTTTACGAGAAGCTGGCTCTCAATGACCTGAATATTATCTCCTGTGCCGATGAAGAATTGAAGCTTTGAGTTTTTCAAAACGACAGCGAATCCAGTCCTTGAGGAGACATCAAGACAGGATACCAGGGTTTGGCAAAAGTAGCCGACATCAAGCAAGTATGGTTGCGCATGGAGCTCTACTTCGAAGCCTTCTCCCGCTGCAAGTGCCACGTCCGCCCAAGATGGGACAAGGGCATAAGATCCTGCGCAAGCATCTTGATAAGAACCATCCTCGTGATGACCAACGGGGACCTCAGTGATATCCTCTATCACCACGGGGGAGCATGATCACCGCTAAACCCCTGAACAAGACGTACTAAACGGTGATCATATCCCTTCTCCGTGCTGGAAACCTAAAATGGGTTAGCGTATGAAGAGCCGTGGTCCGGTGGGGGTTACCCGTTAACCTGACCATGGAAGCAGGTAACTTACTTTGATGTCAACCGGATCTCCAGGGGAAACAATCCAAGGCTGGGCATAACCAATGATCTGGGTGGCAGGCATTCCTGTAGAAAGCCGGTTAATTCAAGTTTCTTCGCTCTCCGTTCCGGGCTAGCGCTTACTAGACAAAAGAGGGGGTTCGATCTTCCTTGTTCAGAGCAGAGACCGGAGAGTTCGTCTGACCATATTTAGTACCGGAAACTAAGCTTTAAAAGCTTTTTAGTTCAAGCCAGGATCGAATACTCACCCGAATTCCAAGATTGGTAACTGAACAATTTGCTACATTTGGAATGAGAGCAGCGATGTGCCACTTATCTATCCTCGATCTGCCAGTGAAGTGAAAGAACCGATTGGTTAGTAAGGTAGAGTATGCGCGTGACAACTGTAGCTTCGTTCCGATACCCGATCGGCTGATCCCAAATAGGAAATGGCTTGACAGGGGGGTGTCTTAAGCTTCCCCGGCTGGGTCTTCCCCATTAGCTCGTATGTTAAACGCGAGTTGCACCACTTCATCAAACCCGGTCGGAAAGCAGCTCAAGTCCACCAATCGCTTGCGCCGGGATTTGGAGCTATTCATCCTGCTTATCCAGTGGCGTCAACTAAGTCTGCTTATCATCTTGGGCTTATCATTCAGTGTGACACTCCAGGACTATCCTGCGGCCATTTCATCGTTTGTTTGGATGGGTTTTTATTTACCCCTAAGCTATTTGATAAACTAAATTAAAATACAGTTCAAAATAATCAAGTAGCCAATTGAATCTCAAACATTACCCGAGATACCTTATCTCCCGATATGGAAGAGAATCCTTGGCAGAAACAGGGGTGTAACCCAAGAGTAATAGATGAGGGTGGTGGCGGGAATTTCCGCGTTTCAACGCTACGATACCAACCATGATGGAGCTGGAGATTACAACATTACCACTCTCGGTAGGAGAGACCAGGGTTTTACACGCTAGACCCCCGGTCTCCACTCTGGGGAAGATTACAGTTTACCCCAGAAAATATAGATACGCGATCGGCAATGCAGAGATGATTGGTTGTTTAATCAAATCTTCTGGGAATGTGTTATCTCACAAAACGCCTCGTCATATTTCCGGGGAATTTTAATATAAGATCCTGGATCTCCTAAATTAGTCTCCCATCTTGCTCAATCAAGACTCCTCTCTCCAATTTTAGGTTGCCCAGAGAAAAGCTTCGCTCATTATGGACAAGAACGATGTGGAAGCCCAGGCGGCCTCCAAGCCAGCACCTCCCAGAGCTCCCTCGGAAGCATCAGCTCCTGGGATTGTGGAAGAAGGTGAAATCGTGATTCTCACAAACGAAGACGTATGTCCATCTGGATCACCTCCGGCACAAGAAATCGAGCTAATTACTACCCGTTTAGAACATTCGTATCAGAAGAAAGACCGATAAAACGATCTTAGCGATCCTTACTTGGGTATATTTCTTGCAGGTACGACAGACCAATCAACCATCCATTTCATACCACGCTAACAAGCCACCCGTTAGGTCTTGGACAAGGGTGTCCTAGGAACTGCTTCCATTTTTAATCTCCAGGAGGACACGGGCCTCGTCGGAAGTCAATATTCCCTTGTGTCGTCCATTGCCCCTATTGCACAGGTAGCATGGCAGCCATTCTCGGCATGGCTCATCGTCAAGGTCCCTCACCGTATTCTGATGCCCTCTATGGTCCTCTGCTGGGGTGTTGCAGCAGCCAGCACTGCCGCGTGCCACAACTTTGCGGGTTTAGTCACCGCTCGTTTCTTCCTCGGTCTCTTTGAGGCTGGCTGCCTGCCTCTCTTCACAATTATGACTGGTCAATGGTATCGCCGTGTTGAACAACCCCTGCGCGTTTCTATTTGGAACTCGATGAACGGTACAGCCACTATGGTGGCTTCTGCTTTGTCGTACGGTCTCGGCCACATTCCTTCGGATGTGCTAAAGCCATGGCAGATGTAAGTTACTAGATACCATGTTATTGAATGTCGCTAATGTTTCACAGTATCTTCCTTGTTGTTGGATTGGTCACTATTATTAGCGCACCCTTTATTTACTGGAAACTCGACAACGATATCACAACCGCCCGCTTCCTTACCGAACACGAACGACGACAAGGTGTGGAACGTCTTCGCGCCAATCAGACTGGCTCTTCCTCTTACGACTTTGACTGGTCCCAGGTCATCGAAGTTGCTCTTGACCCTAAGAGTTGGCTTTGGATTGTCATGGCCTTGTTGCCTAATATGGGATCAGCAATGACGAGCACTTTCGGTCCTCTTATCGTCAAAGGGTTTGGCTTTGACGCATACGAAACCTCTCTGCTCAACATTCCCTTCGGTGCTATGCAAACAATTGTCATTGTCGCCGGTTGCTGGGCCTCGTACAAGTTAAAACTCAAATCCGCCATTCTGATTGGTTTCATGGTCCCTGTCGTGGTTGGCATCGCACTTCTCTACGCCCTCCCGCACAACCAATCAAACCAGGGCCCGCTTCTACTGGCCTACTATCTTTGTGCCTTCCTGTTTGCCGCCAATCCTTTGCTCCTGTCATGGGTTGTGGCGAATACTGCCGGTGCCGCCAAGACGTCTGTCACGATGGCGCTTTACCAGGCTGGCACATCCGCTGGTGCCCTCTCTGGCCCACTTCTATTCACCGCAGAGCAAGCTCCATCATATCGTCCCGGTATCAGGGCTGTTCTCGGGCTCTTCATTGCTTTGGTTGGCTGTGTGGTCATCCAGGTCCTCAATCTAGCCTGGTTGAACCGGCTGAACAAGAAGAAGAGAGTCCGCAATGGAAAGATGGCGGACGTCCAAGATAAGTCCATGACTCATGGCTTTGAGACTGACGGGAAGGTTCAAGACCCAGCTCCAGTGGAAGCAGCACCATTTGTGGACTTGACTGACCGGAAGAATGATGAATTTGTGTATGTTTATTAAGCGATAGACTTGGGAGCCCTGCCGGAGAAGCAGTGCATGATTTCCTGTTGCATTATTTGCGTGGTCAAGTTATTTTGGGTTTTGTGATGATTGGACTTATAATATAGATCCCACGTTTAGAAGTTTTACCATTGACGAATATTTTCTGTGTCACTTGATAAAGATGACATACAGACCAGCCTTTAAATTTGTCTACATAATCTTGGAATAACCTTAACATATGGTATTTGGCTTGAATATTCTTCATTCCTCCCTTCTTTAGCTTTCTACGGCCTGCCAATAGACACATATCTCATCATTATTTACCTGGTCATTGGTTAAAATCTATATGCTGTAATGACATACCTAATTACTTCTTTGCTCTCATTTAAGTAGCTTGAAAATCCAAGAATGGGAACTAAATTAGTATGTCGGAATGAAAATTAGTAAATACGTATATATCACAAGAAACATGGGCATGTGTGTTTTGCGAGCTACTTCGTTAATACTGTATTCAGAATTAAATGGCGTCAGAGGTTGGTTTACTATGAATATGGCAGCAATATTGATGAACGATAATTTTGTTTTGAGAATATCTATAGGGCTATGATGCATGAATCATGAAATCGGAGAAGAGGCATAGCAGTCATGGACAACGGCTCGAGGACCAAGACAAGGGAGCACATGCTTCAAGAGGGGAATTATGCAAGAATTGGTCGCTTAGAAGTGGCCCTCAATTTCCATGGGGGTGTATGGCTCCTCCAGGTACTTCTCTTCCTCAGCAGTAAGCTCCTTACCGCGTGCGGACAAAGCTTCATCCATTCTCGCAACGCTGCTGAATCCAATGATAGGACTCGCCACACGCTTCAACTGCCAGGCAAGTGTAACTTGAGACATAGTCCAACCCTTGCGCTTTGCGAGCTCTTCCACTCTGTTGATGATTTCCTGGGATTCAGGGCGCAAGCTGGCGACAGTCTCACCGGTAGATCTGGCAGTAGTTCCGCGGACGTTCAGGGGACGAGCAAGCTGTCCTTCGGCGAGAGGACCCCACTAATGAGAAACGAAAGAGTCAGTCACAAGAAGTGTAGATAAGCAAGATCGATAGGGTCTTCTTACAGGGACAATCGCAACACCGGTCAGGTTGCAGTATCTGTTCATCTCACGCTCTTCCTCGCGGTAGAGCATATTGTAGCGGTTCTTTTTCATAGTTAGCACATCGAATAATTTAGTCGCGTGTTTTGACTTTTGCATACCTGCATGGCAACGAATTTGGTCAATCCCATCTTTTCGGCGTATGACTGCATCATGACAAACTCGTAGGTCCACATGGAGGAGGCTCCGAGATAACGGATCTTTCCTGCAACGACAAGGTCGTGGAGTGCATGCATAGTCTCCTCAATGGGGGTATCGGGGTCGAAGCGGTGGATCCAGAAGACATCAATGTAGTCAGTCTCCAGACGCTTGAGGGAATCATCGAGAGCCTTAAAGATTGCGCTCCGGGAGAGGCCTTTGAACCACAATTAGTAAGTCTGTCTACTTCACAGATGTAGTTGTCATGAGCTCACCAAACTGGTTGACATAATCCTTGGTCTTCTTCAGATCTTCAATGATGGGGTATGCGTGGAACTGTTGCTCTCCAACGCAGCTGTAGGCCTTGGTCATCAGAACCAACTTGTGGCGGGGAATCTGATATTCCTTGATGGCCTGGGCAATCACTCTCTCTGAGTCGCCATTGGAGTAAATGTTGGCAGTGTCCCACTAGTTACAGTCAATTTTCAATCCCTCACAAACTTAGATGGGAGTACAAACAGTGTTGACTCCACGATCATAGGCGGCCTTCAGGAGGGGGAGGGCCTTGTCGGCACCAATGACCCAGTTTGCCCATTCAGGGTTTCCAATGCTCATACATCCGACAATGGGAACGGAGACACGGAGACCACTTTTACCAAGGCGTCTATAATCGACCTTGGTCTCGGCCATAGACTTGGCGACTCCGGGGGAAGGTTTGACATGATGGATGTTTTTAGGGTTTGAGGGTTGAACAGGGGTTTTTTTTCGGTTTAACTTGCAATGTGTTCAGCTTAGTCCTATGCCTTTTTATAAATTCCTAATAGTCTATCACATACATCTATACTACATTTCTAGAGAGTAAAATCCGATGGTCGGGTCGGTTATGGTGGGGGAGAAGAAGTGGAGGTTGGGGAAGGGCAAGGCCGATTGGGGGCCGATTAGGGCCGATGAAACCGAGCCGATGTCGGTTGCCTATTTAGGAAGAAGCCGCTCGCCTACCCAAAAAGGAAAGCGCTGCTTATCTCGATTAGGCAGGCAGATAGAAGATTTCTGTATTGGGGAAAAACGCGGGGTATACTTGACCTGGGTATGTAATATGTCAGCTGATTATGTTATAGACACTAAGAGATATGTACTAACTCAGGAAATGCTAAGGAAATGCTAAGGAAATGACAAAAAAATATACAAGGTACACGTGGTCTAATCTATAACTAATCTATAACGTGCAGTAGTATAAGCCTAGTGGTATTTAGTATCTGTTAGTCTAGTCAAAAGTAATCCCTCTACGGGATGAACCTATCCGTCAAGATGCATATGGTGATAGCTTAATATGTCTAATCAACTAAATCGAATAGGATGACTCCAAGCTTACCTAGGTCCCCCGCAAAACCCTATCTAGGAACTGTGTACTCCGTTATCTCACTGTTTATCTGATTATCGGACTAGTTATCTAGGTAGTTCTATAGTTTTCCACCTTCATATTTCTAATGTTGCAGCAGTGCAGAAATGTTATGGTAGTATTGCATTGAATACAACATCTCGAGGATCGGCTTAGTGCGCCTCATAGGAATCAATAGAACTATTCAACAGATCTTGGCGTGCGGGGGGTCTTTGATCTCTCATTTGATTGGACAAGCCAATAAACCCAATAGGCGGGGAATTTGACCTGGTGGCATGGTGGTTGAATACTTTTGTCGTTTGCTATCGGCCTGTGATAGTCACGCTTGGTCTGAGACCTCTTTTTTTTTCCCTCCCCTACTCCATAGCCTCACCGAAACTGAAAGCCAAGAACAATGAGTCCCCTACCTCTGATCACTCGTGAAGAGACTCAACGTCGCCCATATGGTCCTCGGTCGCGAAATGGATGCCTGACGTGTAAACGTCGCAAGGTTCGATGCAACGAACGCAGGCCTCGATGCTATCATTGCCAGCGTCTAAATCTGGAATGCGATTGGAAACCCATCGATCCTCGCCAGACCCCCTTGCAGAACGACGCCGATCCTTTCAAGTCAAACGTCACTTTGGATGTGAACCAGCTGTCGCCCGGTCCTCACATGTTTGACTTTCAATCCATGGCAGCCCCCACAGAGGGCTTTTCCATGTTCCAAAATGTCTATTTTCCCGACTTTGGTGATTTTACCACTTTGGGAAACAATTCCTATGAGCAGGCACGATCCAGCGACGCAGGGTCCCCAAATTCATCTCAACCCCAACGACAATCACCACAACAATCTCCAGTCGCCAATCCCGATGTCGAAAATTCGTTACATTTACATCTTCCACCGATTCTTGATCCGGTTGAGAATGGTCCAAGATGCGCTTCTGCGCGGGAACTGCTTGAAAGCATGGCGGCTTCTTCCCCGATGCTCCGCTCTTCGATTGCGGCCTTTGAAGCCATACAGTCCGGTAATGCAGGGGCTATAGCAAATTACCAGCAACATTACGATAACGCTGCGATGGAGTTATCGCAAAAGTTTGAAAAATCCAATGGGGAAATTATAATCAGCAGTAATGAGCTCAGATACGTTCTGGCCACTATCTTTTTCTTACATACATAAATGTCCGTTCATTTAACGCGCTAGTCTCTTATCTACTTTGACTAACTTGGTATCTAGTTCCTTACTGCACGACTGGATCTAGCCTATTTGAATCTCGGGAAGGCGCATAATGCCCTGCAAGCAGCAGAGAGGGGTACATTAGGGTCCACGGGTATGTAGAATAAGTCGCTAGCTCAATGCTCCACTTGCTAACAAATGGCGTATCAGAGCTACGAATAATCTCCTGGATTCGGTTGCTGGACGCCCGAGCGGCGTCGGCCGGTGGGGAAGGAGTCCTGGTCAATGATACGTCTGGAATCTATACTTGCACCTCGCCCCAAAACTCAGCCTCCCCGAGCTCAACCCCGCAAAGCATGAGCTCAGCCACGAACCCCGGAGCATCCGAGGTGATTTATGATCTGCTTTGTCAGCCGGGGATAGCTTTCTTCATGGAAGTTCAGACCATCACCGGCCGCATCACCAGAATTGCTCATAATCACCGCAGCCGAGGGAGCGTGGAGGACGAGACTGAAGTGATGGCTATTGCCGCGGAGATCCTTTCGGATCTTTCATCCTTGTATGACCGAAGACCACCACTCACAGACCATGCCGTGGCTGGAAGTATTGGCAGTGATACGCTGGCCGAGCCACTCGCGTCCACCATTGTTCGTTCATTCCAGACGTACATGGCTAACTTTTACGCTTGCTACATTCATCTACATCGAGTCGCACACCGTCATCTGGTTCGTTCCAAGGCAGCGGTGACAGCGCTGTCCAAAATCAAGGAAATAGTACATTGCATGGTCAACAATAATGAATCTATTCCGGTCAACATGTTGTGGCCATTATTTCTATGGGGCACTGAGGAAGACGATCATGATGAATTCCAATGGATTCTTCATACCATCCGTGGTCTTCAACATGTCTTCACCAATGCGAACATGACCGCTGACGTACTACAAGAGACCCAAAGGAGGCAGCGTGAGGGAGGCAAGCGTGTCGACATTCGTTCTGTTTGTCTTGAGTTATTCTATACCACATTCGCTATTGTTTGAACCTCACTCATCAGCCTTTGTGAACGTGACATTTGATGGAAATGATCATTTTGTGATTTTTGTTTTTCATTCTTCTATCATCTAGCGGGCATCAATATGTATAATGTTCGATATCTTTTTAAACCTTCTTGGCCTTGAGTTCCTCCTCAACAGGGAGAAGGGGTGCGACGAGGCGCACGACACGCTCTTGCTTTTCCTTGTCGGAGAACTTGGGGAAGGGGCGGCGGCAGTGGGCACTGGACAAGGGATAACCACGCTCCTTGGAGATAATCCACTTCATTCCGCTGACATCTGACGTGCCAATACCCCATTCGGGGAGGACCAGCTTCTTCTGCAGTGCAGAGGCCTCTGCCACCTTTCCGGCCACGAACAGATCGTAAATCTCAACCATAACCTGCCGAAAATGTTAACAATCGATACTTGTTGCCGTAGACGGGGTCTTCTCTTACCCGAGGGAAAATGTTGGCAACACCTGAAATGCAACCAGTGCTGCCAGCAGTGAGACCGGCCACGAGCCAGTCACTCATTCCAGTAACACTGGTGAACTGAGCGGGCTCAAACTGTGTTGCAACTCTCTGGGCCTTTCCAATACCTCCACAGGTCAACTTGACGGCGGCGATATTAGGGTGAGCACCAAGCTGATCCAACATGTCACAGTTGACATCGAGACCGGACAGAAGGTTGGGGAAGTTGTAGATGACAATGGGAATGGGGGCACGGTCGGCAATCTCCTCGAAGAAGTCGGTGATGGCCTTCTGGGTCATAGCCCAGTGGAAGATGGAGGGCACCAGAGTGAGGGCAAAATCAGCACCGTTCTTGTAAGCGGCCTCGATCTGGACAAGGATGTCCCGGGTGGAGCCAGCCAAGCAACCCATGGTGACAGTGAAGTCAGTCTTGCCATGGCGGTCGGCGATCTCCCGGGTCTTCTTGACCAACAGGCCCTTCTCTTCAACGCTTAAAGTGGCTGATTCACCGCTGGAGCCGGCGAGAACAACTATGATTCGATTAGCTCTACACCGTCAATTTGGAGCTTGTACCAATGAGACTTACCGCCATGCATGCCGGAAGTGACCATGTACTCCAAATGACGCTCTTGAGTAGGCCAGTCAATCTCCTGTTGCTGATCATCTTGGAAGAAGGTGATCGAAGGGCCGTGAATGCCAGGAGGGAAGGACTTGTTGATCTTGGTGGATGCCATAGCTATAGAATGGATGACTGTGTATATTGAAAATAATAGTAGATTTCTATTACTACGAATTTTCACAGTCATTAAGTACTACGCTTCTTTGCTGTAGATGTTCGTGCATCCCCGCCTAACGTGGGGAGTGAGGTCGGTGATGTTGGACCCGATCGGGTTGTCCTCGCGACGCGATCGGATCTCCGATCCGATCCTCGCGATCGCATTTAGATATGCAGTGGAGTCATCAAGAAACGCTGGCGTTTTGTGGCACCTCATGGCATGGCGTGGCTGATTTAGCTAAATTCTTCGTGACAGGAACAAGATGATAATGCAGTCAGCATATAGATCCGTGAAGATAAACCCAACCAGTGGAACCGGTGGATATCTCCCGCGCTCTGCATTTTGCGGGGAAACTGACGTATGCCAAGGAACTCAGACACTATCTATCCATTCATACTCCGTGCTTGAACATGTTGTAGACGTCCTTTTGTCTTTAGATTGGCATTCTTTCCTTTCGTCCAGATTATTTAGATCACCCAAATTGACCCAAACTTAGACTGGAAACAGAGTTCAATATTCTATATAAGTAGCTCAGTATTCTTCAGAGAAGAAAAATAATCCATCATCCACTCAACCATTTCTGCAGTACCTCTTTCACCCAAAAAAAACCTCACTTATTCCCGATAGTCCTAGTGGAGTATCTCCAAGATGCTCTCCGGTTTGATCCATTCTGCACGCGAGTGCTCCATCATGCACGCTATCTCTTTGTGCGCCATCCTCGCCGTAGCAACTCCTGCGGCTAGCGCAGCCATCACCGCCAAACACACCTTGGCAGTCGCTGGGTCGGGAGACTTTGCCCACTACCGAATTGTTGCCCTGGCAAATTTGGGCAATGGTATCCTCCTAGCCTCCTATGATGGGCGCCCAGATGGAGGAGATTCTCCATCTCCCAATTCGATTATGCAACGGCGCAGTACGGATGGTGGCGCTACATGGGGCGAGCCGACCTACATTGCCAAAGGCCAATCCAAGACATCATCCCTCCAACAGTACGGATTCAGTGACCCAAGCTACGTGGTCGATTCCAAGACTGGAAAAGTTTTCAATTTCCATGTCTTCTCGAAGAATCAGGGATTCGTCAATGGTGTGATCGGAAATGACGATACCAACTTGAATGTGGTGAGCGCTGAAGTCTCAGTCTCCACCGATAAAGGAGTTAGCTGGAGCACCGATCCAGACAACCAACCCTCCTTGCCTCCTGTTGCATCTTCCAATGTGGGTGCACCCCCACTTATTACTAAGGCAATCAAGCCGGTGGGTAGTACTGTCAATGGGGTAGCCAATGTCGGTGGAATCACCGGACTTTTCGCCTCGTCGGGAGAAGGCATTCAACTCAAATATGGGACACACGCCGGACGCCTGGTTCAACAATTCCTCGGCAAAGTCATCCAACCAAGCGGTTCAAAGGTATCGCAAGCTTATAGTGTCTACAGTGACGACGGTGGCGCTACGTGGAAAAAAGGAAATGTTATTGGCACCGGAATGGACGAGAACAAAGTCGTGGAGCTCTCCAATGGCAATTTGATGATGAACTCACGCTCGAGTGACGGTAGCGGATATCGCAAGGTTGCAACTTCAACCGACGGTGGTGAAAACTGGTCAACCCCAGTAACCGAGACTCAATTACCTGATCCAGGAAACAACGGTGCTATCGCAAGAGCGTATCCTGATGCAGCACAGGGCTCGGCCAATGCCAAGATCCTCCTGTTCACCAATGCCAACAGCAAGACAAGCCGGAGCAATGGCACAATCCGTTACTCCTGCGACGACGGAAAGACTTGGTCTGCTGGTTCAGTCTTCCAATCGGGCTCAACGGCTTATTCCACAGTCACTGCTCTCGGTAATGACAGGTTCGGAATATTTTACGAGGGCGATAACAACGACCTTGTTTACATTGAAGTTTCCAAGGAATTTATTGGCATTTCTTGCTGATTATAATCTGATTGATGGCATCTTTGTTTGAAAGCTGGGTTCTAAATTGTGTCTATGTATACATATGTACTAGAGCGTCATCGCCAATGGCATGATTTATAATAAGACCGGAGCATGGTTTTAGGAGAATCAATTTTGTAGTTAGGCGATTCGTTGCACAAATCTCGTTATGACTATTGGAATTCTATGATAGTGGGGAGATTAGGGTGTCAGTTGCTCGGATTTTCGATTAATTAAAGAAATTTCATAGTAGCGAGTGAGGGATTCATGGGTGGGTAGTAGAACTGTGCTCGTGCTGCCCTGCGCATCCTCGGCAATACACATACCAATGATGTGTCCTCAATAAAAGCAGGCTGGATTAGGTACTTTCGGCCAATTATCGCCCTAATTTAATTGGATACTGGCTAAAATGACCATCGACTCACATCTTCCTGGGATTTACGGTGATTTGATACCCAACATATATATCATGTACCAAGCCGTATTTGAAAATCCAAACATGACTATTCATGTGAATGAATGATGTGATAGGTAGAAATATAACTCTCTAAGGACTATCATGAACACTATCCAAATAATAATTGCGTAGTTCCCTGTCCATGTCCAGGATTAGGTCGGGTCTTGCTATCAATCACGGCCCCCCACCATTTTCCTGTGGCCCAAATTTCATCAAAAAGCACAGGAACAGAATGAAACATGCTATAACGAGATTTCTCCCCCCAATAAGCACAGTATTCCTTAACAAAATGACGCATATCCTCATCTGAAGTCTCGCTCCCTGCGAGGAAGACAGGGATGAGGAGTTGTTTTTGTGTCTGGGATGTTCGTCGGCAGCACCGAATGTGATCAATCGTCTTGCGCACCAGTCTATTGACGCCGAGAGATCGTCTTGTGCGATCACTCTTGAAGATATATTCAAGATAGAGAAGCAATGCATATCGCCAGGCCTCAGCACAGTGGTAGCGATCTTGTTGCTCATGGAGTTGTTTTATCGCCTCGTCGTCAGTCAAGTTGGGATCATTGTAACTTGATGAAGATTCTGTGTCATTCTTCCACCCGATAAGTTCCTGTTCTATTTTTGTGATAGGAGCCATGTTGAAAGTCAGCCATTTCATGGATAAGGCGATCTCGCACTGCTTGGCTAGCTCGGCAAGTTGAAATAGGTGAACAAGTAATTCTCGGGGACACCCAGTCAGATCGAAGAAAGACCATGCATCTTGTTTTTCCCATCGTACCAAAAAGTCCAGGTATGCCTGGTCCATAATAGGACTCTGTCGAGATATCAAGGCAAGTGTGGCATCCCACCTTGTGATGAGGGTCAGCGACAAAATCTCCAAGACTAACAAGGTTTCATTTCATTACCAGATTAGCATAGCAACTTGTGACCTAATTCGAGGTGTCGTCAATGCGCTGGGGCCGCCATGGGCTTGGAGCACTGAATGCGCCCGCGTCAGGTGAGTTGACCAATTCCCGGTAGCGGAGAGGGCACACTAGGGACAGCTATTAGCATCGCGCCACATTTATGATAGGAGTGGATAACTTGCATCAAGAGTAAACAGGATTAGTATCGGCTCCAATAAGCTCAACACCGGGCTACTTTGCAATGCACATTCAAGTAATTGAACGGCTTTCCGGCGATGCTCAGCAGCTTCGCTTGGCCAGCTACCAGCCAAGCGCCCAAGATGCTGACAGCATAGTGCTAGGATAGAATGGAAAAGAAGGCGGGAGCGTTGAGACGTCTGGCGTTTGCAGCGAAATGGATTCACTGTCCCAGGTATGTCTCCTGTGAGAGGCAGCACGCAGAATTCGGAGTCATCTATGGTGTGATGAGCGTGATCTCTTATTATGAAATGATGAGGCGATCAGATGTCTTACATAATTCAAGAAGCTTGTCATGGTCGTTTGATGAGATTTCGGATAACATAGAAGCAGCTTCAAGGCGCGCCGTATCATAATGGTTTGTGGGTTCTTGAGTGGTTCTTGGGACCAAATCACCTAGAACGTTTTGCTCTGGTTCATCTCGGAACATATCAATATTCTGAGCTATTGAGATTGAGCTGGTTTGTAGATTATGTAACGCCGGCTCAACAGCCCTATCAGCTGGAGAAAGAGGTGTCATTGTCATTCTGGGTGTTTGTACCAGACCAGACAATTCTGCTGTTAGTGTCTCGTGAGGTTCGATGTCGAGAAAGGGAGTGGATGCAAAAATGTTAGGAAATAGGGAGTCAAATAAACCAAAATCATCAAAGAAATGTCCGTCTTGCACTTCTGAGGAATAAGGGGTGAGCTACATATATACCTTTGGAACCTTGCAGGGGTAGAGATAGTTGGACTTACCCAGACCAGCTAAGCTATTAGCTCTTTGGTGGTCATCAAATGACTCCGAGTTCTGCGCTGCCGTTCTACGCACAATCTCTGGGGTAACCGGCGAGCTTTCTGTTACAGCTGATCGACTTGCTTGCTCCTTTGGCGAGTTTGCTCTTCGGCGCTTCTTTGGCCTAGAGACGCCCTTGACAAAACGGAAGCGTTTAGGTGAAGCTGACCGTGCGGCGAATGCAGTGGAGACAGCCTTGGGGGAGGAGTCGGTGACGATCTCCTCATTCGGTAGGGCTTTGGATGCACCAGCTGCCGAAGGATTATCTGACCACATTCGTCTAGGGTCCCATGAAAGAGGCATTGCAAAGCCACCACATTTGCGACTTTGACCCAGACATGTTGAACATCGAGGTCGACGCCGGTCGCACTTTTCACCCAAAGAAGCACAAGTATGGCAGTCTGTCTGGGCAAATCCAAGTGAATTTGTTCTCTTTCCTTGATCAGAAATCATCACGTCAGATGCTGTGAGATAGTCCATTCCGTATTTCCTTGGTTTATTGTAGAGAAGCAAGGGCCCGCTCTCCTTCTGAATTAGGGAATTAATCAGGGCAGGTGACATTGCCGCGGAATTTACCGCGGGACTTTTGTCATCTCTCTATCTATATCGGCTCGCTTTGTATACATTCGTCTCTCTATTGTGGCTCCATTCAGACTAATGCAGAAGCTAAACCCTCTCAGGATTGAGCTATTGCCAATTTACCCCATAGACCCCTCATGGGGTGTCTCTTATCTCGCATAGTATCCCGAGGTGTCCAGTATGGGCCACAATAGACGTTTCTTTAAATGAAACAATAATTAACGTAAATCAACTCCCAAAATGGTCTATGGCAGGGGCTAGGGTGGCAAGTTTTCTACGCCAAGATCGCGAGCACTATTACAGCTTGGCTTGAACATTCCAGGCTTGATCAATCAGGTCAACCGCGGCCTGTGCACATCCATACGAGGACTGATACCCAGCACCTCCAGCACCGTAGTTGTGAACCACCAGAACCCCTCCAATGCGCTCCTTCTCAATTCGAGTACCGCCCTCTCGGACAGGTCTCAGGCCAACTCCGTGACGGATGATATCCAGATGTTCGATCCCCTTTCCATCCGTCAACGCAGGGCACATCTTAACAGCTCGCTTCATGATTCGGATTGCCAGATTTGGATCGGGTTGAGATTCCCAATTACCCTTTTGGTAAGACCCACCTAGGATAGTACCTCCACCGGCTGCTCGAGTCATGACATAGCAGGCTTCCTCGTCGCCATCATCCGTACCAGACATGTCCAGCATTTTTCCTGCATCGTTACGGACGATAACAATTTGTCCTCGTGCAGGGACTACTGTAGTATCCTGCACTCCACCTAACTTGGACGCCATCAAGCCTGTGCAATTAACCACTAGGTCGACATTGCCGTTCGGGTGGATGCCTGATGCAGTCGCATCTAGAATATGATCAAATATGGCGCGCTTGAAGATGACACCGTTGGACAGACATTGGGACACAAGCCACGGGAGGTAGATTGCCGTGTTGATGCAAACGGAGGTAAAGACTGTGGCCGAGTCTATGCCCGGACCAAGAGCTTCTTTTGGCAGTGCTCGAAACTGGTGTTACAATTAGCATGCGGAAAGAAAAAAAAAAAGAACATTGACGGCATTCAAGACTCACGTTTGGAACAACCTTGGCAAACCAAGGGTTGGAGGATAGCAGCTCCTTAAACCATTCGGCCGTCGCTGAGCCGACATCCTTCGTTCGATTGTGAATCTCACATTCTGTGCCAACTTGTTTAGCCAAGGTGACATGAATAAAGAGGACATTTCCTACATACCTTGGAAATGTACACCTGCTCCAGGGTTGTTTCTCGCGAGATCTTCAAGGGGACCCCATGTGTTTTTGTCCCATTCTGCGGCATCTGTTCCGGTGATAGATACACTGTGATCACGAATTAGGCATGCAGCTTTTATAAATATATGAATTGACTCAATTGGTTTAACTTACGGCATGTAATTGGCACCGGCCCATGGTGATGCGTACTCAATGTCATAGTCGCCAGGCATATGTTTCGCTGCAACAACGATTTTATAGCCAGACTTCCTCGACAGCAGAAGAGCTGTTGTCAGTCCAGCAACACCAGCACTGCTCAAAACATTAACCACTTGTTATGTGTATCTGTATAGATCATTTTGGTCAACTTACCCAATTACCACGATATTCTTCGCCATGATGGGGATTTTTCTTCACTTCGAGATCCAAAACCCCCCTGAGAACGGGAACCCGGCAGTAATATAGTATGTAATTATCTTTGTTTACTTAAATTGAGACTAAATCTCCCCAAGTATCATTTTTTCTACTTTCCGATATCACATGTTCCTGCCCTGTGGGGCTGGATCCGATGGCTACCCGCTTTCCCGATCGGGAAATATCGCCATTGCCCGATCGGGAATGCGAGGGACCCTCGTCGGCTCCAGACTGCGATACTCACCTGCCCGATTGAGTCTTACAGTAGCACACCAACCACTTCCAATTGTAGCGATCGCGATGTCGAAGTCATACAGAGACACTTAAAGGTCCTTATATCTACCTGGATATCCACCTTTGTTCACACATTCCTCAAAGCAACTGTGCTGATCAAACCCTTCAACCCCTCAACTTCTCAAGAAAAAAAAAAACAGTCAACATGGCTACCATGGAAAAGATCTTCGCTGCCTACCAGGAGCGTCAAACCGCTCTTGCGGCTAACACCCACCCCTTCGCAAAGGGTGTCGCCTGGGTTGAGGGCGAACTCACTCCCCTCCACGAGGCCCGCATCCCTATCCTCGACCAGGGCTTCATGCACAGTGATCTGACATACGATGTCCCCTCCGTCTGGGATGGACGCTTCTTCCGCCTCGATGACCACATCACCCGTCTGGAGAACAGCTGCACCAAGATTCGCATGCAGCTCCCCCTCCCCCGCGAGGAAGTCAAGAGAATCCTGGTCGATATGGTCGCACAGAGTGGCATCCGCGACGCATTCGTCGAGATCATTGTCACCCGTGGCTTGAAGGGTGTGCGTGGCGCTCGCCCCGGTGATATCGTCAACCGCATCTATATGTTCATTCAGCCCTATGTCTGGTGCATGGAGCCCGAGGTTCAGCCCACTGGTGGCAGCGCTATCATTGCCCGCACTGTCCGTCGTGTCCCTCCTGGCTGCATCGACCCCACTGTCAAGAATCTCCAATGGGGTGATCTTGTTCGCGGTCTTTTCGAGGCTGCTGATCGTGGCGCGGAGTACCCCTTCCTTACTGATGGTGATACCAACCTCACTGAGGGTTCCGGATTCAACATCGTTCTGATCAAGGATAATGTTCTGTACACTCCTGCTCGTGGAGTGCTTGAGGGTGTTACCCGCAGGAGTGTGATTGATGTCGCCCGTGCCAGCGGCCTTGAGATCAAGGTTGAGTTGGTCCCCGTGCAGATGGCTTATGATGCGGATGAGATCTTCATGTGCACCACTGCTGGAGGCATCATGCCCATCACCAGTCTTGATGGCAACCCGGTCAAGGATGGAAAGGTTGGACCTGTTACCAAGAAGATCTGGGATGGATACTGGGCTATCCACTATGATGATGCTTACAGCTTCCCCATTACCTACTAGGTTACTTCTGTTCAGTTATTTTCACGATCCACGATGCACGGTCTGGTTATATGGGACAATATATAGAAATTACGGGATCACTGCAAGCTACTGCCATCACTAGGCTATCAGTGTGTGATTGCCAATGTTATTAATGAAATCAGTGTTCTGAAGCAACCAAAATCAAACTCACAGTTCAACTTTAATTTCTGTAAAGCCAGTGCTGCCGCATCTTTGTAGCGTTTTCTGCCACTTACCAGGTCCCTCGAACGAGTCGTGGTTGACAAAATAAGACTCGTCAGGGTTATATATTGGAATTTCTAACCGGTCACACGAGTGGTGGGCAAGGCTGTTTATAACTAGTGAGCCTCGTAGGATGCTTATTAACAGTCGATTATATATGTCTATATGCTTGGAAGGATATTTCGCTGACAGCGGGTTACATCGTCTTCATTCCGTGTATTTTATGAACGATGTACCAATCTCAAGGGCCGGTTTCGGCCTCCTCAATGATGGTAGAAAATTTGCTAAGGACTTGCTTCAACGCAGGTCTTCGAATAGGTTTACTGCTTTCGTTAGTGACAGATCGAGCGATTTCTTTTTGATACCAACTAACCTTATGAACATATCCATTCCACAATCCATACAGTCCTTGATGTTGCTTTCTTCTGCAAAAGCACTTAATGCGACAATGGGCGCGGAGTAGCCCATCTGTCGTATAAGTCGGGTGCTCTCGAGACCATCGAGGATCGGCATCTTCATTAATTAGCATTTTCATAACCGTGCGATATCAAGCTACTTACTTGGATATCCATAAAGATTAGATCAAACACATCTCCCTTTTCCATATTTGATTTAACGGTGTCGTAGGCCTCCTGGCCGTCTTTGACAATTGTCACATCATAGACCTCCTCCAGCGCAAGCATCCTAGAATTGAAGTCAGCGTTTGAGAAAGAGAACGGGAAATTTTAGCACGCACCGTCGAACTACTTCCTGGTTCACAGTGTTATCTTCAGCAACCAACACACGGATCCTTTTCGTGTCGGATGAGCTTTTCTTGGATGAAAGATTGCTCGGTGCTGATGCAGGAGGTGAGGGAACGGTCGGTGTGAAGAATGGTTGGCTCAGTCCCACCAAACGAGGTTGAATTTCCGATTTCTCGAACCCAGGCGCAGGGGTTTCGTTCCTGACAGATCCGTGATTTGAGGGTGTTCGCGCGGCGTGGGAGAAGTCTTCCAAGGACAAGACACTAGGAGTCCGCGATCCTGGGATGCTCGAAGCATGTGTGCTTGGGGGCACTTCTTTGACATACCCCAGGGGGATTTTCAAAGTGAAAAGAGATCCTTTGCCTTCTTCGCTGTCTAGCAGAATGTCACCTCCCATAATACGTGATAACTGAGCACAGATGCTGAGACCCAAGCCAGTTCCACCGTATTTCCGATTCAATCCTAAGTCACCTTGGACGAAAGGATCAAATATACGCCGGTGGAGATGGGCAGGAATACCTGGCCCGTTATCTTGAACTTCAAACTGGAAGTTAAGCTGGCGAAGATTGGACAGTGACACCCGTTGTCCCTTGGTTTGACCCTCGGTTGTATCCGCAGTCCCTTGCATCGATGAGTTGACGCTCGAGCCGGTGTGTGATCGTAGTCGCGAGTTGTATCGAGTCGTATCTTTCAAAGCCGGGTCATGGGTCTCGAGTCTCAAGGGCTCGTCCACAAGGCGGATGCGAACTTCTACTTTCCCATTCTCAGGTGTAAATTTGAGACTGTTACTGACCAAATTGATGAGTACCTGGAGGATTCGATGTTGATCGCCCCAGAGGACCATGTCTGCCATTCTGCCAGGCTGTGTTGAGCCCAAACCTGAATAGCTGCGCTCCAATCCGTTTTCGCGACATACAGTGCCTTTTGGCTCGATCACTCCACCAGACACAAAGTTGACGCTGAAGTCAATATTCTTCTCGTTGACTTGATTTTGGAAGATGATAGCCAGTTGCGCTCGAACATCAGACAACTTGAACTCCTTTTCCTCGATCTGGATAGCCTGGTCAATTTGATTCTTGCTGAATGTGAGCAAATCGTTCAAGAGGTGCAGAAGAAGATCGCCCGACTGATAGACCACTTGAAGCGACTTTTTGATTCGGGACAGGTCCTCCTCGCCCATACACACAGCACACATTCCGAGGATTCCATTGAGGGGGTTTTGAGCTCATGAGAAATGTTAGCGATAAACAATGTCTTGCTCTCGTTGGCAGTCTCCGCAGCCAATTTGGCCTTTTCAAGCTCTCTGGTGCGCTCAGCCACTCGCTCTTCTAGCCGGTTGTACTGAATTGTAAGCTCATCCGACATCTCATTGTAAGTTTTCGTCAGCTCCGTGAGCTCATCGGTGACGCAATGTCTTCTTTCCTTGACCCTGGCCGGTATCTGGAAGCCCCGGGAGGTCTTTGCAGTGTGGACGGTTGCGGAACTGTTGAATCGCCCCAAGGGGCGTCGGAGGCGTTTCGCCCACGTGCCAGGAGAGCTTTTCTCATCCATGTGTTCCACTATTCGCTCAAATGAATCGCCCTGTTCATCGTCGGCTTCGAATTCAATCCGTTGTGGCCCCGAGCCGAGACGGTGTGGTATAATCTCGGGCTCGACGGACTTTTGGGCTGCTGCGCGTAATCTTCGGATGGGAGCAACTGCCCAGTGAGTCAAGAGAGGGACTAAGAGGAGAATAGCGCCCGCTGTGCCAAAAACGCATGCAAGAATTATCTTCCGTAATCTGGAAACTGCTGAAAATGCTTCTGCGTGAGTCTCTTCTACGAGAAGAACCCATTCGGCGAGTGTGCTTTGCAGGCGAACTGCGCCAACGGCAACGCTTGCTCCTCGCTCGTTTCGAGCCGACAGATCACTGATAGCATTGCCCGCGCTCTGGTACGACTGTAACATGACTTGTAGAGCCATCGGATATGTAGAAAGAACAAACGGCGTATCGGTCGACATGCCGCTATGCCGGCTGACTTGGGTGGGCAAAGGGGTAGGCTCGAAGACGTAGTGAACCCGCGCTCCACTCAGACCAGCGACACGGGCGCCAGATGTAGATGTTGCGGGTTGCTCACTAGAAGGGAAGATGTTTGCTGGTCGTGAAGGTCCAATGAGGAGAACTTGGCCGGTATTTCCCAGCCCATCGCGCGAGCTAACCACACCCTGTAAGTTCGCGGCGCTAGCAACAATACTGGGGAAGAGTTAGTTTCGATTCCAACTATTTCTTCGCATTCGGAGAAACTACTCACGTTATAAAGCCCAAGATTTCTGTATCTGATGTGTTGTTGACAATAGGCAAAGTCAATGACAAGAGGGAGAAGGAATTGTTGACTTTCAATGGACCAAGAAGGAGTGCCGAGTCCAATCCAAGCACATAATCAGGGAATGGATGGACAACCGCAGAGTCGTTAGCACCTGGTCCGCCCTGGTACGTCAGATTTGGGTACAGAGAAGGAGGGTAGCCCAGTCCGTCATTTCCCAATTGCACAGAAGTCCCGTTCGGGTACGAATATGGAAGGGTGATATCCGGAGCAGTGTCACTGGTCTGGTTTAGCAAGGTCATGTGTCCCCCATGACCGTTCTTTGAATAAATGATAGCCTGGTAAAGATCCAAATATCCTCGACTACCGAGGGCCGATTGAACATCCGCTTTGGAATTGGTCCAGTTCTCGTCGGTATTGTTTCCCGCATAATACCGTTTCAAGGCTGATTGGATTAGAATTCGTGTGGCGATGGTTTTACAGGTTGTTTCGAGAAGGTCCAAATTTGAAGCGATCTGACTGGCCTTGGTGGTCGCGACAAGTTCGAGGCCCTTCGATCTGCACAAATGTTAGACTTTGGCTGGCAGATTAGGAAGAGCAGCACATACTCGACATCCACAACAAAGTTATAGGTAGTGAACCACTAAAATAGTCAGATGCGGTTCTCATATCTGCGATTTGAACTCTCTACCGTTGCGATGGCTAGGACCGCGACCCCCGAGACCGCAGTCAGCAATACCAGCAGCCCAAGCTGCACAGCAATGGGAATCCTCATCCGATCACATAAGACCAAGGATAGGTAAGATGGATAAGTTTGTCTGATAGCTATCACAATCAAAGGATAGATCAAGCGTAGAGAAGTCCAGATACCTGATGAAAGTCAACGTCCGTGCCAAGACCCTGTCTTGTCACACCTACATGAGTTCTTCAGGTATTCCCCGTCTTGGTTCTAAAAATTTTGGGGTCGTTTTGAAGGTGTCAACGAGAGAAAAACAAATGAAAAGACAAAGAGAAAGAGCTTAGGTGAGATGGAAATGTGAAAGTAAGACATTAGGGGGGGATGAAAACTGTCAAACGGCCAAAAAGGGTCCCAAATGGGTAAAAATAGTTGAAAACAAGGCAAAAACAGTCTAGAGGGGACTAGATGCATCGAGTGGCGGCGTATCCAGAATAATTTACGATTGGCACGCGACTTGTTCTATTTTATTCTATTATTTTACCCTGTTCACAAGTATGTTATGTTTTGGCCCATTGGATGTCCACGGTGAAAATTGCCGACCTGCAAATTTCAACGCGATTGGACAAATATTGCTGCCAAGACCTCCGCTTAGTCAGATTTTCTTTGATGCCCACGGGTCTTGGTTTTGAATCTGTTCCGACGCTGTATCTGATATACAACATACTTAAAAGGAGTACGGCGTATAGAATTTTTCATTCAATATCTATTGACTTCAATCTCACAGGAATAAAGCAGAGACTAACAACACACCAGGTCCAAATTGGCTTCTCAATGAATTACCTCCGTTCTGAATGCTGCTTGTAGCTTCACTTTGGGTCTTAGTAGGGGTGCTGGACGTGTTCTGAGTGGTCGATGTCGATGTATTGTGCGTGGCCAGATTCATGTGCTCAAAGGCAACTAGGTTAGAGGTAAAGAGACTAGTAGCACTCATTTGTGTCTCCATGCCTGTAACACCATCCCATTTCGACTTGTACCATTGTTCGCCACAAATGGCCCCATTCTCACCACCCGAGCATTGCTTGGCAGCTCCAACAGCAGAGCCCTGCAATCTTTTAAGGATCTCGGATTTGGTATGAGGGGCCATACGGGCGACAGCCGCGAGGTCAGATGCAAAAAGTCCCTTGTACACCTCATGGTCCCGGCTGCAAGTGTTCAACGGCTCGCAGCTGATTTCTACCATGATATTGCCGCCGTAGCTTTCTGGGAAGAACTTGTGGAAGCTTGTGTTGAGAAGACCATCGAGTCCTGCTTTCCATTTCGATGTTTCCCCATTTGTCTTTTCTTCATGTTAGCGATCGTCGCGATCTGTACTCCAGACCTGCATACTGACCAAGTTGTACATATAAGCCGCCCCACTGATATATTCTCCGTAGTTGTGAGTCCACTGGATATCTTGATGTGTCTTGCAATCGGAATCAACATCAACCACGTCATTAATCGTCCATTCGGCAGTGTTCAAAATCGGAACACCAGCACTCCAGTCCCAGATCTTTTCAGCCCAATCAGAGTAGGTCGTATTCTTGGTATATCTGGCTAGACGCGCGGAGAGCTGGAACAATCCTCCATTGCTCACAGCATCCTTCTTATTGTACCCATCCTGGTATGGCCAGATCTGCCAGCGCAAACCGCCATCGCAGCTCTCGGTATCCCATCGCGCAACCTGGGACCTAAACACGCCCTCGGCTAACGTCAGCCATGATGGCTTCGAGGAATCCTCAACGTATCCCAGTTCGGCGGCAGTCATAGCAGCGAGACCCCAAGCCATTTGGTCGTCATTGCTCAGGTATTGGCTGTAATTTGAAGGAAAGTAGTTGTTCTCCCCACGCTGTCAATACATGCCTTGACTCACAGCCTTGTTGTTGGAAGCGTCGCCAGTAAAATACCAATATTCGATCATTGTCCGGAATAGGGCAGCACCCAGCCACCATGTGCCGTCAAGTTTGCCAGGAATATGTCCGGTGCTATTGGAAGTGTACTTTGACATAGTGTTGAAGGCCGCAGTCGCCGCCGCATTCTTAATAGACTCTGCTTCCGTGTCAGGTATAATAAACACACTGAGCCCGTTAATATATTAATAGAATAGCGTACGCTCGTCATTAATCTTGAGATCGATTGCCGCGGCAGAGCCTGCCAACAGGGCAACGACAAGTGCCGGGAGATTATTGAACATACTGCGATCACACAGAATCAAACACAAAAGACGAACAGAGGAGATGGTCTCTATATTTTATGTGAAAAATTCCAATCAGAATTCGGGGCTAACTCCGGGCTCAGGGGCATCAGCACTAGCCCCGTTTAGCGGTAACATGTACTCCATACGTAAAGAAGAATTATTGCCTCAATACTCGGCGGGAAAACGACCTGATCTCGCGTTTCCTCTGTATTTTGTGTATTCACGTATCCTGCCACAGTCAAGAGCCACACAGGTCTGATAAAACCTCGGAAATCTTGAATTCTAGGTAACGAAGTTTGCTATGGGACACATACGAAAAGGTACATCATGGTCTTTTTGACTACATCATTATTTTCGTATGAGATGGATATCTTGTCAAGTTGACCTACTCTATATAGTACAGTCTTTCAAGATTGAATCAACTTGAAATTGTTCTCTAAAGGTAAAGCTTCTGGAAAGTTTCGCTTTATGCACTTTGAATAGGTGTTTTCAACTCTCTACTTTGAGACAACAATAGAAAATTACCTGACATCAAACAGTTGCTTCGGATTAGTTTTGCATGCAGCTCAACCCCGAGTATGAGTGGTTGATAGCCATTGGGTCAAGTATATAGGCGCCTAAAGCCGACATATACTACCTCTTATACACACCTATGGTACGACTCCGTAGATCTCTCCCGTTTCCAGACGGAGGCTAATGCCGCGGGAAAAGCTTGTTTCACAACAGAAAAGGACTAGAATGGAACGGCACATTGCTCGTTCCTTCTTACATTTTCCTAACATTACAGATGAAGTAGCCCAAAGCCGGTCAGATAGTGAGATAATCAGAAGTCGATCGGAGAAAGAGTGGCTTCAATAAGACCTAAAAGACGCGACCACTGCCTGCATTTGCCACGCTTGATCTATGCAAAAAAAAATATAGACATCTGATGTATCGACATGATACCCTATAATATCATTTACTGAGTGTAGCTGCAGCCATTAGGCTTCGAGGTCTCAACAACACGAGCAGCAATGCCGACACAGTCGGAGTTACCAGCAGGGTTGGAGACACCAGCAGAAGCCCAGATGCTCCAGGCACCGTCAATGCTGTTGGGGCAGGCGATCAGGTCGTGTCCTCCAAACTGGAGGTGGCCATCCTTCTCGGTCCAGCCCTTGCGCTCGGCATTCTTGGGAGTGGGCTGAGCCCCAGTGGTGTATCCGATCTTGCCCTGGCCTATGTATCAATTAGTTATTTGTCGAGTTAGTGGGATTGTGAGAATGATAACATACCCATGCCAGAGCGGTCGACGTAAATCTCCTGGGGAGTGGCGGACTGATCGTAGAGGAACAGAGCACCGTCGTGGATGTAGAAGGTGGCCTGCTGCTCCTTGGGACGAGCACAGCTGGCACCCTGGTTAGGGAGACCAGCGAAGATGCTGCTCTTGGCGGCGTTGAAGGCGGAGTATTGGACAGCACTGCCGGAGTGAATGGCGACGACGCCGAAGGTCTTGGACTGGGTGGAAGGAGCGGCGGAGGCAACGGCGCTGACGGAAGCAGCGATGGCGAGGTTCTTGAGCTGCATGTTGGCGGATAGGGTGATGAGAAGATTGGATTGGGAAAATAGAAGTGCAATTAAGAGGATTGATAGGATTGATAGTGGATGTTGTTAGAATTGACCCAAGATGCTGAAATGGTTCCCCTCTTTATACTTGGGCGCCACTGCCGTCGCCGAGGTTGGTGTCTCACCTATCGAGAACTAAATTCAGCAGCGGCGTAGATATCCCGAAAAATGACACCAGTATGACTATTTTATGGGGCAGCGTTGCCGATCCCTCTCGTGGTGCAATTAATGTCTTATCCCTTAAGGATTGATGGGACACGATATCCCAGATTCAGATTCATTTATTGGAAACAAACAGTCCTTCCTAGGTCATTGTTAGTAATTAGAGCATCAAAAGTTTCCATACATCAATGAATATTCGGCTCGAATCGCCTAGGCATAGTACCTTGTAGACCCTGAAGGAATCCGTGGCTCCCCACATTTTTGATATTTCTCCGATTTATACCCACGAATTCCGAATCAAGGCCAATCGGGGGTTGATGCCTTTCTGCATCGGAGAAACACATATGTAATAATAGAGTGCTATGCAGACCGGTTGTTTGACTGCTTTCGGGCATTTCGCTGGTGGGTGGCGGGTGAGTATCTAAAAATAGCCGCTGAAGGAGTGGCTGACCGTTGCCACTAGCTCAGTTTGTTTGATTCCACCTCAGGGGCGCAAGTAATAGTACATGGTTAAACATCTTCGAATATTAGAATGTTGGAAAAGAATCACAAGGATTATACTGAAGGAGAACATTATAATATATCTACATATTTCGCTTGCTCCATGATTCATGAAATCATGAAGATGCAACGCCTAGAAATAAATTTCCCATCTCGAACCAAACCAGGGTTGAGGGAAGTTCTGTACAAGCGCCAGCTCGAGCACGCTCATTACCCATATAGAGATATGCTTAGAACAAAAAAAAAACGTCATCTGTCTTACTCGGGAGCAGCACACGAGAAAACACCTCCAACTTCTCCCTTGTCGTACTTGATCCTCTGTCGAGAGAGTTAGCAACACAGTTTCTGTCATCAGACTATGGGAGAAACTTACGATGTCATCAATACTAGAATAGGTTCCTCCGACAAGCACCACCATACCGATGATGAAAATACATGCGTTGATAACTCCCAGCATCAAGTTCTTGCGTTCTTTCCAACTGCCCTCCCGAAGGAGCATGAACCACATCATGGCAGGGAAGTAGAAGGTGAAACCGGAGATGAAAAGAGCGGAAGAGATCGAAAGCAAGTCGTTGAAGAAAGGAATCACCTCGGCAATGATGAATGCCACAACTGTGGCGGCGGTGATCACAGCCAGCCATGTCAACCATCCCATCTTGGTATTGATGAAGCGGATAGGGGAGTTCTTGAAGATGCGACCATGCACCACACGGCCAAACACAACGGTGTTGATTGAGCCACTGATGAAGATCACAGGCAGGGCGACACCGTATGCAATACGGCTGAGGGTGGTTCCAGCAGAGGTGAGTGCAGGGCTGGATACATCTGGACCCACAAAGGCGTAGATCAGAGCACCGGTAATCGTGTAGATGAAGATCTCAGTGATACCCAGCGTCCAGATCGACTTAACGAAGTCGCGAGGAGTGTGCATCTCGTCCATGAAGGAAAACTGGCACATGGCAAAGCTGTAAGCGAAAATGATGTTCGTCACAGCGATAAAGGCTTCAGTGAAGCCAATATCATCCTTGGGCCACGCAGACCACGGTACTCCAGAAAGTCCACCGGGTGAATTAGTCGCCTGCACACCGGTACCGATAATTGTGATTCCGATGGCAATGATGATAGAAGCAAAATCAACATAGCCCAGAATGGCCACCTCTGTGAAACTGGGCGGGATAGCGAGCAACAGCAGGATGATGGCGGAAACCACGGCAAAAATGATGGAGCAAATGCCACTCTTGGTGATGTCAAGGAATGCGATGGTTCCCGTCAGACAGTGCGAGGCCGTGAGGAAAATTAGTTGGAGAAGAAGCATCACATTGACTAGCTCGTATCCAAAACGACCACACCCTAACCGACGACCCATCAGCCGACCCGCATCGGCATAATTGGCGACCTCGGGGAAGGCCAGTTTGACCATTCCAACAATATAACTGGTGTAGATGGCGATGAGACCGATGCCGACACAGCAGATCACACCAGGAACCATGCCAAGTACCGCAAAGGTGGAAGGGATCGACAAACTGCCGAGTGCAATAGCTTCGACAATGAGGACGATAGTGAGTCGCTTCCAGCCGAGACGGTTGAACTTCTTGATACCGTGATCATAGACATTTCTCTCCGCCTCACTCATTTCCCCGACCATATCCCCCTCGAACGGCGGTGGAGGGGAGGCAGCCTTCTCGCCCTCCGCCCCCATCACCTTGTCGACGTCATGGTCGTTAGGGATATCTTCGAAGCCCATGATGGTGGAAGGGAGGCAAGGTCTGCCAGATAGAAAGGGAGGGAAAGCGAGTATATAGGCAAATTTTGTTTCGAATGCGGCACTATCGGGAGGCAAAGCAGGATTTCCATGACTAACGAGATTTTGTGAGCGTTTTGGCTGGTTCAACACGTGGAGTACGACGCTGATCCACTTACGTTGATCGGCCATCCAACGAGGTCACCGGAAACAGGATTTGGGACCCATTTCAAATGTGGTAGAAGTGGACAGTGGATGCTCAATGGATGTAAGATTAGGCGAGATGGTACCGCCCGGTGCCCCAGACCCAATTTAACTTGTCGTATGATAAGAGGGTTCGGAACAGTTTAGGTAAAAGAAACTGGGCATTGGCGTAGGCGTTGTTGAGGACCACTTGAGTGCCACTTCAGGGCCACCAGCCAGTGGACTCTACGCTTTGACAAGGGTCACACTATAAAGTGTATCCCCGCGTTAACTGATTGCGGGGAGAAATTGAGGTAGAATTGAAGAGAATCGAATATAAAATCATTGACGGAATGAATCTAGAGGGATTTTTCTTAATCACGCCACGGTAGATCCCGAGAGCCGACTTGCCAATGAAAGACTCGGGGAGACTGGCTGGGCGCCAACTCGCCCGTCTGGGCGGCCGATAAGATTTTGGGCTTGGTCACATGACTGCTGCAAACAGACCTCGCGCATTAAGGGGGTATCACATCAGCTGTACATTATCTTTACCTCCTTACGGAGTACATAGTGCGAAGCTCAGGCAACTATGGATACCCTCGTATCTCATGCAAACCAATCCCTTTAACCTCATATCTCATTTCATCCACCGAGACCAAGATCTTCTTAGGGTATGTGCTAGACCTGGGAAGTGCGCCACCAACGCCATCCAATTTACCTATGCTGTATGCGGGTGAGAAAATGCCGCAAGCATTGACTTCATGACTCGGCGGCTTATCTGAAACTCAAACAGGATAATGGAGGGTTCTCCCCCAGAGTCGGCTGGTCATGGATATTATTGCGACATATCCCTTGTCTGTACGTAATTCCCCAAACTTTTCGGTACAATGTACTTGATGACCATTGCTTATATTCGTGCTAACGTCCCCGGACTAGTTCCCCGCTAACATATCCCGCTACCCCGAAGGACCCGCGGAATCCACGGAAGCTGCGGGCCATCTCGGCTATCAAACTCGAAACACCATGCGTGATTTTAATGGACTACCTGTTCATGCCCGATATGCGGTATATTGCCACCGATGATCTTCTCATCATAGGGAGTATAGAAGGTTGTGTTAGTTGCGAACTCCGTGATCTTCCTTCGGTTGCATTATTCTCCACGCCCGGTCAATGACTGCCGAATACGGGGTAAAGACCCGACCGCAGCAGTCGAGCAATATACGGACTACTGTCTAAAGAAAAGTGGAACCACTTCCCCAGGCTCCTTCATTACCCACGCCAGCGACTCTGCCGGTGATAAGGACATCATATATAGGAGATACAGAAGTTTATCCTTCATTCGTATCACAATCGTCGCCAATGCGTTCACCAGGGTGTGAGGATTTCTCTTCTGGGACAGCAAAATTGGGTCAACCAACCGGTGGGAAATTGTGCCGTGATGGATCTCACAAGCGACATTAATGTCTATCAGTGGTCCACATTCTTCTAGCTTCGTTTACAAATCACTTCTCCAATGTGCAAGCTTTTCGTGGAATGGGTTCCGTTACGGATATTGAAGTACATATTTCCTTCCCCTTGGAAGCTCTTACGACACGCTTCGGCTTAACTTTGATCTCTTCGCTTTACTCAATGCATTTTTCATTAGATTGACAGACAGCTAATCCACAGACAGTACCACAACTCGCTAACACCAGCAACGTCCCACAACTCGCTAACACCAGCAACGTCCCACATGTCAGGCCACCAAGGCTCCACCAGGGTGATGGTCGTCTCTCGAGTTACATAGCTCCTGGGTCCATCTCAACAGATGTTATCAATTCACCTACCTATACAAGCAATACTTTCAGGATAAACATCTATTGTCTCGTGTTTTTTGATTCTGTGCATACGTGACTCATCGGTCCTGGTTGTTCTAACTTCGCTACTGCCGTACAGCCTCTGAGCAATTGGCTCTGAACATCAAACCCTCCTAAGCCAATCCTCCAATCAATCTCAACTATCATTCTTGCTTCAAGCAGTCGGTAATTGACTGTCCAACATATTCCACGTTCTCTCTGTTAAGGCCAGCAATTGATATGCGAGAGTTGTCCGCCATGTAGATATGATATTTCTCTAATGTCGCCAAATGTCAGTAAGTCATTAAAAGAGCAATTCTCGAGGAAGAACGAACCGCGAAGCTTTAGCACAACGCTTGGAGACAATCCCAGAAACCCAAACATTCCAGACTGACGGATCAGGTGATCCCAGGTTCCAGGTGCGCCTAGTCAGGTCAGAGAAGATTCTTTGGTCGCATACTTCGGACACACGATGCTTACCGGAGGCCACCAGGCTATCATATAGTTCGGTCCTCATCGAGCGAATTCGGCTGCTCATGGTGACCAGATCGTCATGCCAAGCCCCCTGAGGGTAGCATCGGCTAATATGGTGCTCGCAATCTTTGCACCATATGCCGGGGGATTTGAGACTTCAGAACGCTGAAGCATTTCAAGCATTGATTGTGTCTTGACGGCCGCCTCTTCAGTGCTGGTTGCCAGTAAAAAGCAGCCAACCCGTTCCCCTATCAAATGTTATTATCATTTCGACCATGAACTGACCGTGGCACACTAGATACCATAAAGACCCATATTTTTGGCAAAAGATAGACAAACTCCAGCTTCCAAATTCATCTCCTCGATAAATAGCCGAATGGCAAAGGCATCATTATCAACATGACCGGAGTTGAACCCTAGATAGGCAGCATCAAAAAGTGGAAATAACTGCCTTTCTTTAAAGAGGCGGGCAAGTTCTTGCCATTGCTCCTTGCTCGGATCACATCCTGTTGGGTTGTGTGCACATGCGTGGATGATGAACACAGAATCTGGCTCGGCCGATTTTAATGCCGAATAATAAGAATCGATGTCTAAATCCTTTGTCTCTGGGTTGTAGTATCTGAAAGATTGACATTGGAATCCAAGAGACGAGAATACTTGATGGTGGTTCGACCATGTGGGCTCAGGAATGTATACTTTCGGAAGAGGCGTCTTGCAAGCTCTTAGCAACAGTCCAGCCAAGTGCAGTGCTCCCGTACCAGAGAGACTTTGACAGGTCGCCAGCTATTTATACATCAATCAGTTTTGGATCTGTTCAATGCTGTGACAACGGAGTTGGGGTTGCTGTTACTTTGTCCTCTTGCTTTTGAAATAACTCTGAGCCTAGTGCTAACTTCGCAGCCTCTTTGCGGAAATCAGCCAGGCCGACAATCGGAAGATATTCGTGATTCAGCTCTTGTGCTAGTAGCTTCCGACTCTCGCGGACCGAGGGAAGAACCCACGAGTTCCCATGCTCGTCACGATATGTACCCTGGCCCAAATTGACTTTCTTGGGAGATTTGTCTGCTACATACTGGGCAGTCAATGCAAAGATTACATCAGGTGGAACGAAACGAGCCTGGTCAAACCACGACTGGGTAGTAATGTTCCGAGTGATGGGTTCAGATGTCATTTTGTAAGATCGGCTCAAATTAGGAGTGCGACGGAGAGATTGCATGGTGAATCTGGGCTCTTATTTAGTATTAAACAAAGCTGTACACCTATGGGCATCATACTTGACGTGATATCGTTCTCGGGTTCCAGGCCGAGTGACCCAAACACCCCTCTGCATTCACAATCCACTTGAGTAAATGATTTTATGTAGGTCGGAGATAGGACCGGTCAAATAAACTACATAGATACAAAGACATTTGATTCGTTGATCGGGTGAGGGACCCGAGAGTGGACTCATTTAGGTTGGTGGTCTGTGGACGAGATTGGCTTCGTCGGTGTCGGCATCCGACATTGGCAGTTCGAATATCAAAACAGCGGCCAAACAGCTGAAATTAATCGGAGATATTACCGTCTGCCCCTCATTTCGATCCGAGAGGGGGGGTATCTCATCAGATATAGATACCTTATAAGAGTTGTACTGGGACTACTAGGACTGCTAGCATTTGTACAGACGCAACCACCCAGTACCTACTTCAATACATACTTCTACAACCTCAACAATGGGTTCTCACGGCGTTTCTCCCCAACCTCACGTCCCTTCAGCAGGAGTCTGGTGCCCCGCGGTCACTTTTTTCCACCGTGACACCGACTCACTAGACCTCGACTCTCAATCCAAGTACTTTTCCTATCTATCCACAACCGGACTAGCAGGCCTAGTAATCCTAGGAACCAACTCAGAGGCCTTCCTCCTCACCCGCGAAGAGCGATCCCAGCTCATCTCAACTGCACGAGCCGCCGTTGGACCCGATTTCCCATTGATGGCCGGTGTGGGCGCACACTCAACCAAGCAGACCCTAGAGCTCGCACAAGATGCCGCCGACGCGGGCGCCAACTACCTCCTCGTCCTTCCTCCCGCATATTTCGGCAAAGCCACCAACATGAACGTAGTGAAGCGCTTCTTTTCCGAAGTCGCAGCCAAGGCACCTCTCCCCGTGGTGATATACAATTTCCCCGGTGTGTGCAACGGGGTAGACATGGACTCCGATACCATTACCGCGATCGCACGCGAGTCCGCAGCCAGTGGACGGTCGAATGTGGTGGGAGTCAAGTTGACCTGTGGATCTGTGGGGAAGATCACCCGGCTAGCTGCAGCGTTTACACCCGAGGAGTTTGCGACTTTTGGTGGGCAGTCCGATTTCCTGATTGGTGGATTGGCTGCGGGGAGCGTTGGGTGTATTGCGGCTTTCGCCAACGTCTTTCCTAAAGTGACGGCACGAATCTACGCTTTGTATCAGAAGGGTCAGATTGAGGAGGCTGTGGTGCTTCAAAGAAAGGCCGCGTTAGCCGAAAGTGCCATTAAAAGCGGTATTGCGTCAACTAAGCATGCGGTGGCTTGCTACTCTGCCAAGTTGGCAGGGATCCAGGATGCAGCAGCGAACTTGGCTCCTCGACACCCTTACGAAGAGGTGGGAGAGGGGGCTAAAGTCGCGGTCCGAGAGGTGATGGCTGAGGTTTCTGAGATTGAGAAGAGTCTGTAATGAGCTATTATCAATGTCAGCATCAGTTCTTAGTTGGGTTTTGACCATTCAATTGTGTACGGAGTAGAAGCGATCCTTTATCAAGTCCAAGGTTAATCCCAGCTAATCACGCCTCATCACGGCGCTAGTTTATCTCACACGTCTTCTAATCGTCCCAATGGGCGTTGGATACATCTGATAGTATCACACCGATATATGTTCATCCCGGGGTCATTTGGTCACCGGTCTATTATATTCATAATAGAAAAGAGACATTAGCTCATGTATAGTACATAAATAATAGCTCTTTATGCATATACGCCAATGAACCTCGGCTTAATCCAAAAAAAATCTCTTCTCTTCAGAAACATCGGCCCAGCCGAAAGTCGATTACTGATCGGGCCGGGACTAAGTGGAGCCTGTCTGGGCACTCGACGACATCGAAGCCAATGAAAAGACTCTTCTACTTTATTTCTGCTCTTTTTCTCTATCTTGCTCGAATCTTTTCTTTTCTTATGGAGTCGAAAAAATGCAGCTTATTATTCTATGGCCCCCACTATAACTAAAAGAAGCAGTCTCTCCGAAGTTGGTTTTTCCTTCGTTGATAAATCACTTAAATATTACTCCTAATAGAATAGAATAAAGGTCTAAGATCTCCTAGAAATTATTTTTTTACATATCTTACTTGAATCGCATTCCAACGCAGATCGTACGCAGATCGATATGGAGGGCTCCGAGACGGCCAACTCCCTGCAGTTGCCAACCTCCATCCCATTCTGGCGACTCATTCTCAACCCCGGTGCTATCACCCAAGAAGTTGCGGACCATCCTTACGATGGATCAGGGACTGAAGAAGATCCTTATGTCGTGCAATGGATGCCCAAGGACTTTCGAAACCCTCTCCAGTTAAAACCATCCATGAAATGGTTCATCACCGTGGTCGCCGCCATGGAGACCTTGGTCGTTGCTCTGGTCTCGTCAGCGTACACCGGTGGTCTCGTTGAAATTAGACAAGAATTCGGCGTAACCACCGAGATTGGCACATTGGGAGTATCCCTGTATGTCCTGGGCTTTGCCTTGGGTCCTTTGATCTGGGCCCCAATGAGTGAAATGTTTGGTCGCCAGCTCGTCTTCGTCACAACCTACTGCGGCCTGACTACCTTCTGTGCCGCTTGTGCGGGCGCAAAAAATATCGAGACCATGCTAATCTTCCGATTCTTGTCTGGCGCTTTCGGTTCATCTCCCCTTACCAACTCGGGCGGTGTTATTGCCGATATGTTCATGGCTCGCGAACGTGGACTGGCCTTGTCGGCCTTTGCCTTGGCTCCATTCCTAGGACCTGTCATTGGGCCTATCGCTGGTGGCTTCCTGGGTGAGTCTAGCGGTGGCTGGAAGTGGGTAATGGGTCTCTTGGGTATCCTCTGTGCTGTTATGTGGATTCTAGGAGCTGCATTGAAACCGGAGACCTATGCCCCCGTTCTACTTCGCCAGCGCGCAAACACTCTCTCCAAACTTACAGGCAAGGTCTACTGCAGCAAGTTGGATATCGATCAGGGTCGTCTTACTTTGAAAGCGGCTATGAAAATCTCTCTCTCGCGACCTATGATTCTTCTTTTCAAAGAACCTATCGTCTTACTACTCTCTATCTACCTTGCTATCATCTACGGAACCCTTTACATGCTTTTCGGCGCCTTCCCAATTGTATACCAGATCCATCGTGGATGGAGTCAAGGTATCGGCGGCTTAGCTTTTATCGGTGTCATGATTGGTATGCTCGGTGCCGTGGCATATTCAATTCCTGAAAACAAGCGCTACGCGAAGCTCCTCGCAAAGAATGGCGGATATGCGCCCCCAGAAGCCCGCCTTCCACCCTGTATGGTGGCCTCGATTGCCCTCCCTATCGGACTCTTCTGGTTCGCATGGACCAACGATCCATCCGTCCACTGGCTCGCAAGCGTCGCTGCCGGAGTTCCCTTCGGCTTCGGAATGTTGCTCGTTTTCCTTAGTGTCTTCAACTACCTGATCGATGCGTACACCATCTTCGCCGCATCTGTCTTGGCAGCTAACACTCTGCTGCGGTCGTTGTTCGGATTCGCATTCCCACTGTTCACCACCTACATGTACCAAGATCTGGGAATTCATTGGGCATCCTGTATTCCAGCTTTCCTGGCTCTTGCATGCGTGCCTTTCCCATTCCTGCTTTATAAATATGGATTGTCCATCCGAAACCACTGCAAGTACGCTGCACAGTCCGAGGCCTTTGTTCAAAACCTTCTTCGTGGCCTCCAAAAGGCCAATGAGCAGCCTGCTGAAACGGAGCCTGAGAAGCGCCCTTCCACATCGGACGATGAGGTCGCACCCCTCCCTCACATCAAGGAGACCTCCGCGGATGTCAACTCCATTCATCACACTCTTTCGCGCACTTCCACCAATGCTACCCACCCCATCCAGCGCGTGCCCACTTACGAGGCCAACCCATACAATATCGACCGTGTGCACACACGGGAATCTTTCCAATAATGCAAGACATCGATCATAGAGGACATCGATCATAGAAGGGGGGTCTGGGCGTTTCGATGGACGTCTAGGCGTACCAGAGGGAAAGGTGCAGTCTTTTGGACTTCACGCTTTCCAGCTTTAATGTTGCATTACTTCGTCTTTTGCTCTTTTTTGTCAAGTTACATATACCATAGATCGCGTTGAATATTAATCATAATTGCACTTCAAGATGTCGTGATCTTGTGTCATTCAATCATTTTTTCAGTTCTTCAGCGGTAGAGAAAACTATGTTCTATACAACGCACTTGAAACTTCTGAGATAGAATCACGATTTTATTCGAACTATACGTGGAGAAAATGAACAATAAATAGTCATCATTAATCATCATTGATAATCCATCCTTAGTACCCTGTATTGCTTGTGTTCATGTATCACACATTTCATCAAACAACAACCCAACCCCCTTTTAGTGCACACCATTGGTCAATCCATTAGTAACCCCATTGGTCACGCCGTTAGTGAGTGCGTTGATTTTATCAAGAGGTACTCCGGGTGGCACTCCAACTGAGATAGTGCTCCTCTTTCTGGGTCGCTCCGGCGCAGTCCAGATAGAACCATCATCAAGCAGCCCTTGGCCCAAAGCAAGCGTCTTGGACGGTTCTTCGCCCAGCCATTCGGTCTCCAGTCGCTCGATGTTCTGCTCAATTTCCCAAGCACGACCACCTTCAATGAACATAGATGTTCCGTTGAGAGTCTGATCTGACAAAACGCTGGTGGCTACAGTGGCAACCTGCTCAGGGGTATTGATGGGAAGATTGGCCTGCTTCCACTGCGTCTCAACCTTTTTGATGCTATCGGTCTGGGTCACCCAAGGGCAGACGGTGTTGATGCGAAGATAGTGCTTGTATGGAGAGGAGATGTAGTTTCGTAGGGAACGCATGAGACCAGTGACGCCGTGCTTGGAGGCTTGGTATATGAAGAGAGATGGGCTGTCTTTGAAGCCGGAGACGCAGGAGAATAGGAGAATCGACCGGTCGCAGTTGGAGCCGCGGTTATGGCGCAAGTAAACGGAGGCGATTCGGGTGACATACATGGAACCGAGGAGATTGACATCCATTACTTTGTGGGTGGGGGTCTTGAGATGGGATTTGCCGTTAGATGTTTTCCAAAAAAAAAAAAAAAAAAAAGGTCCAACCAAGAAAGATCAGGGTTGTTATCCAATTGGAACAGCTTACCTGGCGGACTGTCTCTAGAGTGAGTGAAGTATCGAACCAATTCCCTATTTCCACAATACCAGCGGCGGAAACGACATGATCAATGCGCTTATAGGTCTTGAAGGCCAGATCAAACAACGCCAATACCGATGGGTAGTCAGTGACATCGGTGGTCTGGAAAATCGCGCGCGGGGGCATGTCTTCTTCCTCCGGGCGGAATTTTTCACAGCATTGCTTGAGTAGACGCTCGCCGGAGATGTTATCAAGATCACCAATGCATACATTGGCGCCACTCTCCAAGCATTGTTTCACCAGGCTCGAACCAATGCCATTGGCACCACCTGTATATGGTGAGATAAGATCAGAGCGAAGAGACCAGAAGCGTTCAACATACCTGTGATGAGAACGACCTTTTTGGCCAGGCACTTGGTGGGAATGCTGGGGATATATTGCGACATTGGGGAGATCGGTGGAGAGATGGTGGATCAATAGAGATGATCGTGGGGTAAAAGTAAGTAGGACAGATAAGCCAAAAGAATTGTTGACTGCGGACCATAAGCAGGCTTTTATATTTGTGAGTTACCTGTTAAGCCATCGGGGTCCAAGTACACAATTTCTGTACAAAGTCCTAATCAGACCAACAGGGAGGGGAACGAAGGGAACGAACCAATCCGTTTGGATAACACCTTTTCCCTCAGCTATGGCATTGCAAATTCATGAAGGCCCCGGAGATAACAGGTAACTCAGCCGAGGGCCAAGGATGCATTGCCCAGGCTGGCTCCATGGGCTTTTTTTCCCGTAAGCAAATGAGCGATTGCGTAGGCAACCGGGCTGACGGGAAAGACCAGTAATATAAGAAATCACTATGGTCTGATGCGGGGAGGGGAGCCAATGACGCTGGTGTGCAGATTGAAAATGCGAAGCCAAAGCAGCCAAAGCACACAGACGCGGGAGGAAACTAGACTAGCAAGTTAGCATTGGCCCCGGCTTATACCAGGTCTTTCGGAATTCTGTGATCCGTCAGCTATTTGTCGCTCCCCAGTCACCCAGCCTGGACACTGTTGACAAGTGATGCGCGATAATGAAGATATCTGCTCCACTTGCTCGACAATCGGATCGACTATAAATGATGTATGATGTACATCGTAGGAACTGGGGTGCATATGCGGGAACGGCAAGTCAGCGGGGGAAACAAAAGTACACTCCACAACGCAAGTTCTGATGAATTAGGCCTATCGTACATGCAACACAATTTCACTCCTATCCAATATACAAGCCAGAAAAAAGAAAATCATAGATGCCATTGCAAACATGGGGAATACAGAGAGCATGAATATCAGAACATTCAATCCAAGGACCGAAAATACCAATGCAAGCCAAAAGAGAGATATGTACAACTGGCTATGCATAGATAGGTCTAGCGTCGGGAGACACAGCATAAGATACCAGACTTGCCCAGGAACCAAAGGGATCCAATAAAGCGGAAAATCGACAGACCGGCGGTCGTCCACAGGATCGCGGCGAAGTACTTAGAGGTACGGACGGTAGAAGTGTTCTGTACAGGTTAGTGTGTGTCACATCATTGAGTGAGAGGAGATACATACTGTGAGACAAAGACGGGTAACTCCTTCACTGGTGATACACAAGGCAAGGATCAGATTACTGAAAATCCAAATCAACACCAGGTTGGTTCGGAAAGCTTTGTAGCCGTCGTCCATGCTTGGTTCATCGTTGTCTTCAGGCTCCACATACGGCTCCAGTGCTCGTTTGACTGTCGATTCAAATTGACTATCGATATCGGCCTGCGGCTTATCGACTTCTTCGATGAAATTCGACTTGGCGTCATCCTTCTTCGTCTCAGCAACGGGAAGTGAATCACCCTTGTCTGATCCCTTCGTGCCCCAGGAAACGTCATGCCAATTGCAGAAAGCGTAGACCATCAGGATATTGATCGAACAGGTCATGCCAGCAAAGTATGCCCAGGAGGACGTGAACATATGCCAAGGATCCATGTACAAGAAACTTGCGAGGAAGTAAATGCCATAAGTCGAAACCAAAGCGATCAAGACGATACCCGCCCCAGCAGAACTGAAGAAAGACTTGATAAAGTGGCCAACACCTTCGTCCATAGAGAAATCAAGTGTGCCTCCAGTGAACGCGTTCTTGACAAGGTAGAACGATAGAACGATGATGTAAGTTTGAAGGATACTGAAGTAGACGAACGAAAGCGTGTATGCAAGACGGGAACTGTTTTGAAAGTCAGATTGACACTGCAAGTTGATTCCTTCAAATTTTGACTTACCCCTTCGGTCGATTTCCTAGCGCCAGGATAAATTGCAGCATCAAGAAGAATATGTATCCATATTTCAGGAAGTTGTTCACGATTGGTGTGGCGTCGTTACCAAAAGGCCATCCATGATCCTTGTTGGCGCTACTAGGAGTCCCAACAAGATCCATGATGACAGTAGTAGTCAGCCAGAATGAGGCTAGGGTGTTGTAAGTTAGTCAAAAGATTTATCGTAGAGCATCAGATTCAAGACATACCGAGAGAGAACCAGGTCATCACAAGACCCATAAAGTTGTAGGTCATCTGGATATGTAGGAAGAACAGCCGTAGGATATTGTGGCCACTCTTATAGATTCGTCCGAAATGCATCATTGCATACAAACTGGCAGCGAATGAACCGTTCAACCAACGACGTCGCTGACTGATAAACTCGGCTGCGCCCTCTGGTACATCGGTCTCTCCCTTTGACGCTTTGACGTAGGTGAGATGCCATTTGAATCCAGCTTTTGCGACAAGCTCGAAACACAAGATACGGTCCTCGGCAAGGAACATATTCTTTTTGAAAATGTTCATACCCTCGATACCCTTCTTGCCTAACTGTTTTGAGAGTGTATGATCACCGTGGAAGTACTGCTCCAAGGGGCGACCCATGATAGCGCGGTAGCGGTACGCGGAAAAGGCACCGGGTAACACGCTGACGTACCCGAAGGCACTCTCTAGCGGTTTATCGAGAATATTAGAGATCTTGTACTCGAAGTTCTGTGCGGCGACGAGGGGATTCATCAAGTTCTTCCACCCTTTTCCTAACATTGCGTGAATCTCACCGCAAGATCCACCCAAGTTCTTATCGTTATAGAACGACTCCCATAACGCAAGGAGTGATTTTTTACCCGGCTTAGTTCCAGCATCAATAAGAATCACAACTTCGGGGTTGAGGATTCGACTGAAGCCGTTGAAAAGCCAGCGGTGAGAGTTGATCTTCTTACTGTTCTTCTGCTTGAGGCAGAAAATCATTTGAACAGGGGGAAGGTTTGACGACTCGTTTCCTTGTGGCCGGATCAATTGTTGGTTTGAGGTGACAGAGAGTTGAGTGGTGTATTCGAACTAAGTTTAGTTAGTGAATTTTCCTCGACTTCAAAGACACCGGGATAGAGCGATATGTATTCCGCCGAGGCAAATGGAGAGGATTTTGGGAACTCACAATGTGTGCGACGGTTTCCCGGCCATCGACAGAACGCTTCATGATGCCATCTTGGTAAATACCAACTGTGGCCAGCAAGTCGAGGGTATTTTTGTCGCAAGGATCAATACCGTCAAAAACTAAGGAGCACACGATCTTCTGCCAGGCCGGGCCACCTTTGTTCCAGAATTCAGACTTCTTCAAATTGACGATATCTCGAATATTCTGCATGACACCGTGAAGTGTTCGCGCAGTCAAAACTTTATCTTCATTGTAATAGGTGATGGCAATCAGAAGCTCGGTGTGTCGGTTGTACATAGCCGGTCGCAGATTGTATCCATTACGTAGAGTGAACTCATCGGGGTCACAGGTGGCCGCGGTGTCTGTATAGGATTAGCTCCAGTCGCATCACCAATATTTCACATGAAAACTCACAACGCAGGTGAGTGAATTCTTCTGGGAAACCCTCCTCCGATTCCCGGTACTCCTTCTGAATCGCGTTCTGAATGGCACTCGGGACTGGGTAGTCTACACTGAGGACAGAGCCCTGGACCAGTTTAATCTTTCGCGTAGCATAACGCCGCAGCCCTGACCCAGGCGCCTGTCGATTTTGCCAGGCTTCTGACGGAGTCTCGGACATAGGTGACTGAATACCCGACGGAATACCCGAGCGACGATTGAGACCTCCCGCGGACTCTTGGTATGGACCATCGGGGAAAGCAGTGACGCCGGGATCATGTAGTGTGTAACGACGGAGGGAATCGCTCGAGGCATATGGGTCATCGAAGGGTGCATTGAATGGGCTAGGCTGATTGCGGTAGAGCAGAGACTGCTGGCTGTCGATGTTATCGGGCTTATCCTCGTAACCGTACGATTGCTGTTGAACCAACTGCGTTAGCATCCACTGCTGCCTTGATGGCTCTATTCCGTTTTTCGTTTCGGATAGCTTATCACTCACTTCGCGTGGGCCATACAGGCTAGTCTCGCTTGCCTGAGGTGAATGAGATGAGTTGCCGGAATGAGGTGAATGAGGCGATGTGCCTCTCTGAGGGAAAGACATTATGCGTGGTTCTCGTGTTCTCCAGATTTGGTGGAAAGTAAAAGAGATCTAGCCGGCGGGGTGGTATCTCAAGAATCGAAAAAAAAAATATGGAGGTTATAATCCAGGTACGATCCGGCGCCTCAATGGCAACAGCGCAACAGCGCAGCAATGATCTCTTGAGGTATGTTGGAAACAAGGTGTCCCAGCCGATCTGACCAGAGATCGAACCTATGTGAGAAACAATATGAGACCTAAGTAAAACAGAGCGAGTGTGGTTCAAAGAGAGATGTGTAGGAGAATGTCCCCAGTGTTATCGACTATCCAGGAGATATTTTTGGTGCAGAATTTGATTGGAGGTGCCAATGATGCGGGCTGTGAAAGGGCGACTTAGGTGGAACCCCAGCCCATCAGTAATTGCCGTTCGTCATCCACCCTTTTTAGGACCCACCAAGGAGCCCCCCCGTCCGAGACAGGGCATACATATGTATTGGGCATTGCCAACCGTATTTCCCCTGCGTATGCATCGGATAATCATTGGGGGCTGCGACCACCATGGACCCAACCACCGAATGATATTCCCCTTAATCATAATTCTCTCGATATCCAAGGTACAATATACGGCTGTGCGGGTACGAATTTGACTCTCTGTGTGATCAGCGCTTTGCTGCAACGAACATAACTCGTCGAACATGTAAAAAGCTGCGGGTCAACGACGCAATGCGCCATGACATTGGTCAACAGACGTCTTCTATGACCCATCACAGGCTCCCCCAATTAATACCCGTATCCCCTTTTACCATCCGAAACACCCCCTGAGGGACAGATCTTGGATCTCTGTACGGAGAATATGCTCCATGCTCACAAGGACAGGCCCTGCAGAGGCTTCTTCGCCAAGCAATCACAGCATGGCGGCTGGGGGTGGCGACTGCTGGAGATGACGACAAGGCGTCAGGAAACGATCGGCCGTAACTTCCAGGGGGCTGAATTCTGAATCTGCGACTGGTCCACGCGGTTCCACCTATCCAGCCATCGTTATAAATTGGGTATGTGGGGAATAAAATAGAAAAAAAAGAATAGCGCTACCACAGCAACAGAGGGACATGCCGTCCGAGGTAATGCGTGTCATGTGTTGTCCATAGGTCACGTGCCAGGCATGGTATACGTGTACACAACTGTAGTCCATTTCTTTATGCTCTACATCTAAAAAGTACAACACACAAACTATACTCCATAAATATAGCTGCCTTGAATATCGTTTATTTTTAGATTTTTGAACCCTAGTTTTACTCATTTAAGTAGACACGCTTGCAAAGTCTAATGTTGAATTCTGTCTGTTTCTCATCAGCAATATATATCTTGCTCCGTACACTAGTTGAAGCCCATATATGTCTTTCACTTCTTGTACATGATGTAACCTCTTTTTTTAGGCTAAAATTCTTTGTTTTTTTGTTGTGTAAGCAGCATTGTTTCTACTGAGGTTCTCCTCCAAGCTACCTCTCGGCCCTCGCCCGATACTCGGACTTCACTGCGAGCGCCGGTTCAAGAAGATGGAAACTGCTATACATTGCACACTAAGAACTTGACCGACAAGCCTAGTGTTGACTAACATTGGTTTGCTAGATCCCTGCGAATTTCAACCATATGGAAATTCGACCATCTATGTACTCCTTACCGGTAATCTAGCACCGGGTTGTTAGGCCTTGCCCGAGGTTGATATCCCAATGCCGGAACAACATGCGGGGTAAATGATCTAGTGATCTAGTTTGAACTTTTACAGGGCTTTAAATTCTCACCCGGATATCTTGCATTCGATCAAAATCGAACTATCTCTCTGCAATCTTCGCGTAACAATGTCGTCCCAGAGACCTGCATTCGATGCTCTACCTTTGCGCAAAGATGGACCTCCAGGGAATGCTTGGGGGATGTTTGGGGATCGAGATCAGATGGGGATGCTCAATCTATTGACGCCGGAGAACACCACTGCAGCTGCCCGCGAGATTGTTGAGGGTGTGCGTGTTTCGACAGATTGGGCTCTCAATAGCATGGCAACCCCATGCTTTGGACGATCTGCCTTTGAGCATACCATCAAGAACAAGGCCCCGCGGGTAGTCAACGATGATATCTTGGTCTTTAACACACAGAGTAGCAGCCAGTGGGATGGCTTCAGACATTATGGATCAAAGCAAGGAACTTTCTTTAATGGGTGTACCCAGGACGACATTCAGAATTCTACTCGAAATGGCATCCACGGTAACTCCTTCCGCCTTTGAAATATCAGAATTTCACTGAACATTCTTCAGTATGGGTCGAAAATGGCGGGATTGTTGGACGGGGCGTTCTCTTGGACTATGCGGGCTGGGCAGAGGCGAACGGGAAAGAAGTTAGTTGCTTTAAAACCCAGTCAATTCCGGCTTCTGTACTCCAGGAGGTAGCTGCTAGTCAGAATACCACATTCCGACCGGGAGATATCTTGTTTATTCGTACGGGTTGGACTCGAGCGTACGAACAGCTGTCGCAGGCGGAATGCCAGCAACTGGCCGACTATGCAGCACCTCCAGTGATTGGGGTAGAATCATCCGAGGCCATGCTGCGCTGGATTTGGGATCTTGAACTAGCCGCCGTGGTGGGAGATATGCCGAGCTTTGAAGCTTTTCCATGTCAGAGTCAGGAGTTCTTTCTCCATGAATGGTTGCTGGCAGGCTGGGGCATCCCAATTGGAGAATTATTTGATCTCGAGCAGCTCAGCCAGGAGTGTCGCAAGAGAGATCGTTGGACCTTTTTCTTTAGTAGCGTGCCATTGAAGGTGTGTGTTGACCTCGTACTCTCCTCCGGTTCCCAACTAACCACGTTGTTTCAGGTTCCTGGTGGGGTTGCAAGTCCCCCAAATGGCGTGGCTATATTTTGATCATAACTTCGCCTCTGCCCTTTGTCGCTGATCATATTCTGCCAGTCTAACTCTCTGGAGATAGCGCAGAATGCAAGTGGGGTGGTGTTGGCAGTAAGCGCGCCCCCCTCCTTAAATAAGCTTGAAAGTCATGGAGATATCAGAATGCACCTTCTTTTACCAAGACACCTTTATAACAGACATGACACAAGAGTAATATCAATACCTAGGTACCTAGGTATGTCTTCATCGTACCACATGGCCCTGGGGGAAGTCGGGCCGAAAAGATAAGAAGGGAAAAAGCGGAGAAACCGGGGCTTTCCGTCCCGGTCTGAGTGTGTCATTCTACAACGCTTCACTCCTATCTGTGTGCAGGTCGAAACAGATCATAATAGATCTGAGATCGAGCCTCAAAGAATATGGTCCTTGGAAATGCAGGTATCTCGCGCCAGACAGAAGACCGCTCAAGAAGGTCGATGGTAGCTTGTAACCGCTGTCGTTCTAGAAAAACTCGCTGCGCCGGCAATCCACCCCACCCTTGTGCAGCATGCGTGGATGCGGGCAAGAATTGTGTATATTCGGAGGCTGAAAAGCGAGTCTCCATAACCGAGAGGTAAAGTAGGTCCGGGGTCGTTGAAGAGTCAATGCTGACTCTTTTGCAGCTATTATCGTCAACTACAAGCGCAAGCTCCTGCGTCGCGAGGTGGGTTTTTCGTACCTAGGTAGTCATTTGGACGCAATTTAACCATATAGAATAGAAGGTAGTAATCCAACGCCATTAAGTGAGCCATCGATATCCAATCGCTACTCTGAGGGGCCACCAGAACGCGACGACTGGTGGTACAAAGGGACAGACAACTTGTTCTTGAATCGTCTGGGAGAACATCGTACGTGTTCAGCGGCGAAATGTTTTGTTTTATCATATTTTTGCTAATCTTTCTTCAGATTTCGTGGGTGCCTCATCCACCACACATCTCGCGAAACGGCTGAATCCCGGCTCCACAAATCTTGCATGGGATGTACGCCCACTTTACGATGACCCTTCATCACTGAAAAGATCAATTGGCGGCTCATTGCCTCAGTTACCACCTTTTGAGTTTGCGAAACGACTATTCTGGGTGCAATACGCTTACATCGGTACCATTTTCTCTCTTATTCAACCCATGGAGTTTGAAGAACGGCTCGATCTAGTCTACCACCAACCACTTGACTTTTCACAACGTGAATCTTGTCTAGTATACTGCCAAACACTCCTAGTCATATCTTTTGGCTTGATGTATAGTGTGAATCAGTGGATTGGCGAGGAAGGTCCTCCAGGTTTCAAATATTTCAAACATGCATTACGATTCTTGCCAGATATTCACGAAGAAGGCTCGATTCTCTTTGTTGAGGTGTTATGCTATGTGGCATACTATATGCAGAATCTGAACAGACGGGACGCTGCTTTTCTCTATGTATGTATTACTTCCGCTGACCACCCGCTGCACCGCTAACGACATCAGATCGGACTTGCTCTGCGCATGGCTATCTCATTAGGCTTACATCAAGAGGTGTCTGACCCCTCAATAAGTGAAGGAGATCGTAACCGTCGACGTCGGGCTTGGTGGTCTGTTTATAGCTTGGACCGGTAATTTGACACCCCCAGTTCTTCGAAAACAAGACTCACACTCATGAACAGGCTACTTTCGGTCAAGTCTGGCAATCCTATTACAATCCACGATGGAGATATTGGGATAACTTGGCCCACAACTGTGGTATGTTGCCCTCCATAGGATACCCACAAAGGTATCAGCTGATTTTCTTTCTTCCGTTTAGGGTGGACCGAACTTCGATCCATGGCCATCGACCGTTCTTACCCATTATACACAACTGTCTCGTATATTGGGACGGATTGGAGAAGGTAAAACCCCTCCCTATTTCCCTCGCATGACAAGCTGACCTAGATGACTGCATCAGAAATCTACAGAAAGAAACCTGGATCTGGATCCAACCTCGTTGCTTCTGTACAGAGTATCACAAATGACCTTTCTAGATGGCTGCGGCAGGTACCAGACAGGCTCCGTATTGATTTCACTACACTCGATACCCATATCAATCGAGAGTCTGTTTCGATCAATCTGCACTTCTACTCATGTGTGAACATGACTGCACGCCCGTTGGTCTTTTATGTTATTCAACGGCGACTCGACGCAGAAGTCCTTGGATCAGCAACAGAAGATTGGAAAGAAGGGCTGGCCTCCAATACTGTGGCCGTCATTGACAGCTGCATTACAGCAGCGCGCGCAACCACTGTCATCATGGATGCAGCTGCAAAACATAATCTCGTTGGTAGGCGATCGCTCTACAACCCCCATTTCTTCTGTCATGAAATCATCTGATTAAACGAATTTTCTAGCTACATATGGATACCTCGATGGCGAATATATCTTCTCCGCTGCACTTCTGCTGGTCATGGTGAATGCCGCGTTTCCACCCAATGAAACCAACGCCCGGGCCATGGAGACGGCACTGAATCTTCTTCGCGGTATGGCAGATCGCGGAAACACATATCTGGACTCACGGCACACATTGCTATTGGAATTAAGAGCAGCTATTGGGCCTAGACGCCCCGAAGAAAAGGATCCTGATATGGAAAATCCTCTTGCTGCAGGTCAAAAGGGCCCCGTGACGCCGATGACTGAAAACGGCGCAAATGTATCAGAAACTGTTCCAGTCTCGGGCGCAGAGCTGGCAGCTTCGCAAGTGCTTACTTATAACTGGCCACAGCAGCCAGATCTCCCCTCTTTCCGGGATATTGCCTTCCAGTTTGATCTAAACGATGATCCAGCACTCTGGGAAGGGGCTTTGGATCAAATTGACATTGACATGGACACCGACTGGATTGAGAATACTTTAAAGCGATAGGAACAAATGTAAATAGTTCAAAATAATTTCAATGGCTGTATTGTGTGCTTAGTACTTAGTACATACTAGTATTGGATATAGCTTATACTATATCTGCAGGATGGGCATAAATTGGTGCCTGAGGCCTACATCTATGACTTGCATGGATTTCTCCGCAAAATGCTATTATAATTCCTCTTCTTATTAGCTCAGACATGAGCCCCTATCTTCCCCTCCATTCTCTATCCAAACCCCGCGGCTTATCAAACTGTGGAGGTGCCGGCCCGACAAAGCCGAAATAGGAGCCATCGGCCCGACACGTGACATGCATCTAATGGGTAAGATGGAGGTGATCATTGGAGATGTGCTGGGGTATCGGGACGAGCTTTGTGACATAAATGAATAAGGATCCCTTCTGACCATCTTTGTCTGTTGTTTTTTTCTTTCCTTTTCTTATACCCACCTCGTATCTTCCCACTCACACTAGTCACAATGTCTGACTCAGGGAAGATCACCATCTCTATCGATCGTGGTGGCACATTTACCGATGTCCACGCGATTCAACCTGGCCGCCCTGACATTATCCTGAAGCTTCTCTCTGTCGATCCTTCTAACTATCAAGATGCTCCAACCGAGGGTATCCGCCGCATTCTAGAGTTGGCTACCGGGGAGTCACATCCCCGAGGCCAACCATTGAAACTCGACCGTATTGGTTGCCTACGCATGGGCACAACCGTTGCAACTAATGCTTTGCTCGAGCGCAAGGGCGCTCGCTCAGTCCTCTTCACCACCAAAGGATTTAAAGATTTATTAAAGATTGGCGATCAATCTCGCCCAGCCATTTTTGACCTATCAATGGCTCGCCCCGGAGTTCTCCCGGAGAGTGTCGTCGAGGTGAACGAACGTGTGTTGTCATGCCATCCTTCTGCGGACAGCGATTGCTTCTCCGATTGTCGCATCGTAGAGGGAACTACCGGCGAGAAATTCCGTGTGGTTCAAGAACTAGACATCGCTCAGGTGAAGGCGGAGCTCCAACGGCTGAAGGAGCAAGGAATTCTGTCAATCTCTGTGGCGCTTTTGCATTCCTACGCCTACCCTGAACACGAGCGTCAAATCGGCGAGCTCGCTCAAGAAATGGGATTCTCAGTTACCCTTTCTTCAAAACTTCAACCCATGATTAAGATCGTGCCTCGTGGCATGTCGGCCGCCGCCGATGCCTACCTGACACCTGTTATCAAGACATACATCGACTCTATCTCCTCCAGCTTTGAGGGTGGCTTAGAGAGCCAGCAGGATTGCCGATTTGAGTTCATGCAATCAGATGGTGGACTGGTCGATTTCCGCAAATTCAGCGGCCTAAAGGCGATTTTGTCTGGCCCCGCTGCCGGCGTGGTCGGCTTTGCAGCTACCAGCTGGGATCCCACAGAGAAGACCCCTGTCATTGGTTTCGACATGGGTGGTACCAGCACAGATGTCTCCAGATTTGATGGCCACCTTGAACATGTATTTGCATCCAAGGTCGCAGGGGTAATGATCCAGTCCCCTCAGCTTGATATCATCACTGTCGCTGCTGGCGGTGGTTCCATCCTCACTTGGCGCAACGGCCTCTTCTATGTTGGACCTGAGTCTGCAAGTGCTCACCCTGGCCCTGCATGCTACCGCAAGGGTGGCCCTCTCACAGTGACAGATGCCAATCTGTTCCTTGGCCGTCTTCTGCCGGAGTACTTCCCCAAGATCTTCGGCCCCAATGAGAATGAAGCGCTGGACACAGAGACGACTGCACGTCTTTTCAACGAACTTACGCAAAAGATCAACATCGAACGCAAAGAGAAGGGCCAGTCAGAGTTCTCCGCAGAGGAAGTCGCACTTGGCTTCCTCAATGTTGCAGATGAGGCTATGTCCCGGCCAATCCGTAACCTCACGGAGGCTCGTGGCTATGAGACCGCATCTCATCATTTGGCATGCTTTGGAGGTGCTGGTGGCCAGCACGCATGCTCTGTGGCCAAAACTCTCGGTATCTCCCGCATCATCATTCACAAATATTCTTCGATTCTGTCAGCGTATGGTCTTGCTCTGGCAGAGGTTGTCAAGGAGTCACAGGAGCCTGTTTCGTCCGCCTACTTATCTTCACAATCTGCTCTTCTTCAGCACCTCGAGGACTTGTCGTCAGCAGCAACTAAGGATATGGAGTCCCAAGGCTTCACTTCCACCCAAGTGCGCCATGAGAAATACCTGAACATGCGCTACGAAGGTTCCGACACCAGTCTAATGATCCTGAAGCCAGAGAACTCGGAAGATTTCCTGGAGGAGTTCCGCATTCGTCACCGCCGCGAATTCAATTTCAACTCTGACCGACCTGTTCTTGTTGACGATGTTCGAGTGCGAACCATTGCGTCATCCAAGGTGCGCTCCGAGGAAAGTCCCTTGGTTCAATTGAAAGCAGCCAATATGCGAGATGTCGCGACGGCTCCAAACAACACCACTTCGGCCTACTTCGGCGACTCGAGTCGGACCGATACACCAGTTTACCTGCTAGGTGACCTGGAGAAGAACTCCCGCATCTATGGCCCAGCTGTCATCATTGATCAAACTCAAACAATTGTCGTCGCTCCCAATGCAGTGGCAAACCTGCTCGACACATGCGTTGTCATCGATCTCAAGGACGAGCCAACCTCTTCCGGAAGCGCCGTGTCATCGGATATCGACCCTATCAGGCTCACTATCTTTGGACACCGATTCATGTCTATCGCTGAGCAGATGGGTCGTACGCTGCAGAAGACTTCCGTTTCAACCAACATCAAGGAACGACTGGATTTCTCTTGCGCTCTATTCTCCCCCGATGGAGGTCTGGTAGCCAATGCGCCTCATGTACCGGTTCATCTTGGATCGATGCAATTTGCCGTGCGTTATCAGCATGAGAAGTGGCTAGGCAATTTGAAGGATGGCGATGTTCTGGTGGCTAATCACCCCAGTTGCGGAGGTACCCACCTTCCCGATATTACAGTAAGTCTTCTTCACATTGAATATTTTCATTAGAAACTAACCTGTTCGTAGATCATCACACCGGTCTTCGACCGACCTGGTGGCTCCGAGATCATGTTTTACGTGGCTTCGCGTGGTCACCACGCTGATATTGGTGGTATTCTACCTGGATCCATGCCCCCCAAGTCCACCGAGCTGTGGCAAGAGGGCGCCGCCATTGAAGGCGACAAGATTGTTAGTGATGGCGTCTTGGATGAGGCCCGTTTGATCGAATTGTTGGTCACAAAACCCTCGCAATACCCCGGCTGTGCTGGAGCCCGTTGCATCAGCGATAACTTGTCCGATTTGAAGGCACAGATCGCTGCCAACGCTCGTGGAATCAGCTTGATTCAAACCTTGTTCAACGAATACGGAACCCAGACTGTGCAAAAGTACATGTACGCCATCCAAGCAACCGCCGAGTCGGCTGTGCGCAACCTTCTCAAGGAGCTATACAAGAAGTTCAATGGCCAGCCATTGGAGTCGGTCGATTACATGGATGATGGCACCCCCATTCGATTGAAGGTCACCATTGATGGTACCGATGGATCAGCCATCTTTGACTTCGAGGGTACTGGTCCTGAGGTGTACGGCAGCTGGAACGCTCCCATTGCCATTACTCACTCAGCAATCATCTACTGTCTGCGCTGCATGATCAACGCAGACGTCCCACTCAACCAGGGCTGCTTGGCACCAATTGATATTCGTGTCCCAACATCCAGCATTTTGTCGCCAAGCAAGACTGCTGCTGTCGTTGGCGGCAATGTTGTCACTTCCCAGCGCATCACTGACGTCGTGTTCAAAGCCTTCCAGGCCTGTGCCGCGTCTCAGGGCTGCTGCAACAACCTGACCTTCGGTACAGATCCCAAGCTTGATCCTTCCACCGGTGCTGTCATCAAGCCTGGATTTGGATACTATGAGACTATCGCTGGTGGCAGTGGCGCTGGCCCAACTTGGAAGGGCGAGTCCGGTATCCATGTTCACATGACCAACACACGGATTACCGATCCCGAGATCCTAGAAAAGCGCTACCCAACAATGCTCCGTCAGTTCACCCTACGCGAAGGCTCTGGTGGCAAGGGCAAGAACCCTGGTGGTGAAGGAGTGGTTCGCGACATTGAATTCCTTTCACCAATTCAATGTTCGATTCTGTCCGAGCGCCGCGTCCACCGACCTTATGGAATCCAAGGTGGTGAGGATGCGCAGACCGGATTCAATCTGTGGATTACGCGGGACGAGGAAACTGGCGCTGAGCGCCGCGTCAACATTGGCGGCAAAAACACAGTCTCGATGAAGACACACGACCGGATTGTGATCAACACTCCCGGCGGTGGTGGCTGGGGAGCTGTTTGAATGGGTTGTATAGCGAGCATGAAATTTTTATAGTATACCAATCTCAATTAAATACATAGAGATACAATGGTCCTTCTGACCAAATGAATTAAATTCACAAATTTCTTATTTTTCACAGCTTGGACTTTCCAAATACCGGTCGCCACATTTCATTCGACAGTCGGCTTGTGTTTACCATTTCCGGCCGTAGTTGGTCTAGGGAAGAGACTCCAAGCATCTTCATAGTGATTTCAACTTCTTCAGCGAGAACTGCGAGTGTGTTAGCTCAAGCTTGACTTGAATTCCAGTCCCAACTTACTGTCTGTGCATCTTTCCACTCCTTCAGCGCCGTATGCCGCGAGGGCATAGTAGTAAGGCCGGCCCACTCCAACTGCGGTTGCTCCTAGGCACAGTGCTTTGAGGACATCTGCTCCGTCGCGAAGACCTCCGTCGACAAACACTTGAAGCTTGTCAAAGGCTTCCGGGTAGTAGGTGCGAATCTCTAGGAGCGTCATCAGTGAGCTTGGGGCGGAATGAATCTGCCTGCCTCCATGATTGCTCAACAGAATTCCCTGTACACCATGTTGAACAGCCAGCTTCACGTCCTCTACGCTTTGGATTCCCTTGAGAACCAGTGGGCCACCCCACTCTGATGCAATCCAGTCCAGATCTTCCCAAGTGAGACCACCATCTACCGAGCCAGGGACCTGTCGACCACCAAACGCTGGCGCAAAGTCATTTTCATTGTGAATGTCTCTTGCATTTTCGGTCAAACCAGCGTCGAGATTTTCTTGTGCTTGGAGGTACCGATCGGCAGTACGCTTTCCTAGTGTTGAAGTATCCACTGTGACCCACAGACTTTGATATCCGGCTGCCTTGACTCTTTGAATGAGTGATTTGGCTCTTGTCCGATCCACAGGCACGTAGAGTTGGAATGACAAGTTCGAAGGGCTTTGATTGCCAAGTAGCCGTTGCTCGTCCAGATGGGCGTCCATGATCTCTTCGAGTGGCTTCGTAGATGCCGTGCTTATCATGGTGTGCATTCCTTTGCGGGTTGCTCCTCTCACCAGCAAGGGTTCGGCGCCGGGGTGTGAGCTACCCAATGTACCCATGGCCGATACGAAGAAGGGGAATTGGGAGGTATGTCCCAAGATGTTCCTTCGGGTGTCCAATGAATCAACGCTTCTCAAGATCCGGGGTCGAAATTTGATCAGAGACCAGTCATCGAGGTTGGTTCTCATTGACAGGCCTGAAGCAGCTGAGCTTGATGCATAAACCCATGACTTCTCCGGCAGGACATCCTTTGCGACCTTCTCGAAGTCTGATGTTGTGACACAAAGAGAGGAATGGGGGGTGATCTGGTTTGCCATCTTGATTATCACTTTAGCTTGGAATATGAAGCCGGCAAAAAGAGATCAAGAGACGTGGGGGTCGATAAATTATATACTTCACAGAAGATCAGATAACGGCCCCGGAGTCGGCCCCGGTCGGAAAACTCCCCGGCTACTCATTTCGGCCCGACTATGTCTATTTCGAGTAAAATCGATTGCCGAATGGTGATACTTCTTGAATATGTAGACTAATACCCGTCTCTTGAGCTACATAGGGTCGGTTTTTATTTTTGTATCGGAAATGTAGTCCTGTGTCATCAGGGATATATCAAGGATCGACTACCTAACACGAGCCCTATACAGGACTGTTATTCAAAATCTGGTCCATAAAATATAAGCTTGAATTCCTCGACAGTATCTCAAAGGAATTCATATTCATACGGCAACATTCTCTTCTGCGCATCTAATGAGCGACGTCCACGGGCAATTTCAATTGCCCTTTTCATTGGTGCAAATGCGGACATGGGCTTGGGCGTAGTCAAAGCTGTAGGCTGCTTCGCATCCTAATAGACATGTTAGGCCATGTAGAAATATACATTCAGGTTAATAGCCATACCTGTTGGTACTACAAGATTAGAGTCAGTGAGATCAACATTGAATATAACCTTGGGTGATGGAAACTTACTTCCTGACCACCATAGGGAATGGCAATCACGGTCCCTATCAACAGCGTCCAAATCCATTCATGGCGCATGATAGGCGATAAGATGATCAGATTTTGAAATTTACGCTAGGCCTTTAGATCTCTTTCACAGGTCTGGGCTGAGGTGGATGGAACAATCCGAACGAACGGAGGATAACGACCGTGGAAATAGTACGCAAAAGGTGAATTGTGCTCGATGGACCCAATTTCTTGTATGCCACTGTTGTGGTTGGCTTTCGGTTTCAACCTTGGTGGACAATCTTAAATGAAAGTAATGTGGCAGAGAGTATGGCGCTGATAGGCAAACCCGACTATAGTCATAAGAGATCAGAACACAAGCTTCATTGTATATATACTACCTCACTGTTTTTGGACGTCTGCAGCCAGAATTCTGACGTCAATGGAATGCGTGAAGCATGTCCTTCCCATGCTTATGGAGTAGTGACATTCACATTCCATCTGCCACCTCCCATATCCCTTGGTTGACATGCCAGCTCATAATGATCCATGGGAGGCTTCTGGTTGCGTCTTGGTACGAACAGGAGATAATTACATCAATTAGATCAAAATATCTAATAGGGTCTTATTAAGAAAATCATTTGGCGGGTATCTCTTTGAAAATTTGGCATCCTCTTTCTATCCCTGGCTCTTTTGGATGTTGCGATCCCTACCTTTTAAGCATAAAATATATTGACCCCAAGAGGTCCATTGACAACAGCCTATGTCTCATGTACAGCACACTACGGTAGGCCCGTAGAACATTGTCCCTGCGTCGTTGACATGCGTTTCCCTCGGTAAATGAATGAAAGACGCTGAACGGGAAACTAATCTAGCAACATATCAATCAGAAGACTCACATTCTCAAGGAAGTAATAAGGCTCGCAACACATGCCTGCGCTCAGTAGGTCTCATTCACAGGTACAGTGGTAAAGATAGAGAGATCAGCGATGAAAATATCATTGAGCAAAAGCATGATGACACCGGACAGTAGTCTAATAGATACAAACCCAGTGATTAAAGCTGGCAGGGCACCAGAAGCAGTAGCCGACCATTTGGACGAGGTTGAGAGTGGAGGGTTCCCCTTAGTAACTTCTATGAATTGATATAATAGATGAATCCTCAAAACTCGACCAACTAGCTGCAAAGCAACCTGGCTCCCAGACGTAGTCACAGTGAAAGACTGACCGCAGGAGTAATGAACATGGTGCCCTAAGTTCAATGGATGTAAAGTCGCCGGGGCAACTAAAGTCGATTATGAGAATAATATACGCATAAGAATTTTTCCAGCCCACTAGCGTGGTCTGATACCAGGAAAAGTTGATCAGCACCAAGACTCAAATTGCTGCTGTGGCACCAAGTAGATCAAGGTGCTGTCAAAGACGAAAGTTGACATCGAACTTGGGGGCGACAAGGGATCACCAGCCAGCCCATCAAAACCCACATTGACACGCGATTCTCATCACCCTATATCCTCGGGGCCACCAGGCAAGCTAGGCAAAGATGGAAGAGAAAATACATCTCACGATAAAGTTCCAGGTGCTGTAGCCTAAATAAACTAAATTTTGCTTCCTTGCGCAGGCCCGGCCGAATGTCCTTCCAAGGGTTGCAAGCAACACAGTTGGATCAATGAAAGAATATGTCATTTAAGAATACTCTAGGTAAATCCAGCTCATAGTGATCAGTGACTGGTTAAGCACATGCCGGTCAAAAGTATGTTTCGATGACCAAAGACATCGCCTAGTCGGCTAGCAGCAAGAATAAAAGTGTCAACTGCTAAACTGTAGGCAGCCGCAAGGCAACTTAGATTGGCAGGATTGGCTGCATTGCAGCTATCGCCGACGATACGAACTGGACCAATGGAGATGCTGAGACCAGGTCAGTCATGATTGTGCCATATACACTACACTAAGACAGTCTCCTAAAATTGTTGTTTGGGCGGTTTTAATTGAGACTAAGATGTTTCAATTCGTGTCAAAGTCTCGTAGTTTTCATTCTTGTGTGGGGATTTTGTATAGATTGATATAAGGCTTCTCCCAGTTCAACATTGACAGGGTGCGGTTATTGATCTCCATTCTACTCCGTACAGTAACCAATATATACCCACTAGAAATAGGGGGAGAAAAAGAAACAAACCCCAACGTATCTCATCCACCAAAATAGAATCCCAAGTTTAACATCTGATTCGACGGAGTTGAAGTTGTCAATCTAGATATTTAATAACTTTGATGTATAGAAGTCTCATTAAATTTAGGGCTTTGTGCAAAGGGTTGAAATATTTTATGCGGTCTATATTAGGCTAAAATTTTAGATTAAAGCCTAGCGGTATTGATCTATACCGGCGGAAATTGCTTGGGAACTTTGATTGAAGGTAATCAGTCAAGAAGTATTCCCATAGTCCAGCGTAATTAATATATTCCAATACAGCTCTTATAGGGTGTGGAATGCCATATTTTCAAATACAACGTTGTACTCTCTATGAGCGTTGAGCCCTCTTAGGTAGGGCTACCCCCGGGGGCTCGATTGTTTTGTTGTTAGTAAGCATCACATGCCTCTAGGCAGGAGCTGTTTCTTTCAACTCTCGCTCTCTTCGCCTTTCTTTTACATCCTCTTTTTATTAAATCTCAATATGTTTGTCGCGATACCGGGTTGACCAGCTATAGGGCTTCCTTCCTAATATTTTTTTCGTGTTTTCATTCCGATTACTCTTTGTTCTCTTCTAGCGACGGCGTTAACGCTGCATCTTCCCCGCGAAAAGGAAAAAAAAAGTGACGTGGGGCCCAAGGACATATTGACCTCGATGAAAAAATCACCACCTATTGTGTTTATTGCCAGGTCAGTATTGACTTCTATTGCACTGCTTCCGCTGCTCATGAGTCTTCTAGACATGGCGCCCGACTCGATGCTGCAGACAAAAATTGGCACTTAACCTCTCCAAGCCCCTTCGATCCACCTCTTTCCTACGGTGGATGGATGCAATCTCGGGCCCTTGGTGTACGTATAGGAAGTCTCCTAAGGGCCCGACAGTTCACCGGGGAAGATCCAGAGAGTCAGCGCACCGATCATCCCACCTCGGATAAACAGGCAAAACCCACCCCCGCATCCTCGGACCTGTCCCACGGATACAACGTCATTGTTCATACTTCTCCTTATCTTCGATGCTTGCAAACTGCAATAGGAGTCAGTGCTGGCATCAACCAAGAGACCTCGGGCACAGAAACATCCGAGGCAACTAGCTCAGCTCCTACTGTCCCCGCAGTTTTATCGAAACCTGACCAGCGATGTCTGCTTCGTGTCGACGCGTTCTTGGGCGAATGGTTATCACCCGACTACTTCGACCAGATCACGCCACCGCCAGGCTCTGAAAGAATGGTGGCGTCGGCCAAAGGAGAATTACTTCGTCGTGCCGAGGCCATCCCACCCACCGATGGTTTGACAAGGGCTTTATCGGGTCACTTCCCTGGCGGTTGGCGCAGCCAGTCACATCCTACTTCACCGGTTGAGGAAGACCGTCGCTTGCATTCCGTAACATCTCATCGCCAGCGTGCCAGCACCCACGACGTTCTCCAGAAGCCCATCCATCTCAAACATGCGAAGAAGACTCTCGGTCGTCTAGAAACAGACCTTCCGCCTGCTCTAGACGCATATTATGTACCTCCAACTCCTGGCTACGCAGTTTCCAACTCAGATCCTATTCCTACGGGCTATGTTGCTCATGCACGGAACGCATGTACGAGGATTGACTACCAGTGGGACAGTATGCGCACTCCTTATTGGGGCACAGGGGGCGAGCTCGGCGAGGAATGGAGTACCATGCACGAACGGGTGCATGATGGATTTCAACACATGATCAACTGGTACCGGGAGCAGGATAAATCTGGAGATGGCTCCACATCGAAGTCGAACGGTGAGGTAAATGATGGTAATGCACAAACTGTTCTCGTTATTATCACACATGGCGCAGATTGCAATGCTTTGATCAGTGCATTGAATGGACACTCGGTCTTACTCGATATTAACACAGCTTCACTCACTATGGCTGTGCGACGCAACCGTGTCAACAAACCCCATGACAGGAATCACACGCCTCGATCCCCGGGCCCAGAGAACCAATCGGTGTCACGGGAGTACTCCTTGCAGCTTGTGGCGTCGACCGACCATCTGCGCCCGGGAACGAACCCCTCACAGCTCAGCTCGTTGTTATCTCCCTCCGTTCCCCATGCACTCTCACCGCCTCCAGTCTCTTCCTATCGGAATCGTCCTGGCGCTCGTCCATCGGTCTTCCAAGAAACATTACCAAATGGGCCACCTAGTAATAGCCCTCAGTCATGGTCGTTGGTGATGCGCCCATCAACTAGTTCAACTACCTCTCGTGTTGCCTCCGGGCTTTGGAACTCGATCTCGTCACCCACTGATCAAGCGGATGCAGAGGAGAACTTTGTGCCGAACTTTGGTGATCGGCCGGTCAGTCAAGATTCGGCAGTCCTTGATGAGTCTGACAAGTCTGCAGATCTTAGCTGGACAAAGCAGTTACCACAACGGACACAGTCACAGCGTGGTTTATGGGGAAGTGCTCAATCCTTGGAGGATCGTGAAGCTGGAAAGCGGCGCTGGACGGTGACGGAACAAAAGTTGTGAAATCATTTAAAATTTTTATTAAGATACCTCTTGCATGGCGTGGTCTTTTTTTGTTTTTCTTTTATATCCCAATGATGACACAACCATCAGGCATCAAGGCATCCAGGCACCAACCTTGTAATGCCGCGGCTTCCCCTCATGTTTATCTCCCCTCTCTCTCTCCCTTTACTCTCTTCTTCTCCCCTTCTTCCCTTCAAGTACCTCTTCATCAATATTCTATAAACTCAAGATTTCCATGTCAAGCATCGAAACAGACGGTCTGTCCGTCACTTATTCCTCCGATCGAACTGGATCTCCGGATCTACGGCTGATCCACTATAATGATGTCTACCATGTCGAGTATGCGCTTATCCCCTTCCTTTGTCTAAATCAATCAACTACAAATCGGATTACTAAACTATCTGATGTAGGTCTGGCTCTGCAGAGCCTGTCGGTGGAGTATCACGGTTCCAATCCCTTGTGAAACACTACCGATCTCACTCGCAGTTCGCCGGACAGCCCGATATCCTAACCTTCTTCTCTGGCGATGCATTCAACCCGAGTATCGAAAGTACAATCACAAAGGGCAGGCATATGGTACCATTCCTCAACACAGTGGGCACCGATGTAGCGTGTGTGGGTGTGAGTATGGCAACCAGCTCTCCGCTTGGCATATGTACACCGCTGATTTGACTATCTAGAATCATGATCTTGATTTTGGAGTAGCCCAATTTCGCCATTTGGCTAGCCAATGCCATTTTCCTTGGCTTTTAGCAAACGTGCTCGACCCGGCTCTTGGAGAGGATACCCCAATAGCTAACTGCGGTAAGACTCGCATGTTGACCTCATCCAATGGCCTCAAGGTTGGTGTTTTGGGCCTCGGGGAAAGAGAATGGTATGCGCTCCTATAATATATTCTCTGATTCCTTTCATTATTTGCTTACTCGGGTTTCCCTTAGGCTCGGCACAATAAACTCTCTTCCCCCTAATTTGATCTACAAATCCGCATCTGAAACAGCTCGAGTGCTTGCGAAACAACTCCGAGATGAGGGGGCAGACCTCGTCGTCGCTGTCACCCACCAACGTGAACCAAATGACTATAAACTAGCCAATAACCTTTCGCCCGATCTTGTGGACATTATTCTTGGAGGCCATGACCACTATTACGCCCATGCGGTTGTTAATGGAATCCATGTGATGCGGTCAGGGACCGACTTCAAGCAGTTGAGTTATATCGAGGCTTTCCGCAAACCCAACGGTTTGCCTGGCTGGGACTTCAATATAATGCGGCGAGATGTTGTTCGCTCAATCCCCGAAGATCCTGATACAGTGGCATTGGTGGGGCGGCTTACTTCTAGCCTCAGCGCCAAACTAGAAAAGCCAATTGGATTTACTGTCACCCCTCTCGATGGCAGGTTTTCTACTGTGCGACAGCGTGAATCTAATTTGGGTAATTTTGTCTGCGACCTGATGCGCTTCTACTATTCGGCTGATTGTGCCATGATGGCGGGCGGCACAATTCGCGGTGATCAAATATACCCGCCAGGGATACTGAAGCTGAAAGATCTCCTGAACTGCTTTCCTTTCGAAGACCCCGTGGTGTTGCTGCGCGTTCGTGGCCATGCATTGCTGGCTGCACTGGAAAATGGGGTCAGCACGCTTCCCGCACTCGAGGGCCGATTCTCGCAAGTATCCAATATCAGTTATGGGTTTAAACTGGACGCGCCGCCGGGATCGCGCATTACATTCGCTCGTGTTGGCGGCGAGCCGATTGACTTAGAGCGTGAGTATCTTCTCGCCACACGTGGCTATATGGCCCGCGGGAAAGATGGGTTCTCGTCATTGCTTATCCAGGCCGAGGGGGGGGATGTGGAGGAGGTTGTGTCTGAGGAAAACGGTGTGCTCATCAGTACAATCCTACGGCAATATTTCCTAAGTCTCAAAGTACTCGGGAAATGGAATCGTTGGAGCGCCAGCTTAGGCCGACACTGGAGTACTGTACATCGCAATCTGCATGGTGAAGGCTGGCTGAAGCCAGCGTCTCCCAAAATCGAGAAACAAGTAGGCGACAAACTGAACATAAAGCCTCCCCTCCGACGGACCGGCCGGGCATCATACTACTATGGCCGATTTTCCAAAGAAGCTGAACGGGTAGCAGAAGTTCTCACCGAGAACGAGACGAATGGCAATGCCATGGACTCCGACTCGGATGAGGATCCAGATATCCTCACATCCTCGCGACCGACGACAAATTACGTCACTCAGCCAGCGAAATCATCTGCTGAAGAGGAGCATCGTCTACAAATCGCGCGGCGAGTTGTCCGAAAGTGGATGCGGCACGCAGGCCTGCAGTGTAGAACGTTGAATACTATGGACGGCGAAGGGGAATTTACTCCGTCCTGGACATCAGGAATCGCTCCTCGACTGGAAGGACGCATTGTGGTAGAGTAGACATACTTCTCCTTTCCCCTTCTGTCTTTTTCATTCGGATTCTTCCGGTTTTTGTTTTGAAGTATTCTCTTGTCCTCTTCCGCTTAATGTTTTGCTGTTTACCTACATTGCACCATGCATATGCGCGGGATGGCCTGGCGTTTTTTCTTTTTTTTTTGCTAGACGGAATGCATCGATACCCTGAATATTCTCGAATTGTTGTACTATTCAATCGGCCTTCTTCTTAGGAGACTCTTTCTGCAATAGATAGTCTCCTCCCCTCCAAGCCTTGTAAACCCCATAAAGACCACAAAATGGCCAGACATCCCAAAGGGCACGTTTGATCGATCCCTTCCACCCACTCTCAAACTCTCCCCGATGCGGACCAGGAAGATCGGATTCATGCACTCGGACCTTTTCATACAGAGATGGAAGATGCTGTGCATGGTATTTGGCCCGTAAAGAATCATACGCGGGCTTGTTGTAGATGTTCCAGAACTCATCTTCTGTATAGTAAGTATGTGCATATAGCCACTTCTTTCCTCCAAGGCTGTGGACCTTGTGTTCAAGCTGTCGATTCTGAGCCACAAATCCGGCCGGATCGGTGGTAGTAGCAGGTCCCCAGATTCCAAAGTTGAGGAGTTGTGACTTCTGTGAACCCACATTGCCTCCCTTGTCCGCAATTGCCGGCTGTCCTTCCAACCCACCGGCGCTTCCTGGTGGTAACGGACAGAGCCAAAGCGGATATTGGCCGAAGTTTTCAGGGCGGTCCAGCCAGTCCAAGAACTCTGCTGCAGTGGATATCGGTACACCGACATCTTGGATGATATATCGACGCCCGAGTCCGCTGACGTGGAGAGCATGATACATCACCTTGGTGTGCATGAATCGGTTGAGAAGCCAGCGCGTGATAAAGGTGAATGGAACACAGAAGTAGCGGAAAGCATAACGGGCAACCCAAAAACCACCTCGATCATAACGGAAGAGATAGTCAGTCAGAGGAATGTACTCCACTGCATCTGGCGTGCAAGGGAAAATATCTCGGTCGGAGATCTTGGAGATCCTGGACTGAGCAATTCGTTCGGCGTGCAAATAGAACCAATCATCTTGTCGACGAGTAAAGTATCGAGGCTTTACATTAGAACTCTGTTCAACTTGTCTTCCAGCACAAACAACAATCTTATCCCTTGCATAAACAATTCCGTCCAGATACTCCGTGCTCGGATCAGCACTAGCCTCCTCGAAGACCCGCACCGCGTCGTTCATATTGGAATTGACATAGTATTTCAACTCAACCAAAGGCTGTGACTTTTTCAATCGGATTTCCAATAGCGTGACCACACCCAAGGTCCCGAAAGAAGAAGCCGTACCCCAGAACAAGTCCGAGTGCTTATCCGCCTGTTCCGAGCCTGTCTCGACACGATCGTTGTATGCCTTCACCACCTGACCATCCGCCAGAACAATTTCAATCCAATTGACCGTATGGTCGAAGAATCCTTCGCGGAAAGAGCTGCTCTCCCCCGATGTCCCCGAGAATCCGCCGCCAACCGAGATGTTGGGGAATTCGACAACCACTAACGGGACTAAACCGTGGGCTTTGGTGGCAGCCACCAAGGCATCCATAGAGACATTGGGTTCAACTATAGCTGTACATTTGTTGGTATCGATGTTGAGGACGCGGGTCAGGGGTTCTGTGCTGACGGTGTTGGAGAGAGATCGGTTGGAGGGACGAGTACTGTTGGTGGCCCCATGATATATACGAAATGGTTGCTTGCGACTGTGGAAGTCAGCTACCCGTGCCGAAATTTCTTGTACAGCTATAGTATGATCCATTATAGATAAAAAATAAATAATAAAAAAAAAATAGATGGCAAATGTATGCAAAAGCAAAAGGCCAGAAGCTAGACGCGCAAGGGCAAGAAGAATGTGGGGAGAATCCAGGCCCCAGCCTGGAGTCTCCGCATTCAAAGCTGTGACATCAGAAGTGTGAACACTCAAATTGTTTGAAACTAACAAATATCGGTATCATTAACATAAAGAGTAGAAAATCCTATTGGACGCCAACTGGACGTGCTCCAGCGAGATTGACCACTCTGCCACCTCCAGCTGCTCCTACTGCAGGCGCCCGAGGCTGCACCCAACCAGGAACACTGGAATCTTGACCTTCACGTGCAGAGATGGTCTGCCAGACATTAGGGAATCCTGTGGGCAAGATGCCTTTGATTTTGGCACCAGGAACCGCGAATCGGGGCTCGCGATGAAGAAGATACCCGCCCATCAGCCCTTGTGAGATCAAGGATGCGAAAATGGATTCGATCTCTTGCATCATGGAGCTGTCTGGTGTCCTGTCGTCGATGTCGTATGCATATGGGTCCAGTTCATAATCGTCATAATCATCTTCTGGATCTCCATCGACCAAGTGGCCCGGTTGGTTGGGTTGTGATCGCCCTTCTTCGGTATAAAATCCATCTGGAGCTAAATAATCCCCGTATTTTTCTAGTATCTCTTGATCAGTGGCGGGACTGGTCCTTCCATTTGCCCCTTCTAGGCGAGCGTAATCGGGATCTGTAGGTTCAAAAACGAGTTGTGATCCATAGAGGTTGGCTGTGGCCGGGGCATTTCCGGGTGATGCGTGCTGTGCTTGAAGCCATCGTGTAGCCACCACGAGCTTTTTGAGGTTGAGGACTGGTGGAGGTCCCTTCTGCGCCTGCGCCTGTGGGCCTCCCCAGGAACCTCCATACATGAATACTTTGCGGGCAAAAGATCGCCACACGAGAATCTCGCATCGATTACGGAGGGTAAACAGAATTCCTTTGCGCGCAAACCACTCGGCGGTCGGCGAGCCAAAGAAGAGATGTTGTCGGAAAGCCAGGTAATCTCCCCGGACAATTAATCGACATAGTGGCTGGAAATGTGCTGCTAATCCTTGTGCTTCCGGTCGTTGGAGGAGTGCCTGGGATGGGAATCGGCCCAAGATAATGTTGCACGGAATGAGGTATGAGAGGATCAAGTGTCTTTGACTGATGGCCTGGCGATGACATTGATCATAGGCGGCCTGCAAAGCGATGGCGGCGGGGAAGAAGAGGTTATTGGCGAAAAGATAGCGTCCGAGGTAGTAAAGATAGGTGACACGCTGTGAGGCTGGGAAGTAGGCCAAGGGGGGCGATTGGGCGCTGATGCTTGCAAACATCTGCTCGGCGTTGCGAAGTTTGCCGCACTGTGTTTCGTCAGCATCAAGTTCCGAGAGATACAAGATGGTCAAAGAGGCCACCATACCTGGAAGAGCAGTTTTAGGCAGAGATTGGCCATGAGATAGATCCCAATGCGCTTGCCTTCCGGTTTACCATGAGGGCCGGGAGTGCCGGTGCGATCAGTGAGGCACTTGATGAAGGCTTCGCGTACCACGTTGGCCGATTTTTCCACCAAAGTCACTTTCTCAACACTCTCATCTTGAGCCTCCAGGCCTTCCATTCGTCGAATATGTGCAATCAGGTCTGGCCGACGATCGAGGCCCATTGCCAATTTTGCCAGAACCTTGGACAAGTAGAGGACCGTAGGAAGAACCACCACACCCATTTGACTATCTCCGAGGGCGAGCACACATTGACTGCAATTGAGAAGGTTGAGTCAGCTTGAGCTCAAAGGTATGGGTGGCACCCTCATCTGGGGAGAAAGCACATTATAAATCCTTCACAGGGTAGCAAAGACTTACTTGAGTAGCGTCTTCAATTGGTTGTATGTTTCTAATAAGTTGTCGGTATTCATATCGCGTAGAAAGATCAGGTAAAGCTTGACGAAGGTTGGAAAGGCCGTCCATGAGCCACCTTTGGATCGCGGCACGAGAGGCTCACATCGTTGAAGAAGTTCGGTCTCGGCTCTGGCCCCTGGAGCATAGTTCTGTTGTAATTCATTGACCATAAGCTGGTAGACTTCAGAGAGTGGCGGCTCGAGCTGAAGAAAGTCCTGGACTTTGGCGCCATCGCGCTTCTGGACCAATTCCTGCAAACTGCCGAGGAATTGGTCGAGGACGGGTGTTTGGCCCATGTTGAAAGAGCGAAATGCTCGACGATCGACTGGTAGAGTCGCACCAGATAGATTAATATGATTGAATGATCATTATGTAATTTGAAGATTCTTAACGGTCAAGAAACCAAACCTGGAGCGTTGCAGAGTCAAGAGGCTCATCTGTTGACGGCATTGATGGCAGAATCCGCTACCGCCCTTTATATACAATCAAACCGATGAGGGGGGGGATTAGTCTATCTTCGATTATATTCAATTGGGCTAAACCATTGAGTGTTTTAATAGATAAATAATGAATAAATTTGATAGTAACTTTGATCTAGTTTGAATGTGTTGACGCTGGTGCCTACATGTAAACTATTTCTACCCATCTACTATTCTTGTATAAGCAAACTCTCTTCCTTGATATATCTGGTGGAAACAGTATGCTGATCTCATCAATTGAGGTTTTCAAAGTCACCGAGAAAATGAAATAGAGAAAGGGTAAAATGCCAGGCTCCACACAGTGGCACTGTATACTATAGTTCGACGATCTATACAGCATACTTCGTGTTTACAACACAAAGGTGATAGCTTTTGAGCTAGTTACATTATAATTGCACAATTTAGATACTAGTTGGTTGTACTATAATTCATAATCGTTCGAGATGTGGTGGATTTCTTTTTTACATCCAAAAGAATGAATATACCGGAAAATAAAACATTCCTTGTCATTTAGTAGGCGCATATCTCCAGATATGTACATAGCCCCCGCAGAGTGATACAATGTTTTACTACCAAATAATTCCTTTTCAATGCTTGTGTTGTTCTACGTTAGTTACTCCCTGTTGAGATTATAGATACGCTACACAGCCTTGATATTAGTGGAATAGGTAAGATACACCAATTTCGGACTTGCATGAAGTCATGGAGAATCTCGGACCACATGCATAAATCAAGCAAATATAAACATTGATAGAGCAAGATACCAGTTTAACCTTCATTTACTCCGTACGTGGATCTTCTGTTGGTCAAAATCCAGGTTCTAGGACTTTCAGCGATGATGTCATATCGTAACATCACATGTAAAAAGGTATAACGTCACCCCGAAGGGAAAGGTACAAATATTTTGCTGCGTTGCATTCTCAATTGTTCTTTCAATTACGCAAAAATGGGTTCTGAGTCCTTAATCTCGGCGCTCTCGGCCTTCATCCGGCATCCTTTCGTAGAGACCTTTACATGGTTCTACTTGGCTATGCAATCGGTGTTGATTTACATATTTTCTCCTATACCCCCACCCCCTACCACTTCTCAAAATTCGAATATCCCCCGAAAGAGGGTTGCAGTCATTGGTGCAGGTTTGACTGGTGTGTCCTCGGCTGCCCACTGTGCTGGCCATGGTTTCGATGTGCACTTGTTTGAATCTAGACCCAAAGAACAAGGACTGGGAGGCATTTGGAGTGTTAGTTCTACTTTCTTTCCAGTTGGTTCAAATACACCTGCTAATATCTAGATAGAGAGTCAATTCCACCTCTGCATTGCAAGTTCACAGTGTCATGTACCGTTTCCATCCTGCGGTTCACTTCGACAGCGCATACCCCACCCAGCAACAGATCAAAGACCAAATCGTCAAGGTCTGGAAGCAATATGACCTGGAAAAACGCACCTCCTTTGAGACTAAAGTCACCTCCGTGAAAAAGAACAAGAACGGCAAGTGGATTATCAACAACGACGAAGAGAAGTACGGTCTTTTCGACGGCATCTTGGCCACGGTAGGCGTGTGCGGAGATCCTAAGATGCCACCGCTACCCAATCAAGAAAAGTTCAAGGGACAGATCTACCACTCCTCTGAATTGGATGGGAAAGATGCCAAAGGCAAAAAAGTGCTTATTGTGGGAGGCGGCGCCAGCGCCATTGAGGCCTTGGAGTTCGCCGTCAAGAATGAGGCTGCCGAGATCGATGTCCTTTCTCGGTCCGATAAATGGATCATTCCTCGCAATATCCTCGTGCAGTCTCTTCTAGCCTGTAATATCTTCGGTCAGGAAACGTCATTCTCGTGGATTCCCGAATGGTTCCTGCGCAAATTTTTCTATCGTGACCTTCAAGACATTGCGCCGACAGACAAAGGAATCTTTACCGGAACTCCGATGGCCAATGACGAGTTGTTTAACCAGATTCGCGAGGGTAAAGCCCACTGGTTGCGAGGTGACATCGTTTCTGTGGAAGAAAATGGCGTGGTGTTCAACTACCGATCTAAAGGCGTCCCCAAGGGAGGACCTGGTCACGAGCGACTGGTTGAGGGAGACATAATCGTCATGGCCACTGGCTTTAAACGACCCTCGTTGACCTTCTTGCCCGACGAGTGTTTCGATGAACCCTACGGACCACCTAGTTGGTATCTTCAAGTTTTCCCACCCAAGTACCCAGATATTTGCGCAAACAACAGCACCTATGTCGATGCGATCGGTACAGTGGGAAATATGCATATCGGAATCTACACGCGATTCCTCCTCATGTTCTTAACCGACCCGTTGACCAGACCTACTGAAGGGTGGATGAAGACCTGGATTGATTTCACCAGATTCATGAAGCGTCTGGCGCCCACCGCAGCATTTGACTTCTTTACCTATGCGGAACTGATCTACTGGTACTTCTTCGTCCTTGTCATCAACCCGTTCCGCTGGAAGTGGGCGTTGTTTGTGTTCTTTGGTATTGGTCGTGGCTTGCCCTTGTCGTTTGTGGAAAAGGAGAATGCCTTCCGCAGGGAGCTGAAGAAACAACGCAAGCCAAAGAAGAACCATTGAATCGTGTGTAGATGATGATTGGCGAATGCCAAAATGGAGGATACATGTGCAGCGACGGCTCAGCAGGTTTATCATGTCCTAAACAGAGGGCTTCGCTGGCTGGTATGGCCTGGAATACAATTACCAAGGTCTCATTTATTGTATGTTATACGAAAGCAGATAAATATAGCGCTTGTGTTCAATGATATCCAATTATAGATACAAAAGGTGATTCCATTATTGCCCTTTTATTTCCGGTATTTTCTTGTCCATGTTGTAAGCCAAATTACCCCCTCGCAAAAAGCGACCTGGGATATAATCTTTCTCTTCCAGCCATAGTATAGGCCATAGCAAAGTCACACCTAGGACACAGAACAGGGTTGCAATGAGATGCCAACCGAAAACAATCCAATACCCGATATGTGGCATGAGAAACTTGATGAACTCCGATGTTTGGTACAGATCTTCTTGCTTTAAGATGTAGTAAAGTTTATGGTCACCATTGGTGGTAGCAGCACTCTTGGCCGATTCATATGTCAAATCCAAGACCGTTGTGAGAGTCACGGGAGCGACATGGAAGGGAACAAGCCAGATGGAGAAGATCTGGGACATGTTCACATAGAGCTTGAGCTTTTTCTCATCGAATGCTAGAGTATTGTCAGCGTTGACAGTCAAAACCCAAGCCATTCATATTGACATACCAATAGAATGAATCTCTAGCTCGATCCGTGGTGACATGATTTTATACCATTGAAATATCTTTGAAATCCACCATCTGCTACCTTCAAAGTTGGGAACTCGGCAGAATGGATGAACAAAAGATGCATTGTTGGTGAAATATTCCTTAATAACTGTTTCCTGCAAAGACGGCGGCGACTGTGTCAGACGCCGGATGACGGCAGGTATATCGGCCACTATAGGGATTAGCAGGAGATAAGTACAGAGAATACAATGCACAACGCACCTGGATTTTCCATTTTGATCAATAGGCTCAAGACTGTTTTGCAAAGAAACGGAACGAAAGATATCAAGAGTTGGCCCTGGCCTGGGTGGGAATTGAATGACGTCATGCTCACATTTCCCCTGGATTTGACATGTGAAGTTCGTCTGTGTTGTTGATTGTAGTTGGAACATATCCAATGAACTACGTGTCTGAAACAAGTTCTTTTCTTTTCAGATTCATGATTTATTGAGGCTCAGCAACTATATTCATACCATCCCAATCAGGGTTATGGGAGACGCCAGTCTTGATCGGCATGCCGAGTTATTACATTCCAGTGACGCATAATATATACACACACCCACAGCTCTAGACTGAATTTATTTGGTAAAATCATATCCTTCAATGTATGTCATAGAATATACAGATATGCATTGGTCAAGACGGACCTTGGGTAATCAAGAAAACTCCAAAGCGATTGAATTCCAGAAAGAAACGCCTTTGAACATGAAAATTGCCCGTTGTAACCACTTTTTACCGCTTCCAAGTATCGACCTTCTTTCGTCGCTTGTCGAAGATCTGGCCCATGCCCACACCATCACCACGTTGCCCGTCCTCGTTACGGACTCGCTTCCGACTCTTCTCGAGTGCGGCTCCACTGCTCTTGGACTTCCGGGTGAGGCGTTCAATGTTATCCGCGCCTTCGTTGAGACCCTTCCATTCATCACCACCGTATGTACCATCTTTTCCGAAGCCCTTTTTGGCCAATTCCTTCTTAGTCTGCTTTGGCAATCGGACAAAGTTGGTCTCTTCGTAGGTGGTACGCTCTGCCTCGCGCTCTCGGTCCTTCTTCGACTTGACAGTTCGGCCACCATCAATAATTGTGCTACCAATACTGGGCTCAGCCATGGGCGCAGACGACATTTCAGCACTGACGAATTCGTCGATGACGTTGGATCGAATGGGTCTGCGGTCCTGGCGTTCGCGACGCTCCGTCGTAGGCAAAGAAGTCGGCATGATTCTCGGGGGGGCGATAAATGCCGTCTCCAGGTCCTTCCGCAGCGGCTCCCTTGGAGGGCTGGGCCTTCTTCTTCTCGGCCACTCCCTTGGCGAAGGCAGAGACATTAGGTCGGTACGCCATTTCATCAATATCCTCTTCATCCTCGCTATCGCTAGAATCTTCGTCCTCATCCGATGAGGCTTCGCTGTCGGATGTGGCGACTTTGCGGGTCTTCGTGGTCTTGGTCGGCTGGGCCTTCTCTGTCCGCTCCGCATCCTCTGCAGCCTTGATAACCTTGTCCACCTGGTACTTCAAACGTCCTTCCAAAGGACGAACACCACGCTCGAGGAATACCCGAAGCTCAATCAACTTCTTGTGAATATCATCTTCGAGGGAGCTTTCCGTAGATTGACTCTTCTCTTTCGTGGTTTGTTTCGCTGACACATTTCGCAGTTGGAAAATAATTAGGAATACGAGATTTTGCAAGTAGGAGAGGAGAATTTCGCTCTTGGTGTCGAGGAGAGAGATGCCGTCTTGAGGGGGCTCAATCGTGACATCGGAAGGCGCATCCTTGTGTGGCTTGGGTAGAGAGGAGGCAGTTGTAGACAGACATGTATTCAAAGTCTCAAGCAATGTCGATAGACTTTGAGGGCGCGCAGACGCCTGTGCTGGAGCCATGATTGAGAGTCGATGGCTTATAGAGAACAATAATTCCCGAACAAAAAAATTTGGCCGCTTCAACGATAACAGTGATCACGTGTGATAAAGGTGAGGCACCAAGGCATTGACAAGGCATCTTTTGATCGTCATTGCCAGTTTGTCTGTCACTCGCAGTTTATTACTCCGGCATTTTACTTCCTCTCGAGTGTCGCAAGTCGATTACGGATGAGACAGTGATTTTGTTTTTCTCGGGTAGCTTCTTGCTGTAAGTAACCCCTTTTTTTTCATTTGCGATCACCCATTGCGACCCTAGCTCTATTTCTGTCCTCCCAAACAAACAATCGAGGTTGACTTCTAGGCTCCCAGATTCTATAGACACACAACATGCGGTTCACCGATCGAGCTTTTTTTCTTTCTTCGACTCTACTAGCAATCCCTTCATTGACTACGGCTTTTTACCTGCCAGGTGTTGCACCGACCTCCTACGACGAAGGACAAGCAGTTCCACTTTATGTCAACCACCTCACCCCAAGCCTTTCTCGCGATGACCAGCTCCATTCGGTCTTCTCATTTGACTACTACCACCCGGCTTTTGGATTCTGCCGACCCGCAGACGGTCCTAAAGATGTGAGAGAGTCCCTCGGGAGCATTCTATTCGGTGATCGAATCCGCACCTCGCCATTCGAGCTTCACATGGCAAAGAACGAGACCTGCAAATCGGTATGTGGGGAGGTCAAATTCGATGCCCGCAGCGCAAAGTGGACCAATCGACGAATAGCTCAGGGCTACAATATCAACTGGATTGTGGATGGGCTGCCGGCCGCGCAGTTAAACTATGACGGTGTTACCAAGACCAAATTCTACAACCCTGGCTTCTCTCTAGGTGATCTAGATGACAGTGGACAGGCTCTGCTCAACAATCACTACGACATTGTGATTGATTACCACAAGGTGGGCTTCGGCGGCAAGGATAAATATCGCGTTGTTGGAGTGCTTGTCCAGCCCGAGTCTCGCAAGGACTCCCGGAACCTTGAAGATGGGACCGCCGAGTGTGGTACCCCAGGCAATGGTCTCACACTCAATGAGGATGGGGAGACCACAGTCACATGGACGTACAGTGTGTACTGGAAGGAGTCCCCCACAGCCTGGGCTACCCGGTGGGACAAGTATCTTCATGTCTATGACCCCAAGATTCACTGGTTCTCTCTCATCAATTCGGCTGTCTTTGTGGTTTTCCTCGTAGGTATGGTCAGCATGATTCTAGTCCGCGCGCTCAAAAAGGATATTGCTCGTTATAACCGGCTGGATTCGTTCAATCTGGAGGATTTGGATTCCACTTCGGCTGCGATCGAAGACGGAGTCCAGGAAGATTCTGGATGGAAGTTGGTGCATGGCGACGTCTTCCGGTGCCCCAAGTCTCCACTACTGCTGAGCGTCATGGTTGGCAACGGCGCCCAGCTGTTTATGATGATCGGCGTGACTGTTGGTAGGTAGTCTGACCTATACTCTTATCTTCTGAGGTACTAATTTTCACTTATAGTCTTTGCCCTGTTTGGCCTCCTCTCTCCCTCCAACCGTGGATTTTTGGCTACTGCTATTCTACTGATTTCCGCCCTTTTCGGTTCCATCGGTGGTTATGTGTCGGCGCGAGTGTATAAGGCATTCGGTGGCGATGCTTGGAGGCGCAACATTATCATGACACCTCTATTCATCCCTGGCATTATATTTGGTACTTTCTTCATTCTGAATCTCTTTGTTTGGGCCAAGGGATCTAGCGGTGCCGTACCGTTTGGAACTATGTTGGCACTGGTTTTGATCTGGTTTGTTATCAGTGTACCTTTGAGCGTGGCAGGCAGCTGGTTGGGATTCAAGCAATCGGTACTATCGAACCCTCGCCCTCAAATCCAGATATTCAAATGACTAACCTCACTTTCCTACCTATAGCCACTCGAGGGCCCTACCAAGACAAACCAAATTCCCCGGCAGGTTCCTCCGATGTCCGGTAGCCTACGCACAATCCCGTCGATTCTGCTGACTGGAATTCTCCCCTTCGGCGCGATTTTCGTCGAGCTGTACTTCATTATGACCTCCCTCTGGACCAACAAGATCTACTACATGTTCGGGTTCCTGTTCCTCTGCTATGGCCTGATGATCATTACCTCCGCGGCTACCACCGTTCTGCTGGTGTACTTCTTGCTGTGTGCAGAGAACTACCGGTGGCATTGGCGCGCGTTCATAGGCGCGGGTATGACCGGAGGATATGTCTTTGTGAACGCGCTCATTTTCTGGGCGACACGGGTCAGCTTTGGTGGTTTGACTGGAGCGGTGCTCTATGTCGGTTATTCGGCGTTGATCGCCTTCATTGTGTTCATTCTGACCGGTACGTTTTCGTTCCCGTGTGTTCCGGGTGGGCTTCTGTGCTGACTTGTGTCTAGGTTCCATTGGCTTCTTCGCTAGTTGGGCATTCATCCACCGTATCTATGGCTCAATCAAGGTGGACTAAAGGTCTTCCTATTGGTGATTCTCACATTTAGCCTTGCATCTTGGGGGTCTTTACGAGAGAAGACTCCTCTATTATTGTGTGTTTGTTTTCTTTTTTTTTTATCCCCAAAAAATTCCTCATTGCTTGGAGAGGTCTACCTCACCACAGATAGATTGGAAATGTTTTGATATGGGGAAATGGAACTGGACTAAACGTATATACGCGGTAATGATATTGTCGGTTTGATAGAAACATGCCAAGCCCAGTACCTCGGATGTTCTAGACTTTCCCATTGTTCTCTCGCCACCTTAATCTTTAACTTCTTCTCTCAAACACCCGAATCACTTGTAATACTTCACTTTATCGCTTTTTTCGCCTGATCTCATCCTGCAGCGCTGGGGGAGCCCCTTGCGTATACTTGCCACGTATCAGCCACATTTTAGCCACACATCCCGCCTGTTTCTACCCCGCGTGACCACTCCGAGCCCATTACAAAGGCCATCAGTCTCCGATTTGGTTTGAAGTTCACGCTTTTGATATTATCCTAAAGGCGTGTTTTTGATCATGGGAAAGTCGTGAGTTCTTCCATCCTCTCATCCCGCGTGAAATGGTAGTGGAACGGACCGCGCGGATCTCAGGATGCGCTTTCCCTCAGGGGAAACAAGCCAGGACCAAAAGCCCCGGTATCTCTGTTCTGAGACCCTGTTAAACATCACGCGACCCGAATGCAAGCGAGAAACTCAGCGCTGACCCCGTGTTCCGCAGTCAATCAAAGCTTTCGCCGACGCAGCTCGATGAGCTGCAGCGGGCAACACATTTCGATAAGAAAGAGCTACAACAATGGTATAAAGGTATGCAGATTGATGTGACACGTATGAGACACGCAGGTTCAAGTCGCTGATTGTGGATATGTCTAGGTTTCCTCAAGGACTGCCCGTCCGGTACTTTGACCAAGGAAGAGTTCCAGAAAATCTACCGACAGTTCTTCCCCTTTGGCGACCCGTCATCGTTTGCCAATTATGTGTTTCGCGTTTTCGACTCGGACAACAGCGGTATGATCGATTTCAAAGAGTTTATCTGTGCCCTTTCCGTGACTTCGCGGGGCAAGATGGAGGATAAGCTAGACTGGGCATTCCAATTGTACGATATTGACGGCGACGGGAAGATCACTTATGACGAAATGCTGGCCATTGTCGAGGCGATTTATAAGATGGTATGTGCAAATGTGGTTTCTAGAGGGTCTTATACATCAAAAACTAACGGGAATACAGGTCGGATCCATGGTGAAACTCCCCGAAGACGAAGATACCCCGGAGAAACGCGTACGGAAGATTTTCCGGATGATGGACAAGGACGAGAACGGCAGTCTCGACATCGAGGAGTTCAAAGAAGGCAGCAAACGGGATGAAACCATCGTCAGTGCCTTGTCGCTTTACGACGGGTTGGTTTAGATTGTTGCTTGGGCGAAAACTGGCGCAATGTGAGGCATTCTCTTTTGGATGGGGCGAGGGGGTTGCATTGCAGATTCTCTCTGTTTCTTTATTTTTTCTTGTTTCTCTAGTTTACTTTGTTTCTTGGCTTCCATCTTTTCGATTACCCCCCATGTCTTTGTATATTTGAGACAAGTACAACCTTGGTAGTGAAGTGTATACAATGTCTATCAACTTGACTTTGGACTTTGTTTTTGATCAATTACAACTTCTTGTATTAGAGCGGGAATGGTTTGACAGGAATCGAATCAATCAACCGTCGTCTCGTATATAGTAAATAATATGTCACACATCAAAATCACTCAAGTCGGCCCCGCCGCAGACTAACTACCAGCTCTTCTCCATTCTATCTGGAAGTGATGTACAAGGGTATCAGGAAGGCGCAAGAGCCAGTCCCCGGCATGCAGGGCACGATCTAATGTACTGGAATGAAATATGCAAGGAAACATAGGACACAAAGTATGTATCGAAATCACATCGGAACAAGGAAAGCATGCTGATCAGATGATTGAAGAAGAAAAAGAAGAGACTCGTGAGACAGCGTAAAGAGGAATCAGTATAGATCAGTATCCACCAATATCAACCAATATCAACCACATGCAAGTGAAAGAAGCACGAATTGCACGAGATCTGGGGTGCATGGTAGACAACCATCAAGCCTCAGAAGCAGTTGTGCAAGGGATGAACAGCTTTCTGAGAGTGGGCTAGGATCATCGACGATCAAAAAACCAGCTGCTGCGCTTCCCGGTCGCTTCCTGCGATTGTACGCCCGCGACGTTCGCATTCGCCGGCCCGTCGCCACCCCCGCGTAGTGGCTTCGCGATGCGCGACCCCCGAAGCTAAAACTCGCATTCCCATCCATGCTCGGTAAGCCGCGGGTGGAACCTTGCTTCGCTGCTTCGAGGCGTTCCTTGACAGCAGTGAGTTGAGCCTCAAATCTATAAGCGTAGTTAGTATCGGGTAGCATATAGCAAAATCAGGAGAAATCAGTCAACACGTACCGGTGGTTGGCTTGGGTAAGTTTCTCTTGGCTCTCCTGGAGCAGGGCTTCCAGGCTGGCAATGCGCTCATTTCTTGCAATCAGCTTTCGCTCGGCGATTGCCACCTCCTTCTTCAAGCTACTGTTTTGTTCCACAAGTTGGCGCTGTACGTGGGTCAACTGCTCCAGATTGCGCTCCAAGAAGGCCATTTTCTTCTGCTGAGCGCGGTTATTTGACGATCGAAGGACGTTGTTATACTGTTCTCGTGCATCGTCCAAGGAGATTTCTAACTCGACAACACGCTCGCAGCGGTTCTGCAGGTCACGCATGAGAGATTTCTTCATGGCATCGAACTCGGTGATCTGCTGCTGCAAAGTCTTGCTTGCAGCGCCGTTGGTGGAGGTACGGGACTGGGTATCGACAAGAGATTGTCGCAACTTGGTCAACTCCTCATCCTTGCGCGAAATATCGGAGCGAAGCTCCTCAGCCGCCGCAGTCTCGGCCTCCTTCTTTGTCACGTACACCTGCTCTAGTCGTCCTCGAATCTCTTCCACGTCGCCCTCGCCCAAGTTGCGAGTCAATAGACTCTCATATTCTCGCTGAAGGTCATCCAGGCGCTTTTCCAAATCTGCACGGCGGCTGTCCTGCAGCTCGCCAAAGTCACTTCGGTCGTTCACGGTCAGCTCAGCTTGTCGGATAAAGCCTTGCGCCTCGAGAAGATTCGTGCGAAGTTCAAGGATGTCGTCCGGTGCAATGACTTCACCTTCAGAGCTGATTTGATGTAAAGCATCGACGCGCTGAATGAGGTCCTGGAGCTTCCGTTCGTTGTCGGAGAATACATCACCACCGAGGTCAAACCCAGCCATCATCTTAGCCATCTTCTCAGTCTTCTTCTTTTCCTTCTCATCCAGTGCCGCTGTGGTCTCCTTTGCCCTCATTCGGACATCTAGAAGCTGCTGCTTCACTTCATCTAGCTCGCCTGTGAGTTCCGAATTGGCCTCCCGGAGGCTATCCATGGTGATGGCGGCTTCCTTGCTCTCATAGGAGACCTTTTCGAGCTGCATGCGGAGCTCGTTGACTTCTGTGCCCAAGCGCTCATTATCCTTTCCTGTTCGTGCACCATTCTCCTTCATAGATCTAAGCTCGTCGCGTGCCTCGCGGAGGCTGCGCTCCACATTGACAATGTGTGACTCTTTCTCTGAAAGCTGATCTTGGAATTCATTCTCACGGCGCAAGAATTCCTCACGCTCATCCTTCTCCAGCACCAGGCTGGGAGTGCTAGACCGATCTCCAACCCGTGAATCTGGGCGTGGGGTTTCTGAACGCGCAGTCTCCTGTAAACGCGAGGGGGTACCCGGCCGTGGGCCACGGGCTTCGGCCTTAGCAGCACTAACAAGTTCATTTCCCCGGGCGGGAGTCCACTGCTCTTTGGGAACACTATCACCGCTGCGCCACATAACGATTTCGCCCTCGAGTGCTGATATGTAGTTTTCGAAGTTCGTCACTTGACTTTGCGCCTTGCGTAACAGTTGCCTCATCTCCGAGGAGCTGAGCTCTGCATTGACCTTCGCCTTGTTCTTGATGGCCTTAGCTCGCACACCGAAACGCAAAGTTGAAATTGTTTCCGCATCGTTGTAGCTGCTGGGAGAACAGTTGATAATCAAGGTTGTTCGAGAGTTACCACCGAGCGATTCCTGCAGAATTCGAGTAAGTTTGGAGTCACGGTAAGGAATGTGTGTGGATTTGCCGTCGGTCAATGCGTTGATGACCATTCCTAGCGCACTCAAACTCTTGTTGATCTTTTTGGCCTCCTCCAAAGTCTGGCCACTTGCGCCAGTCTTTCCAACCTTTTCACTGCCAGCCAAATCAACCAAGAATAATTGACCGCTCTTGGCGGATCCAGTCTCGACATTCTTTTGGGTGACGGTGATAACGAAGATGGAGTGAGAGCGAGACGATTCCTGGTTCATGTTGGTCGCAGATACGGCGCGTGCTGCTCCTCCTCGGCGCATGACTTCGTAGACCTCCTGCACGCTTGACACGTAGACTTCCAGTAATCCTTTAACGTAAACTCCGCGAGCTTTCTCCTCGTGGACTGGCAAGTTGTCGTTTTGAGGCACCAGTAAATCACGGATCCGCTCCATGTAAATTTCCATATAGCTGACCCGTACGGTGTACTCGATGTTGCTCGGGCTAGTGAGGATGCTGGCGAAGATTTGCTCGATCATGCGTGGAATGATACCTTTCTCTATGTCATCATCGATGTCGGAACCCATCATTGTATATGATTTTCCGGCGCCAGTTTGACCATAGGCAAACACTGTTCCATTATATCCATTGAGAATATCGTCCACAGTCGGTCGGATAGAGAAGTCGAAAATGTCGTTTTGCGCAGTGTCCATAGGGAACACCCGATCAAATGTAAAGGCGCCTGTGCCCTCGCGTGACTGAAGTATCTGTCAATAAAGCTGTCATAGTTTCGGTCTCCTGTTTTAGACTCACATTGATGCTACATGACTCTTCATTCTCGAATTCGACGATGGGTTTACCCCCAGAGGCCAATTCGATTTTGTTTTGCGGACGGAACCTAGCAACCACTATACATATTTAATCAGTCCCATTCTCAGTAAAACGCGCCTTGGTTTATGTGACAGCCTGTGCATACCCTTGATGGTGTTCGAACCCACGGACCTGTGGAACGTTAGTTATGGCCAACGCACGATAAGCCTAAGCGTATACTTACGCCATGTTTGTAGAATGTGAGATTTGCTATGATACGCGCAATCTAAAAGATAGACCCCGAGAAGGGATAGGTGGGCCTCGGAGTTCGTCAACGGCGTTTAAAATGAGCGCTCGTCTGTTGCGGTGTAGTGGCTCGGAGGGGGGTACGTTGGGGATCAGGGGTCCACGTGCACCGTGGACCAAAACGCTTAAGAAATGAAGAAAAAGATAAAGTATCAGTCAGGCCGCAAAGAAAGAACGGCCAAACCAAGAAGACCTACAGCAGGACTTTGCAGGGGAGGGGGTTGACGCGCATGAGTGGGATTTCGACTGTTGACAGTCACCCCATTTGGGCTTACCGCCCCCGGACTCGGAGATGCACCCTGCAGATAAGCTTAATGTATAAAGAACTATACAAGCATACATATATGATTGAACATCTTAAATACTTGGGTATTTAATTTTTATCTCTACAATACGCACGTCAAGACATCATAACATAAGTTTTGCAGAAAAATCAGGCTAATGCACGAAAACTAAACTATAAGACCAATTTATAAACTCGCCTGGCATGACTGAACGGAGTATGAAACATCATCAACTAGAATTATGAAGAAAAGGAGATGAAGGGAGGGAAAATGAAGAGAATACACAACCTGAAAGAATAAGATACCAAGCGCCAAACCCCACGCTGTGCAGATCGAACGGCAAGCTGCTGTGCTCATTCATAAGACTATCAGCCCATCGAACCCGGCTCAGCGAATTTGATTGCTCAATTATCTTCCCAGCTTTTCTCGACTGTCTCTCGCACTCGCTTGGTGTACTCCTTGCGGTTGTCTTTGTAGAGGTTCGAGGCCTCGACGTTGGCCGGAGACGAGGTATTGGGGTCGTTCAAGAGACTAGAATTGACAAGCCGCACATTAGCATTTGCATAGTTATTTTATATAGCTAAGGCAGCCCTACCTTTGGATACTAGTGAGAATGGCGGCCACATCGTACGTCGGACTCCAGCGGTTCTGCAAAATGTCGAGACAGAGCTCACCGGTTCCATACACATTGGGATGGAACATTTGGCTTATAAATTTCACGCCCGGTGGCTTGTTGGGGTATTGTTCTTCGAAATTCATGACCAGGCGGAATGTGCCGTCTTCGAACGGCGTGTCGGCGGGGCCGATGATGACGGCATTCCTGGAATTCCATTAGAATCATTATCAAGACATTCAAAGAACACCCCGGGGAAAACATACCATGTCATGACATTATCAGCGACCGGAGATGCAGAGACTCCAGCTGGAGGATCGGTTTGCATGCGCTGTGAGCATGAGAATGTTAGCGGAGGCGAAACATCTTACAGAGTGCTGGAGAAAAATATAACAAGCAAATTGGGTACAAAATCACATAGGAAGAATCCAAATGAGCTCATTTTTAGATACAGCGGAAACTTTCGAATGACCCAAGGTGAGATGATGATGTTAGCGCGTACCTTGAAGTCCCGCATGAGACGACGGCGGGCGGATGTAGACATGATAGAACAATCGGGGGAGGCGTGTAGTGGTTAAAATAGCTTGGTGAAGCTACGGGTATGTAACTAGAAATCAGGATTTTCCGGAGACAGTCAAGGGAGAAGGTAAAAGAGAGATGGGAGAGGAAACCCGAAAGTCATTGATACGCTAAGGCGATATGCAGCGAAGCGATGGAGGGGAAGTTCGGAAGAAATATCCTAATGGAGAAACTATCTTAAGAAGGCTAGATCGAGTTAAGAGAGCTCCGGGCTCGGGGAGCTCCTGGGCCCGGGGCTCCTCGGGGCTCGGCGATTATTATGTCATCGTCAGGGTCATGGCGACCGCCTTTAGAGCCTCGGTCCAAGCGGAGTGGCGGTTATATGCGGGTACAACAAGGGCGGGTCGATTCCGATATGCACATGCCAGCATTTCGCTCTGCTTTTTGATCTTGAACCTCTTCTTTTAATACCCCAATACTGTCAACTCACCACTTAACCATTATTTTGAATAAATAATCATGATTTCCCCAGGCTTGTGTGCTCGTCTCCCCAAGCGAGCCTTCCCCGCATTCCGCGCCCAGCGACAGTTCAGTTCCACACGCCCGACATGCAAGGAGATTCAGGAAGCTTACATTTTGAGTGCATCTCGAACACCAACAGCAAAGGTGTGGGAACTTGGAGAAATCTTATGAGAAGCAATTTACTGACTTACGATTGGCTAGTTCAATGGTTCATTTGCTTCTGTATCAGCACCTGAGCTTGGCGCTGTTGCAATCAAATCTGCCCTAGATAAATCGAAGGTACCTGTTGAGAAGATTACAGATGTGTATATGGGAAATGTCTTGCAGGGCTCAGTAGGCCAGGCCCCTGCCCGTCAGGCATCTATCTTTGCTGGTCTCCCTTCTACAGTCGAAGCCACGACAATCAACAAAGTCTGTGCTTCCGGCTTGAAGGCGGTAGCACTTGCCGCACAAAATATTCAACTGGGCTTCGCAGAGGCACAGGTGGCTGGTGGCATGGAGAACATGACTCGCGTCCCTTATTATATGGCACGCGCCAGCCAATTGCCCCCCTTTGGTGACATCAAGCTAGAGGATGGTCTCATCAAGGATGGTCTTTGGGATGTTTACAATAAGTTCCACATGGGCATCTGTGCAGAACATACCGCAAAGAATTATGATATCTCGCGGGAAGATCAGGATTTATATGCCATCCAATCATACGAGCGGGCCCAACAGGCATGGAAGGAGAACAAATTCGCGGATGAAATTGCCGCGGTTACTGTGAAAGGTAAGAAAGGCGATACCGTTATTGAGCGGGATGAGGGCTTCGAAAACTTGCGTGCCGATAAGTTAAAGAGCCTGAAACCTGCCTTCCTGCGTGATGGCACTGGTACCGTGACCGCTGGCAACGCATCTACCATGAATGATGGTGCATCCGCTTTGATTCTGGGCAACAAGGATATTGCTCGCCAATATGGCACTGGCAGCCGTGTCTTGGCCCGTATCGTTTCCACGGCCGATGCTGCCATTGACCCTGTGGACTTCCCAGTTGCCCCTGCCAAGGCTGTCCCAATTGCCTTGGAGCGTGCCGGTATCACCAAGGACCAAGTAGCGGTATGGGAATTCAACGAGGCTTTTGCGGCTGTCATCAAAGCCAATGAAAAGGTTAGTGCCGATTCTGTTCACCTTCCAAATCAAATCTAACTCCTCTAGATTCTGGGTTTGCAAAACGCCAAAGTCAACATGCTCGGAGGTGCCATTTCTCTGGGCCATGCTCTTGGCAGCTCAGGTTCGCGTATCCTCGTGACCTTGCTCCACCAACTGCAGCCCGGCGAGTATGGAGTGGCTGCGATCTGCAACGGTGGTGGTGCTGCGACCGCGATGGTTGTGCAGAGGCTGGACCGAGTGGATTGATTCCGTCACAGGGTTCATGCAGTGTCTCCGGGAAAGCAAGCTATGTCTTGTCTTGATACCCTCAAATAAACGATATAAGCGTGGATATCCTCCTGTGTAGCGGGCACATGTACCTTTCTTGTGGTTTGGAATAACAAATTTAACAACTAGTTTATTTCCGGGTCCTTCTATGTAAAATTCTTTGCCTGTTTGTTTCCGGGGCTTTCCATATGAATATACTACGCAGCGCGCACACGCGCGCTACCCTTATCCTCTCTCAGTCCTTTTTCCTCTTCTCTCAGATCTCTTAGAAAATCCTTTGAAGCTATGAATTTGTCGTTTACCCCCTCTTCTTCATCTCTTTCCAGTCTGTCTTGCCATCTTACGACTTTGAAGCGATTCTTGGTTGATGATTTTGTGTTGGTGCCTGATTATTCAGGAATCAACTCAGCAGAATGCAACCCAAACAAAAGCAGATCTCTCGCTACCCTTCCTCATATCTTCATACTGTACCTCACAAACCATTTATTTATCAACAATGCTTGCGCAGCAAGAATCCTATCTTTGACGATATGTTGAACCCTGTGGCCCTACCATTGTCCCCATCCTGCCATGACGCCATTTCTTGGTCCCCGGACGGCGAGATTGCTATCGCTGCGGGTGAATACTTCCAGGTCCTGGTAAGTATCCAATGATCTCATGAGCGTAATATAACTAACATTCTGACAGACACCCAAAAATGGCCCTGATGATGATGCGGCCCCCAACTCAACTCAAGATTGGCTGGTGGCTCGTGTTAGAGCTAACTTGTTTACGAACTCTGAATGGCCGAGCTACCTTCCGGGAAATCGAGATGATTTTTCGGTCGCCGCAGACCTTTCAGAAAGCAATGTTGTCAGTCTGGCTTGGTCACCAGCAGGTCTAGGCAAGTATCGGCGTAGTGTGTTAGCCGTGCTGACGTCGAATCTGGTACTGTCCCTCTGGGAGCCCATTGGACTTAAGAAGCAATGGACTAGGGTTGCAGTCGTCAATCATATGTTTTGGCCACAGCTGCCGCCGTCACAGGACCCAGATAGTCATGGATTTCGGAAGGTTTACATTCGATCTTTCACCTGGTGCGAGTCTTTGAAGCCTTCAACGCCTGCCGCTGGCTCTTCCTTTCTACATTCGCATGAAAGCCGCTGGGGAATTCCTCTGCTAACAGTGGTGAATGACCTCAATGAAGTCATGCTAGTGCGGGTCCGCAGATCAGACCCAACTAACAGCCCTTCAAAGCCTTATGATCTTCAAATCCTGGCGCTTCACTGTCTAAAGAACATGGAGACGAAGGGCGGTCGGGTCTGCTCTGGATCATTATTTGAGAAAGCAATCAGAGAGAGGCAACGTACCACTGAGCTTTCCTGTGGTCCGTGGCAGATTTCACCCTCGACGAGTCCAGGCAACTTTGGCTGCGCAGTCGCGATGATAGCTGCAGTATGTGGAACGCAGCTTCGCCTAATGAAACTCGAAGTCACTATTGGAAGCTCTCTCGGAGAGACGTCACAACGGTATATGTTAGTCAGCGATCTGACCGAGCATCCTTTGGACAAGTTGAATGAGAAATGGGCATATCACAATATCGCTGGCCCTCTTAGGTGGCTCCATACTGTACGGTTCATCTCTTACACCCATGCTAAAATGTTTCATTCCGTTAATAAAAACCTAGCAGAGATCGTCCACAACCATTGCTCTGGCAGTGGGTGCCATGGCAGGATTCATAGCCATATCCATGCCCTATGCTGCATACACGGGTAGCGCTACCAATTTTAATGCCATTGGATTCCATGATTACCCGATCTATGAGCCAGAAACCGAGGACAACAAGGGCCGCCAAGTAAGGCACCTAGAGCCGATTTCTGGTATGTTATACAAGATCTATATTGCCCTTTTAGCACCACTGACATGCTGTAGCAATGCTCACTTCCATCAATCAAGAAAGCGACACATGCAAGCTCCACGTAGGCACGCTCGGTGGAATTGGCGTAGTAACAGAACTTCGCCAACTTCAAAGCGGCGTTGCTTTGCAGCAGCCAAAATGGAAACGCATGATTGAAGAGTTCCATGATGATTATGACGTGGAGCACGATTTGGGAGGAATGTCAGTCTCGAGGATCTGGGGACTCGCAAGCCATCACAACATGACTGCAGCTATTTTCACTTCACATCCCACGGACATGATCGAGTATCGCATCACCTCTGACGACAGGTCTACGATTGTTTTTTCAGACGAGGGCGAACTCACGAGAAACGCCCAAGCCCCATTTGCGGCGCACATCCCCGATGGCCAGGCCTCCAATCACGACCAGACAGGGGAAGTGATACGTTTTGTGCTACCTGGTGACGATGGCAACATTGAAAATGACACGGAGAGCCAACGCCTAATTTATGCTGTTGCCTGTCGAGCCATTGTGGGAGAAGAGGACAAGTCGCTTCGACTTCACGCTCGGCGGTCTTTGGAGCGTCTGGCCGTAGTGACAGGCGCAGATTTGAGCGATGATATTTCCAAATGCAACAGCGAGCCCTCCCCAATATCTGCGAAGACTATGGATCATCTCGCTGGACCAGGCGGTCACATCTACGAGAAGTGTGAAGTTTGCGATGCGGCAATTGGCTGGCCGAAGGCCCAGTCGGCTCAGTGCGCCAATGGTCATGTTTGGGGTAAGTCACATTATGGTTTGAAATTGTTAATCTAACCATGCTGACCCATTTTCTTCATATAGAACGATGTGGACTTTCCTTCCTTGCCATTCAAGAACCTGGCATATCCAAGTATTGTTTTGTCTGTCGCAAAGAAGCCCTCGATGAAGAACGCGTGGCATGCGTGCGTGGGGGGAAACAAGGTCGAACATTTGACGCTCTATTTGAGACCTTCGATACCTGCCTGCAATGTGCAGCTAAATTTCAGGCCAGTTACTAGGCGTCCTCGAATAGGATTTTCAATGATAACGGAATGTCTCGTGGGTGGCCAGCGGCTGCAAAAAGGACGGGATGTTAGTTAGCCTAAAAATGTAACATAATGCCATAATGATTCCAACGAATAATCCTATTCATGTAATTACAGAGAGCTACCCGTCTATCTATGTCAACCCAAGAAGGGACCCCGCAATAGGATTCCATTCGTCGTCCCATCGCCGAGAGCTTTCTTTTTTGGCACCTCGGCGTAGACTCTCCAATTTATCATTATCACCGAACAGGTCAACCAAGTGCTTAGCCAACTCCTCCGAGCTCCCAAAGCCCAATCCATTGACGCCCTGGGTGACCAACTCGGGCCATGCTTCGAAACGATCCCATCCCACAACAGGAAGACCAGCTCCGAACATATCTACAACCTTCATTGGGAGATCTACCCCACTGCTGCTAGTATGAAGGCTGACCCCCAGAGATGCGGATGCCAACAGCTGGGCATATTCTGATACACCCAACCACGCAGTTCGAATTGTGACCTTCTGTAGCTTACTTGTCTTTTCAAGAATGGCAATCTGTTCCAAATACATTTCTTTTTGTGGGCCCTTCCCTGTTATGATGGCCAATACCTCGGGGAGGTGAGGCTGCGTTGTAGTGGCCAGTTCAGAGTAATAAAGAAGGGCATCAATGAGGACTGAGAAATCCTCATCTGCAGTCCATGAGGTTGAACTGACCAGCACCCGGAGAGACCCTGCTTTTAAAGGAGAATGAAATTCCTTAGTTTCCGGTAGAGTCATGAGGAACTCCACTCGTGCATTGGGATCGAGGATGGGATTGAAGTGACTGGCAGGGCGGTCGTGCAGTGGCAACACAGGGGCTTGAAGATTGAAATCCCTTCTGAGAACGGATTTCATAGCATTCGTGACGCACAAATGAGCCGTAGCATATTTGCAGAATGCCTTCTCATACGACAACGACATTTTCACCAATGGATGGCTTTGGCCGAGTTTCAACGCGAGTATGGAATATCCAAAATTATGCCAATCAATGATAAGCCTCGTTTGCCGCAAGAAACAGACAATTGATGCTATAGCCAGTGTGGGAATGGAAGGTGGGTTCTGTTTATCCCGCAAGGGCGAGTCAGCACCTCAAATGATTACTGAATAACCTCCTGTGATAAACTTACCTGGACCAAAAGCCACCGGGACGGTTTTGTGGTATACGCAAGACACTTCCAGAGACAGGCAATCTGGAATAACACCTTCAATGGTCCATAAATTGTAAATAGTAATTTGTTACTAGTCTGTAGAATAGCGGCATGGGGGCGAAGTGGAACAATTGAGATGTTGGGGTTAGATATGATATCAGGATGAGGATCAGATTCTGTTCATAAGTGGTAGTTAGAAATAATGTCTTGCTATATATATGAACAAAAAAAATCTGTACTAACCATTATACCCGATAATTATCACCTCCCCGCCATGTTTTGCAATGCTCAATGCATGATACTGCATGCGCGGGCTTCGGCCAATGTCGCCAAGAACAAGGATTTGAACGCAAGTCTTGCGCCTTTTTGTATCATCGGATCTTGAAGATTCCACTTGTTCTGGCTGATATTGCGAAGGGAGTAAAAGGATCAACACGGTGAGGGCGCTTGACAGGCAGAACACTACGCTGATAAGGGTCTCGATCATGATGGCAATGGCACTTCAAGTATGTCAATCATGGCATTGACCAGCTTTCAGTCACATTAATGAACTGTAGAGAGTTGAACTGCAGTTTAATTAGTTCAAGGTGGACTGTGAACAGTACAATGTTTTGAAAGCGCGTCAACATCTGATACGTAATATCTGATAAGACTTCACGTGATTCCCCTTACGAGAACCTTGGGGAAGATGGGCTTTTCCCTGACAGTGGCAATCTCTTTGTGAGCCTGTACTGGCGCTAACTTTTCCCTATATCACTTTCCTTTATTATCATATTCCGCAATGCTGTATCTCCTGACAGCCTGCCCGCTAATCTGAGCCCTCGCCCTCGCCCGCTCCACCTCCCCCGATATCTTGGCAGTACCCCCATCTCCTATCCTGTTTGCTGGACCTTCCAGCTGCTGCGTATCGTCAGCATCTGAAGACCATGTCGACGGGGGCACCGTTGCTGAGCGTGGATCTCTCACCACCCTCCATTGGACACAATCATAGTCATGGACATAGTCGCAGTCATGGCCACTCTCGATCCAACCGCTGGGCACAACCTCCACCTCCCCTCTCACAGCCAATGGGTGCTACCCTTCATGAACACCCGGAACCAATCAATGCTGTGAATCAGAGTTATTCATATGGAAATAAAAATCAAACATCGGGCCACGGTCACGCGCACTCGCATTCGCATTCGCACTCCAGTGCACCTCACAAGCATAGCCCTAGTGTGTCGTCTCTCCACCATGATGTGCTAGACGATCACCATTTGAAAGGCACTGATGGTGTTCACGGAATGTTATATACGGATACCTCTACACGGGGAGGCTATAGTTCAGAGAATGTGTATGTTGACTTGAATGTGACTTACAAGTAAAGACTGACCCCAATCACAGCCACGAGTTTTTGACTAGCGCACTTATCGTGCTGCCGTGGGTCACGCTTTCTTGGTATCAGAGACAGTGTGCCCAAAGCCAAAAGCTATCCGGTGAAGGCATACCTGGTACGACAGCGAACATTCCTATCGGACAAGTTGGCCAAAAGGCCTGCCTTTTGACAGCGATCATCCTCGTCCTCTTCGGCTGTGGGCAAATACTGCGGATCAACCACCAAAAGGCTGGCTCATTCAGGCTCTTGCCTGTCATTTTGCCGAAGCTGAATGTGAAGAGCGTCCAAACCTCACTGTCACAAATTGTCTCAGTGGCACTGCCAATATTTGCAGCACTCAAGATCGGAGGTTTTTTGGTTGCATTTACGCTGCTCCTTGCGACAGCATCAGGGGTCCCAGCCATCATTAGTAGATCCTCGCGCACCCAAGAGAAATACAGTCGAAAGATTCTCTCCATTGCTCTGCTAGCGGTGATTATCATATTGAGTTTCACTGGACTGAACCATCCTTGGGATGTATCTCCATTTATTGGATATGCTGCCCTTTTAGGATCCGTCTTTGTTGCCCCTCCTCCATTTCCTTCCCTCCGTCACAGTGGACCTATTCCTGAGCCAGGCATTGTTGCTGCACAGAGCAAGACTCCACGCACGAGCCACTCCGTTTTGGTCACGACTGATGCACCACTGGCCGTTATAGGCGGGTCGGCCCTTGCACTTCTGATCACACTTTTCAACCGAGGATCTCTCTTTAGTATCTCGGATTCTATATATCTCCTTATCCCCATAGGGATTTTTGCTTCCTCGCTCATGTTTTCCCTGCCCACAAGCCTCCGCTCTTCCAGAAAGGCTGGACTGGCCGTTTGTGTCGGAGCTGCAGCTTTTCTTTGTGCCCCACATGCTGAAGATGACTTGCTCATGATTTATGCCACACGTGGTATCTTGGCTACGGCCGCTTTCTTCGCCTCCCGAAAAGATGACAAGCATTTGCATCTGGATACCCATACGCATAATGATACGCACGGCCATTCACATTCACACACAACCTCAGAATCCTCCCGAGTATCCAAGTGGCTTCTCCATAAAAGCGAACCTTATCAATTGTTGCACAGCATTCTCAAGGAGAAGGATTCTCGTAGCATCTTCTACTTCATGTGGTGAGTTGTGAGATCCAAAAGCAGCCATTTATGAATCATTGCTAATATTGTGCAGCCTGAATTTCACTTTTATGCTTATTCAATTATCATACGGGTTCCTGACCGGATCACTGGGGCTGCTTAGTGACAGTATTCATATGTTTTTCGATTGCTTTGCGCTTGTTGTTGGCTTATGTGCCGCCGTCATGAGCAAGTGGCCCCCGAATGCTCGATTCCCCTACGGCTATGGCAAAGTTGACACTTTGTCAGGGTTTGCCAATGGGGTTTTCCTAATGTAAGTGTTGTAAAAACAGTGCGCAAGGGCGAATTCTAACGTCACGCAGGATTATCAGCCTGGAGATTGTTTACGAAGCGGTGGAACGGCTCTCGTCGGGGAGTGAGGTCCATCGTCTAGGTGAGTTATTGATCGTCAGCATTGCTGGCCTGGGAGTCAACTTGGTCGGAATCCTCAGTTTCGAGCATGGTCATGCTCATCACGGCCATGATCATGATCATTCTCATGGCAATGAGAACATGCACGGTATCTTCTTGCACATTCTTGCCGATACGCTTGGCTCAGTGGCAGTCGTCATTTCAACTATTCTCGTGCATTACTCTGGTTGGGCCGGCTACGACCCATTGGCATCATGCTTTATCGCCATATTGATTTTCGCATCGGCCGTTCCTTTAGTTAGCAGCACGGCCAAGTCACTGCTACTCACTCTGCCAGCCGACACCGAATATAATGTTCGGGAAACACTAGCAGGAGTCAGCACTTTAAGAGGCGTGGTTAGCTATACGGTACCTAAATTCTGGCTTGATGATACGGGGAAAATATCTTCCGGGGATAGTCATTCCCATGATCATTCCGGCGATGGGGATTGTGAGCATCACCATGATCATAGCCACAGCCAACACCGTCATGGTCATGGTCATGGTCATGATCATGACCAGCATCACGGCCACAATCACAGCCATGACCATGGCCATGATCACGATCACGATCACGGACATGCGCATGAGAAAAAACCCCAGAACGTTTTCGGGGTAATTCATGTCATCGCTTCTCGGGGGGCAGATTTGGAAGATGTACGCCAACGGACTGTCGATTTCCTTCGAGAGAAAAACATGGATATTCTTGTCCAAGTTGAGCGGGACGGAGATGCGCGCTGCTGGTGTGGCGGTGGAAGCAAGGGCTTTTGATTGGCGATAACTATGTTCCACCCATCATCAACTGCTCTCGGAAGGGAGCCAGGCTTTACGGTGCGTCTATCGTTTTCGTCCGGCCGATGTCTATATATCTCTTGTACAGATAGGATTGGATCGGTTCGCCAAAGAATTACACCAATCCACAGCACATAGTTTTCTCCACGGGCTTCATCAGAAGTGGAAGGCATATATTTCAATGATTCAATTACGAACTCCAATTCTTTGTCCCATCACATGTAGCCAAAATCTATCTGGGGAACATTCAAGGGCGCAACTTGTACGACCCGTTCATCATCTATGGGCTGTCCTAGATGGATATGCTAACCCCGAACCCTGCATTTTAGACAAATGCAGTGCAGTCCCGTCCATGTCTCTTGGGCCAGATCTCTAAGAATTGCAACATGATGCTCATTCAAGTCACACAATCACATTGAACTTCGGTAGCACTTGGCGCGAAAGTCCAGGTCTACCTACTCTGCTATTTCACGAAACCCCCATTCGATATCCCTGGAGGTTGCCAGCTTTGTCGGCCAACCCAGGGCCACTCGCCAATTTGTTAATCTGCTGCTCCAGAGAAATAACCTCCAGGCTTTCAAACCGTACAAACTCTAGAGTGTCATAGACTCCTGTCCTACCAACCACTTGACTTCCGGGTTTATGCGAAAGATGCTACGGAATCTTATATACCTTCCGACATTATCACAACCCTAGGTAATCCTTTGTGTCATTATTCTGTAGCTCGTTCTATAGAGATATTAACTACACTACACACTCGAATCTCTTGTCTAGCTTACTCGATGTCGTCAGCTTTAAGCGCACAAATACAATATGCCGACGAAGTCGTGCGAGGAGGATATGGAAAGATATTTGAGGGCCATACAGTCTTCCTCACCGGATGTACTGGGTGCCTAGGGGGTTGCCTCCTGTACAAGCTAGCTTTACAACTGCCAACTCGCAAGATTTTCGTCTTGGTTCGAGGGAACTCCCAGCGGGCTATTGGATTATTGAGAAAATCGATGCCAAACCATACCGAGGCAATCCTAGCCACAGAGAAAGTCGAATTCGTGATTGGAGATATGAAATCGGTGAACTTCGGTATTGAACCCGATATCCTTGGACAACTTCAAGATCAAGTGACGTTGGTCATTCACGCAGCAGCCAAGATCAAACTTGAAGGCCCCATTCGTGATGCACTGGAAAGCAACTGCCTCCCTGCGCTGGAAATGGCACGCGTTGCCTCCGAATTCCGGCGACTGAAACTACTCATCCAGATCTCTACATCATATGTCAACAGCCACCTTCCCGATGGCCCAGTTCTGGAACGGATATATCAATTGGGGGGTGAAGAAGATCCAGAGGATGAGCTAGCATCAATTTTGACGCTGGGCACATCACCGCACTCGGGCAAATTCTCGTCTACCTACACCCAAGCCAAGCATCTCATGGAACGTCTACTACTCAGCCGCTTCCCTGTGCTTCCAATTCTACTACTACGGCCAACAATCTTTGGTCCTGCGTTCAGACACCCCTACCCGCTATATGGATCGGAGGACTCCACGCCTCTCACCAAGTTTACTAGGCTCTGGTTCTCTGACCGGGGTCCCACACAAGTGTGGCATGCCACCGAAGGGTATCAAACAGGTACCAATATCCTGGACGAAATCCCTGTGGACCTTGTAGCGAACGCGTGTCTATTGCACGCAGCAGCGCGGACGACGGGCATTGTCCAGGTCGGCTCCCAGCTCTATCACCCGATTACTTTTGATGATGTCTTCCGATTGGGTTTTGAAAATGCGACTCCTGCAGTGCAGCAAGAATTCCCAAAGATCATGTTCACCCAAGATCGCACCATGCCGCAGTGCTTTCTTGCTGAGTTGATTCAAGTAGGAACTCGTAACTGGCTGTTCGATTGCGGGCGGTCCTACTGGCTCAAGCAGGTGAGTGGGCCATTGAGCATGGAGGTATGCAAGCATGAGGCAGACGCTCTCAATTTAATCAGAACTCATGATGTCCTCGGGACTGGAAAGGAGAAAGCCCGGATCTGAATTGAGCTGCAGGGAAATTGGAGGCTGAAGGCTGGCCATAGCATACATGTATCTGACTTTGGTCAGGCTGTCCCAATACATGGTATTTATAGTTGATCTGTAATAGCTCTCTTGTTACTACCGGGTAGAGACCACTGTAGCTCTCAATTCTCCAGTGTCACCCCAAAAATCCACCCAACAGTCTACCGGTCTATTTCAACCAGCGATCTTGGTGGCTCCAACAAGACTAGCGCCCCGCAAAGCCCACAAATGGGCCCGGACCCCAGGCCCATAGCCCAACCAGCAGCGGGCTATGGGCTCAACCTTCGAAGCCCAACCCAACCCAATGGGCTATGATGGGGATTCAGGGGGTTCAACTAGGAACTTGTAACGAGTATCTATAATTTCAATCACTATATATACATCATCTGAATTTAAATAAGATCCGACCAGTGAAAGTGGGAAAAAGGTCAAAATACTCTATCAAATGTATATAAGATCTATACGGGAGTAATATCACTCACTTGTGAACCTTTACAATTTATAACTTTTCTAAACAACGCGTTTTCTCGCGTTTTCAAACGTGAGTAATATACTTATTTTTAATTCATAATATTCGAATTATATTAATCAATTATCACAATTAGAAAAAGGCGAGAGACGGGGTCTTTACATAGAGTAATTAAAAAACTCACGTTTTTCGGAATATTTGTATTGTATACTTTTTGGGCCTTAATGGGGCCCTATTAAGGCCTGGTGGGCTTTCACCCCGGGCACATAGCCCACCGGTGAGCCTAAGAGCTGGGTCCAAAACCCAGCCTAGTAGTGGATTGGGGCGGGTTGGGCTTTGGGCTTTGTGGGCTTTATTTCTTGTTACAAGACATTACAGTCAATCGCTCAAAAATAGGCACGACGCTCTCCACTTCGTCGTCCAAGATTGGAAAGTTTCTATGGAGTATATATTAGGCAAATATGGACAAAGAATCTGGGCGTAATCACTAATTTCTCTAGGTTCTTCAAGCTCCACATTGCAATAGCCTCGCCGCCGTACAAGCTCGGCGTAGGTTCCAGATTCGACGACCACACCAGCCTCTAGAAAGTGGATAAAGTCCGGATTCTGTAAATCACTCAAGGAATGGACAAGAGCAATTTTCGTGCGCTCTTTTGCAGCTTGGTCGAGCATAGGCTGAACTACGCTTTAGGTTTCCGAATCCAGCGCCAGAGTGACTTCATCTAGCAACAGCAGACTGCATGATCAAATCGGTTACCGGCCGAGATGTTCTTTAGGCGCGAGTTTTACGCGGAAAATTGTCCCTGCTATCTCCTATAGATTACTCCGTACAGATATCACAGTATTGAACAATGGTGAAATTGTATAATCCATCCTTTTCCATATATTTGCATAATGGCTGTTTCGGTTCTAGTTCAGGTAATTATTGCGTACAACATAATAAAGATAAAGCTTGATGTGTGCCATGGACGATCTTTAGACCTGGCAGGCCCAAGCTTGAAATGATACAGGTCAAGCTGCGGCACCAGCTAATCATATTCAGCGTCTAGTATATCCAACGGACACCCCTTTTTTCAAGCTAAGATGTGAGATAAGCTGCAGGGACACTCGAGGCCAACTAGAGTGTAGATACATAGGTATGAAAATGGTCAAATTGATTGTGAGCTGCTCCAATGCATAGTATTTACAGGTTTATCAAGTGAAGACCGGTTCGCCTGAAGCAAGGGGTGAGATGACAGATCAAAGACGTACAATATACATACCTACTCCGTAGATTTCGGGAAGATCGGGTCTTTCAGTGGCCCGAGATTGAACGGCGATCTTGCTATGTAGATCTTTTAGGGGTATTTTAGCTCTCCTATTATCGGCATGATTGCAACCATGTGATACATGCAACATCGTTCTGCCGTTTGGGCTTATAAGCCATTCAAGTTGCTCGGCCTCAAAAAAGATCTCTGGGCATGAGTGTATTGCAGTCGTTGTAATAATTGCGAGCTATTCGTCAATGTTGGAGGATCAATTGCCGCGTTTAGGGTTGGATGGGCCAGCTCTAGCTCCACCAGAACACTTCATCTGTACTATTGAAAGATCTATCTCGATTATCTGAGGTCACTGCCGATCATGATAGTTTCGGCTTTCTTTTCTTTTGCTAGGCAAAACTATTGGCAACTTTTGATTACCTACAGAGTATGTTGTATAAGTAATCCACGACCTCGCTGGTCTCGTGTATATAAGATTTCATCAATATAGCAAGCTTCATTCTTTTCCCTGCGTCCAATACAAATCAGCAAAATGCAGTACAATCTCGCCTCTGTCTCCCTCCTCCTGACCGGCATGGCCTCAGCCACTCTTTTCCCCTCACCCTCACCAACCTCCGCGTCTCTCTTACCGACCTTCATCCCTATGGCTTCCACAGGCGCCATTCCCTCCTCAATCTCCGCCCCTATTGCTTCCAATACCCCCGGCGCAACTAATTCTGAGATCTACGACTGCGTCTATCGCGGTTGGGGCTGTGACTGGAGGAAATCTGAGTACGGCTACGGTTCCGACTACTGTGGTCATTCTCCCTTCAAGGCCGGCCAGCAGCTGAGCAGGAGCAAAGTCGTGGCTGTTTCTAAGGATGGCTCTGGCGATTGCGCTTCCAAAGTTGGTAAAACGTGCTGCCAGGTCCTGGCGAACGAGCCTTGTAGGCGTGGCGAGAAGTATCTTGAGTGCCAGAGGCCTGAATAGGTATGCGTGATATTGAACGAGATTTTATTCATTGCTGATGAGTCTATAGATTATGCGAGTTGAGTACTCCATGAGTCAGACGTCAGGCGTTCGATCAAAATTGTTTGGCGTGTACAATATAAATTGAGGTTTCTGGTCTGTACAGCTGTTTGGTTGGCTGGGTGTGTTTTATATCGAGTATTGGCTGTCTGGGAATGTTAGGGATTGATAGGACATATTTCATTAATATTAATTAATGGGGCGGATTTGTTATACATTGTTTCTCCCTTTGCTTTGTCTCTTCCTTTCTACTTCGATATAGCGACTGACGCCTTCAGATTATACACTGCATTGAGCAAGAATTGGGGTAGTACATAGTCGGTCATTGAAGCCATACTTAGCGACTTCCAGGAATCCCGTGTAGATCTTGACCATTTGGGCTCCAGATGCATTGTTAATCCAGTTTCGGATCTTTCATCAGAGTCCCATCTTTTTCCGGGGCCAGGCCACAGCGGTAGCCCATTCCATGTCTTTGGGATGAAGTGCATCCAATAATTCAGAGATCAACGCCCGACCTGAGTCTCGAGCCCACCAGTGCTGGCCATCAAGCTCCCCGAGCAACACGCCCCAGTGCATAAGAATCAACAACGCTGAAGGCAGTCGGCGTCGCACATTATCCACGAATTCCTTGTCTATCATAGCAAGCCAAGCCAGGACGTTGGCAGGGTCAACAGAATTGGCAGTCCTGGCTGAGAAGTGCCGCAGATAGACTATAGCATCTTTATTGACCCGATGTTGATCGGGGTCAATACTGGCGAGGGTCTCATCATTCAGAATACCGAGTCGATCAAGGGCAGCTTCCGTATCACTATCTAGACTGACCGGTCCTGATTCCCAATAGCTTTTTCGACGGGAAAAGAGCTCTAATTTGATCCAAGATTCACCAATCCGGTGGATTTTTTTCACCCCTTGCAAGAGTTCGAATACAACGACAATATTCTCCGTTATGCTTGAAATTTCTCCGCGGGCAGCAGTGACCCTTGGTAGAGCAATACCTATGACAGTAGTGATGATGGACTGCGCCAGCGCAGCCTCGCAGTTCATTGGGTTGATACTGTCAACAGCTGCGCGATATGGCGCAAACGTAAGGTTGTGATATTGGAGGGCGACGTCAATATACATCAGCGATGCCGGTGGTTCAATTGTGGCGGCAATATGAAGAGCCCCCAGGGCCAAAATGCCATTCATTAAAAAATCATATTGAAGAGCCAGGCGAGGAATGGCAATTTGCCAGACATAATGCTCCGAGTTGGAAGAGCAAAGACTCTTATAGGTTTCGGTAGAAAACTTATGCATAAGCTCCAGATCTCGCACCCCTGAAATGGCCGAAGATACAGAAGCCGCTAGGCTAGGGATCCTCGGCCGCAGGGGAGCTCGGTCTACAATAGCCAACGGGGCTGGGGTCTGGCTTTCTCGTGAATCGGACCGAGGGGGCGCTCTCAAATATGTGCATGAGAGTTCCCGCGAGATACAATTGGAGCATGGGGGCCCCTTTTCGTCACACTGCGGCCCGTTAGTCTCGTCATTCGATGGAGCCCGGAGTTATCTATGGGGCCACTTTGAGCTTCCGGGACTAACCTTAACGCGACGTCTCTTGCACTGGTCACAGCCTTGGCGAGATTTTGTATGCGCTCGGCGAGGAGGCATATCGGAGACCTCGGTATCTGGGGGTCCATATAACCGGTTGGCTCGGATCCTTCGAGATGTGGAAGAGTCCAAGCGCGGGGAGTGAAGAAGACGCTGCAGTCACGTGGATTGGAACTATAAAAAAAAACAATTCACGACCTGTCTTGTTTTCCCTCTGGAGTTTGCCCTTTTACTTTTTCTGCCTTTTACTCATTTGTCGCTCTCTCATTTGATATAAAGTGACCCTTCATTAGGAAAGCTCACCCCCACGTCAGCCAATATACATTCAGACATCAGCCTGGGAGGATCATCTGTGGTCTTGGAGGGGATCTAAAGCTATGCACTCAATCCTGATCGACATGATTTCCTCCGTAGAATTCATACATTCTAGAAGAAAACGAAGCTCTCGGGCTAAAAGGATTACGGAGAACAAGATCTCGGACCAAAAGCAACAATTCTCCGACAGGATCAAAGCGTCTGATAGAAAACAAGTGGATCCCGTTGTAAGCGACGTGGAGATAACGAGAACGAAAACGAAAACGAATGAGAACGACACTAAATAGCCAATAAGAATGCATTTCAAGTTTGTTTCATCTTATTATCCAGGTTATGGCTCCACCTGTTGGGGAGATTGTTGCTGCGGTCCCTTGGCGCTGACCGGGAGTTGATAATTTTGCGATTTGATATCAAAATCATCTTTCTCCAGGTCTCTGTAAGACTCTAGACCCTTTTCTCTTCCCTCTTAGTGTTATCTCGCTCCTGGGCCTTACACCTCTCTCACTCACCTCTCTCATTTCCCTTCCTCCTCCCCTCCATCTCTCTTTCCTCTGGATTACACATCTCTCCCAACACAACATGGCGAGCTACGCGACTTGCTCAGAAGTAGGCCCACTGTGTCCCGTCGAAAGCACAACATACGGATATTACCCCAGTTTCGGCGGGAACATCTTTTTCACGGCTTTTTTTGCCCTGCTCGGATTATGTCAAGCCGGCCTCGGTGTCTACTACCGAACATGGACATTCCTGATAGCTCTTCTCGTTGGGACATTAATGGAAATGGCCGGCTACATTGGCCGAGTGCTCATGCACGATAACCCATGGTCCGGGCCCGCCTTCAAGCTTCAGATCGTGTGTCTGGTTCTTGCGCCGACTTTCGTCGCTGCAGGTGTCTACCTGACATTGAAGCATATCATTCTGAGCTTGGGACCCGAACATTCGATCTTGAAACCGCGCCTTTTCACCTGGATTTTCATCGGATGCGACATTGGATCTCTTCTATTACAGGCTGCTGGAGGTGGTGTCGCTGCGGCCGCTGGAAAAAACGATATGAAAATGCTCGATGCAGGTGACAACATTATCATTGCCGGTATCGCCTTCCAGGTCGCGACCATGGTTGTATGTGCATTCTTTGCTATTGTCTTCTTCTGGAGGGTCTTCAAGAGCGGTGATGGGTTTTCAGGCGAGAAGAATCTCGATACCGGTGTTTCGCCAATCGTTCCCAAGTGGATGCCGTTCATCGTGGGCGCCGAGATATTTGCCTATGTCACAGTTTTGATTCGCTGTATCTATCGGTAAGAGCCTATGTTCGACTCCAAGCCACACAAGTTACTAACCACAATATCCAGTCTCCCGGAGATGGCTGGTGGCTGGGGAAATCCACTGATGCAGAAGGAGAATGAGTTTCTTGTCTTGGATGGAATGTAAGTGGTTTCTTGGTCCCTTTGATTGACCCAGGGGAATTTCAGCTAATATGTCATTAGGATGATTGCTCTGGCCTGTCTGGCCTTCACCATATTCCACCCCGGAATCTTCCTCCCATCATTGCGCTTTGCGCCCAAGAACCGCACATAATTGGTTTCTTGTTTGATTGTTGCGCTTGGCGTTTCTTAGATACTTTCTTCCCAGCATGTTTGCCTGTGGCAAAAATGATACTTTCTGCTTAATCAGGGTGCCCTGTCCACTTGGAAATATCTCATAATGAACACCCAAAGAATAAATTACCATTCTACATGTGCTGAACTTACGTCAAATAATCTAGAGCTTGTTCGGAAAAGTTGAATTCCAAACTCGTGAAACAAAGATGTTAGGATGAAACTCCAGCCCCTATGAACATCGCAAAGAAATGCACCGCAACAGAACCAGAGATCAAGAGCATGGCAAAGCATTGCTTGCGTCGTGCAATAAAGAAACGACCTACCGCTCAACGCGGTATATTGAACAAGAAGAAAAAAGAACCCCGGCAACACCATGTTAAACCAGATCATAACCCGCCATCTTAGATTGCCATGAATAATTAAATCGTGCCCTAGTCGTCCAACGTCTGACGGACACACCGACGGACGCGCTTCTTAAACTCTGCGGGGTCCTCGCGCCATAGACGAGCAGCCTCCACATTCGCCGGGCTTTCATCGTTCGGGCTAGATAGCATCGAAATGACAGACAGTAAGATCGTCTCGGGGGTTTGCACGGGAGACCAGCGTTCGGCAGCCGACTCGTAACCGTATTTGTCCTCCTCGGGTGGATGCAGGATTGAAATGCAGACATTGCCGTTTTCATAAACTATCAAAGCGCAGTCACATGTGAGTAAATTGTCTGCGATGGGTAATTTAACAGCAAACACATACTATTTGGGTGGAAGATAGGAGATTCAAACTTCATCTTCGGTGGCCGGTGAGGGTATTCTGGTGGGAAAGAAAGACGAGCTCGGAAGAAACCACCTATACAAACAGAACTGTTAGTATTCTTCAATGCTCAACACACTTGCGACAGCACAAGAGATGTATGTTCCCAGACGGCGTTGCCTTTGCCACCGCACCCGCTTAGGAATTCGATCTCAAATCCAGATATCACAGAATCATAACATACCTCCATACAGCTTCACATCATCCGATATCATGAGCATAACCTCCCATTCGAAAATGTCGTTATCGACCAAACCGCAGCTAATGCCGGGAATGTCCTTATCAGACTGCATCTGCTGCAGTTGGCGGGATAGCATGCGCCCCGCGGGAGAAGTCGCCATGCTGATAATGAGTGAAGAGAGATTAGAAGGTGGGACTGTGAGATCCGGTCGATATCGGAGGCCGATTTCAAGGTCGAAAAGAAGACAAAGAGGAGAAGCTGGGGAGAAGATGAGGGGCGCAAAAAGAAATGAAGGCGGTAAAGCTGGAGCGGGGTTTAAATGGCCGAGATGGGGAGGCGGTATACACCCTGGGCACGTAATCACTATACTGTATGGATCTATTCAAGGACCTCAGGAATATCATGTTGGAATCTCATAGTTCGTAACTTTAAAGACTATTGTATGGAGCAAAGAATTCAATACTCGCAGGGATATAGATATAGCAAAGGCATCAATCACACAAACATTCCACATTCTTCCTAATCTATCATCTGAGATTCATCGGGTCTCAGAGGCTTTTTACTCCAAGCTCAGTTAGATACGAGGAGCATCTGAGTCAGCGGGCTTGGCAGTCTTGATGAGCAAAACAATCTCAGCACCAAATACGAGAGCGGCGAAGAAACCAAGCGCCATCTGCATGGCAAATGTCTTGCCAATGACCTTGGCGAAGCGGACACGAGCAGCCCAATCAAAGGTAGTCCATGCATCCATGAGGCCAATCTTACCGCTACCACCGGTGATAGCAGGGATGACTTTGCCTCCAAAAGAGCGATCAAATGGCACAATAGTCTCTTCCTCCTCTGGGAGCATGGAGGCAGCCACACGGATGAAGATGACACGAGCAGGCATGGAGATCAGGAATGCCAGAACAGCAGGAATCACACTGGCGCCCATGAAGCGGTACATGCCCACCATAGAGGGGACATCCTGGTCGCCGGGAACATCGAGCCAGCCAGCCAGCTTGACAGCGGTCATAGGGATGAAGAAACCAGCAGCGGTGAGAATATCCTGGAGAGCAGCAGCTGGCGCAATCTTAATCCAAGTCTTATAGCTAGGGATACGCTGGTAGAAGCGCTTGGGGGAGGGTTCGGTGATGACAATGTGCACCCAGGCCATCTGCCAAGTGGCCAGAGCAACACTCAAAACAGACTGGACGATGAACTGGAGTAGATAGGAGGAGACAGGGAACCAAGAGAAAAGGGTGCCACGGAGCACGCTGTAGGCTAGGAACATGCCCATTCCACGGAAGCGAGACCAGAAGCCGGCACGGGAGCGCAGGTGCTTCACGGTAGTGCGCAGCTTGCTAGTGATGGGCTTGAGGGGAGTGGGAGCAACCAGCTCAGGATCTTCCTGGTCATTTGCTGGCTTGGTGGGATCAGGATCGGAAGTAATGCGCACGTAGATATCGGGGTTGGTGTCTTCAACTGCGGCCAGAGTGGAAATCACCATTCCGTAAGTATACTCGATCTGTCGGGTGTTAGTTCCACGAGATTTACGCCAGGAGGATCTTATTACTTACAGACCAGAATGCAATACAAAACAAGATAGCAGTGATGGCAACCAAAGCGACCACGCCTCCATTGAGCTGCTGCTCAATCTTGTCCGACTGCATGCGAGTTACAGCAAGCTCGGTTCCCCGACGCATAAGGGCATTAGTGACGGACATGATGAAGCCCACACCGATGGAGAATGTATATATTTGATGGAAAATTCGATGAAAATCTTCCAAGGTTGGAAAAGTAAGATGAGATAGAGGGGAAGATGGGGGCTTATATTTGATACAAAGGCAGGCAGCAGACTACTAGCGCCGGAGTCGGCGGGTACTCTCACAGTACTTAGTATTCTCTGGTGCTCCACTTACAGTTCGAAGTATCCGCCATGTATCTTTGATCAGCCTCACTCCAGTTGTATTTAGAAGTTGGAAGACTTCCTCTCTACTTTGCACTAATATAGCCCAAATTTTTACTTACTATTTACTGCTCAAAATTCACAAAATCAAAATGGATAAAAATAGAACGCCCCTTTATTATCGGCGTCCAATTTCTCCGTGCCGGCCAGGATTGGCCCCCGACATGTTAGCACTAGTTCTAGGCTGTAAAGCACGTTTATAGGCGAGCTGCTCTAGACTATCCTTGCCACTCGTCCTTTAAACCCCAATCGGATATAGCGCATATAGCTAGCGAGAAAGAAAAAAAAAAGCCCCTCTGTTGAGCCTCATTTGTTCCACGCAAAGTGGGTATGCTGCCTAAATCCCATCGTCTTTTACAAATAATTTACCGATAAATTTCGTCCAAAGCTTGTCCACATTCTAGATTCAATGTGCGGCCCATTCCAATCAGACACAAAAAAAGACTTTCTATAGAATATCGGAAATCAACCAAAGATCTAAAACGACACAAGACATGATCGAAAAGATGCGAACCAATCAAGGTCAAATCAAGGTCATAGACAACCATCCGTAGATGGGACACAGAACGCTGCAAAAAGAGATCAATCAAGGTATGTACACACACAAGCATTTTCATCGACTTTAGTCAAAGAGCTTCTTCATGCCCTTGTGTGCCAGCTCGACGCCGAGGAAAGTGGCGGCATTAGCAGGCACCGCACGAGCGAGAGCCGGTCCAAATCCAGGGAAGAAGGCCTTGAAGCCGCCGCTAGCGTAAACTGAGCGGATAACGCCACTCATGGTAGGCTTGCCCGGTGCACTCTGCAGGCGGGACTTGACGGTGTCAACGGGGAAAACGGGAATCCACATGGCAATACCGGCAGCACCACCAGCACACACAACGGCAGATAGGGAGAGCTCGCCGGTCACATTGCCTTCGGCATCTTTGGGAGTCAAGGTGCGCTTGATGTACTCGTAGGCCGCGAAGTAGGCGGCCGAACCGGGACCATCACGCGCCAGCGTCATGGCGCTGCCGCGGAACACGCTGCGAATACCACCTTCCTTATACAGCTGACGCACAACATCCATACCACCGGAGTACTTGGGCTTCTCACCCGGGGCCAAGGTCTTTTGGCCCTGGATCTGGAGGAGGACCTTGACACGCTCGAAGGGTGCCGTGATCAGGGTCATAGGAATGGCGGAGAAGAAACCCGCAGAAGAAATCTGTGCAATGGAGTACTGCGGGGTATCATTCTTGATGGGGACGGTGGAGAACTTGTTCACAAGGGTCTTGCCTACGTCGTAACCCTAATATACTATTAGCACATCGCTTCCAACCGGGCGCTCGCAGCTGGCTCCAAGCTCCAAAACAAAGAAAGAACGTACCCAAAAGCTGACAGCAACTGTAAAACATAATAAGTTAGCTTATAACTCGACCAATCGCTGATTGACGCGAAGCCATTAGAGCTGATGCTGGAAAACTTACACATGGGAGTAACTCCAACAAGCGGGGCAGAGACACCGGCATACAATCCCTACATAACCATTGTTAGTTCGGTCGCAAAATATCTGATGTGCTTGAGATAATCATACTCGAGCAAGTCCTTCACGTGCAACTGTCCGCCTGACCACATCCATGGCACCTGAGTAAATGCCCTTCTCAGCCGTCTGCAGGCGGACCTTCACCAGATCAAACGGGTGTCCGACAATCACAGCACAGAGACCACCAGCAGCACCAGCTGCGAGGGAGCGCAGCTGTACAATGGTCTGGTTGACAGCCTTGGTCTCGACGGCCTTGATCTCATCTTTCAGCTCCTGCGAGGGGGAGGTAGAGGTGGACATTGTGGCGGGTCGGAGGAGTGAAGAGATAGGGGTGGAGATGGGGTAGAAGGAAAAGAAGGAGAAAGAGAGGACAGGACAGGAGCCAAGAGTGAGATGTAGAAAAGTAATTAATAGTGCAATAGGAAAAAAAATATCCGAAGATCTCGCGACGATGGAGACACCCCGACACACCGAAGCCGACTGGTCTTCCCCGGACCAAGATACCTCGGCTCGGCAGCGGAGAAACCGAATCACCGTAGTAGATAGCAGGACAAGAGGAAGTCTTTTGTAGCACTAAATGTTGTAGAGACTTCCAAAGTCCTGGGAATGATTTGTAAATCTTGCGATACAGATTTGGTATGTTCTTATTATGTCGGTAATCTCCGAGCGCGTCAAGTCCGGGTGAACGGGGAGAGCTCGACCACGCCACATTCCCCCGCGGAATAAAGGATGGCCGTATTAGGGCTAGGTTCTATCACATCTCCCTAAAAGTCTTCCTAAAATGTGTAGATGCAGGCAGTTATAGAGTGCCTACAACATATAATAGTCTGTTGCACGTGTGTCAGCACCTAGGGACACCCTAGTATGAAGTGCACCGGTCGCAATCACATGGAAATCCACATGCTCGTCAGCGGGACACTTTATGGGTTCAATGAATTTTATTACACGTCTCTACTTGGTACATCTGTCTGTACAGTAGAATAAATAGCTATTGTAGCTATACAATTCTTCGGACTCAAGCAATGCAGATAGAGAAAAGAGTCTGATTTACTGTTCAACCATTCAATACTTGTTTGGTATGCATGTTCTAAAAGTGTGAAGATGTGTGCCATAATATAGATATCATTCATTAAGCTCAATTGACATTAAATAACAGCTCCGTAGAGCAGATGGAAGACAAAACGTGATGGAACAAATCATGAATCCGTTCCAAATGGTACCTGTACAAGCCAGACAACGGCGACACCTGCATCATAACCCATGAATTACCACGGAGAGGCATGAGTGGACTCAACGCCTTCATATGTGGGTAATTTACAGAGCGAGGATAGCAAGCATGCCGAGGACACCCATAGCACCACTGCCAACAGTGGCCATGGGGGCAGCGGCACCCTCACTGGAAGAAGGAGCAGCAGAGCCGGAAGCAGAGCTGCCGTTGCTGTCAGAGTTGGAGTCGGAGCCAGAACCGTTTCCAGAGTCAGAGTCAGAGTCAGAGTCGGAATCGGAGCCGGAGACAGCGGAAGTGGTGGTGGTAGTGGCAGTGGTATTAGCGCCGGTGCTAGTGCTGGTCTTGGTGACCATGGAGGAGCCGGAGCCGGAAGCGCCAGAGGCCTAAAGATATGATCAGCATGGTTCAGAAAGAAGGAGAGAAGGTATGTCGTACAGTAGCAGAGCCGGTCTTGGTAGCAGAGCCGGAGCCAGTCGCGGTGGCATCGGAGCCGGTGGCAGTCTTGGAGCCAGAGGCGCCAGTGGAGGTGACGGAGTCAGAACCGGTGGTAGTGGCATCGCTACCAGCACCGGAGCTTGTGGAGCTGGAGTCAGAGCCGGACGCAGAGCTGGACTTGGAGTCCGAGTCGTCACCATCAGAGCCAGCAACACCGCCTGCGATCTGGTGTTAGTTCATTCTATCAGGTGCCGGGGAATGAATCATAGTTACTTACCAGGGCACTTAGCGATGGCCATCGCGAGAACCTTCTCAGCGTCATCGCTGGGGCAAGCCTCCTTGGTGCAGTCACGGATACCGAACTTGTAGTCATCGGACTTGCACAGGCAGGCGAGGTCACCATTCTTGCAGCCCAAGTCGGCGGCCTGCTTGCTCATGTTGGAGAGACACATGGACTATAGACGCGATTCGATTAGCATTCATCATTCAAGAACATTGAGTGGTTCGAAGTACTCACAGCACACTCAGAGGCGGAAGGGTCAGCAGCGACAACGCCAAGGGCGGCCACCAAGGCAAAAGCGACGGGAGTGAAAGACTTCATGATGAGAGAGATGGGAGGTGAGGATTAGAGATGGGAGGTGGTAAAAGGAAGAGATGAGGTTTTTAAGCAAAGTGGAAACTGGCCAAACAGCTGCGATGGGGGCAGTCTTCTTATACAGAAAGCCCTTTGAAATAAAATAAAAAAAAAACAAACTCTGCATCAAAAACACCAGCCACCTGCCCCAGACTATAAATTGAGACTCCATATTGGACGAAAGAGGACAAAAGTGGACGAAGATGGTGGTCCAGCCCAATCATCATGCACGATCGGCCGTGTGGGTTGCCTCACAGGGCCATGCAGCTGGGACTGTTATGGTACCCAGCCAACGTGGCTATGAGAGAGCGTCCCTCATATTGCCTGATCTCTGATGAAGTCATCAATTAAGCAAATCTTGGATCTGCCCTCTGAAATGGGGGATGATCGCCTTGGAGGTAGCTCGCACCCCTTCTCCATGTCGATCTTATAGGTCCAATCGCCAGAGGCCCGTCGGAATTGATTTTTCGGGTTTGGGCAAAGTTGGAGCTCTCCAATTCTGCGAGGTACATAGTCATATACGGAAAGATAACCAAGGTTCTCAGTTCGGAGTAGTTCGTGCCTTTTCCTCGGGTATAATCATCGTAAAACTCCAGATCCATTCGATCCAAGAAGTGGATTCGGAGAAACCGATCGCACTATTGAAAATTGAAAAAACTCAGCTGGGACACCGCTGTTTGTGGCTGACCACCAGCCACAAATATCATGGCTATCTCCCTATATTACGCAGTAAATATTGTCATCTTGATTCTGCGCAATATATCCCGTTACAAAGGGATATATCCCCTACTTGGAGGTTTGAGATTGAAATCATTATTGACCCCATTTTGACTTGCATCTTCCGTCTTTGCTTTTGCCTTTTTCTCGTGTTTACTTTTCCCAACTATTAAAATCTTTCGCAGATCGAAATCAAAACATCCACATTGGATGTGATATGCCCCCGACTCCACATAGAGGTAAAATAATAGAAATCAAATCATTGTCTGTTCAACCCGGTACAACATACAACATATTGATCGATGTTGTATGGAGGATGGAGTACAAGTACTTCTCCATTATGATATTTAACGCTGTACATCCCTAGCCACACAACTCTGGACAAATCCGTAGAAAATTTATACCATGAGCGCATCGCATGAAATGGCAGTCCTATTCCCCCACTGCACATCCTGTTATTTTGATATAGTCCAGGATCATGCAACAACCAAGTTGGGCATTACTCTGTATATGTGTCTAACAAATGCAGCTGTACGGAGTACTCCGTAGAAGTACTCCGTGTTGACCGGCAGGTTCCCGCTGTTTGTCTCAGCCTGCAATTAAAGCTCATATTTATGCAAACGCCAACGCCACTTTTACACTTACCTGGAAACCTGCAGGGACTTATCCTTGGTCCCTGGACAGGTTTCAGACACCGCTATCCCTGATTTCCTGTACCCTCAAAGCTCATACTTTGTCAGTACAGCATCCTACCATGTTGGTAACAGTGGTCTACCACCTCTATTAGAATACAATCAGGGAAGATCCAAATCCCAAATACCCTAGTACCACTAATGATACTGATATTGACGTTACATTGAGTATAGCGCTACTGCCTAGACGCTTATCTGGACTTCCCCGCTTCAAAACTTCAACTTCCACCCTTCAAACCTCCAAGGCCACCTAGATACTCCCGGTTTTTACACTAAATCCCCAGACCCGTTTATTTAAAATGGTTCGCAGGACTACAAGTTCGCCATTGACCTCGGAGTTCAATGCCTTGGTACAGCAACAGATGGACAAATGGAAAGTCCCCGGACTATCCATGGCAGTGGTCCATGGCTCGAGCACCTGGTCAAAAGTATGGAAACACAATCGAATTGATGGGTACCGATCACTAAAACTAAATTTCAGGCGTATGGATTCTCCGAGTTTCCTGATCGCAAGATGACCACCGACACTCTGTTCTCTACTTGTAGCACCACAAAAGCATTCACTGCAGCGGCCATGTCTCTTGCCATCGACGATAGCAAGAATACTGAAAGCCCCCTTCGCTGGGACACACCAATTTCGTCCATATTGAGAGATGATTTTGTGCTGGAGAACGACTATAGCACGATGCATACCACCATAGAAGATGCTTTATCGCACCGCTCGGGGCTATCAACTCACGACGCTTGCTTAAATCTAGTGTATCCCCAGAGATCCCTACGCGAAGCAGTTCGAAATTTGCGGTATCTTCCTATGGCTTATGCTCCCCGCACTACTTTCTCTTACAATAACAACATGTATATGGCTGTATCTCATGCATTGGAACAAATCGAGGGTAGAGCCCTCGGTGAGACTCTCAAGAGACGCATTTGGCATCCATTAGAGATGAACGATACATATTTCTCGGTGACAGAAGTCTCGGAGGATCCGTCTCTGAATCCTCGACTCGCGCGGGGCTACACCTGGGATCCAGATACAAACACCTACATCGCAGAACCATACATGAACGATGTCGCCGTAACTGGAGCCGGTGCCATGGTGAGCAGCGTACTCGAGTACACCAAGTGGCTACGCGCGATGATCTATCAAAAGGGTCCAATCTCACCACAGGGCCACGCAGAACTTTTGAAACCACGCACGGTGATCTCAAATTGGGAAGAGCTAGTCGGACCCCCAGCCTGCCCGAATCATCTCTATGCCCTGGGATGGTTTGTAGATAGTTACCGCGGTGAAACTTTCTACTGGCACAGCGGGAGCTGGCCAGGATTCGGCATTATGGTGGGCTTCCTACCGAGCAAGGGTTTTGGTTTTGCCATGATGGGTAATACGACCAATGCCCGTAATGCTCAGGTAGAGATCTACATGCACCTTCTAGATCAGATTTTCGGTGGATCGGGGATTCCGCGCTCAGTGGGCCAGGCGACTGACCCCGAAAACAAAAAGATCAAAACGAAGTCAGAGTGTATGGAAGAAGCCATCAAACGGCTTTATCCCTCTCTGCCTGATCCTATCATTTCCCATTCTCTGCCGCTAGAGCAGTATGTGGGAAGATACGAACATCCTGCGTACAGTTCTATCACTATATCTCTCCGAAGCGGATGTTTGGTTGCAGATTTACTAGACCGTGCGATACCTTCCCTTATCAATCTCGCACATGCAAGCGGGGAGTTCTTTGTGACGCATTACTACCAACCCAAAAACATTGGATCGCTGTCTGGTTACTACGCAACGGAATTCATAGTGGGTTCCGATGGGATTCCCATCGCGATGGGTATGGATGTGGAACCCGCTTTGAATGGAGAAAAAATGTGGTTCGATCGCAAGTCCTGATGGCTTGTAATGCTCGGCTACTTTGTATATACGATATAGACATATATTTCAGATATGAATATGACCTAAATCGATACAAATTGATCATATCAACATCCTTGCAATTGAATACACATAGATCAAAACTCATTACTCCGGACAAGTGAGACATTCGTGGCAATTCGAGAAAAAAAACCCCCTCCCCCCCTGGAGATACCCGGACACCCTCGGCGACGCCGGACCCGACCTCGGGCTAGGTCCGCTTCCGGTGGAGTCGAACCAAAATTTCTTCTGGCCAACAACCAGATGCAAAAAGATAGTGACCGACGCAGGGATCGAACCTGCAATCTCTTGATTCGTAGTCAAGCGCCTTGCCATTGGGCCAGCCGGCCGTGCTATTGTTATAAGAGCTTGCCTAATTGTGCACTATATGCAAAAGACTCACGTTGGGTATGTCACACAAAAAATGCCCATTTCCAGGCATATGGTTTTATAAAGTCCTAGATACAGATTATTTACCAGATATATGACAAGAAGAAAAAAGAAAAAAGTGCTTTGGGACATTAACATGCCCCCGAAAAAAACCGGTAGAAGAAGCCGATGATCATAGGCCGCCCATATATATATCGCCACAACCAGGTCACACATTCAATTCGGAAGCGTCTGCCATACAAAGGTTTGACATCACAGGAGACCTTTCACAAAGTGTTCCTTTTCCTGGCAATGAAAATCGTGACAGGCGGCCTAGTAGTCTCCGCCCTTCAACGCTCGCCCCCAAGTTCATCGGCAGGCGTCCGATGGAGAACCCGACCAAACAAGCCACCAGCCCAACGGCAATACACAGCAAAGCAGGGAGAATGATGTAGACGACGATACAAGATAAACCGTCAGATTTGAGGGCGCCCGGGGAGTCCAGACTGAAAAGTATTTTTCGCCAGTGCCGCGCAATGTGGAATTGTTTGTACCTGGGGCTGACACGGGGGCCGGCGGCGTGTTCTCGATTGTGTCCGAAATGGTACCGGATTGTAATTCCCAATACTTCACCACCCACAGCGGACTCTTCCGTAATGAGCTATCGCCTCGACTGCCACTGCGGGCTGGTTCAATACGGAAACGGTCCATTTCAAATTTACCATCTTCACAGACATGGAGGTGGATGGCTACTGCGTGCGGTGATACTAGGTTGCCCCGCAGATCGAGAAACTCGATTCGAACAAGAGTCGTATCTTCTATAGTGCCTATCTCGCTTTTGTGAACTATCTGGGTCTCGAGCGAGTGGGACAATTGCACGGTCTTGCCATTGTGTGTATATTGGCTTGCGTCGTTATAGAGGGGCGCTTGGAGCTGCATTTCACCTGATGGCGGATATAGTCGGTGCTCATTGGCGTATAGGCCTCCTTCTTGAAGAGAGAAATTCATAGCCTGTACCATGTTAATACAGGACAATGAACTGATGAAATACCACTCACGAGTTTCCATGTCATTCCCATTTCGAGGGAATCAGGAGAAGAAACAAAAGGAAGTTGGAGTTGATGAAAATTGAAAATTGGAACGAAAGAGCCGAGAACACTGCCTAAGCAGAGCATTGCGCACAGCAGCTTCATGCTGTGGAATCCGGGATATTGTGAAGTAAAGGGTCGGAAGATATCGAAGACGAATTATAAGAGTGTGAAGTAAAGGATGGTCTGGCAAAGATAGAACGAAGGAAAAGCAAATATTAGGAAAAGCAATGGGTATACAGATATTGTCAAATCGATTTGACCCCGGGGCTCTAGCAAAGTTCCTGCACCTTTAAATAAACCCTAATGTAATATATATGCACATTTGTAGTTATTGATGCAGTGAAAGGGCAACTGCCGACAAAGTTTAGCATTGGCTTACGCCTCCATCTAGATATGTTTCGGTCCGTTGGGGGCTTCTTCATCGACCTTTGTTAGAGGCTCTGTTATTTTCCCTGCAGAGCCTCGATTGTTTTATATTCCAATCGAACCTCTTATATATTTCAATCTCAACTGAACTCAAAATGATGTAGTTCCGAGAGGTATAGAATGATAATATCAGAACAGTAAATGGGTCCGACTCTGAATCTAAAGACGTCCAAAATGCCGAACCCTAATTCGGTAATTGGTCAATCGAGATTTGTACTCACAGGTTACCGTCCCATAACGACTGAAAATGTTTGCACTGGACCCTGAAGATCCATGGTTGCATACCCCGTAGATCTGACACGGTCATTAGCCAAATCGCGATAGAATGACAAAAAGTCACAGGCTTCAAAAAAATCTGGCCACGCTGCAGCTCTGGGACTTATTGAAGGATTCTTGGCAATCAAAGTGCTCCCGTTCTTCGGCTCGCATCGTTTGTCGCTCTCCCTTGATACAATAGGAATTCCCAAATCTGCTCGACACCACCCCACATTTAATGCCGCATAATAGGCTAAAGTCTGTGTCCACTATCCGAAGGTCCCAACCGAGACTCAATTTGCTTCGCTAATAAATCCCAATTTTGTTCAATCTTGTTGATACTAAGATCATCTGGAAGCTATTGTCTTTTGATTGCTTTCCACCAAAGAGCGGAAGCGGTTGGCGGATATATTCATAATTCATAAGGAAGGAAATTACTACATACATGCATGTATGCCCCATGAAAAGCTACAGTTTTGATGCCTGTCTGGAATTATGTGCTGGGCGTTTGTCATGACAAGAGGCTGTATGGTATTACGAAAGTTCTCATCTTAAGAAGCTTGATTATTCCTCACGTTTAAATTGAGAGTGGATCAATATTTTCCGACGTATGTTGTACGCATTTCACACACGGGTGATACCAAGCCATATTCCCCGCCAAGCCTGGGAATTGCCTGATCTGGAAGGGTGGATAACCTCGGAATCGCAATGGTTGTTGTCGTTAGATTTCTGTAAGAGCGACAGCCATTCTTATCATCATTTGATCTCAATGTCGAAGAGCCCTTCAACCCTCTTACTTTCTTTACTACTCCCCATAGTCCAATCGGCCTCGATACATAACGTGGAATTGGTGCAATGTTTGTACAGGAAAGATATCTTATCAATCTTAATTAAGTGTCTCGCAGATTTGAACAGGTTAGACGCTCTCTGAGGTTCCACCAATTGACCTTGCCTATTTATTAAACACCTTATGTACACAATGTCTATAAGACAATGCAAAGATTTAGGTCGGTTTGTAATAGGGCGCGGTCTGCCAGAATCGACAGCGTGGGTTATTGGTCGGGTCCTGCATCGGCTGAATGGTATGATTGCCGATGTTTACGAGCTGTGCATGCTTGCCATGCTTTTTGAAAGCCGGCGCCAGATGAGATTTTGGCGCGCCATGCTGAACAAAGCTCGTAAAATAGTCTTGCATAGCCAACGCCACAGTCACATTAGCTACTCCCGAGTCTGTACCGTTGTTGTAGAAGGTGTAGGAGACATCCTGTCCATGTAGCGCAGGTGGAATGCTGAACTGATACGCATAGGTCTCATTGTAGAAAGCACGGTTGATATAGTCGGTGTTGCACTGGAATATGAGATCCGAGATGGCAAGCGCCGTGCGCGTAACCGAATCGGTGTATCCATAGGAACCGTTATAGACCGGTGGGTAGAGGACATCCAAGACAAAGTGGGACACGTTTGCTGGGGTATTCGGGGACAAGGTCTTCAGTTGAGATGCCAGACCGGTGCTATTGACGCTGTCCGGAGAAGTAAAGACCAACCCTTCGTTCGCGTTATGGCCAACCATAATGTTGAGGTTTGGATCGAAGTCGCCTCGAAGTAAAAGTTGTCCCGGCAGAGCAGGCACGAAGCTGCCGTCCACAACGGGTCCGTATGTGAATTGTCCCCACTGGGACTTGGTGGCGACCTGGTACGCATTGGCGGCGATCAATTTGTGCGATGGTAATTTCCGGGCTTGTTCAATCGTGCTGACATTGAGAATTCCTAAGAACTGCTGCAGAGTATCTTCTTGTTCCTCTTCGCCAATGAGCGGGACCCAACCTGGGCTCTGTAAGATCGCTTGCTTGAAGGGCGCAGCACCCCGTGTACCTCCATATGCGGTTATTTGATGAAGGATTGATCCGGCTCCAGCAGATTCGCCCATGACTGTGACTCGGGTTGCATCACCACCGAAAAGGTGAATGTTCTTATATACCCAGTCAAGGGCAAACCGTTGATCGTGGAGTGCTGCATTGGCGGTGCCATTCGCTGTGATACTGTCACCACCAAGCCAGCCGAATGCACCCAACTTCCAAAAAATTAGTATTCTCAGAGTACAAAGCAGGAAGATCATTCGACTTACTCGATAATTCAGGGCAACGTAGACGATACCATCATTGTTTCCTTGCATACTTCGCTGGATCAACCCAGTTGGGTCTGAGCTGCCTTTATCTCCTCCCACATATCCTCCGCCATAGATCCACACCAGCACCGGCGCCAAGTTCTTTCGAGGTGCTCCGTCTTGACTTTTTGTGGATTCGAACACCTTTTTGGGGACAACAACGTCAAGGAATAGACAGTCCTCGGTGGTGCGTGGGTCTTGCTCCGCCGGCTCATACTTATAGGAAGAGATGTTGGTGGATATGGAGAAAGACTGGTTATAGAAGTAGCTCAAGAGGAAGGCTTGCTGGGCCTTTGTCGACCATAATGGGGCTGCCTGTGGACATAACCTGCCCACAGAGCCATTTTGGATATGTTCTCTGTTTTGTTTTGGAAGTACGGGTGCCTGGAATCGCAGTTCGCCAACTGGAGGTGCCGCATAGCGGATATTGGTGAAATTATAGAGGCCATGGGAGCTCTATCTTGAATGTTAGGGACAATAAAAGCCAAACTGAAGAAGACTTGTCTGACATTGAATGAAATTGCTTGATGTCGCTCATATCCCAGATCCACAATAGGTAATTTGGAGGCCAGGCACACTGAAGCCAGCGCCAGCAACAACACAATGACCATCTTGACCCCAGAAAAGCAAAATAAAAACGCGGGAAAACGGAGAATGTCTAAAGAGCTTCTGGGCTTATATGTATATACAGGGCCGGAACCCCGAAGTCAGCCCATGTTATGGACTATAATCTTGTATCTCATCCGTAGGTCCCGGACCTAGAGTGGAGTGTATTATGACCCAACAGAGAACTAGATCGAGATGAACTAGACTTCTCTACCAATCACCATCATCCAAACCTAGCCATCGGGGTAATGCAATCAGCGGTCAGTTCATATTTACGACCCAAAATGCGCAATGATGTCAAAGCGAGACATTGTGTTGGGGCTCGGCGATAGCACACCAATTAGAGATGCAATTCCCCAGAATTTATAGTCCAATTCGTGAACGCTATACCGAATACGGGGCTGAGCTCCGGTCGTAAAGTACAGAGGGAATTGTTGGCGAGCACAGACTGCGGGGTACTCCATCGCCTTAACACCGATGCAGCATAACGCCCGTCAGACGGAGACTCCGATAGGTATATACGACGGTTGCCTAGGAACGGGGATTCGAATTGTCATTTGCTATACAGTTGCATCAATGCCTCAGTTATCGACCTCGCGAATCTTATACTCGAACATCTGATTAGAAGGCACTTCATGCTCATTCTGGAGTTTCGCGGCACTCTCGGCACCCGCTGCTGGTACACGGTACTCAAATCGTTTCCCATGCGCTGGCACAGTTCCATCAGGCAGTGCATATGGGAAAGGCAAATACTCGGGCAGCAAACCCAGCTGCACGAGTACTGTTGCTTGATCCCATGCAATGTGTTCATGGAACAAGCGATCTCCTCGAATGTTGACTACAGATGTGAATGGAACGCGAACGTGCTTGCCTGTAGGAGGGATACCGGGAATCCTATGGCGAGCGAAGATGTCAGCTAAATGTCCAATTCAATCACACGGACCGGACAACCCACAACCAGTCCATCTGCTTCAGATGAGTGAAGACAAATATGAACTCGTCCACGATTCGGTCGGTCCCGACTGTCCGACTAATGAGCTCCAATGATGTATCTTCGGGGTTGTTGAAGATGAAGTGATTGAGATAAAAGTGGCTCAAACGAGTTCGTCCAATGCCTCCTGTTAAAGTTGGCACATGGTTCACGTAAGGCTCTGCGACCATCGTTGCCATTGTATTTTCAACCGAGCGTGCTTCAAATTCATAATAGGTGTGTTCGTCCCAGATTTTCTCGAGGTCAAAGTATGGGCCCCCTAAATGCTTTTTAATAAACCCGACATTTCGAGTATGAGCTACTCCTGCTGTCGAGATCTTGAAATCTGGATGGCCTGGGACCATGAAGCTAGGGGAAGATACGTCAGAGTATACGTGGATAGTTTGCACTTCCCTCTTCTCGCCTTTCAATGGACTAGACAGCTGGAAAAGAGTTGACTGGAGGAAGGGGATGTCCCAGGAGTCGAAGACGACCGCGGCGACCAGAGCCGTGCCTTGAACTAGTGCACCATACAGACTGTCTTCGAATTCGGGACTATAATCCTTCTTTGATCCATAAACTAATGCCACGTCAGTAGAGACTAGCGAAAGAGCCAGGTTCATACTTCCGTACCTACCAACCCAATCTTTTCCTTCGTATCACACTCCAGCCTCTCTGATAAGCCACGCTCAGCGTCTTGAATGAGCTTCCGTAGAGTTGATCTGTCAATGGCAGAATTATCATCCACGGTAATTTGCGCCACTGTAAAGCTTTCCTCGGCCCATTTTTTGAGGGGTTCCGGATCAAGCGTCTTGTTTTGCTGTTGGCATGTCGCGTAACAAAGAGGCCGTATGAGAATTAGTCCTGGGCCGTGTCCACAGCGAGAAAGAGGAGGCTGAATGGTCACATATGGACCCAATTCCACTTGAGCGGAATGAAGACTTGATTCGGACATTTCCAGACAAATAGAAGTCTGAATTTGATTAAGCCCGGGGATCCAAGTGGCCGGGGCGATCGTTATATACCCGGGGCTCTCTCACCCCCACTTTGGATCTGGCCAGTGGGAAGAAGAATGAAAACTAGCTGTGCAACGGTTATACCTCAGAAAACGAGACAATCCCAGAAAACAATCATGTAATCATTGCAACGATTGCATTTATTACATTTACTTCAGGTGTTACCATACACGTGACCTGTCATCGGAGCTCGGCCCGTTGCTTTCCACGCGCAAGCTCTCTCCCAAGAGCAAACCCCAACAATGAACGCACTTGTCCAGTCTGCTTTGACTGATGTCGAATCCAAACTCAATGCTCTTTTGACTAGTCTTACTACATCTCCCACAGCTGCAGGAGCCCCCGCCGCAGCCGTCGCCCTACTCGACGCGGACGATGTGTTAACCTCCGCCATTGAAACCCTTCGGCAGCACCAAGAAAACCACGCAAAGATCCTTCGACTGCGAAATGAGGCACAGCAGCTGGAGGACCGAGTCAAGGGCATTGTAGGGGATATTGAAGGGTTCGAGAAAGAGATCCGCACAGCTTGTGGAGACAACGGCGACAGCGACAGCGATTTCGATTCCGACTCCGATGAGGACCGTGGGGGAAAGAAATCAGTGCTACGGGGAATCAATGAGATTGATTACAAACTACTCTTGGATTTCGCACGCCGCATTAGCAAATACAACCACGAAGCAGCAGCCGATGCCGCTACAGGCGTTGTGAAACGACAAGAACAAGGCCATGCCCTCGCCGATAAAGATATAACAATGACGGGAATAAACGGAGATCAGCCAACAGAGCAGGGTGCCGAGCCAGTGGCATCTGTCACCAAAAACGCGACGCAGTGGTTAGACGAGTCCGCGAACGTTACGCGCCAGGTCTACATGCTCCCCTATCCGATGGAGGAACGGATCCGGATGGGACTGATGGGCCAAATTCAGCTTGCGGCTGGTGATGATCCCGAAAAGGAGGTGGAACGGTTGTTACGCGAAGCTGACGGTCTTGGGGCCGCAGAACCGCCAGCACCAGTTGAACCAGCGGAAAGCACAAAGCAGGCGGACGAGGCTGCGAAGGCCGCAGCTCATGCTGGGTCATCGGCCGCTGGAATGCCGCGGGCGCATGCTGCACCGCCAGCTCCGAAACCGAAACCCAAGGCGATGCTGGACCTTGATCTCTACGACCCCGACGAAGATGACGATTGAGTGTTTTTAAAGCGGGCGTTGCATTCGATTTCTAATGATACCAGCTACAACAGCACAAAAAGCCATTTAACAATTTCTATTTATTTCAACCGTCTCTCATTCCGCATCGCATATCTGCATATCTCGGAATATGTAATCCAGCCGTTACATTTTATGAACCGAAGACTTGGCCGTCCATCCCCGGAACTTCTTGCCATAAAAATAGAAGGGGATGGCGCAGAAACACCACAATACTGCCAGTGACATGTTCATCATGATTGGCTTGATAAACCCACTCTTTTCCACCCATCCAGTGATGAATTTGCTGAAGCCATAGCCCCAGAGGTTCTTGTTGATAGTGATAGCCACGAAAATCAACCCTGCCACAGGCTTGTAGCTGTCAACCGCGTACGTGCTGACAATAGCTGGAAGGGCTGCAACCTGGATGCCTGCTGCAGTGTACCCAATGAAGACGATGATCTATACATGCAATAGTTAGTTGAGAACCTGCCGAACAAGGAATGACCACGCTCACCTTCCAGTCCCATTCATACTGGTACCCAAATGCAACAACGAAGTTGCCAATTATCGAGATGATGACATATGGAATCATTGCTGGCAGACGCATCTCAGGTTCTCGGATACCGCGGTTCTTCCGGGTGGCCTTCATGGAGACCCAATCTGAAAGCAGACCGTTGGTAGCCAATCCAATGAAAGTCCCGATCAAAATAGCAAAGTTGAAGAAGCCAATGGTCTGGCTACCAAAGTTGTAAGGAGGTTTTGCAAATACTTGGCTCTGGGTGAGGCTGAGAGTGAGCAAACAGCTGGCGGACCATGACACGACGAACGCGGCCAGCTCAACGATGGGAAAGGTCAACAGCTTCCATGGAATCCAGAAGCTGATAATGAGAGTCTTGACGTTGTTCCCATTCAATTGCCAGAGTTTGAACTGTTGCTTTGACGGCGTGCCCTTGTGCAAATAAGGGTCATGCTCGGTAGTTTCCACATTCTCGTTCTCTTGTTTGGTGTCATTGTATGCTTTCTCTGTCCCAGATCTTCCAGTTACCGAGTCCGGAAGAGTTACTACTTGAAAAGCCTCATCTGGATGGATGCGATGCCATTTCGTCTCGGGGAAAAGAAAAATCTGAAGTAGGAGCACCAATCCGAGGATGCCGACATTCAGCCAGAAGAAATTGCGCCAGCCACTATGTTCGGTCATAGCACCCGAGATGATGGGACCAACCTGGACAATGTCAGTGATAGCCAAAGATTTGATTTGCCAAATAACTTACCATGAGAGATCCAAAGAAGGCAGTGAAATACATCGTATTGTACGCACCGCGCTCATGCAGGAACATGATATCCGTGATGATCTCCGGTTGAGAAGTCTAGAGGTCAACGGTCAGATTTCATTTATTGGAAACAGATCGAGACACACACCTCTGCCGGACCAGCGCCCAATCCATTGAGCACACAAGCGCCCATATAGCTACCATAGCTGGTCGCCATTGCTCGCCAAATATTGCTGACCAAGCAGATCAGGGTTGAGAAAATCAGGACCGGCCGTCGTCCGTAGGACGTTTGAATGGGGATCCTGAATCAATCCGGTATTAGCAAGGCTCACCGGATCGTTGTACATGACCAATCCTTACCAGAAGAAATTGCTGAAACCCAGCACCAGAATGCAGACACCGGTGAACTGCACCACGCCGGCCAAATCGGACTGAAATGCCTCCATCAACTGCGGGAACATAGGAGCCAATGCCATAGGGCCCAGTGCCTGACTGAAAGTTGACAAGGATGCAATTGTCATGGCGATGATTTTCCAAAATCGTTTCCAGTTCTGCAAACATGGTTATTGATCGTTCCAGTCAATTTTCTTGAAAGAGTTGCTTACCAGAGGATCATGAGGATCCTGCGATGGCTGGGGCACCAGCACCCGATTGGATTTGGAGGATGCTTTCACGAAATGGTGAGAGCCGACATCGGTCATGATCTCCGTTCCTGGGTAGATCACTGTTCCCAGCTCCCGCTCGATTCTGGGTAGATAGTTAGCAAGCTTAGCCAATACGGGGTGAACAATGCCACATACTGGTGTAGAGTCTAAATGAAAGATACATTAGCAAGAATAGGCAAAGCAAGCTTGGAAGAAGGACTCACCGCTTCATCGTAGTTCATCTCCATGTTTTCGATTTACCGCTTGAGGCTGTTAGAATTGATATAAAACGGTGAGAAGGATAGCTTTTGATTTACCGCTTGATGTTGGCTTGATATGAAGTGGTCAGGAGAATAGCTTTCGATTTACCGTTTGATGTTGGCTTGATATCAAGTCGTGAGAAGGATAGCTTTCGATTCTCCGAGGGTTTTGTAATGTTACCTCAATTGCGCGGTCAGGCTAGGATCCCTTGTGAGTTATATTTCAAAGTGCGATATCCAAGATGAGAGAAATTAGATCCCTCGAGGGGCTGGATTGAAGAAAGCAAGGTGAACTACGGGGTACTGAAGTCAAAGTTATTTTATCCCTGTCCATAATTGCGTATCTCTCTTTTGAATTCAACCAGTAGCATGGCTTCTAACAGGGCTCTAAGCAAAGCGTGTAGTGCAAGTGATATACACCTGGACATACTTCGTCCTCCAACTCCACGAGACTTGGGGAAATACTCCGCAGAAATTCCCCGGATTCTCCACAAACCCAAAACGCTCTCAGTTCTTTCTTATAAGTTGAAGATATAGGGGGAAGAATTCTCTGTATTCTATTTGGATCATCTTTCTGAGGTCTGCTTCACTTGATTGTGCAAATCCCATAATCACACCATGCCAGGTTTGGAGACTCACTTTCCCGCATATGGATTATATTCCGGGGGGGGCTGGGGAGAAGAGTAGGATAAGAAGTCCAAGGACATTTTATAATTTTCAATCAAGTTGTAAACCAAGTGAGGGTGAAGCAAAAGGGGGAAAACAGAGACCCTAATTCGGATATGAATATGCAGCTCGGGGGCAATTTGGCGAAGCTGGGCCGATAGGCAGGGGGTATTGCTTGTTTCTAGTTGAAATCACAGCAATTGCTTATATGTATTTAGAACAATTAACCAACGGTATAGAATATGAGTAGCATACGTGACTAGTACGTACGACGAAGGTATGTAGTATTATCCATGTGTGCATGCCTGAGGCTATTTTACTTTCCACCCTTTCTTCTCTGGAGATATAGGTACTTCTTTCTATGTGCTATAGTCGTGGACTTGATCCCGGCTTCGCCATATTGCTCTTTTGTTACCCTTATTGGAAAGAGTACTACACCGGAGGATGTTCCGGACCATTTCACCTTCTCCTTTTCTTCAAAGCTCAAAGGGCTCAAATGGCTGGACCCGAGCATATTTGTGCCGGATCATAATTGCGGCCTGTCACCAGGGTCCTGTCCTTAAATTCCCCGTGGAGGGGAGAATTTCGATGAGTTCAATGATGATCAATAGAGTCATGATCCCCGGATGTCATCTCCACACCAAAAAACACGCGAAGAAGCCTGGTAAAGCTTGTTCGGGCCAGACTGTGCTGGCAAGCCGGACCAATCGGAAACACCGCTGCTTTATCTACAGAGTCGATGTAATTGTATCCTGGCACTTCTCTGAAGGACCCCCAAAACCATTTAATTAGGCTCTGGGGCCCCGGTTTATGTCTGATACCCAGAATGGCGGTTCTTGTCCTCCTGGGTGTTATTCTGCTGAGAGCTCTTGAAATATTCTTGTCGGGTACCTCCCTATAATGAGTCATTACGAAGACCCTTTTTCCAATCACACAGAAGCAGATGGGGACGTGGAGAAGCAAGAGAGTGATGGTGAAATTCGCTCTGCTGGGGGCGCTCCTAGGCGCAACCGCCAAAAGAAAGAGGGTGCGGATGGAGCCGTCGATGGACAGGCTAGAGAAGAGTTGAAAGAATGGGACTGCTACGACAAGCTAGGATATTCCTTCCCCTGGTGGAAGAAATGGACTATCCTCTCGGTGATCTTTGCCGTCCAAACATCCATGAACTTCAATGCCAGTTTTTATGCTAGCAGCATCACGCTGTATGCGAAACATTTCAGCATCTCAGAGCAAGCCGCACGCACTGGCCAAATGGGATTCCTCGTTGCTTATGCATTCGGCTGCGAGTTTTGGGCGCCCTTCAGTGAAGAGTTTGGCCGATGGCCCATAATGCAGCTCAGCTTGTTCTTTGTCAACATCTGGCAGATTCCCTGTGCTCTGGCTCCTAACTTTGGTACCATTGTCATCTGTCGCATTCTCGGGGGTCTATCATCCGCCGGTGGTTCTGTAACACTCGGTATGGTGGCAGACATGTGGGAGCCAGAGGACCAACAATACGCCGTGGCCTTCATTGTGTTATCCTCTGTGGCAGGCTCGGTCGTTGCCCCAGTCGTTGGTGGCTTTGTGGCAACTTTCCTTGATTGGCACTGGAATTTCTGGCTTCAGCTTATCCTCGGAGGCTTTGTGCAGATACTGCACTTCTTCATTCCAGAGACCAGGTGCAGCATTCTCATCACGAGAGAAGCCAGACGAAGACGGAAAAACGGGCAGACGGTATGGAGTGGGGACGAGCTGAAGAAGACTCGCATGTCTTTCCGCTGGGTGTTCATGGTTTGGATACGGCCGTTTATTATGTTCCTGCGCGAGCCGATTGTCTTGTGCCTCTCTCTGCTCAGCGGCTTCAGTGATTCTCTGATCTTCACTTTCCTTCAATCGTATACGCCGGTATACAAGCAGTGGAAGTTCAACACCATTACAACTGGACTTTCTTTCCTCCCGTGAGCGCACACGACCTTGAATTTTAGGCTGCTTCTGATAAGCTAATGATGCAGACTTTTGGTGGGCTATTTCATTGCCTATTTCTCGTTCATTCCATGGATCTATCGGCATTGCAAGATTACAAAAAAAGACCCAGATGCTCTGCAGCCGGAAGCTCGTCTTTATTGGTTGCTATGGGGCAAGTATTCTCAGATATGGTCTGTTGGTATTGTCACTAACTAGCAGCAGTGGCCCCTCTGTTGACAATTGGCCTATTTGGATTCTCGTGGACTAGCCTTGGTCCACCTCATGTCCATTGGATTGCGCCTATGATTTTCTCCGCCTTGATTGCGATCGCCAATGTAAGCCAAAGCAGGACCTCTACTTTTGATATAACACTGATAAGTTATCCTGTGATCAAGTACGCCATTTACATGGCCACAATCGACTACATGATTGCCGCGTACGGTCCATATTCCGCCTCAGCCACAGGAGGAAATGGATTCGCGCGTGATTTCTTGGCCGGCATTGCGGCAATGTATTCAGTGCCCAGTAAGTGATTATATTCCTACAACGGAACATCTCCTGACCGCGAAATCGTACTACAGTGTACTCAAACATGGGTAAAACAAACCACCTCGAATGGCCTTCCACCTTCTTGGGCTTCATGGCAATCCTCTTCACCATTCCAATATACATATTCTATTGGAAAGGTCCTAGGATTCGAGAACTGTCACCATTCGCACAGACTTTGGCTTCCGACAGAAAGAAGGCTGGCCGCAGGGTTTCATCCTGTGGTTCCGGTGATCCAGATCCTGTTGAAAGGTATTTGTCTGAACGTTCCTCAAGCGAAACCAGAACCAGATCCGGTCTGCCACTTCCCTCGGAGTAGGTATCATTGAAAGGCGAAGATTGTCTATGCCTGTCTTCCCGGTGGCTTGGGCAGTGATTCACGTCAGAAGCGTGGAAAGAAAGAGTAGCATTCATTGATACAGGATATAAGAATTGGTTGCATTGAAAAGCTTCTTTTTGGTTTTACGGAGACATTCTTCGTGCTCATCTCTTGTTTCTGTCAAGATTGGCCTTCCTTACTGCTAGACTAGAGACAGTTTTCTATTTTATTCTGATATAATAATACATTTGTTTTCAAACATTTTTTTGAGGTTGTTAGCTCTCACACACTTATGGTGCGTGATGGAAGAATGTCATCATCCCGTCAAAACATGTCATAGCCAGCCCGGAAATGATTCCCGATGAAGCACGAGCGGTAATATTCTCGGTATCTGATAAGTGTGTTTTGCCCACTGGGAGAGTGTTTTGAATTAAATATAGATGTTTAGACAATTAGATACAGTATAGTTGATGGGCCCCAGAGCCATAAGAGCAAGTAAAATCATTGATTCCAGGAATCCTGAAGTTTCCGAATGGCATATTCGGTGGTCCAGCCCAGATCAGCTTCGACACCGCGTAGCAGATCAATGATGATCTGATGCTCCTCCTCATTTTCAAGACACTGTCCGACAGCAACAAGGAGCGGAACCATGAATATGCGAACACCACCCTGAGGTCGGCCCAATGCAATGCCGCAGACTTCACGGGAACGGAACTCGACCTCTTTGGTAACCTCCCGGTACCCTTGTAAGCGGTCAAAGGCTGTAGATGGGGCACTGATCACATCTGCCGGACGGTTGAGCAATAATGCGATCCGCCCGAAATGGTAATGTTGCATGGTTGCAGCACATGTTGTCAGGCTATGGAAGATTTCAGGGAATGGCAAGTAGCTCCCCTCGGTAGGCTTTGAAAGGTCCTTAGGGCGTTCGATCCGCACAGAAGAACGGAACGTTTCGGGTACGTTTTCAAACCATGTTTGAAATTCGAAGGATAGTCTGAGCCAGGTATCTGTGTCCGGATATGGCAGTTGAGCGGCGTTTGGTGATGTGCCCCGGATTTCGGGTGAAACTGCTGGTGGAGATCCTGTCCACTGGGCGAGCTGTAATTGTTTGGATCTTGCGAGAAAGTTGATGACTTTTGTGACAAGCCAGATTAAGCCATTAGCAGCCTGATCTTCCCGCGAGAGAGACCCATTCCGAACGAGATGAAAGGCTTTTTGGTCATTGATTGAGATTCCTGCTGCCCGCCAGAGGGGCAGATTTTCGGGATCGAAGTGTGTAGGTGATCGGGTGAAATAAGAACCAAGATAGTCTTGGCGGGCGAAATTCCAGAAGGCAGCCTGAATACCATGAGAAAACAGGGCGGATTCTGCCGAATATAAACTGAGAAGAGACTCAAACAAAGGACGAACGTGGGAAAGTTGCCTGATTCTAGACGTTAGCAAGGAAATAAAAACCATATGAGGACAACTTACATATGCCACTCGTCCCCGGGCATATCTAAAAGTCTGTACATGGTAAGAAGCGTAGCAGTTGCTAAAAGCTCCTCTGTTTTTCGAATTACCGCCACGTCAATTGGATCTTCACTCGCAGGTTTCATGCTTGCTTGAATCTGACGAGAGTTGATCCATCGACTGACGATCTCAAAGGGAGACTCCAAGATCGCCGAGCTAGACACAGTGTTGTAGCCATCGGATGTGATGTTATTCAAATCCGAAGCTGCCAGGTAATAGTAATTGGCAGCCTTGAGAAACCAGTCAACTTGAGTTGCATTTGGGTAGATTTCAGTAGTCGCAGGGCTCGTGAACATTCCACCTGTGGAAGCCTTGGCGCCTTTCAAACGAGCTAGGTGTTTTGCTGCTAGCGCTGCAATGGCATACTTGACGGACAGATTGTTGATGGCTCGAATAGGAACATGGACGGTGAAGAATTTTTGAGTATCCGACAAATCCAACCTATTCTCATTATCAATACAATGCAAATGCAAAGAGAAATTTCAGTTGTACGCACCATGGTCCTATGGTTTCCGAGTAATGTCGAGTGAGGAACGCGATTTCGTGTTCAGTCCCAGTCATGAGCTCCGAGAAAATATCTTGGAATTCATCTTTTTCACTTCGATGTGATGAGCTTTCGGATATAACCCTATGGAATTCAGGGCTCTTTTGTGGAATTGCGTTGTAGGTGTTGTCAAATGTTGGGAACCCTCCTGCGGGCCCAGTTGGTGAAATTGACTGGTAGATTCGGTTTCTTGTAGACCTGTTGCCTTCCTCAATCCCAGGGATGGAGTTCGAATTAGAGGTAGCTGGGCTTTCGGGAGCATGCATGTTTGTTTGATGGGTACTCCCGATAGCAAGCTCTGGCCGGTTAGAAGAACCAGGCATCTCTACGATCATCGGGTCATCTGTCGAGTCTAACCTCGCTTCTCTCATCGGGAATTGAAGAGCAGGGTCATTTCGCTCTTTAGGTTGATTCCATTGCAGGATCTGCTCTTTGGGTTCTACTTGCGAGCTTTTTTGGTGTGGGTCTGATATCATTTCTGCGGGGACCTATCACAGAGCATGAGTGTGTGGACAGTCAGATAGTTGAGATTTGACCTACTTTAGGTGAATTGAATGCAGAGCCTGGCTTCGGATGATGCTCCTGATATGGAGCATAACGGCGCCTTACTGTGGCTCCTTGATCGATGAATTTTCGGGTTTGGACATACCCCGGGCATTCTACCCCCGCGGTAGTGCACCGCTGACAATGAGGGCGAGTCTCATCGCACTGCCATTTGTTAGCGACAATGTGCAATTGCATGTTCCAGTGAAGTCAAACTAACTTTTAGATGTCTCTTTTTGCAACGCTCGCAAGCCTTGTTAGACGGCACTCCAGGCATTGTGCGTTGCGTGCCAGTATCGCGATTTCCAGGGCTTAGTGCTCGGGTTTTAGGGTCATTTATGAATCTCCGCTTTGCGTCTTTGTAACCCGCAAAGCTATTTCACATTTCGAACATAGACCAGGCGAAGAATCAATTCGAGAGCAAGAAACCTAGAATGAATGATGCAAGATGCTTGGCTGTGGAAGGGATGATTACATAATACACGGAGATTTTTCGCTTGAAACTCGGCCTGTGGTCACGTTTTCCCCTGTACATCCTGTCGTCATCTACTTCTCTTCTACAAAAAAAAATCCCATACATCATGTTACGAAAGCCTTCGTTCCTCGTTGAGAACCAATATGATACACCAGCTTCATTGATTCGGTCTATGGAAGACCACGATGTAGGTCCGAGGAACTTTCAAATACGATGGGGCTCAATATCTTCAACACAGCCTGTTCTTTCAGGCCCAGAACAAATTCGCGTATATCACGAATGGATTGGTGTGCTACTATATCTTCAACCAAGTAGTTCCATTTGCTAACTGATTATTGCAGATGCTGGGAAGCCTCATAATATAGTTTGTTGGGAGTGCCGTCTCCCTGATAGTCTGATTGGTTGCCAGACATGCTGTAGATCCTATCACACAGCATGTCTATTGGACGTGGTCCGATCTGCAAATAACTTCCATTGTCCATCCTGTCGGGCAAGAGCTTGGGATCATACACCACCCCAGTTCCCCGTACCATCTCCCGCCCCAAGTACTGGTGGCACAACACCAAAGGGCTATCCAGACCCATCATCTGGAAATCTGCCAATTCATGGTGATAGATCAACAGCATCACGGCGTCAATCCTCACTGGTCCCGCGCATGATGCCTCCGCCTAATTTCAACCGTATTCATGAAGTCGATACCCGCGGCCCGCCAGCTGAGTTGTCTCCCGTTGCAGAGACGTACCCTCAACTTCTGGAATATCTAGCGCTGCCAGATCGTGAGACAGACCACCATGCCCACTCGGCACAATTCAAGCATCAACTGGGAATGGCGATGAAAGAGATTGAATCAAATCGGGCGTCAATGCGAGAAAAAGCAAGTATTCAAGAGAATTATTCGAATTTGCAACGCGAAAACGCAAATTCAAGGGCCTCATCACAGGATTCTGCTGCTCCTAGCCCTTCGACAGTTTCACACACCGTCATCTCAAGACCTGCGTCGGAGCAAAGGGGGAAGGCTTGGGACAGCATTGTCCTTGACCTATTTTGATTGTTCACACCTGGCTGCACGAAGCATTTTTTATTCATAGCCACCAAGGAAGAACAATCGATCGACGAAGAGTTGCAACCGCGAACATTGGACGTCTTGAGCTTTGTATTTACCCGACACGATCACTTTCAGTGGCCTCAATATCTGCCGAGCACAATTTTTCGGCGTTCTGGATACATGGGAGCCTTCAAGAGCATTTTGCCGAAACCCGACCGGCCGATCGCAATGTTGTTCACGTCACCTCCAGTCACCCCATATTTTTGACGCAAACCAACGCGGAGAAGGTTACATGAAGCAAATGCCTTAGCTCAGTCTCGACTCATTCCTCTCGGAACTCACGGATCATCCCCATCCCTAGAGAGACCACGTTCCCCGCAGCCCGGGATAATTCGATTCCCCCTCAACCTCAACGATCGGCATTCAGTAACTTACGTCAGTATGAGCTTTTGTCTGATCCTAGTTCAAGCATCTTCTGTACATGTCTTCGCCCTGCTTTTGCTCCTTGACCTCTCTCCATGTGGGGAACAAACAAGCGTGGCAGGGTGTATTCCGGAGTGACCAGATGGGGTGGATGTGACACTATGTTGGCCAAGGGCCGATGTTACGTCCACGGATGAATTGCTCCTGCATGTTTTCATTTGGTCTGAGGTCCAAGGATGTGACTGGCAGTTTCCTTCTTCTCGAAAGTTCACATGCCGATCTTCTCTGGAATGCTTTCCCCGCGACTTGTTGCCTATCCATAAATAAGAAGCTTGATTTCTGAATTGGAACGCGTCTTTTCTACGTCTCAATTGTAAACCGGGCTGCTATTGGATCAAATTTGTGCATGGTTGTGGATAGTCCAGAGCCCATTATGCCATCACAATATTCTTGCCTCCCCATGGGGTTACTCGGCGGCATCGTAACAGCTCTCTTTGCTTCCAACGTGATGGCTGCAAAGGATTCTTCGGCAGATCACTTTGACGCCTTGAAATATGTCGATCCTTTAATCGGTACCGCGAATGGAGGTTTGTCTTGAATATTACAAGCCTTTCCTGTCAGCGAAGGCTGACAACTATTATAGGCCATGTATTTGCTGGCGCGACTATGCCATTTGGTAGGTCATACCCTCCGTGCTTTCATCTAACAAGACTAACAAATTCAGGTATGGCCAAAGCCGTGGCAGACACAACAGGTGAGAACCAGGCGGGCTTCGCTTTTGATACGAAGGTTGTGACAGGGTTTTCACACATGCATGATTCTGGGACTGGCGGCGTAAGTTTTCGCATAATATTGGAGAAAAAGAGCTCTATCTGATTCGCTTTCAAGGCTCCATCAATGGGAAATTTTCCTATCTTCGCGCAAGGAAATTGCCCGCATGATGACATTAACCAGTGCAAATGGCAACAATCAGACAGAGCATCTACCTGGGTTAGAGAGTCCCCTAAAGCTCGCCCAGGATATTTCAGCATTTCATTGGCGAGTGGTGTTTACGCAGAAATGACTGCCACAAATCGATCTGCTTTATATCGTTTCACTTTCAATGAAACCTCCGGCCAGTCGCTCAGTCCAGTGGTCCTTCTGGATTTAATGGATTTACCCCAGAGTCGAACAAGTGGCAGTGCCGACGTGGACCAATCGACTGGGCGTCTCACTGGAAGCGGTACTTTCAGCCCGAGCTTTGGTGCTGGCAGTTACAAGTCATATGTCTGCGTTGATTTTAAAGGAGCAGAGCTCCGTGACACAGGCATCTGGAATAAAAGGCAACCGGACACCAGCAAGCGGACGCTGACACTCGGATCTAACGCGGCATCCACTCTCTCGGCTGGAACATTTGCCAGATTCCATGCTCCCAAAGACAACAACATTCTTGCTCGCGTTGGAGTTAGCTTTATAAGTGTTGACCAGGCTTGCTCAAACGCGGAGCGAGAGCAACCTGACTTTGACTTTGAGGGCACCATTTCTGCTGCTGAATCTGCTTGGCGAAAGAAGTTGGATACGATCTCTGTGGATGCAGATGGAGTTTCATCGGATCTACAAACTGTCTTTTGGAGTGGAGCATACCGAACATTCATCAGCCCCCAAGACTATACAGGTGAAAATCCTCTCTGGAAAAGCGACGAGCCGTATTACGACAGCTACTATTGGTGAGGCAAATCCGCTTCGAAAGAGACGACTAGTATACTAATATAGTCTAGTATCTGGGACTCATTCCGCAGTATTCATCCAATGCTGACACTGGTCGACCCTTTCTCACAATCTCTCATGATTCGCAGCTTGATTGATACCTATAGGCACGAAGGATATCTGCCTGACTGTCGCATGTCGCTTTGCAAGGGATGGACGCAAGGCGGTTCCAATGCAGATGTGGTCATGGCAGATGCGTATCTGAAAAAGGTCTCAGGTATTGACTGGGACACTGCATATGAAGCTGTTGTCAAGGATGCAGAGGTGGAGCCCAAGAACTGGGACGTGGAAGGCCGTGGAGGCCTGCGGAGTTGGAAAAGTCTGGGCTATATTCCTTTTGATGACGACGATCCCGATGGCGAAGGTCTACACACTCGGAGTATATCGCGGACGGTGGAATATGCCTATAACGACTTTTGCATTGCCGAGATGGCACAGGGCATGGGCCACCAGGCTGACTACGAGAAATACACGAAACGGTCTGAAAACTGGGCCCGTGTGTTCAATCCTGACCAGAAGTCAAGCATCAAGGGTGTCGACACCAACTTCACTGGATTCTTACAGCCTCGATACACGAACGGCACATGGGGCTACCAGGACCCGATATTTTGTAGTCCTCTTTTGAACTTCACCTCATGTTACCTCAATGCTGATGGTCATGAAACCTATGAAGGTAGCGCATGGATGTATACCTTGTAAGTGCTCACTCACACTTTATTCTGCTCATACTCACAACTAACGCCTTGTCTACAGCTATGCCCCCCACGACATGGGCTCTCTTATCAAAACGCTCGGCGGCGCCGAATCCTTCATCTCCCGGCTAAGCTATCTCCATGACTCCGGCTTGCTCTACGTGGGGGATGAGCAGGCCTTCTTACCAGTATATCAGTTCCATTACGCGGGACGGCCAGGTCTCTCGGCAAAGCAGAGCCACTTCTACATCCCATCCCAATTCAACACGACAGTCAATGGTATCGCCGGTAATGACGATAGTGGAGCCATGGGCTCATTCGTTGTCCTGAGCATGATGGGTCTTTGGCCAGTGCCCGGTCAGGACGTTTACCTGATCACTCCGCCCTACTTCAAAGAAGTCAGCATTCGAAACGCTCTCAATGGAAGGATCGCCACTATCCGGAATATCAATTTTGATCCTAGTTACAAGTCTATCTATATCCAAAGCGCCAAATGGAACGGCAAACCGTGGACAAAGAATTGGATCACCCATGACTTCTTCGCTGACGGCGGTGTTCTTGAACTTGTGCTGGGACCCAAGGAGAGTGAATGGGGAACTCATATTCAGGATCTCCCGCCAAGTTTGAGCGATTATCACTGAATCCTTGATTCTTGATTGAGGAGGAACTTTGCTGAAAGCCTGACGCTTTGATCTGTACTACATGTGTGACCATATAAAGCTTGGTCATCACTAGAATTGAACATGGACATTAAGCGACATTCTTTAAATTCGCGCCTATTTGGTTTTAACCCATAAGGTGCCCCCTTGATCTATCAAATCACGAACTAGCATCACTGGTCCCTGGACCTAAGGCAAAGTGTATCCTCCATCAATAACCAGGTTTGCACCAGTCATATAGCTCGACGCATCCGAGGCGCAAAACACGTAAGCCTAGATGGGCCTGTCAGTCAATTTCGAGAGAGATTGGTTCAGGGAAATCTTACTCCCTTCAATTCGTAAGACTCGGCCATTCTCTTGGCGGGAATCAAGTCCGTCCACTTGTCCCGCAATTCCTTGGGGAAGCCATCCAGAATTTCGGTAGCGATGTATCCAGGCGAGATGCAGTTGACTCGGCACCAGTCAACCCACTCGACAGACAAGCACTTGGCTAGTTGAACAACTCCCGCCTTAGACGCATTGTACTATACAAGAATAAGTGTTATGAATAGAATCTATTTTCAATCGAGAACATACCGCCGCTTGCTTCTGTGGGATATTAACAAGAGTCGCACTGACAGAGGCCGTGAAAATAACATTTCCACGACCCTGTTCCTTGAATATCCGGCCGGCAGCTTGAGCAGAATAAAAAGCACCATCAAGATTGACCTTCATAATCTCGCTCCATTGATCGGACGTGTAATCTTCGGCGGGGATGCTCGAGGCAATTCCAGAGTTAACGACCATGATATCCAGTCGCCCGAAATCCTTCGCGATCTGCTGCACGACCGCCTCGATCTCAGACTGGATAGCGACATTGGCTTTGTACGCTGCTGCGCGTACATTGTTAGTAGATGCAATCTCGGCTGCAACTGTATCGGCGGTATTGGATGTGTGATAGATCAAGGCGACCTTTGCGATTGATCAATTTCGGTTTTTAGGAGTATCAGGCAGGTAGTATAGTTTACATTTGCACCAGCTTCGGCCAATCCTCTCGAGACTTCAAGACCGATTCCGCGAGCGCCTCCTGTGACATGGCGTGTCAGCGTGAAGCTTTTGATGGCTGGGAGTCATCGTACCAGTCACGACTGCGACTTTGCCTGTGAGGTCGAAGGCCTTTGTAACATGTTGATTTGGGGGCTGTGTGAGGACCATGTTGTATAGGTTGTTTGCACTTGGGGTAATAATAGGAACAAAATCAAAACTTCGAAGGAAGAAGTTGGAATCTGAGACGTGTTCTTCTCCCCCTCTACCCCCGCATTGGGCCATCTAAGTGTTCTCCAATCATTGCGACTTTCTTCTGCCGCTCGTGCAGCCAAGAATGGGCCAAAGCTTGTTAAGGTAATCCCTGGCGACAATGAACATTGATAATCATAGGCCAATCTGCTTTGCTTCATGCTCAGTGAGACCCTTGGGTCTTTGGTTGCGGGTCATTTTCTCATTGTTTTGATGTGAATTGTTGGAAGCTGACGTGGTTGGGTGAGAGGCATTTTGTCGGTTCGCTTTTTTGAGTCCCTTGAACAACTGCTTGTTCTCCCGCATAAGTTCATAAGCCCAGAGTAGGGCGAGGGCTTCGTTGGACTTGTTTTCCATTGTCAAAGATGGGAGTCGGAGAGGTGAAGAGGGAGAGAAGGAATGGGAGAAATGGAAACTTCAAGGAAACAAGATGTGTCCTCGCATACAACCTCATAATATCTTCCCGGTAGTCTTTTAGCTATTTCCCCCAGTTCTTAGACGTTTGAGATATCTTCTCCGTATGATACTAGCTTCGTCATGTTTCCATATCATTGCAGTCTTCCAGATAACCAGACCTCTGTTTTACCGTTCACCTCTATCTGGCTCATGAAGCAGAAACTAATACAAAGAGATGCCAAACCTCGCGTGCTTTTCAACTTGATGTATCTTTGAATGTCAAAAGCAACATACAACCCCAATCTGCCAGTTTCACAGCTTGTCCCATCCCTAAGTTTGTCTGTAGGCTTCCCCTTAATCACTATCGGGAGGAATCTCGTCCATGGAATCATCCTGATCCTCAGTATTGTCCTCAGTCTGCTCCTTACTCCGAGCTTTTCCCTGGTCATCCTTGTCCTGGTCCTGGTCGTCACTCTTTGTGGAAGCTTCCATTGCATCAAGCTTCTTCTTCAGACGCTGAAATCTCATTGTTGCGGCCGTGTGCTTGATACCAAGGTGTCTGGCGACGGCTGGAAAGTCAATCTGTGAGTTGGTATTGTTAGCATATGGTTAGAGAGAGTTTCATCGAGCCGAGAAAAGATACTAACGTGAACATTCGAGACCTTGTGGCAGGTCCACAGGAATAAGAGCTGTCTTTTCAAATCCGACTCTTTGGGCTCCCTTGGCTTGGTTGGACTTTTTCCGACCTTTGCAGGTTGCTTTGGTGCCATTTTGCTCGAAGAACGAAGGTGTAATCACCAAGTGATTGAAATTCCGAGCTGTGAGCTCTTTGTGATAACGGAATGGTTAGAAGAGGGAAAGAAGAAAGAAGAATAGTGAGAGACCTCGTGCTCAAGTTTTGAAGTGGCACTCGATAGCAAACAAGCAAGAAAGCCTCTCTTAACTTGCATAGACGTTCATCTCAGCATAGACGTATCCCTAGATAGTAAGAACGTAATACAAAATAGTATATTTATTTTAGGAACTTGATTTACATGTTCTATGTTATTCACATAGGTACCTAGTCACCTCGACCAGTTACCATACTGATACGGGAGGTTGACGCCATAATGCAACAGTGTACATATTCTATTAACGTTAAGACAAACAGCCCTTCCTCTATATCTATATAAATCTATCGTTTCTGGGGTATATGACCATGATTAAAACAAGCAGTCATCCAGAATCGCTCGACTAGCGAAGAATCAAGCGGCTTTTGTCTTCACAGGCTCGACATTCTTGACTGGATGTAGAAAGATAGGAGGAAGACAGAGTCGAGTGTTTTCCTTTTCCCACTGCACGCACAATTAGCACCGGAATATGTCAAGAGCCAAGATAGCGAGAATTTACCTCTTTGGCGCCATCATAGCCCATCCAGGCTCTGTATAGCCTCTCCCCGAATTCAGAATTAAACATAAATGTCGTGTTGTAGAGAATATCATCATGTTTGCCCCAGCTCCAGATACTGTCAAGCCCAGCATTGATCTTGCCAGGCTCACCCGGGTTGGCGCGGCGGTTCAATTCCTCAGGGTCCCATTGGGCATTGTGGTACACCGGCTGGGGGATCTGCACCGCCTTCAAACCATAATACAAAGCCCAGGATATAGGGGACATCTCGGATGCGAGACCGACTCCTGATTTTACCTTATCAGCATGCAATAGACCGAGCAGTCGCGCCGAGATGCGAGACATTGCCACGACAGCTGCCCAGCGTGGGGTCTCCTGATCTTGGGGGAAATTGAAAACACGGTCACGGAAAGGCCAGTCTGTACCAACTGGGTTGAAATGAGGCAGCCAGGTGATCAGATCGGCTTCTTCGCCCACACCCCATGTCCCTGTCTCATTTCCTGGGCGTGATACAGGTGGAAGAATAGCTTGTCCTTTGATGTCGATGCCTTCTGCAGGGCGAGGGCCCCAAATACTGCTGTTTTCATGTCCCAGCATTTCCTGATCCACCTTCTTCGTGAATTCTTCCCATGTGCCATGGACCGCAGGAATATAGAAGTGAGAGTTGCGCTCCCACAGATTCTTTCGTGGCTGCTGCTTCGCAAACTCTGTTGCCTTGTGCAAAAGGTCGTACATATGGCCGGTGTATCGAGAGTCCATCTCGAACTGCCAAATGTAGTCGTATTGGGGGTGTAGTCGTGAGAAGATTTGCGTGGGTTGGAAATATTGCAATATCGCTCTAACATAATGTCAGCAGGGTAATTTATCCAGTTATGAGGGCCATCAAACCATACACATGAACATCAATCGCAGGGTACCAATCTTTTAACATATCTGCATTGAACCATACCGCCAGACTGCGTAGCTCTTGTGGCAAATGTTTCTCTTCAAACGCCTTCCAGGCAGCATGGTCAGTCTTTTCGGGCAATTTCGTGCCCTGGCAATCAATTAGGAGAATAAGCTCATATTCCGCTCCCGAGTAGAGTGACAACTCCATAATCATAGATCGAATGTGGTACAAGTCATTCTTGGTATATTTCATACCGAGCCAAGAGCGCAGTATAACAGCTGTCCGGGGATGGGGGTTGACAGTCTCGTTCAATGGTTGTCGAGACTGCGAATCTTTATCCAGGGACTTGTACAGAGCGTATATCTTTTCTTCAGATGGGTGCGTGCGATATCGATCACTATTGCGCTGCAGACACTCATGTTGCAAGTTGGCCCAGTTGACCTTCTCCCAGTCTATTTTGGTGGTTTGGCTGGAACCCGATTGATCCTTGAGATCGTGGATTTGAGCGGTTTCCTTGCCCTGAAGATAACCATATGCGCCGTATCGGGAGTAGCGATCGGCACAGAGACTCTTGTTCAAATTCCACGCCTCATACGATCCAAAGATTGGTGTTGGAAAATCTGGTGTTGATTAATTCCCCGTCACCTCCAAAACCATTTCTTTTCGCACCTGAAGTATTCCAACGGAACCCGCTCATCATCATATCTCCATCTTTGCGGTTCAGTAGTTGCCCTCCAGGTCCAATGCATGGCTGGTAAAATCCCTTTGACGTCGACGACCCGTCCGCACTATCATAATGTAGATAGGGGTCATTAATAACTTGAGAGGAAATTGGAGGGTGACCGGCATAATCGGTTGGAAATGGGACGATGGAATGTCCTGCAGTAGTAAGACTAATACAGATCAGGACGGGCCAATGAGGACAGAAATGAGGGATCTTCTACTTTGTCAGTTTCACCCGCAGTGGAACTATTAGAGCTTCTCTCGAGTAAAAGATAACCAAAAAGATCAGGAACAGGGCGGCAACAGCAAACTGACGCCTTGAAGAAGCGAAAAACCACCGCAGCGGCACGAAGAAATCCATCTGAAGCTAGAAACTGCAAGGTCCAAGCCTGAAGTTTGGGGGCCTCTTTAGTTTTGTATTGATTTTGGATGCCTAGTGGCTTGGCTCGGCTTCATTTGTTCGGCCAATGGATAGGGAACGCATGGGGACTGCCGAGAGATCCGAACAGAAAAATGAAGAATATTAAACATCGATACACTTCCGATTAATTTGGATAGAATGCAATCTTCCAGGGTGTCAAGTTAGTATTAGCATTGTTTTTGGTCTGATTTTGGTGAGTTTCGGATACCCGGGGATATTTGTAGCCCTACTTTTATTTTTCTCAAGAAAATCCAAGTCAGAGGTTGGAGAATATGCAGAATATGTACTTGTCTTGATACCAGGGATATCGCTATGTACTCAAATAATGATAAAACGGACAAAAGCACAGCTTCCAGTGGCCTTTGAGATGAACAATATACCAAATAGGCATTCCAATATGGTTACACATATTTCTTCCAGAATCAGGGGCATTTCAGTCAGTCCCAGCTCTTCGACCCCATCCACTGAAGAATCCCCCACCATTGTTGCTGGGAGGTGTCCCAAGTGTCTTTGGACCTTCGGTGAGAGATTTATTCGCCAAGCTGATTCGCGACTGTGACAGTCCAACAATGGAATGGCGGTTCTCAGGATTTGCCGCCTGGATCTTAATCATTTTCCGCAATGAATCCAACTTGCCCTTTACTTCCTCGAGTTCTTGCTTAGCAACCGCTTCTGCTGTCTTGGCATTGACCAACTCCATGAGCAACGCGTCTTCCGTGGGAGGTTTACTACTCTCCGCCGACAAAGCTCTCTGGAGACCCAGGCTGCTTGTCCGTCTGTTATATGTGGGGCTTTTGGTGGAGTTGGTGCGGGCTAGCTTGAACTCGCGTAGACCACTCGTGGGAGATTGAGACTCCCCAGAGTCAACGGCAGAAGATGTTGTGTCTAGCGGCGTTTCGGATATAGGAGTTTTGAGGTTACGCAGCTCTCGGTTCATGCGCTCAAGTCGCTGTCGATCCCGATGACCGTCTTGAATCCGGCCCCGGGCTTCTCGCAATTGCTCCTTGAGGGACGAATTCTCTTGTTCAAAATCGTCGATGCGCCGTGTGAGGTTCAAACAACGACCGGCTTCCACTTCGTGCATTTCCTTCCATCGAGTAACATCGTCATTGAGCTGGAGCTTGGTTTGGGTAATTGAGATGCGCTTCGGTTTGATCGAGTCAAAACGTGTCTGCGCTTTGGTCATTAGTTCGACTGGTTGTGTCTCAATCGACTGTTCTCTGATGTGGTTCAACATCTCCTTGGCCAGGGTGTGATCTTCCTCCCGCTCCTCCCTCTCCTGCTGCAGTTCACGTGTAAGGTTAGCTTGTTGACGCTGAAGATCGCTGAGTGCCATCAAGAGTTCTTCAATTTGGGTATGGAGGTCGCGGTCTTTGTGGTGTGAAGACATGTTGGATTTAACGCGTGGTTTTTGACTATCACTAGCTGCACCCGCTGATAGTTCAGTCGCAGCAGTACTTGCGTCGGAAGTGGTTTCGATAGAGTTGAGAGTGGAGGTCAGGCTTTGTTTGGAGGTGGAGCGACGAATTGTACTGTTTTGACGCGACGGGCTAGTAATCGGATTGAGTGACTTGACCGAATTGTGAGAGTTTGACGAGCCGGCCCATAATCGCCCGAGGAAGCCAGAGGCCGTTGCCTGCATCTGCGGGGAGGGGCCAGTTGGTGAGCCTTTAGACTGGTGGTAGCTGGCTTCAAGGGTTCGGAGACTCTCGTTCGTCACGAGAGAGGTGAGCGATACAAAATCATTAACAAGATCATCAGCATTGAAGGCGTATCTGAATTTCACGGGTTAGTGAGGTTCTTTGTTTCTAAGATTCGCTCTGTGCGATGCCCAAAACTCACGTGTCCCACAAGCTTCGAGATAATAACAGTTGCATCACGTCCTCAAATTCGCTGCAAGCCAGAATTCTTTTCTCGTTGCGCTGCATCAAGGAAAGTGCAACTCGCATCAGAGTCTCGCATGCGCCTTCCAAAAAGATAACATCGTAAATACGGAGAAGCATCGGTAGCGGACATGCCACCGCAAAGAATGATAAGAACCACTGCGATACGTAGACCGGCTCAACGTGCAATGCTTCCAAATGTTGGAACAGGACCGGCCTGTGCCGTGCTAAAAGATTTTGGAACTGATACACATGAAGGTGAAGACCCGACAGGTCTGGAAGGTAGCAACTTCGGAGGTTGTAATGATCCATGAGGCTACAGAACGTGACATATTAGTAAAGTTCTCAAGTGTTGTCGTCCAAGGAGACCTACCGAACAAGTACACAAAACGCCTCAGCGTCTGACATGTGCATGAGCAGAGGGCCTACTACAAATCCAAGACCTTGGCAGTAGCCAATCTTAGTATCGTAAAGACTGAAGCATCGCAACACTCGGCCGAGCATTTGTTGACCCTCGCCGTTCGGGTCGCGGAACATTTCAACATTGGGAAAACTGCGACCAATATCTTTTCCAATTAGACCATCGTAAGGGCTGCTTTCACCCGAAAGTCTGTGGAATTCATTTAGCAGATTAGGATCCCGCGCGCCCGCTAGACTAGGCCACACCACTCCTCGCAATGGCGGGGGCACACCTCCTTGGATCTTATTCGAGGTCAATGTCGGCAGACGATGGGCGGTCTGATGGTAATCGGCAACAAGTGCAGCCCAAAACTCTAACTCGGTCATCGGAGGAGGGGGTAGCTGTGAGTATCGCAGCTCTGCCCGAGCGGGATCCTTAATAAGTCGCTTGATCTGATGTAGAGACTCGGAGCGGGATTGCCGCTGATGTATCTTGCCATCAGGCACCTCTGTTATCCCGGATTTCGGGTTGGTCGCCAAAGCGTTGTTTTCTTGTTCGAGTCGAGCGAGGAGTAGGGCCGTAGACTAAAATTAGGTTAAGAATGTTAGCCACCATTCTAGAATTCTGCAGCCGCTTGTCACACTTACTTCATCCGACCCCTCTCCACGCGGTTCTCGTTCTTCTGTCTTATCGAGGTTCTCCCAGTCCACCTCATTGTCGAACATCTCGCCTGTCTGCCTCTCCCTGTCTGCGCCTGGGGTCTCGGGAGTGGGGGTAGTCCTCGCCGCGTTCTGTAGTGGCACCGATCCAAAAGCCTCCTCACTCTCTTTCTCGAGATGGCTCAACTCCACCGGGGTTGGAGGGATATCAAGAGTGCGCCAATCCGGTTGGGTGTGCTCTGAACTGGACTGGTTATCGGATAACGCGACGGTGACCATTGAGTCATGGTTCAGCGCGTGGCTGGCACTGGAAGATGGCTCGAAACCTTGCATTTTGACGCGATAGGAGAATATATGGTGATAGGAAGTGTGTGGACGCGTTACGGAATACTTGTTGACAATTTCGATATCGGAGGATACCAGGGGGGTGTTTTCAGGCGGGTTTCAACTGCATAATGCACTTCACACACAATTTTCGAGTGTTCAAGAAAACCAATTCTTTCCCGCAGAAGTGGACCTGGATATGGCTCTAGACTTGTATCCAGTACAAGGAGAAAAGGCTGGAGAAAGAAAAAAAAAAGGGAGTCAGGAGAGATCCTCGTTAGCCCCCCCTTTAGCTTTCCCCTCGTGGAGTCTCGGCCCCGTCGATCCTCCTCATACACCGACTGTTTGACCATTGAAATGAATATATTATGGGATGATGGAAGAAATTATTCCGATTGTCAATTGTAAATTGAAAATTGTATCAAATATAAGATATTCAAAGTTAGGATGAATGCCGACCTAGAGTTCACGTTATCCAAATTGGTATCCGAAGGGTTTCAAGTATATTACTACATACGGAGAAGTATGATGCTTAGAGTGATGAGCACTAATGTACGAATATGTACGGAGGGTACTCCGTACGGAGTACATATATGTCTTGAGTCCCGTTATCTCAACTGCATATTGCCTGCAGGTACGGACTCCGTACAGCTCATATTTGGAAGATCAAAGGCCAAAGGGGCACCGTTGTTGGTACAGCCCTGTATTTCAAGTACATTTACAGGTCCATCGGTAATATTTCGATGTTTTTCATTGGTTTATATCAAAGATAGGATCAATTTGATTTGTGAAACCCCTGGGCTGATATTGAAATACTGTTACCACCCCCTGCCTGGTTCGTTTCACCTCAATATTGAGGCTGGCCAACGTTGTGCTCACACTATCCATTGATTGACTCGAAAAGATTATATCCAGATCTCATGCCTAACTCCTCCATTTATCGCTCCTTATATGCTTCTATACCACGCCATAACACTCACACCGTTCATAGAGATCCACAATGTGTGGTCTATGCGGTCCCCCTGTCAAAGGGTTTTCAGCCCACTTTTAGAGATTTCGAGGAACTACATAGGACTATGGAGTATACAATATAGATGAGTCCTTGACAAATGTTTAAAGCTGTGGAGCCTTCGACTTGACGGTTGGAAATTCTGTTCGCCAGATATTTTGGTTATGTCTTGTGATAATTGCGAGTATATTTTTGGAGTGGCTTGATGGCTACATATCTTTGGAGATGTGAATCCTAATAATCTCTATATCCACTAAAAGGCGAAACAGGACAATATATAGTGTTGTACGGAGTACATCATAGCACGTGAGTCTAGTTCAATCAATGGCTATGACAACCATCATTCATTGTATCACTGCTGGTACTATGAATTGTACTTAGAGTCACGCAAGGGTCACATATGACCCCGCGGCTGGGTTTCTCTGTACTTTGCTTACCACACTCAGTAGCATACCTAGGCGATTATATGCCTCGTTGTGAGTAGTTCACCATCAACCACCTATGTACTCCGTAGTCACGTTATATTACCAAAGGGCTCTCTGTACGATGCAAAGCATCCTACGCAGCTTATGGGAGATTTCTTATACCTCGCGTATGTACGAAAAAGGGATCAGACATATAATTCAATCAGATTTGACATTTAGAGGACATATTATTGCTCTAATTATACCCGTCTAACTATATTTAGATCACTATTTGCACTAACTTCAATTGTGAAAATTAAATGAGATAACACAAATAAGGAATCTGTCAGAGGTTGTTGATTTATGAAGCTCACATGTCCATAGATAGATTTTGTCTTCACCTTATATTTCCCTTATGAATTGACGTGAAGCACAACATACAAAATGAGGGGAACTTGTTGTTGGCGTTTGTTTGCAAATTACCTCTTTGGGTCGCGTTCCTGGGCGGTGAGGAAGAATAATGATCCGAGTGGCTACAAACTGCCCACCGCCCCCTGTCAGTCGCGACTTCCCCGGGGCAAAAAAACAACAGGCGCTTCCCCTCCGCATAATCTCTCTCTTTTCCTCTCTTTCACTTCTTGCTTCACCCTTTTCCGGCTTGAGCATGTCGAGGCTGGATTGATCCGTTCTTCGACATTGAGAGATAGCGCCATTCGTTTGCTCCAACTTTGAGGGCCTGACTTGGGCTCCTTTCCCCCCCAAACAGCGCTCTATCGCGTTCTATTCGTTTACTCATATCTATCATGGATGATTCTATGATGGAAGACTCGGTTTTTGAGGATGACGGAGGTAGCTCTGACTTTGCTCCTGAGCCTGCACCGGTATGAAATGCCCCTAAGATGCCAAGCCTGGACTCGACTGTGATTACTGACATTATACGTCCTCCAGAAACCCAAACCCAAGGCGGCTCCTAAGAAAGCTGCAACCGCCAAGCCAGCTGCTAAAAAGACCACACAGACCACCCTAAAGGTCAAGCCAGCTGCAAAGCCAGCTGCTAAAAAAAAGGCCAAGGCCGATAGCGAGGACGAACTGTCCGATATCCAAATGTCCGATGATGATTCTCTGCTCTCCCACACCCCTCCTAAGGCTAAGAAAGCAACTGCGCCCAAGAGAGCTGGCTCAAAGCCGCTCGCCGACGTCGAAAATGAGTCCCACGGAGGAGACGCTGCTGCCGATGGCGCGAGCAAGAGTGGAAATGCATCAGAGAAGTACCAGAAAGTCAGTCTCTGCAGGCTTTAGCATGATGTGATTATGGCTGGATAGTTACTGATATTGAATATAGCTCACCCAACTTGAACACATTATCAAACGTCCCGATACCTACATTGGATCCACCGAACGCACCACACAGCAGATGTGGGTGTACAACTCCGGAACTGAGTTGATGGAGTACCGCGATGTATCTTTCGTTCCCGGTCTCTATAAGATATTTGACGAGATTGTCGTCAACGCCGCCGATAACAAGCACAACGACAAGAACATGAACGAGATGCGAATCACAGTTGACCGCGAGGCCGGCGAAATCAGCGTGTGGAACAATGGACGGGGTATCCCTATCGAGATTCACTCAAAAGAGAAGATATACGTGCCCGAACTTATCTTCGGCCATCTACTCACTTCCTCCAACTACGATGACAGCCAACAGAAGGTGACTGGAGGCCGCAACGGCTTCGGAGCCAAGCTCTGTAACGTTTTCTCGACAGAGTTTACCCTTGAGACTCAGGACTCTCGTCAGAAGAAGAAGTACAAGCAGACCTGGACCGAGAACATGACGAAAATGGGCAAGGCAAAAATCACAGATGCCAAGGGTGATGACTACACTAAGGTCACTTTCAAGCCAGACTTTGCCAAATTCGGCATGGATGGCATCGACGATGACTTCGAAGCCCTTGTGAAGCGCAGAGTCTACGATTTGGCGGGTACCGCTGACGTTGCTGTCAAACTAAACGGCACGCGTGTCTCTGTTCGCAACTTCCGAAAGTACATGGAAATGTACACCAAAGCCATTCGCAAGGAGCGTGGTGATGATGGCCCTCCCTCAAAGGATGAAATTATTACATGTAGCCCAGATCCCCGATGGGAGATCGGATTCGCTGTTTCGGATGGTTCGTTCCAACAAGTCTCATTTGTCAACTCGATCGCGACAACCTCGGGTGGAACGCACGTCAACTACATCGCCGATCAGATCTGTACCCGCTTGGCTGATCAGGTGAAGAAGAAGAACAAATCCGGAGCAACTCTGAAGTCCGCGCAGATTCGGAACCACATCTTCATTTTTGTAAAGGCCCTGATTGTCAACCCGGCTTTCACCTCTCAGACCAAGGAACAGTTGACTACAAAGGCCAGCCAATTTGGAAGCAAGTGTTCGCTTGATGAAGATTTCTACAAGAAAGTCCTGAAGACCGAGGTCATGTCCAATATTCTGCACTTCGCGGAACAAAAAGCCGATCAGATTTTGAAAAAGGGTGATACCGGCCGACGGACGCGTATGAATAACCCGAAATTGGTTGATGCCAACAAAGCTGGTACCAGAGATGGTCACCACTGCACACTGATTTTGACTGAAGGTGAATCAGCCAAGGGATTGGCCATGGCTGGCAGAGCAGTCGTTGGACCAGACTTGTTCGGTGTTTTCCCCCTGCGTGGAAAACTTCTTAATGTCCGTGATGCTTCCTTTGACCAAATTTCGAAAAATGTGGAAATCCAAAGCATCAAGAACTTCATTGGCTTGCAGCACAAGAAGGAGTACACAGAAACCAAGGGGCTGCGATACGGTCATCTTATGATCATGACTGATCAGGATCACGACGGTAGTCACATCAAGGGTTTGCTCATCAATTTCCTTCAAGCCCAGTTCCCCAGCTTGCTCAAGATTCCCGAATTTCTTATTGAGTTCATCACTCCCATCATCAAGGTTTGGAAGGGTGACCCGAAAAACCCGACCAAGCACAAGTCGTTCTTTACCATGCCCGAATATGATGAATGGCGTGAAGCTCACAAGCACGAACGTGGCTGGGATCATAAGTACTACAAGGGTTTGGGAACTAGCACCACGGAAGATGCACAGGTCTATTTCCGCGACCTCGATCGTCATCTGAAGGAGTTCCACACCATGCAAGACGGTGAAGCGGGGCTCATCGAGCTAGCTTTCTCCAAAAAGAAAGCAGACGAGCGGAAAGAGTGGCTTCGTCAATACAAACCTGGCACATATCTGGACCATTCAGTGGCGAAGATCACATACACCGACTTCATCAACAAGGAGCTTATTTTGTTCAGTATGGCGGATAACCAACGTTCGATTCCTTCCGTTGTCGATGGTTTGAAGCCAGGTCAACGCAAGGTGCTACACACCTGTTTTCGCCGCAACCTGAAAAAGGACATGAAGGTGGTTGAGCTGGCAGGTCATGTATCCGGAATGACAGCCTACCACCACGGTGATGTCTCTCTTCAGCAGACTATCATTAGTCTTGCCCAAACCTTTGTTGGGTCCAACAATATCAACTGCCTGGAGCCCAGTGGGAATTTCGGTAGTCGACTGCACGGTGGAGGCGATGCTGCCAGCGCTCGTTACATCTACACGCGCTTGTCTCCCTTTGCACGCAAGATTTTCCATGTAGCTGACGAACCACTGCTGGTATATAACGAAGACGACGGAAAAAAGATTGAGCCCGAGGTCTTTATACCTACCGTCCCAATGATTTTGATCAACGGCGCGGATGGTATCGGAACTGGTTGGAGTTCTTCCATCCCCAACTACAATCCCGAGGATGTTGTTAACAACCTCAAACGCCTGATGGTTGGCGAGCCTACTCAGCCGATGCAGCCTTGGTTCCGCGGGTTCACCGGTGAGGTTGTGGCCATTGGTGGGGATCGATTCAAATTCAGCGGTATCATCAGGGAATGTGGCGACAAGGAGGTCGAAATTACTGAATTGCCTCTACGAACCTGGACACAAGATTTCAAGGACAAGTTGGAGGATATTATCAAAGCTGAGAAGGTGCCATCCTTCATCAAGGATTATAAGGATTACAACACCCACACCAAGGTCCACTTTATCATCCAACTCGATGAGAAACACATGAAGGTTGCCCTGACTGAAGGCTTGGAAGAAAAATTCAAACTGACTAAGACGATTGGAACTACCAATCTGGTGGCCTTCGATCCCGAGGGCCGTATCACCAAGTACGCCTCTGTCGATGACATTCTTAAGGAGTTCTTTGTCTTCCGTCTCAAATATTATGAGCGACGCAAGCAATTCCAGCTCTCCGATCTACAGAGAGAGCTAGAGAAGCTGAGCAACCAAGCTCGTTTCGTGCAGATGATTATCGATGGCAAATTGGTCATCTCTAAAAAGAAAAAGCCCGTTCTAATCACTGAGCTCAAGGAAAAAGGCTTCAAGCCAATCACCAAGGTGGCTGAGGCGGCCAAGATGGGCGAAGATGAGCCTGTAGTAGAAGAAGGCGAAGAAGAATCGGATGACGCTGGCGCCGAAATACTATCCAGTTCATTTGACTACCTTCTGGGCATGCCTATGTGGTCGCTGACCCAGGAGCGGGTGGAGAAGCTCCGGCGCCAGATCGGCGAGAAGGAAGAAGAGATCGATGTCTTGATTAAGTTGTCCAAGGAGGAAATCTGGACCCGTGATCTGGATGATTTCATCAACGAGTGGCGCTTCCAGCTCGAAGATGAGGAACGTCGAGCCCGCAAGGTGGCCAGCTTGGGGCGTCGTGTCTCGGCCAAGCTGGCCACGGGTGGTGGCCGCGCCGCAGCTTCGCGCAAGCGTAAGGCTGCTAACGGCGATGATCCAGACGATGAAGACTTCGGGGGTCCCAAGACGAAAAAGGCCACTGCGGCCAAGAGAAAAGAGCAGCCCAAAAACAGCTTGATGAATTTCCTCAATCAATCTTCGAGCAAACCAACTCCGTCGCCTGCAGCAGATGGAATTGCCGACTCAGATGATGAATTCAACATGGACATGGAGATACTTCCAAAGAAGAGTCGTGCTACCGCAAAGCTCAAGGCTCTGCCTAAAGAAGAGGATGACTTCATAGACATCGACGACATTCCCAAAACTTCGCGCGCATCAGCTCAGCCCGCTGATGACACGATGGAACTTGATGTGGATGAGGCGCAAAAGCCCAAACCAGCAGCCAAGGCAGCGACCAAACCGGTGGCTAAACGAGGACCTAAGCCCAAGCCGAAGGCCGAAGAGGACTCGGATGATGATTTCTTGGAGATTGCTAAGTCCGAGGCATCCAAGCCCGTAGTGTCTTCTCGTGCCCGCAAGCCTGTAAAGTACTCCGCGCCTAGCGACTCTGAGAGTGACAATGGCGATGATCTTCTTGGGGACGTTAGCATGATGGTCAAAGGCATTGGCGGTGACTCAGCCGCCGATTCTCGACAACTCTTCTCGGAGCGTCCTCGTTCGGAAAGCAGTGCTAGTGTGAAGCCTGCCGCGAAATCTTCCAAGGTCAACGATGATTTTGATCCGGATGAGACTGATTACAGCAAGCTCATTCCTCAAAACTCCCCACGGCGCTCTATCCAAGTAAAACCCAAGGATGTCAAGCTTGACAACAATGATGAAGATGATGAAGAGGACCAGCCAGTCAAACCAAGTGCTCGGGCCAAGGCTGCTCCCAAAGCCAAGGCTGCTTCCAAGGCTGTAGAGCTCGATGATGATGACGAGGAGGACGAGCCGATTAAGCCAACTGCTCGGGGTAAAGCCGCACCGAAGGCCAAGGCCGCCCCGAAGGCGGTCACTGCCACGGCAACAAAGGCCCGTGGTCGCCCCAAGAAAGAGCCAGCTCCCAAGCCCGCCTCCAAGCCTGCTCCCCCGGCTTTATCTCCGGCGGCCAAGGCCTATGCTTCAAAGCAAGCCAAGACAAGCAAGAAGATTGCAGATGAATATTCAGAGGATGACATCGACGCAATGGCCAACGACATTTTGGATTCCCCAGCAGGCAAAAGGAGTGTGGATATTTCGGAGGACGATGAAGAGCCTGCTCCTGCCCCTCGCCGCGCTGCTGCAGGCCGTCCGGCTCGTCGTGGTGCCACACAGCTGAAGAAGTCCTATGTCATTGAGGATGACAGCGATGAAGAAGCATCCGCCGATGACTTTGACGATGAAGATGAGAGTGACTAAATAGTGTGCTCGAAAGCCCATTTCCTATCTTCTGCGTTTGTTTTGCAATGCTCTCTATTTTGTTTTTATTTCCTTTCATCTCCATGTCTTAGTTGAGTATTTTACAGAGATCTGGCAGAGCCAGTGCATGCAAGGCAAATATGGGATGTTCAATAATATGTTTCTGTCAATACCTTATTGGTGTCCAGTATCTTACGTTCAGTTTTTCGTTCGCTACACAACTTCTCGTTACGTTCAGTGTTGTCTCTTACTCTTCATAGATCCTTCCAAGGTTGTCACATTCATCTTGTACCAGAAATGTGGCACCGATACTGGAAACACAGGGCAAAGACTTCATGAAACAGTGATTCAATCGAGTTTGCAATTAACACCTAACACCGTCCAGTCTAACCCATTGCCTGTCATAGGAAGGAAATGAAATTGCATTGTAACCTCCAACAAACAGTGCGAGAAGAGTCCCCAGTGTCAGCTAATCCTTCAAGATTCTCAGTCAAACCAAAAGAAGATTCTCAATCGAATTGAAGGAATGCCGACTTGAACATGCGATCCTTCAACTCCAAGTAAAATCACCAAACCACACAAATATTCCTCACAAAATGCAGAGACAGCACCACCACACAGAAAACCCCAGCTCTCAGACCATAAACGCCGTTCCCATGTCAAATTTGTAGCGTAATCCGTTATCAAAGCGAAGCCCGGCGTCGCTTACGACTGCGAGATCCATCACCGTCAAGAGAGCGAGATTCGGAAGGCGATGCCATGCTATCATCATCCATCTCGTTTTCAGTTTCGGCACTTTCAAGCTCATTCATGTGCAGACGAAGAAGAGCTTCAGCAGCCTTGACCTCACGAGTAAAGTGAGGCGACGACTGAGGACGTGCAGCTCGGGATTTCCGGCTGGGATACTTCTTAGTCTGGGATGCGGGACTTGTAGAACCGTCCTTCCGAGACGAAGCTCTACCAGGGGTTCTCCTGAGAGGGGGTCCGCGGTAGTCTTCATCATCAGTGTCGTCCATTTGCCAATCATCGTCTGAGTCGGTAAGGTCATCAAAATCACTTTGCGTAGCAGGCACCTCTGAGGTACCGTTGATGGGCTCGTCGAGGCCGAGTTTGTCGGTTTCCATACGGCCATCTACAGAAGGACAATTTGGAGTGGAATACATGTTCGATGAGCCATCACTGTCGGTGTCGCTGTCTTCACTGATACCTCTGGGAACATTCCCCGACCGCATAGCATCTGAGAGAGCACGGAGAATAGTGCGAGGTGATTCGACGCGCGAGCGAGGCAAAGCATTGGAGCTGCGCGGGGGGTTGATGGGAGTGAAGGTGGACATGGGCGACTGGCTCTTGGGTGACATGCAGTACGGCTCCATAGAAGAGTCCCGGGCGCTGGGATTGCTCTCTATGTACTGGGTACGCGGAATCTTGAGTGGAGGCAGTGTCAGGGAGTCTTTCCGGCTCAATAATCCCATACCGTGGAGAAGGGTATGTGTTGAGGACGGCTCGTTGATTGCAGGGGAGCTGGCCGCGGTGGTGGACTTCATTTCCAAAGAACGATAGTAGTTGGAGGTATTGGTGGCACGCTGCACAATCTCTGGGGGAATGATCATGCGGCCATAAGATTTGCGGTCTGTTGGGGGGACGCACATGGCTGGGAAGTCTGTGCCAAACAGTGGGGTGAGAGCGTATCGGATTCTCCAGCAGAAAGTTGCTGACATGGCTCTGGCGGCTTCGTAAGGCATCCAGTATCCTACATGAAAGGAAAAACAAGTGTCAGATCTTACTATCCAAGGAATCGGTTGGCAGCAGCAGAGGGTATGAAGTTCTTACCTTGAGCAGAAAGTGCCCCGCCGGTGATGCTGTGACAGATATCGCGGAGACCGGGGTTCTGGTTTAGCATCTTGGCTGGTGTTGTCTATAGCGACTTAGAAATGGCGAACCTGTAGAAGAGCTGTCTTGTGGACTTGCCTTGGAGTAGCCATTGCATTTGAAAAGATGTGTGATCCGAACGATGCCAATATTATAGTCCCACATAACATGCCATTCCTTCTCTTCGCCAGGTATTTGGAATGTGTATTGAAAGACTAGATGGAAGAGTCAGACGTGAAGATCAAAGCATGCTCAGCGGCACATACCATGGAAACTGTCTCGGCCGGTCTTTTCTTGGAAAGTTTTCTTGTCACTGGCATATGGGATATGACGAGGATAGTCGGCAATATTTCCCAGGGGACGTAACGAGAGCTCTCGATGAGCCTTCTCCAGCTCTGCGTCTCTTTCCTCGCAAGGAGGATAGCGGCACTCGCCCTGGATCTTACCACGGCGGAAAATTGGGGCGTCCTTCGCCATCTTCTGCCGCTTTTCTCGGGCAGGGAATGGATATGGAGATCGCCTTTCAGGCTGAGGATTCAAAAGGGATTTGATGGATAGCATTAAGAAGTTCAAGTGCTATCCTTGAAAGAAAGGAATAGTTGAAGAAGTACGAAGTCTCCGGGGGAATGAAGTAGCTTAATGTCTCTTGGAACAAAAGGCGTTTTCCAGAAGGACTGAAAGATGGTCAAACCTATGAGAAATGACAAAGTAAAGCAAGACAGTCCAAGACCTTTGTTCGAAGGTTTGCTTCGTACAGTTTCTAGTACAGGTGTGTTTGTTGGCAAATACGGACTTTCGAGGAGACAGCAAGACAGCGGTGAATAGAAGAACTCGGATCTGAGAGTGTCTCTCGGAATGCAAATGACCTTCACCGGTTCTTTACTTTCTCACTCTCTCTCTCTCTCTCTCTCTCTCTTATATTACAAGCGTCCTTGAAGTCGGACGAGTCCACAGGCTGTTTGGCCTTCCGCGTGGAAGTGAAAAGCTCCAATGATCATCGACTTTCGACTGACGATGCAGTATGTATTGATTTCTATACCCCTGGAAGCAATTACAAAATACAGAGAATTTGAGACCTGTGTCTCTCACATCTCGAGGCATGACCTGTTTCACATTCACAACTGCGACTATCCAAACCTCTCCTCCCAAAGAGATCTGAAAGAAACGCATGGCAGTAAACGTTTCAGGGACCATGTGGATATCCTGGATTTCCTTTTGGAAACGCATAGAGTCACCGCTGCATGCAAACAGCCTGTGACGGTAATAGGTACGTACGAATATTCAGTATATTATACACAAGTACGGCTATGGATGCTCTAATATCCCGGGGTAGGAAGCTGAACCGTTGTCCTACCTTTTTCTTTTCTTCAGAATCTTATCGAAAAACCCATGCCAGATCTTCCTTGGCATCCGACTAGAGCTAGAGTATTGCAGCAACCGGAGCATTAGGACACCAGTTCAATGGTCCAATAAGAAGCTACATACCCCATGGTGGCTCGACGGGATGAGCATCAAAGAGGTCTTAGACCCACGGCAAGCTGCAGGGCAACTTACTCCTTGTATGACGGGAACATGCATTACCTAGCGAGTCCGTGAATTGCATCTGAGGAAAGCTGTGCTGCAAAGATAAACTTCTGACAGGATCAAAGATTCTGGGAAAAGTGACAGGGATCTTTGCTTGGGTGCACCCCACGCTTCCATGCCTGTACAGTGTGCACTAGGCTGTACAAGCGGTCTATATACTTTTGAAAGACGGGGTAAGGCTGAATGATGCAAACAAATTCTGATGTTAGAAGAGAAGAGAGTGGTTCTCTACAGTCTATTGACAGTTTTATACTTCTATTCCTCTATTTTCCCCCTGCTTGATTGACTGCCTGATATAAGAACCTTGGCGCAGTCTACTAGACCGCTAGTTGAAGTCTAAGGGCGAGCGTATAACAGAGACATGAATCTCCGGGGGCAAGAAACAGAATAACGACCTCAAAGAACCTTCTATGCATCCTTCTATGCAGTAGTCCGACACGTTGGTGGCTGTAGCCTACTTTTCCTCCCCGTATCTTTTTCTTTTCTCTGCCTGAGCCGACTTATACCATAGTATTACACTGACATCTCCCAGTCCGTTTTACAACTCGCTATTTTACCCACCTGCCAGTCTGGTTGATTCTGCATAAGACTCCCAGCAGGTACAAGGGGCCCATCCGCCAATCGGTGCCGGGCTGGGGTAGCAGCATTGAGAAGCACGGCAGAAAACGGTGCATATAGATGTCGGAAACTATGCAATCTGGTCAGAGACTTACAGGTCGAGGACTGAGTGAACTAGATGCCAACCCAACCGGGCTAGTTTTCGAGGGGAATGGGCTCAATTGCATTGGAGCCGGTTTGCAAAGAGTCCCAACAGCCGAGACCGAGAGAATTCAGAAAAGACTGGTTTCCAATGTCTTAGACAATCTGGTGCTGGCTGAACTGGCTCTATTAAGTCTTCAAAGAGCGGTAAACCCGGACATGCGTGTCCCCCATCTGCGACGCGTCTCAGATTCCGGGCTTCTGGAAAAGGGGCAAGAAACTATGTCTCAATTGGGATGCTGCTGTTGGTGTTTAGGCACTTTTTTAAGCGGCTATCATCCTTCGAATTGATTTCCGCAAAGTATAACTGAGCCCCCCTTGGTAGAATTGGCTCTTTCAGGTTGCCCTTGGGGGTTTCCTCTTTTCACATGTTCATCGAAAATTCGGAAGACTCCTTGTTCAAATCAGAGCCGATCAGAGTCTCGAGAATGCTGTGGTATCATGACAGCAATGTCTCGACCGTGCACAAGAAGTAAACGGAGCATTCATGGCACATGAGCCTGCAAGACTCGATACTAAATCCAAGTTTCAACCAGGCTAAAGACTCACTTCTATCACAAAAAGGTCCAGACCTCGACCCGTTGAACACAGAATACAAACCAGACCCGACCCCCACTTGATTCAGCCTGAGATTCCACAAGATACCCATTACCGTCAGATATCAGACCACACTCTGGCATTTGTACCACAGACCTCGAATCCGGGGGATATGGGGACGTGAGAGAAGGCGAAAACACAGTTCCGAGCACGACTTAACAAGGTAAGTCTTCGAGGGAGAGGGGAAGGACAATGAGAAGGAAAACAAAACCGTCACGGGCTGGCCCGAATCGCGATGCGGCGAATAGGGAGCCGGGTCGGTGGACCGGGATGAAACTCAACGGCTGCCTCGCACTCCAGGGCTATTGGATCAAGGCCGCTTGCATGGAATGAGCAACTACTCAAGTGGGTTTGATCGAGGCTTTTGAGATGGGAGTCATGACGCACGGATGTGGCAGGACGTGGGGTGGATCTAATTTCCTGGTGAGTAGTACGTATACAATCTTTCTTGACAGTTGCCTAGATAGTGGTCCGAGGTCCCTGCGGGAGGCTCGAGGACGGGCACAATGCATGAATGTCCTGGGGATATATGGAGTATAGAACACCAAGTTATGATCATGAATTTTATGTAGATGTAATTCCATTAGAAACAATATGAACCCGAGAAAGACATAGACAAGGGAGAAAAGAAGTCAGATAAAAATGTCCAGTGGGTTGGAAAGGGGGAAGATAAAATATGGAAAAGGGGAAACAAGAGAAATGACAGCTCGTCGCTCAAGGATCCGGGTTTTTGGTTGTTCGTCGACACGATCTAGTGATCGGGGCCTGAGGAATCACCCAAGAACAGGTGACTCAAAACCCGACCTCACGTGCCATTCGGCATATTCAGCAATAATGAAATAATGATATCCATTCTCCAAAGAGTATTCGATAGACACTCGATTTTGAGGTCAATTAATATTCCTGGTTAAGATGACCTATCATTGAGACCTTACTCAAATAGCCAAAAGAGGTTCACGGTCACCTGCCTGCTCTGCTGGCTCTACAGACGCAACAATATCAGAATCAAGAGCATGAGCGATAGGGGCGGCCTTGGGAGCTTCGTGGAAGTCCTCATGCTTGACAATGGGCTCGGCAACGGAGGCAGTAGCAGGGGCAGTGACAGGAGCAGTGACAGGGGCCGTGAAGTCGGCAATGGGCTCAGTCTTAGCAGAATCGGCCACAATCTCACGCTTGACTGGGCTCGCAAGCTTGGTCGCCTCAGGGGAGGTAGAGCGTCGGGAGCCGATGTATTCATGGGCCTTAGAGCTATACTCGCCGACATATTGCTTCATCAGGCCGGTGGCGTGCGAGGTACGCTCGCCAGCCATGTCCCGGAGCTGGTTGGTCTGGGAGTTGATGATCTCCTGGACGTTGGCGATTTGCTCGTCAATGATCTCACGGTTGCTGATGTAGATAAGGGGAGTGAAGTATGTAGTGGTCACGGCAATGACAGCCAAGCCCCAGAAGGGAATGAAGCGGATCAGCCAGTAGCCGGTGAAAGCAGCAGTGAAAGCCTAAAAAGCCGTTAATCTTTGCCTTTTAATTTATCTTCAATCTTGACAAGTTGCGACCTACCAAAACGGTGTGGATGATATTCTCGGCGAACAGGATGCGCTGGAATTCGATCAAGAAGAAGTCCACAAGCTGCTCAAAGTCCTCGAGGACAGCCTCAACGGTCTCCTTGGGGACAGTGTAGTAACGGCGGGGGCGGAATCCACTGGCGATTCCTCGCTTGAGGATGACTTGGCCGGCAATCTCAACAGTGGCGGTCACTGCACACAACTGTTAACCAGCTACTCTATTGACCGTAGATCACGCGACCAACTCACCTCCCAATGACATGTACAGGAACTTGAAGGCCCAGCGGAGGAGGGGCAGATAACGGGCGGCAAAGATGAAACAGATTACGCTGGCGTAGGAAACGGCGGTCGCACGGGGTTGCTCCCACTGTATAAACACATAGATTAGCAAGCTATCCAAATTGAAGATCTCGGGCAAGAGCTTACGCTCAGAAGGCTATGCATCAAAGAGTGGTAGTCTAAAAACTCGTTAATATCCCGCAATCCGGGCAATCCAGTCTCATGACGTACGGGTCAATGGTTGACCATCGGCGGTGGTGGTCGAGGGGGTCACACGCGAGTTTTTCAGATCGCGAAACTCATCGCCTGTCCGGAATGCTTCGGACTTCACATTATCGACAATTGGGCCTGTCGAGAAACCGGTCAGCTTGCTTCGGTGACTTCAGAGTCTTCAGGAATCCTGCTTACCCTTGGTAATAACATCGCTGATGCCTGAGCGCAAGAGGGGTTAAGGTCAGTCTCTCATGGCCTCGGAATCTAGGAAAAAGAAAAGAGCATAATACTGCAAGATTACTGGGGGTTAGCATATTCGTTCCGCAGAATTGAAGTGACCTGTTGGTTTTCTTACCTTACTGCCCGTGTTAGGGTAGGTCACGTCACCAGAAGCCATGACGGGGATAATTTTTTGAGAAGCACTCAGGGAATGTTTTGAGAGAAATTGGAGAGTTCGTAAAAAGCGCAACTGAGTCGAGGCGTGAAATCTAGAAAAGAATTAAAGGGGGAAAGGAGGAAGGAGAGTGAAAAAGATAAGGGAAGATTTCCAAGGTTGTTGTGATGCTGTCATGTGCGTTGCCAAGCCCGAACAGCTATGGATGACGAAGTTACCTATGAGCCTACCTGGGTATGAATCTTGATTGATGTCCAACATGAAAGCCACTAGAAAATAATAGATAATATTCAAACAAAAATATATTATCGCTCAAAAGCCTATACAAATCACCTGTACTCCAGTACATATTGCTCTACACCGGATTTCAGAACTTTCCTCTTAGGGCGCTTAGGCCCAGAGTAAATTTAGCATCTCAGGCTTCCAAGGGGACTATGCTTAGGCTACGTGTAGAATACCTACTTCCAACATTGAAAAGCCATGGAAGTCAACCTCGGAATGTCTAATCATGTAATGACCTCGGGAGCATATAATCCACTGCAGACTACAGAGTATACCTAGAATAGATAGCCCTATGGGGTCGCTTATACTGTAAAACTTAGTTCGTTAGCGGTATTACCCCGTCGCATTTTCGAGTACCTAATGTTTATCAGACCTTGTCAAACTGCATTCAATTCAAAATTTTACGTGCAAGGAACGGAGAAGGGAAGAAAGAGACTAGTATTACACTTTCCGAGGTCCTGTGTTTCCCAAGTGGGCACCTATATTGCCTTGATAATCTCCCTGATAACACGACTAACTCGTCTTCTAAGTAACTATGTAGGTTGCTTAAGACAAAGCACTGCCTATCTTGGCTTAAAGTCGAAATATATCAGCCCACAATTCGTTCTTCTCGCCGATGGACTCCAAGAAATAATGCCAAGCCGGTCTTGGTGGGCGCACCCGATTGCAAATTGTAAAATATCAGGTAACTTTTGTGTGGCAACTCCATATAGAAAGTACTTGGGCGCATACAACATAACAGCCCTTAGATTTTTTTTAACAAAAATGACAGATCTTACGGAGGGTCCGCCACCCGTATAAAGGGCCCGGTCTTAGCAATTGCTTTCATTGGCACTTAAGGTCCACCATCACATCATACCTTATGAACCATCTTCCATCATAGCTTTTGCATGGCAGCGACATCAATAAACTGGACATGATCCTCTTCTTTTTCAATCTGGGTGTAGAGCGCCTCTAGAGATACCTTGTCCTCCTCGACGACTAGATTGATTTGGAGCTTCTTAATACCATAGCCAATATCGATGAACTGAGAGCCACCCCACACAAGGCCCTCAATCTCGATGGCGCGGACATTGGCCTCAAGCTCGATCAATTTGTTCTGACCGAGATCACCGCAATCTGCGAGTACCTTGACGAGGTAGCAAAAGGTGGCAAATCACTTTTTGATGAGACTACCCTGGAGCGAGCTGAGACTCAAATGGGGATTTGAAGGATGGGCTTGGAAATCGCCCAGCCTGTGATTGAATGGTACCGCAACGACCCGCCACCATCGACTTCTACAAGGGGAATTGTATTTCTATTCCTGAGGCTCGAGTCGTTCAGAAAGTGACCATCAACCAATTCTTAAACCGGCTTGACGATGAGCTCGAGGGGAAGAGTTATTTGTGCGGGGAATGATTTTCTGCTGCGGGCATCCATTCCTACGGGCTGATGAAGATGATGGTTGATAAGGTAGCTAAGTAGGTGCTTTCCCCGGGCGCTTGAACGTGGAGGCCTACTGAAAAAGAATGGAAGAGCGAGAAAAGAGCAAAACGGCCCTATCAACTTTCCCTGCGGGGTTGCTATCAACTTGAAGTTGATGATTTGGCTAATGGTTGATGAATCTTCACAATAATGCAACTTCTTACTGCTACCTTTTGGCACATATGTCTCTCACTAGAAGAAATATAAATCAAGTTTACTCTTTCCGGAGACTGAACTTGGTAAACAGAATTCTAAGCCAGAACTTCTCACCCCCAAGAAGGTTGAATGAGGACGAAGTTGATCAGGGATATCTTCTGAAAATAGATGGGGAAGGTATTATTTAGATGCGGTCATACCCGCCTATGGAGGAATCAATTGGCACCATCTATTAGCTGCCGTGCAGTACAAGAAAAACACCCGGAATCTGAGGACCTGTGGGATTGAAGCTGAAAATGACCACTTTTGACACCAAAAGCGGCGGCCTTTCTACCCTTAACTTTCGGTAGCATGTTGTTTTCTAGTGCTTTATCTAAAGGTACCTTCTTGAGTGTAACCCTAGTATCTTCCTTGGTAATGGCGGAGAAAGTGAAGGGTGTTTGTTCGCGGCGAACGGCCTATAGTGTATATCTAAGAGGTCTGCTTCCGGTGGATGTGGGCAAACACGTTTTTTGAGGTACTCACCTTCGCTGTGTTTGTCTCGACACTATCTTCGTCGACGGCACCTGGCGGTTTTGAGTGCTGACATAAGGCTTCCTTGCTGTTACCCATTGTCCTCGATTCATAGCCTATTTTGACACTTTCCATAGTCCCTGATATCCTTATTCGACGGTATTTCACTCCATAGTGGCATACATATCGCCAGTCTACGACAGCCTAGTCCTACTTGAATCTAGGCTGTTTATGCTAGCTTTGAAAGCGACGGTATAATGTATGATGTATGACCCGGTTTTCTGCTTCTCAACATAAAGTTCCGTAGAGCTTACTAAACTCCCAGCTATACTTCTAAAAATGGTAGCATAGACCTGAGGAATTGATAGCTTAAGACCCCGATGGACTATATATCTCCACAAATGAGGGGCCTCTCCTGTCAGTACCTTGATCGGTATTTACTAGACTATCAGGAATTAGGGAGCGTTGATGGGCATTTTATTTCGATATGAATCAATTATCAATTTCTCCGATGCAAAACGATCTCCAGATTGGAATGGGGAATATCTTCCTGAGGTATATGTGCTGTGTCTTTAGGAATTGCAATTATTTTTTGAATAAGATTATGCCTTGATTCCTGCATGATGAGAAGTCCCTTGGTCCTCTATGGATTAGTCTACGGAAGCTCAGGCGGACTCAACGTACTCCACTTACTGCCCTCCAGTGTCTTTGGGTGTGTTATTTCCGCCCACACGGCCATTGGATGGTCGATCAACGCCGATCGGTATAACTGGCATACGCTGGTCTGTTATGTACGTTCATAATTTATACTTTGTTCTAGACATACAAAAGGATAATATTGCCCTTGAGTTGTGTATTGTGCGGGTGTAGTGTACGGGTGCTCGGCATCTAGGGATCCAAATCTCTTATTTTGTTAACCGTCAATATGCATAAAGATTATGCCTGTATCAAAGGTCAATACTGTAGAAGATAAATAAGGCCACTTTTTCGCTATTCACTCTCCCTTCCTCAGGGAAACTTTCACAATAGGGGAATCACCATGACGCTTTTTGCAGAAAGAATAGGACATTCAGGAGCTTTCAGTTCGCCTTTGGTGGCTTTTGGATCTACTCTCGGGCTGACTCTAATGTCTGTAGGTGTTCTATAATATTGGAAAACGAATCTTCTAGTCCATTCACTAACCTGTGGTGGCCAGAGCATCCTATATTTCTTGATGATAGTCACCTACAACATCTACTTCCACCCTCTAGCGAAATTTCCGGGCCCAATGTCTTGCGCAGCTACGAGAATCCCCTACCTACGAGCCGTTCTCACTGGCCAGGTTGCACAAAATTCCAAGTTATTGCACAAAGAATACGGTGATGTGGTTCGTATTGCCCCCAATGAGCTCTCCTTTGTCAAAGGCGAAGCCTGGAAGACCATCTATGGCAGTCGACCCGGCCATGGGCAAAATCCCAAGGATTCTCGTATCTACCCACCCACAGCAAAGGGAGTTCCCAGCATCATCCTCTCGAACGATGAAGACCACTCCCGCTTCCGTCGTACACTGTCTTATGCCTTCTCTGAAAGCTCGTTAAGGTCCCAGGAGCCTATTGTGAAAGGTTACGTGGACTTGCTAATACAGCGTCTGCATCAGAATGTCAATAAAGGGAATACATCTCTTGACATGGTTGCTTGGTATAACTTTACCACTTTTGACATCATTGGCGATATGGCATTTGGTGAGCCATTCAACTGCCTACAAAACTCCGCCTACCATCAATGGGTCTCGATGATCTTCAGCAATTTTCGATACGCCTCTTATAGCAATGTTGTTAAACGCTTTCCCGCATCAAAGTTCCTCCTTGGTCTTATCACACCAGCGCACATTGTCACACAACGGAACTGGCACATTGAACTCACAAAGGAGAAAGTGAAGAGTCGATTATCTATGTCAAATGATCGGGCTGATTTCTTCAGCCATATTCTCAAACACAAAGATACCGACCGAGGGTTAACTTTCGACGAGATGATCACGAACGGAAGCACACTGATCATTGCCGGGTCGGAAACCACAGCCACTTTACTCTCAGGCGTGACCTATTTTCTTTTAAAGAATAAGCGTGTTCTGAACACCCTCGTGGAGGAAATTCGGAGCTCTTTCCAGACTGAAGACGAGATCACCATAGCCACTTGCAATCAACTTGGATACCTTCAAGCGGTACTCACTGAAGCATTGCGCCTCTATCCGCCTGTCCCTAGCCCATTGCCTCGTATTGTGAAAGGATATGGTGACACGATTGCTGGACATTGGGTGCCAGGAGGAGTAAGTGAATCCCAATGCTTGCTTACTCGGGTTCAATGGTCAAAGTCTTTTGATATTTTTTTTCGTTTCAACAGACCATTGTATCCGTACCCCAGCTCGCCGCATTCCACTCATCCAGTAACTTTACGGACCCTGAATCCTTCATTCCTGAACGTTTCCTCGGAGATCCTCGATTTAGCGACGATAGCCAAAACGTGCTGCAGCCGTTCAGCGTCGGACCACGGAATTGTATTGGACGCAAGTACGTGTTTTCTTTTTGTTGGTTTGAGAAAAAAGCCTTGCTAATGAGATCTGCTCTACTCCGTAGTTTGGCAAATGCCGAGATGCGCCTCATCCTAACCCGCGTGCTGTTCAATTTCGATATGGAATTGGACGTACGTAGCGAGAATTGGGAAAAGCAGAATTCCTTTTTTCTTTGGGACAAGTCTAGTTTATTTGTCAAGCTGAAGCCCAAATGCTCTACCACCGCGGGTCGTTGTTCGCCAGTTGTGTCACAACGCACTTGATGAAGCCTGCTCGATGCGATTCCTCTACTTTTTGTTGGCCTCCATAACACGGGATCCAAAAAGTCTGGGAAAGGAAAGAGCTTCTCCCCTTTTCCTTAACACTGCCATCGCTATTGCTTACTATCAGGTGACCGAAAGTGGACATTAGATTTAGCAGGCTATCAAGGCGTGATATGTCAATTGCATCACATTTATCTAATTTACTACTTTTTTCTCATCCACCCTTTATTTACTACTATGTCGGATGAAAGCAACCGGGTTGCAGTTTGACACAGGCATACTCCTAGACCTGGATAATGGATAGTGGTGAGAGAAAGGCAGCATGTCTTCAATTTGATGTACGAGCGACAGGGAGGGTTTTGGACAGGCTAAAATCAGGGCTTATTGAGGGAGTCGGGGGCCGTCGGGGGGCCGTTGGGCTTTAACTCCATTCGGGTCCCTGCATTCGTCATTCGTGGCTCCGAGTCCATCAATTTGGTGACAGGGAATAGGGGACTAGGATTGCCACATGTTGGGTGTCGAACAAAAACGCTAGGTACTTGAACCTCCGAACTACACTACTCAACGGGAACTCTGTATACAAATCAAGAAATAACACCGCTCTTACTTTGGGCAAAACTACATCAAATCCAGCCCTTTCTTCTTTATAATGTATCGATGTGTTCTCAATTTCTACAAGGATACTGAGAGAAAACATATACATCGTACGATGTATCTTATGCGTGTCATGGCTTTCTCCGTCTTAGTGCCCAGTTAGTAGAGCAGCCAAGCCGGCAGTTCATTTTACCTGGGCAAAGCACTACGCTAGTCCCATCCAGGCCAGTCTTTTGACAACGCTTTTGACCGTTATCCCCTAATTTATGTGCATCATGAACTTGGTCCTAGCTGTTTCACAATCTAGGGCAAACCCACACATTTACCGGCATTGCTATCCTGAGGTCATGCTATCGGACTAGCCCAACAGCATAGATATAATATGTAGAAAGGCGCTAACCTCATTCGGATGAATTTGCGCCATTGCCGTCTTCCGCCCGTTGTATACCAGAAGTAGAATCAGTTCAGGGAACATCGGGATCAGGGTGACGATACTCCATACTCCACAGACAGGGTCCAATTTAACCTAAAGTGGAGAAGAGATCACCATTTACCCCTTAGCAAATGAAAGATGGGTTCTAGTTTCACCCCCTGACAGCTGACCCGTCATGTTCCGTGAACTGACAGGCATAGCATGTAGCACATATACTACTACGTAAAGCATACACCCTCGTTCTGTGTACAAAATGAAGTTTCTAGAGTTAGTATTTGCCATTTATGCATAATTTCATCCACTCCACCAAATGAAGGACGACTCTGTAGTGTAGACGAAGACAATACCAGCCCCAACCCAACTCCATAATCACTTGAAGTGACTCCATTTTAGCCGGCCTGAAACTACTATGATACCGCCAAGCTTATACCTAAGGCTAAATTCTCTCTTCTTGCATATACATGGTTGGCATATTGTACTTGTGAGCGAAGAACCTCTTCACGATTCTTCAGGCTAAATATCCCCACACGAAATCGTCAGAAAGTTTCAATTGACTCCGTGATCCTTTTACTCAGGATCAGCAAGAAGCCTGCGCTTTCCAACACGGGGTTCTTCGTCTGAACATGAAGTTCTGCGAAGGGACTGGACCGTAGTGTCAGGATGTCACAGAAGACATATCCTTTAGTCTGACATGTCGCACCCTTGACACACTTGATGAAACCGGTCTAGGAGAACTAGTAAACTGCTTGAAAAGATATATAAAGGCCACTTGGGTTGCCTCCCAATCTCACTCGCAAGCTCATCGACTCATCAGACTACCAGTTCAAGAACTTCTAGCTCCAAGTCCAGCCATCTCTTTTCCACAATGAAGGCCACTTTGATCCTCGCCATTGCCGCTGCTGTCTCTGCTCAGGAGCTCTGCAAGCAGTATGACACCTACACCAAAGGTATCTACACCGTCAACAACAACATGTGGGGCATGGACTCGGGCAGCGGCTCGCAGTGCACCACCGTCGACAGTATCTCTGACAGCGGTGTTTCCTGGCACACCAAATGGTCCTGGTCAGGCGCTGAAAACTCAGTCAAGACTTACCCAAACTCGGGCGTGAAGCTTGACGTCAAGCATGTTAGCGAGCTTAAGAGCATCAAAACCTCCGTCGAATGGAAATACGACAACTCCAACATCAACGCCGATGTTGCCTATGATCTCTTCACTGCGGCTGACAAGAACCATGTTACTTACAGCGGTGACTATGAGCTGATGATTTGGTGAGATCTCTTCAACGTTACCTCTAGATAAGAGTGCCTTTTCGGCTGACTGCTCGCTCTCTAGGCTCGCCCGGTATGGAAGCATCAGCCCTATCGGCACCAAGCTCAAGACGGTCACCGTCGATGGACATAGCTGGGAGCTCTGGAACGGCATGAACGGCAATATGAATGTCTACAGCTTCGTTGCTGCAAGCCCCGTCACCTCCTTCAGCACGGACATCAAGAAATTCTTCGACCTTCTGGTCAAGAGCTACTCCTATCCTGCTAGCTCTCAATACCTGATCAGTATGTTCCTTTATTGGTACCTTGCCTTGGATATTGTGTACTAATGATGGTAATCTTAGACTTGCAATTTGGTACTGAGCCCTTCACTGGCGATGCCACTCTCACTGTCTCCAACTGGAAGGCCAATGCGGCTTAAATTGGAGGCAACACTGGGTTTAAGGGCTTTGTGGATCTTATGACCTGGCCGTGACATATCCATACTGAGAACTCCGCTTACGCTCGCTTGGCATCACGGGGAATTGGGTTGAAGTCGCTTTGAAAAGATTGCGTGGTATTCGAGCCACACGCTTTGTCAATTAGAAGTAGTTTCTCTTCCGTTGTCTTTTTTAAAGAATTAAACCATGCGCTTGTCCTAAATTTGAATTATTGATATCTTCAACTAAGATGTGTATGTTGTAGTTGACACATGTCAGCTTCGATTTTGATAGGATATTGGATTATTCTTGGGTAATATGTACATACGTGCGTGGGCGGTGCATCCAAGGTAATGCTCACTTGTAGATATCCCATGGTGGGCACTGCCCACTTATATCAATCTCCTGAGACGAAGTTGAAACTTGAGCAGTAAATATGTACGGTCCACAAGATTAAGTTCAATTAACTTACAGCCGCTGACGAAATAACAAGCACGTCTCCGTGGCGCAATTGGTTAGCGCGTCCGACTGTTAATCGGGAGGTTGGAAGTTCAAGCCTTCCCGGGGACGTTTCTTTTTATTTTTTTTATTTTTTTTTCGGTGGGTCATTCGGAATGACAAAGGCCCTGCCATACACATGGAAACACCAAAACACATAGGCGTCGAAAAGCAGTCGACCTCTGCGCTGATGAGAGGGCTGGTTAGAGGCCTCTGGCCTCATAGGCTGTGGCTAGTGAGAGTGGAGGAGTGAAAAAAAATATCCTTTTGATTCATTTTTGATAATCAGAAAGAGTATCTATGTATGTACATATATATATATATATATATGTGATCAACAATCGCTCAATCTGCTGGCAACCAAAATGGGAGATGAAATCACCCACACTGAACAATTAGCGGATCCAATCTACAACATATCGAGACCTCCAACAAAGGCTAGTAGGTTCTACTAGTGGTAGCTACCTAGGTAGGCCCAATATTAATGACACAACATGACCATATAGCCTGGCCCATCCACATATAGAGGGGGAAAAGGACAGTCTTCCCTTGTGTTCCTTCCGACGGACGTTAGAAAAAACCAATCACCGCACCGCACCTATCGAGGGAAATATTTGAATGAGAGTCGGTGTCCACGGTCCTTGACAAATTTGCATGCAACCTGTGCACATATCAGTTTATTTCAAACTAACAAATACCTCACAAATCAGAAATTTAGTAAATTGGGCCAATTTCCTATTTCGCGGTTTTTGGCGACTGCATATCATGGTGTTGTCGTTAGTATCTAGGTAGTCCATTGAGTTGACAAAACACTGGGCTTAGATTGCTGCAGTAAGCCTAGATCATCCTGAAAATAGAATGAGCAGCCAATACTGGAACGATGAAGGCTCTGACTTACCAGACGGTTTGTCTAGATCGTTCGATCGGCGATTTTGGTACCAGAGCTTCCGCAAATATCTGCAACTTGACTGACTTACGGCCACTTTCCGCTCTAGACCAGCTTCCCGGCTATGATTTTGAATTGAAATCTCTTAAAGCATACCAATAGTGCGCGCTGACAGGCCGCTGAAGGGTATACAGAATGTGCCATCACCCTCAGGAAAATCCGGGACGCGTCAGCCAGCGGTCGTAGATATCTCGTTTGAAACGGTTCAAGACGAGAAAACACAAGACGACAAAATGAAGGACACGAAGCTTGCTATCTGCAGCGCCAAGCGCCTCGCTTCCACCAGTGTCTTTGCCAACGTTCGTGAGCTCATTGCTCGACGCCGCCTCGCGCAGATCACCGAGCATGCCAATGTCTTCGCCGGGTGCATAATCGCTAGCCCGGAATTGGTTATACAGATTCTACCAGGTCCCTTGGGATCTATCCCACCCCGGAATGGCCTTGAAAAGTTCGAGCTGGCCTTGGCCCAGCAGCAGATCCAGCCTCGTGTCTGCCGATGGGACATTGGAGCAGCTCCAGCCTCTCAACATGCGAGCAGATGAGGTGTGCCGATTCCTACAGATGCTTCGGTTTTCGCTGGTCTGTCATCGGGAAAGGCTTGGTGTCATTCACGAGGGGTCAAAGGGTGTCAAGCAGGAGATTGCCGATAAGGGTAAAGTGGCAGCGGTTAAAATGCCAAGAGAATACGCCTTCCTTAGATTGTCAAAGGGCCTCGGGCACCCGATATCTATCAGTCTCCGTATAACATGCCGTCTGGCCTCTCTAAGTATGCTAAGACCACTTTCACGCGCTGATTAGATCCGCGGATATCCCGCCCAAGGTTTCTCTGACGGATGATTTTCTCACCAGTCTCTTTCTGAAGGCCCGATTTAAAATTTTTGGAGACATGCGGTGGTCTTATACAACATCCCATTGACAGGTCAGCCATCCGCACTTTGTGATACCATAATGTCATACAGAATTATGTGGGATATAGGGGTGCACTTAGCAGTATCCGATTTTGGAGCGGGCGTCTTGGCAATCTGTTCCAGAGTTAATGGAAGAATAGAAGACAGTGAGACTGGTTTTGCACTTGGCTGTGTAGAAAATGCGGACTTGAAAATGGATTTCCGTAAGCCACAGCACAGTCAACTATAGACCTCCGCAAAGTGAGAAAATGTCAGCTACATGTTGTCACAGCGCTAATTCTCGATTAGGATCAGTCTATCTTGGCACCCATTTTTCAACACCAGTGCATTCTACGGAGTACAGTATGCCCAGTCACTGATTATGGTACCACCATGTTTTAATATCAATTGTACTCGCATTGAAAGATGGATGCCAACTGGGCAAGATAGACTGATCCTAATCAAGAATTAGTGTTGTGACAACAGTACTAAAAACGGTGTGCCAATAGTAGTCACTTAGCTGGATATATGATGTAGTATGTGCCATCTTTTGCATGTAGTTGAACAGCAGCATTGGCTCATTCCTTGTAGGATCAAATTTTTGAGAGTCTAGAATTGCATCAAAGAGCTACATGCCGCGTTCAATCTCTAGAGCAGCGAAGTTTGCTCTTTTGCATCAGACTGAGACCCCACCATGGAGGCCCAAGGTATCTATGCGCAACCCGATAATGCGATTTTGTGTGTCTAGTATGGGAGCGATAGACTAGCAAAGGATATATTGGCCTTAGCTAGTTCCTAATTCTTCCATTCTATAGATGCTCCTCGAATATGTGCACCCGCGGTTGATGGTGGGTTTTCCGCTTCGAGTCAGACGGGAGACGAAACGGTCAATTGGAACCGCCTATTACCCCTGCTCGCGGGCCATTGAACTCCGCCAAGGAATCATATTTGGAAAGGGGAATATCAATGACAGTTCCTAAGGGGCAAGTACTTGCTCAATGCATCGCTGATGGGTATGGCATTGACGATGAGTATTCGTCCGAGTATGTGTCTGTGGATGACTTTGACGAGGACTCTGGAAGTGAATAAGGGTCCTCAAGCATGATTTGCTTTCAATATATATCTCCTCTCAATGGGAAGTGCAAGTTTCAATAAAAAATAGTCATAGTGTCGTGACAACAACAACAAAGCGACACGTGACCCACGCGTTGCCATCGAACCCGATTCGGTCTGTTTTGATTCTCGACATCTCCATTCCCCGACTCAGCACGACCCACAACCCACAATCTCCATGATTGTTTGTTCACAATTACCCTGCATACGCCGTTAATTCCTAATTTAATTTTTCTGTCTTTTACCAACGGCGCATTGTTAAGATAATGGCGGCAAGCGCGAGGGCGCAGAAGCCCGTTGGCTCAGCGCCATGGATTGCAGCAGAGAAGGAAAACATGGCCGAGCTAGTGGAACAAGAAATGGAAGAAGTGGAATACCCTGTCCGGCACGAACTAGACTGGTTAAATGAACATATGACCGAGATCTTCTCCAAGGGCCAGACGTGAGTTGCGACCGCACACTATGATCTGTGCCAGTTCAATGCTAACAATAACACAGGAACTTCGCGGACGTGTTCAAAACGCCTGGGAAGATGAGAGGCAAAACTCCTCGAACCGCTCGAAAGCGTATTCCCGAGGAGTCTCGAGTGGTGAGTTTCTCCATATCGAAATGATTCCAACAGTCCTTGTCTAATATTCCCTTGCAGCCCTTGAGCGAAATCTTCTCGTCCGCCCAGAAACAATTAGAAAACCAAGCCAGCCCAAGCCCATTCATTCATCGTGTTGTTTCTAAGCCTACTCCCCTGGCAGCATCACCTGTGCCCCGCACCAAGACTGTGAAGGAACAAGCTTCGCAACCCGAATACCCTGATCTTACCCAAAATCTGAACTCATTCCCCACATATAACACTGACTCCGGCTATCATGGCATGCCCGATGATGATGAAATGGTACTCCCTGACGTGCAACAAGAATCACAGGCTTCGACTCAGCCCTCTACCCAGCCTTTCGAACAAGACGAACCAATGCATTTGGATACTCAAGAGGTCGACATTTCGGTTAGCCAACAAACAAATGAAGAATCCTTCCATTCTGCGCGGGAAGAAGTTCGCTCTCGCGGAGAGACCGTCGAGCCGAGCAAAGAGCCAACCCCAACCCAGGAGCGAACAGCACTTCCGGCCGCATCAGTTTCCAAAGAATATGAGACTGAAATCATGTCGACTCCAACCAAGAAAACAAAGCCGCAGTCGAATACCGAAATCCCGGAAACGCAACATAACAAGGAACCTGAAACACAGGAGAGCGATCCAATTATCTCGATACCTGAGCCAACCCCAGAAAAGGCCCCCGTCGCCCTGGCAGCCCCGCCTATTGAAACGCAAGAGTCTCACCTACAGGACGAGTATAGGGAAGATGCCACCGAAGATGCTATGAAAGACGACACAGTTCTGGACAATCTCGATGATATCGGCTCTCCTTCGGATGGTTCTACTCCAGATCGACCATTCGCTCGTAAAAGCAGTCTGAGTTTTGCCACCCTCCCTGCGCGGGAACCTTTGAAAACTCGAACAAGCCATATTGACCTGGCCAAAATGAGTACTGCCGGCCGTCCCAGTTACTTTGGCAGACAAACTGGCAGCCATAGGATTCCGCAAGCTGCGGTAGAGGATAATGTGGGCTCTAGGGCGTTGGAAATTGACAACGAGAAAGAACCAAGTGAAGAAGCGGATCCTGAGCAGGCTAGCAGAATGCACAGCAAAAAGTCTACTCAGTCATTGCATGATAGAATCAGCATGCTAGGCAAACTCCAGCCATCCCGACCCAGAAAGTCAATTCCATCCGCTTCTGGGCTACCGGCTGGTCAGGTTCCCTACCCAGATCTCCCAGCCTCCAAGTCCGAACCCAAGTCTGAAGCTTCGAACGAAGGGGCGCATGAAGCTCCAGCTCCAGAACCTATGTCTGTAGACGATGACTGGATCAAGCCTCTGAGCTCTCCCCAAAAGCCTGAGCTTTACAAGAGCAAGACCACAGATGTCATGGAGAAGCTTGCTGAATTCGAAAAGGCGAGAGCAATTAATAAGAAGGATACTTCGAAACCAGAGCCTGAACGTCCCAAATCATCCACCTCGATGTTCTCTTCACCACGGCCGCATGGCCACCAGCAGAGCGCGTCTTTGACTCACATTGCTGCTGATGCTTCTACTACTCCAACAGGCTCACCAAGGCGCTTCGACGGTCACATCAGTGCTTCGAAGCTGAAATTGCACTCGATTATGAAATCTGCCAAGGGCTTATTCTCAAGCACTGGCAACACACCACGGATGGAACACTCATCACCTGAGCAGGCGCGCGTTCAGCCAATCGCTGACACATTCATCATGAATGCCAAACACTTATCTCAGCCGGTCCCTATCACCAGTCCTCAGCGTCCGGAAGGTCGCCGGACACGGAGCTCAACCGAGAAAGAAGAGAAGCGGCGCCAGCACGAACGGAAAGAGCAAGAGCGCGAGGATCAAGAAGAAGAAGAAGCGCGTGTTGAGAGAGCTCGGGAGCAAGAAAGGCAAAGAGCTCTTCAGCTCAAAACCGCCCAGGGCAATTCGTCAGTCGAGCCAGAAGAGAGGGCCGGCTCAGCGGTGAACAAGATCTCCCAATCACAGCGCCAACAATCGCGCGAACCTGAATCAACTCAGGAATCTAGCTCAAGATTTACCATCCCTCAACCGAAGCAAAATGACCGCCGTCCTCTCAAACCTACTCGCGAGCCCATGAAACGCCCAACGCCGCAACCCATGTCAATTCGTGTTGGGAGTACCATGTCTCGTCAACAAATTCCTGTCCCGTCGTCTTCGAGTGGACGGGAGTCGAGTGTGTCCGTGGCGGCCCCTGCCCCTGCCACGAAACCCACTCTGAAAAAGAAGGGTAGCAATACATCCTTACATACATCATCTTCTGCGAGCAGCTTCAAGAGCTCTGTTTCCAGTCTCACGCAAGCCCAGCGCAAGGCTCAGGTCGCCAGCGACCGCAAGAAGGAGCAAGAACGCGAGGCCCGCCGGAAAGAAGAACAAAAGCGTGAGCTAGAACGCAAACGTGCTGCCCAACAGCAACAGCAGGAAGAGGCCCGTCGGCAGGAAATGAGGAGTCGTGCCGAAGCTGAACGGGAGCGACATGCTGAAAGAGAACGTCAGGCCGAACAAGAGCGTCGCGAACGGTCAGCTCAAGAAGATCCAAACAAAGCAGCCCGTATGGAGGCAATCAAGAAGCGACAAGCAGAGAATGCTCGGAAACATGGGCGGCAAGGTAGCCAGCAGATTGTCAACGAGGTGAGTGCAATTCAATTGAGTGACTTCACATCGCTAACACTTTCCAGGGACCAATTCTACAACACGAGCAGACGTATTCTCAGTCTTCTCAGCGGAGTGACTTGGGTTCTTCCCGCCCTCCTTCTCGCTTGGGTAGCTCAATCCAGCCATTCGGTGGCCGCAGCATCAACCCACCCGCACCTAACCCTGCTAAACCGCCAAAGAGAGGGAACGATGAAACCAGCCACCGGCCTGCGCCGGCTAACCCCACTAACGTACAATCAAGTGGCGAGTTCAAGCGGCGAAAGACAGAGGATGAGCACAACCCCATGCCACCTGTGCGCACAATGGCGCAGCCTATTCGTCAATCGAATATCAGAAAGGTCAGTTACAACGGATCCCATGTAATATCCTGACGAGCAAATAATTGACTTCAGGAATGTTTAAAGCCCTCTACCCTTGGCCGTGGACAATCTTCCATCGCACCCCAGTCTGCCTCTTCCAGCTACAGAAACGCGCAACCTCAGCGACCCGCTCACCCTATAATAACATACACGAACGGCAAGATACCGTTTGCCGAACCCAATCAAGCGCCCCCACCAAGCGCACACAAGGCTGCTCCCAGCTCTGCCCAGCGCCCACCAGCCAAGCCATCTCCCAAGTACCCCAACGGTGAAGATATCCACTTACCGGAGGTCAATACCGATAGTGAAGACGATGACGACTCTGACTCTGAGATGTTCCCTGTTCCCTCGTGGGCACAGCCGAAGCAGCTGGAGGGTCTTCTACGCATACAAGAAGGTATGGAGGTTGACTCGATCTTCGGGCCAATTGCACCATTCTCTCTTGAAGACACCTTCAAGGCAGACAAGAAGATCAAGAAATATCGTGAGCGCACCAGTAGTGCGAATTGGTCCGGACCCGATGGACTTACTCAAGAGGAGATTCGGAAGGATGTTGCCGAGCGACAGCGGTTGCGGCTCAATGGTGGTTGGAGCTTCAACGGCTAATGTTCTGCAAGGTGAATTTTCCTTGCATTGTCAATCGATCTGTACATAGAATAGCGATGGTCTTTTTGAGATATGGATTTGGTGGTGGACATGGTTATGTCGGTGTTATGGGTGTATCATCTACCTCATGGCGTTATCTTGTATTGTTCTTGTGGATTTTTCTATGGTGTTAGACAATATCTGCATAGTTGCATCCATCGGTGCATTGGGTTAATGAATCATTGTTTTCGCCAACGTTAGATGTTCTCTAGCATTGACTTCTTGGGCTCCCATTGGATAGGTTCTTCAAAATTAGGGCTTAGTTGTTCACCAGATTGTAAACAGTATTATGTAGCATACTATTGAGGTACAATACATGAACTAGCATCATTGGTCTAGTGGTAGAATTCGTCGTTGCCATCGACGAGGCCCGTGTTCGATTCACGGATGATGCACACTTCTTTTTTTGGTTATTTTTTTTTGGCTCTACCTTCTTTTCATCTTTTGGGGCTTCTATCCCTTCTAGTTCAATATTCGCATAGCTTTAGCTTCTTGTTATTCAGAAATTTGTTCTATCTTGTCAGTCAATGCGGCTATTTTTCGTTTGACACAGATCAAGTTAAAATATATATCGGACCTATGTAAACGCCAACGACTCGATTAATTTTACTCATTTATATCACTAGCTTAGCTCTCAAAGTACAATGTAGTTGAAAAGACGGCAGAAATAAATAAACCATGTTCACAACCCAGCGTCTCAGAGAGTGTCTGATATGGTTGGTGACATAGAGCCACACGTACGGTTGGACATCTCTCGCGGAGATCGGGACATCCTCTAGCCTCTCTACGTTTGGAGGAAACAGACCTGTATCTGGGTCAATCAGACTCAAAGCAGAGCCGGGGGCCGTACATGAGACCAATCACTAGAATAGGAAAATGGGCCCTAGCGAAGCATGACCATATGACAATTCACCCTATAAGACGATCGAATTGACATGGTCTTGTAAAATTCCATACTAACCCCAAAGGAAGCAAAAGCATATGTGGCTCATGTGCATTGTTTATGATTTTATACTCAGCCAATACTCGGCCACATGAGGTGGAAATGACAAACATAGAAAAGAGAAGAAGGCAAATACAAACCCCAGTCCAAACCCACGCCCCTGGCAGCGCCGAGAAAAATATAATACAAGATTCTCAAGCCCTTACACAGTGAAGATCGACATTAAGCCGGCGCTTACTGCATATCCGGCTCGATATCACTAGCTCCTCCCTCGGCGGCCTCATCCATAGCATCGGGGTTGAGATTGGCGGCGTCGGGTGCCACACCAATTTGAGTCTCGTAGGAGATGGTGCGCCAGCCAGATGCAGTGGTGGGGTCCTTGACATATTCGGACATGGGGAACTAGTGAGTGTTAGGATGTGGTCCAAGTTTTCTTTTGGTGTAAAGGTGCGAGGCGAAAGGACTCACGTAATGATCATTCTTCTTCATAGTAACAACCCAGGGAACGTTGTCGAACGTCACAGCCCGGATGCGGAAGTACTCGTTATCGGGAATTTTGCGGACTTCCCGAATAAAGCTATCCAGGTCCGGGGTCAAGACGCTGTTGACAGCAGTGAGGAAATTGGTGGGTGCAAGACCGTAGTGGTAAGCAGGGGAACCACGGCTCTGAATAATTGTGTTAGTGACCATTAAATGGATGTAGCGGAGGGTTCGAAACTCACTCTCGCGCTCACGTAGATCTCGCTGTGAACCTTCGAGATCTGCTGGCGAACAGCATGGTGGGGCTTCTGTAGGACAGCACCGCAGAAGGCAAGGGCACGATCTGTCTCAATATCCCGAGTTGGTACGGTGGGGACGCGAATGCGCACTTCCTCGCCATTTCGAATGACCAACGCTTCAAGGAAATCCTTTTCATACATAACGTCCAGCTCTGAGACGCGGGTGATGAGTTGATCATCCAGCGTGAGGATGATGTCGGCCTCTTGGAAGCTAGTGCTAGGGTCGGGGACGACGCCTGCCGGAGGGCTGTCAACCTTGCGCACCATGAACAGTTGGTGTCGCGATGGGTTGGCCTCGGTGACCTTGTTGATCCACTCCTGCGAGACACCCATGATGCGAGCTTGGCTCATCTGTACAACATAGCTTTCCATGTTTAGGATTCGCAATGATGGGACCTCTCCTTGCTGGATTTTAGAAGTAACGGGAAGTAGGTATGGAGTGGCAAGGCCGAGGTGGTATTCGACATCCTTGTGAGAGCTTGCAGAGCGCTCACCGAGGTAGTTGAGCCACAAGGCCTGCACCACACCGTCTTCGCCGACGAGCACACCGTTTGAGCACTGTGCGCTGAGCCCAGTATCAACGGTCACAGCGTCTAGGTTGATCGCACGATAACGGGGGGCAGCTGCGTTGGCGGGAATCGACACAGTGGTAATATCAGTGACAGTCGTCTTGGCCACGACAATGCGGTAATTTTGGTTGAAGCCAACAAAGATAGTATCTTGTCCTTGTTTGATGTAGTCAGTGCTAAGCTGGGCGCTCTTGACCGGAGCCTTGACGAGGCTGGGGTCATATTGAATGATGCTGTAGTTCTGAAGTGGGTGCAGGAAGACAACCTTAGCACTGACGATGATTGAGTCGGCCACAGTGATGTTGATATCACAAAGGTCGTAAGGGACAATAGCTCGTGATACTACCACTAGGCCTTTCTCAGCATCGATGACCAGGCCAAACCCAGTCTTTTTTGCCTGTGGATATCCATCCAGCTTCAACGGCATTATGCATGATACACGCACAAAGCTACGGACAATCTCAGCAGCAGCAGGTTGGCTGATACCGTCTAACTGGATAAAATTGGCCTCTCTTGGGACAGGAGCTTCAGCAGGGATAGGATCGGCGAGATCAGAGAAATCCCAAAGACCAGACTCGTCGTTACGGACCGCCATCCGCATCTTGGGGTGCCAGTGACGGTCAACGTAGATGATGCTAGTTCCTTTTGTGTGGAGGTCACGAATATGACGGTAGGATATTACCACGCGAGTGCGATCGGGAATATTCTTCATAACCTCTACGAACTCATTGAGGTTACGGACCGGTCGCTTGTCGATTGAATCGATGATCCACCCTGCCACGGTATTCTCCAGCTTGAAGGAGCCTGCAGACTCACAGACATAGACTCCACGAGTGGCAATAGCATAGAGACGTGACTGCTGGTATGACAAATCATGGAAGCTTGCGCCAGCAACTGTCACGAAACGATCGGGAGTGATATCATGCAGATTACCCACTTGACACTCCACCTCAACGTCTTGACCGCCTCTCTGAACAAGCAACTTGACAGACTCGCCGACACTCGAGTCTAAAATATCGTCGAGACGAACAAATTGTGTAAGGAGTTCTCCATTCACCTTGATAAGCACGTCTCCCTCCAATAATTTACCATCTGCGGGCCCCTCCGGAAGAATGATCTCGGCCGCAAGCATGTTCGTTTCAGTCGGTGCTGCGGCACGAATAGCAGCCTCCCACTCCGGGGTCAGACCAAGACGCCGACACTCGTCGAAAGGCCTCAAGACCCACTGTGTTTGAATTGTACCACGAGTGACAGGCTGACCTTGTCGGATACACTCCAGTGCACGAAGCGGGCGGTCCAACGGCAAAAAGTAGTCTGTCGCAGCACCGTCAGCTCGACCACCAGCCTGCAAAGCAACTGCATGGCCAGCAAGATTGACCACAGGACTTCCCGAACTACCGCCACTGGCCGCAGCTGCGGCCTGGATGTAGTTTGTGTTGAAATCACAATAGCCCTCTCCATATTCAGGCGCATTTCGGTCCAGTCGACTGATCACACCAGACAGAATGCTCAGCTTCTCTCCAGCATCGTTACCCACAACACGAATTTCTGTCCCAACTCGCGCTCCATCTGGCTGGAGCTTAAGCTCAGTGACTGCCATATATCGGATTTTCGTGGGGTCGAATTTTAAGATACCGAAATCATGAACGGGGTCTCGGTATACAGGCTTGACATCGCACTATGATTTGACAGTTCTGTTAGTAACCAGGCAAGGGCCTTGACCATAACATGGCGCAGGATCGACTTACTTCCTCATGATTGTCGAATATACAGTATCCCCAGAAGGGACCAGCACCGACAACGTGACGATTGGTCAATATGTAGCCGCGCTCTGCATCCACCACGAAACCGGTTGCTTGACTGGACATGGAGAGCTCTGTATCGAACGAACAGGTTTGACAGAAGTGAATGGAGACGGCGCATTTCACGACCCTCTCGATGGTAGCTTGCCATTCAGGCGAGTCCGTTGTGGTTGGGATGACAGCTGGCGAGGGAGCTTCATCTATATCCTCCTCAATCTCATAGACAGTTCCGTTGGCAGGCGTTGCATCGTCGGGGGTCAAGACCGGGGGTTCAGGTCTGAGTTGCTTGTTGGGATGCTCGGATGTATTGGCCGCCGTACTGCGCTTTCGTTTCGCACCCAAGTCGCCCTTGACATCCATAGCGAAGAGGTTTGAGGTTCGAGGTTGGTGGAGCCGGATTTGAAGGTGGTTGGCGAGGGACGAGATCGTCCGGGAGCCTCTCGAGGCTAGCGGGGTAGTGGAGAATGGAGTATAAGACGATTGGAACAGATGAAGATGCGGACGATGCGGAGCTAAGGAATGTGACGCAGATGACCGATCAGCTGCTGGAGACAAAGGAGTGCAGATTCGGTTTGAAGATCGATAAGATGATAGAGGCGAGATGACGGGGATTAGCAAGCTCCTTCTGCATACAACCAACAAAGAACAATACATCCACTAAACAATTGGGGGAAATACGTACGCGCCTTGATATCGAGGCAAAACGTTCACCCTCCAACACGTTAAAGGCGGCGAAGTATTAATGCCGTGTGATTGGCGGAGGGCTTGATCTGACACGTGATAATTTACGGGTGACGTGAAGCGCCACTTCCACATCTCAGAATTACTGCCGGCAAAAGAACAAAGCATTTACCAAGACTAATACATG